TTCCATTGACAAAGTTCTTGAGATTCCCGGTGTGCGTATACTTCTTTCTCTTCCCTTCGGCTCCTTGATTCAAGCCACCGCAGTTCCGGGACAGACTCGGCCTTTCCTATCACAATTCATACACACTTCTTCAACGAGTCGACTCTCTTCCAGAACGCGCGGAGTGGAAAGAGCGTTGGCTAACGTTCAAGGACCGGCCAAACGAGAAGCATCTTGTCCAGTACCGCGACATCATCGAGGCCATACGAACCCTCCTCGGTAACCCCGAGCACGCTGACCGTATAGTCTACCGACCGCGCCGCATATTCACTGACGCGTCTCGCACCAGCCGCATCTACCATGAGATGTGGACAGGGCGGTGGTGGCATGCCATTCAGGTGAGTTTGTCAATATTTTTCCAGTGTATCCGGCCTTGACGTTCCACTCAGAGTCTCTTACCAGTGGGTGGCAGCAGTGGCCCCGGTGATAATTGCAACAGACAAGACTCAGTTGACGCGGTTCTCCGGGAGCAAGGCCGCGTATCCAGTGTACATGACTCTAGGCAACATCCCTCGCGCCCTTCGCCGCAAACCTTCCGAACACGCCTGCATCCTTATTGGTTACCTGTCTGTCGACAAGGTCAGTTCTGATGGAATCACGCAGCGCAAGCAGCGCGCCCTCATGCAGCAACTATTCCACTCGTCCGTTCGCGTCATCCTCGAACCTTTGATCGAGGCCGGCAAGAACGGGATCGACGTGACCGGAGGCGACGGCGCCGTCCGCAGAGTCCACCCCATCCTCGCCACGTATGTCGCAGACTTTCCCGAGCAGTGCCTTGTTACCTGCACGAAGTACGGAACGTGCCCCAAGTGCCGACTACCCGAGGCTGATCTCGACGCTGCTTCCCCAGGAGTGCCAAGGAGCGCGCTTTGGACTCTGGACGTTCTACGCCTTGCAAGGAAGAAAAGCGGCGGAAACACCAACTCAGCAACGTACGCAAGGGCATGTACCAGTCTCGACGTCTCCGGATACGTCATACGCCCTTTCTGGAGCGATCTCCCCTTCACCGACATCCACTCGTGCATCACGCCCGACATTCTCCACCAGCTCTACCAAGGCGTGTTGAAGCACATCGTCGAGTGGTGCAGCGACCTCATCGACGAGAACGAACTGGACCGCCAAATTCGCACCCTTCCCCCCGCGTTCGGGACTCGTCACTTTGCTAACGGGATCACTTCTCTATCCCAAGTATCCGGTATGGAGTCCAAGCAGATCGCACGCATCCTGCTGGGATGCTTGGTCGGCAAGATTCCTCAGAACGTCATGCTCGCGTTCAGATCTCTACTCGACTTCATCTATCTCGCGCAATACACCACCCACGATGACTCCACCCTCCAGTACATGGAAGACGCCCTCAAAATCTATCACAAGAACAAACAAGCTCTGGTCAATCTTGGCGTGCGCGAACACATGAAGATCCCGAAGTTCCACTCCCTCCTCCACTACGTCGAATCAATCCGGTTGCTTGGCGCAACAGACAACTACAACACGGAAGCCTTCGAACGTCTTCATATCGACTATGCCAAGAACGGCTGGAGGGCGTCGAACCATCGCGACGCGCGTCCTCAGATGGTCCGATGGCTAGCACGCCAAGAGAAGATGATCATGCTCAGCTCTACCATTCGCAGGAAGCTACAAATCGACGAGGATCCGGACGAGGACGCTGCCTTTGCGTCTGAAGACCCGGACCTTTCGACCAAGCGCCACACCCAGATCAAGCTGCCAAAGAATCCAAGCGTACCGCTCCAGTCCATCAAGCTCGTCGAAGAACGTCACAACGCACCCGGTTTTACACACGCACTCCTCCAGCATATCTATACCCTCAAACTCGGTCGACGCCTCACTCCGACTGAGCTTCAGACCGCGTCGTCCAACTTGCCGTTCAATCGCGTCGACGTTTTCCACGGATTCAAGTTCGCTCCCCAGCCATTGACTGACGACAAGAACGAGACCGACGTGGTGAAGGCACGTCCAGCATGCGCCAAACAGCCTGCCCGTTTTGATACAGCAGTCATCCTGCAGGAGAGTGATGCAGAGACGACCGGCCTCCAAGGTATGTGACCGACTCGCGTTCAAATGAATATTCGTTTACTCAAAGACGCATGTCGCTCAGGAACAAGAATAGGACGAGTCAAGGTTATCTTCAGACTCCCGCAGCGCATACATGACCCGCGGACCAGCGTTGCCTTGCCTGCGCCTGCGTCCTGGCCAGATCAAGGGCCACTAGCGTATGTGGAATGGTACTCCAAGCTCGCACGTACAGCCGACCCAGTCCATATGATGTACGCGGTCAACAAACCCGCTCTCAGGGCCAACGGACATCCCCAAGGAGAGATAATACCTCTCAGCATGATACGGCAGTCTTGCCAACTGATTCCCAAGTTCCCCGGATCAGTGGGAGATTCTCCTGAGCATCTACCAGAGGAATGGACGACTCATACTGTACTGGATTGCGCTTCAAAGTTCTTATTGAACAATTGGACCTCTCACTACGCGTATCAAACACTTTGGTAGTCATTAGCTAGCTTACACGTACTCCAGGGGTCTTAATGTAGAGCACTGAAGCTGCATGGCTCGAGTCTTGAAAACAAGGCGCAAATCTCAAAGGTACTTCATTTCCCTTCAGCGGTCTTCAGGTGCATACTGCACTCGTTTAAGGTGCACAAGTTACCAGAGGTCGCTTAAGATCGCATGGTTCTTATTTAAGACCTCTGAAGTAAGAAACGTTTTTCCTGATGCTCCTGTGCTATCCTTTTTATCGTGAGCTTGAGGGCTTGGTAGATCGTTTGGGGGTTCTTGTCGTGGGATCTGTTCTGATTGTTGTACCCTTGGATCTCCTTCCATGCGCGTTCTCCTTCTTTGATTATTTCGGATAGGAACACTTCGTCCGTTAGGATGTGGGCCGGAAGGCTCCATCTTCCTTTCCCAATGTAGGGGGCCGCTGCTGACGTGAGTTTTACTGTGACGAGCCGATGGTCAGTTGGGACTCCTGTGTAGTGGATGTCCCAGGCTAGGGCTCTTGTTAGCAGGTCTTGTGTCAGGTATATTCTATCGAGACGGGAGCGTGCTGTTCCCCCTCTTTGTGGGAACGTATAGTCCTTGGTCTTTGGTTCCGTTGCTCGCCAACCGTCATATACTTGTAGACTGCGCAGTAGGTCTCTTAGTGCTTGGACCGTCGTTGTAGGATCTGATTTCGCTGGGAGTCTATCTATTGCTTCTTCGACGACGTTGAAATCGCCTAGGAGCACGTCCACTTTCGGGAGCGACCCGTCGATGGCTTTCCCGGTGAGGGTTTTCCAGAAGTTCATGTTGTCTGCTCGATTGTTCGGGGCGTATATGTTGAGGATCGACAGCCTGGTCTCGGCGTGCCATTTCATGTCAATCAGTAGTGCTCTTCCGGGGATGATTTCTGTAACGGTTACTCCGTTTGTGTCAACTAGTTCCCTGTTCAGGGCGAAGGCGACTCCTTGAGACGTTGTAGCGTTGGGTGATGCGCTGTTGTATATCTTAATGCGCCTTCCATATAACTTATGTATGTCGTCTACTTGTTCTTCGTTAAGGTGGGTTTCCTGGAGTGCTAGGACTCCTATCTTCTTCTCTCATGCGGTCGTTGTTCGACGTTTGTGTTGGTTCAGGCGGGGGGACTCGGCCGCTGTCTGGGGCCCTAGGGCCTCCTTCTGCGGTCGCCCTGCCTCCGTGTTCTGCCATCGCGTCAGCGATTCTTCCGTGGACAGGGGGCGCGGGGGTTTCTCGGCGGTGGCAGAGAGGGGTACCGTGTGCCAGTTGTTCATCCGTTATGGTGTTTCTCGAGTTATGTGTGTTCGTCGTTGTATATCAGCCCACCCGCTTACAACGATACGCGGGTGGCGGGAGCCTCTCCTGGACTCCTCAGGGGACATGCACGACGCCTGTCGGCGGTCGTACTTTACCATACTAAGGCGGGTAAGTCTATTAGTACCCTACGCTGTAAGGACCTTTGCCGGTGGGGTGGGCTTTCCTGTCCCGCACGCGGTCAGTATATTTGGGCGCCACCTTCACCGGCGGTCGGTTAGTCGTATTATCCTATCCTAGGAAGTAAAGAGGAAGACCTATGTCGCAGTGCGACATATTACTTATTATTGTTGTTGGCCTGAGGCCGTGAGTTGTGGTTCCTGTTCGTTTCGTCAAGAAGGCATTTTGATTGCAGGTTTCCGCTCATGCAGGCTACAGTATGTGTACAGTGGGGCTATCAAGATAGGTGGCATAAGGTGCTCGATGTATCGTTCGTTACTATTTAGTGGGCCCAGCCTTCTCCAGCTTCACGGAGTGAGGAAGCGTGAGCCTCGTCATTCGTCCTCGAGCTCGGGCCCGCGCCTCTACCATTACCGCGACCTCGACCGTTTGCGTATCCGCCACGTCCCCCGCGTCCTCCGCGTCCTCCGCGCCCGCTGTGAGAGACGGCAGTTTCGTCAACTCGTGATCGGGGGACGGGCTGCTGGTTATCCTTGAACTATTGGTGACCGCTCCGCGGTCGGGTCGTATTCGTCACTTGAGGCTGAGGAGCCGTGAGCTGGCGAGCAGCTGGAAGTGACGATTGGTCTTGTGGGAGCGAGGAGCCCACGGATTCGTAAGAGGTCGTACGGGGGCGAGGAGCCCGCGAGAAGGTCGTGCCCGAGGCGAGGAGCCCAGGGATGCGAATCGGCGAGGAGCACGGCCCGCTAAGTCGGCGAGGAGCTCGACTTAAGAAGTCGGCGAGGAGCCGCTCCCAGCGTGGCGAGGAGCGCACGCTTGAGTCGTTGCGCGAGGAGCGCACTAGACAGGAAGTTGCACCAGCTCGGACGGTGCGGTCAGTCGCACACGGACGAGGTGGTGGTAAGAGAGTAAGTTAAGATATCATTCTTCGTGCGCGCGCGCGCGACGTGGTCGCGAGCGCGCGACTTACGTAATTACATGGAGGTTACATATATTAATACGGAATGTAATTATGTACGTGAGCAGAAGACGTGCGGGTCGCGATTCTTGAATGCCATTTTGTAAGTGGTGGTGTACGCGGCCTTGATGCGCTCCACCGCGTCCGTAACAGAGCCCCCCATCGCGAGCTGTAAGTCTGCAGCCACGTCGGAACGTAGATCCCATTCGAGCATTAGTCGCGCGATCGCGAACCAATGGCGAAGTCTCACAAGGTCGTCGTCGCTGTCGAGATAACGCGCTTCCTGCGCAGACGGATAGTGCGAGGTGCCCTGGCCCCAAGTCCGGCGTATACGATCGCGCGTACTCGCCCATATCGCTCCTTTGGCCGATTCGGAGGAGGCCGCCTTGAGGCCGGGTAGCGAGTGAGCGGCTAACCGTTCGAAGTTGTATCGGAAATGGAACGTGCGTAGCTCCCAGACCACGTTCGCTTTCTCGTCGCCCTGAGGATTGCGCAGTGGCGAGATGACTCCGTCAGGGAGGGGATGCGCCGCGATGTCCTTGGTCGCCTTTACCAATTCCGGGTTTGCTCGAAGGCGGGACTTCCACTGCTTGTGGATAAGGGCGGGCCAGGTCGCCGGGTCGCGCTTCAACCTCTCTGTGTACTCGTGCTGCGTGTGCAACCAGATGAGAGTCGCGATGTACCCTTCGTCGCCGTCCGCCAAGAGGATTTGCGGGGAGGGCATGGGACGCTTAGGTTCCGGAGGGTAGCTGGGAGCAGGACCCAGCGCATTCTCCCAAGTTTGACGAAAGGTCGCGGTGTCCTCGCTTCTCTCGAAGGGGCGATGGACGTAGTCGTCCACTTCAGCGGCAGAGAACACCGGCACTCGTGTTCGCAGGGGAACTCCGGAAGTTAGTGTGACGACGTGCAGGGCGGCAGGGGGTGGGGGTGGTGGGACCGTTGCGAGAGGGTGAGGGACTGGCACGTCGGACAATCGACTCTCAAGGGGCAGCGTCAAGCGGTCGAGGAGCGATTGTCCCGCAGGCTGATTGCTGCCGCTGGCGTCCTCTCCGGCTGCGGGACTTGGAGCTGCTGCCATTCGTGAGAGCAGGCTTGCGGGCTGGATGCGCTCCGCTAGAGTTCGCTTCGTTGTGGGCGGTACCTCCGATGCCGGTGCCAGCCTGCTCTGTAGAGTAGGGCGCATTCCTGACGGTTGGCCTTCCGTGCGAGGCGTTGGCATTGGCGGCTGGGGAGGGCTCCCACTTTGTTGGACGGATGGTCCTCCAGTCGACGATACGGGACTTCGCGAACGTCCTCGGGGCGCGGGGCTCGATCCTTGCCGCTTAGCGAGTACTCTGCGAGGGTAGTCTCCCGGAGCCGGTCGTGGAACGTCGCTGTACTCGCGCCTAGGAGGTGATGAGACGCGGTGGGGTCTCCTGGGTTCGTATCGCTCTGACGGGTTCCGTCTACCCGGGGGCGACTGACGATCGTTGCGTCGTTCGTCGAATCGACTCCGTCGCGGGGAGCGGGAGCGAGAAGCGCGACGAGGGAAGCGGTGCGTCGGGGAAGGGGAACGAAGGCGACGGCGGTCCGGCGGGGGCGAGCGACGATGGTGACGGGATGAAGACGGGGAGCGTCCGCGGCGGTGACGAGGGGAAAGAGATCGGCGAGGGGGCGAGATCGCTCGACCTTTGCCTTTCTCTTGCCTCAAGGCTGGGAGGGTGCGATCGGATCTTCGAGCGTCCACGCGGACCTCGGCCGGCTGTACTAATGATTCCGGCGAGATGACCATAGGCGTGTCCGCTCGCCGCGGAGGCGTTCGGGGTTCGGACCGTCTGGGCGAAGGTGAACGTCGGATGGGAGACGAGGGGGCCATCTGCTCAATGGCAGGGCTATTGTTCCATCCTTCTTCCTCAGGGTCCGGGAAAGCGGACATTACGTTGGCTGGAGAGACCGCTGTAGGGTTAGCTGCGGGAGTTCCCAGGGGTTTGGAGGGACCGGCGCGGAACTGGTTGATAGGGAGAGGTCCGTCGCTAGGATCGTCCCAGTCGAAGTCCGAGTCTTCCTCGGCTCGCAGTTCCGCCTCGAGTTCCTCCAGGTACTTCCTCTTCTTCTTCCCGATCTTCTGTTTGGGAGCGTCGACCTCGTCATCCCACCCTTCCAGAGATAAGCGGACGTCGAATCCTTGCACGGGTCGCAGGACGCTAGGCGAGGGCGTCGGCGATCTGCGGACGTACCAAACGCGGACGCCGAACCAGGCAAGCCGTTTGAGGAGCTCGTCGTCCCCTTCCCGAATCCAGCATCCTACCCCCGTCGTTCCAGTGCAGGGAATCGACATTCGCCCACTATCCAAGGACTCTTGTAGGTAGGCGCGGTAGGAGTAGGATCGTAGTTCCAGGAGGTGGTGCTGTATTACTGCTACATTCTTCCGCGCTGTGTAGAGGTCGGTCAGTTCGACGGGGAGCCGGTATACTTTGTCTCGGATGACAGCGGGGCGGAGCACAAGGGACGAGGGAGGGTTGTGGTCCCGATGGAGGAAGGACTCAGCGCGCCCGACCTCGGCTTCGTACAGGTCCTGAAGAGCGCGGGTGAAGTCGTCCATAGGGGACCCCTTTCCGGTCTGACGGTTAATAACCAGAAAGGTTCCTCTCTTCTCCTTTCCTCCTAATTCCAGCGTGACGTACGCGGGGTCCGCGCCTTCCTCTCCGCTAGGGACTTCGTACATAAAAGGCCAGTGCCCTTGGGCAGCGTTCCACCATTGAGGATGGTAGCCAGGCTCGAAGGCGCCCCGGCGACCATCCGAGAATATATCTTCTCGCTCCAGTTGGTTAGGGGGCGAGGGAGGCACGAAGTCGGCGTTGGGTGACACGGCGTAGTCGCCGTTGCCAAGAGCCGTGGCGACGCGTACTGCTCGATGCGCGACGTAGAGTTGCCAAGCCGTATTCCGAGGCTGGATTCTCGGCGGAAGGGTCCCGTAATCCAGAGGGAACCAGAGAGAGCTCCGGAAACGGGGGGCCGTCGAAGAAGAGGGAGTGGGACCAGCCATAATGCCACGCATGAGGTTCGAATTCGAACACTCGTCGAAGGACAGCGGAGGTTTTCACGAAGTTCGCAGTTCGAACGTTCGTGTTGGGGAGCTGAGGTTCGGCTTCGAACACTCGCGGTGAAGAGGGAGGAAGAGAGAGGAGGGGAGAGAGGTCGAGTGGCTGAAGAAGCGCTCCCGAGTTAGGACGCCGCCAATTCCGTGGCACGGTCACGTGCTTGACGCGGGACGCGTCTCGAGCCGCGCCGCCTGTCCAAACAGAAACGGGAAAACTAGGTTACTCTAACTACACTACAACTGTACGTGGTTCTGACTCGAAGCTTTTATATACTGTTATGTACCGGTTGCGGGGCTAAGGGCCGAGAGGACCTCGATTCGCCTAGGCTTCACCTGGTTAAAAGATGAAGGGCTTTGTATTCCTTGAGGATCTCGTAAGCGTTGCGCAGATGCGAGGCGGGTTCCCAAGTGTCGTAGATGGGGCCGAAGTCTTTCCACCGAATCAGGAATTCCAGTCGGTTGCTCCGGAACTTATTTCTGCGCCAAGATACGATAGATTCAACTTCATATTCCTCGGCGGCGAGAATCTCGGAGTTGCGAGGGTCCGGCAAGATCGGACGCCTTACATCCGTCGAGATGAGGTCAGGTTCGCGATACCTTCTGAGATGCTCAATGTTGATGACTGGGTTCATCGGGTAAGTACTGGGCATGGCGAGCCGGTATACCAAAGGATTGACACGTTCAATGACGGTAAAAGGACCCAGCATCCGTTGAACAAGCTTCTTGCCGGTGCCTTTGACGTCTACTAGCTCGAGAGAGTGAGGGCTGACCAGAACGCGGGTCCCCACCGGGAACGTTTCCGTTCGTCGACCTTCATTGTATTGACGAGCCGCTTGTTCTTGGGCCATCGCGATGGCGTCTCGAGCCCTTTGACGGTGAAGTTCCATTTTCATAACGAATTCAGTGGCTGTTTCGCTAACGAGCAGGGGACGCTGCTCGTAGCGGTTGGTATGGCCGATGAAGTCCAAGGATCCCTTAGGCTCGAACCCGTAAAGCAGGAAGTAAGGGGAGTAACCGGTGGCGGAATGGATTGACGAGTTATAGGCGTGAGCTAACGCGGGGAGCCATTGCGCCCATCCGTGTCGGTTACCTTGGACGTACGCCCGTAGCATCGTCTCCAGCCTCTGGTTGACGATTTCCGTCTGTCCGTCATGCTGGGGGTGATGTGACGAAGATAGGCAGAGATGGATATCCAGCTCAGCGGCCACCGCTCTCCAGAACTCGGATATCCATCGGCCGTCCCGGTCGCTGATGATGTGGTCGGGAATCCCGAATCGGAAGATGACTTGGAGTATGAATAGGTGCGCGAATTCGACGGTGTTGAGGGTTCCATTGCAAGGAATGAATAGTCCGAACTTAGAGCATCGATCGACCACTACGAACGTCGCGTCGAATCCATTGGAAAGGGGTAAACCCGTGATAAGGTCAAACGAGATCCATTCGAAAGGTCGGTCGGGTACCGGGTTAGGGCGGAGTAGTCCAGCCTTTGCTCTCCGGTCCACTTTCGTCTTCTGGCATACATCGCAGGACATGGCGTAATCTCTGACGTCTTTGCGTAGCGTCGGCCAGAAGAACCTGGTGTTAATGCGTAATGCCAACTTGGCCGGTCCTTCGTGTGCTGACTCATACGGAGAGTCGTGAATCCTTGCAATGAGGGGGAACACTTCCGAACGAGGGACGCAGAGTCTTGCCGGATCCGATCCGGTTCGCATGTAGAGTAGCCCCGCCGAATCGGTGAAGAAGCATTGGCCCGCGAACTTTTCCAGACCCGGTTCCGACGCCTTCTTCCACTTGGTTTTGAAGAATTCGTCTTTGGCATAACCTTCCACAAATCTGTTGCTGTACTCCTTGCTGAGTTCGATGAGAGCGGTGGGTGCTGACAGATCGTCCTTTGGTTCGTACAGATCGCCTGAACTGTGATTTACAGTCTTCGTGGGTTTCGGCTCTTGAGTATTAGCAAGCGGTGTATTCCGACGAATACGCTCCGTGAAGACCTGAGGGTGACGCTGTCCCTTGAATCTCGTCGAGACGGGGATTGCAATCTTGTCCAGCACGGCACGAGGAGGTTCCTCTCCTACGCTCGTGTCGACTTGGTCCTCATCGTCGGAACTTTCTCCTGAACAGGTCGGTGATTCGACCATGTTCTGAGATTCTTCCCGGTACGCGCCCCCCACGTTGAGGCCCGAGTCGTCAGATGGCTGATTGCAGAATGGAGCTGATGCTGGAGACGCGTCCAAGATGTCTTCCCAGGAGTGGATTGTGGAAGTTGTCGCTGCCATTTTCAGCGCTGGGGATCGTTCTGCTGCCATTTCAGCCGCTGCGGGTTTAATTTGGTCCGTGACGATTGGGATGGATAGGTCGAGCACCGGAGAGTCGTGAACAGGCGGGTCTCGCGGAAGTCGAGATAGAGGATCAACATTCGAATGCACTCTACCCGCTCGGTGCACGATGTCCAGGTTGGGGAGATAGGCCGCAAATACCGCCCCCCAGGCTGCTAGTCTTCGGTTCGTATTTTCGTACGTGCGGGCCCATTGTAGCGCAGCGTGGTCCGTGACCAGAGTAACCTGTTCCCCTTCTATGAAGGGTTGGAATCGAACTAGACCATCTTTGGCGGCTAACGCTTCTCGTTCAGTGGCGGAGTAGTTGCGTTCGGCCGGTTTGCATGATCTACTCCAGTATGCGATGACTCTCTCGACGTAGACGGTAGTATCGTCAAACGCAGGAGACCATTCGGCTGACGGAGGACTGTCGTCGAACTTGTGTGACACGCGAGTAATCAGATTGGGGACTGGAGCACCCTCTGTGAAGGCTTTGGCCAGTCGGTCGTAAGCTCTGGTCCCTTTGAGGTCCGCTACTCTGATCGGTTGAACCTGTTGAAGGCAGGCTCCGAGGGCGATATCCGAGGCATCTGTATAGAGACGGTACGGACGACCGGCTATGGCATGTGCCAGGACAGGTGCGGCTTGTAATGTGTCTTTCGCACGCTGCCAGGCAACTTCGCAGTCTGCCGACCAGTCCCATTTGTGATCCTTCTTGAGTAACTCGAAGAGAGGCGACACGATGAACGAGTAGTAGGGAATGTAGGCTGAAAAGTAAACCGTCATCCCTAAAAAGGTCTGCAGTTCTGAAACCCGTCTCGGACGGGCAAGCTCTAGTACCGCGCGAACTTTCTCTTGATGCGTAGAGAATCCTAGGCGGGAGACTTTCTGTCCCAGTAGAAGGATGGACGTGTAACCGAAGTGGCATTTAGGAGGGGAGAGCGTGATTCCGGAAGCGATGACGGATTTGAGCACTTTGTCCAGGTGATCGACATGTTCGTTCCAAGATCGAGAGTACACGACGATGTCGTCGATGTACACTAGAGCAAAAAGCCAAAGATAAGGCGCTAAAACTCCCTGCATCACTCGCTGGAATGCAGACGGCCCGTTACGCAGACCGAAAGGTAAGCGTTTGAACTGGAATAATCCGCGATGAGTACGGAAGGCCGTCTTCTCCCGGTCGTTCTCAGCCACCATCAATTGCGTGAATCCCGAAAGGGCGTCCAACGAAGTGAGTACTTGCGCGCCTGAGAGAGCTTGCAGGATTTCGCTCTGTCGTGGGATAGGGAATTCGTCGGGGACGGTGATCGCGTTTAGACGTCGATAGTCGACGCAAAGCCTCGGCTTTCCGTTTCTATAAGCGATCAAAACCGGAGCCCCCCAAGGACTGTTTGACGGTTCTATGACATCGAGGTTTAGCCAGGTTTCGTGCTGTTTGTCAATGACGTCCCGTTTGGCGGGAGAGGCTGTGTACATGGGCAACGAGATCGGACGGGAATCCGCCTGGGTCTTGATTTCTACTTCAGTGGGGTTCCGCCCGAGTCGGCCGTCGAAGGCGAAGGCCGCCTGGTTAGCTCGCAGCATTCGGAGGAGGTGTTCCTTCTGATCTGGGGGCCATTCGGGCCCGATGTCTAGCATGTTCTCCAATTCACTAGATGGGTAGGTCTCCGGATCAGGCACCTCCGCCGTCTTGGGGCCCCAGTGATTATCCACGTTATCCGAATCTTGGTCGGGCGCGTTCGTCGTCGTGGTTTGCGTGGCCGATTCTTGTATCAGGATCTTGACCGACGCGGCGTGCGCGAGGAGTTCGGGAGTGGGGGAGGCGAAATACTCCGAAGGGGAATGCAGCAGCCCCAAGGACTCGCCATCTCTGATGAAGTAAGGGCGGTCGGTAGGGTTGGTCACCGGCACATACAAATGTTCCGAGTTCACGAGAGTAGGGGTAGTCAAGAGGAAGGTGCCGTCGGCTTGTCCGAGCACTGTTTTCTCGATAAACCATTGCTTGCGATCTCCAGGCGGGGTTCGAATCGGAACGGGCCTGCAAGAGTGCGGTGCTATTCGCACATCTTGCGAGGCAAGGGCCGAGGGCCGTTGGATCTTGACGATTTCCCTAAGACGGTTCGCACGCTGACGACGATGAGTTTTGGCGCGGACGAACTTCGAATCCGCAGCCTTCACAATGATCTGGAGGCTAGGTCGGTCCTTTTGTGAGGATGATGAAGCGGGGATAGTATATCCCGTTTCTCCTACACGTATGGCCGAGCCGTCCGCGACGCTGCGGGTTACGCTTAACTCGTAGTTGACATGAAAATCCTCGCCCAGGAGGATAGGTGCCGTCATGCCCGGAACGACGTAGCATTCTGCCGTCATCTTCAAGATATGACCCTGCTCCGACTCGACGTAGACCTGGGTTTGAACGTACCCGGATATACGGAAACCTCCGGTTAACTGGAAGAGATTCATTTTCAATCCTTGCTTGACCTTAGGGCGCGATGCCGCAGGGAGAGAATCCAGATATTCTTGCGACACTAAAGAGATATCTGCTCCCGAATCCGCTCGGCACGTCACCATGGGATGAGATAGGCTACCTAGTCGGAGTTGAAACGACAGAGCAGCTACCCCGACGGTGGAATGCCCAGGCGGAGGATCTCGAATCTGGGACAAAGGGACCACTAGGGTTTCTTGGCTGGCCGGCACGGAGCGAGAGGTAGGGACGGAATCGTCATCCACCGCCGCAGCCGTTCCCGCGAATCGATTCTTACCCTGAGGGTAGTGCGTTGAGCCGTCGACCGATAGTGCTTCCGCTATGGTATCCAAAAGGGACTCCTGATTATTGAGGCCGGCCCGTTGTACCTCCTCTAGTACGTGGGGGTGATCCTGGGGAAGCGTTTGCAAGGGACGCGACGGGAGTTCGTCGACGTCCTCGCACCGCGCTCTCAACGACTCTCGCAGGCGAGCCGACGCTTCGAGATGTTCTCCCTCAGCCCGGCGAATATCCGCCTCCAACGCGCTCGACAATCTGGCATTACTCATACTACTACAGATGTATGCAACAAAAGCTCGATCATACTCCTGGTTTTCATTCTCGTCGCAGTCGAACTCGCTGCCGATGAGGAGGGCCCTTCGTCCAATGTCGTATTCGTTCCAGTGCGGGCAGTCTCGGTCCCAATGATACGGGCTACCGCAAACCCGACAGTCACCCGGCGGGGACTTCTTACTCTTGACCGAATCACTCCGGGGGAACTTGTACCCAGCCGCCGGTGGTTTTCGCGCGAATCCTTTATTCTGACGATTAAGTGGATTCCTTGACTTCGTGTTGAGAGCTAAGGCTTCCCGGGCTTCGGAGTTGACCTCGCCATCAGGAATGTCATTCTCATTCGCTGAGGGCCCGCCACTGTCGAATTCCTCATCCTCGTTTGCTTCGAAAACGATTCCACCCGATAAACCGTCCGCAGCGAAAGCGCGTCGGGACGAAGGGTAAGAACGCGATTCGGTCTTTGACGAAGGGAGCTGCAACAACTGTTCGTACTGAGAGGTACGCGCTGACGCCATAGAGGCAAAGGCGATGAGCTCGTCCGTCTTGTCGGCCACTTTCGACATAAATGCCGGGATGGTGCTAATCGAGTCCAATGCGAGGACCGTAGACCAGGTGGGCGGAGCGTTCTGCATGATGGCAACGATCTCGTGCTCGGGGGATTCCTGCGCGCTAGTGAGGTGCCGGTGGTATAGGAGGCGACGGTCGATGAAGTCCATAGGGTATTCCTTTTCGTGGCCGGGTTGGCGGAAGCGTTGCCCGTCGTATTGCGTACGAAGCGCTACGGAAAACTTGTGGGTAAAGAATTGGATCTTGATGCCTTCGTACAGACTCCACCATTCCTCCGAATACATCTTCTGAGTCTCGGGATCCAACAGTTGCCACCAACGTTCGGCGCGGCCAGTGAATCGGTCGGGGGCCGCCGCGCCGAGGTCTCGGGCGATGGACTTGTTCTTCCGAGCCAGGCTGTTCATCTTGTGAATGTAGATCAGAATAGTATTCAAGCTGCCATTCCATTCAGGAATAGCGCTCCTAGGAATCTTTCGATCCAGACGGACCCCTTCGTCCTTCGGCGCTGGGACTTGATGGATGATGATAGTAGGCCGATTGTCGGCGGCAGCGTAAGTAGAACCAGGGCCTCCCGAGGGAGGTTCTCCGCCTGGGAATCCGCCCGAATAGATACCAGGCCGCGGCTCTTCGTCCGAATGATCTCCGTGACGGGAGTTGCGGTCTGACCCATGATTACTGTCACGGCCACCGCCCCCCATAGGAGGACCACCTCCTCCAGGAGGGCCGCCGCCTCCAGGAGAGCCGTTACCTCCGGGAGGACCACTTGGAGGAGGGCCATTCCCGGGGCGGTTGGAGCGACCGGACTGCAAGCTGTTAATGGACTCTCGATCGTCATAATCTCGTTCTTTTTGTTTCGGAAGACTCGGCGCAGAGGGTTTCTGACGCCCTTGCGCCGAGTGACCGGTAAAACGCGTGTCGTAGATGAAAGTTCTTTCGCTTGCGATTTCCTCCGAGCGACGAGTCCGACCTTGGTGGCGTTCCTGAGCCAGGTGAGGAGGAGTATCGTATCGAGGGAGAGGCGCTGGAGGAGCGCGAGGTTGCGAAAGGGACATGGAGGGAGGTCTTCCGGAAGGAAATACGGCGTCTCGCACGGCTTGAGCCACTGCAGAGTCGGGGAGGGCACGGGAGTGTCCCCTTGCCCCGATTGCTGAAGCTCTGCGCTCCATAGTATCGTGTGAGGCCCGCTTTGTGGGAAGAGGAACGACTTCTTCTTGGAATTGTACCTTCCGTCGGGTTTCGTCTTCCTCCTGAAGTAATCGCGGTCTAGAACTCGCCGGCCCCGACCGGTGGCTGAAGCGTCGCCGGGTATCCACGGTGGCAGGTAGTCGAACACTTCCCTCCGGCTTGACCGGAGAGGAAGGTTCGGATGGGACACTAAGAGGCGGTCGAGTCAACTCCTGTTCCACTCGGTCTACCGACGACGCTCGCGAAGGAGGAACCATGCTCTCATTCATAGACACAGAAGCTCCGTGCGTGACAGGTGTCACTAGCAATGAAGATGGTAGCACTCTGAATCGGAACTCCGGCGCGATTTGCTTATTGATCGATTCCTGGTCGAGTCCCTTGGTTTTACCCAAGCGTCGGAGTACTACCGCCTGGTATTCTGGAGTGAGGTTATGAAAGAGATCGGGATGTTCTAGCCACTTGTCGAGGACTACTCTCTTGGAGTTGGACTCCCTGAGGTGTTGACTGAAGTCCGAGTCCGTCGATTTGATGGAGCTAGGGTACGTTTGGCCGCGGTGGAGAGCACGCCTCTGGTGGATCAGAGTGATGGCTTTCGCCGCTCGATACTGAAGGACTCGGAACGCGTCCGAGATGAGGCCTCTAGAAGCTGAACCTCGGAGTGCTTCCAGTAAAGAATCGGCGTGGTCGGCCTTCCATCGGCGTGCCCCTCCTTCCAGTTGCAACATGGCGGTGACTAATGTTTCTAATCCTTCTACTACGTAGTCAACACGCCTCATGGCTCGGGCCGTCAGATGGAACCGAGCTTCCTTATCCTCCAGGTCGGGCGAATTGCGCACGTCCGAACTAGCCAGGTCATCTCCGACGAACGCGTTCGCTTCTTCGAACAGCGTGCCGTACTTTCCCGTAGCGTCAGGCGCGTTGAGGTCCTCGAAGTAGGCCTCCGCTTCCTCTGGCCTGCGGAGGTGCGCGAGGAAATGCCCGGAAGCGTCAAGGAGATCCTTGAAGTGAGTCTTGTCCACCGACTCCTTGGCAGCTTGCCTTGCGTCCGCAGCCGACAGGGGTGCCGCTTCCGTTTTGGGTCTAGCGGATTGAGCACCGGGACGCCAAGGGGTAGACGCGGCAAAGGGAGGAGCGTTGTAATCGAAGGAAGTGAGACCACCCGCTGTTATTTGGGGAAACAGGTCATTTCCTGATTCCGGTGGTAGAATAGGCGTGGTGGAGGGCGAGTACTCAAAGTTCCAGTTCGATGGTAACGCAGTTTGAGAGCTCGCCTCTGCCGGGCGCGGTTGAGGGGACTCCACGAGTGAGGAATTTCTCACATCGCGAAGGGACCCCGGGCCCAAATTGACGCGTGGCAGAGAGTTGTCCGGCCCTATATTAGCCATTGAAGAACCTTGGTGAACGGCCGCACGGGCGGACGATGAGAGCGGGGCCGGTTCGCTCGTTCCGAAGGACGGAGCGGAGAGGCCGATCGACTTGTTTGGCTTCCTTCTGGGTTCAGAGCTGTCCGGGTCTCCGGCGTCCTCCACGTAGGCTGATAACTGCGTAAAAGGGGTGGAGGAACCCGATTGTACCGCCGAAGGGGGTCGAGAGGGTCGTGAAGCATCCCCTAGAAAGGAGGTGCCCACTACGGGAATGCGACCAGCCATGACCGTTCACCGGAAGAGGGCTAACTTTCGCAGCTAAAGGATTTACCCAGCAGTGGACCGCTCCCCTGAGTGTCCACCAATGTGAGAGACGGCAGTTTCGTCAACTCGTGATCGGGGGACGGGCTGCTGGTTATCCTTGAACTATTGGTGACCGCTCCGCGGTCGGGTCGTATTCGTCACTTGAGGCTGAGGAGCCGTGAGCTGGCGAGCAGCTGGAAGTGACGATTGGTCTTGTGGGAGCGAGGAGCCCACGGATTCGTAAGAGGTCGTACGGGGGCGAGGAGCCCGCGAGAAGGTCGTGCCCGAGGCGAGGAGCCCAGGGATGCGAATCGGCGAGGAGCACGGCCCGCTAAGTCGGCGAGGAGCTCGACTTAAGAAGTCGGCGAGGAGCCGCTCCCAGCGTGGCGAGGAGCGCACGCTTGAGTCGTTGCGCGAGGAGCGCACTAGACAGGAAGTTGCACCAGCTCGGACGGTGCGGTCAGTCGCACACGGACGAGGTGGTGGTAAGAGAGTAAGTTAAGATATCATTCTTCGTGCGCGCGCGCGCGACGTGGTCGCGAGCGCGCGACTTACGTAATTACATGGAGGTTACATATATTAATACGGAATGTAATTATGTACGTGAGCAGAAGACGTGCGGGTCGCGATTCTTGAATGCCATTTTGTAAGTGGTGGTGTACGCGGCCTTGATGCGCTCCACCGCGTCCGTAACACCCGCTATCAGTGCGGTCTCCTCGTCCTCTGGGAGCTCTTCCGTCGCGACGGTGGGGTTCGTTCTGTTGGATGGAGCTGATGGTGTCGGCGTTGGGACCGTTCCAGCCCGGGACTGTTGGGAGATCACAGAGGCCGACTGAGTGGTCGGCCGAGTGGCAGAGCTTACACTTGACGACTTTCTCGACGAGGATGGCCTTTGCGCCGTTAGGAGTGGAGAAGGGTTGCGTGCGGACGTAGTCGCGCCATATTACCCAGTCGCGCGGGTGGGACGTTGGTGAGTCGCAGTAGAGTTGGATGAGCGGGTTGATTGCTCGTCCGTTCGTTTGGCGGGGCATGGTGCGGACGTTGATGGAGGCGACGAGGTATTCGAAGGCTAGGTAGGTTGGCGTAGCGCCCCACTTCCCTCGTACGCCGAGGGCCTTGTCGCGCTCGATGGTCTCCATTGTGACACGGAGGAGCGGCTGGCGCCTGAAGGCGTCGCGGAAGTGCGGGAGGATCTGCTCGTTTTTCATCGAGCCAAAAGCTGCCTTCTTTTCGAAAGATCCCATCCACGTGGATGGTCCGAGGGAGAGGTCGACGAAACGGACTGCCAAGTCTTTCCTGACGTACCATTTCTTTGCGAGGAGGGTTCGCTGTTGCTGGGCCGTGATGCCCTGCAGAAGGTGGTAGTCGGGGCCGGAGTCCGGGCTCGCGCCGGCTTCGGCGTCCGGGGTGTAGATTTCGGGCGACGGGATCCCGAAGTCGTGCTGCAGGGTCTGTTCCAGCCGCATTTGTCTGTCCCAGCTGTCTGCGTCGTTATCTCTCGCTCCGTGGCCTCCCCAGGAAAAGAGGACGCCGCGTCGTCGGCTAGAGAGCCATTTCGAGGCTTGGGTCTTACACTGCCCGTCAAATTTGAAGTAGAAGGTTTCGCCCTGGATGTCTCTCCAATCGTCCGGCGGGGCTGGCGTGACGGTCGCGGGGAGCCATTGCTGGTTGATATAGCGCAGGTCGTCGACGTCGTCCTCGTCGCGTTCGTCGTGGATCTGCGGAGCGTAGTGTTGCTGGTCGCCCTGGTGGAACGGGCCGGCCGGTTGCTGGTGTGGTGGAGGCTGGTTGACGTAGTTGCCCCACAGTTCGTCGTCGACGATCATGTCGTTCGCGTCTTGTTGCTGCAGCCCGGGGCCGTTCCGGTGATTCGTGACGTAGGTGAGGACGGATGCTCTAGAGTCCGGTCTCTGCGCCGCCTGGCTACCTTGGGCGCCCAGATTGTTGATGCTCTGTCCGCGCGGTGGCGTGAAGGGGGGGAGGGGGATGGGAGGACCGTCCACCCGAGTGGGCTGCTGGATGTATCGTGAGTATGGGACTGGTTGATTTCTCATTGCTCGGCTTACCGGGGCATGTAAGCTTCGCGCAGATCCCGTGTGGGGTGGTCGGTCTCGCGCGTGGCTGTTAGGAGCCGTTGCCGCCTGCCCTGTCCTTACATCGTTCGTCGGGGGGACGTGGCGGTACCGAGGATCGTCCATCCTTGTACGGTTTGTATCTTGGGCGGGTCTCCTCGTCTGCTGGGTGGCCTGATGTGGCTGGTGGGAGTGGGACGGGACGTCGCGTTCGTTCTGCGGAGCGGTGCTATCGAGGCCTGATAGGTCGGCGCTACGGATGAGATGTTCGATCCCGGGGTTACCGAGCGCGGATGAGGATGGCTGGGGTGGTTGGGTTCTCAGGTACTCGGCTGGGAGGGCTTGCGCCGGCGTGCTGGTGTTCCAGAAGATGTCCTCCTGGGCGGAGGGAGGGACCCAGAAGTCGCGCGTCTGGTTCCACTCAGGAGGGGGAGCGAGGAAGGGGCGCGGGCGGTTGGCCGGATTTATCTCTCGAGGGTTCAGACCGTTGTACAGGTCCATGTCCGCGATCGTTGGTTCGCGGTCCGAGTTGTAGCCTGGGGTTAGGCTTAGGTCTTCCTCCTCGGGCTGCGGCGGCTCGGCGGGCTGGGTGAGCGGAGGGGCAGGTGACGGGTTCTGGACTCTCAGGGTAGGCTGCGGGCGGGATGCTCCGCCTTCGTCGTCCGTCTCTCCCTCGACTCGGCGGCGCTTTCGCGGGTCGGTGGCGACGCGCTGGGTCTTTGCTTCGTCTCGGAGGTGTCCTCTGGCCGTCGAGGAGGGTCGGGGGGGAGGGCCGAGTCCGACGAGGGTGATGGTCGTCCTCGACGCCTTCTTCCTCTTTTTTTCCTGTTGCTTGTTCTTCGGCTGCGACGTGGCTGCTCTCGCCTGTTCCGTCTCCGGTCCCTCCGGCGGGGTGGGGGCCATTGGGGTGACGGTCGTTGCCTCCTCTCCCGGGGCCGTTGACTGGTCCCCTCTGGACTCGAGTCCTTGTGGGTGGAGGTTAGCTTTTGTGTGTGTGTGGGTACCCGAGTGTTCTCGAGTTTATGGTTATGGGCTTACCCGCAAGGATGTCCTTCATGCGAGTCGAGGTCTCGTTCGACGTAACCTGCGCGTAGGACGGGGAGCCTGGTCGCCCTGGGGAGGGCTTTCCGTTGTTCCAGGGGTTTCCTTCCGGTGTGGCCTTGTCTCCTTGGTCGCCCATGACTGTCGCCTTAGGCGGGGAGGGAGGACCCGAGGGGTTATGGGAAGGGGTAGGAGTAGCCGCTTGGGCAGGGAGCGAGACGTGGCGGGGGCTGTTGGCGTACATGGGGCTTTGTCGCTGGGGGCGAGTAGGCAGTGGGGTGCTCACGAGGGTATTTCGTGGGCAAGGGGAGAGGCGCTTTCGGAGCCCCGTTTTAAAGGTAAGACTGACTTCGAGCGGGCGTTGCTCGCTCCGTTTTGGGTGAGGTATGGTTGGGGCGTGTTCGTTGGGTATGGCTTGTGTCTGTTCTCGCCTCCTGCCTTGCTGCCTTCCTTCGACTTGTGTCGGCCTCGTATGGAGGGACTTCCTAGAAAGGCGGGGGCTCACCGCGTCTGGGGGCGTGGGCGCTCACAATATCTCCGTTCCTTATGGGTGCATCGGGAGTTAGGTCTCGTTTCTCGTTCCTCCCTGGGGTGCTATTGGGCCCTCGTTCGCCTGTGCGGGGATGCCGAGCTTGCTGCTTCGGCATCCTCGCTGCGGCGCTGCCTTCCGCGCTGAGTCAGCTGTCGTCCGTTCCGTTCTCATTGGCGGGGAGTGGCTTGGTTTTCCTCCGCTGTCGTCGGGTGGCGGTTCGTTGGATGTTGTGTCGACTGTGATCTGTCGTGTGCGTTTCCTCGGATCCGGTAGGTGTCTGCGTTGTGGCGTTCGTGATCTGCGCGATCCGATCCTCTAGGGAGTCTATCTCGTTGTCGGTGATCTCGAATTCGTAGGGGTTTTCTTCTTCGTTGTTGAAGGCAGGTATGTGATGAAACGACGTGTGGGGTGGAGGACTGTTGTTTAGGTCGAAGTAGTTTCGCTGGTGGGTAAAGCTTTCGAGATCGTCTAGGCTTGACCAGGGGATGGGAACTCGTAGGTTACATGGCAGATCGGCGCCTGTGACTGTGAACGTGACCCAGTGGCGTCGGAGGTCGGAGATTGCCGATAGCTTACCGATGCCGGACGTCTCGGACGCGGTGGATAGGGAGATGAGGCTCCCTTTCTTCAGTTGGCTCGCTGGGCGTTCGTCTGCTACCCAGGTAAGTCCTCTTCCGCCTCCAAAAATCGGCTTAGGTGCTATTTTAACTTGGGTAATGGTGCTTGCAGGGAGGTTATCCAGTTCTGAGAATTTAGGGAGGGGAATGTAGGGGTGGTGTTCCTTTCGTGAGGTGCGTTTGGTGGTCCTTCCTTGTTGGGCGTCCTTGTTAATTTCTGCAGTGCGGGTCGCCTTTCTTGCCTTCATGGTGGGATGTACGGGGGAGCGGGCGTCGGCGTTTCACGGTTAGTTCTCCCTGGGCTGTTGTTATATAGTTCATTTCTGACGGGGCGCTTTACAGTGGGACTTCTAAGTGCAACGTTCATTTTAAACGCTCATTTAAACGCTCATTTCACACTATTCGCTTAATTTTTGGTTTGGCTGCCAGCAGCCTTCCTTCCTGTGGCAGCAGGAGGAGAGTTTGGGTATAACGCTGAGCGTAGTGGCCGTAAACGGCGAGGAGCATTCATGTTTAGGCGCTACTGTTCCCATGGGTCGTGGGATCCGTCACCTGATAAACTTGGTCGTTCCATTTGGTGGCTTGAACCTTAAGTTTTAGCGCTCTGGCCGATAGCCCAATGGGTCGGTGGGCTCGGGGGGAGGTAACTGGCGTGTTCCTCGTAACAGTAGGTATCGGAGGGACACTCTGCGGTATTCTTCGTTATACGTAGTGTTTTTTAGAATATTACACCGTGAGGTGTTTGAGTTGCCTCATGCCCTTGAGGGAGTTTAGAGGGGGAGATGTTCTGATCTCGCGGGCCTCCGGGCGATGGCTGTGAGGCCTGTCGACCGTTTTGTGCAGTTGGTTTCGCCTCTCTCGAGGTTACTTGTCCCCCGGACCACGTAGAGGTCTGCACAGGACTCGACGACGTCGAGCCCTCCCGGGGGGAGGATGGGAAGCCGAGAACAGTGGGGAACACGGTATGGCCTCGTTCGTGAGCACCTCCACCCTGTCAACGAGCCAAGTAGAACACCAACTTTACCGAGCAAATGCGAGAGGATAAGCACCAATGTCGGGCGTACCATAACCTGCACGCACGATGGAACAGCTTGGCAAACGCGCACATCTTGCTTGTCGTCGCCTAGAAAACAAGCGTTTCGGAGACAGAGTGGAGCCGCCTCGAGAATCGTACCTGTTCGGCGGCAGGAACAGTGTGACGTACGAGGCGAAAAGCTGGCAGTAGCAAGGCAGTACACACCCGGCGGAAGGTTCCTGTCCGCACGAGGCACTCACCACAACCGCCTGGCCACCGGGCGTATCTCGACAGGCGGGCGTATCGCAGACATCGCCAGACAGTGCGAAAACAAAGGACAGGTTCCGTTCGGATAACGATCGACTGCGAAGGACAGAAATAAACTAGCGAAATGTGTATGTGCAAGCAGGCGCGACACGTATAGTTGTGCAACATGGGAGTGTTAGATATCATCAAGTGTGGTCCGTCGAGAGGGGAAGTCCGTGTGACTAGTCCGAGGCACGCGTGCGCGCGCCAGTATAGTCAAGATTATGTCGTGCCAGACGAGATACCGCAGAGGTTCCTTCTGTACGTCGGGGGCTAGGTAGGTGTGGGTGGGGATAGTGGGGGTCATCAAATCGAGCAGGGCACTGTGAGGCTGATAACAGTCCGTCCGCATCGTCCAGGCCCGATAGTGGCCTGATGCATTTTGCGACAGCGTACAACAGGTACCGGCGCAAGCCGTGAGTAAGAAACGTCAGACGGAGACCACGCAGCATGCGAGTGGTCCCGGGCATGTATCGTAACGGTAACGGGGAAGGGGACACGCACGGCGGCGTTTAGAGGAAGACGGCCATGAAGCCGCCCACAACGCCAAGGAGCACGGTCGCGAGCAGGGCACTCGCGGGTGCGTCCGAGGCGATCAGACGCACGGCGCCGCCGCTGCTTGCGCTTTTCGAGCCCGAGCTGGCCGCGCCCGAGACCAATGGATGAGTTGATACACCAGCAAGCGTGGTCGTCGCGGTGGGAATCCCGGTGCTGCTCGCGAACGCATCAGCGCTAACGCAGCTGCTCGTCGCGCTGGCAAACTGGGCGGTGCCGCTGACGCTAGCGCTCGAGGCCAGCGTCGCGAACGACCACTGGCAAGCGTCCGACGCGCGACCCTGCGAGTTGTAGTAGATCTCCATCGCGATGTTGAGCTGCTGGAGAGGGTTGCACATCGACAATTCGCCGTAGGAGCCAGTCGTACCGTTGCCGGAAATGGCAGAGCAGGCGGACGTCGACGTACCACAGATCGTGCCGATGGCCGTGCCAATCTGGCTCGCGTCATTAAGCGAATACGTCGAAATGCATGTAAGCTGGCTGGCGATACAGTCGCAGAGACCGCTGTTCGGGGTGGGGGGCAGAGCGGTGGCGACGGGCCAGCTGGAGTTGCTCGAAGGGCACGAATCCGGGAGCGAGATCGAAGGCGTATATGAGGCTGACGCGAGCGACGAGCCAGTCGCTGTCGTGTACTGCGACTTCAGGTTGTTGAAATCTGTGAGCGTGGACACAGACGAGCCGTCCGAGGAAATGTTGACGAGACCATAGGCGTTGGACTGCTCAATATACTCGTAGATGATGCCACCAGACCAGACGTTGGACATGTCTGAGCTGTAGAGAACGGGGACGTCTTGGAAGGGACGAGGCTCGACGGAGTTGCAGCCATACTCGGAGAAGAACGCGGGAATGCCGAGGTCTGCCAATTCCTGCGTACGCGCCTGGTAGCCTGACGTCTGGAAGTCGCTGGTACCGCACCACTCATAGATGTTGAGGCCCCAGTAGTCGAAGATCGCCGAGCTGTCCTCCCCGCACGCGAGGTAGTACGGGAGTGTGATGCGGGAGTTGGGCGAGTCCGTGGCAGTATATCCGACGAGCTGGCTGTAATTGTGGGCGGACATAAACGCCTTGACATCACGTACTGCGGCCTTGATGTAGGGAGCAGCCTGGTCATCCGGAAGGGAGCTAATCTGTCGAGATGTCAGCCGTGAGACACGCCTGCTGTGCATGACAAAGTGCGACGTACAACTTCGTTACCAATGTTGAACCCAAACACGTTCGTGTAGTCTCCAAAGACCTCAATCGTGTTGATGTACTGCGTGAGCAGCTCGAGGTTCCACGCAGGCGAACTGCCCGAGATGGCCTCCACCTGCGTCGCGAGATCAACGAGGACGTAGATGCCGGCCTCCTCGAGCGCGTTCATGCAGCTGCTGTGGTCGAGGCTGGAGTTGACCTGGTACACACGAAGGATGTTCACGTCGAGCTGCTTGAAGTACGGGATGTCGCGAGCGCAGCCGGCGCCGTTAGCGAGGGGGTCGACCTGGCTGACCTCGCCGGCGGGAGTTGTCTGGCCGGATCCATAGTTCGCTGTCCGCAACACCGACGTCAGTTCCGAGGAGGATCGGCTGGACCTGGGGAAGGCTCTCACCCGCATATGCGAGACCCTTGAGGTAGAAGCGGTCGCCGGTGGAGGAGTCGAAGAGGTAGGCGCCCTTGCGGACGATGGGGGCGAGGGAGGCGGCGAAGGGGAGGGAGGCCGCTGCGAGGAGGGCGGCGCTGAACAACTTCATGGCCGCAGGGAAGGGTTAGGCAATGGAGGCGAAAGGAAGGACGCGAAATCAAACACAAGCGCCGTATAAGTATCGCCCCCGCAGCCTATAAATACCCTTACTATTACCCTCTAATGGCATTACGTAATCTCTCTTCTTTACCAGGCCGGCGTTCGTCACCGACTGACGCCAGCCGCAGACGGCCCTTGACCGCCGTATGGTCCTCAGCCATCACTTATCCATGTTTCGACGCACGACACACGACAACGTTGCAATTCTACAGCGTGGCTTTCGACCCTTCCGTCCATCCCGCGGGCGGAAGTCACCGCCCATACATAACCGCGTCGTTTGCTGCCCTCCTACCGCCCACCTATTATTCTTGTACCTCCACATAGTTCGCTGCCGAGCGCGAGGCCAGTAAGCTTTCTGGTAGCACGCGGCACAGTCTCGACTCACCAGGGAAGAGGCCCACATTGCCGTGCTGGTCCTGCCCCTGCCACCAGTCCTCCGAGGCGGCCTCGATCTCCACGATTCTGTCGCCCTCTCTGAACGAGAGCTCGTTGTCCTCGGCAGCGTCGTAGCTGCACATGCCGTCAATCAGCACACCACGTCAATCTGCTGATGGGAGAAGTTCACGCACTCGTACAGCGCTACCGCAGTAACTCCCTGCGGCTCCGGCTCTGGCTCTGGCTCCGGCTCGGCCGCAGCAACAGCCGCAGCAGGTGGCTATGGGCATATGTAAACCTTCTACCATAACATGTCCTATTCTGACTGCGAGCTACTCACCGGCGGGGGAGGCGGTGGTGGTGGCGGAGGCGGCGGCGACGGGGGTGGAGCCTCAGCAGCCTCCGCCTCTTGCGCCTCAATCAATTCCACGTAGTTCGCTACGAAGCGTCGTCATCACAGTCAGTCTTCTTCCATTCAATCATGCCGGCCAAGGGGAAATGAGGATGCGAAGCTTCAGGGAAGCACCAGGAAGGAAGCAAATGAAACGAGATCTGATCCTCCGATCACGGAGCACCCGTCGTGGATGGACACACTCACCGGGGAAGAGCCCTCGTTTGGCGCCGCCGCCACCGACGCCTGCCCACCAGCCCTCGTCGAGCTGCTCAATCTCGTCGATGAGCTCGCCCTCGACGAGGTTCATCTCGTTGTCCTCCTGCGCCTCGTAGTCGAACTGCACGATCGCGCAGAGCCCGCGTCCCTGCGCGTGCGCTGGTGCTGTGGGCGCAGGAGCATGCACCGGCTCTGGCTCTGGCTCGGGCGCAGCCTGTACGACGGGCGGCGGAGGGGGAGGCGGGGGCTAGAAATCGAGCTCAGCTTACAGGAGACATATCAGAAGGATCTATTCACGTACGGGTGGGGGAGGTGCGGCTTCTTCTGCGGCTGGTTCCTCGTATTCGGGTTCTGGTGCTGGGGGAGGTGGTGGAGGAGGCGGAGGTGACGGCGCGGCGGCCGCAAATGCAGGGACTGATGGACGTGTCGCAGCTGGAGGAGGGGGCGGAGGAGCAGGCGCCTTTATAACAGAGTCAACATTTGCCTTCTCCGAATCGGCACACACGAGCTCACCTCCCAATCGTCCTCCTCAGGTTCAGGAGAAGCGGGGGCAGCTGCAACAGGTGGCTTCCACGCAGGCGCAGCAACAGGCTGAGGCTGGTACGATGCCGCGCGACTTCTTGCCTCCTCCTCCTCGGTTTCCTTCTTCGCAAGGGCCTGGCGCTCGCTCCAGGTCAGCTTCTTGCCACCGGTAGACTGTGACTTCGGCTGTGAGGCATCCGCCTGCGCCTTGGCCTGCATTGCCTCGAAGGGATTGACGAGCCTCCTGGGTTGCAGCTTAATCGGTGTGTATGCCGTCCCCACGGGTCCGATCTTGTCATCGTCTTGGGGCTTAGATGCAGCGGCAGCTGGGGCTGGGGCCGGAGCGGACGGAACAGCTCTTGGCGCAGCCTACTCATTGTAAGTTAAAGGTGTTAATGCATCATAGACAATCTCAGTGCGTACAGGAACAGTATGTGCCGCCGCGCTTCCCCATACAGGCGGGCGACTAGCAGACGGAGGCGCAGGAGGAGGAGCGGGGGCGCTCTCCTCTGGCCATGCATCGGCAGGAGCCCTGTTTGCCACAGGAGCCTTGCCCATGCCCGGCGCGGGACTTGGTGCCATGGGCACTTGTCTTGGTGCACTGGGTACGCTGGGCTTCGGCGCACTCGGCGCAGCGGATGCTCTCATCGCTGCGATGTCCGGTCTGCCTACGGGGGTATAGCTGGTACCGACAGGAGCGATGGGTTCGTACTTGCGCGGCGCCTCCTTCTGGACGGAGTACTTTGCGCCAGAAGATGCTTCGACGCGGGACATGATCAGGGACGGGGTGACATCAGACTTCGTGGCAACGTCAGCGGGGGAAATGGACGCGAGCGTAAACTAGAATACCTCGTTGCGCGCGTTGATTACGACGTGGGCACCGCGAACGAAGTTCGCGACAGCACTGGAGTGGGTGTGGAAGAGACCCTTCCTGGCTACTGGCACACCGTCACCACACCAGTTGATCTGCACGAGCTTCGGTAGGTTGCTCTATGTCTGGGCGTTCAGTACCGGAAGATATGACTATGTGGTCAAGGACATACATTCGGATCGTTGACGCGCGCGAACGCGTACTGCATCCTAGTAGATACATGGTCAGTTACATGTCATCGCACACATTAGGCCTCGGACGATCACGCACCTGCCGTCGGAGAACTCCTCCTGGAGCTCCTCGAGACCGCCATCTCCGGTCGCCTGGACCTTGAGATCGTTGGTGCCCTTGTCGTAGGTGAAGATGGCCCAGTCGATGCCGTTCGCGTTCACGACGTCCTGGTACGCCTGTGCCAAGTCCTTGCTTGACAGGTTGATTTGGTGAGCCATACGGTGTCGGCCTCTCCTATTGTAGCTAGCCCAGTGGTATTCAAGATGAGAGCAGGGTGGTCGTCGAGGCGCGGTTGTTGTGCACTGCGGGCGGCGATGACGGGGACGCGGGCACCGTCGATGAGTCTTCCCACGCTCATCTCGGGGACCTCACCGGGCGCTATTAGTACCACCGACAACCAGCTCCCAGTCCGCCGCACACTCATGTCCATCGCTTCGTCCACTTGCCTGTCTGCTCAGGCATCTGCGTAGACAGCCCTCCTATTCTCATCTGTGAACATAATCCGTGGGACCTCGGTGTGTGGTACCATAAGACTCGGATGGAATGGACACAGACATCGCCGATGAACAAGGTCGCCTTCGTCGCCGCCGGATTCTGCGTTCTATGCTTACAGGGCGTTTTCAGCCGCAATTGACCCCACGCTCAACTTCTTTGCTGGTACCGTAGCCGGTGAGTTGGACCCGATCCGCATCCATAATTAAAATCAAGCTCAACGGCCAATTCTGCAGGCGTAGCTGCGGTCGCCGTTGGGTTCCCGTTTGACACAGGTGACCCATGCATGCGGGGAAACTGCGAGTATGAGTACTGAAACGCCGTAGTGAAGGTGCGCTTTCAAGCGGCGGCCACTAATCGAAGCTACCGCTCGACATTTCATGCCCTCCTTACGATCCTACGTGAAGAGAGATTAAGCGGGCTCTATCGAGGCGTTTTTGCACCTATCGTCAGTGCATGCATCGGCATCGACCTACGGTCATCACTGACGGTCCGCAGATTGGGGCCGCCCCTCTCAACGGGTTGATTTTCTCTTCGTACGGCCTACTCACGAAGTTTCAGCTCGAGAACGAGCGATCTGTCCCAACGCTCACTCAACTCGCTCTCGCCGGTGCGGGTACGGGTGTCATATGCTCGTATGTCTGCTACTTCCAAACATCGGCGTGGCCGCCATCTTTGCTAACAGACTCGACAATCCTGTCTCTTCTCTCCAAGGCTCATCACTTCGCCCGCAGAGTTGATCAAAACTCAGCAACAACTGATCCAAGCAGCAGCATCGAAGCGTGCTACGTCTGCGGACTCTGGGTCCCTCAGTGCATATGCCGTCACACGACGGATATTCAAGCAGCACGGCATCCAAGGGCTCTACAGAGGGACCACCTCCACAGCGCTACGCGACATCGGTTACGGCACCTACTTCTGGGCATACGAAGCAACCGTCCGCTACTGGCCCCGCACATCCTCCGAACGCGCTTCCAACACGACTCCCTGGCTCGCTACGCTGACAGCAGGCGGGCTCGCAGGCATCGCAGGCTGGATCGCCACCTTCCCATTCGACGTCGTGAAGACGCGCGTGCAGAGCACGTTCAGCCGGGAGCCCGCGAATCCCTACCGGAATACATGGTCCACCATCGTCGCGTCCTACCGCGCGGAGGGCCTGCCGGTGTTCTTCCGTGGGCTCGCGCCGACGCTGATCAGGTCAGTGCGATGAGCTATTTCTGGGCTATAATTGACGCACCCTCGAACGGTGGGTTGGTGTAGGGCTATTCCTGTCAACATGGTCACCTTCACGACGTTTGAGACCATTGTACATGCGTTCTCGTGAGAGGGTTTAGCCGGCGGTTTCGCAGACGCTACGGACAGGGCAGGAGTCCGAGCGGATGCTGTCCGAACGCGGGCCCTCTGCAATGGTACCGAACAGCCGAACAGCAAGTCAAGCTATGTCTCAACTTCTGTCTATCGAGTATCATCGCGTTAGTCGGATGCCAGGAGCCCGACAGCCGACAGGCATATGGCGTTTGTTTGCATCGCATTTGTGAAGTATGCGCATCAATCCTACGACAACCAGCGGCCATATCACAGTCACCCTCATATTTGGCGTGGTGCGACATCCAGCTCTCCGACACTCGATACAGAGTGTTAGACATTGGGCGTACGATTCACACGAGGTGCGTCCTATATCGTCGAACAGTGGCCATGGTATATCGCATGCGTTCAGTCTTGACCTTGATGTCTGCCATTGTCGCGATCTCTGTCAGTGTTGTATTGTCCTCTTATGCCCCAACACTGTCGGACTCCCTGAAAGACACTAACCCTGAGTAGATGGCTAAACCACCTGCCGTCGATGATGTGAGGGCTGGCATTCGTGGTCGTCGAGGGTAAGTATTCTTGATCCTGCACCGCAATATGTCAGCCTCGATGAGCACGGAGCTTCCTGCCGGACAAGGCCCCTTATCCCACCGATCATCCGGAGGCCCGCAACATCACGGACAGATTGACAAACAACTCTCTTGCGTCGTTCTGTGCGCGGGCCGCTCCGGTGTCTAACATCGCCTCGTCACGCACGCTTCTGAGACCAGTGAATGATGGTACGTCAGTCTTCAACCTCTTCGCAGCATTGTGGCGTCCCTTCTGAAGCTAGTCTGCGTTAGGCGACGACTCGATGAGGCGAGCGTGCAGTAGCGCACATAGGCTGGCGGCCGTGTCACCCAGTCCGTGTGTTGATAAGGCAGACTTCGCCGCAGCTTCGATGTTGTTGAAAGAAGTCGCCACGCACTGGTAGACGCATCGCATCTTGCCGGTTCACCGCGAAGCTCAGCCAGACCCTCGGCCGCCTTGAGGCACGCAAGTACGCAGGACACTGTGCTGCGGCCAACTCTCAATGGTGTCTCGTACAGACTACTCGTCTCACGTACTGTGCGTGCATTTCTGGGGATTGTCAACGATATTCAGCAACCAAAGGGCCAGACCAAGCGCGTTCATAGAGATCGCGGCTGGCGCCCCTCGCGGGAACCGGCATTCACGCGGTGGGACTGTAACAGGTCAGAGTGGCAGTTCCTACCGCCTTCCATGCACTCGATCTTCGCACACACAACCTTCTCATCTGCCAAAGGACTGCATTATGGGTCGCTTGCTGCTGAGCGCTCAAGCGCTCATGGGCGGAGTATCACTCCATACCCTCGAGAGTCTTTTAAGCACGCTCCGTCTAGACCCGTTGCTGCCGAGCCCTTCACGCGCATCCGTTTGTCCTCTGGTTGCCTTCGACGATGAGTGCTACTAGTACTGAGCGTAGCGACCTTGCGATCTTGTGAGTCTCGGCCGGCTTTCGCGATCTCCTACTAATCGATCGTGTACTTTTAGGGCCGGTCCTAAGGTAAGAACCTGAGGCCCTCCATCTACGAGGAACGTTCATACTCAACTTCGTTCTAGCTACTCGGATACTTCTTCAACTGGGCCCTTCTTGGCGTTCTGACCATCCAAAGCTGTACGCCCTCAAGCAGTTTCATTCGAGGATGCGGCTCTTGATGCTTCTCGCTAGATCTTTATCATATCAATTTTCCGCGCGATCCGCTCCTTCTACAATGTCTAGGTGGGTTCATGAGGGCACATATATTCTCTGCGCGTTTATTCGCATTATGACCATCCACCAGTCTATGGCATGCTCGTCTTCGAGTGGGTGCAAACAGGGCTTGTCACCGGTGTCGCCTTCCAGATATTCGTTTACAACTATGGAGACCTGGCAAGCCTCACGAAGATCTACTATGCGTGGTTCTTCGTCGATGTGATGTGCGCGATCGTCTCCATGGCCGTGCAGCTGTTCTTTGCATGGCGGATCTACGTGCTCGCGAAGTCAAAGGTCGTTGCGGGTGTTATCTCGTTGGTGAGTCTTGCGTTTTCCCAAGCTCTCAATACCTCCAAGTTGAATTCTCAATTTCGTACTGCACAGATCTCGCTTTTGCAAGGTTGTTCGGGCATCGCATTGGGCGCGCTGGTATGACTTTCCTGTCAGGCATATGGCACCTTCTCAGAGTCACACATAGCTCAAAGACACGCCCTCAACTGCAGACGTCACTGCATCTCACCGGGTAACCATCGTGCTTAATGTGAGGCGATTTCAACTTCACAATCTCCTCACTGCGCAAGGGCTGATGAACGTTAGATATGGATCATTGGCAGTGCGGTCGTTGACGTATTGATTGCTGTCACAATGACGATCCTGGTCCGTACTAGTGTAGCCTCTACCGAGCTACTTAAAGGCTGATCTACTGCTCAATTGCCACGCGCATAGATGCTGAAGCTCCGGCGTGGGACCACAGTGGTGCACACGGAAAGGATGATCAACAAGATCATACGCCTGGTCGTGGAGACGGGTTCGCTTACTGGTGTGTCTCTCCTCCGGTAGTATGAACGGTAAGGCAGGCGCATTGAAGCGTGGATCACAGCGAGTGTCGCAATCGTCACTTTGGTACTCTGTACCAGATTGCCAGTGAGTGTGGCCCCTGAGTATCGGAGAAGGCCGGTGTGAGCTTATGTACATCAACCGCAGGGTACACAGTACTACGAAACAACGTGAGTCGACTCCACCTGTATACCGCGGCGAATTATCCTCACCGCTGATTACAGCTTATACGTTCTGACCAAGTTGTGAGTCCCGTCAGTTCCACACTGAAGCTCGCATTTTCGAGCCCATCCACCGTCATACTCACAGGTACGCGAACACGTTCCTCGCCAACCTCGTCAGCCGCGCGTTTCTCGAAGCGTTCGGTCAGGGCGCCAGCGAAAGCGTCTCCGACAGGACGGTCAGCTTTGCCATCCCGATCACTACCGTGTCCGAGAGCTCGGGGACGAGGCTGGAGATGCGTGAGGTTAATAACAGTAACGACCACTTGCCGGACGCGGTGAACTACCAAGAAGCGAAGGTACTTCCAACCGCTTTGGTAAGCCTATCTTGCCATCCAGTCATTCGGTCCGATGTTGAGCTTGCAGTAGGCCACAGTATAACGGCACCGTCGAGACGCAATTTCCGTCACTCATATTTCTTTCCTTGTATACACTGCACCGTAACATTATCTAATTAACAGGATCGAGAGGCTGACGGGCGGCCCTAGCCGATGCAGACCCATGTACAATGCGACGTGTACTCTGATGCATCATCTAGCACAGCTGCACAGTCTCGATCGGTTAGTCCGCCGAATACCTAGAATGACACTAGCCTCACCTCGACTTTGAGAGCGCGTTCGCTGGTCCTGTCGTTGATGTCCTTCGCTTTCTTCAAGCTCCTTGGCAACTTATTGTGGCTGCCTGGATACGCGGCCTTTCGTTTCATGATCATTCCCTCTCCGTTTCACACCAGCTCACCACCTATCATCGACATCCCTCTCGCCGTTCGATGAGGTCATACTATTCCCTCGCCGACCTACCCATGATGTTCTTCATCTCTCTAGCATTTACCGCGCCTGTCGATCGGCGCGTGAGCTCGACCCTGAGCGCAGTACTGTGCGCCCCAGCGCAAGGAGGTCAAACGTTGCGAGTCTTCACGCGTACAAGAGGTTTCGTCATTGGCTTACTGCAGCGTGGCTGCTTCTTGTGAGTTTCCACCTCACAAGTGCATTGTTTTTGTCTCATACATGAACGAAACATAGTGCATCGAGAGTGATGATGATTTACTCAGCACAATGCCTCCGACTTAGGCGGTGAGACAGACGACAGTGTTTCTAACCTTGACTGGACCTGTTCTATCTATACGTGGAACACATGTTCGTTTACGATCTACATCACACTTCGAGATCCAGTAACTCTCCGTCGGATAGACATACCGGCCGAAACTAATCAACTGTCCCAGGCGGCGATGTATAAGAAGCCATGTCCGACCGCGAATGGAGTCTGCATCGGCTGGTCCGGGTCTCAGTCTTCCTCTTCCTCTTCAAGCCCCAATTCGTGGCTGCCAGGATACGCGGTCTTTTTTATTCCCACCCACCCCTTTCACGCCAGTTCACAACCCATCATTGCCTCGGTCGCCGCGCGATGAGACTCCGCTGCTCCCTCACCAACATCCTCGTGATGCTTCTCATCTCTGTAACACTTACCGCCCCTGTCGACTGGCGTGCAAGCTCCAGCCTGAGCGGGGCCCTGCATGATCAAGAGCAGGGAGCCCACTTGAACGTCGTGAGTCCCCATGGGTGCACCAGGTTTCGTCATTGGCTAAATAACGCTGTTCTGCCCTGGTTCGATCGGTGGTGCGTCAGGACACAGCTGGCTCTGACTCTGGTGGACAAGCAAAGCCAGGCACGGCCAGGATTGGTGACTTGGAGCGTACGTCGTTCCGCTTCGCTGCTACTATTCAATTGGGCTCATTGGTCTCAAGTCACGGAGCCTCAGAATGGCTTCATACTTTCCTTCTCGCAACATTCTACGGAAGGAATAACCACATCGTTTCTCTCCATGCAATTGCTTGCGCCATACTCAAGAATTGAGCCCGAGTCCAATCGCATCTACCAGTTCGACGTACGCGGACCCAAAAAGTCGCCGATCCTTGGTCAGAGAGGATATGCAGTGAAGGTTACGCAGGACACGGGCCTCACTCAGGAGCAATTGTTAACTGCTATGGTCAGTAAAATGCACATGCTTCTTGAGCGTGCCGTTAGAATGCACATCGTTCATTGTCCAGGAGGCAGGTGGACCTCCGGCCCGTAGGATACAAGGTACAGGGTATAACTTGCTTCAGAGTCCTCCAGAATCTCCGGATTCACCACCGGAGGACTGGATTGTGTGGTTCGAGTCAAAGGAAACACTATCTGTGGAAGAGCTGGTAGCCGACGTCAAGTCAGACCCAAAGAAATGCCAGGAACGAGTCAGCGCTGCCTCATGCATCGGAAGATCTACTACGTACGGGAAAAGACTGGTGTATCGCTGGCGGACCATCGCGTCTGGGATCGCGCACTCAATCCCTCAGCTCCACGCCGGATTCGATTTTCCAGCAAGGAGCTTGACGGAGAGAAAGAGAACCGCAAAGGGGATGGGCTGTATATCATTGATTTTCGCCGTGCAAGTGTTGTGGCGGCGCTGCCTAGTGAAGAGGCACGGAAGGTGGGCATGATCCGATTGTTATTTGAACGTGAGTAGGCATTCTCATTGATCAACAACAGGCAGAACAGAGGACAATCTACTGACTCTCGCGATTCGGGCATTACTTGTACTACATGGACCTTTGTGGTACCAATACCCATGTCCCGGGCATGCAGGGCAATGTTATCATTCGGACTGCGTAGACGAAACAGTCACTAAAGACTCTTCCGGCCTGATTGGCTGTAACTATTCACACCTGTATGCATAATGCTTTGGCTGCCCTTCCCCCATATAGCCCTAGCGAGGAGGGCCCGGGGAACTCGGTCCAGGAGCACGAGTACATAGTCATCGCATTATTGTCGAAGACCTCGAGCTCTCTCACTGCTGACACACAACACCTCCACTACGTCTGCGCAGTAAAGTATCCCAGATGGTTTCGTAGTTACGGGACCGGTATAAGTATGTTGGAACGACTTCAACTGCTGTCCCTCGTCGAATAGTACCAATGGTCGACATAGTACTCTGTCTCTCTATTTTAGCGATGGACGTTTCCCCGCACAAAAGCGGGAGAGATACTATATCGTAGTCGAAGGGCAAGCGGCGGTGCTGCCAGTGCTCTGATTTGGACTGATGCTGGTCTGTTTTGCAGCCGGGGTTTCGCGCTCGGACGTGGTCTCGCGGAGTAAGCCACTCACCGATTTGCCTGTCCCATTGTGAACGAGGTACATACTGGCTCGAAATCGGGGTGCAATTGCCTAGAGTCTAAGGGTGTATCGAGGCACACATTGAATGTCGTACAGCGACTGAGTGAGCAATCTGGCTCGACGGCCGAGTTCAATTGCAACAGGCCACAGTGTGATCTACAGTGCCCTCTCGATCTTCTTCACATCTCAGCCGAATCATGTCACAATTATTCGAGACGTACACGGATATACCATCGATGGATTCCTGGAAGCGGAGGACCTTGGACCTTGATTTCTGACGGAGGTTAACCGCTGTGATTCTATATGTACAGCAAGGGCTCGAGCGACTAACCAGCTGGCGGAAATGTCTACTCATCAGATGTGCAGCTATCATCAACAACTCCCTCCTACAGCCGAGCACATACCACCGACTCTACGTACCGAGTGCACCGCCCAACGCGCACGCATCGCGGCCCGAATCAGAGGCGCTACGTTGAAGTAGCACCGCATACACTCATAGTCACCCGTCTCCCTGCCTCCTCAGCGTGCATACCAATCTCGCACGCTCACTCGCCCCGCCAATAGCTCGTCTTCACAAACGGCATCGGCGTGAGGGTCGCCTTGCGGAGCTTATTCCGGACGTCGACCTCGAGCTCGGTGCCCTTCTTGTGCCAGCCGGACTTGACATAGCCCATCGCGACGTTCTTGCCGAGCGTCGGGGAGGGGATGCCCGAGGTGACGACGCCTGTGATACGTCGGTGTACGACATACGTAAGATGCGAGAGAAGCACGTACCGAGCTGCTCGCCGCCGTTGGGGGCGAAGATCTTCGCGCCCTCTATCAGCGTGGGTCAGCAAGCCGGTCGTAGGCAGCATGGGAGGCGGAAGCTCACGTCTCGCAGGCGCGCCCTCGACGAACATGCCTACGCGCCTCCGGGGCGGGCCTTCCTTCAAGTGCTTCCTGACGCCCTCCGCGCCAATGAACTCGCCGTTCTCGCGCCTGTCCTTGCCTGCACGGCCGGATCCACACCCGTCAGTACGCACGACGCCCATACGCGGCCGGCAGACGCACCGATTACCCAGGTGAGGCCGGCCTCGACGGGGGAGGTGTCCTCGTCGAGGTCGTTCCCGTAGAGACACATGCCCGCCTCGAGGCGCAGACTGTCGCGCGCGCCGAGGCCCGTGAGCTGGACGGGCGCCTTGGAGAGCAGCTGCGCGACCTCGACCGTCTCGGAGGGCGGGATGGAGATCTCGAACCCGTCTTCGCCGGTGTAGCCGCCGCGTGCGACGTGCAGGTTGAAGCCTTCGATCGGGAGGAATGCAGACTTGCCAAAGGTCAAGGCGCGGAGGTCGAAGGACGTTAGAGCCTGCAGGTACTGCGCGGCCTCTGGGCCTGCGCGCGCACGCGTTCAGACACGGCCGCAAGAACGTACACTCGGTTGGCGTACCTTGCAGCGCCAACAGTCCCCAGCCGTCGAGCACCTCGTGCTCGACCTTGCCTGTTTTTGCTCGCTCACTGGCGTTCCACTCCTCCAGCCTTTCCTTGAACCAAGCGAGGTCCCGGTCCCGCCGACCCGCATTCGTGACGACGTAGAACGCGTCCTCCGCGTGCTTGGTCACGACGGTGTCGTCGATGATGCCGCCTTTCTCGTTGAGGATGACGGACAGCGTGGACGAGTAGGGTTCGAGCGCGGAGAGGGAGGAGGGCGTGAGCCATTCGAGGAATGCGGTGGCGGTCGCGCCGCGGAAGCTAGCGGGGGTGAGGGAGGGTCGGAGTGGGATGGGACTGGACGTACATGCTCTGGACCATGTGTCCTACATCAAAGAGGCCTACGGAGCTGCGGACATGGTGATGGCTAGCCACTGCACGGTGTGGTCAATTGACACGCCCCTTGGGAAGCGCGATGGGGACTCACCCGCTCCGATGTTTCCGTAGGAGAGGGGCATGGAATAGCCTGCAAAGGGCACCATCTTGGCGCCATTCTGGACGTGGAAGCCATAGAGTGGTGTGTTCCGTAGCTGCAGTCCGCGAGGAGTAACTGTGGGTAAAGGCGTTGCGGTCCATGGACTCTGGACGCACCTCACCCGACGGAGCAGTCGCAAAGAGTCGCGTGAAGGTGGGCGTGCGCGAGGCAAGTCGGGCAGCGCGCGGACGGAAGGCTGCTCGCGCCGTGCAACGCAGGAGGACTGACATGGTTGTGGGCTGGTCAGTACGGCGAGGCGAAGGACGAGGCTGGGGAGTACTCACGGACACCCGAAGGAAGACAGAGGGCGGGACGATGGAATACATAATTACGGCGTGGCGATTACGTCGCTGGTATCTCCTTTTTGGGACTTGACATGTACGTGTAGCGATCGCCATGCTGTACATCGATACCTCCTCCCCCCGCGACGTCCTCTACTGTACCTCCTTCCACCCTCCCACAGCGCGCTGACACCAACCGCCAAGGACCGCGCCACCGTGCCACCATGTCTCGTTTCGTCAGGGCATCCAAGTATCGGTGCGCCGTGTCCGCATCCGCCCTTTGTCCGCGAACTGAGCGTTCCTCTCCGCAGCCACGTCTTTGGCCAACAGGGTAAGAAGGAATATGGCTTTGACAATGTCAAGGTGACCAACAGCGCCTGGGACACCAACCTCATCGCCGCCTCGTCTGTACGTCCCACCTCCTCCTCCTGGCGCCAGGCAACCGCGCAACAACACTGACCACCCTGACACGTAGCGCTACATCAGTGTCAACTGGAACGCGTCCGGCGGCGGCGCGTTCGCAATCCTCCCCCTCCCCTCCCCATTCGAGCCTCTTCCCTTTGGCTTCCCGACCAAGCTCCCCGACCTCATCCCTCTCGCCCGCTCCCACTCCGCCCCCGTCCTCGATACCGACTGGTCGCCCTTCAACGATGCCATGGTCGCATCCGCGGGCGACGACGGCAAGGTCATGCTCTGGAAGGTCGAGTCTGCCGCGTTCGAGGGCTGGGGCACCGAGCACTGGGAGCCGCAGGACTTCGACCCCGTCCTCCGCATCGACGTCTCGCCCCGCCGCGTCGGCCAGGTTCTCTTCCACCCGACCGCGAACAACGTCCTTGCAAGCACGACCAGCGAACATACCGTCAAGATATGGGACCTCGAGAAGCCCGAGGCCCCGAGAGCCCTGCTCGGTGGGCATGGCGATGCAATCCAGAGCCTGGCGTTCAACCCGAGCGGCAACCTGCTTGTGACGACCTGCAGGGATCGCAAGATCAGACTCTTTGACCCGCGTGTCAGTGGAGATGCGGTCCGCGTTGCGGAGGGACACGGTGGTATCAAGGTGCGTCCAGTTCCGGTATTGATCACTGCGGCTATATCCATCCAGGAGCTTCTGTGGGAGGCTCGGTCAGCTCCGCCTAGCATTGCGAACCAGAGATGCAGCCCTGCGTCATAACCGTCTCTTACCAGGTTGCTTGATGGGTCCAGCAGCTCACGAATGACACAATGATTCCAGGGCGCACGTGTAGTTTGGATGGGCGAGCGCGACAACATCGCCACGACGGGCTTCAGCAAAATGAGTGACCGTCAGATCGCCATCTGGGAGACCGGTGGACTGAGTAACATCAAGATGACGACGATCGACCAGACGTCAGGCACTCTCATGCCGTTCTGGTCAGACAACAACATCCTGTTCCTTGGTGCGTACCGTACGTACCGCTTGACATGGCTTCGCTGACCTGTCCTGCATCCAGCTGGCAAGGGGTAAGTATTGTGCGTCTACACTGAAGTACGACATTCATGCGGCTCGCCAGAGATGGTAACATCCGCTACTACGAGTACGAGTCCGACCAGCTCTACGGCCTCGCGGAGCACAAGTCGTCCGACCCGCAGCGGGGCATGTGCTTCCTCCCGCGGCGGGCGCTGAACGTCTCCGACTGTGAGATCGCGCGTGCCTACAAGCTCTCCGGGTCCTCAATAGAGCCCATCGCGTTCATCGTCCCCAGAAAGGTGCGTCCCCCCTCTGACGCGCACAAACATCCGCCTGACACTCCTTTGCGCGCGTACAGTCCGACTCCTTCCAGTCGGACATCTACCCACCTGCGCCGTCGTCCGAGCCCGCACTCACAGCGGGCGAGTTCTTCAGCGGCAAGACCACCCCGCCGAACCTCGTCAGCCTCGACACGGGCGCGATTACCGCGGGCGCGCCGCCCTCCGCCGTGCCCGTGCCCAGCGCGTCAGTGCCGACGAGGACCGTGAGCGCGCCGACGCCAACGTCCGTGTCCGTGCCGAGCATCTCGGTAGAAACGACGCTTGCGCCCACGAGCGCGGCGGTGCGGAGGCCGGAGCCGAGCCCTGTCGCTACGCCTGTGGAGCCGAGGACGCCGCTGCGGAGCCATTCGGGAGACGTGCGTCGTTCTGCGGTTTCTGGGCACTCGGTACTCATTGGGCGTGTTGCAGGACGCGAGTGCGGTGAAGGAGGAGAACGCGCGGCTGACGGCGGAGCTGCGCGAGGCGCGGGCGCAGATCCGGAATCTGGAGCTGCAGGTGGAGAGCATCAAGGCGAACGCGCGCAAGGCGGCGGCGCTGCTGGACAGCTGAGCGTGCGCGATGCTTGGGGGTTGTCTTTGGGGCTGGGCGGGAGGGTGGATGGGAGGAGGCAAAGTGAGAAATCAGGGGAGTGCGAGGTATGCTTTGGGTTGTATAAGAGGCGCAGGCAATATCTGTTTCTATGCTATATCTCGAATCCGCGGACTGCAAACGTGACGCACAGCTGCCTGGTCTTCTGAGTCACTAGCTGTGCAAGTGGTGATACTGACAGTGATAGGCGATACATATGGGATTGTCGTGCAGGAATTCGGTGAGTCCGCATCTATCTCAGCGTTTACTCGTCTGCTCACCGTTCCTTGAGTTGCATATATACCGACTACGCAGGCCAGGGATTTGGTGATCCCGTGAACCTCGGGATCAGCGTATTGACATAGATCAGCATCGCACCCAGTCCTGTCGGTGGCTTGCGGTCCGATGAGGACAGCTGACTCTATGACGAAGTGTCTTCTTGTACGGCCTGCATGCTATATGGCGAGCTCATCAACCCAGGAGACCTCAGAGAGGTGACGTGATGTGCTACACCCACGCTCAACACCCGCAGAAGGGTTCTACTAAGACTGCTGACCGTGTTCTGGCAGTTCGTGATGGTATTGGAGGTCACGATTGGCCGTCTCGTGGACAGAGCGGCCACTAAGGTGGCTCGAAATGTCTAGGATGCATATGCGCGAGCAGGCGCGGCGCGAGGCTATATGTAAGATGCTCGCATTGCAGGCGATATCTGTGCGGACCAAGATGACCCTTCGTTCGCTCCTGGTCTGTCTTTCTCTCGGAACATATGTTGCGTGCTTGGCTCCTAGCGGCCCCTGGGACGCCTTCAACTTCGCGCCGGCATCACGGACAGTCTATCCTGTCTCAATCCGCGAGACTAGCGGCAATGTCTCTAGCATAGGCGACGGCCTAACCCTCAGCGGAGACGGTTCATACGTCACGCTTGACTTTGCTTTTGAAGTACGTTCTCTGCCCGTATCTCTGCTCTGCACGCTTCAGAGAATGACGATCTGAAGGTTGCAGGGCCCATATCGCTTTACTTCGACGACGTCTCCGAGAGTTCCTCCATTGCCCTCTCCTTCACTGAGTCTCCTCTGTTCATTAGCCCCACCACATCCGACGACTCCGACACCGTTTCCGCGGATATGTCCTATGACGGCGTCCTCAACGTCCCTGCTCCGCTGCCAACTGGCTATTGGACGCAGCCGGCGGCTCAGATGAGGGGCGGGTTCCGCTTCCTCACGATCGTCTCAACCTCGGACGGAGCAGTCTCGTTCTCGAATGTGTCTTGTGGACTGAATTTCATGCCGCATGTGGAGTCACTGAGAGACTATTCGGGATATTTCTATGCTGCGGACCCAAAATACGTTGACCAGAATTTCCTGACAAAGGTAAGCTCATCGGCTCCTGATGAACAAGATGCGTTACTGATGAACTGGATAGATCTGGTACGCGGGCGCATACACAGTGCAGATTGATACCATTCCGTACGATACTGGTAGAGACCCAAACCACCCTTCGCCAGGTATGTTCCTCGCTCGTCTCAAGGGGACCCAGTAGCTCAGGCATGGCCAGGCTGGGCGAACAACTATCCCATAGGCAACACGGGGGCTGTACTGGTAGATGGTGCCAAACGCGACCGGTGAGTGCAGTGTCGCATTGACTGCGAGACGTCTCCTTATCCCTGCACAGGTCCGTCTGGCCAGGTGGGTATCATCACGCTGCGGCAATGCTCGTACTCAGTACTGCAACACAGGTGATCTCGGCATCTCGCTACCCACCCAGTTCGTCTCTACAAACGACCTCGTCACCACGCGCAACGCCCTCGACACGCTCTACGCCATGCAGAGCGCATCGGGCGCGCTGCCTTACTCCGGGCCGCCGATCAGCGCAACAGCTGGTAGCGACACCTATCATGCGTGGACGCTCGTCGGGACGTACACCTATGTCCTTTATTCCGGAGACTTTGCGTGGCTCCAACATGTCTGGAGTAACTATACGAGAGGCGTGGAGTATCTTGCGGAGAAGGTGGATGAAACCGGGCTCTTGTACGTGACGGGGGTTTTGGACTGGGGTAGGATCGGGCAAGGGGGAAATAATGCAGAAGCAAATGCTCTCTACTACAAGGTATGGGCCATATCTAACCCCGTCTCGGTGCTGCTGCCGCTCACGATTTGCTCTTATGCACAAGGTCCTTACGAGCGGCGCCGACCTCGCGTCCTGGCTGAACGACACCGACCTTGCTGATGCCTACGCCACGAATGCATCGGCCCTCAAGCCGATCTTCAACGATGCTCTCTGGCTCGCAGACCGCGGGATGTACCGCGACAACCTCACGACGACGTTCTGCGCACAGGACTCCAACTCGCTCGCCGTCGTGTTCAACCTGACCGAGAACGCGACGCAGGCGGCATCGATCAGCGAGGGATTGACGGCGAATTGGGGGGTTTACGGCGCCACTGCGCCTGAGCTGCCTGACACAATCGCGCCCTTCATCGGCGGGTTCGAGGTTCGTATGATCGTTTATGTGCGTGGGGATCCTGATTGATGGCATGAGGTCGACAGTTGCAAGCGCATTTCATTGCGGGGAGGGGTGCTCGCGCTCTGGATCTCTTGCATCGCGAATGGGGATACATGCTCTACACACCCCTCAGCGTGCAGTCGACCCTGCTCGAAGGCTACACGACGAACGGGTCGCTCTAGTAAGACTTGCGCTTTGTCTGTCTTGGTGCATCTGAATCGTCGGCCACAGCTTCCGCTCCACCGATGGGTATGACTATGATGCATCCTACACAAGCCATGCCCACGGATGGAGTACGGGACCTACGTCTGTCTTGTCGTTCTACGTCCTCGGTCTGCAGATCACGGGGCCGCAGGGCCAGACGTGGGCCGTCGCGCCGCACACTGCGGGCTTGCCGTACGCGGAAGGCGGGTACGAGACGCCGCTAGGGTGGTTCGGCGTGCGGTGGTCGTTGGACGAAGGGTGGTGGAATGCGACAGTGTGTACGCCGGAGGGGACTAGCGGGAGTGTGACGCTGCCGGTGAACGGGACGGTCAGCGTCGACGGGGATGCGGCGGCTCCAGATGATAGCGCTCTGCAGCTGAGCGGGGGGAATCACACTGTGTCTGTACAACTCATAGCATGACCATGGGCGGTATCGGGCACAGAGCCTCCCGCGTGCCATCGGTGCAACGTGAATCGAAGGTCCACCGGACATTCAACTTTGCCCCAGTTCGGCGATGACATGGCCCATGACGCGGACGCGTGAGGTCGCACGTTGATGCCTGTTTCCCATACAGACCTCAAATTGGCAAGTGGATATCCTCTAGAGACGAATGTTTGCCGGTCGGCAACCCGTTCATAATCGCAGTGTATGGTATCTGAGGCTGCACGGATGAGCTGTCGTCGATACGGACGAGCTGTCGTCGATACGGACTCTCGATCAAGTGATGCTCTCGACAAGTCTGCCAGATGAACACGGTGAGAATACCTGGACGGAGTGGAGCTCGAGGAACGTGTTCGCGTTCTCCGGACATGGAGTCGAACGTGCGGACGAAGCGCGTCGAGTTGTTGCTTCGCCTGGTAGATTGATGCTAGAAACACAGTGGGTAGCTTGTCCGAGCAGGCGTTGAGAACTATACGGAGTGCAGCCAAGACGAGTGAACGTGGAGGCGGTGAGTAGCCGCGTGTTGCGGCGGGAGCGGGGAGCGGGGAAGCACGTGCGTGCCGGAGAGCGGGTCCGGAGCAGAGATAGGTCGTCAGTCTCACCGACCCCTCTGTCCGCTTTCGTCGTCGCTCTCCGTCTTCGCTCTGTATCGCTAAATACGCCCGCCTCTAACTTATCTCTCTAACTTACTCCTTCCTCCCCCGCCCTCCGAGTCCCCGCCGCCGTCCCACACGTCGGCTGCAGCTATCTCCGCCTCGTCTTCACCGCGCAGCTCGCTTTCGTGCGACAGCTCGCCGCTACATCCCCTCGGGTGTAGCACTCCGGACCACTCGATCTAGCCAGGAGTCGCCACGACTCCTCTAGGTCGCCGAGTCCGCCCCTCCATCGTATGACCGCGCTCCATGCTCACTTCCACCTACGGAACCAGCAGGCCTTTCAGCGCCTGCTCGATGGCGGCGGGGGCCCCCGACCCCAGCCCCCCGGGCTCAGCAGCAGCGGGGGCAAGTCCTGGAACAGACCGAGTCCCTTGAGCGGAAACGCCTCAGCACCGCCCCTCGATGTCAACGCCCGCGACTGGCTCGGACGCACCGTCCTCCACCTCGCAGCCGCAGCCCAGGACGCCGCAGCCCCCGAGTATGTCCGTATGCTGCTTGCACACCCTGACATACAGATCAACCTCACGGACGCTGAGAGCCACTGGACCGCCCTCCACCGTGCGCTCTACCACGGGAACCTCTCCACAGCTATCATCCTCCTCCAGCGCCCGGACATCGACATCACCCTCCGCGACCTCGAAGGCTACACCGCCTTTGACCTCTACAACTCCACGCTCGAGGGTACCAAGCCCGCGAGCGATGACACCGGCTCGGCGGATTTACTGACATGGGGCGCGAACCGCAACGCCGCGCTGGGCCTGGGCAACGGTGACGACAGAGTGTATCCGGAACAGGTCGTCGTCCGCCCGCCAGAGGGATCTGCAGTGTCGGAGAAGGAGAGCATCGATGCCCGATTTGCGCCTATCCATGTCCAGCAGGTCGTCATGTCGAAGCTTCACACAGGTGCGCGGCGATCGTTTTCTTTCGGGTTCTCCTTATTGACAGCGTCACAGCGGTGGTCACCTCCGAGCCTCGCGCCAACCTGCGCGTGTGCGGCTTTGGCAGCGGTGGTCGTCTGGGGCCCGGCCAACATACGCAGTACAGCCTCATCCCGCTCGCGCAGTTCAACAGCACCGTCGATTCTGTCGCGCTCGGTCAGGACCACACGCTGCTAGTCACCAAGTCAGGCGAAGTCCACAGTTGGGGTCTGAACAGATTCTCGCAGTTGGGATATGTGGTCGAGGTGGCGGATAGTATCCGGGCCCGGGGAGAGGAGCCTATACAAACGACGGCGCGGAAGGTGGTAGGTCCCCTCAAGAACAAGGTTGTGTTGGGTGTCGCTGCATGCAAGACTGCCTCGGCGTGTTGGACAGCTGGCGAGGTATACACTTGGGGCACGAACAATGGCCAACTGGGTGAGTACTACTTCAACGCTCTTCATATGTCCTGACATGACTCCCGTCCCAAGGCTACGACAAGTCCGCTCACCCTGTCCAAGTCCTGCCGCGCGTCGTCACCAAAGTCTCCCAACCCGTAATCTCCGTCTCCATTACCGTATGCGTTCTCCGTCTCCAGTCTCGATAGCTACTAACCCCTCGCAGGACAACGCCATGGCATGCCTGCTCTCCACGCAGGACGTCATCTGCCTCTGGAACGACGGACACTTCAAGGTGAACTTCCCCGCCCAATCGTTCCCCTCCGAGATCGCCGCGTACCGGCCGCCACACTCGATCAGCAACGCGAGCATCGAGAAGATCACGAGCTCGGAGGGCACGTTCGCCGCGCTCTCGAGCAACGGCGAGCTCTTCACGTTCACTGTCCCCGCCGGCGCGGAGTCCGGCGCGGGCGGGAGTAAATCGAGGGCGGCGATCGTCCCGCAGCGTGTCTGGGCCCTCAGGAAGAAGTTCACGGCTGTGAAGGTACGTCAGGCACCGTGATACACGCTGCGCTGTTCTTCTCACCTTGTCTCGTTTCCATCTATGTTTAGGACGTCGCTCTCGGCGCGGACGGCTCGATCATCATCTGCACAGAGTCGGGGCATGTCTTCGTGCGCACGCGCACGGCCAAGCCGGGCCACGGTGCCGCAGGCGGGGCGGCGGTCAAGACGCACAAATTTACGCAGATGCCTTATTTGCAGCGCGTCGTCTGCGTGTGCGCGAACGTTACGGGCGCGTATGGCGCGCTCAGGGTGGACTATGTTCCCCCGCCGGTCAAGGTTGTGGGTCGGCTAGTCGCGCAGGACCTCGCGGAGGTGCAGCCGTGGTTGCGGTTTGATGCGCTTGTGCAAGAGACGGGGAAGGGCGTGGTCTCGCCGACCGAGGTCGTTGGATCTGGTGCGATGGCACTCCTGAATGAGGATATGGAGGAAGAGATCATGGATGACGAACGCGAGGACTTCGTCATCCAGAAGGACATCAGAGACATTCGGACCCTCCTCACCTTGCTTGAGGCCCTCAAGGCAGCATACGCTTCCGAGCCCGCTCGCAGTCCCTTCGAAGGCAAGCGCCTCCCGCATGGCGCCGACATCCTCATCCAGGTGCACTCGTATGAGGTCCCTGCGCACCGCGTCATGCTCGCCGCGCGTTCCCCCGCCCTCGCGCGTCTCCTCTCGGGGGGCGGGGCCATCCAGGACGCGAGCTGGCGGTTGAGCATCAGGCTCCTCCCGCCGAGGTCGCCCGACGCGCACCCGCGCCTCGCCATCTCTGCGTGCCAGCCGCTCTCCGTCCTGCTATTGCTGACCTACGTATACTCCGATGACGTGCCCGCGCTGTGGGACCCCCGCGTCGGCCTCGCGCTCTCGGGTGCCATTCCTGCACTCGGAGTGCGCCTCGCACAGGTGAAGCAGGAGCTCCAGGCTCTCGCACGCGTGCTTGAGCTCCCCGCACTCTCCGCCTCGCTCGAAGCCCCCGTGAAGCGCGTGCCCAAGCCGACGATGGTCGCCGACCTCACACGGCTCTTCACCTCCAGCCAGATACAGCCACAAATGCAAGGCCCACGCGGGGCGCGCGACCCGCTCGCGCCCGACGTCGTGCTCCGGCTGGCAGACAAGGATGTGCGCACGCACGCGCTGGTGCTGCGCGCGCGCTCGCCGTTCTTCGCGGCGTTCTTCGACGAGGAGGAGTGGACGCGGACGCGGTGGACGCCCGAGGGCACTGTCGTGGTCGACCTCCGACATCTGCGCTGGAGGGAGATGGAGCTCGTGTGTCGGTGGATGTGCTGTGGCGGGGATGCGGAGATGTTTGATGTCATAGGTGAGTCCTCCCTTGAGTGTTGCGAGGTTTACGGAGGGACTGATGGAGGGTGCTGTAGAGCATGTCAACTCGGTTGATGACTTACTGGACTTTATGTTCAATGTCATGTCTGCGGCGGTGCGTACAACGGGTTCTCAAGGCAGGTAGACGGGCTGACAGTCGTTTGCTTTAGAACGAGCTTCATCTCGACCGTTTGATGTTCCTCTGCTCCGAAGTCATCCTCAAGCGCGTGAACGTGCTCAACGTATGCGCCGTGCTCTCTGACGCTTCGTTCTACCACGCACTTCCGCTCGTCGCCTCGTTGCACGCCTACATGGCCGCGAACATGGAGACAATCCTCGAGAGCCGTATGCTCGATGACCTTCCCCTCTCCCTGATCAAGCAACTCTCGGTCTTCGTGCGCGAACAGCAAGCCCACAAGTATCCCGTCTCGCGTTCAACTCTGCTGGTAGACCGCGCGATGCAGTTGCACGGCGCATGGCTCGCGCTGCAAGACATCCCGCAGCCAATCGTGTCCACACACAAGATGGGCGCTTTCAGGGACTCCCCGCGGCTCTCGCCACCTGGGCCGGGCAAGCGCAACCGCCGGACGTCCCAGTTCGCGACGTCTCCGCCGAGCAGCCCCGTCGTGCGTCCGGTGCTCGCGCCGCCGCCGTCTGCACAGAGCTTTCCCGCGGATGACGAGGTCTTCATGATGGACGATGCGGGGCCGTCTACGCCGAGTCAGCCGGCTGCTCCTCTGCCCGAGGCTGCTGCAGGGTGGCGTGCTATTTCCTCTGCGCCTAGGTAAGTTTGATTTGAGTCCGAAGCTGTGCGTATTTCTCACTTGTCGTAGGGTTGACATGCGGACTATCATGGCGGAGACGGAGAGCAGCACCTCAGTGAGGCGGACCCCTGTTCCAGGGCCCATCGCACGCAAGCCTAGCTCGGAGATGCCCACTCCCTTCCGTGGAACGCCTCCCAAGGCCGCCAACTTCCCTGTGCTACCCCGCGCCCCGTCGGACTCGCCATGGAGGATGCCGCAGCCCCCGGTCACGCCGACGAGGCCACCGGTAGGCCTGCCTTCGGTACCGACGCCTGGTAGCGGCGGTCGGCCAGAACAGTCGTCCGTATCTCGGCCCACGGCGACCGCACCGGGGACGCAGCCTCCCACACCGACCAAGAAGCCTGCGGCATCAGTGGGTATGGGACCTACCATCACGCCGTCGAAGAAACCAGCACCAGCCAAGCATTCGCCTGGAAGCATCCGCCGCGTGTCGTATGTATTGTCTTGCGTATCCATAGTTCCCCGTTGTACTGACCGGACATGCAGAAGCGGCAGCGTATGGACTCTCCCTCCCGTCCAACCTGTCGTCCAGTCGTCCACTACCACTGGCATGTCCTTCGTGGCCATCCAAGAGCTTCAACGTGAACAGGATCGCGGGCCCGACAAAGACAAGCGATCGCTTCTCCAGATACAAGAGGAGGAGCAAGCCCGACAGGCCGAGGAAGACTTCTTGAGGTGGTGGACCGCCGAGGAGGCGCGGCTCAAGGCTGAGGAGCAAGGTGTTCCTCAAGGTTCTCAACGTCCCCAGAAGTCGAGGAAGCCCAAGCCGTCCAAGCCCAAGGCTCCCAAGGCTGAAGCGGCTAGTGGACCCTCTGCTGCCCCCGCTTTCTCTTCCGCTCCGAAGCAGGACCGCGAGGCTCAAGGACAAGCCAAGAAGCCCCGTAAGACTCGGCCTGCGAAAGGCAGCACTGCTCCCAAGTCGACCGATCAGTAGTGTTCGTTCATGTTTGCTTTTTACCTTAGCATAGTGCTGTTCATTGTCCCGACATTGCATCCCCGTCCTTTGCCTCTATGATACCGTGGACACGCTCTACGATACATGTAACTTATGCATGTGCAGAGACTGTTAGATCTGTTTGAGCAGGGATTGTAGTTGTGATTAGTTGTGTCTGTACGAATACAACATGTCCATGCAGTAGTACTACAAGATTATACAGTACACCATTAGGTTCAAGTCTATTAGTGCTCCAAATCATGCATCGTCAGAGGATGAAGTGTTTTCTTTGGTGAAGTCGATGGGTGTGGACGATCCGATAGTTGCATCCGGCTCGTGATTGTCCTGAATGACCAACGTCGAACCGTCGCTGCTCGCCCGGATGGTCACGACGTCTCCATCCCTGTCATATCATTAGTATCCTAGACTAGCAAGCTCAGGCCATCGGAGGAGCGTACCTGATCGTGCCGTTCAGCATCTTCTGTGCAAGAGGGAAGAGAACCTTCGTCCGGACAACCCGCGCGATTGCTCGTGCACCATAGATCTCCGAATAGCCCTGCTGAGTGAGCCACTCCCGTGCAGCGTCGTCGACGTCGAGAATGATACGGCGGCCCTTGAGGCGTTCCGCGACGTCATTGAGGCGCAGCGAGACAACCTGGAGGATCGACTCCCTGGAAAGCTTGTTGAATACAAGCATCGAGTCGAGTCGGTTGAGCAGCTCCGGTGGGAAGTACTCCGATGTGCGTGCGAGGACTTCGTCACGGGCTCCCTGGGTGACTACGCCATTGTTGTCGGATGCTGACTTGTGCGCGAGGATGTCGCTACCTGCATGAAGTTAGTCTTATGAGAAGCTATAAGAGTAAGAGTCGACTAGGCATACCAAGGTTGCTCGTCAAGCAAATGATGGTGTTCTACGAAAGAGTCAGACAACGCACAAGCAACGGAACTCGGCTTGCTTACCTTGAAGTCAACCTTCCGACCTTGTGAGTCCGTGATACTACCCTCATCGAGGATTTGCAGCAAGATCATCGCCACATCCTTGTGCGCCTTCTCCAGCTCGTCGAGCAAGATGACGGCTTCAGAATCAGATTGATCAGCGTTCCAGTGATGAACTGTAGCAATAGCCGGATAACTCACCATATGGCTTCCGCCGGACAGCTTCAGTAAGCTGACCACCCTCTTCAAAGCCAACATAGCCCGGGGCTGCACCAATCAGTCGCGACATGGTGTGGCGGTCGTGGTACTCCGACATATTAATATTGATCCTGAAGACCATATATTAACGACGTCATCACCAGAGTGGAAGCATTACTTACAGGCCACGCTGTTCGTCGTTGAAGAGGAAGCCGGCAAGTGCCTTGCAAAGCTCGGTCTTTCCGACACCAGTAGGACCGAGGAAGAGGAAGGAAGCCACAGGCCTGTTGGGTGCCTGCAGACCTGCACGCGAGATCCTGACGGCGTCGCTGACAGCTGCGACGACGTGGTCCTGGCCAACGACGCGTTTGCGAAGGGTGTCTTCCATCTACAAACGTCCATCAGTATCCCAGTCAGACTAAAGCAAGCATAGGTTACCCACATGCACGAGCTTGTCTCTTTCGCCCTTGAGCAGGTTCTGCACTGGAATACCTGTACTCTTGGCCACGACCCTCGCAACGTCGTCCGACGTCACCCTGTCGTGCAACATGGGCATCGGGCCCACATTCTCCGCATCGCTTTTCTCCGTCTCCTGAGGCAGCTGTCTCTCCAGCTCCGGAATCGTCGCGAAGCGCAGCTGGGATGCACGTTCATACTGGCCCTGGCGCTGGGCGACCTCGAGCTCGTACTTGGCGTCCTCAAGCCTGCGCTTCAGATCCTTGATGCGCTCGAGGCGTGCGCGCTCCGCCTGCCAGACCTCAGTGAGGCGCGCGGCCTCGGCGCGCTTCTCCTTGAGCGCCTCCTCGACTTTGGTCCGCCGCTCGACGCTGAACACGTCTGACTCGTTCCGGAGCGACTCGCGCTCGATCTCGAGCGTGACGATCTCGCGGTCGAGCGACTCGAGCTCGTCTGGTTTGGACTCTTGCGCGAGCCGCAGGGCGGAGGCGGCTTCGTCGACGAGGTCGATGGCTTTGTCCGGGAGGAAGCGGTCGGAGATGTAGCGTGAGCCATACACAGCCGCTACGACATTTTGAGTCATTTTCCACCACCGCAGCTTCTAGGATAGTGGCAACATACCAGTGACGAGTGCGCCGTCGGAGATACCGACACCATGGTGCACCTCATACTTCGGCTTTAACCCACGCAGAATGGAGATAGTGGCTTCCACTGTCGGCTCTTCGATCTGGACAGGCTGGAAACGCCGCTCCAGAGCAGCATCCTTACCGATGGTCTTGCGGTACTCGTCCGCTGCGAACGCACAGATTATCAGTATCTAGAAGACCAAGCGGAACAACGGTACGCACGAGTTGTTGCGCCGACAAGTTGCAGACCCCTGGCAAGGGCGGGCTTGATCATCTGCCCAGCGTCGATGCTCCCTTCAGCTTTGCCGAGGTTGAACAATGTGTCTGTCGGATGTATGTCAGGTTGCGTGCACAGGTAAATACACGAAGCACCACTTACGGACTTCGTCAATGAAGCAGATAACGTTCCCTGCCTCATCTTCGATATCCTTGATGAGAGCCTTGAACTTCTCCTCGAACTGGCCACGGATCCCAGATCCAGCCATGATGGCGGACAAATCGATAGAGAGCACCCGCTTGTTTTGCAGGGACTGCCACATGGTTGTTGAGCCAATGATCCTTCGAGCGAAACGGAGAGTATAGAACGTACCTCGGGCACCTCCCTGGCCACGATACGGCTAGCAAGGCCTTCGAGAATGGCTGTTTTACCAACACCAGGCGGGCCGATAAGCTGCAATGAACAGAGGCATCAGTTAGTGATTAGAATTTGAAGTAGTACAGCTTATAAGGCACTCACGACTGGGTTCGACTTGGTCCGTCTCGACAAGACTGTATGCGAGATGAAAGGCTTGAGAGTGTGCGGGTACATTATGACTTACTTTGAATTGTTCTCCGAATCTCTGAGGTAGAACAAATCGGACTTGAGCAGTTGACATTGAGCTTTGGAGGAGGCGTACATACCTTCGTCGCGGCCAATAGTTGGGTCGAGCTTGCCTTCTCTTGCCAACTCCGTCAAATCCACGCTCTATAGCATCATAACGTCGTTGAGAAACAAATTTATATGGTATGTAATTGAAGCCTAGTGGCCGTACGCACAGGGTCTGTGCATCACATGCATGGTTGCCTGAGCATTCCGTCGTACGCACTCTCCAGCCTGAGCACGCTCATTCACACTCAAGAAAGCTAAACGAAGCGCACAAAGGATGCCCATGCATGTTCAGCACAGACCCTGTCCGTACGAGCACGGGCCGAGCTACTCACGTATTCCTTCAGCGCCTCGCCCTTCTCGTGCTGAGGACCCATCTTGAACGAGAAGCCTCCGGGCATGCCCCCGCCGCCGGGAGGGCCCTGCGCATAGCCTCGCACTGCAACATGGGGTCGCCCCAGCTGTGCTGCAAAACGTGGTGCTAAACTTCGCGCCGCCTGGGGCGTACGCAAAAGTGGGTGCTGGACGAGGGGCGTAGAGATGAGCGACCGCCTGGGTACTGCTGTCCGTGCAGCAGCGGTCGTACTTGCGACTGAGTTGCGCAACATCGCGAGAGAAGTTGGGAGTGAGAAGAAAGAAAGAAGCAGGAATATATAGAAATTGGGAGGCGTAGAGGAGGTCGCAGGTCGCGTATTTGAGGAAAGTGACAGGGCCGGCGCAACGCGTCCGACTCGGGCTCGTAAGCGCCCCCGCCTTCGAGCGCGTTCTCGCGTCTTCGTCGCGTGACCTCGATCGGTGCGTTCGGGAAAGGCAAGCCCGGGCTGTCCCCGGTGCGGCAACTCGCGGGCCGAGCGCCTCCGGGGACCTCTCCGCGAGACTGCAGTCGCCCGGGGCGAGAGTCGATGTTCCTCCGCTCATGCACCGCGCAGCTCTCGCCCAGTCGCGCAGGGCATCCACGTCTGCTCGTCGCGGCCACTCCTTCCCGTTCCCAACGCATGCCCAGCCCACGCCGCACCAGATCTTCCACCTGTCCGTAGGCGCGAGCCAGCAGGATATCAAGTCGAGATGTCCGTCTTCTGTCTCGGTAATGCGTGATGCCCCCTGCTGACGGTATATTTCTGTGCTAAGGAAGACTACGACCTCGTCCGCGTACACCACCCCGACTCTTCATTCTCCCGCGACCTCTCGCCGGAAGAGCGCCATGCCCGCTTCCAGAGCATAACTCGAGCGTACGATATCTTGAGGGGCGTGTCCAAGGAAAGCGACGATGAGCCTATCCTACGAGAGATTCGTCGGAGGAAGCAGTGGCAAGAGGCCAGGCGAAACGAGCAGATGAGGCGGCGTGCAGCGGAGCTGGGACCTGAGTACGCTGACCCAGAGGTCGAGCATGCACCGCCGGAGCTCAGGTGGCGGGATGTGGTTATCATCTCCTGCGCGGGCCTCGTAAGTCCTTCAGCTTCTTGTACACGTCTAAGAACGGCCTTTATGTGTGGTACAGGCTGTGGCCTTTGCGGTGGCCCCTAGCTTCTTCGGGCCCAGCATCGCGGACCAACGGCATCACGGCGCGGCCGCCAGCCTTGCTCGAGCAAGGCGCGAAGCACAGGAGGTCGGTGACGAACGACGCAAACAGATACGCCGACGTGTTCGGGAGTATCGCGAGCAAGAAGAACGCGAGCGAGGCGAGGACGACGACTCACATAGTTGCAACTGGCAGCGGAAGCGCGGCGCGTAGCACCCAACATTCATATCTGCGGATGGTTGTACTCTTATTGTATATTCTAGTGTACACATATCGATCTCACTTTCCTCCTGGCCTTCACACGGGCACGAATCTGTGGCTCGCTTGACCTCAAGGCTTTCGGGGCAGTTCGAGATGCTCTGGCCCAAAACTATGCGGCAGTAGTTCGTCGATGCTTGTCTCCAACACGCCGCCATCTGCCTTCCCCTCCGCAACGAGCTTGTCGTAGTTCGATGGGACGAGTAGCACCGGCATTGTGAGTGCACAGAATTCACGGAGGACCTGGCGACAGATCCCGCATGGTGAGATCGCAGACGGGACGTCGCTGTTGGACATTGAGTTGCACGCGTCGATTCCGTATTATCAGGATAAGAGATACTCACGTCGTCACCGCCAGTGCAACGAAGGCGCGTGTGCCTTCGCTCTATGTTTCAACTCAGCATATACCCTCGTCATTGATCGAGGTGCTGCTCACCACTGCCTTCACTATCGCCGTCCGCTCAGCACATATCGTGCCACCTGCACCAGAAGCACGGCCCAGGTTATATCTAGCCCATCCCACGAGCTACTCGGAAGATGGGGACGCACCATACGACGCATTCTCGATGTTCGCGCCTTTGATGATCGACCCGTCTGCGGCCAGCAGAGCAGCCCCGACGCGGAAGTTTGAGTACTTGCAATACGCGAACTCCCTCGCTGAAACCCGTTATATTAGCTAGTCTATCTACCTACCTGACAGCGGAACACATCGTCCGCGATGGGCTGAGAATGAGAGGGGCGGGCACGCACCTTCGAACGCAGCCTTGATAAGGCGCTCCCTGTCCGAGACCTCCAGGGTCCACGTCTTGGCGATTGCGGACATGTTGTTACAGACAAGAGGACGCGCTCTGGAGGCCTGTTATATGGGGTCAAGTACGAGGACGTCGCAGGCGCATTTGCCGCATTCAGATTCGAGCTCACCGACCACGATCGGTGGGCGATCGCGGCCCGGGGAGCCGGCGTGCGTGCGTGCCTTCGAAGCCTGATCGGATCTGGTCCAACCAGGGTCCTCCTCAGCGTCCAAGCTCTGTTCGACTCTCCGTTTCACTGCGCTGGACTGTTATCGCCTTCTATGCTCTGAGCATTGCTCTCGAAGGATCGCATCTCGCAACATACACCGGTCAAGTGCTCCCCATGACCTCCACGTCGCGGACCTGGGCCTTCATCAAGACCCTCTAATCCCTTCGATGTATCTATCAAGCTGGTGCTGGGTTGTGTTCCGAGCCTTCGAACGCTGTTGCGGCGGCGGTTGGGTCGCGGGTTCGGTCGGGACTAGTGACTTCTAATAGATAATCATCTGCTGCGTCGGAACTCAACGATTCAAGCTACCGATGCAGGAACGTGTCACGGTCCGCGCAAGAACACAGACATATAGCTCAACGTCCGCGCAAATACCCCTCTCAGCTCCCATACGCTTTCCCAGCTCACCATGGTTTTCACCTTGACTACATACGATGCCTTTCTCAAGGACAACCACATCCTCGTGGCGTATTGCTACTCCAAGGACGGCTCGTCGAGACGTTGCGAACTCGACCTTGACAAGCACCTCGGCAACAATGACGGGTGGTTCGATACTACCACGCCGGACAGGAGTCACGCCTTTTCACACTCGTCGAGAGACATCACTTACAAGGACGGGACGCTGCGCGCGTCGCTGCGGAAGCTGTCCAAAGACTACAACATCACGACCATCTGCCTCGACTCGTACGTCGTGAACGCGAACGGGCAACTCCAGTTCTGCAAAACGCCGTGAGTCGATCCAATCGCCCCGTCGCGCATATGCAAAACCGAACGTTCCATCCACAGAGGCGGGGAAATCCTCTCGTCGTGCCGCGCGTTCTGCCTGACAGACTCCGTGCTGTCCGCGCTCTGCCTGGGCATGGATCACACGTGGCACGCGTCGTCCATTGACCTCAACGGGCACTACGGCGTGTACAAGGGCGCGGTCGTCCCCATCGGGACGCACTTCCACCGCGACGTACGCAACGCGTGCTTCCAGGTGCGGGGCGCGCGGGCGTTGCTGTGCGCGGAAGTCCGCGTCGCGCTCGGGAAGTTCGAGCACGGCGAGGTGGACCTGTCCAACTGCGTCTTCAACCGAGAGGGCAGGCTGACGTTCGTGCTTGACCTGAGCGGCGGCAAGCCGTTCAAGCTGGATTAGTGTACGTGTTCTCATACTTGGGTACCTAATGCGAGATCGCACTGTACGGAAACAGCCTGAGCTCGTGTCATGGATCACCGGTGGCTACTCCTATCCATAGCAGAAGTTTGTTTTGTCTAGAGATACGTCAGTTGCATCGAGAGCAATAGACAGTAGTATGTATGCTTGAGAGTTGCCAATGCGATCGCAAACCCTCCACTGATTCATCACAGTACACCTGCTTCTCGGCGTGAGTTCTCACCTCCCCAGTGCACGGTTTGGTCTAACACTCGACTGAGTCAGAAGGCTCCGTCGGCGATATTGTGTTGTCCGGTGTGTATGCCCCGACCTGGGTGATGATACCGGCGACGCCGGTCTCTACCATCGACTGGACATCTATACCGGTAGGGCCAGTGGAGGACTGGTTTGTGGTATACACGCAGGAATGAACTGTCTTGGCGTGGACTACACCAAGAAAGTCGCCGTTCGCGCCTCTCCTTGCCTACATCATCGGATCCCCGTCGTCAGCACGTACTACGCCCACACGCGGGCGAGCAGACGTGCCGATCACCCGCCTCAACAGGGGAGGTGTCCTCTTCGAGGTCGTTCCCGTAGAGAGACATGACTGCCTTGAGAAGCAGGCGCCGAGGCTGGTGAGTCGGACGGGCGGCTTGGACAGCATCTGCGCGACCTCGACCGTCTCGGAGGGCGGAATGGCATGGAAATCTCGAAGCTGACTTCACCGCGTGCGACGTGCAGGTTGAACCAGCGGCGTCTCGTGTCCGTCGACCTCAGTCGGCGACCCGCGCGGCGCGTCCTGGATAGGTCCCCGAACCGCACCACGACTGCACCTCCACGCAGTCCTACTCACCTCACAAACGCGCGACGGCGATGGCTAAAGATATCTGGGCCCGAAATACACTCACAGCGCGATCCTGGTCAGTGTCAAATTGCTGGCGGGGGAGTGAGGCTCGGATTCCAGACTGCAGTGTTCTCCCGCAATGGGCGCTATGCACAGCTTGAGCTGGACTCGGATGTGCTGCGTTGGCGGCGCTCCGTCGCCGGTAGTGCATATTGATATTGCGGACCGCAGGGGGATGCGCGTAGATGAGGTGGATATCGAGCCCGACATCGATGTTGAGCCACACATATGAAGGCTGAACAGAATGGAGGAGGGTATTGAGCGGCTGCCGCGGATGACACGGACAGGAGCTCAAGCTCAAGCTCAAGACGCACCTGCACAACCACGCGCACGTTTCGGGCCCCGATGGCACTAGTTAAGAACGCATGCCCGCCCACATTCCATGATCCGCTCGTATACAGGGAGGCACAATAACTCTGCCCATGCTCCAGGCGTCCGTCGCGAATATACAATACGTGTCTGCGCCGAACACGCGCATACCGCGGGGCGTACGGAAGGGCCGCGGGAGGGACTAGCGGCAACGCCTCGCGCTCTGAGATACGGCGGTATGCCCAGCTCAGAGGCTGTGGGACGGGAACGGTTCCAATCTTCTGTTCATCTTCTGGCGTTCGTACGCGGAGGTGCTGCGGAATGGAGAGAACGGATTAGTAAGTTCTAGCTTACACAATGAACGAACTCACGCACTTCTGGTAGATCGCGGACTGGACGGCTTGCAGGTGGGTTCCGGTACTTGTAGTGCGAGTCGGGCAATCGGAGAGGGAATGCTGACCTTTGAGGCTTCATGTGCACAGGAAGACGAGTCGCAAGATGAGAAAAGACAGCCACACTTCTCAGTATAACTATCAGAGCCGTAGCACCGTCTTCTCGAATACGCTCCTCGAATGGATGCGCGGGCGAGAAGAGTAGCGGATGGAAAGTATACGGGACTATTCGGCGGCCTTTATGAGTCTTTTTGCCATCTGCAATGGACGCGTGCGGCGTCAGGCCTGCCTATTCTCGGTGCACAGAAGAAACGAAGCAAGAAGTGTTACGGAAGGGCCCGCGTTTTCCTGGGCCGTGCTTATGAGTGAATAGCACATTCGCGCTGGGGACCAGCACTGCGGCCGGGATAAGACGCGTCGCAAAGCGCGTCGATTGGTCGTGTTCCTTTGAACAGCGCGAGGCCCGGTATAAGGCCGCGACTGGCCAGAAATAGCGCGAGCCTGCAGGGATCGACGATCGGCTTGCGTACTTACGGACGGTGTGTCTCCGGCGTGCCAGGCGCTGGAATGCTGTCACTGAGGAATCCGACGTCCGGATGACGGCGCCGATCGAATGCAAGGCAGCCGAAGAGCAGTCTTCCCGGTGTGTGGCTCCGGGACGGTCGTCGTGGCGTCGAGGGAACGTGCTAGGGAGTCCGCGCGCGATGAGCCTGAATAGCACGGAGCAGTATACAGAAGGGGCATACAGTTGATACCACCGACAATGAACGCGTGAAGCAGTGACTGCCTGTATGCGGTGAGAGTGAGGCAAGGGGGCGGAGGGAGTCTGGTCTGCACTGGTCCCCACTGGTTGCCATGCTGATGGCGGTCTCGGAAGCCCCAGAGCGTCATGGCCGTTTCGCGCGTATAGGAAATGGGTGGAGTTGGGGGTCGCTTGCAGCTGGCGAGGGTGACGCGTACCTGGTATGACGCAGGCTGTACGACGAGGGTGTTGGAGAGCGCACGGTAGGCGGTGGGGATGAAAGAGAGCATGCCCGGGTGGCTGGGCAGCTCTCGGCGGACTCCGGAGGGCAGTGTGGCAGGCGGCGGGCTTGGGCCGGCCGTGCGGCGGGGGCGATTGACGTCCCTGGCCAGGGTGACGCGCGAGATATGTATAGCAGGCGCTTCTCCACTGCGCATTCCTCGTCTGCTTCAAAAACTTCGTCGCGACGGTCCTTCTGCCTCGTTGCTGCTGCCCCCACGCTCCCTTAGCTCAGTGCCCTCCATGCGCCCCGTCGCCCTCCTCTCGGCCGCCTCCGCCGTCGGTGCCGCCCTCGCCGTCGCCCACCCCCGCGACCCATCTGACGACCTTCACGAACGCCAACTCCTCCGCCGCAACATCGTCTACGACGGCCAGATTGCCGACTCTTATGACTACATCATCGTCGGTGGCGGCACCGCAGGCCTCGTCCTCGCCAACCGCCTCTCACAAGACTCGAATACCTCCGTCCTCGTCCTGGAGGCCGGCGACAGTGGTGACTCCGTAAAGAGCCAAATAGGTGTGTCCCGTCTTTCGTGGCTGTTCGCGGGGAGACCTGCCCGTCAGGGGACATTTGACGTGTCGCGACGTGCTGTCCCCATCACGGGTCAGTTGTCCCCGACGCGAGGCGCGCACTGCCCGTTCACAAGGCTTTCGGTGGCGGAGAGGCCCCCCAGGACTGCCGGTATGTTGTCCCCGCAATGCTGATGCCCCGCCAGACATCCCGTCTATGACATATTACGACTCCCTCGTCGGCACCTCCTACGACTGGCAATACACCACCACTGCCCAGACCAACTCGAACAACAGGCAGCTCACATGGCCGCGTGGAAAGGTCCTCGGCGGCTCCTCCGCCATTAACGGCATGTACCTCGTCCGACCAGACGCACTCGAGATCAATGAGTGGGCGTCCCTCGTCGACAACGGCTCCATATGGAACTGGGACAACCTCTTCGCCGACATGAAGAAGAGCGAGTCCTACTCGGCGCCCAGTTCGTCGGTACAGTCCGTCCTCAACGTCCAGGCGAACACCTCGGCCCACGGATCCGACGGTCCCATCCACGCCTCGTATCCCGGATAGTATGTGCTCCCCACTTCACCCGTTTCTCCGCATACTGACCCTCGCAGTGTCGTTCCCGCGGTCGGAGCATGGACGGACACCCTCAACGCGGTCGGTGTCGCATCCTCGTCCGACCCCGACTCTGGTGACGGCTGGGGAGCCTTTATTGCCACCTCCGCGATTAATCCGTCCAACTGGACACGTTCGTACTCGCGCTCTGGCTACCTCGACCCCCTCCCGCCACGCTCCAACCTCGCGATCCTCCCTAACGCGACCGTGACGAAGCTCGTACTCTCGAATGCGACCGGCGGTATGGCCGCGTCTAGCGTCCAATACGCAAGCGCGAAGGGTGCCACGTCGAACAGCGTGTCTGTGAACAAGGAGGTTATTCTGGCCGCGGGCGCCGTGGGCAGCCCGCAGATTCTCATGGTCAGCGGTGTCGGACCCGAGGACGTTCTCCAGGCGGCCGGCGTGCCAGTCAATGTTGCACTGCCGGGTGTCGGCCAGCATCTCCAGGATCACATCGTGCGTGTTGCTTCTCACACTTTATGATCGTGGCCTCGGTGTGCTAAATTTGTGCGGCGCCCGCTGGACAGTACGCGGAGGTGCAGTGGAAGACTTCTGACCAGACCGGTGCGACGATGTACTTTGGCAACTATTCCTCCGGGGTATGTCCGCCCTCATCTCTGCCTGCACCGTCCCCCGTGTTTCTCACAGCGTGTTTCTTCCGTACAGGCGCCGACGACGTCTACGCCTTTCCTGTCGTTCATCAACTCCGCCACGGCATACGTCAACTTCAGCACGCTCGTGTCCGGTGCGGACACGTACGCGCAGCAGATCGCCGCCGCGGTCGACACGTCCGCGGCGTCGCTCGTGCCGTCGCAGTACTCGGAGGTCGTCGAGGGCTACAAGGCGATCTACAACCTCACCGCGCAGAAGTTCCTTACGTCGTCCGTCGGTCACATGGAGATGCTTTTGAGCTACACCGGCGCGGGTGCGGACAACCAAGAGATTGTGGCCGTCCAGGCGGCGCTCCAGCACCCGTTCAGCCAGGGCAGACTCTACATCAGCAGCTCGTCCGTCTTTGATGCCCCCGTCATTGACCCGAACTACCTCTCGCACGAGGCTGGTGCGTTTCGTCCCGCTTCTCCGTAACTACCGTCACTGACTGGCGCCCGTGTCCAACAGATATCACGACACTGCGCGAGGGCCTGAAGCTCTGCCGGATCATCGGGAACACCGCGCCGCTGAGCCAGTACATGGGCGAGGAGACGGCGCCAGGGTCGAGCGTGCAGACGGACGACGAGTGGGACGCGTGGCTCGCGAAGAACATCTACACGGAGTACCACCCGTCGTGCTCGTGCGCGATGCTCCCGCAGAGCCTCGGCGGCGTCGTCGACGCGAACCTCAAGGTGTACGGGCTGACGAACGTGCGCGTCGCGGACTCGTCCGTGTTCCCGTTCGAGTTCTCCGCGCACCTCCAGGCGCCGGTGTATGGCCTCGCGGAGCAGGCGGCGAGCCTGATCAAGGGCACGTACACGAATGTGGATACGAGCGCGAGCGCGTCGGCATCGGCGACGTCGGCGGGGTCGTCCGCGACGACGTCGAGTGGGTCCGACCAGAAGAGCGCTGCGTTCGCCGTGGGCGTTCCTGCGTGGACGGCGCTGCTCGGCCTCGTGGGTGTGCTCGCCGGCGCCGGGCTCGTGCTCTAGGCGTGAGCGTTCTGGCGCCTTGTTCGGGTGTCTCTGCGTCTGCGCGTGGGTGCCCGTGTGCGTGTCTGGCCGCAAGTTACGTGCGTCTTGCCTTGCCTTGCCCTAGAGGGGACAATCTGGTTTGCTCTGGGTGTGGGTGTTCGGGACACTCCTCCGTGCTCGCGCGCCACCGCGTGCGCGGCGCCCTCCGCGCGCGCGTCCCTACTTATAATCGCTAGTCGTTCTTCGTTCGCCTTCTTGTCTGTCTCTCACCGCGGACAATGTTGTATTGCCATTGGACTCTATTTGTGCCATATGATACCTGCTGCTACTCACACGTACCATCACGGACCATCGAACTAGTACTGCTCACTCGGAACCGACTCTCGGTGTGCATACGAGCGGCTGCCGAGCGTACCCGTATTACTCTAATACGCTCTCCGTATATAACTTACAGCCTTGCGTTGATGTGTATGATTTGAGCTCCCTTTCGCTGGCCGGTCTGGTTTGTCAGTGTTTTGTTCGCGCTGTTCGAGCCCTTCCCGTGTTTGGGTGGGGACGGGGAGAGACGGTCTGGATTCCGTGCAAGATAGGCTAGACGAATGGCGTGTAGTTATGTATACCTATACGGTACAGTGTACGGAGTATGCTGTGCAGCGTGCATATAGACGACTCCTTTGAACTGGTTGATATCGGACGGGTCGTCGTACAGCCCTATCGTATTCATTGACTCACAGTCGGCGGCCGGCGCCGTCGGTAGAACGTATGCGGGGTAGGACTCGCGACGAGGATCGTTGAGATTATGCATGCGTCTGAATGCTCGCAAGTGATTCGGTGTGGCCAGCTTACGCTCATTCTCGTAGCGTCTGCCACAGTGGCAGATGTGCAAAGGACATCAGCACAAGCTGGAGTTTGTGCTGTGTTTGCATAATATGTACACATGACTCATGGCATGGATCCACGGAAGTTGGACAGTACGGCATACACGAGAGAGATTGCACTGGGGACAAAAACGGACCTGGAACAGGACGCAGCAGCAGCAACAACACATCAACATCGAACCGCCGACAACGTATCAACGGTTCATGTGCAGGACAGACTCTTTCGGTGCGAGCCGCTAGGGCTGCCGAAGTGATTCTTCGGGAGCCTGGTACTCAGTTCGTGCGGCGGTGGCGTGCGCCCCGGAAGTTGTTATCAATACTATAGCCTAGTCAAGACAAAGGAGTCAGGTCAACACGCGCGGAGTGTGTGGCCAGAAGAGAAGCCCACTGGCATCGATATCAGGGTTGAACCATTCGTCAAAGTCGCGCTCGAAGTTGAGACGATCTTGTTCCACGTCAATTTGATGGCCTAGTCAAGCCACAGGAGCCCGGTTGGCAACGCGGGTGGAGTGGGTGGATAGAAGAGATTGAAGCCTACCAAAATCGGGGTTGAACCATCCGTCAAAGTCGCGCTCGAGGTCCAGAAGATGCTGTCCCGCATTGAGTGGTATTGCAACGGGTTGCATAGCAGCCAGGCTGAGTGGCATCGGTTCGTGGGGCTCTACAGGATGGCACTGTTCCGCGACTGCCATGTCGTTATTAGTAAGTGTTGCTACGAAAACTTGGGGGACGCATTGCTCATTTACATACCATGCATATTCCCGGCCATCGACATGGCCGCACGCGGTTGCAACGCAGGCTGCATCAACCCTTGCTGTCCAATATTCAGGCGCGTGAGCGCCGCCACCAGATCCGAGTCTGTTGCCATTGTACTTCCGGCGCTCGAGCCGTTCTATGCGGCATGGAAGCTTGAGCGGGGGATGTCAGCAGGCTGTCTGCGACGTACATCGATGTATGTCCGTCCGCCGATGGTTAATATCAGCGTAAGGCCCTGCGGAGGCCTCTTTGAGACTGTTGTCCTGCTAGTTCACATGCACATAACCCGAGCCTCAATTAAAGCCATGACGAGAGTGCTATGGAACGCACCATCTTGCCACCATATCTGTCATACAACGCTCGTAGGTTCTGATAATGTGCATGAGCGAGCTGGGGATAAAGCACTTTTGACAGCCGTACGGGATCGGAGAGCACTTCGTATGCTTCGCTATGACATTGTTCGATAGTGGAGCTTCATATGAGTGCACGGTAAAGTACCTCATTTCCTGCGTCTTCTCCTCCTTATCAGCAATATATCTTGCATGTTGCGCAAGCCAGACGTACCAGTTGGAGCTCTGCGCCTCATATGCCTTCTTCAGTTCATCGTTGCTCACATCTTGGGAAACCCCCAGCTAATGTCGAAGAGATGGAACTTTGAGTACCGCGTGCAGATGGACTATCGCACCGTGCTACGTACCAAATCGTAGTAGTCCATTTCACCGGTTACCATCGACGGAAGGGCCCCAGATGTGCTCGGCACAGTCGATGATGAGCAAGCTGTAACAGACAGCTGAGGATCAGGATGGGAGACCTATGAGAGATGGGAGGATTGAGTTTGGATAGCCACGCAGATACCATAGAACGAGCTGCCTCGTTGTTTCCATCTGCACATGTTCAGAGAGCGCTACTGAGTCCGCGTTCAAAAAGGGTCCCCGCCAGCCCTGAATGAACCTGGTCGACGTCATTGTCGGGATTCGGCGATACATCCATAGTAAGTGACTAAGAATGGAACGAAACAAGACGAAGAACACTCACATCCTCCTAATTCGTAAGGATCCGGTTCATTATCTATGACAGGAGCAACACCGCCAAATGAAGACCCGAATGGGAAATTGACAACCCCGGGCCACACCTTGCCCCAGATGGTGACATCAGTTGAAAGGTGCGTAGGCTTGGGGCTGCTCACCGTCGAACTCGCTGCCACTGAAGACCAAGTGCGGGGTGGTTGAAATACTGTTACTGAGTGATCATCCGTAGTTGGTATGAGAAATTGTCCTCCGTCGGCAGCGAAGCGTGCGACGTGCGTAATGTCTGAGTCGGACTCGGACTGTAGGTCGCGTCGTCGCGCAACGCTTGCCAATCCGAGGACCCTGAATGGTATATACTGTACTCCATTCAGCTCTGGAAACATAACAAGCTCAACACCGGATCGAAATGTATAGCGTACCTTGATGTGAAAGGTACTCAGCTCTCCACGTACACAAAGATTTTAGTGGCATGTTTAGTGCTTCATAAGATGGGAAACACGTCAGAGAATTCGCATGAGCACCAATCTAGATGGACCATTGATATTCAGCGTGGCCGTATTACAGACCACTCGAATCGGTCATACGGAAGTGAGGAGATAGGCAGGACATCAATGTAAGTGGCTCAGTACTGGACACAGTCCCATTCTCAGGCTGTGACTGTGCATGCGAGTACCCCTGCTACTCTCAGGCTGTACATACTGAAAGGATATCAGCTTCATTCGATCAACGATGAAAATACCACTCACAGCGATTGTGGTCTCGGCAGACACTCATCGTGATTAGGCGCATCCACTACATGGTTCGTCCGGACCGCAGAACCTAAGTAGTACTATGTCGTGAATACGTTCACTGAGACGGGAAATTAAACGAGCAAGGATCATGATTAATTCACCGAGAGTCTGAAGAATTCACTGGTCGCCCTGAACTGATCGGTAAACTCGCAATTTGCCATATCGAAGTCCGAGCTCAAGTACATAGAGCTCAGGGAGTCAGCGGCGCTCTGTTGAAGACTTGAATTTCACTTGAAGCTCGCTGTTCTCGAACGGTCACGTGCCTGTCGCGCGGAGACTGAGTGGCGCGTGGCGGCCTGTGGCTGCGCGCCGCCCGCCGCCCGCCGCCACAACGGTACTTACGTACTTACGCTGGTCTAGTACGGACTTGTAAGTGGCATACCTACCACCGCCGACTTGCCTCCTCATCATGGCAGTTCTTGCGTTCTTACACTTCGACTTTCCGGACTCCATTTGGAAGCTACAAGAGCTATACATAGCCTCGGAGAGGGATCTCGTCAAATTGTCGCTCCTCTTGGCCCCGCCACTGTCGTCGCGATTGGCACTGACCGCACCTTAGGCATCGTCCTGAGACATCGCAGGGCCTAGGATCTAGCCTGCGACGGGACGAACACGAATTGTTCACTACGCATACAGAAACGCCCTGAGTTCCCACGTGTGGTTACGATGCGCACCTCTTCGACCGGTTACAATTGCCGCAAAGAGGGGTGGAGGGTGTCTTATGGGGTAACGAGGTAGGCACTATACTTCATTTGCTAGGTACTGCTTATCGTGGGGAATGTTGACTAGACCGGTGCTGTGGATTTTGCATCTTGACTGCCGTCAGGAGCTGAGTCGCCGATTTTGATGTCGATGGTAACACCTTCGTATCGCTGAACACGATGCACGTACGTACATTATCTCATGATGTTCAAGTTCGTCACCTTATATGATGCTGACGTGCACTGAATAGCTTTTCTCGTCCTATGGTTGATGAGTTATTCACAATCTCTTAGGGACGGGGGAATCTTGCATAACGACAAGGATGGAGAAAGCGCACGCGCGCTGTGATGGACCACCAAGGTGTCGTCTGATTACCTCAACAACGTTGCTGCTTACTCCCTGTATTTCAGTCTCTGTTCCAATCCCAGCGGGATTGCCTGCGTTCCGGGGTTCTGAGCAATTGGACCCAACGCGTTTTCGATGCCGAAGCGCGGTTCGACGCATCTTCCGCGGCCTCGAAGAGCCCGGACGACTTTTCATCAGACTCGTGTCTAGTGCGTATCCATTGCTTCATGAATGCAAGACTGCTTGTTCTGCTCAATTTCACCTCGACAGTAGGACTTGCAATGCAGCCGATAGGCGTACTGTTCCTTGGGTACGCGCCTTTTTATCAGGCGCTGAGCGGTACTTAACTGTCTGGCCGACCTTTGCTAGTCTAAGTTTTTTCTCAGACTCGGAGAACATCATATACCGCCAACCGCACAATGATGATCTCAACATCAAGGTTCATCTATGATCTAGATCCAGTCAGCCTATTCGTTTACTTGCGGTAATGAGTACTGACCGCAGCCTCCGTGAAGTATCGCGGCAAGATTTGACTGATCATGTGCAGAAGGCTACCCAGCGCCCCGTTCAGCGGCCCCCGTTGACGCCGCCGCAGAGACATGTCTGCCAATCGAAACAGTGGCATGGGGGTCAAAGTCCGACGGGTTTGCCCTCCGACTCCATTTCGGCGTTTCTGGCCAGTCTCAAACACCAGCCGCTCTGCATGATCACCATTGAGCAATACCGATTAATTCGAAAACAGGCCGAGACCGCCCGGAGGTTGGGCATGTCGGTCGGTACGGACTCCAGCGGACCGCTCGGTGGGTGAACATCTGGCACTTTCCTCTGACCATGCTAGTGTGCGCTCGTAGTAGATTTCCCGATGTGCGGTTGACCTCGCTAGTAACTTAGACGGGTGGACCCGAATTGAGAGACCATCCCTCATCGGTCCGCTGTGCGGCTCTATCTTGGCTTTACTGTGAAATGCGTCACGAACATATGGTGTCTTCTAGCGGCATTGTGCCAGTGGCTCGCAGAGGATACTGGGACTTGACGTGTCTACGTATGTGTAACGCGCTCAATGGCAATGTGGTCACCGTGCAGTCTTTGCATGACAGACAAGGCCTCGTCGGTGTGTCCACCGACCAGCCAGTGTCCCATTGGCGTCCTCGATGCTCTTTTTGGCATATGTGGTCAATATGCGGTCGTTGCTGGTCGTATGTTGCAAATGATCCGGTATGTCCCGGGCGCGTTACCCATTATGACAATCCCTCGTCCCTGGTGCCGTGACATCCTCTCTGTGCCAGTGTGACCCACTCAGATTTTGGTCTCGGATTCAATCGTAGGCGCGTTCTCGCCACCTGCGCACGCTGACTATAGCTGACGTTCTATCTTCGTTCAGAAGCGATTTTCACGGGAGCAGAATCGCAGTATTCCCAAATGCAAATTTGACTCCAAGATCCCGCCGCACTCAGGGATCTTGTATGTACAGGCGGAGAATTGTGGTTGTGAGAGAAGGTGTGTTTCGCGTCACCCCGCATAAGGTCCGCCGCTCCACACTCACGGGTGTAGTAGTCTTAGTTTTCAAAAGTGACTTGTAGAGCTATTTGCACGTCGAGCAATTCTCAACACAAGGAACTGACCTGGGATATGTTGGCTGCGTATCGAGGGTACATCCGATGCGATTGGTATATATACAAGCATTAGATCCCCGTCGAGGATATTGCTTTTCTCTCGATAGCGATAACGCATAGTACTGTACTACTTACTAAGTATTGCTATCAGGGTCCGCAGTTAGGTTGGCTCCGGATGTTCACTGAATTGATATCGATATTCTTGGGTCGGATGCTCGCAGGTCATTCAGACTGTCGATGTCATCACCCCTCAGGAGCAGGGAAGATGTTGAGGCTGGGAACTAATCTCAGGCTGTTGAAGCTTGTCCGAGTCGTAGCATCTCTTCCCAGTCCCACCTTCTCGCGTTACGGCGAAGTTCTTCACGATCGTGCGTGCAGTCCATTGATTTTCAACGCCGCAGCAGCGTCTACACAATCAAAGTGTGACATGTGACATGACAGTTCTATCTTCGTATGAGGGTGTCCAACCCGATTTGGACAAAATGTGGCAAATTGCGCGCCTAAAATACGTGGAGGTGGCGGTGCCGCCACACCGCGCGCGCAGTCTTCGCAGAACATATGGCTCTTTGTCCTCGGGCTCCGGTCGCTCGAAATCGAAGATTTGGTATAGTAGCCGTAAATATTTGCTTCCACCCAAATTTGACTCGCTAGAACAAGAACAACTACAGGGCAGTGGCCTGCTTCGGGCGGTCGTAACCAATGGCCGATGGCGCGCCGAAGTCGAATTCAACGGCAACCCGGGAGGAGGTTCTCTACAAGGCAGAGCTCCTCGCGGCTGTTGCTCGATGACACGACGTGCACAGCATCGAATTTGCTTTTGCTGCGCGAAAGTGTGGGGCAAGCCGGTCGAGCCGCCGCTAGAGTTGCCTGTGAGTAGCTAGAACATCCGAATTCACATACGGGTTGCTCTTGCGCAGACACGTTGATGTCACTGCCTTGTGCATTTGCCTGTTCAGTCGAAACCATTTCCCAGACCACGTTGGATGACTGGCCCATATGCTCCGCGGACAGAAGCCCGGACCTTTCATGTGCCTTCGCCCAGGGCTTTGACCTGCCAGCCTTCCGCAGTCTCGACATCCTCCAGCGTTGTCGGTTCATGCTCTCGGTGACAATCACCTGCTACCCGTCAGCAAATGCTCTACCGCAAAGCTTAGGGAGATCGCTGGACGGATCTCTGAGACGTCGCAAGTGTTCATCATATGACCTGGCTCTGTCATGATGACCCGTCGAGGATTCGCCTGTCGGGAAGTTTTAAAGGGCCCCACGAGCATGGCTGTGCGTGTCTTTACACATTACCCGTTCATGACAGTTTTACAGAAGGCCACGCAGCTCCGACACTACTTCCGCTGTGGACGTCTGAGGGCAAGATGTTCGTTGACAGTAGGAACTGACAAACACATGGAAGGTGGCGCAGACTATCGACACCAGAAGTTTGGGATGATGAGCTGCTTGCACCCTGAAGTGTATGCGAACGTTCCGGACCGTTCATGACGGCTTCTTGTGGTCTCTCAGTATGACCACATTCGTGACACCTTTCGGCTCCGCGTCCACCTTCGAACGGCCCTAATGACCCAAGGACACGTTTGTTTACGGTAAGACCGTGTTCCGTGGTACTTTCTGCTGCGTGTCGCAATTGAACCTCTTTACAGACTGTTTACAGACTGAGAGATGCGCCATGCTACTGGCCATGGAGCCTTCTCTGTCACCAATTTTCATGGAGAGACACATGAAGGTCATCATTATGGCGAGACGCGTGTTTTGTTGTGCCTGCATCTCCATTCTGACTCGATGACTTGGTACAGGGTCTCAGGACGATCATATGGATTGCCGCTGTGCTGCCTCGTCTGCGTCTGCGGGCGCTCTCAACCTCATGCAACCCGACGTATCACGGTCGCTCCGGGACGAGTCGGCGATTCTCTCATTACCACTCGTGTTTCACCGACAACGGCCGTCTTTCTGACTCCACTGAAGCCGTTTTTGCCGCGCAGTACAGAAAAGACAATAGCTGCACCTTATATCCCTCGTCGGAGATGGACACCCCGTTATTGTCGGCGCAAGGATCACAACGTGCCATTCACCGATGTCGAAGTCGCTACAACTATTCAGCTGCACTCGTACGCGTCTCCGGCTCTAACACGCATGCCTTCACGTCCACAGATCATCATCGGTGAGAGTGTGGCGCTCTCGGCCGTCGTTCACTACCCACGATGTTATTGTCAGACGGTGTCCGGTAACTTGTGTTCATGGTATCGCAGGGCGTGCTACAGCTCAGACTGGCCCCGAGTGTCGTGTGTCCAGAGCTTGACTGACAACGACGCCTCAGGGATAACAGAGACACAACGTTTGTTCTTGCAGCCTTGGCCACACAAGCCGTATCTATCGGCATGATAAATCTCCACGATTCCCACCTCAGCTCTGCGCCGTTCTCGCGGGTGTTTCGACCGGCCCAAACCCACTGCAGTCAGTCCTTCCCCGCGCTCAGTCTGTCCGTCACCCCCCGGTTGGTATCATGTTGACATAAGTTTCGCAGCCACGCCACAAAGCCCGGTAACCCAACGTTTCGGGCGTCGGACGGAAAAAACTGGAGTCCGAGCCTGTTTCCGGCTTCGGTGTTTCACTGTGGTGAAAGATATGCTCCGAGACACGCCTGTTGCAAAGCTCCCAGGACAGGAGTACCGTATAGATCTTGGATACTCACCGGGCTCTTAGTCGGGTTACCGTCGGAACCGGATATTAACGACGAGATCCGAGCTGCAGATATACGATGGCGGCCCGGGCAGTACTAGGCACGATGTCACTCCGCGACCTCTCGATGCGTACTACATACAGAGAACCGCAGTGTGTAGTTATGAACCGCACGACAGCAAGATGTGATGGGATCGAGCATAGGCAATATGAATGTGGATTTGCTTGCATTTGTGTGCGGTTTGGCCGGCGAACGAGCTGCGGCTGGCCCTCGTGGAAGGCACCCACAACGGGCCGCCGTTTCTGGGTGAGGGATGTGACGTGGAGTGACGAGAAGGGAGCGGAAAGGGAGGATATGGCGTGTGCACTGTGCGGTCGTGAACCACACAACGCCGCACATTCTGTGGCGCTTATATTGAGTTAGGCGGCCTATGGGGACTGTGGTATAAGAGGAGTCGTCGCGCGGTGGTCGTCGGCACGGCGCTGGCTCAATGGGCAGTCTGATCAGTCGAGCAGAGACGAGATGCTTCATGACGCGCGGGGACCCGGTAAAGTACACAGGCCATCAGGTGGTGGGATGCAGACGCTGACTCGCTGGGCAGACAAGCCACACAACGGGTCCTCGGACAAGTCCTCCAGATCAGCCGCAACTGCGGGGCATATGCCCCCTCGCCTGCCCCAGGAACTAGCGGAGATGATCATCGACGAGCTGGGCCTCACCTACCAGCGCCCGACCCTTGCCGCGTGCTCCCTCACCTGCCGCGCCTGGCTGCATCGCTCCCGCGTCCACATCCACTCCGCCGTCAGACTCGACCCCAGCAGCCACCTCGACCACCTCTCCCTCCTCTACAGCGGCAGCCTCGCAGAATACGTCCGCAGCCTCAGCATCGACGCCTCCGTCGAGGGCGAGCCCCGCCCCCACCCGTGGCTCAACACCGTCAGGCCCCTCCTCCTCCGACTCAGGCGCATCCGCCGCCTCGCGCTCGAGGCCATCGTCTGGGAACACCTCGAGGAGGAGACAAGGCGCATCTTCCTCACAAACTACGAGGACGTGCGCGACATCTGGCTGGCCACATGTGATTTCTACGACCCAGCCGCGTTTGTACGTTTCCTTCAGTCCTTCGACAGGGCGGACACCATCCGCATGGAGGGCATGGGCTGCGATCCCGTCGATTGCGAGCAGGCGCTTGAGAAGAACGGCGAGGTGCTGCACCTCGAGTGGCTCGATGTCGGAGAGCTCTGCAACGCCCCCAGCGTCGTCGCCCGATGGGCGTGGTACGGGCGCAAGGAGCTCACTATCGAGAACATCCACTTCACCTGGGGCAGTGAGGACCCCATCCACCTGTCTCGCATGTTGCAGCTTGCCGGCCCATCTGTGAAGAGCCTCTCCATCACAATGAACGACCGTGTCCAGCGCGTCCAGACGACCCCAGGTGAGAACTCTGTGGACGAGCATCACATTTGGAAGAGTTGTGCGGACAATTCATCACTTTGATCTGATAGGTGAACTACGGGGTGCCATCGACCTTAGCCACAACACCAACATCCGGACGCTACGTATCCTCCTCCGCCTCGAGACCAGCAACTACATCGAGGTGTCCTGGATCGGCGACGTCCTCGCCCAGCTCTCGTCGCAGGCCCTCGCACACATCTCCATATTCATCGAGCTGCCCTCGTATGAGCTGCTCGACAAGCTCAGATGGGATCTGATCGACTCCGCCCTCGCAGATACGCGCTTCCGGGCGCTGAAGAAAGTCGAGTGCTGCATCCTCCGACGCTACATGCTCCATCAAGGCCTCGACCCCGGCGCCATCGATCGAGTGAGGCACGCCCTACCGAAGCTCCTGGCCCTAGGGATCCTTGAAGTCTCGCAAGATTACACCTAATCCCAAAAAACTCACATCGTTCTTGCCTCGTTTAGTTCCTCTCGCTTTCTCTCTTGCCGTGTCTGTCGGGTCCATCCGACGGACTGCCATTCGAAGATCATCGTTCCTACTTCGGATGGACGGAGTAGCCTGTTGGCAGGACCCTTCGCGATCCTGCAGGAGGCTATTGCGTGCGTCTCCTTGTTTCGGCGTTGCTTTCACTTTCTTGGGAGGATGGGCACGAGCTGCGTGTGTGCAGTGCTGTTTGGCTAGACCGAACGCGATCTCTAGGGAGGATTGTTACACGGGCAGAATCTCGCAAAAGTGTCCTCTTCCTCGCTCCAATTTGAATCAAATGTTTTGTTTGTCTTGTGTCTTTCTCCGTTAGATACGGCGCTCCGAACCAGGGCGGTAGCATGTCCGGTAGGGCAAATTGTGGTATGAGCGCGCTTCACGACTCGTCACACTGACGGTGCACTCGCGCTATGATACTTTCCCCATGCTCGTTTATCTGACTCTAGATTCAGCGTTGGCGCATGTCCTGCCCAACAGATGGTGCAACCGCAGGACGCGAAGCGCGGATACAGCGGCACTTGCTTCTCGACGACGGGCGACTATCTACAGACGAACTCTACTATGGGACGTCGTCGTTGTGCGGTGAGCTCTTCTCTGATTTCAGTTCGTCAGCTGAGTCTGACCATCTCAGATGTACGATTGCTGAGGAGGCGGGTTTTGCAAGTAGGAGTTGCATAGTTATGATCATGCGATCTGCTGGCTTGGACCGCAGACCCGAGTTCGCCTCAAGAGAAGGTTTCATTCCAAGTGCATCTGGTTCGTGTACAAATTTCTTCTACCACGACGACACGGAACGCTGAGCGTCGCACAACGGATCTATAGATACTCGAGATAAGCAGAATGAACGATGATGCCCCAATGTCCCAAGGGCCCGGACGCGCTCATGACCTGGGGAGGAAGGTACGGTGTCTCGATTAACTTTGTGTGGAATGCGGGCTTATGTTCCAGCTCCGCAGAGGCGTTCGCGCTCAGTATTGCGGTCGACTCCAATACCATCGTGGCGCCTATGGATTCTCCGCACCTCCATGCTTGTGACCATTAGGACGTATCTAGAATGGGCCGTCGGCACAGGTGATGTCTGGTCTCAGGACTGTTGCGACTGATGCGTCTCTTTCGCAGTAGTAGTGCTCTAGGCCCGGCTACCGCGTCAGTGGGCCTTTGGGCGAGGCGATGGTAAGTCGGTTTCATACTCGTCCTCATATTGTAGACCTGACTGTGACGGAAGCGCGTTACACGCGCTATACAGCAGGATCTGTTTGACCAAGATGGCATGGGGCGTAGCCCCGACGCGTGTGAGCAAACGTCAGCTTGCCAATCGCCCCTTCTTCGACCTGGCTCGCGCAAGAGGCTACCGTAGAAGTCTGTTTTCCCCTCCCCCGATTAATTTAACACATGTCTCATTGATTCGTTACAGCTTTTTTGGACATCTGGCGCGTCGGCGCTACCCTCAAGTAACGCGGATGTCGTTCCTCACCTGGCGGCATGCATACATGGATCCTCATTGTAGCGATCCGCTTTCTATGCACTGCGTGAAGGGCTCATTGCATGTTGGTAGACACAGTGCACGCGTCAGTACTTGATGTCTGGGGCGGTTCGGCGGCTAACTAAGTACTGGTGCACCTCTCAGGCGAACGAGTCCTGATGGTCATTCCTCGATCGTGCATACTCTTGACTCGTCTGTCGTTGTGACTTCGTCGCCCAGAGTCCTGCTGCCTACTCGTCGGCAGCCGTCGTAGGAGGTAGTACATGTAGGTAGTGTGTCGGCGATGCTTGACGAGGACTTCACAAAGGCAAACATTGATTGAGAAGTATGGAGTACAAGACATGACAGTTCGTACAAGTCGTGGCGCAAGTGATCTAGTCATAACATCGACATGAAACGCTATAAGTCGTGTCAGCTTCATCCGTGGGCTACATAGCTCGGCGTTGTACAGATCTATAGTACATATTTACACATAAAATATCACGGATCCCAGAGACGAACTAGAAAGCACGTATCGACAGCAAGCGACGTCGGACAGCTAGGATTAGGATATGTCAATGAGGGATTAGAGATGAGCTTGAATTTGGACAGGCGCCTGCTGGGGGGCCCGTGGTACGGGAGGGATGAGCGCAAGCTGCGCGTTGCCGGTGAAGAGCGGCAGGTCGTTCAGGAAGTTTTCCCATCTTTCCTGAGTGAGGATAGGTGATACAACGTAGGGCTCAGCGCCAGTCTGGGCAAGGTATTCGTCCAGATGGGGCAGAGCGGCGGTGATCGCGCGGTCTTCCATCTCGAACTGCACCCAGCGCGCGAGACCTACGTGTTCCGCATACCAAGCGGGGTCCTCCAGCATGACACCGGCCTCGTACAGGTCGAGCAGAGGCTTGGCGACGCCTCCGTCGACAGCAGCCTCGTACGCCATACGGTGCCCGATTGCCTGTACCAGCGGCAAGCAACGAGGAAGCATGAGCCGGCTGACGCTATCGTGACGATGGTTCCCGCCTGCCCGCGCGAGAATGTCACGGCATTCCGCGAAGAGACCGGCTTCATGTCGGCTAATGGGACAGTCCGGGTACTTCGGAGTGGGCATGCTGTAACGACCGATCAACAGCTCGTTCGCAAGGCCTAGTTGGAAACTCGGTCAGTTTGAGTCCCACCAAGCAACGACAGAAGGAAACGTACGAATGCTCAGGACGAGAACATCGCCCTCGGCGATCCTGATACCACGCATGAGGAGCTAGATGTCATGTTAGCTTGAGCATTAGGAATTTGTCACGAGTACGCACCTCCGACTGAAGGACATTGTTGTGTTCGAACACCCCATGTGCACCAATCCTCTCGGTCAAGTTGCCCAGGCTTGACCAAGTATGGCGCGTCATGGATGCCTTTGCAGCAGCCGCGATTCCGTCGCGGACGCGCGAGTCGATCGACGGGTCCCGGAACATATCGATAGCAGCCTTTCCGTGGGCCTTCATGACCTCAACCTGCGCCAGCGCATGGAGGATGGGACCGTGTTGAGTGCGGAAGGTCATGATGGAAACGGGTGCGCCGTCGGAGCCAGTCACAAGCCGCCTGATGCTATAGCGGGCTGCGAGGTAGGCGTTCACCGAGAGAAGAGGGATGGCCATGGTCGCCAAAGCCAGCGAACCAACAGCAACCCGCCATATGCAGGAGATGAAGTTGGCGCGCAGATCGGCAGGCTTGGCCAACGAGCCCAGCAACGCCGTAGACGGGAGTCGGACGTGGTTGAATGATGTCACGGCATGATCGACAGGTTTGATGCCACCCCGCTGCGGCACCAATCTGATGAAATGGTTTAAAACAAGACTGTCCATGTGATGTTCGGCAAGACCACGTACCGAGCAGTAACGCCCTTGCACATCTGTTCACCGTCGCCGAGGGCAACGAGGAAAGGCCGAACCCCACGATTCTCCCCTTGAACGATGAGCCTCGCGAATACGATGGCAACCCGAGGCAACGAGCCGAAGGGTCCCGTTGGAGGCATGTACCTACTACCAGTTAGTTCACTGTCAAACGCCGCGGCGTTATGGCACTCACTTGCGCGCCCGTTCGCTGGGGGTGTGCAGGTCGAACTCCCCATTGGGCAGAAGAGTAGCGGTCGTCTCGAGGTTCGGAGCGTCGAGTCCGTGACCAACCTCTGTCAACAGGAATTGCGCACTGTTGTGTCCGTCAATACAGAAGCACTGTGCAGAAGACTGTCCGACTTACGATACATCGAACCTCATAACCTTGTCCATAATAGACCGAAGTTCAGGACGTTTCTGCGCAAAGGCCGCTAGCGTCCCACCCATGAGATTGTACTGGATGGTCAATAGCGTAAAGGCACCGGCATCCATACTATGGATGTTGTCGGTGTGGAACTCCCAGAACTTGGGACGCAAGTACAATGTGTCCTCTGCCGTCATCGCTGCGAGCAATGTCAGTCGAAGGCAGCACCGCAGACAAACCGAATGTACCATAAGCCTTCGCGATAGCTCGGGCACGCCGGTAAGACAAGGCAATCCTCTCCTCCAGGGAGGCATTGTCAGGGAGAGGTTGGAAGTCGCGGGTCGCGGGCAGGTGAGCGGTACGCGAAGAACTCATCCTGTTGCGTAGAGGGGGTCTCGCTGGGAGAAGATGGTCTGTGCCCGAGGAAGTGGGGACGAGGGAATTCGACGCACTGGGCGGTCAATTTATATGTGATGCGTTCCGGAGGGTCGATCAAGCGCATTCCTACTGGCGTATCTCGGGCCCTCAGCTGCGAGGGCCGTATCTGCTTCTCAGATCTTCGAGATTCACGGGCGATCGCCTTTGTATCGCCTCGTGTGGACTTGATAATGGCGCACTAATTTTCGGCAAGAAAACTAATAGTCTCGGACGCAGGGTTAGCACGATGTGTCAGCGGCATACGTGATGCGGCTACAAGGCTTCTTCAAGGCCGCGTGGATATGAAGCGTATCCCGGACATGCCCAGCTATCTGCCCGCAGTTAGCACGTAGCCAGCAGACCTGAAGTCGAACCACCGACCTTGTCATTGGCCCTTGCCTGAATGCAGGGGATGTCACGCCAAGCGCTGCAGCCTGCATCCAAATGTTCCATGACAGAACTAGCATGGACTATACAAGGCACAGTGGAAGTGATTTGCTTGCGTCCGACGTTCCGGTCCTCGACAACCCGCGAATTGGCAAGGCACATGGGCGCTTTCAGCACGTCGGTGCCCCGCACGAATCAAGATAAGCATCCGACGCAAAGGGTCTGAATCGTCTCGCCAAGTTTCGTCTCGACACGCCCGGGCCCAGCCGCGCGGAGCAGCCACCACGCTAGAAAGCCCATCAGCTGCATCACGAATTTCTAGCGTGGATTGCCGGTGACGATCGGATGTAAGCCGGATCATTACCGCCATGTCATTTCCGTCGACCCGCTCGATGCGCGAGCTATAGCACGTCAAGGAACCAAGCCATGACACGAAAATGACTAGCCTGCGCAGGGCAAAACTGTGCGGACTACAAAGGTACGATAAGAAATCTCTACGAACCAGCGACGCGACTTGACTCCAGAATCAGCAGGCCGGAAATGGTTGTTACATCGAGAGCGACGAGCGGGCGACTTTACACACCACATATGGCGATGTCGTCCCTTCTGTCAACGCTGCACAGCGAGCCCGAAGCTGGAGCTTGATTCAGCCGCCAGCTGGCGCTTGCTCGTCGTATCGCTATGTCCACCCCGATGGCGTCTTCTGCAAGGAATATTCTCGTAATGTCCTGTCGTGCCGCCGTGCAGTTCGCAGCGGATAGTGCGATGTGCACCAATTGCGGAAGCTGGAACCCAGCATGAAGGTGATGATGGTATAGACTGGTCGGCTGCGTTGAACGATTTGTTGATCAATTCTCCCAGTCGCCCGACAGTGATCTAGTATTATCCTCACCGAGGGTGTCGGTGACTCCTGTGTAATCTCAACATGCTACAGAATCGGTAGCAGCGGGCTGCGATACACCCTGGAAGACTGGAACTAGAACATTGGCTTGAAGGACGAGCTTCATGGTGTTACATTCAGTGGCAGCGCTCACGACGAATGCGACATCACATACGTTGGCTACTTGTCATGCATGTCATGTGTTGCCGACAACCCGGAGTTGCAGTTATCTCCTGAGACGAAGATCTATGTTGTATGTAATAATGATGGCCTAGCATGGCTAGGGCATAGACAGGAGGCGGGAAGCCCAACGCCGCAGCATACGGGTGACGTCGACGGCACCGGCGAGCTATCGAGGGCAACAGCTGTTCGTGAGCCTGGTACCAGTTGCATTTTTGGGGATAAACATTCGCGTGCCAGAGATACCGCGCGCACAAAGTGAGTCTTCCGTTTAGAAGGTATGCATGCTAGTGGCGGATGCAAATACCGTGATCGACGGGTATGCCGCGGAACTATAGAAGGGCCCACGAATGCTATGCAATGCTCGGAAACGGTAGTCCCTTTGCTTCAGATCGATCACGATAGCAACGTACCTTGAGCCTCGGTCATCGCGGATGCTGAAGTGTTCGCGTCGAATAGCAAGGAGCTTCGCACGGAGGAACCGTCCGAGCTATCGAGCACCGTTCACCATGTGTGAACGGCTGCATCACGCGCCGCACGCCATCAACCTGCAAGTCGCAGGGCGCCTCCATGCAGGCACCTGAACGAACACACGGCTCCAACATGGTGACTGTCGGAATGCACAGGGATAGCGTGTCAATGGAACGAGGCATGATAACAAATAGCCCTGAACAGCCCTGAACACTCACTCAGACTGTGCCATAATAGTACAAGAGTGAATGTACGTCTAGGCAAGTCCGCAGGCTCACTGATTATGCTGCGGTGCCTTCGGGCCACAGCTCAAAGAGTACCGCATACTAGGACTAGCCCCGTTAGCGGATCGGCTGCAGGTGGAGAAGCTAGTCCCACTTACGTTACATTCTGACGTCGGACGTCGGGGGTGGAGGGAAATCCGTGTTGCGGCATGCGGGCCGTGCTCTGATGCTTGACATTTGGTTAAGTCTAGCCTCCGCCATGCACCAAATGGCTATCCCGGACACCGTATTACGGCAGGCCCATCTTCTTCTGCTTCCCACCCGCTGGTTGATAACTGTAAGCGAATGCCACTCTACTAATAGCTTCCTCGCCTGAGCAATCCCCGTGTCTTGCTACGCGATTGTTGGGAAACCCACACTCACCGAATACTTGATTGACCCTCTTGCGGATGACGTCCCTCGCCGTCGGAGGCCACCCTCAATCCTTGGCGACATCGCTTGGGCCGGTCTGTGGGCTTGTGTGGACTTGTGTCGGTGGCTTCGACAGCGCGATGATCAGGGACTTCTATCCCATTAGCGCTCTGTCCGCGGAGAAAATCAGATCAGAGTTGAGGGTACTTGCGCGCGCGCTGCGTACCACATCTCATGAAAATGGTGGAGAGAGTCAGGAAGTGTGGTGAAAGAATTGAGCGGCGTACTTGCGTGAGAGTTGGTCCAGAGAAGCCCAGACGCCGTACAACGTGGCCACTACTGACGACCTAGTGGTGGGAATAGCAAATGTCGGAAGGTGTCCAGCGTGACAGCATCCCGCGTGCCCGTGGCGTCTGCAGAATACTGCTGTGACGCTTGTTTCTCACCGATATGTTGGAAGTATACGTATCGCGCCAGTGCTGGACTAACGATATTGGATGCCTGCCTGCGGAGTGTCCTAGCCACCGTTTACACTGTCACGGAAGTGGCGGACCACTGACATGGTGCTTGATTTAAAGGTGTCCTAGGCTGTCTGGTCAGACGGCCACAATGCACTCATGACAGAGATGGCACGTATAGATCATTTGCAGGTTCGCCATGAGTGCTGTCAGCGGGTGGATCAGAGTTCGTCGCTAAGAATGTGGGCTCCCTCCGGTCTCCGTGACGAGCGAATGGTCTCGCTGATACTGCTGCCGTCCAAGCTTCGAGTCATAGTCAGAAACTAACCGTGGACACAATCAATCGAAGAAACTATACCTCACCTGAATTGCGTTCAATCATATACCTAGCAGCCAGACGTCAGTTGTCATCGTCGCAGTGCTGTAGAATGCGAGAAGTTACAGGCTGTGAGCTGATCGAAAGGATGACAGGTTGCTACGACACGCCGCACGCAAGTCGTGTCAATGGACAGACTTACCTGGTCGGGAAGTACCAAGCCACTGTGTACGATAAAGCTCGGCTCGAATCCGCGCAGAATGGTAGCAGTTCTGACGGTCCACGTAATTGCGGCTAGCACAGGAGGTGGAGCAAGCACTACCTTAGACCAGCCGCGATGCGACGTCGCCGCTCCGTGAACGGTTGCAATTGAAACTGGAGGGCTGAGCCGTCCTAGTATCAGTAATAATGCACTACCGAACGCTTGATCGCAAGCTACATCTCCATTCAGCGTGATCTCCAGCATATCCGAGAAGCACATTTCCAGATGGGGTTTGAGTAAGTGAGACAACATGGAAATCGGTGATAGAACACATCGCCGTCCTTTTTCCTTCCAACGGCCGATTACGTCTAAACGCAAGTCAGCAGGGCCTGCAACCCACTCCTGCTCAGTCGCGCGGCTAGATACCACTGCAAGTAGCAGCAGAAATTCATAGTCCATCCACGCACTGAGCAAACGAGTGAAACCACCCAGAGCCCTTACGCTCAGTAGGCAACAAGTCCATGAGCATGCAATATTCATGCCTGGGGCAGATAAACTCGGCAAACGCGTCGCGATGACAGACACGTCCCATGTTTTGGAGCTATGACAGACAGTTGAGCTTAACTGACCTGATTTCGCCCGCGTCCTCGTCGTTCGCGAGGATGCCATCGACCCTGATAACGTGGATGTTGCGACTGACAGCGCATTAATGGAGTTGATTCGATTAGGCCTGCAGTTAAGCGTGAAAGCTTGTAATGTGAGTGAGAAGTACTTCTTGAAGGTAGTAGGTCACGGCCGGGCTGAACAGGCGTTGGAAGAGTCATAGCGTTCAGACAGGATGGTCGTCAAAAATGCAGAGACTAGTAGACGCCGACCACGCGTCTGCGCGGTAAGGGTCGTGGCGCACACGTGACGGCGTATGTGGCACTGGCTGCGGTGGGAGCGACTGCGTACGCCATCTCACTCGCCAGTCTCAGGCAGCTCGTCGCGCACTGCAGCGAGCAGTCCTGACCGCAGCCATGATTATGCGGCCTCGGACGCCGCTCGTCCTTTGGATCCTCTCCCTCCTGTCCGGCCTGCTCCTCGTTGCTGCTCAGCAGCCCGACTCCTCGGTCACATACTTCCCGAACCTTCCCAGTAGACTCTTCTTCTTCGAAGACACGACCGTATGGCCCATTCTTGTGGTGACCTGCATCGGAACTGACCTGTTCAATCTGCTAGACTGCTGTATACCATGACCTGATAGACGGGAACGTGTACGTGTCACAAGACGAGGGCAAGTCGTGGTCGCGAGCGGATGGAATACCGGAGGGGGACGCATCCATGGTCATAGAGCATCCCTTTGACAACAGCTATGTGCGTGTACGCTCTGTATTGCTACGTCTCACCGCTCACGGCTTTCTAGGCTTTCGTTCTAACCCGAGGCATTTACCACTACCGCACCGCCGACCGAGGCAGGACATGGCAGGGGTTCGAGATGCCCATTCCACCGGCTCTGGTGGGCAAACCGCTTTCGTTCCACTCGGACCCCAAGAAGTATGGATATATTCTCTATCAAGGTACCTTTTGCCAGTCCACCGGCGGTTGGGGCAGTGTCTGTCACGATGAGGTATGTGGTACGCCCTTCATGATTAGCTGTCAGACCCAATGAGGCGTTTCTCGCGTTCAAAGACATACTACACGCTAGACGCATTTAGCGACACACCAGAGCTTCTCCTCTCCGAGACATCCCGCTGCCAGTTCGCACATAGCAGCGCGGACTTCAAGCATGATGCCCACCCGGACCTCATCTACTGTGTCGCTTTCGACACTAGCACGTCCACGGGTATGCATTCGTTGTCGGCAAGCCGCTTGTACTCTTCGACAAACTTCTTCGAAGACGACATCAAAGTCGAAGACCTCGGGATTGGAAAGAACGCCCGCGGCGTCGTGGCATTCGCCATCGTATCGAAGTTTGCAGTAGTAGCACTGCGAGACCTTAGCCCCTCCGGTGACGGCGAGATGCTTCTCTATGTCTCCGTAGACACCAAGACGTGGGCCAAGGCGCGTTTCCCTCACGCGTCCTCTGCGCGTCTCAGGGAGAACGGCTATACAATAGTAGAGTCGACGACGCACTCACTGGCGGTGGACGTCATGCTTCAAGATATGACAACGACAATCGGGACGCTGTTCGTCAGCAACTCGAACGGGACATTCTTCGTGGAGAGCTTGAAGGATACAAACCGTAACGAGATGGGATACGTGGACTTCGAGAACCTGTACGGCATTGAAGGTGTCGGGCTGGCCAATATAGTCTCAAATGCCGGGGAAGTGGAGGGCCGTAGGGCACAGAAGCAACTCCAGACGAGAATCACCTTTGACGACGGACGGACGTGGTCCCGCCTCGTCCCACCCTCTAGCGATAGCGAAAATCAGCGTATCTCGTGCAATTCTAACGACGACAGCTGCTCGCTGCACCTGCACTCCGTGACCATCCCTCACAACTTCGGTCGCGTGTTCTCGTCTCCTGCCCCTGGTTTCGTCATGGGCATAGGATCTATTGGCTCGCACTTGAAGCCGTATGACGAGGGCGATACGTTCCTCAGCACGGACGCGGGCCTCACATGGTCGATGGTTCACAAGGACGCCCACAAGTATGAGTTTGGCGATTCCGGAAGCATCGTGGTGCTGGTCAATGACGAGGAGAGTACCGACGAGATCACGTACTCGAGCGATCTTGGAAGGACTTGGTAGGTCAAGTACATTAGAACGTCTGACCTATACACTAACCTGCCCCAGGCGTACCTTCAACTATGGCTTCACCATGCGTGCGCGTATCCTGACGACGGTGTCAGACTCTACATCGCAGAAGTTCGTGCTCGTCGGTCAAGTGTCCAAGCGAGACATGGACGGTCGTGGACGTTATGCTGTCGTGTTCCTAGACTTTGCCCCCATGCGCTCGCGCAAGTGTGGTGACAATGACTTCGAGCGGTGGTACGCTCGCTCGATGACCCACGAGTGTCTCATGGGCCACAAGGTATGGTTATGCTCGGTGGTCAATGAGCTCCGCTGACGCGATGTTCATCCGTTTATAGCAATGGTACAGGCGCCGAAAGCCGGACGTGGACTGCTACGTCGGAGAGGAGTTCCATGAGCCCATAGAGCACGAGGAGAGCTGCCCGTGCACGGACGAGGACTATGAATGGTTAGTCATGTTGCAAATATGCAGGCACGTTAGGCTGACCCGACGACCAGCGACTACAACTTCGTCCGGCAGGGCGATCAGTGCGTCCCTGTAGGACCGGAGCCTATTCCTGCGGGCGTGTGTCCTCCCGACAATCCGAATGCGATGTACATGGGTTCGTCAGGCTATAGACTCATCCCGGGCAACACCTGTGACAGGGAACGCGGCGTCAAGAAAAACGATCCTATCAGTAAGCCTTGTGCCAATGGTGAGCTTCTACCCCTGTGATGTCTTGGACTCAAATACTTATGCGCTATCTAGCGCAACCTGCTGAAGGCGAGATCGTCCATCAAATCGTAATGCCGTACTCTTCTTATGAGTGTGCATCTCACTAAGCTGTTCCATTAGTTCGAGTTCCCGGCTCCCGTCGTGCAATTCGCGTATTTCAAGGATTCTACGGTCAGATCATGGTACTCTCGCAGCTTACTGCCCTACTGACTCATTGCAGACGATACTTGTTCGCCTGGAAGATCACACTGTCTGGCAGTCGAGCAACGAAGGCTACACCTGGCAGCAAGTCCAGCCTGGGGAACGTTTCGTCGCCTTCTACCATCACGCCTACAGTCACGATCGTGCGTACCTCATCACTGGCACCAAACAATTCTACTACACCACCGACACCGGGAAGACGTGGCTGCCTATGAACGGACCTCTACCACCTAACAACCTCGGTCTACAGATCTTGCATTTCCATCCGGTTATCTCTGACTACCTGATTTGGAGCGGCAGCGAAGGCTGTGTCGGGTTCGGCGAGAGCTGTAACGTGCAAGCGTACTACACCCGCGATAACGGACGTAAATGGAACTTCATCGAGAAGTACGTCCGAAACTGCGCTTGGGCTCGGGATGCCGAGCTAGACGTGGACCCACACCAGATCATCTGCGAGGTCTACAAGAATCAACAGGGCAATCAGAGGTTCTTCCAGTTGGAGAACCCACTACAGTTGATCAGTGGGCGGAACTTCTTCGAGAAAAAGACGAAGCTCTTCGACCACGTTGTCGGATTTACCAAATTTAGCGAGTTCCTGATAGTCGCGGAGGTATGCAGTCTGCAATTGTCCCCAGTTACCCTTCGCTGAACCACGAGTCGTCCGTAGTATCAGGCACAACGGCAGACGCTGGATTTGCAAGTATCTCTGGATGGACGGACTTTCGCGAGCGGGATGTTCCCTCCCGATCTACGACCGGACCAACATGTAATGACTTTCTCTACGATTTCGAGAGCCCGTGTTGACTTCTCGACAGGCATACACTATCCTGGAATCAACCACCATGTCTGTGTTCTTGCATGTCACTACCTCGGAGCGGCCGAATCCATACTGGGGAAGCATCTTGAAATCCAACTCAAATGGGACATACTACAGTATTTCTCTCGAGAACGTCAATCGCAATGATGCAGGATACGTCGATTTCGAGAAGATGATCGGCCTAGATGGGATCGCCCTGGTCAATGTCGTATCAAATACACTGGAAGCCACTTTGACAGGACGCAAGGAACTTGAGACCCGCATCACCCACAATGATGGTAAGCACGCGGTCCGTCACCCACGGACGCACACTGATTGTGAGTCTTCTAGGCGGAACTTGGAAGCGGCTGGCACCCCCTCCCAAGGATTCTCTCGGCAACCTATATTGGTGTGACAGCACCGTAAGTGGTCCACCTTCTGAGAAGCATCGTTCGTCCCTGAAGTGTGTTTAGCGTTGCGCACTGCACATCCACGGATACACAGAACGCTATGATGCGCGTGCGACTTACAGCACGCCGTCTGTGCCTGGTCTGCTCATGGCCGTTGGGAACGTCGGCGAGACGCTAGCGGACTACACTGACAGTGACACGTTCCTGAGTCGCGACGCCGGCTTTACCTGGGAAGAGGTCCACAAGGACGCTCATCTTTGGGAGTTCGGCGACTCCGGATCCATCCTCATCATGGCGAATGACGAGGACGCGACTGATCACGTGCTCTTCAGTACTGACGAGGGCGGGAGCTGGCGAGAGTACAAGTTCACTGACGAGAGGATACGGGTCAAGGAAATCGTCACCGTTCCATCGGATACTAGTCGACGGTTTATCCTTATGGGATATTATCCCCGCTCGCCGGCCGTTCACGTTGCTGTTCATATCGACTTCTCGGCCCTCACATGGAAAGAGTGTCAGTGTCGAGACGTTCAATGCTACACGCGTTACTCACTTCCCATCTATTGCAGGTACCTTCAGCGTAGAGGACCCAGGTCACGACGACTTCGAACTCTGGAGTCCAAGCGAGAATCGAAACGAGCTGTGTCTCTTTGGCCGACAGGTGAGCAACAATGTGCACCGGGCGACACCCCACTTCTCATCGCGGCTTCACAGACCATGTATCATCGGCGTGTACGCGATGCCAGCTGTGTCGTTGGCAGTCGTCCGAAGGTCGAGGCGAAGGTAGTGCGGAATTGCGCTTGCCAGGAATCTGACTTCGAATGGTGCGTTGCCTGTCGTGTGCCGCATTTGCGATGTCCGCTGACGTCCCACGTCCAGCGAGTTCAACTACTACAGGGACGAGAGCGGCGAATGTGTCCTCGTTCCAGGCGCGGAGCGGCTTGCCGACGACGACTCGTGTAAGGGCGACGATGATTACTGGTATGAGCGCACGGCCTATCGCAAGATTCCCTACTCCAGTTGCGAGGGTGGCAAGCGCCTTGATCGCGGAGCACAACACGTCTGCCCTGGATTCAAGGCGCATGGCGCGTTCTTCTGGCTCATGATGTTCTTCATCCCGTGCGCGTTCGCAGCCCTCGCTGGATGGTGGTACGTCCGTAGGCGCGCAAGAGGGTACGTTCACTATGCGAGGCGCTCTGTGGCTTGTGCTGACCGTCGTACGCAGAGCCATTCGTCTACCCGGCGGAGACCTAGGCCCAAGATACGTAGGCGACTCCGGCGTCCTTGACACGCTCGCATCGGTGCCCTACTTCATCATGGCTGTGTTGGGGGCGACGTGGGAGACGATCGTAGAAAAGTTTGGAGATGCCACGACAGGCATGCGCACGCGCAGCGGGTACCGGTCGGTGCCCATCGACGAGGATGCGCAGATCCTAAGATTTGAAGACGAGGAGTAGGATAATGGGAGGTATATCGGTTAGTGCTGTTGTCTCGATAAGTACAGTGTAGTCTACCTCGTTTCGCTGTACATCGACGTTCATCTATGTATCATATTTATTTCCACCTCAACGCACCGTCTCGTCAGCCACAGTATCTCCTTGTTAGTTGCAAGGGCAAGTGCGAGGGCTTGGTCAGTCGATTGAAGATTCTGAGGTATCCCATGTGATTAGTACAATGTATCGCTACACGATTATACACAGCAGTCTGACAACAATCACAGCACAGAGTCCAACGCACGAGCCGAACGAGACGAGGAAAGCACGCGCAAGTACGCCACCTCCTGGATTTTAATCGATAACGCCGAGGTGGTCCTCCTTGATAGTCCCTATCGCGAACTAAAATAGTGGTAAGTGTATCATAGCGCGGCACGAGGCACCAGGAGGAAGGACTTGCGATTTCTGTGGCGTCGACACGCGTTCCGACAATTTTTAGTCTGACCTTCGTGTTTTTCTCGATGATCTGCGAGGCGGGGTGGCCATGAGGCGTCCGAGGGACGGTGCGCGCGGACACTACGTACCTGGTCTTCTGATGCGAACGACGGCGGGTTTGAATTTGGGTCGTATCGCATATCCGGGTGGATGAGCTGCAAAACGCGGTAAGCTACTGGCGGGAACGTGGCCGAGGGTGGTGCCCACCTGATGCGAGACGAAGACCGTCAGAGGCCCAACCTCGGCAAAAAAGCCCATCTAGTAACGGTGTGTTATGCTGCTAGTCACGAACGGAAGATATGCACGGCGTACCTTGTTGACATTGTTTACCACCCCGTCAACAACCTCACCCTTGAAGGGCTTGAACACGATGGCCCGGTACCGCGTAATGAACTCTGCTTGGCCACTGCCCGGTAGGACCATCCCCTTTCCTATGTCCAAGATGGAGACCACCGCGATAATGTAGCCAAACTGTCCGGAACAGGTGCCTTCAACATCGGAGTAGAGCTTGGACTCTAGGAATTGCAGCATGCGCGGGCCGAAGTAGGACGGGTGCAGGAGGATGGTGTGTGACAGCTCTTTCTAGATAGCCTGTTCAAAGAGATGCACCGAGTCGGGGATGTGCCGTACTCACAATGAAGAACATGGCGGACAATCACATCGGCAGCGAAGGATCGCCAACCAAGGTGCACGCTTCGACCACCGCGTCGCTCGAGCTCAACGCGTCGCGCGATGTGGCTCGCGAGGGCCAAATATGCTGTCTATCTACACACTAAGCGCTGTGGTATGGCCGGCTAGCTCAGTTGGTTAGAGCGTGGTGCTAATATTATATATGTGACGCCAAGGTCGTCAGTTCAATCCCGGCGTTGGCCAAACTTTTTCCACAGCCACTCTGAACCACGCCGCTTTGACGCTCCTTGTTTCTGTTCATCGACCTTTGTTTTCGTCGATGCGATCCTTCACGGGCTGCATTGATGTCCAACGTGTGGCTACCACTCTGACCTACTAGAAGGCTTCACCCTGGTCTTGCTTGTCCCCGATGTCCTTCAAGCGACCCCGCTCAGGTTCGCAGGCCTCTCTGTCGCAGGCCCCAGCGTCCTCCGAGTCTGCTGAGCCTACGCCCAAAGCCGCTCGTACTGCCCTCCCGAACACATCTACGGCTTCTGCGCCTCTACTGTGCACGCTGCCTCCAACATGTAACCCGCCAAACAACCGTCCCACCCCACTGGCAAATAGCACTGAACTTGAATCACACTACGCGACCTTCCATGCTCACGTCTGCGAGGAAAACGGATGTGGCTGTGTCTTTCCTGACGCACGACTGCTCGGGCTGGTGAGCATGCTTTGCTTACGCCACACGATACCTGTAGTGACTGCCGTTGTCGCTGCGATGGGACTGAGCTAGCACCAAACAGAATGCCACGACCCGATCGCGGCGGTAAAGAAAGATAGAGGAGAAAAGATTGTACGTTCTACGTCTGTGAACCCCTTCCAGTTCGTTGATGCGCCACTCTTCCCAGTTTGCCTGCCACTTGGCTAGCTGCTCGCGCCTCTTCCTAACTCCCAAGGCCCGTCGATTGCATCTCATCCAAGGACACGGCTACCCCAAGGAATACTTCTTCGCCGTGACGAACAAGGGCGTCGGGGGCCTTCTGAAGAAGTGGGGAGAGGGCGCGAGCATGATCCGCGGCCAATGGAGATCACGCGATCAAGAGAAAATGGACCAGGACAGCGACTCTCAGAGCGAGGATAGCGATACTGAGACAGTGGCTGGTCCCGGCATGCACGCTGGACCGCGGCTGCCGATAGACGAGGATACGGAGGAGGATACACCGGCGAAGCAGCCAGACGACGCTGTGCAGGGTCTCACAGGTGCGCTCGACGCCCTTTCCCTCGTCCCGTCGAACGTCAAATTTGGACGGGGCGGGAGCATGGGCGGCTTCCGGCAAGGACTTAGCCATGGGAAGCTGGTTCCCGGTATCATACCGATGCATGACGGTCCGCTGCTGAGGAGGGGTTTTGGACGTGGACGTGGGCGCGCTAGAGGTGCTTCGAATGGGAGAGGTGCTGCAGCTACGCCCCAAGCAGGTGTGGACGGCAGACAAGGAGAACCGCAGGCGTCGGGAGCCTCAAGCGCGGCACTTGGGGCGGGAGCTGCGACAAGGGGTGCTCGTGGATCTCAACGCGCACGCGTAAGCGTAAGGGGTGGAGGAAGGGGGCAGTTCAGAGGTGGAAAAGGTCGTGGATCATAAAGGCGAAGAGGATCTAGCGGTGCGTGTTGACTATATGAAGAGTGCTTGTATTCCCCGAGACAGCAGTTCCTACGCAGGTTGTATGAATTAGCGAGTACGATTGTTGGTTAATCCGGGTGCCCGATATCTGACCTCGGTACGGATGTACTATCAATGTTTGCTGTATTTGCTTGGTTGCCGTTGATGTTCTCCCCGCGCACGTCCAGGCTCGTTTTTCGCAACGCTCCGAGTCCTACAGGTTTGTGAAGGGTCAGCCTGGGGTCAACTACCGCGATCCCATGACCCCACGTCAGTGCCCATTCTTCCCATACGGACGCCGTGCTGTCACAGCGGCCCGGATTCGTGGGCGTAATGAGTCCCCGACCTTCCGGCTTTCATGTCCCTCAACGTCCCACGCAAGAAGAATGTTACTCAGGATGGTCTCGATGCTCACTTCACTGTCGCTCACATCATATTCTCCCATCCAAGGCAGTGTTATGACACTTCGATCAATCTCCGGGCCGCCAGGTGAGAGGACATAACGTCCATGGACGCGGAATGAGGACCATGACCTCGACTTCATCTGGCACTGACCAATGGCAGCCATCTCTAGTTAAAGTCAACGTTCCGACGTATAGCCAGCGGGAAGCAATTTCGCCCTGCCAGGTATATAAGGCCGGGGTTGTTGAGATGCACGGTGTCGAGACGCACGCATTATGTTGTTTCTTCCCGCATTGCTGACCACGACAGCCTTTGTCCCGTCGATCTTTGCCGCTCCTTCGAGGACCGAGACGGCGAAGCGGGCTACCTGCACAGTCGACTCTGCCGAAGTTGCTGCAGACCTCTCGGGTTGCTCGAGTGTCGAGCTCACGTCCTTCACAGTTCCCAATGATAGTGAGTTCATCTCGTTACATGATCTTTCGACTTGTGCTCAAAAGATCTTACAAGCTACGATCACGATGAGTGTGAGCAACACACAGCTGTCAGTACGACTACGTCGAGTCCTCACCGCTAGTGTCCAATTAGTTTGCGGAAGGGGCGACAGTCACTATGACCGGCGAGGTTACATTTGCCAGCACAGTCGGTAAGCTGCCTTCGCGTTAACTGTGCCTATGAATTGCGACTGACTACCCTCGAGCTTCCGGCCCTCTCCTGACATTCCGTGCGTACCTTCAAGTACACGGGTAGCTCAGAAAATCATATGGCACAGAGGGAACGAATGTCCAGTTCAACGGCAACGGCATGATGTTCAACGTTAGTGCTGATTCTCTCAGGCCCGCCTTGAGAGCCACTGGTGACTACAATGCTTCTCTAGGGCAACGGCGCAGACTATTGGGACGGTCTGGGGACGAACGGCGGAAAACCGAAACCCCATCCATTCATTGCGTACGTACCGATCGAATTTACGAACCCATAGACCGAGTCGATCCATGGTAGGATTGAGGCCTCAGGCACATTCGAGAATTTCGTGGTACGTCTTGCGCTTGCTGCTAAGCGGATGTGCCTCGAGCCCAGCGCTGACGCATCGTCACTGTAGGCGTACAATACCCCTGCCCAGGCCATTCGCGTACAGCCTGCTGCTGATATAGGCCCTTTGATCATCGATGGTGTGTACGTGAACAACGCAGCGGGCGACGCAGACGAACTCGGCCACAACACCGATGTGAGATACCTCGAGTCTTGCGTGGCACCGGACAGGCATTTAAACTCACGCATTGATACACCAGGGCTTCGACGTCCGGGGAACAGATATCACCATTCAGAATAGCAGTATGTTTGCCCTTTCACCGGCGCACTGACCGAGGCCGACTTGTAACATTCCTTAGTCGTCGAGAACCAGGATGACTGCATCGCCATCAACGACGGCTCAAACATCCTCTTCCAGAATAACGTCTGCTCTGGAGGCCACGGTAGGTTTCCCACCCCGAGAGCTCGAAGCCATATGTGAAAATGTTTCTGCAGGGATGTCCATTGGCTCTATTGCTACTGGTGACTTCGTCACGGGCGTGGTCTTCAGTCACAACACGGTCTCCAACTCGATGTATGGCACGCGCGTCAAGGCTCAGAGTGCAGCAACAACTGGGGCCGTCAGCAACGTAACATGGACCGGGTATGTGATGGCGATCTTCGAGAATTGACTATGTCTGAAGCCTGACACAGCAATACCATCTCTGGTGCTACGAAATATGGCGTCCTCATCACACAGGTCTGCTGCCACGTCGTCTATGATTTCGATGTACGCTAAGCGGGGACGCATAGTCTTATCCGGACGACGACGGTACGCCGGGTGTAGATACACCATTCAGGTCTGTCGGCTCTTCTTCCAGCGATCGAGTACCAATTGTCGCTTAACTCTTTCAGCGATGTAAACTTTGTCGGCGACCCTACCAGCGTCACTGTGGTCGAGGATGCCCACAGGGTGACCGTGGATTGCGGAAATTGCGCTGGGTACGTCACAGAGGAGGCTCCCTTCGTCTTGCAGCGTATTGACAGTGTTCTCCGTAGTACCTGGGACTTTTCTGGACTCACAGTGGGTGGTGGCCTTGCAGGCACCATCGTATCTGGCGATGCGACGGTAAGACAGATGACCGTTGATGTGCAGGTTCGTCACACTCAATCTGATATGCATGCACAGATCCAGGGCGGGTCGTTCTGAGCGCGTCCATGGTGTGATGTCTGACAAAGTTTGAGCAAACGCAGCATCTCATCGTCGCACACTTTCAACGGATAATACTTTTGCATTATCCCTGAGAAGCTATGCGTTTACGCTGCTCGCAAATATGCAGGATTTTGATAATAGTTCACCGGCAGCGATTGTAATCCACGGACATCATCGAATCGAACATTATAGGAATGGAATAGGAATCAAAGGACACTGCAGTGTATACCTGACGTTGACCAACTCGTTATCGCACAATGAACCGCGGACTACCGTAGAACGACGAAATTGACTCGGGAAACATCAAAGGGGCTTCATCCATGTTCCTAATCTATCCTACGTGGAAGACTCTGGACAATAACGAGCTCCTAGGACTGTTCCGTAATTGAGGCCGATGGACCTGTACAGTCAGTCATATAGCCCCCAACACAGTGAATGGTGAGACAACAACATATGTGCAAGTAATAGAGACGATGCAGACCTTCCTGCATCCATGAGCGTAGACCATCTCGAGGACGTCATCGTGGACACTGTCGCAGGTACCTAAGCAGAAATGCGGAAGCTGAGCGCCATGGACGTATAGCTGTGGGCCACACTGAGGCAGACCGTGGGCAAGAATAGATTCACCTACCGTCTCTCGTATGAGCACTGCGACGCGAGCGGTCTACAAGCCTGACAGACGTACCTGCACTGTCAGGGTGCAGTAGGCCAACGTAATGGTGCTGCGTTCCCAAGCAGTCTGTGGAGGGATGCAGGGCATTATCGATTCGCTAACGCACTGGCAGAACGACAGGGTGACTGCATTTGTTCCGGATAACACGCACTGCAGTCACAGTTAATCAACTGTCGGTGAAGTCCTCACAAAGCTGCCTCCGTGATAATTTGTATATGTAATGAGCTTGTGAAGAGTATAGATACACAAAAATCCGTCGGTTTGTATCTAATCTTCCTTAGTGACCCGGGGGCTTCTGTGATGCGTGGAGCACTCACCAACAACCTGGGGTAACGGGAGCGGGCCGCCTCAAAGACGGAACGTCTCCTTCAGAAAGCGGCCAAGCCTGTCTGTCAATACTACTTCAACATTTGATCCTCTTGCTTTCAGTAGCGGAAATCCTTCTGAGACGACCGAAACGGTGTCGTGGCGTGTCGAAATGGATTCTCCCAGGAAGACAATGACTATGGTGATCCGTATGTTTGGCCGAGCGAATGAGGCCAGAGTTTCGTCAACGCTCTCGAAGTCCCACTTTTTGACTCTAGGCATCATGAACCCCATTCGTATCTCTTCTATGCAGTCTGTGTTGATCAGGTTCAGCATGTCGACGATGTAGCCGGTGTTGATGGTGGACCTCCATCGGATCACCGGTTCGAATGTCAGCGACCGCAGAGAGCTCAACCGCATTGAGCCTATGTCCTTCATAACTACCCCCGGTTGACTAATCATCAGTATATGCGGTAAAGCTATTGAGGTGCAGTAGGAGGCGCACCGGCAGAGAAGTGATCTATGTCACTGTCCGGTATATGATGAAGCACCAAAGTTCGGAGCGATGATTGTGAGTCCCAAAGGATCTGCGGGCAGGCGTGTTCGGCACCGAAGTCGTAGTCAATCTCCAGAGATTGCAACTGAAACTTGAACCGTATAGCGCCGTGCAGGAGATAATATTCCACAGACTCAGACACTCGCAGAAACACGAGCTCTTGAATGGTACTCGAAGGGATGTCCCAATAGGAGGGCTCCAAGGATGCCCCGAAGTCGAATGTGGGAGGGGTGTCGCCGCCGCTGTCGATATGGAACGAGGGAGGGACGTCGTCGACTGGTCCGCCGTCGACATCTATCAAACGCACAGTGCGGAGGGTTGGACAGGCGGACAAGAGTCTCGCTATATTCGGTCCGTGGTAGATCCCGCCTCTGAGGATTATTGTTGACAGGAAAGGGTAGACGGTGTTCACGATCGGCGATGTGCATATGACGACGCGGGTGGCAAACTTGAGATGCAGGTGGGACAATTGGGTCACGCGTAGCAGAACAGATGAGAACTCGAATGGGTCGCTGTGAGGGACGTGTCCTCGCTTGATGGTTAGGCTGCGAACGCAGGCGGGTAGGTTCGGCGAGTGATCTAGGGCGTCCACGAAGCGGTCGTAGGCATGCTCCGTGGTCAAGCGAACGTGTCGCAAGAGATAGTGCCGGGCAGTGGGCCGCCACGTTTTGCACGTAAGGCAGCAGGTGGCGAGGGTTCCCTTGTGCTTGCGGAGGTGGTATATGATCATGTCCCATACTTCGGCGGGTAGTATTTGCCTCGCAGGCAGTCCCGCTTGCACTGCTGCCATCTGTGCGACTCAATTCATTCAGACGTACTCGTTTGACTGGGACAATACTCACACCTGCGCCAAGGATAGTGGTACGTGTTTACGTTCAGCTGCTGGACCAGCGGCTCGAGCGCGCGGGGCTGCACTGCTTCATTGCGATGACTGACCCGAAACAACCCACTATAGAAGAGTACTTACTAGTGCTTACCAAAGGGTAACAGTCATTACATTTTGTGTGCAGCATGTTGTTACCGTGGGAACGTATGGGGTGAACGTGGCAAGACGAGGGAGCGGGCGATGTACGCCTTCAAACCTACAGCCGCTGTGGTCACGCTGCACACACTCACAGCCGGCCAAACATACTCGAGTCGTGGCAGCACCGCTGTTCCCTTCTCTTCAATACCCTCCTTTGTCGCAGACTCTGGTTCGACCGACCCCTTCAACTTCATGACATCCTGGTAGACTCCGGCATGGACCAGTCAACCCTACTGTACGCAGGCGCGACATTGTTCGCGATCACATTTACCTCCGTGAGTGCGTGTCGTTCTGCCTGTGCTACGTGTCTTTTGGCACACGTGTGATGAGCACCATATCATCCTTGTTCTACGAGCTGCGGGCCATCGCGCGCCGTGGTGAGGACGAGAGCTTACGGTCATGGCGATACGTCGCCTTACTGACAAGTCATTCATGACACGCGTATCCGTACCTCACAGAGACAGATTCTGATCGAAGTCCGTTTCACAGTGCTACGTTGTCCTCATCATATTATCTCCTGCGCCTCGTAAAGCACACCCATCCGAGAGAACCTACCGATCCGCCAGTTCTCCTACAAAACCTCTCCCTCTCGGCTCCGTCGCCGATCCAGCCTCAGTTGACCTCAGCGTCATCGTCCCCGCCTACAATGAGACCACGCGGTTACCCGACATGCTCCAGGCTGCCATCACACACCTCAAGAACCCCACACTGAAGGCCCGGACGTACGAGTTCGTCGTCGTGGACGACGGGAGCTCAGACGACACGGCCGACTTGGCGCTGAAGTTCGCTGTGGACTGCCCTGAGAGCGAGATACGCGTCGTGCAGCTGGTGAAGAACGCGGGCAAGGGCGGTGCGGTCCGACACGGCATGCTGCATGGGCGGGGAAGGCGTCTGCTCATGGTAGACGCGGACGGTGCCAGTCGGTTTGAGGATTTAGAGCTGCTGTGGGAGGAGATGGACAAAGTCGCGCCGCACGAAGAGGCCTCTGTGGTCGTCGGAAGCCGTGCGCATCTCGTGAAGACGGAGGCGGTGGTGAAGGTACGTGCCTACCCCGTCTCTGACCATTATGCTTCCTGACCAAGCGCCCTCAGCGCTCATTGCTACGCAACATACTCATGTACGGCTTGCACACCATACTCCGTATCGTCGGTGTCGGGCACATCCGCGACACGCAGTGCGGCTTCAAGCTTTTCTCGCGGGCCGCGGCACAGAGCATCTTCCCCTACCAGCACCTCACCACGTGGATCTTCGACGTCGAATTGCTACTCCTCGCGAAGCAACTCCGTATGCCTGTCGCAGAAGTGCCCATTGAGTGGCACGAGGTCTCCGGGAGCAAGCTGAACGTCGTCACGGACTCGCTGCAGATGCTGAGGGATCTGCTTGTTCTACGCGCGAACCATCTGCTCGGGCGGTGGAAGGTCGGGCCTCCGTTGGCTAAGTCGAGTACTGTACAGCCGAATGGCAAGTAATGGATATCGAGTCTCATTGGATGATGCCACCATTGAAGAGACGACAGCGCCTTAGGCTTGCGTGGTGAGGTCCGTGAGGACACCTTCATCTGTATCTCAATAAGTAAGCACTCTTCGAACGTCTCGTCAGTCATGTCTTTGAGACTGGGCGGACTGGGTCCGGTGGACCGGTAGTACAGAAACGAGGGAGTGACCTCAATGGCCTCTTGAACATCCACTAAGTTACTGTTCATTTTGTTCAGCATATCGTGCACTCCAGGTGGCAACTACATATAAAATCAAACTATACGATGACTTGCATGCGGAGGAGGTATTTACTACAAGCAGGATGGGCACTATACACGATAGCAAAGATAGCAATCATACATTGTTGAAGCAGATGGGTTATGTCATGTAGGGGGGAAAGATGATGGGATGGGGAATCTAATCAAGCACCTTGAACTATCTCGCAACACTGTGAGTCACCATTTGTGGCGGGCTCAGGGATGTTGCAATACGGGAGCGACGGCAACCAGTCCGCGTTGTTCGAGGAGTCCTTGCACTCTACCGCAAGACGATTCGTCGCCGCGACGTACGGCAAGCCGTTCACGATCTGCTCGCGGACTTGCGCCGCACCGATCTTCAGATCGTCCACGCGCGAGATGTGGAAGATCACGGAGAGCGCCGACTGGGCAGCTAGGAGCTTGGCCAGCTGCTCGTCCGTCTCGTTCCACAGCATGTACTCGAGGTCGGCAAACCGCAGCTCGAGGAGCACCTCCCGGATGTACTTCGTGTGCACGCTGTCGAGCAGCGCGGGGATCCAGTTGACCAGAAGCGACCGGCCGTCGGGGCTCTCTATCTTAAGGTGCAACGAGCGCAGGCGCGTGCTGTAGGCGAGGGTGAAGTCGAGCAGCGGCGGACACGCGTCCTCGACGGGCGGCGCGAGCCAGTCCGACAACACGAGGCAGCCCTTCAGCGTCCGGATGTTGCATGCGAGCGTGGCGTGCTCTAGCTCGGGGCCGGAGCGCTCGAGCGCACGGCCGACGTCGGAGGATACGGAAGGATGTTCCCAAGCGACGTGGAGCGCACGCAGGCGGGAGCCGATGGGGCCGTCCTTGGCGAGCCAGCCGAGCACGAGCGGCGAGGTGCCATGGAAGTAGAGCGTGTCAATACGGTTGTCGCCGAGGGGGCGGGCGGCGACCAGGGGCCGCTGGCGGAACGACCAGTGCACGTCGTGTAGGTGCAAGCGGGCGAGCCTGGGGATTGCGCAGAGCATGACGGCGAAGTCGTTCCCTGCGAATGCGACGTCTTGCATGTGGACGACCTTCACATTCGGGAAGCACCTCCGTAGGTTGTGCCGTGTGTCGTCGGTCATAAGCGTCGCACACCAGTTCCGTATGCTGAGCTCCTCGACATGGCGCAGGCGGAGGAGTATCCGCGGCGCGTCCTGGTCCATCCACGTGAAGGTGGGGTCACAGATGATGGCCAGCCCGTAGATATAGGCCGCGATCTCTGGTGCTTCGTCGAGGATACTTTCGAACTGACGGTAGCGGTACGAGCCCAGGAGGCGGACGAAGCGGAAGAGGGTGACTTGGGCCGGGGCCACCCAGGAGCGGCTGGCGAGCCCGAGGGAGCTGAGCGAATGCGTATCATTGGAGAGGAACTCGGCGACGAGATGGCGGAGCTCTGGAGGCAGGCGCGCTGACCATGAGGACTGCTTAACCTGCGGTGATTTGGGCGGCATGAGCCTTCTTCCGACGTCAGCGGGAGAATATGAGAGGAAGTATGTGGCTGGGGCCGCGCTAGCATGTTTTCGTTCGCGCATTATGGTGTACGTGCTTCAGTCGTATGTAAAGGCGGCGCCCTGTGGTAAAGTGTGATAAATCACAATATGGTCTGATTGGCCACCCCGACTTTGAATGACAGCGATAAAACCGGCCCATAATCGATCAGCGACCGCAGACGTCGAGCAAGCCATATGTGCCACGACAGATTGATCAGAGCACCAAGAACACAAAGGCATCGTAAGCTTGGAGATATGTTTGCGTTGCGTGTTTTCGGGTGGTGTATGTCAGGCAGATGCGGTCCAGAACTCACCATACAGGTTTGCAAGTCCTTCGTTACAGCCAGATCGGCGATGGTGCGTGCTGCTGTACTAGCCGTCAGACGATTCCTGACTTGAGGCACGACACGAACGTTCGCTATGCGCGATCATATAGCGGTTTGCCAGGCCCGGGTTGTCGATGTGACAGTGGGCAGACTGGTCTCAATCAGAGATATCAGCGCATTCGAGGTGACGAGCGAATGATGAGGGAGCTCGTCGCCAGGTGGGAGAGGACGGGGACGAGGGGATGGGAAGGAGACGGGCTCAAGCATATCTCGCGCGTCGGGGGGGCCGCGAGGCAGGCGTGGCCTGCCCGATAAGGCAGTCGACGCCACTTAGTCACGGGCACTTGTTTAGCCTTTAGTAACTTATGTGTATCCGTCCACTTCAACATGGCCATATGGTCACCTCCATCACATCGCTCCCCGGGTCATCAGTTTCGCTGCTCACTCTCTATAGTGTCGCGGACGTAGACATATACGGCTGCAAGCGCGCATCCTACTTTCCTCCCAAGGTCGGCGCCACGAGGCGTAGTCTATCTCTACTAGTACTAATCTAGCGGCCACACGAGCACATCCAGAAGCCACACTTTAGGTCATTGGAACTCGCATCGAACCAATAGGTGAGCTAAACTAGGACTCATGCATCGGTTGCCGCACTCTTGACCCACGCCAACCAGCAGCGTTTGATCATCCGCAGGTTGCATGTGAAGGCCCCGTCATCGATGAGCACCACCGGCACGTTCACGACAAACATGATTATCGCAGCTGCCGCCTACGCCCCGTTGGAAATCTGCATCGACATCTTCGACCGCCTGGAGGACGACCGCCAAACGCTCCAATCTTGCGCGTTGACGTGCCGCGCGTGGCTCAATGCTGCACGGCTCTACCTCTTCAGGACGGCCAAACTCAACAAGGAGTCGATCCCAGGATTCAGGGCCATTCTGAGTCATGCCCCCGCCATCGGATTCTGCGTCCGCGTTCTGCACCTCAACGCTACCGCGGCCCAAGGTTTCCAGCTCCTGCGGGATCTACCCAATGTCAAACACCTCATGTTGAGCGGTTGGATCCTTAGACATGAAGTCGACGACAACCTGGCAGCATGTCTCAACAAGCTCGACACACTAGAGCTCAACGACTGCAATTTCACCGCCGCAGAACTACCCCGTATCCTATCGGCTTGTCACGGACTCTCCAGCTTGTCTCTCCGAGACGTTACCTGGCCTCTCCTTTTCGGACCACGTGGTCGCTGGCCGAGGTTTTGTGATCTTTCGCGCGACGTACTGCAAATCGTCCCGAAGAGTCTACTACATGTCCAGAACTTCTCAATCATCGATTGCACGATGCTCGTCTGCGAACTCATCACACGAGGAAAGATCTTCAAGCAATCTCCTTGCCTCACCTTGACGCATCCGGAGACCGGCGTCATGCAGCGACTTCTGACTCGTTGGGGCCCTTCGATCAAGGATCTCAAGTTCATCTTTGCCGACCAGAGAGACACAGAAAAGTGTGAGTACGCCTTCGTTGGAGACACGTACGGTCATTTCTGACGTCTCCCCCAGTACCACCTGACCTCGATGCTCTTACCGAGCTGGTCTCGCTCACCATCGAGCGCAGACCTCTCGGGGACATCAAAGGATTGCCCATCTGGCTGACCCGCGCCCTGAAGCACGTCCGCTCCTGCGATTTTCGCCATCTCAAAGTCATAACCGGCGTAGGCTGGCACCTCGAGACGCGTCGCGAGCACTGGCAACCCGTACTCGACGCGTTGGGGGACCTGGCGAAACGCTCCGGCGGTGTAAACTTCGTCTTCGAGGCACGCCACACTTCAGATTACTACCGCGGCCGCGCGAGTGTGCCATTGAAAGACCTTCTGGAGGCGACCTTAGTGCGCGAAAGTCCGCCCGGCTTGACGGTTGAGGTCGTGGTCCATACGGATTCTAAGGAACCTCCCCCGTAGGGGGACTTACAATCACGACGAACGTACGACCAGATTGCTGTACACTATGTCCAAGGATTCGGTCTTTCTGTGTATCTCTGTATCCTTGTATCAAGCTACCGCTGCCCTGTCTATCCTTGACTCTGTTCGTTTGATGAACGGGAACTTCCTCCACAAAGTGGTGTGCTCGTACTTTACTAAGAAAAGCTGCTGTTCAGCATAGGTAGTGAGTGTAGAAATATATGACCCCCTCGCATGGACATTGGCTTGGTTGGACCGCAGAGTCGTGAATGCAGTACCTCATCTTACACACGCCTAACTCAAAATGGGAGATACTGATCAGACGGCACAAACAAGACCAAATATGCACCCACAAGTTGGATGTCCGACGATTGAGCTTGGATTGAGCGACCACGCGGTTCATGGTAAGTATCAAGTAGATTCCGTCTGCACCGTGAGGTTGCTCTGACAGCTTGAGTTCCGACCGAACGCTGGAGCGCTGACGTCGGGCCAGTACTCTGTTCGTGGTATTACCCGGGTCGAAATAGAGCTGGCACTAGCCTCAAGTGCCCGTCAGCCGACGTTCAAGTTGCGCTCATTATCATGTGAGTACTATCATTGTCGAGACATGGACCATCACGTCCACGGTTTTCCCTTCTGCATCAGCCCAGACCTCGGGCTTGAGGCGAGCGACATTCGTACCAGTGACTGAGTACAACAGTACAACAGACAACACTGCTTGTCGGCGGACTTGTGCAAGCTGGCAACAGCTGTGGCGTTCACGTGTTGACGCACGACCTTGCGTCCGCACATACAGCAGGAGACCCATGTGGCGTAACAGTAAGGCCGAAGCGTTCATCCGCTGTTATAAATCCTCCGTTGCTCTATCGTGCGTGCAGCCTAGCCTTCGAACAGCCCGCTGGCTTCACACTCGTTCGCCTCGAGTCACCATGCGCAACGCTCTCCGTTCCTTGGCAAAAGACCTGAAGAGACATACGTCGCATTCCGTCGAACGGGCTCACAGACCATATTCGCGAGGTAACGGCGTTCCACCTCTGAGTCTGGTGCATTCAACTGATTCTACTGTTGCTAGATGAGGAACGAGGATTCTATCAGTATACGACGGGTACATGGCTATATAATCGGACAGCGCGTAAGTCTTCTCATCAGTTTGATCTGTTGCTATAGTCTGAGGCTGCGTCATAGAACTCAGTGTACGCCAACTGGCATTCGATGTTGATGCCTTGATTCTTCGATGCATCAAGGCCGGTCATGCAACGTCCTGTGTCTCGTTTACCAAGCTTGCAGAAGGTTTGTTTGCCACCTCTCAGTTTTGTGTATGGTGCTCAGAGCATTTGTTCAGGAACATCTAATAGGGGTTTCGTCGCCCGATTAGATAACGGCAAGGAACTCATCGCGCGATTGCCGTTTCCTGTAGCTGGGCCGGCGCATCTCACCACTGCAAGCGAAGTGGCTACCATGGAGTTCGCGAGAATGTCTATGAAGACGCCCACGCCTGTGACTCTTGACTATTGCACGGACGCCTCCGAAACGGAAGTGGGATCGGAATTTATCATCATGGAGAAGGTTCCTGGAGTGCAACTGTACTCGAGGTGGAATGACGACCTTCCCATTAACGACTTTGCGAGTGTCACGCGTGACCTTGTACAATTCGAGAGGGCCTGGGCGGACGCTCGCCTGCCTTACATTGGGAGCCTGTACTTTGCCAAAGACTTACCGAAGAACACTCCCTCTTTCAATTTACCCGGCGAGTTTCCACGCCATGTGCAATGGGGTCGCTTTGTCATTGGCCCCAGCGTCGCGCGGAAGTTCTGGAGAGGCGGTCGGGCGCAGCTCAATGTCGACCGTGGTCCTTGTGCGTAATGAAGTCTGCAGCATAGCTCGTCATGAACTGACATCAATGGCAGGGAAGGATCTCCGTTCTCAAATCAGCGCTACTATTCAATGCGAGATTGAATGGCTTCGACGTTGTGCCAAACCATATCCACGTCACAGTCCCCTATATCGTTCTGAGCGAGAAAATTCGCCAGCAACGCACATCGACGTCCTCCAGCGCTGTTTGCAAGTCTTGCCTTTCCTCCCGGATCTACCCGAGTTCTCTACGTTTTGTGTCTGGCATCCGGATTTGCACGCGTCAAACATCATCGTCGACGAGACTGGGCCTTTGACTCCGAGGTTCTTCATCGACTGGCAAACTGCCACAGTGGAGACCCTGGTCGATATTCCCATGCCACCATTCTTGTCGTTCGACCGCGGCAAATATATCAAAGCCGTATACGGGCCTGCAATGCCACCTAGCCTTCCAGATGGATTCAGCCAGCTGCCTGAGCACGAACAACAAGTTGCGCTGACAGAGCAGCGACTCGCTGCGCGTTCACAGTATTACCATCACGTCACACAGCGTCTCAACCCTGCATTGCATGCAGCGCGCTTCTCTTCGTGGCAATCAAGGTACCAAGCACTTCTTGAATGTCCATCACATACATGGGAGGAAGGCGTCGCGCCTCTGAAACAAGTTCTCATCGATATATGGCAGTCTTGGGACGAGATTGCCCCCCATACGCCGTGCCCTGTCTCCTTCGACCCTACCGAAGTCTATATCAATGAGAAGAGCATCGTGGGTTGGGCGCGGGAGGAGTCGGTCAAGATGCTCTACCGCGAGATCGGTCTTGGTCCAGATGGCTTCGTCAAGGAAAACAAACTCGATGAGGTACGGCGTCGCAATCGCGAGGCGCTGGAGCGCACAGTGGCGGAGGTAGATCACCCGGACGACAAGGCATACATTCGTCGGCGGTGGCCCTTCCAGGATGATGCCTTCTCTCCTACGGCTGAGACTTGCCTTTAGAGTTCGTATAACGTTGTAGCTACATCGTAACCATGCTTATTGACCTCCAACGCATACAAGCCTGCTGCAAAGTCTGGTATCGAGAGCTGAGACAGTCATGGTCTGATTCATGTCGCCGGAGAAGGACCCCGCACGCGCTACCTAGTGTTGAACGAGTCCTACGCGGTTTGTGAGGTAGTGTCGTGGCAACCACTCCGGGGGAGACCACGACTTGCCCATGATCCCTGCCGCAACCATCTGTGCCAATGCTTCCGCACTACGGGTGAACTGCCGTCAGCATCTGACACGCTGCGGTGTAACCCAAACGCACCAAGCGAATGCACGCGGCATGCCGTGTCCACTATATCCTGCAGAGACGAAGTGGCCTTCGTATTTGTTCGTAGAACTAGAGGGATCGACAACAGGCCCAACCTTCATTGACATGGATTCAGCCTTTGAGGCATTATTGATGCACGATGATCACTCACGAAAGGATCGCTGCTAGCTGTGTACCCCATGATACCGGTCCATTCCATCTCCGGTTCGCGTCCCTCCTCATACTTGCCCGGGAACAGCGTAGGCAAGAACTTCCTGAGTGCAGCCCCTGCCTTCGGATTGATCGCAGAGTCATCAGCGACATACAACTCGTACTTCGGCAAGGTCGCCTCCCGTCCGCCGCCTATGATCACCAAGGGATGTTCCTGGCCCTCCTCGAGCGGACGAGGGAACCAATACTCAAAGCCCTCGTTGCCTGTCCACGCGTGCCGAGAAATCGAGTCGAGAGGCGCGGCAGCGCGGAGCGCCATTACTTGTGCGCGGACAGGAATCACTCCGGCAGGCCCGCTCATGTGTGGGAGCAAGTGCGATACGTGAGCATTCGTAGCATGGATGATGCGCGTGCAGGAAACGGAGCCGCGTGGTGTGTTGAGCGTCCATGGGCGCGTAGATGAGCCGTTGGAGGGCGTGACGGCGGTTACGGGGGTACGCGTGTGCAGGGTGAGGTTCAAAGCAGGAGAAGCGGCGGCCAGCTTGTAGAGCTCGGTGACGAACTTGAGGGGCCATAGATTATAGCCTGTGTGAAGGTAGCCTGGGTGTGACGAGCCGAATGTCTTATGTAACTGGTCAGTCTATGTGATGCGACTTTTCGTCGTTCACTGGATGGGCGTACCTCACCCTCATTCAGCCATTTGACATCGTCGAGGTCTGCACCTGCGGCCTCAGCTGCCTTGTAGTCGGCCTTCGCGGCCGTTAACTCCTCAGGTGTGATGAGAAGTTCAATCCTCCCGCCGTTAGTCAGGTCCACCGCTTCCTGTAGGCCATGCTCTTCGATAATCTTCACGACCTCAGTCACGGTATGGCGCTCGAGGGCGAGCCACCGCAAGACTTCGTCCGTGCCGAACCTTTGTAATGCGAGATTGAAGGAGGCAAAGGCTACTGGGGACAGGTGCCCGCCGTTACGCCCTGTTGACCAAACTTAGACTACACTTTCGACAATACTACTACATAGCAAGCACCGCACCTGTCGCCCCTGCACCTATCGGCGCACACCCGTCCGTTGAGGTCATATTCTCAAAAACCAATGAGGGCGACACTCACAGAAGTCCCTGGCATCCAGAATCACAACTTTCAACGGCGCGGCACGCTCGCGACCCTCCAGCTGCTTGCCCAAGTGATACGCCGCTGACACACCTGTGAGCCCGCTTCCAATGATGCACACATCCGCGTCCTCCGTCAGCGGGCCCTGGCTGCCTTCACCCGCGAGAGGGTTCGCGCCTGGGGAGTTGATCCAGAAAGACTTCGTCCAGTTCGCTACGGGCAGAGGGGCCTTTCCGTGGTCGACCGGCAGCTCGAGTGCACGCTGCGAGTCGGCGAGGGCGCTCGTAGGGACTGGCAGCGTCCCCATAGTCAGTGAGAACAAGAACCAGACACCGAAGAGCCTCTGGAAAGGCATGCCCGCCGCTCTCAGGGAGGGAGGGATCATGGTCTATGTAGCGAGACCAGCATGTGAGGACATCCTGCGCCGCAGACTCCGAGTCACTCATTGAGCAGCCTAGACCGTCGTGTATGCCGACCGCGGCGGGCACATGCATGCTTATCGACATACAGCTCAAGTCATTGTCAAAGCCCAAGCCTAGGCAAGCTCAGAGACTAATGGACAGTGAGGACATTGCACCGACGATGGACGTATGACGGTGGTGGCTGTGCGGGTGAACAAGGCTTTATGGATGTTGTCTGCAAGTTGAAGTTAGGGGGGCGTCAATGGATGACATGTGCACTTGGGCACGTCTCGTATACACTCTCCACGGTGTCGGCAATGATACAGCGTACAATAAAATTACAACCGTAATGTACATGTCCACAATGAGCAGGCGAAGATGACCCCGTGCCAACCATCCGACCACTGGCAACAGTGAGCACACCCAGTGGCGGACTTGCAGTCTTGCACACTGTCATCAGCGAAAATACAGAGTCAGAATCAACGATTGCAAAGAACCTCATATTAAGAGCCTATCGTCTTGTGCTAACACCATTCCCGTTCTGCGTCGCTGACTTTCTGCTGGAACGTGATCGATGTTTGTGGTGGCCGTGCGATTGGCCATGCGGATGTGAAGGCGCAGGCGCAGGTACACCTGGTGAAGCTTGTGGTACGGGTGCGGGGGCAGACTCGGCAGCAGCGGGGAAGGGGACTGAGTATGAGTGATATTGTGGGGGTATCGGGTCTCGCGCGAGGTAGTGTAGGAGGGACGGTTGTGCTGGTGCTGCGATATCAACGGCGTCCAGCAGTAGGCTACGACGAGTGGGTAGTTCGATCAATCGCATCTCTGAAGTGCACGACCAGTACTCACTTGCATTCGTCCTGCAACTTCTTGACTTTGTCCTCCGCGAGTGCGAGCTCCTTACGGTATGCTTCACGCGTCTGCAGAGCCAAACAATTCTCACATGATCGACAACTGAAGTTGAATGAAGGCACACCTCGCTCACTTGTGTGTGCTTCTCCTGCATAGCAAAGTATCTGCACACAGTTCAGTGCTGCCTTGTACACGTCCAGCTGAACGAAGCGTACTTCTCCTTGTACGTCTGGCGTGGACGTATCGGCTATGCCCCTGCTGAGTCCTACAGGCACACATCAAATGAGCGACATGCGTACCTTGACACTTAATGTCCTCTCTTGTGGTCTGTCTGCTGCTCCCGGAACCGCAGGCCTGCCGTTCGAAGGAGTGGGTGCTGCTGAGGCAGGGCGAGATGTGCTGGCACTTGCAGGTTCCATGGTGTTCAGAGTAACGTCTGACTCTAAGAGCCTTGGGGAGGGCCGCGATCCAGATTTGAGAGAAGTCAGAGGACAAACAACAAACAGGTGTTGTATTCAAGCTCATACCCTGATACAGCCACTAAGTAGTAAAGTAAGGCGGCGGCAGCATCGCGTTCGGACGCGCTCACGCGTGGCACCAGGGCAAATTAGTCATATTGTATTATTATGTATGTTGTTCAAGTTCTCTGTTAGTATATCGGTTAGTACACGCGCCTGTCATGTGACTTAATCTTCCATTCTGTGCGCGCGAAAGCGGGGTTCGACTCCCCGACAGAGAGTTCTTTTATTTTTGTCCCTTCGCACTGCCAGTGCCATCGGGGTCTGCCGACCACTGGGACCGGCACGAGTACATAGAAGATGCGGTCATCTCCAAGCTTCAGACCATCTCTGGTTGTTGCAGCTCTCAACTACTACCATGTTCAATCCCAATACAAGATCTGATTTGTTCCAAGGCACAGGTAACGATCTGCGGATTCGTGCGCGCTGAGTATTTGGTCACCCGAGCTACGCATGTACTAGCGTTGTTTAGCCCTCTCGTGCCGAGGCGGGTTCAGGATACATGGGGTGCGTACACTGATACAGAGGCGCATGTCACCACTTCGTTGGACACTTGCTTCAATCTCATTATCAGGTGCATGCGGAGGGGATATAGCGGCAGGCAATCGAAAGGCGTCTCATGTCTTTTGTCGCGACATGGAGGATCCCTGGCTGTCCAAGTGAGTCCTACAATCGTTCGTTGAGCCCTATCCTAGTGCATATAGCCAGTGAAAATTGACTTGTGACGCTGGCCAGGCTACTTCAGCGCGCCATACCAGTGGGTAGCACAGTCGCGACTCCAAGAAATCCTCGTTCACGGTCCCCCTCAGGTTTTCCACATGAGTTGGATCAGCGATTCAGCCGCGTGGAACTTCCTGCGTCCTATCAACGGATATTTGCTAGATGGTATGGAGGGACCGCGGAGATCTTTCCACCGCTCACGCGCGATTCAGGTCGTCGCACACTTGGCTCGTCCAATTTGCCCGGAGAAGATTCCCAAGCTACTCTATGCGTCTCCGAAGACAACATACCCCAGGAAGAACAAGAGCCCCCTAGCTCTCAGACGCTGATCGACCCATCCATTAGCTTGACCACGGCGACCAAACGGAAATCTTCGCCCGTTTGGGATGCGGAATCTTCTAGGCGACCTCGCAAGACTGTTCGGATGGCAGGCTTTGACCAGGACCGCAACTGCATTCTCTCTTCAACACCGGTCACGAAACAACCGACCAAGCGCGAACGTCGAGCAAAGACCACGCCGTATCTGGACCTCCGCAAAGTCAATGCGCCCAAGAAGTTGTCCTCTCTCGAGTACGAGGCCTTAGACGAAACTGGCTCCAGAAAGATTGCGTGCGTTGCTCTCTTGTATCTAGTATGTAACACTGCCAATGCATGTTGACGTCCCGTTGCACTTGCAGCGCTGCGTCTTACGACCTGCGACAAGCCATGGAGAAATCAAACACTCGGGTGTCTGTCGCTACTGCCTTGGGGATTCTCTGCGATGTTCCGACTGACAACGCTGTGCAATTCGTACCCGGGCTTCGTCACAAGGGCAAGGAGTTCCGGTGCAAGTTCAAGGCGTCGCAAGATACGAAAGTCAGGGATTAGCTTGTTGTGTTCTGTTCGAATGCTGTAATTTTCATGTCATTGCCGCTCAAATTGAAACTGCTATACCGTTATATCTGCTGTGACGATAAATCATCCTCAACATACTGTGATGCCGGGGTTTGAGAGCATGCAACGGTATGGAATGCGTCGTAGGGCCTCGTAGGGCGCTCTCAGAAATACAGTACGGATGTGTCTGCGCCGGGCTCGAACCTGGGACCATCTTTTGTGCCGCACCGGGGTCCGGTCGTGAGAAGCCGGAGCGGGGTTCCCACGATCTGAGTTTGTTCGGCGTTTGGCGGACGGTGAGCTCGTCGCGGAGAGCGTCTGCCAGCACCTTTACACCATATCACGGATGGCCTCCAGAATCGCTACAACTTCGCTGAGGGCAGCAGGTATGCTCTCTCAGTTAGCTGTGACAATCGCCCTCTCATCCACTGCTATTCAGCGTCGAAGGTGCGGCCCCAAGTGGTCGCTGCCATTCCGCGGGCAATCGTTGCGTGCGTCCGCGTTTGTGCGGCACTGAGTAGACTAGGCTAATGACACGACCGGTTGCTTCAGCCGTGGTATGGCCAGCTCGTCGAACCCTCCCCCCGCTGAAAAGGCATCCGAACTCATCAACAAGATGCCCTCCTCGGCCGGCCTCGTCACGAAGACCGGCTCGGTCGTGCTCGGCACGGGTCTGCTCGCGACTGCCATCTCGCAGGAGCTCTACGTCGTGAACGAGGAGACTGTCATTGCTGCTGGCTTCTTCGTCCTCCTGACGTTCATCGCTAAGGTGTGTTGTAAACCCAATCGCGCGAGTGCAGAGGGATAGTGACGCGACTGGGGCAGAGCATCCGGGAGCCGTACCGTGACTGGGCGGAGGGTCACATCCAGCGCATCAAGGGCATTCTTGACTCGTCGCGCGCTGAGCACACACAGGCCGTCAAGGACCGCATCGTCTCTGTTGAGCAGATGAAGGATGTTGTGTCTATCACCGAGAGTCTCTTCGCTCTTTCCAAGGTACGCTAGCATCTATAAGACCTCCAAGGATGACATTGGAACATGTGCGTTCGCCATTGCAGGAGACCGCGAAGCTTGAAGCGGAGGCGTTCGTTCAGCAGCAGAATGTTGCGCTCGCATCGGAGGTGAAGGCCGTCCTTGACAGCTGGGTGCGCTTCGAGCAGCAGGAGAAGGAGAACGAGCAGGCTGAACTCACGAAGACCGTCATTGCCAACGTGCTCAAGAGCCTCAACGACGAGAAGGTGCAGAAGGAGATCCTGACGAACGCTGTTGCGGAGATCGACCGTAGGTGTCATCAGCTCAAAGACAAGTGACTTTTACTCATTGACTTGCGCAGAGCTCGTCAAGAACAATGCTATCTAGAGTAGTAAACGTCTGTAGCTTTGCAATTGACGATTAAATAAATTGCAATGCACTGATTAGCCGTCTATCCTCCGCGTGATTGGATTCCGCCGTGTCTGACCATTCGTGCTCGGATTGAGTCTCCCAGTATATGATACCTGCGACATGAAGTGGAATTGGTGAAGATTGAATGCGTCGCGGTAGCAACTTCCGTCGCTAGACCTACGTTGAGCTCAGGCACGTGCTTCCGCGCCGGGGTGGCAAGTCGAGTCTCGACTTTGCTTGCAGCTACCTCCCTGCCCGCGACCTCCCGCCCTTGCATTGTCTCCTCTGTGGTGTGTAGGACACACAAAGTAATCTCGCGACCTCTTGCAAGCCTTGCGTGTCTCTGCGGCGCGGGCGCGTGACTGACTATACCTGCCGAGGGTCGACGCGTTTCTGCCTGACCACTGCCTGACCCACCCATTAGAGCTGCCGCACAAAGCCACGTCTCTTTCACGACCTTCTTCTGCTTACGACCACCACCACCATGGACGCCGACCTCATCAAGCTCGTGAACAAGCTACAGGACACCTTCGCCAACCTTGGTGTGTGGCTCTTGCGGAGGGATACGCGGTCGTAACTCACATTCGTTATGTAGGCGGAGAGCTGGACATGCCACAGCTCGCGGTTGTACGTTCCGTTCTTTGTATCCTTGATAACGGCAAGGTCTGAGGCAGGAGATAGGTTGGCAGTCAGTCTGCGGGAAAGTCTAGTGTACTCGAAACGTGAGTCTTTCTTCTACGTCTTGTGCTCTACATTCGTGTTCCACGCAACGCGCGCGACCATGTCTTTCATCTGCAGGTGGCACCCTAGTACCAAGGGTAGCCAGAAGACGACGGATACGCGCGTATTCGCAATGCGGCCCCACCGTACTGCCAATGACACTCGACCTCGCGCATAGACCCGTCTGCTCACCGGCAGCCTGATCACTGTACGGCCATTGTCCGTTATGCTGCTGAGATCTCATGTTCCTGTCTTGATGCGCTTTTGTGCGCTGTTACCTGGCCCAGTCATGCACATACATATGTGGGCCACGGTTAGCCTGGCTGGGCGGTGTAGTGAGGACAAAGGGTTCCCGCTCGTACATGTGATTCAGTGTCTGTGCTTCTGGATACTGAGACACTGCGTTTATAGCATCGTTGGACGCGACTTCCTGCCTCGAGGACAAGGCATTGTCACGCGAAGACCTCTCGTGCTGCAGCTCATCCACACGCCAGTCTCAGAACCAGCTCCGGGTGTACCTGCGCCGACATACACGGAATGGGGCCAGTTCCTGCACGTCGACAAGCGCTTCACCGACTTCGACGAGATTCGGCGGGAGATCGAGCAGGAGACGTTTAGGGTGGCGGGCCAGAACAAGGGCATCAGCAAGCTGCCGATCAACCTGCGGATATACAGCCCAAACGTACTGGACCTCACGTTGGTGGACTTGCCGGGTCTGACGAAGGTGTGTCACTTCTCTTGCACTGTGGCACGAATACTAATGCCTGGCGATCAAGCTTCCGGTGGGCGACCAACCAAGTGACATCGAGAGGCAAATCCGGAGCTTGGTGTTGGACTACATAACGAAGCCCAACTGTATTATCCTCGCCGTTTCAGCTGCCAACGTTGACCTCGCCAACTCGGAGTCCCTCAAGCTCGCGCGCTCCGTCGACCCACAAGGACGGCGCACGATTGGTGTGCTCACGAAGCTCGACCTCATGGATGCAGGCACCAACGCGCTCGACATCCTCACGGGGCGCGTGTATCCGCTCAAGCTGGGCTTCATCGGTGTCGTGTGCCGCAGTCAGCAGGACATCAACTCGGGCAAGCAACTATCAGACGCGATTGACACAGAGGCGGAGTTCTTCCGGTCGCATGCTTCATACAGAAATATAGCACACAAGAACGGCACGAAGTATTTGGCGAAGACCCTCAACCAAGTATGTCATACACGCTAGAAGGTGGGAAGAGCGGAGCACTTATGACCAACAGGTGCTATTGAATCATATCCGCGACAAGCTTCCCGATATGAAGGCGCGGTTGAATACGTTGATGGGCCAGGCGCAACAAGAACTGAACTCGTTCGGAGATGCGGCAGTGTATGGCGACAAGAACCAGGTGCGCGGTGTCTCGTGTTGTGTGTATATGGGCCCGAATGACCTCTTCTATAGCAAGGCGCGCTTGTATTGCGGCTCATGACTCAATTTGCACGAGACTTTGTCGCATCGATAGAGGGCACAAGCGTAGACATCTCGACCAAGGAACTGTCAGGCGGTGCACGGATTTACTACATCTTCAACGACGTCTTCGGGTCCGCACTAAACTCGATTGACTCGACGCACAATCTCGACAACCAGGACATCCGCACAGCTATACGGAACTCGACCGGCCCGAGACCCAGTCTTTTTGTGCCCGAAATTGCCTTCGATCTTCTCGTCAAGCCGCAGATCAAGCTACTGGAAGCACCGAGTCTCCGATGTGTGGAACTCGTGTACGAAGAATTGGTCAAGATCTGTCATAACTGCACCAGTGCGGTAAGCATTGTGGCCTTCGAAGATGCGCTCGCTTCATTGACTGTCAATCATAGGAGCTACAACGCTTCCCCCGGCTACACGCGCAGCTGGTGGAAGTGGTGTCAGAACTACTACGGGAGCGTCTGGGTCCGACGACGGACTACACGCAGAGTTTGATTGACATCCAGACCGCCTATATCAACACGAACCATCCAGCATTCATTGCGGGGTCCGCTATGGCCGCGCAGGCGCCGGCAATTGCGCCACCAAAACAGGAGCACCGTAGGGTAAGCTGTATTCGTTCTCTGTGTTCTGATTTGTCTGACCGCACGGCATAACCTAATATGACGTTTAGCCTTCATCTGCCCAGTCAGTCAATGGAGCCACGTCTCCTGATGAAGACGAGGACACATCAGAAGAGGTTAACGGGCTGAACGGTGTGACGCCTCGGGATGGGCGGTCCGTGTCTTCCACCGTCCATGACCGTGCGCGGACAATCGCGTCTGTGAACGACGCTGGTGCTTCCCCCCGTAGGACAGGCTCACCGAAACCCCACACGCACCACCAGCATGGCACTGTGCGGCCGCACTCTGCCCAGCCCACAGCGGCCAAGGAGACGTTCCTCAACTATTTCTTTGGGCAGAACGGCCCGGGTCCCATCAGCGGAGCAACCGCAGAACGTCGTGCATCCTCGGGTACGGGCGCCACCCCCATCGGACGAGACGTCAGTGGGAGTGATCCGGCCCTGCACTTAGGGCTCATGGCAGGCAAGCGCAGCCTGGAGGGCAACAATGCGGCATTCGATATGAAGAGTCTGGGGAAGCACATCGAGGCAGTATGTACCGCACGATCGTCGTCTTTTGCGAAGCCGCTGACGAGTGTGCCGATTGATTACGCAGGCGTCTGACAGGGGGCCTCAGCTTACCCCGCGCGAGGAAATGGAGACGAACCTCATTCGGTCCCTCATTGCGTCCTACTTTAACATCGTGACCCAGACGATCCAGGACCTCGTTCCCAAGGCAATCATGCATTTCTTGGTGAACAACACGTCACAACAGGTGCAGAACCGCCTAGTGGCATCACTCTACAAGCCCGAGCTGTTCGGAGAACTGCTCAACGAAGACGAGACCCTCGTTGCGGAGCGCGCGAGGGTCAAGGCACTGTTGGATGCGTACAAGGATGCGTTCAAGACGCTGTCGGAAGTAACGCTGAAGTCGTCATAGAGGATTTGGTCTTCGTGTACCTAGTTATGCACCCTAATGTCCCATCGCTTTTGGTTTGCTCTCGACATCCATACTGTGATACCATGTCGCTTGTGCACATTGGAGACGGTTCTGCATCAGCATAACAATCTAACTGCATTGAACATACTACGTTAATACTCGTGCAAGGGTGACAGTCGTGAATACATGATAGAAGGACAACAACAGCTCGACGCAGGCAGTATACAGCGAGTAAGAATGCTTTACACGGGACGTACATGATGGAACCGCCAGCCTTGTCAAACCCCCGGATCAGGAGCGTCCGCTTTGACGGCGACCCACTTTTCCTTCCCATCTTGGCCCTGAACGCCATTACCTGCGCCAGTCTCGTCGACGGAGATTACACTGCTTTCGATGTCGATGTCAGCCCCTGCCATTTTCGAACTGTTGGTCACTCCCGGTCTCACCACTATACATTATGCGCTGGACGTGCCTTTAATCGCATCGGCAGAAGTACCGCTCGCAGAAGGTTCAGACGCAGAACCCGTGTCCTGCATATCGAGTGAATTGTCGGCCTCATGCAGCAACTTATCACAAATGCTAACTCTCACCTTGGACACCTTACGGCGTGACCGAAGTCAGTCAGGTGAGCATATTGGTCGCACAGTCGCATGTGGATATTCGTACCTCTGTGCTTTCTGCGGTCTTCTGCACAGTGCACAATATCATGAGTGTCCGCTATAGCACTATGAGCCCGCGTCTTTTGACTTACTTCCTTGACAGCCTTCTCGTCGGCCTCCTTCTTGGCCGTCTCCTCAGCTTCCTTCTTTGTTTTCTCTTCGGCCTCTTGTGCCTCCTTCTTCTCCTTGGCCTCGCGCTGTCACGCAGGATAAAATCGGATATTGCAAATACCAGAGCAATACAATTGACATACCTCTTCTTTCTCCTTCTTGAGCTTAGCCCGCGTTTCGCGCTCCTGAACAATCCTATAGAAAGGCGCGCGCGCACATTCAATGCGTGTCGGAACAATGACACGCAGTGACTCACCAAGCAGCGACCTCGTCGACACATTCCCTCGGGCGCGTCTTATTTCTCAGGAGATAGCCTTGGAGGGCGGCAACCTGTCAAGACACGCGTCAGTCGAGCTGAATATGCTGTGTCACCTGAGAATACTGACGCTAAGCTCGTCTTCGGGGATTGCATCTGCGAACCGTTTGGCTAGATCGGAAATCTCTTCCTCGGAGAGAAGGGGAGCAGCATGAGCAGCATTCTTGCGTTTCGGCACAGCGAGGCCCTCCGTAGATGGCGCTTCGTCACCTGGTTTCGCAGGGGATGCTGCCACCGGAGGCAAGCTACTGTTTGGCGAGGGCTTTGCTGGGAAGAAACACTTGAAGATGCCTTCTGCCTGCCACTTGCTAGCGTGCTTGAAGTTTATCCATACATCCATGCGACCTGGGCGACTCAGTGCTGGGTCAAGGCGCTCGATATGATTGGTAGTCGCGAAGAGCAAGCTGTCGAGTAAATCTTAGCACTTCCAAGGCACGTATGCATGCCTGTCGAACTTGCTGCTCACCGGCCCTCAGCAGCTGCGACGCCGTCAAGACTGTTTAGCAGCCCACTGAGAGTAAGAGTAGATCCGTCATTGCTGTCGTCCTTCGTCTTTGCGGTTGACGTAGAGCTAGAGGTACTAGTCGAGCTAGTTGGCGCCCCAGTGGAACTGTCATCACGGGAGACGCCTCGCGTGAACGCGGCATCCAAATCCTCTAATAGCAGTATACATCTTTGGAACAGTTAGTTACCGGAACGAACGCGCGAATCTGACTTGCTCACCTCGAAGGTATATTTCCCATCAGAGTAGACAACATGTTGTCACTCATCCTAGAATCCCCATGGTCAGCATTGACTTGACGCTCCACACGGACGGTCCGCACCCCTTTGCCGACAAACTGATGACATAAATGTCTAGCCCAAGCTCACCCGCCAGACTGTGTATCAAGGAGGTTTTCCCACTGCGAACCGAGATGAGCCAGCGCCTGCATTCTGATCTACAGGTGACTTGCCTTCCTGGGACACCGTGCAGAAGATACCCACGACGGAACGGAATACCTGTCGTACAAGTCCAAGTCAATCCCCAGATATATGGCAGCGTGTGTCTCGATCATACCTCTCTCGGCATACCTGTCCACACGTGTCAGGAAGCTCGCAACGCAGAGGCAAACATGAGCACGTACCACTCCTCGGAGCAGAGGAAGTCTTGACAATCCGCCAGTATCATATCCTTGACGCCCGGCTCCAATACAATCGAGCTCATGGGGCGCTTCTGCCGGGCACCGTTCCAACGCCAACCGCCGTATGTCCTGTGCGCCGGTTAGTGGCATGTAGTCGGAGATGTAAACGCCGTCGTACGTGTCTGCCATGTAGATGTGCACGCGGTGTACCGCGTCCTTCTCGTACTCACGCTTGGCTTCCAGGACCAGTTTCTTGAGAATATCATTGTTCCTTGCCACGACACTGGCAGACAAGTGAGTCAGAACAGTCGACAGCCGTGTGGAACGCCACCCACCAGATCTTAATCTCAGCGTAGGAACCGTAATCCTGGAAGCGCTTCGTCCGTGTAATCTGTTACATTCAATCAATCGACAGAACTTAGGACGGTATCACGTCATACTCACGCGCAGCCAGTGCCCTCGATAGTAGATGGTATGTGTCGTGTCTGATGACAAACCTGATGAGCGACGCTGGGCCAATGACAGTGTAGCGATGCGCAAGGCGCTTACCTAGACTGGGGACGATTGCCACTTCACGACCCTCGCGTCAGCGACAAGCGACCGACCCGCCTTGCAAAGTTACGTACCTCTACGCTTCTTACGTCCACTCAGCATGACCCCGTCGCCATCGCCTTCCTCCTCATCCAGATCGCCAGTCGTGGACTGGGTGAGACCGTGTCGACCGACGGAGCGTGTCGTGATGTCGAACTCTCGACTACGACCCCATGCTGGTTGCTAGGACAGACATCACTCAGCGATGTGTTCCCCTAAGTATGCTGACGTGCTCTTACCTTCGCCAGCCAGTGCATCAACCTTGAATGCATGGTGGTCAGTTGCGGCCGCCATTGAAGGTATGCGCCACTCACCAGTCGTATGGGTAATCTTCTTGGCTGAAGTGTGCCGTGAGGAAGAATGCTACACGCCTTCTGTCAGTCAAACGTCACTCTCGCAAAGGCTAACTCACAGTCTATGAATCCATTCCACGCAGACACGGAGACACGTCGTGCAGTCTCAATCGTACCGCCGACGACTACCAATTTCTATGAAACATCAGTTCAGCGCCATTCAAGCACGGCATGAACCCTTCATACCAGTGTATCGGAGAGAGGATTAGAGGGAGCCCCAAAGGGGGACAAAAGATTCTTGAATGTCTCCATACTATGTGGCGCGAAGAGAGGTCAGACAAGAATGGGTAACGGTGACTCGTCCACGGTATATAAGCCGCAGAGCCCATGTGTGTGAACAGCCGCGGGAAGGGGCATGGCTTTGGATCGGTGGGCGCATATTAGGCTGAGTTAAGTCGGAACAATAGCTTGTCCCCCACCCACATCAGGCCTGACGAGCTGCCGAAAATTCTTCATTATGTACGGAAGAGGCGTCGATACTTCTGTTCGCCCACCTGCAGGTCTTACATTGTGCCCGAGTGATGAGTCGTCCGCCACGGGAAGTATGTAAACGGCCCTACTCATCATTGCTTGAGAGCGAATCGGACAATATAGCAGGCCGAGGACATTACCGGTCATAGTCACGAAGTCAAACCTCCGATTGAGCGTGGTGGGTGTAATAGGCTGAGACTTGCCATATTGGTGAACGAATTAAAGCCTCGTGTTATGCTTTAGCGACGCGCTGACATTCCGAGCCCCGCCTCTGCAGGGGCAGCACCCGACACTGGTGCGAGCGGACATCGAAATGCTGTGTTAGGCCTCACAGCACCCACAAGCCCGTTATCGTGTTGCAAGAATTCACGTACCGGGCAAGACACGTCCGCAAGTGAGGCTTGATGGCGGAAAAACTCGAAGTTGAGATCGTACGCAGGCTTGCCTAATTGGTATACAGTCGCCTTGGGACTCGCACACCCATCCTTGTGGCCGAGCGAACATGTGGCAAGTGCTTCTTAACCCAAAACAACAGGAGATCACGTACGACCGCGTTATCTCATCTGAACGAAATGGCTGCCTAGCCCGGAAGACCGGAATTGAAAACGCACGACGCCCATTTGCAACCCGTGCCACGCTGCCTTCCACCCATTTCAGCTAGTGTTATTCGATTGCCAATATTTGTGTGGACCCGAGCTGGCGCTATGGCATATTGACGTCCCGCCATTCTCGTAAGCGAAACGCTCATGCGTCGTTCTCGCTTACCCCGTAGGGTGAGCGAAGAAAGCCACGACTGTCCGCATCAGAGCCGAAACAAAGTTCACCAAGACGTAAACTCACATACTATGTGTGTAATGTATGCAAAGCATGCGGCAATCATACGATGTGCATTTGGGCTTCAGGAACGTCTATGCGCCAACGGTTGAGCTATCAATGAGGTCAGAGGCGAGTGCACTCGCATGCTGTCGACGTATTACGTGTGCATAAGCAGCATAGCACCCGGTATGACGGCGCAGTCTGAAAACGTGAACACGTCTGTCACTAGGGCCGAGGGAAGGCGGGGGTGAGGGATAGTTACTCACGCCCGCACCATCATTCCAGGGGCTTCTGAAAAGATTCTCCGCCTTCAAAGGCAACGCCGAAGCTGCGTGCAGAGGCGCGTGGTCTGGGTTGCATGCGTTCCTTGGCTACTACGCAGCCCTGCATAACAGGGGGATGATCATCGACAGTCAGCCAAGGAACCAGGCGCTGCAGCGAGGACGCCCATTCGAGGAAAGGAGCGCTGCAATCGCAACCGTTGCAATCATCGGTCTCGAGTGGATAGGTCGATGGGTGCGATCCTGCGTGCAGAGGCAAGGCACTAAGTTATCAGATAGATCGACGACGAACGAGAGGCGTACTGATGCACGCCATCGACATCTGACAGTTGTCGGGGGCAATCTGTGGCTGCGATGTTGTCGGAAAGATCGAGACCACCGAGAATTATATGGATCATCGCCGCACAGAATGGAGACCGCGCCATGATATGACAGAAGACCCGCCCGGACCCTCAGCTTTGATACCTCGGCGAGGAAGAACGCGCCGCGCTAACCGAAAACAAGCAACATTAATAAAAGGGGACAAGACTGAAGAGGCTAACTGTGTTTGAATCCCGAGAAGGGTGAATCGCAGATCTGCAGATGAGCATATCGATGAAATCTCGAAAGTGTGGCCTTGTGGGCGCAGGGAGCAGAAGCCAAGTGCATGGTGTTGTTCTTTGCCTAAATGAACGATGGAGCGAGGCAAGCATGTGTCGTTATGAACAGAGACCTCATGAGCGGAGACCTGGATGAGAAATTAGACGAACAAACCGCCACGGGTCAGGACAATGGCAAAGATTGGCATACCTTTCAGTGAGGAAATCGCGCCGGAGCCTAGAAGTCTAGAATCAAGCACCCTGAAGTGTGGTCGATATCGTACCAAGTAGTTGCTCACCAATCTTTGATCCGTATGCACTAGGCAAGGCGAGCGGACGATCATAAGGAAGTCCAACTCCAGCGCAGATAACGAGCTACTTCTCAACGATTGCAATCTGGGCACGATGTTACAGGCATCCGCAAGTCTCACTACCCATGAATAGCAAGAACAGATGAGGCAGTATAATCATCACCGCACTGACCACCGCGTAGTACTTCACCTTACCTTCGAAGAAATGGTGAAGTGAAGAGCGGGGAATTCGACCACACTGACGATGGTAGACGGACAGTCCAGTGGTCAGGTTACACCTCACATCCTCAGAAGACAATGAGCTTGACGGTGAGAGGCTGCGGAGTATCCAAATGCGACTTACCAATGGCGTGCCGCGTTTCCAGGCCGCATGGGTGATTTCAACAGAGACCACACCAACAAGCCACCACGATCGTCTTCGACGGAATGAACGTCGAATGCACGGCAAGCCAACGTGCTTGGACCCTGGCCGATAATCAGCGTCCACATACCACCCCTCGGACAGCCTGGAGCTTACCTGCTGCCTAGTCGCGCCTTAACAAGCTCCCCATTTCCACATCGTCGTCTTCTGTAGGGGCGGCCACCGTCAAACCTTCGGTCATCTCGCGTTTGACACACAACTGTTCGGCCACAATGACCATCATGGCCGCACCGATGGTCATGACACCCCAAAAGAACAGTGTCGTAGGAAAAGAAGCGGCGTAATATGTGGTGAGGACCAGATGGTTGAATATGAGCGTCAACGAGAAGTCCAGGATCATCCGCGGACGGCGAATGAGGATATACAGATAATAGATGCTGCATGGCAGTGTCAAGTTCCGCACATATGTTCTCACACGAATACCAGACGTACTCGGCACCAGATGCTGCAAGCCAGCAAGCAGCGATAATCCAACCCCGCCGTGGGTCAACGAGACCATCCCATTGACCGGCCAAGTGACTTCCGGCCCCAACCTGCTTGCCGCCGCTCCAGACGCTATTCCACGAGCCCCAGGATCCTTGTGCAGTATGAATGGTCGGCCTACTGGCTAGCTCGCGCCAATCCATGACCATACCTCACCGAGAAGTTTCTCAGTTCAGTGACGCGCCATCATGCCTACATGCACTCACCGACATTGGTCGCACCTCCGACATAGTCCAGCACGTCTGACTTGCAGAAGATTGTAAGGAGAGGCGGGATGAGGATGGCCAACGTAAGATAGTGCAAGGTTTGCATCGCGACAATCTGCGAGAAACTACATCTCTAAATTGGCCTCCGAGTGAACGGAACCGATTACCTGAGATATGAGAAGTACCGGGTCCCATCCCGTAGACGTAGACTTTGCCATTTGTCCTAGCTAGTTTCAAGGCGGATAGTCTTAACGCGGGCCTGCCGGTTTCTGCAAAGGATGATGGAGAGACACGACATGAACGGCTTGAACGCGACGCCACCTCATTGAGGCAGTACTCACGCTTACGTAACTATTAACCATCGGACGTCTCAATAGTAACTTTAGTGAACGCACTACTGAAGCCAGTTGTATCACTTGTAACAACACCGGGTAACACGGAATGTAACGCCTGTAGGCCGCCGGTCTACCAGCGGCTGTGCACTGCTAGGCTACTGTCTCGCAGGGAAGGCCTCGCGTTTGCTGCTCAGTACGTGCTGAAAGAACGGCGGTGGACCCAGCTCTATCGGCCTGGGCACACTCTCCCTCTGTGAGCTGCACCTGACAACGCCGTGCTCGGCATGCACGTCGGGAACTACGACGCGGAACCGCAAGAGGGCACAGACTCGGATACCCTCCTCAACGATGCGACTTCGACCACGCGTCTCGAAGATATTGACGAGCCTGGCTATGCTGCTGTCAAGCCGATAGCGTACTACGGGGAAGGACCATTTGACCCTCCGAGTTCTGATGACGAGGAGGATGAACTCGAGAAGCCAAGTCGGTCGCCGAGGCTCTCGCAGCGCGGTCCGCGCGACCTCGAAGACGGAGTCCTTGGATCGCGCAAGGTGCGCTTCTTCAGGCTGACAATCTATATCCATTGTGTTCACAGACACGCAGCATGCTTCTTCTCTGCGATTTCTCGTCATTGCACTTGTATCGCTCCTAGCTGTTGCTGGTGTGATCGGTATCTTCGCGGCGCACTCATACACGGGCATGCCATACCGTATTCGCGGTACAAAGCATATCACCATGGATCACATATTCAACGGCACGTTTTATCCGACGAGCGAGAATATCCTGTGGGTGCCGGAAGGTATAGTATATATCATGTGGCATGTCGTCTCAGTACTGAACGACAACAAGCGGGCGATGGCGTCTTCGCTACGCAGAAGAATGACTACCTGACTCTGGTTGACCTCAAGAGCAACTCGACGCGCAATTTGGTTGCATTTGCGGACTTGACAGATGTGAGAAACATCGACCATACACACACCGCATACAGTCAACTGAAATCTCTGTAGGAATATGGAAGACCATTGTCCCACTCTTCTTGGAAGCTGTCCGCCGATATGAGGTACATGCTCATCAAAGCGGATAGAGTTAAGGTATGCTGAAGTATACGACGAAAGCATCTCGGTCACTGATGTCATTCTTCGCTAGCTATGGCGGCATTCTAGCTACGGGAACTATTACGTGCATGATCTAGAATCCAAGCATACTTGGCCTTTGGTTCCCCCTACGTATCCACCAGTTACGTCCTACGCCGTATGGTCTCCCACAGGCCAGTCAATAGCGTATGTTCTCAAGAACGACTTATACGTACTTCCGTCCGCGTCGTGAGTACGTTCCTACAAACGCAGCTATGATGTACTCAATGGATGCTAGGCCTGACGTATCACCTGTCCGTGTCACGAGCAACGGGAACGCATCAATGTTCAACGGCATTCCAGATTGGGTGTATGAAGAGGAAGTCTTCTCGGCAGACTACGCGCTATGGTGGTCTCCAGATTCGAAGAACATTGCGTATCTGAGCTTCGACGAGACCGCTGTTGACGAATACACCTTCCCGATCTACAACCCCACCGAGGACTCACATGCAGTTGTCCCTTACCCGCAGCACGTCACCATGAAGTACCCGAAGCCTGGCTACAAGAACCCGATCGTGTCATTACAAGTATTCCAGGTTGACGATTACCTCAGAGACACGCGATATGGAGGATACCAGCCGGCCGCGCTGGCATCGTCCTCCCTGCAGCTCGACTGGGACGGCAGACAGTCTGCAGATGATAGTGTCATCCAAGAGATTGCTTGGGTAGGCAACGAGACGCTTCTGGTGCGCGAAGTCAATCGGGCTGGGAACAACGGAACCGTCAGCATCTTCGACCTTGGATCCACTGCGGCCTTGCGCAGCCACGGACACGTCGTGAGGAGGCTTGGCAAAGACGGTGAGCAAGGTGATGACGGCTGGATCGATCAGGTAAGCACGTCTCGTATCGGATGTATCTGGGATATTAACTCATGCGACTTCACGCAGGCCCAACGAGTGTATCCCCTGCCAGCTAGTCTGTCTCCGCCCGGGCATTCCTCGTACTTAGATGTCATCCCGACCCCTGAGGGCTACAACCATATCGCACTGTTCAGTCCCGCAGACACCAGCACGCCACGGTTCTTGACGTCCGGTGAATGGGAGGTTACCAGCGGAATCTTGGCCGTTGACGTCAAGAAGAGCCTCGTGTGAGTGCACTATGCGCATCGGCTTGCGTGTCAGCGACGTACTGACGAACATGACGAAATGTCAGCTACTTCCAGGCGGCAAACCCTGACTCGCTCCAGCGGCATATCTACTCGGTGCCCATCCCTGCTATCAGCACCTCTGAGACTGTCAAGCCGACAGCCCTCACGGACGTCAGTAGTGCTGCCGTGTACAACGCGAACTTCTCTCCGGAGGGTGGTTTCTACCTTCTCACGTACAAGGGACCATATTCGCCGTGGCAAAAGGTCATCAAGAATGGTGACAAAGGTCTGTCGCTGAACGATCTACGTGATCAATGCTGACCTGGCACAGGCGGTGTCCAGTATGTCCTGACTGAGAACCCTCAACTCAATAAGACCCTCGAGGAGTATGAGATGCCTGTCGTCAGCTACGGAACGATCACAAGCGAAGGCTATGGTATGGGGGTCGCAGAGCTTCGTAAATGTTGGTGGCTTACCGATCTAATTAGAGCTGAACTTCAGGGAAATACGTCCACCAAGGATGGATGACACGGGCCGAACGAAGTACCCTGTGCTGTTTCGGCTGTACGTCATGTTTCGTGTTTGTATTTTACTTGTGTGACGATCCCTCCGGATTGCAGGTACAACGGCCCTAACTCGCAAATGGTCAATCATGAATACGGCCATGACTGGCATGACTTCTTGGCTTGCAGCATGGAGTACATCATCGTCACCGTGGATGGGCGTGGGACTGGTTACAAGGGCCGGAGGCTTCGAAACCCTGTTAAAGATAATTTGGGGCACTTCGAAACAATAGACCAGATCAATGCTGCGAAGTAAGTTTTGCGGTGCATGGAAGTCGGGGCGAGTGTCGCTCATCGTCATACGCAGGATCTGGGCCGGGAAGAACTACGTGGACTCCAGGCGGATTGGCATATGGGGCTGGGTGACCTTCGTTCATTATGACTGCGTATCAACGTGTGCTCATCTTTGTATGTTTAGTCATACGGTGGCTTCATGTCTTCCAAGGTAATCGAAGCCAACGCTGGTGTACATACCCTGGCCATGGCCGTCGCGGTAAGCTACTTCGTCCCATTTGCGCTTCAGACATTGATCTTATCCGCCGCTAACCAGCCCGTCACCAGCTGGCGACTATACGGTGAGCGCGACTAACAGACGTACTATGTATTTCCTCTCACGCGTACCCTAGACTCGATCTACACGGAGCGATACATGGACTTGCCGAACGTTAACCCGCAAGGTTACATCACCGCGTCCATCTCGAACGTCACCGGCTTCCACAATGCAGATTTCTTGCTCGCACACGGCTCAGGGGACGACAACGTGCACTTCGCGAACTCGGCGCATTTGCTAGACATGTTAACCCAGGAACATGTGCGGAACTTCGAGTTCAGGATGTTCACAGATAGGTGCGATCACTTTGGTGCCGCTGAGGCTGATAGTGAGGCTGACTTGCAATCTAGTGATCACAGTATGTATAAGCGCGACGCCAACCGGGAACTCTACGAGTTCATGACGAGGTTCTTGTTCGAGCGATGGGGCAAGGGAGGAAAACGACGATCGTGGTGATCAGCTTTCACTCATTTTGGGCACCATCCTGTATGCATTATCGGTCTCGACGGTTCACACTCACTACCTGTTTTAATACTAGATGCTACTTTGCCGGTGTGCTGCGGTGAGATAACGTGGATGATTAGGTTCAGGTCGCAGGACAAGTGACTCGGCTCAGAGTACCTCCAGAGTGCAAATCCGGTATCAGCATGCTCAGATGCCCGGCTTTTCGAAGTTCGAGAAGCTCCAAGCATGGGAACCGTACGCTGAGCGCAGCAATCAACATTGTCGTCGACATACACAGGCTCTTCAGGCAATGGAGGGGCTCGCCGGCTCGCCGCAGACCGCGCATCACCTGTAAGGTGCAGCAGTCAAACGTCGAGGATGCACGAGAGGCATTGAAGCGCAAGTTGCCATATTCTGACAGCTCACTGCCACCGCCCGGTGCTATAACGGTGACATACGCTTCCTCTCTCATTCGCCCGCCACAAGCCAATTACGTGGTGGGCGTTTCGTACCTGCGTGCCTAACCTTGACGCAGCCAGTAGCGTTAAGCGAATTACAGCCCAGACGAGCTGCATTGCATATCGCAGTCTGGACATCCGGACTAGGTGTGCTCTCGCCGCGCGGCATGTCCTCACGATAGGTGTGGTATATAAGAAGGCTAGTCCCATCGTACTACCCCCCAAGCTCAGTTGTCGACCACCACCACTACCTACCACCACCACCACCACCACAAACGCTATGTCTGTGAGTAGGGCCTGTTGACTTCTTGGTATTTTGCTCATGTGTCGTCGACACAGGACACCGTGAAGTGCGCCACCGTCGAGAAGAACGGCGGGAGCTGCGCCTGGCCGGCATGCGGCTGCGCTGAGCCCCCTAAGAGCAAGTAAACTACTTGCGACATAGGCCATGCAGCACGCCTCTTAAGGTACGCTCTTGTCTGTACGTTGTCCATGAGGGTTAGCATTGACTTTTACCGAACTACCTCACAGGCGACGCTGCAGATGGGTCTGTCCATGCAGGGTCGAGGTTCGCGTTGCTTTACCGACAATGGAGTGTACACTATTATGACCATTCACGTCTGGTCCAGGGCGAGTCATTACCTGGACCAGTGCATTTCGTCAGAAATTTCTGCTCTACCTGTGTGATCGTCGGAGGACACCAGAACAAGATAAGTTACGCTGCTGAAGCATTGATTTTGTGTCCGTCGATGGAGCTCCCGAGTCCCCCAGCTTGATGCATTCATGCATGAGTGAGACTGAGACAGCATTGTGAGGATCCCCGAATATCTCGGAGCGCCCTGCCGTGCGGCTCGCCCGAGGCATCGCCTCCAACAACTTGAATATGATCTGAGCGACCGTGCACTTCCTCTATCCTCGAACACCACTGTACGGTCGTCCGTCGGCTTTTGCTTCAGTACAGTACAGAACGTGTGGCCCAGTATCCGCGTGCGCACAGGAAGAGGACACGAGATACGAGCAAGCACCTCTCCGGAGTCGTCCGAGATACCATATCATTATGCAGGTCGAGGGCTGCGCCGACGTTGCTCAGAGGCCGCCGGTAAGTCCGAGATGTCTCAGTATGTAACTCAGGCAGAATGCCGTGTAGGTCTGAACGACTTGCTCACAGGCAGCCAGGACTGACTACGAACATAAGGTGCTCCGGTCAAACTCTGCGACGACGTCGAGGTACGGGTCTCCGGCGCAAGGAGAGGCACAACATATGGTGTCTTTGTGGCCTGGCACTTTGGACGACCACGGGCGCATGACTAGAGAAGATGGCGTATCAGCGAGTGTTGACGACGCACGAGAATCCGAGGTGTCGTATCCCGTCTTCAACGTATGGAGTTCATATTACAGAGACGGTGGGCTCGTGGGCTATGCCCAGTATACCACTCAGCCTACCCTCGTCCCCCTCTCCCGAGCTCTTTCAGATCGCATCCCCCTGGAGGTCATCTTGGAAATCGCGAACGCACTGAGTCCAGGGCTGGATCGAGGTACCGAAACCCTCCTCTCGATGATGTTGGTCTGCGCATCATGGTACCCATACTGCATGCGGGTCCTGTATCGCAATATGGTGCTTCGCGACAGAGGTTGCCTACCCCGGCTAGTTGCGATTACTCTCCCCTTGGCAGAGGTACGGAGACATATGACATCCACCCAATCACTCGTCCTTGGTGGCAAGAATCATGACGACAAATGTCCCATCTCTGCACCTCTAGTCCTCGGCGGACTGCTGCCCTCATTGATAAAGCTGGAGCTGAATAATCTCCGCGTCCCAATCCATCCCAGTTTTTTCAGGGCATTACCTAGGCTTGCGACCGTGACGGATCTTAGGCTGCTGAAGCTCGAACTGCATACTTTTCACGAGCTGCGCCGCATCATCTGTGCGTTTCCTCGCCTGCTCGACCTGACAGTCGGCCACATCGCGTATGCGCTGCACAGGGTCAATACACGCCTCCCGACGTCACAGATTGCTCGAAGCTCCGCGTCCCGGGCCGTCGTACGCCTCAGGACGTTAACACTTGATTGGTCCTCGCATCCTCAACTGCTCATACATCTCATCCATTGGCTCACTGATTGCTCTATCTGTGACCACCTCTACGATTTGGCCTTAAATGGAACCGGAGCTCCTATCGCTGGCGGTATGCGGATCGTAGTCAACAAGTACTTTGATCAGCTCCTGCAATCTGCTGGGCCATCTATCAAGCGCCTCACGTTTGGGTCTGAATGTAGGTGCGAATGGTGTATATCATCTTGCGCAAGCTCAGGAATGCGGGCAGCACATCTACCTTTGCCATCCACGACGAGCCTGAAACACTGTACAAATCTGCAGTACTTGGCCTTCAAACTGTCCGAATACGAGCGGAAGGACATCGTTGACGAGCTGCTATTTATCCTCGGACACATACGCAGCAATCTCATAGACGAGATCGGTACGTCTTCCATGATCTCTATAGCTCCTTCCTGTAATTCTGATCATACTGCAGCCATCATAACCCCTCGTTGGCTCACGAAGAGAGACGTACTGCAATTACCCGAGCATCCTGAGGACATCCCGCTGGGTCTGCTGCACAAGTGTCAGCTCAGCGAATTCTTCGCACGTCTCCGCGTAGTCGACTTGCGTATCGGTGACCGATACGGAGCTGAAGAGAAAAAACGGCGACAGGCGGTCAGCCGAGCGCAGCGCCTCTTTGCGCCGTGGAATGAGCGGGGAATCCTCAAGACCATCGTCGTGCAGTGACCAGGGAGCCTGGTGGAGTCCACGATCTCGTCAAGAATGCAGGTTTATATTCGTTGATGCGTTGACTAGATATTCTATCACGTCGCGGAGGGACGCCCCGTTCCTCCATGCGCACAATTGACGTTGTACTGTCCAGGTCAGGAGCTTGTGAATCACTCGTAGCTATCCAATGGCGTGGCAAAAAAGGGCCCGGGCTCTCCGTCAATCAAAAATTTCACGGGAGCCCTTCATGCAATACCATGTGTGACAGAATTTCCCATACTCAAGGTTCTGCTGATGTCGAAGACAGCCCGTGGATTCAATGAATCAACCGCTCAATCATGCGGCCGTCTAAATCACGGGTACGTCCTATGCCTTTGTTTGACTCGATCTGGCGGCACCTCTACTCTAGTGAGGAAACATTGCTCCTTGCTGGACATAGCACTCTGACCCAGATGAGCGCATGTAGGGGTATGTACTGCTATGACTTGCGTCACCGTGACCACGCCCACCGACTTCGTGGGTACGAGGTACAAGCCAAGAGCTCGAATTAGTCTCTCCGCCGGCAAGTAAGGCCATTCACAGCCACCACATACCGTCAGCCCCCGACTTTGCACCCCTTTCTCGCACAGCATGCTCGCTGACTACAGATCCCGTGGAACGTCTGCAAGAATAATATCGGGCGGCGTCCCGTACGGAAATGACGGCGTGCTTGAGTCTAATTCATTCACAGTCCCGTGAACCGGGGCTCAATGATTACCTTTCAGCGAACGTGCACATGTGGGCTTCCTCGAATACGGAAGAAGGAAGCGACACTGCTTCTCCATCATCGCATGCTACCATTGGCTGAGATCACTCCGCTAGGACCGTGCTACTTCTTTATACGACCAATACTGTCGTCGATTCCATTAAATGACAACCGTGAGGGTTCAAGACTAGCACATGTGCCTCGGCCTCGATGCCCTGACTCTCACTGGGGTGACAGGTATGGCTCCCACACATCCGCTGCTGCTATTCCTGAAATCACTTCCAGCGACGAAGTGCATTCAATGCGTGACGAGTACGGCTGGATCACTATATAGTTCGTGCCCTGTCATCCAGGGTCCTGCCAGGTACGTGAGACAGCCATGGCTCTCCTACTACCGTTCATCCTCTGGGCAGTAGCCGCCGCTGCGCAGGGTGTCTTCGATGTATGTTCAATGCCCGCCTTCTCTCCGTGGAGTCGAATCTGATATTTAACGGTGTGATCAAGTTCCCTGAGTACCCCCCAGCTGGAACGCCCGACCCCAACTCGACGCTCGCGAACGGGGCAGCTCCGTATCCCTATAATGTGTATGAAGACCCTGGTCTAGCTCAGGCCCGCATCCACTATGACACGGGCTCTTATGGCCCGACGCTGGAGCTCGTCCATGCTTACTACAATTACTGGCCTACAGTAAGTGGATTGCTTCGTGTCTCGTCAGCGAAGCCCGACTCATCATGATCGACAGGGTGTCGGTGTAGCCAGTGACGGGTCAATTTTCACGACCTTCTCCCGAGGCAACGAGTCGTACACCTTGGCCACCTTCACCAGCACTACAACGGAAGAGGCTTGGCCGAAGTGTGTACACCTCCTTCCTGTTCTCGACCACATACTGATTGTACCCACGCCGAGCAGCCAAGAGTGGAACACGCCTGCTGCTTTCGCGAACGAGAGCAACCCTGGCTATAGCATCGCGACTGACAAGCTCTTGCTCGTCCAAGCTGTCGTCGTTGACGGTCTCGACCGCGTGTGGGCGCTTGACACGGGTCGCCCAGAGGTGAACGGGTCATACCTGCTCGCGCAGGTCCCTGGCGGCCCCAAGATTGTCGGTTTCTACCTCAACGGGACGAACTTTGCGACGTACACGTTCCCCGCGAACGTTGTCTACGCCGACTCATCTATCAATGACATCCGGCTCGACCTTCGTGGGGAGGGCTATGCGTATATTCCGGATAGCTCCCCAAATAGGCCTGGTATAATCGTGCTCAACCTTGCCACTGGAGAGTCGTGGAGGCACCTTGACGGCCATCCGTCTGTCACACCAGATAATGGCTTCGTGCCCGTATATGATGGAGGTTTGTTAGGTTACACTTCTCTATGCCTCCCCAGGATCTGATTCTTTCTTCAGTACCGTTCTATCTCTACCCTGTGACATCGCCCTACGCGGTCAATAACTTCGGTTTGGTGAGATAACTCGTTCTTCTCTATGTCCGTAACTTACGTGCCTGCACAGTACGCCGCTGACGGTATCGCGCTGTCCCCCGGTAAGTGCCAGGGGTATCGAGACATTCTTTCAGCTCATTCTGTATTGAACCTTGCCAGACGGAGAATACATCTACTTCGCGCCGCTCGCGAGCCGTCAATTCTGGCGTATCCCCACATCGTACCTCAAAGTTAAACCGGGACCAGACTACCCCAGCGCGTACATGCTCGCGAAGCGGGCTGTCGAGCACCTCGGCGAGAGCGGGAGCAATGCGGACGGGATGGAGACGGACAGCTCGGGATACATCTACGCTGGAGCGCCTGGTGAGTGGGATGGTTGCGACACACGCGATTTGCTCTGGCTGTGGGTGCTCACTGTTATGTACAGAGCATAATGCCGTGACGAGGTACAATCCGGCGACGGGTCTTGTCGAGCCGTTCGTCCGCGATCCAGCCATCCAGGTTCGTCCCAGGTCACTGCCCAGGCGGTTCACCACGACTCACTCTTCCGCTCCTCTCAGTGGCCGGATACTTTGGCAGTTGCCACCTTGCAGAGCGGCGGCAGCTACGTGTACTTCACCTGCAACCAGTACGTCTGCGGTTTCCCCCTGATGTCGTTGTCAACATCGCCGCTCACTGGCACTTTACAGGCTCTGGCTCGGGCCCAACTACCAGAACGGGTAAGCGACGCACCCAGGCTCATCTCGGATGCACTTCGCTTATACTGTGCCCAACCCTCGTCTCAAATAGGACCGACCTGCGCACGAAGCCGTGGGCGATGTTCAGGGCCCCCATCGAAGCCCAGAAGGCGACGCAATTGGACTGAGCAAAGCCAATCTTATCACCCCCTCCATCTGGCCGCTGGAGTGCGAGTCCAGTGTCCCGCGCTCTTCTTGTCTTGGACTTGGACTTGGACTCGGACACACGGAGGGCACCGCTCGGTGCGCTTCCTCGAATACATGTGTCGCATTGAGTATATGCATCACATCGTCGGGCATCGTGCCAGTGAATACCGGAGTCCGAGAGCGCAACACTCATGCCGCAGGTTGAACAAAACCTCGGCGGAACCACGTCCCGCGTGCCAGTCGCCGATGTACCACACCGTCGGCTGCAATCGCTGACGCGTATGCCAGCGCAGCACTATCGTACGGCCAGGCTGCCAGTGGCAATCTGTGCGAGCCCCGCCGCTGACGTACGTATCACCTCCGGAGTCCGATGTGAGGCCGGAACAGCAGATCACTACATACTGTCTTGCGGAACAGCGCTCAGCGACCGCCGTCTTACTCGACGGCGCGAAGTACAGCCTGACGGCGGAGCGTCCCGCCGGGCACTCGGGACGACCGCAGTCCGAGGGGAGTGTGTCTTGTTCCGCTGGGGCCGCATCATGGTTAAGTTGGGAGTGAAGTCGGAGCGCCGAGCAGGGTTGATGCTGCTGCGAGCGGGTTAGAGGCCGCAGTGCATCATGAAGACATCGCCCACCGTACACTGGTACTAGTGGTGCTGTTCAGGCGGGTCACAGCGGCGAATGTGAGTTGTCGTGCCAAAGAAAGAAGCTCATTGACGATGTTCATTGACATTGACAAGAGGAGTGGGCTCAGCTGTCTTCGGTGCCATAGTATAGACGTCGACCTGTGAGCCTGAGCAGCGAGACGTTTCACTTGAGTTATGATTGCCAATTACATTTGACTTGCCCTGCCCACTGTCGACGGTACTGAAACAGGCCGCATTTCCGTCGCCGCTGTTTCAACTGATGCTTGAGTCGTGCTTGTAGTCGGAGCGCTGGCGGGACCCTTCAAGCAATGTAGAATCCAAGCGGCCAAGGGCACCAGGCACTAGTGACGACAGTGTCTTGCTGGGTGAAATTTTGCTTGTCACCAATGAAACGTTACATCGGACACGATTGACACGCACGACACAACTCTACTGGCCTGCGATTCAAACCACAAACCCCTCGAGTACCACCGGACATTGGTTGAGTTTGGAAGGTGTTGCTACGCTCCAGACCTTGGGTCTCCGAAGAACCAAACCACCTCCAAGTGACTCGCAATTAGCGATTCATTCCTCCAAGTAAACGTGATACATACCTTGCGGCATGTCGATCGTGGCAATATAGGCATGCAACCTTTAAGCTCGGGTTTGGCAGCAGGGAAGCCGTTGTACCTGCGATGCGTGATTTTCATTGACACGGATCCGTCGTACCTTGTCTAGTGGGCTTCAATGGCTTGCCACCGTCACGGCGGTACCCGACGGTGAAACATCGAAGATTTGGGTCCGATGAAACGGCCAGCGAAGTGTCCAGGACGTCTACCAGTACGCCGTTCCCTTGTTCAGCACACGTTATCCGTCGTTGTCACTGAACACCCTACTTACGGCTCGCACACGGCCATCGCCGACTGTCTGACAAGCTCGGTCAGCAAAATACTCAGCCCATTCGACAATCGGGACTGACTGGCAGTATGATCGCAGGCCCGCCTAGGCGCCAGCGCGGCTGGCGCGCGGTAGACACGTGTGCATGGGCACCCCGTTAGTGTCCCTTCGTAGCCCTTCGTGGCGTCCGATCGCGTTCGATACACGGCCAACAGTCTGAGTCAATCGATCGCGCTAGATTCACCCAGGATCGCCAGCCCTGCCAGCCTCGCTCCTCGCGCCCCGTCCCTCTGCGCACGCGGCTTTAGCTTTGCGAAGACGAAGACGAACTGACGAAGCCCGGGAGGCACTGCGCAGCGAGCAGCGAGCGCGGGAGGCGCTATGGGCGAGGGCGTGGCCACGATCTTGATACTATAATGGGCGTTGATCGGAGGGGGTTCCGTGCCTGGGGAGGTGCACCCGGCCGGACGGTACCTTCGCCAGCCCATCCCGGCCACCTTCACTGTCTGCTCGTCCTCCAGCCGCATTCTCTGCGTGCAGGGGACATGGCGAGCGGCGGGAGATAGGCGTGGATGACGAATCACGCGGGGGACGTCAGGCCAGCGGGGCAATTTGTACGTACACACTGGGGAAACGGTCGAGCATCTGGAGGACGACGGAGATGGTCCCACGTCCGTCTGCCGTAACATCCTCTATCGCGCCGCCCAAGGCTATCATCATCATATCATTCTCGTGCGGGTCGCCGCCGGTGCACCTTTGGGTACATAAAGAGCGAACATAGCCGATGTGCTGCATCATGATCTGGCAGCACGCAATGCGCAGAGTGCGAGCAGTTGGCGAACGGCCTCGGGAACGCGCCCACATGACTGCGACTAGTTGTATCGGGCTTGCTCGCTAGGCGAGCGCGGCCCGTTGTGCATGCGCACGGGGATACGCTGGATGCCAATTGGGTGCTGTCGATGGCAGGCGAGGGAGCAGTGTTCCAGACTCGGATGCGTACTGAGATGACGGCGGAAAGGCTAATCGCCCAGCGCTGCGGGGAACTGCACCTGGGAAGGTCGCTGGAAGTTCGAGCGACAGGCGCGCGCAACGCTGCTTCGCGAGCTTCGAATGCTTGTCAGTCGAGCAGAACTTGCACTGGGAGCGGCAGTTGGTGCGGGGAGACTGGGGAGCGAGCGTATCAGATCAGCTTCCGCTGATGAGGCCTCCTCCCCACTGAGCCAGCACCGGTTGTGTGCAGCAGACACACAAACAGCCACCGGGCGAACGGAGGCTCCGGGGAGGAGGCTGGACGGCGGCGCGCGTTGGTGTGGCCACCCGGGACTGAAGTACTGAGGATGTATCGCGATGGGATGCGGGGGCTCGGCCTTGGCCGCGCGCGCGTCGGTGGTTAGGCAGAGAGGGACGCGCTTCGATTGGCCGCGATTACTCAATCTCCTGCGCGTCACGGGACAATGCGAAGCGGCGGCGAGCGGTGAATGGCGAATCGGGAAGGAGAGGCCGACTAAGTTATGTTCGCAGTCAGACAGACGCGAAGGGCGGTGACCTACTGGGATGGTGCGCCTGCCGCCGCGCGTGTAGGCTCGTGGGCGCAACAACGACCGAGCGCGCGCCACGAGCAAATTTCCGGGGATGTCGCCGCGCACGGACGCGCTGCATGTTGAGGACAGGTCTAGGAATGAGTGTACGGTGCTGCCACGGGTGATGGGAAGGCAAGGCGGCGACGTGGGATTGCCGTGGACGAGGGCGAACTGCCAGACAGCGTGGCAGCGGGCGTGGGGGGCTGCACGGTGCTGGGATGGATGGGGAGGGTGGACGGCGCGTGGCGGGACGGGGACGGGGACATGGACGACGCGTGGGGGCGGGGGCACGTGTGCTGATACGGGCGGCGCGCTTGTTTGTGACCCCGAAATCGCGATTTATTATGGATGTTCGCAGTGGCATGCCTCCGCCGCAAGTCTCTCTCGCCCAGCACCTGCCTTCTTCCTCCGTCCTGCCTTGCGCCCTCCCTCCCGCCTCCCGTCTCCCAGCTACCCCAGCTGCCCCCGCCGCCCGGTTGCGGCTTCCCCACTGCCCCGCGCGCTGCCAGCCCGCGTCTGTCTCGCGCGCATGGACCCATCTACCACCTACTCCCATCCCCCGCCTCCTCCCATGTCCGCCGACGGCCCCTACCCCCAGCACGCCCAGCAGCAGCAGTCCCAGCAGTGGTCGACGTCTTCCGTGAGCCATCTCGTACCCGGCTCCCACTCGCAGTCCTCCTACCCCTCACCGTCTTCCTCTACCCCGTCGGGCGACCAGTATCCGTACTACACCCAACCACCGCCCCCGCCGATGAACGTCCACACAAATCCCGGGTCCGACCCCCACCCCGACCGCGCCGCCCTCAGCCTCAACCTCTCCTCCCTCTCCGTCGCGTCCCCGACCAACATGAGTCCCATCAACCCCAGTCCACACCCGAGCACGCAGCCCAGCTCCCACGTCTCCCCGATTACTCCCATCAGCCCGTCTGCCGCAGCCGGCCTCCACGCGCATCACGCACACCACCACGGCCTGCAGCCGCCTTTCACATTCGCGCCCCCCGGTGATCACGCTGCCGTCCGCTACGACGAGCCGTACGATTACGCCGGCCGCCGCCTGACCAGCTCGCGCTCGAGCTCGTCATCCGACAAGAGCGTCCCGCGTAAGCGCAGCTTCCCGACCGTCCCTGCCCTCAGCACGAACATCGAGGAACCGTACGGCGACCACTCGATGGACGCGAGCCCATACGACGAGGTCGACATGAACTATGGCGGGCTCGAGGGCAGTCCCGTGGACGGAAGCACCAGCGGAGGCGAGCAGGATGACCATATGAAGTCCTTCGAGACCTCGTCATCACAGCAGGGCAATCCGAACTTGCCGCCGAGCACGCATGGCAGCATGCCTCAGGTGGGCATGCTGGGAAAGCCGCTGGGGACAAACAACTTTGTCACAAAGTTGTATCAGTGCGTGTATTCGCCTTTCACGTAGCTGCGTGTCTTTCATTGACACCCATTGTATCTCTTGCCAGGATGATCAACGATCCAAAAAGCGCGCAGTTCATACAGTGGACGGAGCTCGGTACCAGGTGCGTGTGCCGTGCGCCTGTCCGCGGGCCCTCGATGCTCAACCATCGTTATCGTCAGCTTTGTCGTCTCCAATGTGGGCGAGTTCAGCCGGACGATCCTCGGCTCGCACTTCAAGCATAACAATGTCAGTCTTCCTATCCCGTAAAAGCCCGCGCCCGCCGGATGCTGATAACCGCCGTTTTCGCAGTTCTCGAGCTTCGTGCGACAGCTGAACATGTATGGATTCCACAAGATCAACCGGGTATGTCCTCTCCACCCTTGCGGCGTCTTTCCCTCCTCTTTGCGGTTATTCCCGTCCAACGTCCTGAAAACTCCCATGCCCCCCGTCTCCATATGATACCCGACCTTGGAAGCGTCCGCCGCGCCGTATACCTTTCGCAGCTTTCCTCATTGGCCATAATTCTCCGGAGCACACGCTGCCTGGCTGTCGTCCGCATTTCCAACTTGACATCATCGTGATCCCGGGCTATCCGTCGCGATACTGACATGCGCGCGCCTCCTCCCTCCGCAGACGCCCCGCGCGCAGCGCACCTCCGCCGACGTGCAGACGTGGGAGTTCTCGCACCACAAGTTCCTGCGCGGGCGGCCCGATCTGCTCGAGGAGATCAAGCGCAAGGCGCTCGAGCCCGACCCTGCGACAAAACACCGCGTGGAGCTCCCCGGAGAGGTACGTTGCGCCCACTCGCCCGCCGGCCCGCCTTTGAGTGTGTATGCTAATTTGCCTTGCGGATGCGGATGGAGGTGGCGGCGCAGCTTGCGCAGGTGAGGGAGGAGAATAGACGGCTCAGCTTGATGTACCACGCGGAGAGGGGACGAGTCGAGAGATTGGCGGGTGTGACGAAGGCGATGTACGAGGTCATCCAGAGGTCATGGCCTGGCTCGCGTACGTATTTGATTTCTTCGAGCAGCAGTGAGACGGGCTGACTGAATATTTTCGTCGGATGCGGCTCTGATTACGACGTGAACAGTGCAAATGCCCTTTCCAAACGATCTCCTTGAGCCAGACAACCCAAACATCTACATCACTTCGCCCAACTCGATGACCCCACATGCGTCGGGCGGCAGCGGCTTCCTGCCCTCGCTCTCGATGTCTGGCCCCGCGCACTCGCACACGCTGCACCACACCCACTCCCTGCACTCCCTCGGCGCGAGCCCGTCGAGCAGCCCGACCACCGCCGACTTCCCGCACCACGTACACAGCGGCGCGCACCACTCGCACCACCACAGCCAGAGCCACACGCCCGCGAGCAGCCTCTCGCGGCAGCACTCGTTCCAGCACCTGCCGTACGAGAGCGCCGCGATGCACTCGCACCACGGGAGCAGCTCCGGCGGGGCCGCGCACCACGGGTACGCGGGGCGGTACGCGGCGGACGGGGCGCCCGCGCCGCTGAGCACGCCGCTCCCGCCGTCGCCGGGCCCGATGGACCTCGACGAGCGCGTGGGCGGGGCGAAGCGCCAGCGCACGGCGCCGTCGTCGGGGCTGAGCACGCCGATCGGCGGCATCAGCGAGGGCGGGAAGAAGAGCAGGGCGCGCAGCGACAGTGCGCCGCTGGGCTACGGCGCGCTCGGGAGCGGCTGGGGCACGGCGGGGCGGCCGCGGAGCGGCAGTGGGCTCGGGAGCGGCAGCTTGGGCGCGAGTGGGGGTGGTGGGTTTGGGAGCTCGGGGCTGAGGGGCGTGGGGGCGTTGAGGAGGGAGGAGACCGTGCCGAATATCGGGAGCGTGAGTCGGGCGGCGGGCTCGGGCGGCGGAGGCTTGCCTGGCCTGGTCCTGCCGGGCGTGCCCGGGAAGAGTTGAGGGGTGGAAGCGGAGAGGCGGGGGTAGAGGTTGGAGGCGCTGCAGTCCCGCTGTCCGTGCGTGCGTTCACCGTGGATGCAGGGGTGGGCGCGGTGCCGGCGCGCTCTGTGCGTGGTGCCCTTTAGACGTCGGGCACGCGCCGGGCGTGTGGGGTGGTGCTTGCTTGCTGTTTGCTTGCTGCTCGTTTCTCGTGGTCTTGGACAGTGGTCGGACTCTGCGGATCGGGGGCTGTTGTGCGATAGGGGTTGGTGTCGGTGTCGGCGGCGGCGACGGTGTCGTCAAAAGAAGAAAAGCAATCCCCCCTTGTTCACTGTTCATCTCGCGCCCCTCTGGTCGCCCGTGTACTACAAACGTCCCGTTCGTCGCTGTCGCTCATTGTTCGCCTTCGTCGCTGCATCTGTGCTTTTGCTGTTTGTCACATAGCCGGTTCGTCTTCCTGTGCATACTCACATACATACCTTCGCCCTGCTGCATCCACGTGTATACCTGTACCGCCTACCTACGGTCGATATCCGTCTGCTCGTGCGCTGCGCTGCGTTCCCTGTTATCCCTGCTCCTTCCAACAAACCCATACCCTCCATGCACCCACCTCCGCACCGATTCCATACCCGCGTATCTTCCCGACCCGCCGTACCGCCCCGACCTGACGTGGTTCGACCTTCGACTTTGTCCGTTCGCATCGCATTCATCCGCCGCCATTGGGATTCTTCGCTGTCGTCTCACTCTCTGGTTCTGTACGGTGTCGCCTCGCCTTCCTCCTGCCTCCCGTGCTCCTGGGTCTCCTCGTGCTCGCTCATCTCCTGTACAGTTTCGCGAATCTGGGCTCCATTCATAGACGTGTATTACCATGCAATCATCCTCCCCCCGCGCGGTACGTATATAGCCATGTATACGCCCGCGTACGTACAGACAAACCCCACATACATAGCTCGCACCGGTACATAGCTACGAAAGAAGAAAATGGAAGGAATTGTATACCTGTCAGCCCGCCGCCTCGTGGGTGGTCGTTTGTCTGCCTGAAAGTCCGCCGAGAACGGTGAGTGCGCCGTGATACTCATTCGAAGTGCCTGCTAACCGACAGGGACACGGCGATCGGACGGGGGCGGCTCCGCGCCTCCAGGCCTCGTGTGTACGGACCTTCTCGAAGGCCGCACGGCGTCGATCGATGCGCCGGATCGGGAGGGCGATGGGTTTGGATCCGCGATGCTCGACAGCCCCGCCCCGATCGACTCAATGGCCCGTCACTGTCATCCACGGCTGATCGAAGGGCCGCCCTCCTGTCCTGCAATGCGGCTTCGTGGCGTGAGGCGACGCGTCCTCCACGCGTCGGCTGGCGGGCAGTTCCTGTCGAGGTCGTCCGACGCCACCGCACGACTTTCTGTCGGACAGGTATGCTGCATGCATGCGTGACGTCAATGCGAGCTAGGGATACGCAGCTACTTATATCGCGGAGGAACTTTGCTGTCCGACAAGGATGAGCCTTGTGGAAAGCATCGTTCTACTGGCGGGCCTACGTCTTTGCATCTCGGGACAGCGTTGCCTTCGATCTCCAGAAGCCGAAGTACGTTGTGGCCGCGCCTGCGGTTCACAGTGATGCAGCTGCGGGGACTCCCGGCGGACGCAATATTGACACGAGGCCATACAGAGAACAGTATGGCAGCGGCATGGGAGAACATTCCGAGCCAGAGAACCACGTCGTATATGTCAGTATATCGCACCACTCATTGTCGAGCAGATAGATTGACCCGTCTTTGGTCTCATTGCCGATGTACAGAGAACAGCACGCCGCGGCAGTCCTGTTCAGATGTGCTGCTACTGCTTGCGAGGCCGCCGGGTGTGGTACTGCCATGCTCTGGAGTCCATACAGTCTCATGATCGCGCGAGGTGCCACCGCTTCTCGCAAACAACGCGCCCGGTGGATGACCCTATGCGTTTCTCGAATTTCGCGGATGTCTACCTGGCTATGCCATACGGTATATATTTATAGATGAGTGGAGTCTCATCGTTGTCTTCTAGATACGCGATCTTATTGTGGTCACAGGATAGCCGGACGACTATCATGCGCGGCCAAAGAGCTACTACAATAATTATGCTAGGGTATTGTCCCAACCATGTTAAACGGTGGTCACTGCAGTTGCAGCAGAGTACTACATACCTCCCCGGCCTGTCTGATACAGCGCCTTCACCATTTCTCCCTGTTACAGAACCTAGCACGACATGATCAAGTCCGAGTAAATCATCCCGCTCAACCAGGCTACTACAGCGGCGCATGCGCACGCGTGCCACTAAACCCCGCCAGCGCACAGTCAGCCGCGCTGGACCCTCCTCGCCGGTACCACGTTGGGAGCGCCACGGCACAAACGGTCTTCCTCCTCAACACCATACGACAGCCCCGGACGCCAAAGCTGGCCGCCATGCTCCCGATCGCGTTTAACGTCGCGGGCTGCATGGGCGCGAGCGACCTGGTGCACGGCGTGTCTCGCCGCCCGGTTGCCCAGCGCGACCGTGACTGATACGGGAAGGAGGTCCTCCATCCGTACGACCTACCTATGTCGGATCCTCGCGGGGCAGGAGAGCTTCTCCAGGCTAACCGCTTCATTGTGTACGACCCCGGGAGTAGACGACGTGGAGGGCTGTTGTTACAAAACGTCTTCATCACCTTTTCGAACTCGCCGGCTGACGTACCCTGCGATACCTTGTCTTCCTTGTATATACACCGCTCCAATGTCAAGAACACATTGGCCTCAAGCCTCAGCGCTCAGCGAGAGCTCCTTGTCGAAGCCTTTCTCAGAAGAAGCACTGCACATCATAGCTTGTCGTGGTAGACACATATGGACCGACCGACATGTGTGCATAGGGTCGTCTTGTCTAACGAGGGTGGAATATCATAGCCTGCGGAACAAGGACGCACCTCGAAGCGACTTCGAAACCGTGCCACGGGCACATAACGTCTGCGCAGGCCAAAACTGGTAAGCGTTGTTATATGGCTTGGGCCGCACAGCTCGCTTGTTTAGGAGTACTCTACCAGAACTAAGCTCTCGGGCCCAATGATGCCGTTGGCAGCGCCCCGCGATGTACTTCCTTCTACATTTCAGTGGTAGTCAGAGTAGTGGAGCCGCTCCGACGCACCCGTGGCGTTCTGCGCCTGACGGACTACCGAGTCCTGTCCTTGTCAATTGACGTCAGGACTATATATCATGCCTTCGCCAGAAAAGACCCCATACGAATCATCTGCGCGATCATGGTGAGGGAGATGGAACGGACCAGTGGGTGGCACGGTGCAAGAGCGCTTGTCGTTCTTTTATTGTCAATAACGGAGACTACTAGTAGCATGATGCAGGGCAGGGGTCTTGAACAGGCTACAGCGACTGATCGTTCCTGGTCGCCCGTGCTATGCTGTCGCGCTCTGCCATAGGATTCTCTCTGCATGACCCGAGTCCAGATATCGCTTTGTGAGCATACCATACTCCTAGTTGCCAACGAGACGCACCGCAAAGGAATAGCCACGCGTGGCGAAAGCTGCGGTAGCTGCTGTACTTGGTATTGTCCCTAAGATCGGTAATATAAGACGGCGGCCCCAGCTGCAGACCGTCTCCTGCGTCCCGCACGCCACTCACCACTCGCCACTCTATCTCGGCCTTGTCAACTGCGAAGCGACAACCGCATGTCTGCTGAGGCTCGCGCCGCGACATATCGTACGACGGATTGGTTAGTCAAGCCCTTGTGGTTCGACGACGGAAACGTGATCCTCGTCGCTGATGGACTACACTTCCGCGTCCACAAGAGCATGCTCTCGATGCACTCACCTGTGTTCCGGGACATGTTCAAGCTGCCGCAATCCGACACTGGCAAGAAGTCAGCCTCCGAGTTCAACCCAGACAACCTCGACGTCGTGCGTATGCCGGACAACGGATACCAATTCATCTATCTCCTGAAAGCCATATATGAGAGATCGTGAGTGTGCCGTGTTTCTGTCAAGCTATCTGGCACTCACACATGTAGTGCTACGGTCTAGGTTCTTCCAAGCGAATAAGGCAGTTGGTTTTTCGGACGAGATAGCAACGAGCATCATCGTCCTCGCAGACAAGTACGACATGCAGGACCTTTACCGTGAGGCCACCCACCGCCTCAGTGGACTTCCATACCCTACGACCTTCGCAGCCTTCGAAGTCCGGCAAGCACGCCCGCATACAACACCTGCTCACTCGCCGAAAGCGCGGCGGGTCAACATCACGCTGGAACCATTCTTCCTCATCAACGCCGCACGACGGTTGCAGACAAGAGAACTGCTGAAGATGCTCCCCATAGCGTTCTACTTTGCCACCAGCATGACCACAGAAGCACTGACGGATGGGGTGGCGCGCAAGGTCCTGCACAAGACTTTGGGGGATTACGGACGAGAAGTCCTTGATCCTGAAGATACTCGGCGGTGCATCGAGGCGAAGCCTAAGCTCGTGAAGGCGAGTCAGGACGCCACACGGTGTTTCTCGTTGGATACCGCAAACCTCAGCCCAGCCTGTGCAGCAAAGCAACGCAGAAGCCCGTGCCTCGTAGCTCTGGAGCGGTTATCCCAGGCAGCCGCCGGAGCAGACCTAGCGAATAATACATCACCCCTGAAGTCTAGAGAGGGATGGTTCGACAAACGCTGCACGGATGCGCCAATGAACAAGCTTTGCAAGGATTGTCAAGCACATATCAAGCGTCTTCACAAGGAAGCAAGAGAGAAGGTGTGGAATGACCTCAAGAAGTTGTACGACCTCGAGGCGTGGCCGTGACGAGTCGGACGGGATCGCAGGTGGACAACCAAGAACTCACAGACATTGTTCTTCCCATCTCCATTGCATCCTCGCGGACATAACCTCTTTGTTATCGGTCATTCGCGCAGTATGAAGCTGTGATGCGTGCGCAAGACACTATCTAGTATCTCGTCGTAATCTTCTGTAGTACGCTGCACAACTTGATCTTGGAATGGTATGCCTTTGACACAGGTCAAGACATATCCGTGCCTACTGCATGCGCAGCGCATTGACAGCCAGAGCGTAGTAGATATGAAACACGGACAGTAGCAGAGGCAAGAGAGTTGTAGTGGAGGACCAGGACGAGGAAAGACGTCGACGCGTCGCGGTCCAAGATCACACGCCACAGGCGCGCAACTCGCGCGACGCGCGGCTCGAGGCTCCTTCTCCTTCTGACCCAGCCCTGAGGCCTAATACTGACATGCTCACTGACGACTCTATGACGACTCTATGCTTTTAAACATACCCCGTTTACAGTCGGCATCGACCACAAATGTTCCGTTCATGCGATTTGCGATTATGTCCAGCTTGAATGAACGCGTTACCGGAAGTCGAACGCGGACAGTCACAGTATTGCTACTGACGGTCGTTGAGGGAAGGGGTATATTGAGAGATGCTGTGAGCCCTCGATTGCGTCAATTGTGTATAGAGGTATGTTCCAGGTCATACTATGCAAAAATCCCCTGAGAGCTTTCGTATGTAGATCAGAACAGCATAGCCCTGCCTCAGCCCCCGAATTCGAAAGTTGTGAACAATCAGTGCGAGTAGGTATTGCAAAACCCGGTCGTGTGATACCGTCGACGAACTCGGGGTCGTACTCGTGCGCGGTGAGTGCAGCGGACATAGGTTCCTATACGATAACTTAGGCTCGATGCCAATCTGCTCTATCATTAGGACACGGCGGCCGTCTGTGCCTCTGGTCCTCGTTCATCTTGTTCTGGAGATCACATCTTTGTCTTCCCTTTGCATCTCTCCGAAGCTTTGATCCCATGCTGAGGGCTTTTGGCTAGCCCAGCGGAAAAGACCAAGCTGGCCGACATCATATTCGTTCGCAAGTTCTTCGCCGACGGTTTCCCCGTGGGGACTCCACACTTCTGCCTGGGCTTTGTGCGCCGATCACTCACCCCGGAATCCTATCAAGCCACCCATGATTCCGCGCCAGTGGTCTTCGTCATATTCCCAGCCCACGGCGTCCGAAAGACAGGGTCCTGCTCAGTACTCAGCTGCGAATCACCCTATGCCCTTCTCACGTGTGCGTGCCAGTGGCTCGATCCTGACATATAGCAGGCACGAGATACCCGGCCGCCTGGATTCGTAGGCTAACCCCGGCCTCGCTGGGAGACTTCTTAATAACAAGCGGCTCATCGTGCTTCGCGGCTTACTACGACATTGTGAAATTGGTGGCCAGGCCTAGCGCCTGTGGCTCACGCACACGACTGAACTTAGGTAGGCATGCGTGTGAGGGTGGGATGCTATAAGCCTAGGAGAAGCCCAGCGGCCCCGGAAACCTCCCCGCTGCATGCTAGCAGGCTGTAACACACGATGCTCAGGACGACTGCTGCTATTGCTCGTACGCCGTTCGCGATGAGGCGGCCGTTCTCCTCGATGGCAACCTTGCCGCGGGAACGACCTCTCTCATCCGTGTCCACGCCCCTGAGGGCGACCACTAACCTTCTCCGCGGCCAGATGCTCATTCGAGGCGCGGCGAACTCTGTCTCAAACAAGCCTGGCTCCCAAACCGTTAGGCAGGCTGCAGTGAACATCAAGGAGGAGCTTGGGAACTCGGGCGCAGACTTCGCGAAGACTATCGCAGGCGCAAACTGGTTCCACGACGCTGTGGCAGCCAACCCGAAGCGCGACACATTCGTACGTTTGCGTGTGGTTTGTGTGCGATGAGCTCGTGTGTGAATACGGAACCTCCAGTTGGGCATCACGAACGCAGTTGCGCACTCTGTGCCGCCCGCGTATATCGCCTTTGGTTTATTCGGCGGTCTTCCGTACCTCGGGACGGGCGCCGCGACCATCTACATGGCTCAGCAGGCTGGAACTGCACTGTCAGGTCAGTCACATTCAGCGCTCAAACAGCAGCGAAGTGACTTACCTACCCCTCTGTAGACTTCACGTCGCGGATTGACCCTGGAGTCGCCATCACCATGCTTGATCACGCTTTGCACATTCAGATGACCTACGGCGCAGTCATGCTGTCATTCCTCGGCGCTCTCCACTGCGGATTCGAGTTCGCGGGGTATGGCGGGCAGAAGGGGTACGCAGCTTTCTGTACATACACCGATTTCGGATAACTGAACATGCGTACATCACAGCTACCGCCGCCTCTTGCTTGGCGCATTCCCGGTTGTCTTCGGCTGGTCAACGCTCGAATTGCAGCCCATTGAGGCGTTGATCGCGCAGTGGGTTGGGTTCACCTGGATGTGGTGGGCGGATCTGCGAGCCACGAGCGCAGGCTGGAGTGAGTACATCGCCATCAGGATGATCCGTACGATCTGACCAGTACTTCCCAGCCCCGAGGTGGTACTCCCAGTATCGCTTCTACTTAACCCTTCTCGCCGGAACATGCATCATTAGCACCCTCGCTGCGACGAGCTACTGGGGTCCCGTGGGCGGCCACGGGCTCGTCAACCATGACCTGAACATGGTACGTGCCTTTGCCTTCTTCCGACCTTGTTGAGTGAGCGACACGCCAATCGCCCCATCGGCAGATTCGAGCCCTTCGCAGGAAGCAGGAGCCGGAGAGCGCGGGCTTCGTGGCTGGTGACGTCGAGAGCGTGCTTCACGACGGAGATGCGTATGTCCTCGTGAGGAAACGCCGCGCGCCAGAGCCAGAGAACGCGAGTGAGCAAGAAGCCGCCGCGGCGGAGTGAAGCATTCAAGAGTCGAACAATCTTCGTGGACATTTCTTCATCTGTCAGTGTTACGATGCTGCTGTAGGATTACTGTAGCATTCATCTGCATCTGTTCTGGATTGCATCCAGTGTGTATGTATTGGTACGATGGGAGAATATCATTCATGTATATATATCGACGAATTTCAAGTTATGTAACCGCAGTAACTGTCAGTACATAGACATCATGCAGAACAGGGCCCTGATGGCCATGTATGAAACACCAAGCGAGTCTTATATCTCTGTTAGTATATCGGTTAGTACACGCGCCTGTCATACAGTGCATGCACATGACGTGCGCGCGAAAGCGGGGTTCGACTCCCCGACAGAGAGATATTTTGCTGAGGTTGAAATGTTTTTACGAAACCTGCAGGCTGCTGTGATACCCATCCGCTGTGTGTTCACAATCCTTGTTCCGCTGTTCCGCAGGTCCATGATGGTGACCGGAAACATGTCATAATCCACGAACGCTAGGATTGTACTACGCGTATTACAAAAGGATAGTTTAAACATAAGCATTGACAGGTAATCCAAGCAACCTATACTGTACCAGGTATCGACGCCATGATATCGAAAGTCTCTAGTGTTGATTCCGTTTGCGGGGTATCATCGACGGCGACCAGAGGTGCTTGCTCCGGGCCTACTGGGAGCTGACCGGTCAGCTGCCTCCGCCTCTCGCCCACTTTCCAAATGACATCCTTCAGCTCCTGCACGACCTCCCCTCCGGGACCCCATCGCTCGGCCTGAGGTCGTAGTGGCATCTCGGACAGCGACGCTAATCCATACTGGCCACTGTCCCGACGTGCCTTCGCCAGCTTGACGCGCTCCTCTCGCGAGAGCTTCGATCGCTCACGAGTGAACGAGGGCGCCCCGCCGGTCTCGGCTTCGTATACCTGCTCGACGCCAGGCGGCGGCAGGTGGCGCGAAGAGGCCGTCATGAGCAGATGCGCGGTCGCATCGTCGAGCTCCTCGTCTGGCCGCTCCGGATCAACGGACAGGCCGAGAGCACCCTGTGCATCTGAGAGCGACAGAATAGCTGGAGCGTGGAGAGCAGGCGACGACGGCCCGGGTTTCTCGGACGTGTCGCTCCCGTTGTCGTTCCGCAGACCCGGTGTGTCGTCCGGAGAGTCAGGGTCTTCTCCAGACATTTGGCGCGGGCCAGAAATGATATCGAGGAGACGTTCCCGACCTCTCTCGCACTCCCGTAGTGCATAGCCAAGCTCCTTCCTGAGTTTGTCGTACGCTTGGAACGCAGGGTGTTCCTGAATGGAGGTCGCGCTGTCCTCTCCATCGCATGGCCCGGCCTCACCGGGCGTCGTATCTCGTAGAGACGCGACACATTGCTCCAAGTTTTCCCTCGCGTCGTTTAGGGCAGTCGACATTGCGTCCACATGTGCAGCGAACCGTGCGAGGTGGCTAGGCATGGGAGCAAACGAGACCATCTCCGCCATTGTCCTCACTGGGCGCGGCCGATTTCCGGCTGAGAGGTCAACGGATGTACGCGGGCTGGGCCGCTCGTCCTTGACACGATTCTTCTCGGCAATGTCAAGCGCCTCGGTGAGCCGCGCGGACGCGTCTTCGAACGTGCTTGTCAACAGAGCCATCACCGAGCGCACGTCCTCCCAGTATGTGTCGTCCTCTTCTTCGCCGAAGCGCAATGCCAGGAGGTGAGAGCACGCATAGCGCTTAGCGGAGAGGGCTCCATGCAGAGCAAACTGGAGGCCCGTGAGCGACAGCGGGTGGCGGGTCGTGTGCACTGTCGTGAGGCGGGAAGACGACGGTATGGTAGGCTGTTGGCCCATGGATATCCGCCGCGCATGTCGCGCAGAGCTGGCATAGCTCGGAGGAGGGACGCCAAACACCTCCATACCTGCGCTCGTCCGCTTGCGCTGGAGGTCGAGCGCAGCGGCTCCGAAGTACTCCCCCTGACCCAGCGCCGCGTCCGAATCGGTGTCGTCGTCGTCCTCCTCTCGTTCCTCCTGCACGGGGTCGAAGCGCTGCGGACTCGCAGGCGCGCTCATGGAGAACTTTGACGGAGGAGGCTCGAACAGAGCAGTGAGGTCTGCGCTGCGCCGCGATCGGCGCTTTTGGAAGTGAGCTAGAGGGCTCCCTGCTTGCGCCAACGCGGCATACGATCCGTTCCACGTCGACCGCTTGTTCGTCGGGGTAGAGATCGTTCGCTGACGCGCTAACGGACCCATCGGAACTGAGAGAGGACGGGGATGGTCGAGCATCGAAAAGGCAGGTTTCGGAGGTGATGACGGCGCATACATTTCGGATATCTGTGACAGCTGCGAGTGATCCGTCAGTGCAGAGAGGAGCTGGCGGACGTTGTCGCATTGGTTTTGCGTTGTGTGCAACGAAGACTGCAACGTCACTCGTAAGCTGGAAGAAGGGGAACGCGGACTTGACGGTCCATAGAATATGCTAAGCCTCGATGTCAGGGCTTCGTTGATCTCTGCGATGCGAATATCTTACCTTCGCTCCTCTTTTTCGACAATGGAAATAGCCTCGTTGACTGAGGAATCCCAGACATTGCCCGCTCGAATGAGCTGATTTACAGCATCCAAAGTCTGCAAAAGCCGACAGTCAGTGAGGCGCAATGACGAGAAGGAAGACGACATACGGCGGCTGTAGTCTTAACCTCCTCTGAATTCGCCTTGACAGAATGCCAGGAATAGGTTGAAGCTAGCATCAAAAATATAGCAACAAAATAATACTCTGCCGCCAATGCAACCGCGGCGAAGCACACCATCGCTATCGGTACTTGCAACTCTGATAGCGGGGAAGGATCCACGGTGCCGGACTTATCACCATCAGAGGAGGCAATGTCGCTGGCATCGTTGAGCTTGTCGGGTACCTCAAGCGTGAAGGTGCGTCGGACGGTCGGAGTGGCGGAGATGGTGGTCGAGAGGAGTGAGGATGAGATCACGTCGTACTTGAAGCGCTCGGCAAAAGCGTGCTCGGAGGATTGCCTGTACTCGAAGAATGAAGCCGCTATCTGCGTAAAGAAAAGCTAGTATGAGTATGTGTTCATTGAAAACGACACATGTTCGAGAAAGCAGAAGACCATGTTCAGTACATTTATCAATGCCGGCGGAACATGTAGGTGACACTGACGCAGACTCCGTCTTCACCGTATGTGCCTGCGGGCATTACACAGTGAGTTCACCAGCAATGGAACGTCTCACGGGAGAACCTGGGTGCTCGATAAAACAACCAACGGCTGCCGCGCATACATCCTCGGCCTGCGAAAGGGCGTGAGGAAATGGCGTGGGGGAGGATGTCTAGAGTCCGAGCCGACACTCACGCCTGTGTTTAACGTCCTACCTGACGTCAACGCAGGCAGTAAATGGAACGAGTTTGGTGCAACCAGTGCTCAACGTCAAACGAACATTGCTGCAATGGTTCTGTTTTAAAAATAGCGAAGCAGACGGCTTCGCACGCATTCGGAGCCGCCGCGAGGAGAAGGCGTCCGGCAGCTTGTGCACGACAGCTCATTCGCAAAGGGCGGATACCAGCTCTTTCGCCGCTGAGCCATACAGCATGACGGAGCATCCTTGGCCCATCTATGTCCTAGGTCATTCTATCGCCGGCTTGCAGGTGCCAACGCGAGAGTACACGCGGTATCGAGGACGAGGCACACTATATGCGCTGCAGAACTGTCATGAAAAGTTATAGCCTAGACAGGCGATGCCAATGACAGTGCGGCAACACTGCCGCTTGCGCAGCCAGGGATGCGGCGTCGCCGTCGTCGCGCATCGTGCGACTAGGTGCAACCGCCTCTAGTAGGGTCCAGCAGCGTAGTGTATGCAAAGCCGAGGCGACCTCAATATGAGAATAAAGACTCGCCTGAATGAGATTGACGAGGGTCGGAGGCAGTCGCTCTAACGCCAACAAGGGTTCCTGGGGCTCGCCATTGCTCTCGTCCAGGTCTTGAGTGAACTCGGACACACCACCCGGGATGGGTTGCGCGCCTTCGCCGGTCACTGTGTCCAGCAGATCGTGTCAATTAGGCGACAGGAATGCAAGGCTTGATTAGAAGAACGCACGTCTGAAATACTCCTCTAGCGGGTGGTCGTCGAAGACGGCTTCGGCCATACAGACAACAGGCGTGGACAGCAAGCGTAGGTCAAAGTCGTAAGCTGGGTAAAGAGCGGAATGGTTGAGAATAAGATACGGAGAAGCCGGAGCACACAGACCACAGGCTACTACTAGAGTCGAGCGAGGGCAGCAGCAGACGGCGCCAAGTCTCCTCAAGCTGTATCGGCGGCGTGACAACGTCCTTCGCTGTGACATCGTGATGGTCGCGATCACGTGTCACTCTCAACAACGCGGCGCGGAGCCGCGCCGCGGCAACGATCGGGCCATCTCCGACTCTACGCCCTGCGCCAGGAACAAGATTTGGTTCTCTGCCGTGCACGCCTTTCTCTCCGACACCGCTCAACCGATGTACACAACATTGACTTTCACGCGGCCAACGCTGGCTCGTAGGACAAACCGGTCACAGTCAATACAACAGAACGAGACTTGCGGCTGACCGTTGTCAGCCACGATCAGTCTGTGGGAAATCCTTTGCGCAATCCCCCATGTCAGCCGCTATGCAAGCTCCTAATGAAGAGGCTTTGGATGCAAGTCGAGCATGCGCTCTCGCTCTGTCAACAGCAAGCATCGTCAAGACTCCAGCATGGCGTTCGCAATTGCTCGCAAGTCCGCCACGGTCGCGTTGCTCGTCTGGCTGTGTCATGCAGCCCAAGGCAAGCGGATGTCCATGCAATCTCTGACGACCTTCCTCAAAGCTCGGGAGGTCTCCACGACTCCGGACCCGTATAGAATTGCGGGAAACGCAGCTGTAGAAGAGAATGCCGCCGACGTGCCCATGGACCACACTACGGCTATCACCTATGTCCTCTCCTTCTGCGTCATTCTCGCTGCCATCTGTGTAATCTTTGCGATCACGGTGCTCATAAGGTATCGCAAGCGTCGACGCGCACAGGGACCCGAGAAAGTTGACGGCGGCGCAAACTGGGAGAAGATCGGCACTCAAGAGTTGCAAGGCGCTAGAGACCGCTTCAAGCGGATGGGCCTCTTCCACCCGTCCACAGCGTGTCTCCGGCAGCTCGATGCTCGCCTGCCTTGTCGCTGCCCACTGTGTATTGCTGCTGAGGAAGCTACGGTACCCGACCTCGACTCTCGAGCAAATACACGACCGACGGAAACTGTGACCTCGCCCCCGGACTCTGGACGGGCCGGCACCTTCCCTCGTCGCCCGCGCAACAATGAGAACGCTTTCGCTGGCCTCGTTCGCACCCGCCCTGCGCAACCGGTCTCTCCGCACGAACACGAGTGGACGCTCTTCCATGGCTCGTCGCCTGCGCTCGCTGGCTCTGGTTCTATGCCTATCCGCGCAGGTCCGGAGCTCACCCCCATCGAACCTGCTCGGCTCTCGCAGATGTCCCCGCTCTCTAGCCTGAGATCGTCTCTCATTCACGGGCTCGAACGGCCTCCTCTCCTCTCGGACGACTCGGGCTTGTCCACCATCAAGGTTGTCAACACGCCGAAGGGCGAGGACGTCAAGGGAAGCCCGCTCGCAGAGGGAACCTCAATGACTGTGGAGACGTTCACGGCTTTCAAGGTACAGTCCTCACGATCGATGCACATGCACAGCTGTAAGGCGGATATTGACTGTTGCCGGTAGCTCATCCCCGAGATGGACCTCTCGAACAAGAATGCGTGGATCTCGGACGCTGATTGGGTCTTGGCGAATGAACCCGTTGCGCAACCGCTTGCTGAGGTAGACCTCCAGGAGCCTTGCTGCGCCTCAGTCGCGAAGACGGTGGCTCGGCCTCCTCTGGCAAAGGTTGAGCGTTGAACGTTGAGGACAACAGTACTTGACTGCTGGAAGCTGGATTCGTGATGTGCTAAGTAGTGGAACACCATAATCTGCATGCGAAGTCTATCAATGTATCTCAGCGTGAGGACCTACAATCACATCTGAGTCCTGTCTAGATTTATGGTGGCTCGTGGATTCGTCACGGTACGATACCGGCTCAGCGGACAACCAACGGTAAGTTGTACTTGTGACGCTCACGGCAGACTTGACTGCAAACGTACGCTGTGACTCCGAGGCTCTGATCCTGAGCCACTAGCCTCCACTAGCAATGTCTTATGAAACCAACTATCACACGCGAAAACTTTCGAGCCCTCAGAAAAAAGTAGTTCGCTATTCATCACGTCGTTAAATACACCAGTTAAATCGTCATAATCATCACAGTTCAAGTTGCGTGTTGAGGAGGGGGAGGGAAGTTCAGTCGAGCTCGTCGATGTCAATGCCACGAGCCATGCTAACGAGAGCCACCAGCACCGTGAGTACTGCATCATCTGCGTACGAGTGAAGCGACACTCACAGGAAGTCCTCGATAAACTCGCGACTGTAGACGGCGGCAGCCTCCCCAGGGTGCTGGACATCGTTCTCAGCGTGGCCGTGCTGGGTGCTAAGGTGCTGAACATCGTGCTGAGCACCGCTCTCAACGCGGTTGTGCTCGCCCGAGTGAGCGTGCTGGCCCTCGTGCTCAACGGAGTGACCGGTTGAGTGAGAGTGCTGGCCTGGGTGCTCAACGGAATGTCCGGTCGAGTGGGCCTGCTGGCCTAGGTGCTCAACGGAATGTCCGGTCGAGTGGGCCTGCTGGCCTGGGTGCTCAACGGAGTGTCCGGTCGAGTGGGCCTGCTGGCCTGGGTGCTCAACGGAGTGTCCGGTCGAGTGAGCTTGCTGGCCTGTGTGCTTCGGGTGCTTGCCCTTTGCGTGCTTGCCCTTCGAGTGTTTCCCCTTCGAGTGCTTCCCCTTCGAGTGCTTCCCCTTTGAGTGCTTCCCTTTCGAGTGCTGGTTAGGGTGCGTCGCGGCGTGCTCATTGGGGTGCGTCGCGGCGTGCTCGTTGGGGTGCTCAGCGGACTGGCCAGTGTGCGGACCCTGCTGACTCTTCACCCCCGTTTGGTGGCGCTGGTCGTTCGTCACCGCGTTGGAGTCGTGGGACGTCTGGCCGGTGTGGCCCTGCTGGTGCGCCGCCGGAATCTCAGCGTTCTGGCCAGGCGTTGCCTCAGTGTGCTGAGCTTCACTGTAGGCGCGAGCGAAGAGATCCTCGAAGTCACTGCAAAGGGTCTTAGTGAAGGGTGGTTAGGCACGTATCGGCACAATACTCACTTCCGTGCCCAGAGAGCATCGTCGAACTCCCGAGCGTAGACCTCGTCGTCAAACTCCCGAGCGTAGACCTCGTCATCGAACTCACGAGCATAGAGCTCGTCGTCGAAGTCGCGAGCGTAGAGATCGTCGTAGTCAGCACTAAGAATCAGCGGCACACGTTCAGCGCAAAGCCTCCGTCAAATTGACCAGGACGACGTACCGGCGTCGTGAGTTCCCGTTCCCTCTGAACGCACTCACAGCATTCCCAACGTGTTCGGCGGCATTGGCAATGTGTCCCACATGCTTCGACACTTTGGCGATACTGATCTTCTTACCCCTAGTCTTACCGCTGCAAGACGAGAATGTTAACAACGGTGTCGCGAAGACTATCGCAAAAGACCAACCCCATGACAACAGGCGCGGCGACGGCGAGAACGGCGAGAACGGTAGCGGTACGCATCTTGAACGTGAAGAATATAAACTCAAAGAGTGTCGTAAGAGGTGTAGGGTTTAGAGGTCGTGACGAATTAAAAGCGAACTAGAACGAAACAAGTCAAGCTTCAGGAGGCATCAGCAGGCATTCATAACCCCAAAGTGCATGGATACTCACTATCCAGTACTTGAACTCGAAAAGCTTGGCTCGCACAGATCAACTGAGGGCTGGGGAACCCGTCTCCGAGAGCACAGTCTTTTATAGCTTGCAGTGACGGCGTTTGATGCGGGCGCCGACCAACCTCCGGCATGGCAGATTGCAGTTCCCAAGTTCACACAGAAGGATGAGCCGCATGGCGATGCGTGTCCGATGCGCGCTGACAGATATCGCCCAGTAGTAACGTTTCGTTGCCTCGATGCCGCCCGGATCCGCGGTGATCCTCGTTTGATGTCCCCCTGAGCAGTGATTAGTACTAGTATGAGATATGAACACCGTCGAATAGAACAACCTGAAGCCCAAGTGAAGTACTCCTCTTTGTAACAGGCCCACGCAAAGGATATGGTGCTGCAGCCTACAACAATTGTCCCTTTCTCTCCGACTCCGAGAAGACTAGACGCGCCTGGCGTACAGCCATATTGCCGACGTTGGCACGATGTTGCACCATCAAAGTCACCGCTGTTCCGTCACTCCGTGGCTGTGAACGCGCAACACAGCCGATCGCCTCGCCGGCATATGCACCCATATATCCCCATTCAGTCCTATGGCGTCCTTGGCATCATGTCCCCGATGAGCGGGAAGAGTGCACTGCGGTCCACATATCGGAATGATATCGTTCCGACTCGTTCGTTCCTTCAAGTGCAGAACGCTGAACACACCCTGAAGACTACCTATTGAGGTCTGCCCTGGCTCTCTGCGTGTTTGACTCCTTCGCTACGACCCACCTGTCGCAATAAGAGCGAACGTATCTCTGGGTCAATGGTACGCAATGTTCTCCGCCGAAAACATTGATGGAAGGATTAGACCGTAGCACCCGTTATCTGTCCACACGGGATCCGGAGTGTGCACGGCCACAGACGGACCTCGACCAAGAGTGAGGCGCAGACTAGCCTATGGACGGTCAGCAACGGAGACTACCTATTGACGGATACCAGAGCTATAGAGGATGGTGGTTCGGCGCCGACTCGGAGGACTAGCGGTCGCGTTCAGCTCGTATCCTAACCGCCGATAGTTTGTCTCTACCAGCCATCTATGCACTCTATGCGTCAGTCAACATTCTACCATTGTCGTATTGAGAATGGTGACCCACAAGTTGGCTGCAGGTCGAAATTGTGGTACGAAGATCGAGGTAAAGTACTGTCCGTACCATGCCCGAGCCTCCGCGTCCTCGGTTCACCCAGTTTTCCAAGGACTGATGCTGTCTGTTTTTGCTCGCTGAAGGCCTCCAGTAAGCTTCCGAGCGATGGGCGCTGAAATCAGGATGGTGGGGAGGAGGAGGAGGAGGCTATTTAGCCACCGCATGCGCACGCGCGATCCTCGGCGTCTTGACGGTGACACTGCCGTGGCGCGCCGAGCACGATGGCGGCGGCGGTGGCGGCGGCGAACACAAATGTGGTCGCGGCGTCGAACGAGAAGGTAGTTAGCTTCGGCCCACCACCTCTCTCAAGTCCTCATACCCTCCACCTCTATTTTACAGTCATTCTAATGCACCTAATCACTCCTTTGATCGTGCTCGCCTGTACCAGCCTTCTCGTAGAAGCTAGTGGCCACTCCAGTTTCGAGGTCGTCCGCATGTCGGACAAGCACGGCAATGGTCAGCACGCGCGGCTGGCACGTCGCGCTCGCTCGCTGAATGGACGATGTGGAGTGCGGACTAAGCACAAGGTCAGTGCGTGTATTCTGAAAGTTACGCTGCATACAACTTACGAGGTCGTGATAGAATCAAACCATGAGTACTGAACCGGAGGAGACCAGTCAATCGACCGGTATCGACTCCAACTATGGCGCGATGTCGATCTTGTCCAATGGTATAATCAACGTGTTGTCCTCTTGTGGACCTATAGGTGCTACATGTGAGTATTTCACGACGTTCTTTTCGGCGATATGTTCGGAACGTCTCATCGGCACAACACAATAGTGGGTGTAACTCCAGTCAGCGGTCCTAATGGAGACATCGACTGGCTCAACTGCGGTGTCAACCAAGGTGGCTGGCAGCCTCCATATGTGACGGTCAACAATCTCATCACGAAGGACTTGAGCACGGCGATTCAAGACCCTAGCAGTCCTTTCAAAGCGTGCTTGCCGTTTGTGGGATTGTTCGAGCAGTACGCGAAACAGTTCGGAGGTGCGTGCTACGAATCTATACAACCTTCAAGCTTGAAAGCGAAGGTGGCTTTTGCTGTCTTGCCCGAATGCTCGGGCGCAGGTCGAATTGGCCAGGACGGGACGCTGCTCCCTCCGAGACCCGATCACAGCCATGCAAAGATATCAGCGTGTCCTGGGAATGAAAGGCTTCACAATTAATCATGCCTGGATCCCTTCATTTCCCTGCGGGATTGATGTCCTTGGGAAAGGCGCGAAACGACGCCTTTCCTAGTGGGCAAAAAGCTATATAGCCCTTCCTCACTCAGTATTGTCGCTGCACGATCCGCCTCTTCTGTTTGTGGACCGTTACAGACAAGCGTTCGTATGTCGAGCACATAGATGGCCCTCCCACTGGAACTTGTGGAAGGGAGGGATCTTTCACTTGCAGCGTGGCGCAATGGCTTCAGATCTGATGGCGATGTGCTAACATTCACCGCTTTGGAATGTTGTCAGTTCCGTCCATCCTGATAGCATCTATCGCTATGCAAGAGAGCTCGTGTAACCCGGAGACCCAAGGCGGTGCCGGCGAACAAGGCCTCATGCAGCTGACGCAGGACAAGTGCGGCGCAGCGCCAAACGGAAATTGCAAGGATCCCGTAAGTTGGAGAAGTTCTCTTCAGTCGTCGAACTGCACGTTCTGATCAATGGAGGTGCGACGTCTCTACACAGGCGTACAACATCCGGACCGGTGCTCAGTACTTTGCGAACACGCTCAAGAGCAACAACGGCAATGTCCTTCTCACTCTGGGTAATTACAACGGATGGCCGGAAGGCATGACCTACGTGAGTGATCAATTGATGTTACACACGAATGGGCCTGAAGGCGGTGTTCGTTTCCCATATAGGGTCAGGCAGTCGCAGCGGCGAATGGACCTTGCTGCCGCTGCCAGAACAATCTCGACTAGTACGTATTGTGACCACACGTCAGATATGCGGAAGCGGTAGATGCTGATGAACCCGTCATGCCATTCAGCATACATCAGAACGTCAACGGATGGATGCAGAATGTCAACCCGTACGAGAGCAACCCGCGCATCGGCAAATACTTCAACCTCGACAAGTGCTTCTCTTGAAGACCTACACGACTGCCCACGACTGCCCACGACATTTCATTTCTATCTCCTTTCGTTTGGCTCCTGGCATGTATCACCATTTTCATGTACGACCGTACCCTTCATGTGCCTGTTCTTCATGCATCAACCGTCACGGACCGGCCTGTATCGGTTGTGCACCTTATCGTGTAATTTTGTCGAGGCTTGTATTGAATTGCAATGTAGCTCAAGTATTCTGTACTGTCGGTCAGACATGCTCAGCCTGAGCCGCAGGGCCGTCGCAGAGGGTTGTGCTACCCAAATGTTTGAAGCACCAGAGTCATTACTCGACGCGTACGCCGAGAGTCCGGGCCGTACTTTACTTACATAGCTGCGGGTACTGTGTCGGGCGCTTCATAACTCTCGTTCAACTTGTTGAACGTTCCATGATGTCCTGCTTCTACGTAGCTTGCTCCTGGCTTGCTCGATGCCGCATCTTTCTGACCTCATCTCGAGTGCGTTACTCTGTGGTGTGAAGTACCTCTAGTGCACTGTCCTTCCGAGTCTGACTGTACCGGACGCGTCTCCAAGAACCAAGACAGCGAGTCGCTACGAAGCTGGTCGGACAGGATCTCGTCACTAGCTGTCATGCATACAAAAGTACACTAAATCGCTGGCTCTTGATTTGCAGGAGGTGGTGAGATCTTCCGGTGTTCAAGTCTCGCTCCTTGACTCGGCGACGGGCGTCCTGTGGTATGGGCTGGGTCTTGAGGTGGTAGGATAGCATGTCTGTGGTGCGTTTTCCCCCGAGTCGCATGCTACTGGCGAATATCACCGAACTGTATATAAGGATATATACAGACGAATCCTTGAAAGCGGTACTACGTGGCTTAGAAAACCGCCCTCCCCTCCGTCACAGAGGTCTTTGAGCTCTGCCTAGGGGAGACTACCTTCGTGGGGCGTCGCGACTCGCATGACGACGTTCTGTCTGAGTTCCAACCACCGCCTGAGGATCCCGCGTTCCTCGGTATGTAGTCCACATCCATAACGGACCGAAAGACCTCGGTGTATGCGGGCAAGACACGCAACCCTAGCCGCGCGATCCTGTTCAAATTGAACGACAGGTTTTGCTCTTGCATGGGAGCGTTGAGATGGCTCTAGAGCTTCGGGCGGCCATAGCGTTCCCGCAATTCAGTCTTCTATCCGCGACTCTCTTCGGTGCGGATACTTTTACTACTATATTCCCCGCCTACGCAGACGCTTACTGATACGATGTGTGTGAGTCCAGTACGTCAGTGGTCGGCAGGTTGGATCTTCCGGGGGACGGTATGATGGCGGGACCGTGCATGTTACCCTCGGTAAGTACATTAGCATGTCCGATGTTGACTTCGCGAGGCAGGAAGACCGAATGGCTCGGGGTGTACCCCCATTGCAAATGGATGTTGTGGGACACCTATGGAAGCCCATTGCATGTATAGACGGGGGTGAGCAGCATACCTGACGGTCGTTGACAAGAGGTTTCCTAACCTGATATCATGCCAGGCTAGATCCTTGCCAATCGAACGACACCTTTGTACCGAGGAGCCTGCATTGACTCTTTCGTGCTATTCGTGTTCCAATTAGTCTTGTTAACTCCTCCCACTGGCACTGAGCGCGCCGACACAATCAAGCCGTCCAAGCGACACGGCTAGTACGGTTCGCCGACTCGGTCAGTTGACCTTACGCTCTCTGCACGTGGAGCTCTCGGCGACATAGATCGCTGGCCTTACATTGGTGCGTATGTTCAACGTGGAAGAGTCTTGCCAATAGGAGACATCATCGGGTGGGAGCAGAAGCTGTGTTCTACTGCCGACCGTTGGCTGGTCCCTGAACGGACGCGCGCAGATCCCATAATATTGATCTCTACGCGCCGGGGCGTGGCATACATAAGGTGGACTCACAGGTTCACCGTGACGCGCCATATTCATCTGCTAACATGTTGTGCAAGGCCGCTGTATTGTCAGCCGTGGGCCTGCTGTCAGTCTTGTTCTACAAGTATGTGTTGGAGCCGCTGCGCCTGCAGCGAAAGGCTTCACTGCCGCCAGGCCCACCCGGACACTGGCTCTTCGGAAATGCGCTCCCGGGACCCTAGTAAGTCAATCTTTATCTAATGCAGCGTATAACTAGTTGAACGGAGGCTCCTTCGCAGTGCTTACCGTCAATATGCCAACCTGATTAGCGAGTATGGACCTGTGATTTCGCTGCGATACGGACGGCGCATCGTCTGCATTGTGGGTAGATACCAGGTGAGTCTGCACTTGCAGCTTGGCTATGTCTTGACAACTAAGGCTCATGGACGGAACCTAGGCAGCTGTTGATATTCTTGTGAAGCATTCAGCGGAGACCATGGACCGACCGCGCGCTGTGGCTGCGCATGAGATAATGTCAGGTGGTTTACGAGTTGTGCTAACGGGTGAGGGCGACCGAATCAAAAGGCTGCGCAGGTGAGTGTATCAACCAATCCTTGGGGTCCCGCTTACATTCGATGCCAGGGCATTACATGCATTTTTGCAGCCAAAGGTCGCGGAGACTTACAAGGAAATGCAGGCCAAGAATGCGAGGACCTACGTCCTCGATTGTTACCACACACCGGGGGAACATATGGAGCATGCGAAGAAGTGCGTCTCCCAATCCCTCTCAATTCCTATAGTGCATTCTAATGCGCTATTGACAGATACGCAGCCAGTGTAGTGATCAGTATGACGTACGGCAAGACTACGCCTACGTCCTACTCGGATCCCGAGGTCCAGATTGTGAACCGTTGCCTACGCCGCCTCGGGGCTGCCCTTCGACCGGGCGCACACCTCGTTGATACATACCCGTTCCTGCAATATATCCCAGGATACACCTCTCAGCTACGCAAGTATCACCAGGAAGAGCTGAGCTTTTTCCGGAGCCAAATCGCCAATGTGAAGTCTCAATTGGTAGGTCGCGAAACTACTCTGTGACCAAGGCTGTGGGTTAACCAGTGTCTGATGCAGGCGCGCGGAGAAGCCGAATCGTGCTTCGCCGCTCATTTACTGAGGGAACAACAGAATCTGCAGCTCTCTGGCGACGAAGTCGCTTACCTTGCTGGCGCGATGTTCGGCGCAGGTTCAGACACCGTGAGCTACTCCTGTCCCAGGTCGAGACAACAGCTCAGACAATACATAGACTGCGTCTTCGCTGGCTATCGTCTCTATGGCTGCGGCGCTCTTTCCAGAGGCTCAAGCTAAGGTACAGGCTCAGTTGGACCAAGTCATTGGTCGCGAAAGAGGTGCGTCCCCTTCCGAGCGGTAGGAGTCAGCTAACGCCGCTTGACTGTCTGGTAGCTCCTACTTTCGATGATGAGGCCGACTTGCCGGAAGTGACTGCGTTCTTCCTAGAAGCCTCGAGGTGGCGCCCCGTTGCCTCCGGAGGTGAGTATGGTCCGGGCGCGCGAATGACAGTCCTAGATAACAGGTTTACGTTTCCAGGTTTCGCTCATCGAGCGACGAAGGACATCGTGTGGGTACGTCAGGCCGACCTTAGCTCAGAGCAATGCCGACGCTGACAATACGTCCGATAGAAAGACTATGTCATTCCGGTGGGCGCTGAGATAGTCGGGAACCATCTGTGCGTCCGTCGCGGACATCGCTGAGAGTTTAGTCTCATCTTCATTGTGCAGAGCAATCGCGCGGGACCCTGAGGTGTATCCTGACCCTGAGACATTCAACCCCCAACGCTGGCTGGATGCCAATCGCCGTCTCCGAGAGGACCTGAAGTTCTTCACCTTTGGGTTCGGACGCAGGTACTTCATGACTCTTTTCCTCTACGTAGGTCTGTACACTCAACAACAATACTAGAATCTGCGTCGGACAGCACGTGGCGGACAAGTGAGTCACTCACATCCGTGTTGACAGTACCGAGCTTACCACTGCGATCAGCTCGCTCTTCATCAATACAGCTCTCACATTGTGGGCGTTCAACGTTAGCCAGAACCCTTCGGCCCCAATCGACCCGGACGCCTTCACCGATGAAGCGCTCATATTTCCCCAGCCATTCAGCGTCAGCTTCACGCCCAGAATTGATGGTTTGTTAGAAGTCCTGAAGGAAGGAAGCGATTGAAAATGACTGTGACGTACTCTTCGAGTTTAGCATACCTTGACAGTGTACTCAGTTCAATGGTGACTGATGAAGTACCGAGTGAAGACAATGCCTATCTTGTTCCGCGCTTCCATTTTCATTGGAAGGTTATTGTTCAGGCGAAGACAGACAAGGTCACACATCCTTGTATCCTATAATGTGTTTAGTACGTGCTCCAGTTACTCTAAGTCGTTCCTTGCAGCCACAAACTGACTTCATGCACGTCAATGTGCCGCGTTTGTCTAGACAGATGACCGCTGCTGATCATCATCAATCGCACAATACTAAGTTTCCCGCTCGCTGCACATCGAGGACGCATGTTACGTACCCGCGCGTTTGGTTTTTAGTCAATCTGCCAAATGTTGTCGATGTGCTCAAGTACTGTGTGGAGAAGGTTCTTACGGTAAGTAGTAGTGTGGTCCACGTGGGAGGATCACTGGCATGCGTCTCACGGACCCGGGGCACAGGTTCACGTTCACGCGTTCACGATTTCGCTGACATTTGGCAGCTGGCCGCAACCTTTTCTATCAGCGTACACTGGCAACTGTCTGTGAGGCATACTATTAATCCCAGCAGATCTGTTCTCGTTGGAGCATTCAGAGATAGCGAGTGGTCCCTCAATCCGTCTCCGATGTACAACGTATACTGACCTTCTCAAATGTTGATCAGTTACCTCACTTGTCTGGGCCCGGGGTCTTGACAAATCCGAACCTAACGCGAACGACTGACACTGAAGCCTGTAAGCCTCATGTTCTCGCTAGTAGAGTGCCGCACGGCCCATCTCTAACGACCACTGTTCGCTCGGATACACTGGACTCTAGTAGATCACTCCTGCCGACTGCCATAGTCTTCCCTACCGTGCCCCCCGATGTTTCAGCCGGACGAGAGTGTCGGCTCTTTGCCGGGGGACTGCGAAGCGAGGCCGTGAGTCGATACTTCGGCAATCTCATTGTTCCACTTTGCTCATACATTCTTGGCACGGAAGCACGTCTGCTGCTCAGGATCAGTGCAAGGCAGGCCAGAAGGCTGGTGTTGCTACACGTCCGCGAGAACTTCCGATCGAGGTCTGGGAACGCATTATCGACATGGTGGCCGCAGAGAACAAGCATCACGACTACAACAACTGGGATTCGCATCCTGGATGGGCTACCCTCATCTCCTGTACCCTAGTGTGTAGGGCATGGTACCGACGCAGTTGGTTCCACCTCCACTGGCAGATCTCGGTGCGCAGTCGCGAGCAAGCCGTCGCGCTGTCGAGGCTACTTCGTGCTGAGCCGCGGCTTCGCGAAGCGGTGCAGCGTGTTTCCATTGCGGGAGGACTAGACCGAAACCAGGAACGTCTCCCGATCCCTCATCTGGCTACATTCGCTGCAATGCTCGCGCGCAAGTTGCCGAACGTCAAGGAGTTCGTCGTCAGGCATGCCGAGTGGAGACTGACGGACGTCCGACCGCGTTCGGTGGCCTATCTGAATGATTTCAGTTCCGTGTACTCTCTGAAGCTTGTCAACGTCACGTTCGCATCTACGATGCTCTTCGGCCGTCTCATATCTGCTTTCCCAGCTCTCACCTGGATGCACTGCGTCGTCATACGGTGCATGCAAGAGGAGCCAGGGCCAACCGATCCGCTACCGCCTTTGCCGCGGACGACTCGCGAACTGGCTGCTTTGTCGCTTTGCGAACCAATCGATCCAGCGATCCAATCATTCCTCGTCAGGTGCGCCGAAGAAGATGAAATCAAGCTGCAATTTCTCTGCTTGGAGATGGACGTTCCTTCGCAGTTCACTCTAGCATCGAAGAAGGGACAACAGCTTTTGGATTCTAGTCGGGCGCACCTTCGTTCCTTCGTGCTGAGGATGTATATGGAAGATATCCCCCCTGAAGCACAGAAGACGGCATTGGGTGTGTATGCTTGCGATACATTGAGATCTCTTGGAGCTGACAAGACCGCAGAACCGAATATTATTCTGGCCCGAGTGGTGAAATTGGAACGACTAACCATTGAATGTTCATGTCCCATCAATCCCGACTTTTCATGGATCTCCACGATAGTCTCGACCATCGTATCAAAGGCCATGCATGAAGTGGACATTGTGATCAATTTCCGCAAGAAGGGGGACACCTCACGCAGGCTAGAGATTCTGCTGGCAAGACTCGAGCAGCACGCTGACCTCACTCTCCTGGACGAAGTTTTGGCGCGCGAACAATTCGCGAACATCAGACAGAAGGGCGTCGGCGTCTTCCTGGAATTGTCGCCCGAGCTCTGTGCACTTGGATCTACAGCTGCAGATCATCTGGAGGGACGGTGGCAAGAGCTGGTCAAGCGGAAGATGCCACGTCTGACTGAGCAAGAGATGCTGAGGTATGATGATACATCAGCCCGACAGGCACAAGGTCACTTACCGCTCTTGAACTACAGGGCGTTTGTGTGGTCCTGACACGGCGGAAATCCCTAAGTACATATACTCAGCGTGTTGATGCGATGTACGTTGCATCCAGAGAGCCCTTTGTAGAAGCCTGCAGTCCCCCTCGATCGCGTTCGCTCCGCTCATGGCTCCCGGGCCCGCAATCACAAGGTTCTGCATTACTTGAGCTGTCCCGTGCCAATGATCGCAACCTACATCGAAGTCTCGATGAATGGGTCAGCATGCCAACCGTTGTGCTGGTGTGCGGCGGAGCTAAGCTTGATCGCTGTGGGAGCTGCAACTTGAAGTGGGAGTTCGAGTCCGGAAAGATTGCTGCAACAGGCGGTGCACTTACCTCCGTATGTTAAATCTATGTAGTATGATCACTTGGTGTCGACTACTTATATGTAGGTTCTGCGAGCTCGGGTTGCCTACCGCCCGCCCTCTGAGTCGCTTCGCAGAGTTCTTCTCGGTGCACTTAGACCGGCGTCGAACTACCGCCAGAGAGCGGCTCAAGCTGAACATATTTTGATCGGAGAGGTAGGTTCTTCTGTCTAGCGGATTGGATGAGTGAGGAGGGCCGGCATGCCAATCTCTGACCATGCTTCTTGGTTCAGATACTTCACACAAGAGTGAACAGACGATGTCTCAACCAAGCGCAGGGGCTAGTAGAGGTAATAATACTCAGTCATGGTGAGTTGACTCTCGCCCGTTTATTACATGCTGATGAGTTATCAAGCGGATGTGTCGAAGGCGAAGCGGAACAATCGAGCCAGGCTGGTCTGGGCACGCAGCAGCGCGAGCTCCCCGTCGAGGTATGGGACAAGTATGGGAACACGTCATCGATATGCTAGCAGCGGAGAACAAGGACAAAGATCATGGCAATTGGGTCTCACATCCCGGATGGAGCGCTCTCGTAGCCTGTACTCTTGTGTGCAAGGCATGGTACCTCCGTAGCTGGGACCACCTACATTGGCAAATATCACTGCGCAAGCGCGACCAGGTTGCCACACTCGCGAAGCTTTTCCGCGCTGAGCCGCAACTTCGCCGAGCGGTGCAGCGTATCACCATCGCAGGTGGTCTGGACAAGGACCAGCAACGACTACCGATCCCACACTTGGCTACGTTCGCGGCGACGCTTGTGCGCATGCTTCCGAACGTCACGGAATTGATGGTTCGCCATGCGGAATGGAGGTTAGCGGACGTTCGCGTTCAACTGGTGTCCCACCTGGACGCCTTCCGTTCTGCCGAATCTCTGAAGCTCGTCAACGTGACATTTGCGTCGGCCATGCTCTTTGGTCGTCTTCTGGCGGCTCTTCCTTCCCTTGAGCGGTTGGGATGCATCTCGGTGCGATTCCCGCAAAAAGAACCAGGACCGCTGGTCTTGCCACCACCTGTCCCAAGGATGAGCGGGAAACTTGGCGCGGTCTCACTCTGTGAGCCAGTCGACCCGGCCATCCAAGCATTGTTAGTCCGCTGTGCCGAAGCCGATGGCTGCAAGCTGCAATGGCTTGTGCTGGAGGTGGACGTTCCCTCGGAAGGAACCTTGGCGTCGATGAAGGGTCAGCAGCTGCTGGACTCGAGCGTCGCGCATCTGGTCTTCTTCGGGCTGAAGCTATACACGGAGGATATTGCTCCGGAGGCGCAAAATAAAGCGTTGGGTGATGTATTCGTTCATCTTTGCCCCACCGGAACCGTTAGCACTGACTGACCTCGTGAATGACCTCGCAGAACCTTACCTCAATCTCTCTCGCGCCGCCAAGTTGCGACACCTGACAATTGACACGTCATGCCCCAATCAGCCCGATTTCTCTTGGCTCGCTACTATCCTGGCGACCGTCGAGTCGGACGGCCTGCAAAGGGTGGCCATTTCATTCGGTTTCCACAAGAAGGATGATGCAGTGCGCCGATTAGAGATCCTGTTTGACCGACTCGAACAGAACGACGACCTCACTCTGATGGATGATGTCCTCGCTCGAAAGCAATTCACGAACACGAAGCCGGGCGCTTTCTTCATGTTCCTCGATGTAGGCTCATCGTCTGGCGCATTGACAGCATCGGACGGTCTGGGGAATCGATGGCATGAGCTAGTCAGGCGTAAGATGCCCCAAATAGCGAAACACAATATGCTTGGGTACGTTTCCAATACACCTCCCAGACAATGGACGCTGACGAGTTGCCGGGCCTTCAGCACGTACCCCTAATGGATCAATCTCCGGGGAGGAACATGTCAGTAGACCACTGACAGGATCTGCCGCCTCGAACATTCCGGAACAAGCACTCGCCTATATGTATGTCATCCACGTTCCTGAGACAGCGAAGTAGTCACAATGCAGCGATCGTCATTTGCGCATGCTCCAGATCCAACGCAATCCTGGTTAGCCTATTCTCGTTTTGCATACACATACAAATACATTTGTTCACGTTCAGCTTTCCCCACGGCCTAGCTTGTCGACCGAGCGGACGCCCTGCTCGAACCATTCCTCGCGCGATATCCAGAACTCCTCCCGACTCTTCATGATGTCCGCCAGCACAGCGCCGCCGAGGAAGACCATGTGTTTCCGACGCGGGGGGTCTTCAATGCGGATCTTGAATTTCTACATGGAAAAACATACAATCAGAACGGCGTAGTTGGCCAGAGTGTGTAAGACGTACGTTGAGTCGTGTTGGGTCGCCCCCGAGCACTTGTGTGAGATAGAGCTGCTTCATCTCCTTCTCCAGCCGACTCGGCAGGCCAGGGTACATGCTGGACCCGCCAGACAGTACGATGTGTTTGTAGAGCTCCCCGCGGATATCGACCGCGGCGGCCTGTATAGTCTGGAAGAGCATCTCTGCTACACCGGGCTGCTCGACATCTACGAGGTGTGGCTGGAACATGCATTCGGGCGCTTCAAATCGCTCTGAACCGATCTTGATTACTCGGCCGTCCGGTAGCTAGGTCAATTGTCAGCAGACACGCGGAAGGTCATCTCGAGTGTTGCCTACTGTGTAGCTCTCCATGAGGACTGTGGTCTCTTCGGAGAGCCTTGTGTCGAGATCCAAGTCGTAGCTGACCGAGCGGTTAGACATATGTGACGCTGCTAAGTATTGACCAGGGTTAGACGCACCTAACGTAGCACAGCTTCTCCTTGATCTCCCGGACAGTCTCGAAGTCAGCTGTCCGATTGAACGCGTAGCCTCGCATGAGCAGCAGCTTGATCAGATACCGCGTTACGTCGCGACCAGCAATGTCCAGCCGACGTGTGAGATGAGGAAGAGCGAAGCCATCGTATACGGGTACGATGTGGGTCACACCGTCTCCGGAGTCAACGACCACACCGGTGGTGAGACCTGCACCCAAGTATCAACTACGTCGAGGAGTGGACAAGGTGTCTTTCAGACGCACCTTGCGCATACAGCGTCAACACCGCCTGGATAGCAACATATACCCCCTGGAACCCATACTCCTCGAACATGACCTGGCACATCCGTTGCCGATTCGCCTTCGGGTTCATAGGTGGCTCCGTGAGCAGCACCTTACGGCCCTGGGTGTTGACGCGCAGCTTCTCGTCGAAGGTGTAGTCCCAGAGCAGCTTCATGTCCTCCCAGTTGCGTACAATACCGTGCTCCATGGGCTGGGTAACCTGCAGGTAATTACGGTTCTCTGCTGCTTCGTCGCCGATCATGATATCCTTGATGACCGCCGTGCCAACTCGCTCCTCCGCACGCAGGATCGGGCGACCGACGATAGACGGAAATACTGCGCAGATTATCTTTCAATAAGTCATACCCAGTATACACAAGGATGCACGCACCATGTTCGGGGAAGTTGGAACCTGCGTAGCCTACTTTGACGAACTGGATGTGTAGCGACCTCAGACTCGGCGTGAGCGGCTACGATGATGGACGTGTCACTTACACCGGTACCATTATCGACCACCAATGGCACTGCCGGATCCATTGTTGGTCAAGATCAATAATTGTACAGAGTGTAGACAAGGGTAGGATGCAAGGCGAGATGCAGCGGCCTGCGTTACGCGGTGGCGGGGACTGCGCCAGACGCCTTAGGCGCGCAGGTCGACGCGCTCGCGACTGCTCGCGACTTCGAGCCCAACCACTACCATCTCCTTCGCGAAGGACCTTGTCGACGACTTCTACGTTGCTTACGACTAATTGACCTCGCATTCTGACCAGCTTTCTTAATTTTGCTCAGACTCGTCATGGGTCGTGGTGTCTCGCCTGGACCCTCGCCCCTCCCGAAGGTCTCGTTCTCCAAGGTCCAGGATGACTTCGCATCGTACCCGTCTGGTGTACACGAACAGCAGATGAGGTCATTTGGCTGTGAGTCGACTCTTTCGAGCATTGGATGACATCTAGCTAATATCGCATAGACAATGACTTCTCGGAGTTCAAGCGACCAGAGCATTACATCCGCTACATCGGTACGTCCCAGATTACCTGTCTTTCTTTCTTCTCCTACAGTAGCTGAGTTTTCTGGTTGCAGAGCCTTTGGAGAGCGAACTATCTGAGCAAGTCGAGTACGACATGGACGAGCAAGGTATGTCCATTGTGCAGTTCGTTCCTTGCGTATTCGTAGAGTAGAAGTGGGAATGGACGTTGTGTGAGGTCATGACTTGACTGTGATCTTCTCGAGTGGTTACACTTGACCACCTTCGTCTATGCGGTAACATTCTTAAGCAAACCCTTGAATACGTCTTGCTTGTCGGTACAACTGAATGGATTTCCGAATCAGAGAAAACCCGCTTCCCTAAAACGCAAACTTGAATATCCTGACAACCACCTCTTCTCCATGTCACAGACATCATTGAGTGCGTCAGGATTACGGCTGCATTGGCTGCCGCCAATTACCTTGATTGCATCGTCACGTCGAATGGCGATACACTGTCCTTCGATACCTCACTGTGTAGATGAAGGTTACTGTGGTGCTGAGATCTCGCGCAACGTCCATTTTTCCACTTTGCAGGCTTGCGGATGGAGAGTTGACGTATCTCTACATCCGAGTATACTTATACTTTGACATAGATCAAGAATGGCTTGACGCAGTCAACGCCGAACGCAAGAAAGAGGGTCACGGTGCCGTGTCCTACGAGCTACTCGAGATTATCATGGACCGCCTCGAGAAGGAGTGGTTCGACCTGGTATGCATCCTTTCCGCTGCCCCATTGTGGCCTCCAACGCCGAAAGTGCTTTGCAGACGAAGAACGTACCCAAACCTGACATGGCACTCCCATCCGAGGACTCGACATGCGCAATTTGCGACGACTCAGAAGGAGAAAACACTAACGCTATCGTGTTTTGCGATGGTTGCAACCTGGCGGTCCACCAAGGTCAGCAGCAGGCAGGAGACGCAACATACCATGGCGTGTTGACTGTGACATAGACTGCTATGGCGTGCCGTATATCCCCGAGGGACAATGGTTGTGTCGCAAGTGCACCGTCTCCCCGGAGAACCCAGTGGTATGTTGAATCATAGTCGAACTGTTTCTGGACTGACGGACCTGCAGTCGTGCGTGTTATGCCCAAGTGAAGGCGGCGCGTTCAAGCAGACTGCCCACGGAGACTGGGTTCATTTGTTGTGTGCTATCTGGGTTCCAGAAACGCGGGTCGCAAACGATGTTTTCATGGAGCCGATCACGGGTATCGACAGGATATCTAAGCAGCGCTGGAGGCTCGTGAGTATTCAAGTCGTATATTCGGGGACTTCCTGCTCATCCTTTGCCAGAAATGCTCCTTATGTGACGTGAAAGATGGCGCCTGTATTCAGTGCAACAAGCCTTCCTGCGTCATTGCCTTTCATGTAACGTGTGCTCGCAAGGAGAAGCTCTTAATGCCCATGAAAGCGTCGCAAGGATCGGAGGCGCCGATGCTTGCTGCTTTTTGCGAGAAGCATCTACCGGTGCGTGGCATGTTGCTCGGGAGCTCTGGCAACGTAAGCTGATCGTCAGTGCAGCAAGAGCAGCAAGATGCTCGTGTCGCAGCCCTCGAAGCCGAGCGAGCCGAAGCTGAGGTCTTCGACCCAAGGAATCCATCTCCCAAATCTAGCAAGAGCGCTCGGGCGTACGCGAAGACGTATAAGCCAGGTCCGCCCCTCGTCCCTCGCATCATCCTCGAGCGCATCCTCCAGTATATCAGCAAGGTTGCCGTTAGGCACAAACGCGATTTCGTTACACTCGTTTGTAAGTACTGGAGCCTCAAGCGAGAAGCGAGGCGAGGTGCAGCGTTCTTGAAGAGGCTCCACCTCGAACCCTGGACTGCGAATGCCGGATCCTCGCAGCATACCGATGAAGAAAAGGCGATCAAGCTCGAGGTATGTTTCCAGTCTCTATATAGCCCTGACCATGACAATTCTAACGATGGCTCAGTATATGAAACGCCAAAGGCGCGATCTAGAGAGCATCCGCATGATCAGTGAAATGTGTCGGAAACGCGAAAGCCTGAAGCTGGAACGTGCGGAGGCGATTCAATACGTCTTCGACAAGCTTCTGCTAGCACATGAACAGGTGCTGAGGCATGCATTTGAGAGGATCACCGCGTGCGTAGAACTGCACAATTTATATGACGATACACTGATTTGAATCACAGAGCCGATCGCATGGACATCTTCAGGGATCCTGTGTCATTGGAGGTTGTTCCCGATTACCTCGAGATTGTCGAGCGTCCCATATGTTGGAGCATGATCGACCAGAAGCTGAATGGGCACCAGTACTTGGACTTGCAGGAGTTCAAGGTACGTGCGGTGCTGTTTGTAACATAGCGGATGCGTTACAACTGAACTCTTCAGGACGACGTCAAGCTCGTGGCGACCAACGCTATGTTGTACAACAAGCCTGGTACAACATACCATAAGACGGCCCAGAAGGTGCTGGGTGCGGCTGAGCCCATCATGGCAGAGCTGGATAAACTCATCTTTCGCCCGTCGATCAACCACGCAAGTGCCACCGACGACGGTACTCAGGATTCGGATGCAATGGAAGAGGACGGCCCGCCGTCATCTCCCCCTCGTCCCGCCGTTGGCGATCTCGAACCTCCGGTCGAGCTTCTTGACCTTATCTTGTCGGAGGACGCAATCAAGGACGACATCGACCTTGTGCTGGGTAAACCGCCCCTTGACGCACTGTTCAGTTACGAGCTGCCAAAGGAGAAACCCCCGCCTCCGGAGCCAGAGCCGAAACCCGTCAAGGTCAAGATCAACCGCAAGCTCATACTGGAGCGGAAGCGTCGCGAAAGGCTGGACGCTTCGCCCGGGTTCCGCGCGCTAAGGTCTCGACGTTCGTCCGCAAACCTTACCCAGCCCGAGGCCGAAGTTCCCGAGGCCACCGTAGAGGAGGCTCAACCTGAAGCAGGACCGTCGACGCAGCTGGTGGAACCTGACGTTCCTCCCGAAGAAGAACCAGAAACCCCGGCGAAGGTTGGACGTCCGCGCAAGAAGCACGTAATCGCAGAACCTGGCAAGATACCTGCGGAGATGGTGGAGGCGGTGGACAACCAGCAATCATTCAAGATGTTCGACAAAGGCTGGATCTTGCCGCCTGACCAGGTGCGCGGTGGGCGACAGCGGCAGCGACCCGTACCGCAGCCGACCCCGACCAAGAAGAAAGGCAAAGGAGGTATGTGCCCCCTTTATCTCCATAGTGCAGACTACTCACGAGATCGTATCTAGTTCGTGGCAAGTCACTTCTCGCAGCGCCCACCTCGACTCCGGCAGAGAACATGACGCTGAAAGCAGACGAGGAAGCCGCGGCTGCATCTGAGCAAGTGGAACCAGCTAGAGCGTCCTCCGAACCTGCGCCAGAAGAGGCACCTCCAGCTGAGCCTATACAAGATCAGGTCACTGCATCCGAAGAACCGGCACTCCAAGACAAGGTTTCTGAGGCTGAGACTGACGCTGTCGCTCATGACGGTCTCCCAGAGCGCCGGACGCCCCCAGCGGAATTGCATCCTGTTGTCGAAACGGCTGTAGAGCCGACATCTGCCGAAGATGTTTCCATGGATGAAGTCCGCGTGCCGGACGTATCCATGGAACAAGAGCGGCGCGCGGAAGCTCCTGTGGACGTCAGTGTCACTACGGAGGTTCCTGTGGACGCACCACCGCCCATAGAGGACGTTGAGCACCCAGCGTGGGGTCAACAGGATGCGCCTCGCGAAAGCGATTCCATGGAAGAAGTCTCTAAGCAGCTGCAAACCACGGACGACGATGGCCATGTTCAGCCCAATCCTGCAGATCGAGAGCCAGAGCCAGAACCAGAACCAGAGCAAGAGCAAGAGCAAGAGCAAGAGCAAGAACCAGAACAAGAGCAAGAGCAAGAGCAAGAACCAGAACCCGCTGTGGAAGAGCCTGCCGCGCCTCAGCCGCTGCAAGAGAATGAATACACTGGTGTGCAGCCCGCGGAGTCCATAGCCGCGCCTGCAGAGCCCGAGAGCGAGGCGCAAGAAGACGTTCAGCCAGAAGCTACTGTCGAAGAGCCCGCGGGCCCCGTTATCTTGAATAACGAATCGATGGAGGTTGACCAACCCGTGGTTGCGGATGCTCAGCTTTCGGAAGTGCCTGAGGCAGCAGAGGAAGAGGACGCTGAGGACGACGAGCCCGACGAACCGCCACGGATCATCTACATCGAGACTTTGGACACACCTGCGATTCGGCGGGAGAAGAACCTCCAGAAACGGCTCGAGAAGGAGCGCAAGAAAGCAGAAGCTGCCGCTGCTGCTGAGGCAGCGACGGCGCAGGCGGGGCCCTCGCGACAAGCTGACGATGATTCGAATTGGTCGGATCTCAGTGATCTCAGTGATGCAGAGGACGAAGACCCGTCTGCGGACCAGGGCGAGGATGAAGAGAAGGAGCCCGGAGCCGTTGTACTGAACGATGGCGAGTTCTTGGAAGGCGGGACTCTAGGTATGTCCTATGATGATCTTGCCTATGTTAGTTGCTGAGCTTGCTTCTGCGTCACAGTCTGGGCGAAAGCAGGTAAGCACAACAGTCCCACCGTTCGTGCATCGTATCAATGTTAAACATCGCACCGACTGTAGATACCTTCCCTTGGTGGCCAGCAGTGGTCTTCGAGTCTGACGATATCGCTGTACCGAAGCGCATCCTTACTTGGAGGAATAGGGTGGAGGACGAAACAGATGGGCCACTTCACATAGTGCGGTTCTTCGACAGCAAGAATACATGGTCAGTGTCACCGCATGCTCACACTGAGTGTTATCCTGATGCATCGGTCGCTTTTCAGGCAATGTCTAGAACTAGACAGAATGAGGATGCTGGGCGAAAACCACGGTGAGTAATACTTCGCGCGTTCTGTCTTCTCAAGGTCTGAAGAGTGGTACAGAGTTGGACCAAGACATGCTTGCCACCGTCTCGAAGATTCAGAAGTGGAAGAATTTCAAGATCCGGCAGCAGTGCCGCGAGGCCTTCAGGTTCGTCGGATGCCATATATCACTAATCAGGCGCTGACAGTGATCGCAGACGGGCCATGTCAGAGAGGGAAACTGATGAGGAAACTCGGCATACAGGAACACCAGCCACAGGGTTTGGTATGGATGTGGACCCCCACTAGGCGAGGTTGAGCGACGTCAATGCTGTGCGGATACATTGTACTGAGTCGTGTTACGTTTGTGCTCTGTTGCTCTGTTGTTATTGTGTATTACATGACCAGTAGGGTCGCGCTCCTTCGACTGCGTTGATTAACGGAGGGTGTACGCTTTCGTGTCAATCTGTCATTGGTGAGGTTCATATTGACAGCTGTTCACGCGCCCTCGTGATCGCGTCGCGACGCGCCTACGCTGAGTGTCCTGACTCCTGGCTCCTCGGCGCGCCGATGGGCACAGCCTTCACCAGGGCCAACGTCGCCTATGGCCTCGAGCTGGTCTTGAGCATCTTTAAGCCCAAACCCTGTCTTTGAGCTTGCTTCACCTGCTATGTGTGCATTCTGGGATGTCGATGGGAACAAGATTACTGGGGTGGGGATTGACAGAGGAACGAATCTACTCGATGGAATGAGTCCGGATGGGGCTGCATCTCACCAGCTACTAGGGGTTGACGTAGGCGAGATGGTCAAGGCACTTGAACAGACCATAGGGAGCAAGCCAGAATCACTACATCTGCGCAGTGAGGAGGGTTGTAACGTATCTCATTCAATACAGCGTGTTGTACTACACCCCTGGCTAATACGTATACTAGATTGTCGATGCCGTCCATCCGGGCAATGCACGCTACAGTATCAAGATTCTTCATGACAAAGCGCAGGATGAACCTGCGCAGAAACGACGAGCGAAGGGGAGAATGGGCAGAGAACGCGCCATGATAGAGTGGATGTCCGCTTTCACTAGCGTACCAGTGCCCAAGATGCTCTTGCACGAAGTCAGTAGGGAAGGGACCCCGTATATGATCACAGAGTCCCCTCGAGGAACTCCTCTCTACGGACATTTCACCGACCTCTCAGATGGGCAGAAGGTATGTCCCTTCATTCGAAACCCGCCTACACAGACTCAGACGCATTATCCACATCCAGCAAGCGAATCTGCAATCCTACGTCGACCTCACCCTCTCGCTCTTCCGCGTCCCCTGCCCCTCCTACATCGGCAGCATCGTCTTCTTCTCCGCCGCCTCCGACACCGCCCGGCTCGGGCCATGCACGCACCCGCTCGACGGCACGCGCGCCCCGGCCGTCTTCGAGGGCATCGAGGACTACTTCGGGTGGCTCCTCAACAAGAAGCGCACGCTCCTCTCCGCCGCCGCCGCCCGCGACTACGCCGACGCCGACAACGACGTCAAGCCCGCGTATGGCTCGCGCGCAAAAGGGGCCGCGACGAACGCGAAGCTGGATCGGGAGCAGGCGCGGATCCGCCGCGCGTTCGCGAGGCTCGAGGTTCACCTCGCGGAGGCGCTGCGCAACCTCGACGAGCCCCTCTTGCGGTGCGTGCCCGTGAACGAGGATATGGGCCCGCGCAACGTCTGGCTCGACGCGGAGGGCCGGATCGCGGGCGTCGTGGATTGGGGCGCGCATGTGGTCAAGCCGGCGGTGTTGGCCGCGGCGTACCCGAGCTGGCTGAGTTACCCGGACTATGAGTACCCCCAGCTCAATGCAAGGGATGGGAAGTATATGGAGAGCGCGGAAGAGGCGGAGAGGCTGTGTGTGAGGTTAGACAATGTGGGTGGTGTTCTGCGCTGTGTAGTCGTATCGGTAGATCGCTGACAGCTCTACGGTGGGGCAGATACTGCTGGAACGAGATGCGGAGTACTACAACGCGCTGAAGGAAGGGGTGTTCATACGGATGGCGGAGGCATGGCTGAAGGATCCAAATTCGGACTTGCACCAGTTGCAGGCAGTGATGAGCCATGCGGTAGTGAACATGGTGTAAAGGTCCTGGGGCACGGAGGGATTCAGGGAGCTTTTTGGCGAACACTTGCAGTACTAGAAATAGTGTACACCCGGCGCGGTCGACTGCCGTACAGTATATATGGCTACAGATTCTGGACACGGATATCGTCGCTTGACTATCCTTCGTCCATGGCGTCCGCGCCGGCTTTCCACCACGACACAGGCCCCAGTCCCTGTTCTGCAATCGAGCACTACACCTAGTAAATCACAAGCACGCAAAACAGTATGAGATATTCACCTTGATAGTGTACGGCGACCGCCGATGCTCCCGTGCCTGCTGCACGCCCTCCGTCGCCTTGGGCGGGCCGGGCTCGTCGTCGTAGAATTCATCATCCTCGATGCGCACGCGGACGATCTCGCCCGTGTCGATGTACATCCGCTCGGTGGTCGGGGAGTCGAGCAGCTCATGTGCGGAGGTGGCTTCGGAGTTGGGGAGCCAGAAGTGGGCGCGTTCGTTTGGGTCGCTATGGAGGGGGGAAGAACGAACGAGGATTGGTGAGTGGACGTGGAGAACGAATGGACGATGTTAAACGGCTTACAATGCGGATGGTTCTGGGAGGTATACAAGGGGGATGTACATGTCGTCGAAGAAGCCGACGGTTACTGGGCGGATGCTTGTCAGTGCTTTGCTATGAGTCATTGATGGAGACACGCACATCGTATGCCTTCTTCATCTGACGACTTGACCTTCGCAAGGATAGTCTCCGAGGGGAACGGCCGAAAGACGGTCAAGCGGAACACCACTGTCCGCCCCTTCACTCAACCATTTCCCCACCTCCTTAATACAGGGCGAGAACGCACCTTTGTACCACAAGAATCCATCTCCATACCTGACCTTTCCCTCGCCGACCTCCGAGAGGTCGAACACGCATATACACAGCCCGACGTCGTGCAGGACGCGATTCGCGTACTTTTTGTTCAGCTCGTTTATGATCGCTTGTTCTGGCGGCGCGCCGAAGTACTGCGGGTGCACTGCGACAGTGTCCTTGTGAGAGAGCGGGCGTGTTAGTCCCGCGACATTGTCTGAGCGAGGAGTAAGTGGGTACCTTGATGATGGAAAGCACGAACATGGCTCACTTCCTGGTGGTGTTTTATACGCTTCGCACTGAGAAGTTCCAGAGGTCTTGGACGCGACAAGTAGGGATAACTATGATTGTGACATGGCACGTTGAAAAGAGAGCTGCATAGGAGTGAGTAGATGCCTCAGAGAGCTGAGTGTCCGCGAAAACCTCGATCACATTTACAGTAGACGGCGGCAATCTAATCTTATCTCCGCCCCGAGTCAAAGCGATCCTCTCCTGAAGACTCTTGAGTCTGCCGCCCAGCATGTCGTCGCCGTACTCGCCCCGCCGCCGCACACCCTCTCCCCTCTCGCCATGCCCTCTCCTACCGCAGGCCGCATCCTGAGCATCCAGTCCCACGTCGCCTTTGGCTACGTCGGTGGCAAGGCCGCCGTCTTCCCGCTGCAGTGCCTCGGGTACGACGTCGACGTACGTCCCAGCATGACGTCCCCCGCTCGCGCGATATCGCTGACCCGTCGCGTCATCCCACCGATATAGGTCGTGAACACGGTGAACTTCTCGAACCACTCTGGTACGTGGCGTGCGCTGCGATCGTCGAGGGCTCAATGGAGATTCAGGCGTAGGCCTCGCCGCTAGGGTATGGCCGCTTCGGTGGGTCGAGAGCGACCGCGGCGGAGCTCGCGAAGATGTTTGAGCTGATGGAGCAGAATGGACTGTTGCTCTGCGAGAGGCTTCTCACCGGTGAGAACATGCACACCCTTGGGGAACCGTTGTGCTCATTTTTTGCAGGATATGTTCCTGGGGCAGAAGCCCTGGCTGCTGTCAAGGACCTCGCGATCAGAATGAAGCAAAAAAACCCAGAACTGATCTACCTCCTTGATCGTGAGTTCGGTCTTCTCCGTGCACGGATAGCCTGTCTCATCGTGTGACCCTCGTCCAGCCGTCCTGGGCGACTCGGGCAAGCTTTACGTCTCACCGGAATGCATACCCATCTACCGCGAAGCGCTGCAATACTCCACCGTCATCACGCCCAACTGGTTCGAAGTAGAGTGCGTATTCCCACCACACACCCGCGCCCATGCTGACTGCGTACACCCAGAGTACTAACGGACACCAAGATAACCGACCCCGCCTCGCTGCGCAAAGCCCTGCGCGTGCTGCACGAAACCTACCACGTCCCCAACGTCGTCATCTCCTCCATCCCGCTCAAAGTCTGGCTCCGCGCCGCGCTCCCGTCCTCCGCGCAGCCCCCACACACCACCAACACCGACGCGGACTTCCTCGCATGCATCGCATCCTCGACCGAGGGCACGCCGGGGAGCGAGGGTGGGACGGCCCCCTCCGCGGTGCACGCGCGCTGCATACCGTGCTTGCCCGGCTATTTCTCCGGCGTCGGCGACCTCTTCTCCGCACTTGTCCTGGGCCACTTCCAGCCCGCGCCCTCCGTCCCCTCCTCCTCGCCCGCGCCCTCTGGAGAGGCGGAGGAGTCGCCCCTCGCGTACGCGGTCGCCCATGCGCTCAGCAAGACGCACGCGATCCTCACGCTCACGCACGAACATGCGAAGGACCTGCCCGAGGACGACCGGCTCCCGACAGACGAGGAGCTGGACGCGCGCGAGCCGGAGAGGAAGGTGCGGCGGATGAGGGGGCGCGAGCTGAGGTTGATCCAGGGGCAGGACGTCCTTCGCGGGGCGAACAAGACGGAGTACTTCCGGATGGTGCCTTGGACAGGCTTCTGGGACGAGCCATAGATCTTAGAGTGTCTGAATGGATGCTTGGATTGCGACGCAGCGCGTGTATGTAGATTGGGTAGGATACATTGACAAGAAAGGATAGATGTACAGTGCTTTGTTCCTGAGCCCACTACTATTAGTGTGATATCCTGTCCTGGTGTCAGTCTCCGGGAGTTCGAGTCTGAGGCGAGCGCGTCCGCAGTTGTTTCCGCCGTCGCTTCCGCCAGAAGAGGAAACCAGCTGCGGCGAAGAGACAGAGCGCGACTCCGAGCACGGCTCCGAGCACTTCGGCGATGATGTCGTCGCGTGTCTGTTTCGAGGTTGCTTGGGAGGTCGCCGCTGGGGAGATGATCGGCGAGAACGTGGGTATTGCCGTGGTACTGGGTAGCGGGGAGGACGAGAACGGCGAACTGCACCGACGCCACCACCGCAGCACGTCCAGTCAGCTAGGGGGCACACGAGCAGACGCAAACACACCCACGCACTCATTACCTGTCGTGACGATCGTGAAGTTCGCTATCTCCAGCAGGGTAGCATCGTCGGACGGGACGAACGACACCGTGAGCGTCGTCGCACGGTCGCTCGGGAGGTCGACGACGGTGATGAGCCCGCCCGCGGCCGCGGTGTCGACGCGCGCGGTGATGGCGAAGGCGGGGTCGTGCGTGGCGAGGCTGACGTTGACGAGCGCGGTGGACGCGGTGGACGTGCGGATGTAGAGCGTGCTGCCCGTGAAGGTGAGGAAGAGCTGCGGAACGAGCGCGGCGCTCCCGTTCGTCGGCCCGCTCGTGGAGGTAACGAGTGCGGAGGAGTTGTCCGGCGAGGCCAGGACTTGCCTGGGAGGGAAGCTCTGTGAGTTGAGTGCGTGAGGGGGTCGGACGACGCACCATGCGCTGTCACACGACGACGTCGAGGCATTGCATGCCGGCGGGCTGTACACGATCTCCGGTGCGGTGGACTGGATGGTCACATTCTCAGCGCGGACGGCGACACGGAGAGAGAGGACGACGGTTGTGCAGACGAGGAGCCAGCATCGCGCAGGAGGGCCAACGAGCATGCCAAGCGAGTCGCCGAGGGTGCCATGCAGCGGCGGCGAGAGCCAGAGGTCGACCGGGGCGCGTGGCGGTTGAGCGTAGGTTCGCAGTGACACTGACGGGGGCCGGCCTGGGCTTGGACATCTTATATGGGAAGCGTTGCGCAGCGCAGGGACGCGGATGCACGTCGACGGTCGGTCGCCCCGAGGATGGTCGTGCCATGACAACGCCCGGCCGTGCACGGACCAGGGAGGCAGGAAGATCGACTTGACGCTCGCGTGTACGCGGTTACAGTCGGCGTGCTACGCGTCGGTGGTTGTCGACGGCAGTGCGATGGCAAGCTGGTGGACGTGACGCGCAGAACATACTGCCCAAGCGGAGGCCCGATGAGGGGAGGCGGGGAGGAGACTGGGGCTGCTCTTTCGAGGGACCGGCGGGGAGCATGCAAAGTCGATCACTCGCTGGCATTATCACGCGACAGTTTCTATCGCGATTGACAGCATGCAAGCCCTTATCGGGACATCTCATCGCCGGGACATGCCCCGATATGGCATCCCGAGAACCTTAGCAAATTCTGCCGGTCGCTATGCGGGCGTCCGGGATCAGGACGAGGAGGCGGATTTGAGACTTGCTCTCTTCCTCCGTCTCCCTCCCGTCCTCGCCCCGGTCGTGTCTGCGGTCGACTCCTCTCCCGTTCCCGGGAGACCCCACCTTCATTTCGTCTCTCTTTTGTACATCACACTCGCTTGACGATCGCTGCACCCACCGGACAGGGAACGAACGAATAGCACAAACATGTCCGAAGCTGCTGTTGACTTCCACAGGCGCGGCGCCCACCGTCGTCTCGCCGGCCGCGATTTCTTCCAGAGCATGGCGTCGGTCTTTGGTGGTGGTGACGATAATGACGACGGTGCCAACGGAGTAGGCCCTGCTTCGGTCGAGAAGACCGCAACTTGTGAGTTTTCCGTGTCTTGTATACTTCCTGCTGGGGCTTCGCGTCCGACGCATCTCTCTGAGCTATACGCACTTGAGCCTTCAGTGACATGGGCTAGCAATTGTTGCGATGCTCCTGCACTGCATATACTTGTAGGCCGATGAATGCGACGCATATCGACCCATCGGACAAGATTGAAGAAGCGCTTACAAGTTTCACGCCCTCTGTTTCGCGTCAATCAATCGCTACTAAGGTCCCAGACAATACTGTGTAGCCTTTGTGCATCATGCGAGCGCAGCGCCATTCAAGCCGTCGAGGGTCATACAATCCAGACGTATTATGTGCGCTAGTCGGTCTCATGCTCTTTATCTTGTCCGGTCCCCGAGCTGCGGCAGTTTGATTGTCTTAACGAGCTATGGATTGGAACTAATCAGAGGGCTTTTGCAGCGACATCCACCACCGCTAAACAGACCCCAGAAACTGAAAAACCCACCGCTACAACCTCGAGCACCGAGAAGACAACATCATCCACGCAGAAGACCTCGCAGACCCCTACCTCTTTGTCTGCTAGCAGCACTTCGTCTTCGTCGTCGAAGAGCTCTTCTAGCTCTAGCTCGTCGTCCTCGTCCTCGTCGTCTTCGTCTTCCAAGAGCTCGTCTTCGTCGTCGACGCAGTCGAGCACCACTTCCACGACGCCGTTGACCACCTCCAGCACGCCGGCCACGACGTCGGCGCACTCGACGCATTTCGTTACGTCTTTTGTCGCTTCAGCAGCTACTTCTCTGCCGGCGACTCTTACCGGTGCGGCTGCTGCCGCCTCGTCCTCCGCTGGCGGTTCCTCTGCGAGCACCGGCGCTGTAATTGGCGGTGTTGCTGCTGGTATTATTGGAGTTGCTGGTCTCGTCTTCGCCGCTGTGTTCCTTATGGTGGGTGAACAGCCACATCTAAATGAAACTGCACTCTGAAGATGCGTCTCCCATCAGCGCCGCAAGAAGAGGGAGGCCCCGCTGGACGACGACTTTAACCCGTACAACAATTTCAAGCACCAGTCTGTCATCCTGCCCGACGAAGGCATGCTCTCGCGCACGAGCTCCATCAACCGCACCTACACCGAGCCCGACGACCGCTCGCTGGGTATGGAGCAGACCGTCGCCGCCGTGCCGCCGTCTTTCGGCGGGTCTTACGCAGGCTACGGCGGGGAGAACAACTACTACAACCACCCGTATGCGCCGTACCAGGGACAGTACAACTACAGTTCGAACAACGCCGGGCAGTACATGAACAACCCGTCTACGCCGAGCACGCCATATGCGGCGACGCCGACGTCGGCTACGCCGTTCATGAACAATAACTCGCCCTACGGCGTGATCTTCCAGGCCCCTGGGTCCCCCGTCACTCGTCAGCCGTCTAACGGAGCTGGGCAGTACCTGAACCGCCAGCCGTCTATGGGTACCATGCACAACGTGCATGAGCCAATGGCGCCTGATGCTGCGCTTACTCGCCAGCCGTCCACGGGCACGACGCTCAGCCGCCAGCCTACCAACATAATGGCCAACACCAACGCGAGCCTGTACCGCCAGCCTTCGGACCTCGTCGCTGATATCCTACAACGCCAGCGCAACAGTCAGCATCAGGGCGAGCACCAGGTCGGGGCGGACGCGCACTACGTCGACTTAAACCGGTCGAGCGTGACACCGTTCCAGGCGCAGCAGTACTCGGAGATCTCGCGTCGTCTGAATATACCGGCCCCGGGTGCTCTGCCGTCTCCTGACGAGAAGGCCGAGCTTCCTCCCGTGCCCAAGTACGAGAAGGATCTCCCCGCGCAGCGCGCCTCCGAGAACGCTGCCTCGCCCTTCGCCGACCCCGAGGACGACGGGCAGGACCTGACGATTCCAGGCCACCCGCACGTCGTCGAGTTCCCGATGACGCCGCAGACGGACGAGTCGTTCGGGCCGCTGCCCTCGCCCGGGCACTTCGCCGTCGCGCCGCCGTCGCCGAGGTACGAGCCTCCCCTGCCGTCGCCCGCGTTCGCGATAGACCGGGTGCCGTCGACGCCGCCCATCCTGCCCGAGATCCACCTCCAGGAGCGCGCGTTCTCGCCCGGGCCTGCGGCGCACTACCCCGACGCCCCCGTGTCTGCGCAGCCCGCTGCGAGCTTCGACCTCCCCAGCCCGTTGCCGCAGGCGCACTTTTATGACTCGAAGCCGAATACCCCTACTACTGCCACGGGTGCGCGCCCGCCGAGCCCCGGGAAGCTCGCCCCCGAGGCCGCGCGCGCGGGAGTGCACGGCGTGAAGAGGCCGGACACCGTGTATAGCATCGCGGACGAGGAGGATGCGTACGGCGGGTTCTAGTCCCTGTGCTCATCCACGCGCGAACGGCCCTGATAATTCACGGGCCGGTGTACAAAGCCTCACTTAAACAACATCTCCAATTCTGTCCATACCGCTCCGACTGTTCCGACTTGCTTTCCCCTTGTCACTGCCGCTACTGCGTAACCTGCCCTCTTGTATTCTTTGACTTGAGATTCCCATGGGCTCGCCGCTTAATACTCTTCCCGCGACGCACCTCACGGTCTGGCCCAGCTCGCGGGGTTCTGCTTCGTCTGTTCACTGCGTTCCGTCCATCTACTTGCGTTCGCCGTTGTCGCAGGAGGCAGAACTGGCTTCTGTGGACACCCCTCCTCGCCGACCACCTGTCGCCCACCACGCTGTCGCCCATCGACCCCTCGCCTCGCGCGCCGCTCTGCAGTGGTGTCTGCACGTTTACCCACCCCTCTCGCTCGTTGCGCGATTAGACTTGACCTTCTGACACCTTACGTTTGTCTTTCACGTTGTTTGTACCCTCCGGGAAGTCCTGTGCTTACATGCCTGCCCCTCCGAGGCTGTATGTGTACGTCGGCTTGCCGCTCGGTGTTGTGTACTGTAGAGCGAGTGCTCACGTTCTATTCATGATTGTTTCGCCCCGGTAGATCAGATTGGAGAGCGGCGCGCGGATGATGGCGGTGTGTAGGGTATGTGAGTTGAACGTCGTTGACTGCTGGAGATCTCGAACCGTGAACCGGGTGTCGTGTTCGTGAGCCGTACAAGGGACGGGATATATTGCTAGTATAGAGCGAGGTCTACTACTAGTAAGTTCAAGGCTGGGTGACACAAGCGAGCCGGGGATCGCAGTGAGTGGGACGGATGAATCGATGACGGACGACAACTGACGAAGACGAACATGACCGTGGCTTCCGTGGCTTGTGGGCGGGCCACGACAGAGATGACGGCAAAGTTCACGGCACTGTGTAATCTTCGCTCGGACTCATCCAGTCGCCGTCGCCCTTGGCCACCATGGCCGCTTCTTACTTGTGCCACTCGTGCCCATCTGCCTCCACCTCCTCTCAGTCCTGTCAGGTGTCGCCCGTCTGCGGCGGTGGCACGGTAGTAGTCTTAGGCTGTTCGACCCCGGAATCAAGTGCACGCACTTTCTTGACGGTGTCCGATCCCCCCTCGCGTTCCGCAAACTTGAACAGATTGTCCCCACGTTCCGGCCCCACCTCAGCACGGTACTAGGTGAGCAGCCTGGCATTGCAAAAGTATGAAATCTTAAAAGTAACATGAAGCATAGAATGAAAAAATCGCCCCGTAAACCCGTGGCGAAGCCACGGGTTTGCGATGCTCGTAAGGCCACTGCACGGGACCCCGCGTGGCCTGATATATCCGTGGTAAGTTAAGCATGATATTATATGTCCTAGGGAGCGGAGTGAATCATTATCGGTCATACAGGTCGGTGCGCACTGACCACTACTTTTATCTGGCTGTACGTGGGATATGAGTAAGCGACGAACGGGGGCTGTGAAGTCTAGCAACTTGAAGAGTACTATATGCAGCATGGCATGAGCAAATAATGTACGAATGGAACGGCGCGATGGTACACATGCAACATATGACCCAGAGAGCGAGAGCGAGAGTGAGAATGGGGTGAGTGGGGCGTGCGTGGGCGGGCTGGGGCAGAGAGGCGGGGATTATGACCAGCGGAGGACGGCCTCGTAGATGGAGTACATGACGGCGGCGTTGGGGATGACACGCATGAGGTGTGCGCTGAGCCCGCTATAGAGCGAACGAGTACCCTCCTCGGCGATGATGAGCCGCAATGTCTGAACGAGCCCTGTGTACTTCATCTTGCCGTCTACGAGGGGTTGCCGTAGTCGTGTCCGGACCACCTAGGGAAGTGTCAGTCAGCACGGAAACGATACACCAGACGGACGCGGGAACGCACCTCGTGCGGATATGTGATCAGCGTAGCGACGCACTTCGCCGTCCCCGCGCTCCCGAGCATGCCCAACCACTCCAGCGCACCACCCTTCCCCTCCGTGTCCGCCGTCACGCGCTTCAGCCGTTCATACAGCGTCCACTGTATCGTGCCCTCTGTCACGCCGAGCAAGCTCGCGCTCAAGCCTTTATAGAACCCGCGCACGCCCTCTTCCCGCAACATGCGCTTGACCATCGCGAGCGAGCTGTCGTGGAGCTTGCCCGCCTGCTGCTCGAGCTGCAGACGCGTCTTGACGACCCAGATGGGGTTCGTCGCGGTGCCAGTCGCGACGCCCGCGAACGCAGCGGCACTGAGGTGCACCCACGAGTTCTCCTCGCCATCGTTGAAGCGGTTCGCGATGATGTGCTTGCCATTGCCGTACGTGAAGAAGTTGATGGAGCGCGCGGGGATGACCCCGACGAGCGTGGGGCCGAGCCCGCGGAAGAGGGCGCGGAAGGACTCTTCGCGGTAGATGTCGCTGTGTCGCTGCGTATGAGCACCCTAGGGATATGCTGTCAAATGTCGCGGGTGGACGCACCGGATGATGTGCCCTGTCTCGACAAAGTGCCAGAGCAGGTTCGGTCGATGTGGGGCGACGGCGACACCACCACCGGCGAAGCCAAGAGACGTGTGCTTGACTCTGAAGAGGTCCGACTGCAGTCGCGTCTTCACGACGTCAAAGGGACTTGTTACGATCGCTCCGCACATGGCGCCGAGCCTGTGTAGTGTGGAAACGGCCTCGTGAGCGATACGTGTTGTCTCGATGCACGCACGTACTCACCCGCCTCCTACAAAGTGCTGCCATGACTTTGCCGGCAGGAGGCTCGTCTTGGAGGAGCTTGCTACGGGCTGTGGTGGGGTGTCGGCCATGTCTCCACACTGGGGTGAGTGTAGTGGTATGTGCAGACAGCAGAAACAGCTGCCGGGCAGGAGGAAGACGGAGGTGAGCAACGGACAGATGGTCGCTGGCTCGCAGCTGCGTCCGCCGGCGGCGCCCACGTCCCATTTTTCTGCATCCGCGGCACGCCAGTCTAGATAAGATTAGATTAGCGCTCGGTACGGACATTGCGCTGCCAATGCAAATCGCTGTCTGACACTTACTTACTACTAGCCGCCATGGCCATCTCCGTCACTTGCTTTCACTTGGATGCCTATACTACAATGCAGTGCGAAAATCTCGGAGGTGAGGAGGGAACATAGGGAGAGCAGCACAATCAGGACCCCACGTCCACCCGACACGATCTCCGCCTGGGGACAACAGAGCCTCGCAATTTTAGGCACTTCCGATTGCTACTCTATTGCTGATCCTTGCAGCTGTATAGCGTCTCTTGCGGGTGCTATCTTCTCAGCCGTCGGTGAAACGCAGTGTGTGCTACACCGATAGCGAAAATAGACCTTGTACATATGGACCTCATGGTGACCGGTGAGCCCTCAGCCCGTATGAAGGACTCCATCCAACAGTGCGCGCCCTCAAAGACATAGCCCCTCCCGTTCCCTGGTCCCTGGTGATGTGCTTGCTTCCCACCGCGCTGATTCGCCCCTCGAGCAGCGAAGCTAATCCATGCGGGTTCTCGCGCCCGCATTCCCAGCCCGTCATCGCCTGCGCGGATCCGACGCATATATAATCGTCGGCTTCCTTCCTCTCCGCCCGTGTTCTCGCGCTCACTGCCCTCACCAGCATGCTCGCCCCCCTTTTGGTGCTCCCTCTCGCGCTCGCGGCCCAGCTCCCGCTCGCCGGGGCCGCCACGACCCTCCCGCTGTCGCCTGTTTCCGGTCGCTCAGGCGCCTACTTGCAGGGCGCGCCAGACGCGGGTCGTGCTCGCGTCGTGCATATGAAGGAGCGCGCCGCCCACGTTGCGGGATATGCTGCAGGCTCGACGACGATACCCGCATCGAATCTTGCGTATGTGCAATACACGGCAAGCATTGGTGTAGGAAGCCCGCCGACGTACTACAACATCGTCGTGGATACTGGGAGCTCGAATACATTTGTGGGGTAAGTCTTATTTATTTCTGGGAGACTGAAGGGCTTCGGGATGCGGTTAGGGTCTATCTTGCTATTCAGGTGGGGGAGTTTGGGAACGCCGACTCTATAGGCGAAAGATCGAAGCATTGGCCTTGTTCCTGTCAGGAATCGCCCCAGCGTGAACGGCCTCTCTGGCTTGTACCCATATTACGGAGAAGGGTTCATTTTCCGCGTACATGGGTGATCTCACCACCCAGAAACAACAGTTGCTCTGCGGTGGTCCAGAGATCGGTCGCACGAGCGGTGATTGACAGCGGCGATATAGCACAGGCATACCGTATGTGAAGACAAGCTCCAGCATTCCGACTGGCCAGGAAGTCAACGTCACGTATGGGTCCGGCTTCTTCTCCGGCTACGAATGTACGTTCTCCTTCCTGCCCAGCACACCAAAACTCACCACACCAATAGATCTCGACCAAGTGACGATCGCGCCGGACCTCGTCATCACGAACCAGAGCATCGGCGACGCGCTCGAGTACGCCGATTTCGAGGGCGTGGACGGTATCATCGGCGTCGGGCCTATCGACCTCACAGTCGGCACGCTCTATCCCGCCGAAGACGCGGAGATCCCGACGGTGATGGACAACGCGCTTGCGCAGGGGCTCATCCCCACGGAGGTCTTGGGCGTCAGCTTTGCTCCGGCGACCGGCTACAACGACACCAGTGCGTCTGATGTATCCCGGGTGGTCTTTCTCGACCTGTTGACATGGCTTGGCTCGTGCAGACGGCGCGCTTACGTTCGGAGGTGTGGATGAGAGCCTGTACGAGGGCGACATCACATACACGCCCGTGACGACGACCTACCCTTCGAACTACTACTGGGGCATCAACGTCACCGGCGCGACGTACGGCGAGACGACGGTCATCCCGGGCAGCTACGCGGGCATCGTCGACACGGGCACGACGCGTAAGTCGTCTGGCTCTGCATTCCGTGCGGGCGGTCCAGTGACCCTAACCCGGCCCTCGTACCAACCCCTCTTCATGATTGCGCGATAGTAGTGGCTGACGCGCGCGCTGGCAGTGATCTACATCGCGGACGACTGGTACCAGACATACCAGGACTCAATCCCAGGCGCGTACTACGACGGGAACAACACGGGGCTCATCGTCATCCCATTTGAGTCCATCCCCTTCATGCAGCCCTTCACCGTCTACGTCTCCGGTACGTGCCCCCTCTCCCCGCGCTCCCTGTTCGGCTACTGACTCAGTTCCGTGGGTGGCATAGGCGAGCCATTTGTCCTCGACGTAGAGGCTCAGCTCCTGCCCATATGGCAGAACACGGCGTGGGGTGCGGAGCCGAACCTGCAGTACGGCTACATCGGTCCGATCGGCTCGCCCAGTGGAGAAGGGCTCGACTTCATCCTCGGCCAGAAGTTCATGGAGAGGTTCTACGCTGTGAGTCAGAGCAGCCAGGATCTCGTTGGGCGGTGGCTAATCGAGTGGGTAAACCGGACTAGGTGTTCGACACGCCGAACTCGCGTGTTGGGTTTGCGTATTCGTGAGTTGTCGACTGTATCCGGCTTTTCTCGCGGACAACTAGCTGACGCGAGCTTGCAGGGACCATACTTACTGAGAAGACAAAAGGAATTAATGGACTAGCGAACAGAAGGACGGACTTGGCGCCGAGTTGCATGTATCTGCTGTGAATGCTATGCATGTCGTCGACAACGGATGTCTTACTGACCGAGAGCTCCTCAACACGGCGAGTTGCCAACAGGAGCCTAGATGAGTCAAGCGTCAGACACCTCCCAAGGGACCTCTACGAGGCGATGGCATCATGCTATCAGAGCGTTGGTCAATGCTTGCGGTAGCTCTCACACAAGCTTCTACCACGTATGGCCGGTTCGTAGGTAAGTACTAGGTGGGTCTCGGGCTGTGTGAGTCTGACACTCTGAGTCCTGACTGCCATCTCGTCGCGGCGATCCTGTTTCTTCGCGTCACCTGATCTGACAGGATCGACGGTCGATGCATTGCATACTGACAGTGATAGATTGTATCATAGGTGCGCTCTCTACTTGCTCGTACAGGAGAGCTGCTCATTCAGTGGGTCCCTTGCATGCAGGCGGTGTCAGTTTGGATTTGGCAGTGGGCACGTACTCCAGAACTGGCATGTAAGTACTGCGGCAGCAGACGCCTCGGCCTCGCTGTAGCCGCATCACCCGGGACTTGCCCGGGACGATCTTTTGCGCGGCCCGCAACGCATCATCTTCGTGAGTTCGACGGACACAGAGCCTATTCCTGGCAGCACCGCTGGAGGAGATCGTCCTCATTCCAGTGCTGCTAAATATGGAGCGTGGACTTCCGTATGCAGTACCAGCTCATCAGGCGCCCCGTCGATCTGATTATCGGATGCTTGCCACCGATTTGCGTCTCATATTCCACCCCACATTGTCATCAACTGGAAAGCCATGACAGGCCAAAATACTCTCCTACTAATTGACTGGAATAGCGAATTTACAGCCTGTCCATGTACACTCAAGTACTGGCTCCCAATTTACCCTCTCGTCCTGGGCGCCGAGACGACCACATGGACAGTCTCGATCGAACCTCCCCTGGCTGTTATGTCGACGCGGACCCTGTCAGGCTGTATGCTGACTGACTCACTTGGCAGCTGACTGGCTCGATATCTGGTTCCGCGCGTACCAGCATCACATATATAAGCATATAGGCTGGATTAATGTGATCTTCGCTGCCAACACTACTTATCTCCATACATCCACGCTGTCTGTTGCTTCATCTCGCGAGGATACTTATATACATACCATCGTTGTGTGTCTCGCTCGAACCTCAGCAAGATGGCACTCCCGGACACCGACGTTATCATCTTCTACGACATCCCGGGCACCGTTCCCGGCTCGGCCTGGTCGCCCAACACCTGGAAGACGCGGTGCGTAGTCTGATCCTCGCTCGAGTCAGCCATTACCGGTCACTGAGACACGCGTCATAACCCAGATTCGCTCTCAACTACAAGGGTCTTCCGTACCGCACGGAATGGGTCGAGTACCCCGACATCGCCACGGTGCTCCCCTCCCTCGGAGTTGAGCCTTCCACAGACTCGACGCCCTACACCCTCCCCGCGATCTACGATCCGCGTACGCGCAAGACGATCATGGACTCCAACAAGATCTCCCTGTACCTGGACGAGACCTACCCCGACACCCCCGTGCTCCTATCCGCGGAGACGCGTGTCTTCCAGACCGCCTTCGAGCACGCGTTCCGCTCGACGCTGCACAGTAAGCTCATGCCGCTCATCATGTACCGCATCGCCGCCACGGCGCTCAACCCGCCGAGCTCGAAATACTTCTTCGAGACACGCGAGAAGGCCTTGGGAGTCAAGCTCGAGGAGCTCAGCCCGCCTGGCTCAGCGAAGCGCACGGAGCTCTGGGTGGAGGCGGAGAAGGGGTTCACCATTGCGGCGTCGTGGTTCGAGGCGGCTGGAGACGGGAGGTTGCTGTTGAGCGGCGACGGCAAGGTGACCCATGCGGACACTTATGTCGCGGGCTGCTTGATCTTTGTGCGCCTCATTTGTGGGCCGGAGAGCGAGGATTGGAAGCGCGTCGAGGGCTTGAATGGGGGGTTTTGGAAGCGCTACTTGGCCGCCTTTGAGAAGTGGGCGGATACAAGCCGCTAAGAACTGCGGCAGTAGAACCAGGACGAACGTCCGTTATGTACATATAGATCCGCAATCTTGTTCGAACGGACCGGGATGGATTGTCTTGTCATAGCCCTCGATGACAAGTTCGCACAAGCATTGATGTATCCGAGGGTCACAGAAGAAAAGGACATCCATCTGGCCGAGTGGCATGCCAAAGGAAGGCAGCGAACTTCCATAAGGCGCGTATCGAATATACTGCAGGCTATCAGACCTTGATCTTAGCGGCCATCACGGAGTACTAATACGCGTACGTCGAAGTGCGTACGATGGTCTAAGTACTGACGCGCTCAACCCCCGCTTACCGTTACCCGCTAGTCCGAGGATGAAGGTCTCGCGCCACGCGCCTCAGCCACATCGCGTCTCCGGATATTCCACGGCGCTGTCTAGCTCAATTCTTGCGCAATTGGTTCATAAGGCCCGTTTATTCGTTCCAGGCATCAACACCAGCATAGTGAAGATGTCACCGAGGCGATACACACACAAGAACGCGCGCGAGGCCAATTCCAGAGTCGGAGGCCGTAAGCGCTCGTGCCAGCTGGCGGCGCGGCACACGGCGTTCGATGCTTCCAACAGAGTGCATTTCATGGACACGGTTTGGCAATGTGCTCTCAAATTTGGGGGACTCTTGTCGTGGGTACAGTACTCAGTACAGTAGGCAGCCCGTGCTTCTATAACATTTTATTAGTAGGATATGGAATATATTTTGTTCGGTGACAACACCCGCAGCCAAAGTGGTATTAGTACTATAGCTAGTAGTGGACAGAAGAGGAGGCACGCATCGAGCTAAATTGAGGCCACACTTTTCATTGTGTACATACCCTACTACGGATGCCCTACTGGTAAGTACCACCTCTTCCAACTTCCCTAGGTCCGGTAGCTTCTGTGATGATCTACAAAGGCACATGCAGTACAGTCTCGTAGGCCAAGCCCAATCTTGATATCACCCCGCTCACCTCTACCACCACCGCAGCAGACCACAGCTCGTAACATCCGAATGTTCCACCAGGATCGCCTCAAACTCCCAATACACGTCTCGTTCGAACGCCGTGTGCCGCGCCGCCAGCTGGCACGAGCGCTTACGGCCTCCGACTCTGGAATTGGCCTCGCGCGCGTTCTTGTGTGTGTATCGCCTCGGTGACATCTTCACTATGCTGGTGTTGATGCCTGGAACGAATAAACGGGCCTTATGAACCAATTGCGCAAGAATTGAGCTAGACAGCGCCGTGGAATATCCGGAGACGCGATGTGGCTGAGGCGCGTGGCGCGAGACCTTCATCCTCGGACTAGCGGGTAACGGTACCCGCTCTGTGACGGTGGTACTCTTCACCGAAACAGGCCTATGGCCAGTGCGATACAGGCGTCTTTCCCTTGCGCTACGATATCTTCAATACGTGCTGCTCCAGCGCCCTGCGCTGCCCCTTGCGGCTTTGGCCGAGGCTCGAACCGGTCCCAGTACAGTTCGATATCACTGCACCGCTCACGACGGAACTCACGGAGGGCTGCCTTGAGGAACTGCGACTGTCACTTGTCAGCCACCTCAAACAGCAGTTCAAGTTGGCAGATTCACACCGACTCACTATGCTCAAGGCGCGCCCCCATCAACGGGCCACGCTTGAGCGGCGAGCATACCTCACCATCTCCGACCGAGAGCAGCGTTTTGCCCTATGTCGGCTGCTGGTGTCGGATTCCCCTTTGGCCGTCGAGGTACTGCGCCGCCGAACGCCACCGGTGCCCCGTGAACAACGAACATGCAGGTTCTGCGAACTACAAGGATCAGTGGAAGACGAAATACATGTGCTGTTACTATGCCCATCAGAACAGTTGCGACAATCCCGGGAGCAATTCATGGCAACAGCGTTCGCCCGCCAGCCGCTATGGCGGATAACTTGAAGCTGGGAACGCATGAACGCTTTCTGGTGGACTGTGTGGGAGACGAGAACATAGTAGTGGCTCACCTCGCCAAGCACACACATACGGTCTTCCAGCTTTGCGAGACTGTCCCCATGGTCGTGGTCGCCCCCGAGGAGCAAGCCCAGACAGAGGCCTAGCCCGGCGCTCGGCCCCTCCCCAGTGCGATTGCAGTCAAATTGCAGTCTGACTTCAGACGCTCCGCTAGGCTTGACAGGTGCGTGAGCCCTTGCACGTCAAGTGGTATGCCGCTAAGCGTTCCTATCATCAAAGTGGGGCGGTGTTTGCGCGACCTGCTGACTGGGCTAGCGCTGCTGAACGCCTGCTATATAGTGAGTACTAGGTTAATATGCACTAGGACGTACTTACTGCAGTTGCCGTGCACCCGCTGCGCCTGGCTACTCGACTTCGTCCTCTGTGCTTCATCGGGCCCTCGCGAGATGACGCTCCCGGATACCGACATCATCATCTTCTACGACATTTATGGCAACGTTCCGGGCTCGTCCTGGTCGCCCAACACTTGGAAGACGCGGTGCGTAGGCACTGGTACCCGACAAATAATATGTCCTCACCAATCACGCTTCATCGCAGACTCGCCCTCAACTACAAGGGTCTCCCCTACCGCACAGAATGGGTTGAGTACCCCGAACTGACTCCCCTGCTCTCCTCTCTCGGGGTTCAGCCCTCCGAGTCCGCTGCCTCGCCGCCCTACACCCTCCCAGCGATCTACGACCCCCGCACGCGCAAAGCGATAATGGACTCCTACAAGATCGCGCTGTACCTCGACTCGACCTACCCCGACACACCCGCGCTCGTGCGCGCGGAGACCCGCGTCTTCCACGCCGCGTTCGAGCACGCATTCGATATGGTGCTGCGCCGCCATCTCAGGCCGCTCGTCTTGCACCGTGCCGCCGCGGTGCTCAGCCCGCCGAGCGCGAAGTACTTCCTCGAGACGCGCGAGAAGGCACTGGGGTTCAAGCTCGAGGAACTGAGTCCGCCCGGCTCGGCGAAGCGCGTGCAGGATTGGGCGGAGGTGGAGAAGGGGTTCAGCGTCGTGGCGTCGTGGTTCGAGGCGGCCGGAGACGGGAGGTTGCTGTTGAGCGGCGATGGCACGCTGACCCACGCGGATACTCATGTTGCGGGGTGTCTGATGTGGCTTCGCCTCGTTTTTGGGCCGGAAAGCGAGGACTGGAGACGTGTGGAGGGTCTCAACGGGGGCTTTTGGAAGCGCTACCTGGCTGGCTTTGCGAAGTGGATGGATACAAGCCGCTGAGAAACCCCGATGATAAGTGAACCCAGTGAGACACAAGCCTACTAGCATCATATCATGCATGTACATAAGGATTTGCAACGTGAGCTCGATTGTTCTACATAAGTTAGGCACAATCAGTATATCACTCCATGTCATGCAGTCCATCGCGAAGTGCCATTGCCATGGCAATAGGCCCGAGAGGGAGGGTTCACGACTGCTGACCGAACTGCCAAGGCTGATGATGCTTGGTAAGTATATAGGGAGTACCAGGTTCAGATGTCCTAGGACGTACCCAACACCTTCGCCGTGCATTTGTCGCATCGAACATCACCTCATCGCCTGACCTTCATTGATTCTGGCGAAATGACGCTTCCAGACACCGACAGAATCATTCTCTACGATATCCCCAGCAGCGTGCCAGGCGCAGCCTGGTCGGCCGGCCCTTGGAAAACGCGGTGCGTAGGCAGCGATCCGTACTTTCAACCTGAATAAGACTGACGGATCATCACAGATTCGCCCTCAACTACAAGGACATCCCATACCGTACGCAGTGGGTTGAGTATCCGGACATCGCACCCCTCCTCAGCGCTCTCGGAGTCAAGCCCAACCCATCATCCTCTTCGGGCCCGATTCCAGTCCCAGCCTACACGCTCCCTGCGATCTACGATCCGCGCACGCAAAGAACGATCATGGACTCCTACCAAATTGCCATCTACCTCGACGAGACGTATCCCGAAACGCCCGCGATCCTCCCGCCCGAGACACGCGTCTTCCAGACCGCTTTCCAGCACGCACTCGGCAACGTGTTGCATTACAAGGTCGTCCCTGTGTTCCTCCACCAGGTATCGAAGGCACTGAACCCGCGGAGCCGGGAGTACTTCATTGAGACGCGCGAGGGGTTTATGGGACGCACGCTTGAGGATCTCAGCCCGCCGCCCGGTTCGGCGGAGCACGCGGAACGGTGGGCGGATATCGAGAAGGCGTTCGGTGTTGTTACTTCGTGGATCGAGTCGGCTGGCGATGGAAGGCTGCTGCTGGGCGGCGGGGGTCCGGATGGAGAGAACGGGAAGGTAACCCATGCAGACACGGACCTCGCTGGCCTCTTGGTCATGACGCGCCTGGTATTCGGAGCGGACAGCCAGGAATGGAAGCTCATCGAGGGGTTCAATGGTGGTCGTTGGAAGCGCTACGATGCCTATTTCAAGTTTGAGAGAGTCTTTGAAGGGCAGACGGCAGCGACTACTTGATAAGGAGAACCTCTCTTGACGACAGTGCGGCCCAAGTGCGGCCGCACGCCGGATGTATGACTACATAGAGTCCATCTGTACTATATGGTCTTCGAGCAGCAATCCGCGTAGCAGCAATCAACTGATCAGGGCATTCAAGTTTTACATACACATAGGGAGAGCGTCTTGTAAGTTGAGTGGCGGCATGGTCGTAAGGACTCGAGAGATGGAAGAGACCTATACGTGGAAGGTCAGCCTTACAGGATGCGTAGCAGGTAGTACTATCATACTGTAGAGTCAAATACTTGGTAGACTTGAGGCTGTCTATCATCAGAGTACTACGTCGGATAGCACACGATGGCTCAACTTGAAGGTCGGCTCCGGGCTCATACCACTGAACAGTCACCACTCGGGACTTTACGACATGTTCTGACTCGGCTTTATGACGAGCGACAGTAGTACTGTCTTCACGGCACCGTGAAGTTTGCAAAGAAGCTGCGATCACAGGCTGGCAGAGCTACTGAAGATACGCGGCTTTGAACCCGGTGAGTGTCGAACAATTTCTTCAGAACGTCTCCCGGTCGGCTGACAATTGTTTGTGTGATCTGGATTGTTCTGGGATCAATCAATAGGTCACTACACGTCAAGTAATGTATTGCGAAGCCTGTCCATGAATCACACCGGGCGGTGATCCTGCCGACTGAAGAGGCAGCGATGTCTGGTATATAGTGAGCACCAGGTTCATATATCATAGAACGTACTCACCGTATTCGCCGCGTGTCTGTCGCGTCGAGCATCGCCTCATCTCCTGAGCTTCGTTGGCTGCTTGCGGAATGACGCTTCCGGACACCGACAAGCTTGTTTTCTATGATATACGCAACAGCGTGCCAGGCTGCGCCTGGTCGCCCAACACTTGGAAGACGCGGTGCGTAGGCAGCTGTGTATACCTTCACGTTGAGGTTCAGGCTTATGCATCATCACAGACTTGCCCTCAACCACAAGGGCATACCATACCGCACGGAGTGGGTCGAGTATCCGGACATCGCACCCCTCCTCAGCGCTGTCAAAGTTGAGCCGAACCCACCATCTTCGGGCCCGATCCCAGTCCAAGCCTACACCCTCCCTGCGATCTACGATCCGCGCACGCAAAAAACGATCATGGACTCCTACAAGATCGCCCTCTACCTCGACGAGACGTATCCCGACACGCCCGCGCTCCTCCCGCCTGAGTCGCGCGTCTTCCAGACCTCCTTCCAGCACGCCCTGGGCGACGTGTTGCACACCAGGGTCGTGCCTCTGCTCCTCCACCAGATCGCGAAGCCGCTGAACCCACGGAGCCGGGACTACTTCATTGAGACGCGCGAGGCTTTCTTGGGATGCAAGCTTGAAGAGCTCAGCCCGCCCGGTTCGGAAAAGAACGCGGCACAGTGGGTGGCTATGGAGAAGGCGTTCGGCGTCGTTGCGTCGTGGATCGAGTCGGCTGGCGACGGGAGACTGCTGCTGAGCGGCGGGGGCCCGGATGGGGAGGACGGGAAGGTGACCCATGCAGACACGGACCTCGCTGGGGTTTTGATCGCGATGCGCGTCCTGCTCGGAGTGGATAGCAAAGAATGGGAACGCATAGAGGGTTTTGATGGTGGGCGTTGGAAGCGCTACCTGACCTGTTTCAAGTTCGAGAAATGAGTAGACGACAGTGACCAGTTACTCAATAGTAAAGACGGGTGCCGCATGTACGACTAGAGCACTCGACTGGCCACCCGTGTGGCAGGAATTAAATGGCTTTCAAGCAAAGGGCAAGTAGCAGGGTTGTGATGTGAGAAGACGAAAGAGGGATGCCGAAGATGGTAAGTGACTTTCCAATTGTAGAGTAGAAGCCCGATTGGATCGCGCCACGTCTCTGATAAGAAGTCGCGCTGCAAGCCCATTTTCATCTTCATTCTGTCTCACCTTGGCTTGTTCTATGCGCATGTGTGCTAGAGGCGGTTGATCTCAACATCCAGGTCTACCGAGTTCAGCATAACCGCGCACAATATCGCTCGAATATTCTGAGTGGCTTGCGTCTTGACCAAGTCTCAGTAAGTTGCTTACGATTCGAGGCCCTTCCGAATACCGCGAACACCTACCACGCGCTGCTATCAACTGTGTCAATCGCATTATGAAGGAAGCGTCGCTGACTGAGCCGCTTGCTGAGTGCTGACTGAGCCCCAGCGACTGGGACGTGCGTATACTTATATCGCTTGATGCTACGCACGGCGAATAATACTCGTGCCAGACTGCAACACAGTTCCTGTTGAGATGGCCACTTCAGAGACAGACGTCATCATTCTCTATGACATTCCAAGCACAGTCCCAGGCAATGCCTGGTCAGCTAACACCTGGAAAACTCGGTGAGCCGGATGTTTTTGCTTTCTTACAACAGCCTCGTCTTCAACTCACCTCGCATCACGGCTCAGTTTCGCGCTGAACTACAAGGGCATCCCCTACCGTACCCAATGGGTCGAATACCCCGACATCGCACCCCTGCTCACCTCGCTCGGAGTGTCGCCTAACACGCCCTCGACTTGGACGTTCCCCTACACCCTCCCTGCGATCTACGACCCACGCACCCGCACGGTCCTCATGGACTCAATCAAGATCGCCCGCTACCTCGACGAGACTTACCCCGACACTCCCGCTGTACTGCCCTCCGAGACGCGCGTCCTCCAGCACGCCTTCCAGCCCTCGCTCTTCAGCACCGTGCACGAGAAGCTCGTCCCGCTCGTCCTCGCCCCCTGCATCGAGAAGCTGAACCCGCCTAGCGCACTGTACTTCCGCGAGACGCGCGAGGTCCTCTTGGGGTGCAAGGTCGAGGCAATCAGCCCGCCCGAGAAGCGCGCGGAGCAGTGGGCTGCGCTCGAGAAGGGCTTCAGCGTCCTAGCGTCGTGGTTCGAAGCTGCCGGGGACGGCAGGCTGTTGCTCAGCGGCGGGGGTCCGGCTGGGGACGCAAGTCGCGTTAGCCATGCGGATATCAGCATCGCTGGTATTCTGATTTGGGTGCGCATCATACTCGAAGAGGAAAGCGAGGAATGGCGGCGCATCGAGAGCTTTGATGGAGGACGCTGGAAACGTTACTTGGGATTCTTCGAGCAATGGGCGGATATCAGTCGCTAAATGCCCAGGCAACTGTGTCGATGGAGAACATGTGTACTTGCGGCCTCAGAGCTGCGAATGAATATCCCGGTATGTATCACTGCCTGTGTAGTTCCTCACGCACGTATCGAAGCATGTGGACTGTTATTGAGTGTGGTCGGAGGGCTCGAACTCCCGCATCGCACTGGAAAGATTGTACAGCAGCTTGTTCACAGTCCATGATGCACGCGCTAACATTGTTCTGACCATGTCCCCTGATTGTGGGGTTGTCGTCCGTCCGGCGGTAATGTTTATTTTTAGAGCTTGACCCGTGTCTACAACACTACGGTTACGACACTCGAACGCCAGGTACGTCCGACATCGAGTCACTGCGTTTCGCCCCGCTGATATCGATCCTAGCTGTACACTTCGTGGATCACGTCGCATTCACTGCCTTGCATCGACGTATCGACTGGTCCGTCCGCACATGCCACCGGCGTACAGCACAACCATGCGTGCGAACACCTGACCTACACGATCTGTAACAACGGGAGAGGCATCTTCTCACAGAGGCCGCAACTACGCATAGAGGATGCAAACCACACAAGGGGAAATCGTCCACTTCGGATCAGGACGGTGTAATTCTCAAGATGATGAACTCTATCGTGGCCGCTCGCGGAGCGGCCTGTGCAGTCTGCGCTGACGTTTCGACAGGGGACGCTCTACACAGATGTACAGGTGTGTGGACACAAGAGCGAAGAGCCACATCGTCCAGCGTATCGGACGAATCGGACCCGCCCATGGACTAATGAATCTGAATTGGACCCTTCAAAGTCAACCACAAGGGGGCATGATCATGATGCGGCTCGCGATCTGGCACAGCCAGGGCAGTCTTCGATCATCCAACAGTGTACGTTTGTCCGAATGCGCTTGAGTCGGATGCATCATCAGCGAGCGCTGACTGCAGTCCGTCAGATACGCCGTGAAGCTCAGGGTGTTCCCATGAACGTGTCAAGCATGCTTGTCAGGAGCCGCCCAGCAGTCGCTCGCCAGCGACGTCAGTCATAATAGAGAGTCGCTCTGTGGAGAGGGCACCGTTTCAACTTCTGCGCAGCGCCCAGTGGCTGAGCGTCAGGAGGTGGCTCGCATTGCTCTAAATAGGACATCGTCAGTAGAAAGCATTGTACTGCAATCTACCACGGAACGCCGCGCTGCTGCCGAAGTGTGAGTAACGCCATCATTCTATCCTTTTTGACAGCACTGGGAGGCCGGACGTGCCCGGGGCGAACCTGTGTGCGCTCGGTCGTATTGCGTATGCATTGGTCGAACGGAAATGTTATGTAGATGTCACCAACGGCACTGCCGCACACCCTCCTCTGCGTAGCAGACTATATATAAACCCTTGGAATGCGAGCCAGGTTCTTCAGCCCTCAGTTGACCTGTGCGAGCCTCGCTTCCAAGCTCAAGTACCGGATAGTGAGTGCTTCCTCCTCTACATTGTAGGCTTCAATGTGCTAACGACGATGGCCAGCTTGACTTGTTTATTTGCTTTACATTTCGTCACGACCCCTTGCTCTTTCTCTAGTTACACCTTCACGACCTTCCCTAACTCTCCTCGAACCCATTACGATCACGATTAACATGCGTTCCTACACCATCCTCGCTGTCGCCGCCTCCGTCGCTGCCCCCGCTCTTGTCGCGTATGTGGTCATTGCGTGATAACCCTCCGAGATGCTCATTCACTCATTCTGCTGCAGTGCCGCCCCCGTTCAACAGGGCAGCGATGCTCTCTCCATCAGCAAGGTCTTCAACATCGGCTCCGACATCGCCAACGCCTACTCGAGCTACAAGCAGAACAAGCAGAACAAGGGCAAGCGGTGGGTTGATCAGTCCACCTACATCGAGCCTTATTTCTGACGACGATCCTGACAGTGACGACGAGTTCTTCGAGCTCCTTGCCCGTGAGGCCGCAAGCCAGGATTCGCCCTCTAAGACCGGCGGTGAGGAACCACAGGCTCACCAGGTTGGCGTCCACGCCGCTGCCCCCGGGCCCGAGCACGAGGGCGCGGAGCACGGTGCCGCGCACTCACAGCTCCACACCGGCGAGCACGCCGGTCTACGCGCGAGCAAGCAAACGCACCGGGTCGGCAAGCACGCAGGCCAGCGCGCACACCGCACCGGCAAGCACACCGGCCAGCGCACTCACAGGTACGGCAAGTCCGGCCAGGGCAGGCGCACCGGACGTAAGGGCCTCCAGGCGCACAAGGGCATGCACGCCCACACTGGCGAGACCGCCGCGCACGAGCACGCGCATGCGGGCTTGCACGCCGCACACCGCACCGGGGCGCACCCCGACGCCGCCGAGCACTCGCCCGAGGCTCACACCGGCGTGCGCCCGCCCGAGACTCAGAGCCCGGGCGCGACGCAGCACGAGGCGCGCGGGCGGATCGAGAAGGCCTCGGGCGTCGTCGGGCTCGTGAACGACGCGGCGAACGCGGCGCAGAACGCGCACGCGGCGTGGGACAGCTTCAAGCAGCACCACCGGCGGGGCAAGTTCCACACGGCGGGCAAGGCGCTGGGCCTCGCGAACGACGCGGCGAACGCGGCGAGCAGCGTGCACGGCGCGTGGGACAGCTTCAAGCAGCACCACCGCCGGGGCAAGATCCACAAGGCTGGCAAGGCGATTGGCCTTGTGAACGACGCTGCGAACGCGGCGAGCAGCGTTGGCCAGGCGTGGCAGTCGTTCCACGGCCGTGAGGAATCCCCGTACGAGTTCCTGTGAGTAGCATGGTTGCTCAGATCAAAGGATGTACACTGACGAGGGTTCCTCTGATAGGTATGAGCGTGACTATGAGCTCGACGACCTCGAGTAAGCGCGAGCGTACCTGGACTTTGAGAGACACCCACCCTCCTCCACCCTCTACCCCTGATCGTGATGATCTTTATGACCGAGCTTACGGTGTAACTAGCTGAACGACTTTGACGAAATAGCACTAGCTGAGGGCTCGCATATACTTGGTGCGGTTGACTGAGGCAAGACCCCACAACGTTTGTTTCGTAGCAGGAAAGCCGCAAGTACTGTCCACACACCGCGGAAACTGAGACAATCGAGACGATACACTGTCTAGATAGTCAACAACTGTAGACATTGACGCTATGACAAGGGATTATACTAGTTTTCTACAAAGCTGTACAAGGTATGTACGCGTGTCTAGCTTAAAGATACATCAAGTCCATTACTTCGTAAACAATCCATCAAGAAAAATGAGAAGACGGCACCTCCTTGAAGCTCTCAATGGTACGGATGCCACACCAACTCCCCCACCCTCCCCACTGGCCTCCTCGGCAACCCATCACCACCCACATTTTCTCCAGCAGGGTTCTGCCCGAGGACCTCTCCCTGCTTCATCAGCGCGTCCGACGCGATCGCGCCCTTGCCCACCAGGCCCTGCCACGCCGCGCCGCCCTGGCCAACAACCTCCTGCCCCGCTGCCAGGCGCGCCTTCTCCGCCTCCCACGCCTGCGTCGCTTTCCTCCCTACGGGCTCCTCGCCCTCCTTGCTTGCTGCGGCGGGAGCGGTGTCTCGCGCGCCTTTCCCCTGGTTGCCGCTGCGTCCCACCACCGCGCGCTTCATCGTCTTGTATCCCTCGCCTCGCAGGAAGTCCCCCACTGCGCCAAGCGCCAGCTCCATCACCTTCTTTGCAGAGACCTTCAGGCCTGTTAGCTCGCTAATCCGCTGCGGGAGGATGAGGAAGACGTCCGAGAATGACGGGTGCGTCGCGCCCGCTGCGGAGGCGTTGAGTGTAGATCAGTTTTGGAGGCAAGACACGTACGGATAGTGTATACGTGCGGCGGGTCCTTGACGGTGCGCGCAACTTGCTCTTTGAAGATGGCATATTCGCGCCCGACGGCGAACTCTTCCGAGTTGACGACTAGTAGAGGATGCGGGATTGTTCCTTGCCACGGCGCGACGCCTAGGCATTTGTAGTATGAGTATGTGCATACATGCGCATGTGGACAGATTACTCACGTTGTGTTGCAGGGTCGAACACTATAATACCGTCGAAGTTGAACTCGTTTCGTGCTGAGACAACGAGCTGTCTCGCCGCGTCATTTCCCCGAGAGTATGACAAGTGAAGCAGCACGTACCGCAGCTGTCCCTCCTAGACTGTGACCCGCCATGACGGGCGTCTCGAAATCCACAGCATCATCCCAGCGTTTCCAGTCAAAGGCCTGCGCGGTTGTAACACCAGGGGCTTGTATCGGATCGGAATACCTGCAACCGCTCAGCATCCTCCCAACGCACAACTCCCATCCAACTCACCGTATGATATCCTCTCCGGACGCCATCCGACCCACAACACGTATCGCCTCACTGATCTCCGCCGCACGCAAGTCCAGCTGTGCGCCTCGGAGCGTGGTGTCGTCCGTCGGCTGAGTTTCCAAGTCGGGCCACTCAAGGTCGGACCACTCGAGCCAATCGACGTTCTTCGTGTTGCCCTTGTCGTCCGTGATCTTGCTGCTCGGGCTCGTGCCGTCGCGGTGCTCGAGTGCGGCGACGACGTACCCACGGCTTGCGAGCTCGCCGCAGATTTGGGAGTACATCAGGCGTGAGCAGCCGACGCCATGACTGAAGATGACGAGCGGCCATTTGCCGCGATTCTCGGGTGTTGGCGGGTTGGAGGTGCTGCTGTCTGCAGGCTTGGGCGGTGAGGCGGCGGGTGGGCGGAGGAGAGGCGCGTCTTTGTGTGCGGGGAAGGTTGTGCCCCAGATAGCAGCCGCCGCCATAGGCCACGTAAAGGCGCGATACCAGTTGTTTGGTGTGCGCTTCGCCATTTGGAGGAAGCCGTCTATCGTCTGGCCGAGTCTATCGAATCTTAGTTTGCGTCGAGACCACAACATAGCCTGACTTTACAGTACCTCGGAAACCAAACGACTCTGTCGTGTTTGCGCTTGCCTCCGTGCGCGTCAGCGGGGTAGAACAAGCTGAACATAACAGTATCCATGACGAGCCCGCGCTGGCCCTTGAGGGTAGGGTCGTTCTCGGCATGGCGACGCTTGAGGTTGCGGTGGATGAAATTGCCAAAGGTCTGGCGGGTGACGGGGACCTCGACGTCGATGACGCCGACTTCGTAGGGCCCGCTGTACTCGGGGAGGGTGCGCGAGAGGAGGGCACCGAAAGGAGAGCCGGAGGAGGGAGCTTTGCGGATGACGGGTGCTTCAGCGGAGCCCGCGCCTGGGATGAGGGATGTCGGCTTGTTTACCTTTGGCTTCGCGCTCGTGGCTGGTGGTACAGGCGCATCAGTGCTAGTCATGGCGGACGTCTACAGGCAGAGAAGATATGGGACATGGCAAGCAAGGCAGTATGTTTATAGCAGGCGGTGGTGCAACTGCAGGGGCAGGGACGCTGCAGTATGACGTCACAGCGCCCGGCAAGTTAGGCTAGCCTCTTGCCTTTTGGGGTCAGTATCCGCCGCACGACCGCCACCCGGCCGTGCTCACGGCACGCCTTCAACTGAGCGAACTACCTGTGCCAGTCAAAAATCAAACACATAAAGTGAAGCTGCAGCACTGGAAGCTGGCAGAGCAGAAGGATGGGCGGCCGCGATGGTTACGGTGTGCATCCTGCCTTTTATACTGAGTACGGGACTGGCCGATCGCCCAGACATGATGACAGGATGCATGTTCCATGACATACAACGCACTTGGAACAGCGAGCGACGTCACGGCCATCCACTCCACTCGCCAGTCCGCGTACAGTCGTCGCTCGAAGGGAAGATTGAGCGCCGAATCCGGGGCTGCCATTGCCAAAGCCCGACGACGAGTGCAAGAACTTTACCATTCGAAGATATCGTATGTACATTCTCGCAGGGGCTCAGTCTGGATCAGAATGGTGATTTGTTGTATGATTGTTTTTTCTGTGGCTTTGTTCATTTACTAACGTACAGCACTAGCTATCCTTGAATTGTCTGTTGCCCGCAACTTTGTGTCACAGATACACTCCAAAAACATAATCCCCCAATCCAATGTCGACAGGCGAGTGTGGTCTCTGCACCTGCTCACTCTCCTCTGCAGTGTGTCCCTGCTCCGAGAAGCGGTCCAGCGGCGCGCCAGGCGTGAGCGGGAAGTCGCGCAGCTCCAACTCGCTCGGGCTCACCACCGGGTCCTCCGCAGAGTCAACCCACGGCAGTACAGGCCGACGCGCACCAGGCGTGATCGGGAAGTCGCGAATGAGCAGTTCGAGCGGGTCGACGACGGGGTCCTGGCTAACCATCTCCACGCCCGGCGTGAACGGCGAGTCGTCCAGCATGTACCGCGCCTCGGTGAAGTTGTTCGCGACGATTGGCGGGAACACGACCGCCTCGGGCGTAGCGCCCCTCGGCGCGCGGGGGCTGAGCAGCAGCCCAAACCCAAGCCCGAACCGAAGCCCGAGCTCGTACTCGCCCGCGAGTACTGCGCACGGCTCGGGCAGGAACCGCGCGATAGCGAGCGGCCGCTGAGAGAAGTAGGCGGGCATCCTCCGTACGCTCGGCCTGCGCGCGAGCGCGGCGGCGGCCGCGATGGACATTGGCGCGATGGGCGAGGGCGGCGTCGTGCGGATGCCCTGCACAGCGGTGCGAGGCGCTGGCTCGCCGTCGACGTCGCCTTCCTCCTCATGGAAGTACGAGACTTGGAGCTGCGCGAGGGCGACTGCTATGGGCGAGTAGGCGTCCTCGTAGGCGAGGTCCGCCTCAGGCTCCGGCTGTGGTGAATGTGACCGCGGCGGCGGCACCCAGTCCCGCTGGAATATCTGGGGGAGCGGGGACTTGAGGGGCGTGCCCTGCACGCTCGGCGGGAACAGCTCCGCCGGGAGACCGAGCCCGATGAGGGGCTTCATCTCTGCCGTCGCTCTCAGCATTTTCCAGATAGGGCTCAACAGGGATGGAATTCTCACCTGGACGTCTTGCGGAGCTCACGCGTGCATCTGCGCGCGCTCTGGCGCTGGAGACCGCTGCCAGCAGCGCGGGGTTGACCGGACGGCTCGAAGGAGCCGGCGGCGAAGGCAGGCCTTCTGGCTCGTATCCCTCGTAACTAGGGATCCACGCCTTAGCGAACTGCGCATGTTTCATTAGCGGGCTCGAACTGGAAGCAGTGTGAGGATGACTTACCCTGCCATTGGGGAAGAGCCGCGAGGCACTCCCTGGACCAGCCAGGGTGGCGACGCGAGTGAAGCTCGAGGTAGATGCCATGATGTGTCAAAATGCAGTTAAGTCAGAAGTAATGCGGTGTGTGATGAGGGAGCCATGGCGGGAGACGAGGGCCTTATATACGTCTCTGCAGGAGGCGGATGGATGGGCGCGGATGCTGCCAGTGTCCCGCTGCCAGTGTAGGTACCGTCTCCGAGTGTAGGGTGAGAGCCATCCGCCGAGGCTAGACCTTTACGTATCCGTATCCGCGAAGCAGTCGTTCCGAGCCCTCCGCTTGATTTTCTCAGATTCACTACTGTTCACGACATTCAAGGCATGTTACCATTCAGAAGCCTCAGCCGCCTACCATCATGTCAGTATAAGTTTCATGTGAGGAGTTAGTCACCTGAATTATTCTACGTATGTGCCACCCAAACACGCGGCAATTGGAGCTTGGAACCGAAATATGGCCGAGCCGAGGTTGGTTCAGACTCGAATATTGCGGAGCGCGGACTCAAGTAGTTGGAAGGAAAAACATTCTTCCGATCGCGATTGCAGTTCTATCCACCGCGTCGCGGAAGCATTCCCAATTAAGCCACATCGGAACAACTCACGGTTCGGATTGTCCCCCGGGCGCCGACCGCTCTGTCTTTGACAGAGCAACAGTTGTTCGATGGTTTGTGATTATTTAGAAGATATGCGTAATTCTACAATCAATAGCCTTGTACTTTACAACGCGTCAGAGCCTGGGAGCGCTCTAGCTATGACGGTTACTACAGGACTGTCGCCCGTAGTTCTACAGCTGGAAACAAAAAATCATTGAGTGGAAAATACCCACAGCCGTCTAAAATAATGAGACGGATCCGGCCAGTCCGAGCTTCCACCGCTCACAGCACGACTTCGTACACATAGTCAGCCAGCAGCCCAGCCACCGTAAGGTACCCGATTGATGCGTTGGCCTACGTTATTATAACGTCAACAGCATATCATTAAGTTAACAGAGTGATGCACTTACCTTGATAATCTTAATACCATCCTGGGTTTCGAAATTGTCCGTCGTCACCAGCTGCCAGAGCAGCCCGAGTGCCGGGTAGCCGACCGCGATCGCGTAGTACAGCGGGCCCTGGTGGTTCGCGTATCCGGCGTACGCGAGGCATCCCACAAACGCGGCGCAGAAGAGGGAGAGTATGGGGCGGATGTAGTCGCCGAAGAGGATGGCGCATGAGTAGACGCCGAACTCCTTGTCGAACTTCTTGTCAGGCGATGCGTAGACGGTGTCGAAGTGGACGGCCCAGCTGCACGACCGGTCAGTTTCATAAAGGAGGGGGCCTGAAGGGGAGGATACTAACCATGTCATGCCGAGGGATAGCGACCCTACGACCGACCAGTCGACGGTGTGGTTGACGGCATACCACCCAACGATCGCGTTCCAGGCACAGTTGACCCCTGGAGCAGGTGAGTCCGCTGTGTGCGCGCGTGGTGCTCATTCACGCTTACCCAAAACCAATTGGGGCCAATTGGTGAAACGCTTCGATAGAGGATAAATCGGTGCGACCGTGAAAAACACCATCGCCCCGAGTGTCATTCTGTCAAAGCCGACATGCCCGGAGTGAGCGACAAGTAGTATAGGCAAACACATCGACCACTGACGTGCCACTCCCGAGGTACGACATCGTTGCGAAGTAGCCGAGGGCAGGAATCTCCATCAAAAGGAGCGCAGCAGGGACAGTTATCTCTCCGCTGGCAATTGGCCGCGTCTTTGTCCGCTCTGCCGGGAGTCATGAGCTCCTCTTCATTGCAATACTAGACCAATCGCTCAGGAACGCACCAACGTGTTTGTCAATGTCTCGGTCGCAGATGTCGTTCCATATGCATCCGGCGCTGTGGGCGAACGTGCAGGCGACGGCGTGAACGAGCGCATGTACGGCGACCGTCCGAGGCGGAAGGCTGAGACGGTATGCGCTCATCAGCAGCGCCCACACTAGGGAAATGTCAGTCTCTTTGGCTGCAACTGGCCCAATTGAGAGTGCGTGCGGCTAGCTTACTGGCAGGGAACCAGACGAGATCGCCTCCAGTCGGCCATACGTGCATGCGAGTCAACCGCCAGTAGAGCTTGCAATCGGCTCCCACCTTGGGGGCAGGCTGAGCGGGAGTAGTTGACTTGGACTTGAGAGTAGCTTTGTTGTCGGACATGAGGATTGCGGGTAGGATCTACTGCTACAGTAGCAATGAGTATTTTGCGGGTGTTCTGGCTGTGGTTTATATATCTCGATGCTGGATTCTTGATTCTTGACAGTGACACTGGTCTGCAGCCTGACCCCACAACCATTACTGACAAGACACCAGGTATCATGCCTGATCTGTCAATCAACGTAACTTTGTGGGCGCAGGTCGGTAGTTCCTCAACACACGCGCTGGACTCCCTGCGTCGGCGGGAAGAACACAGCCAAAAACGATTCGGATGCCGCGCGCGCCATGACGCTTGACGCGAAATAGCAACGTGCTATGGAGAGATTGTCAATAGGAAATAGTGGGGGCGCACCAAGATTAGCCCACCACATCAGGTACCTGGCTATTCAGCCTCCTTGAGCGTGCAACTGACAAATATAATCAATGCGTGAGATCGGTAGAATTTGGAGCTGTCCGGAAGCCTTCCCTTGAGGTGTCTAGCTTGATAACAGGATGACAGCAGCAGATACTGTCGTATTGCGGGCCCCGGTCCTACAGTGATTGCATAAGCGTGTCTAGTGACATCGCCCATTGACAAGAGATTATTTGGGCTGTGAGCGCACGGACACCGTGGTGAAGAAGGACGAATCAATCGTACACGCTCTGAGAAACGTAGCATCTCGTGCCACATTATATGTCAGTGATCCGCGGAAGGCCGACCGTGGTATAGGATAGTATGTTGCACTCCGTAGAGCCAGAATCAAGACTGCCTTGAATCTGAGTCCTGACGCTATAGTATCGTTAGGGTCAGATAGGGTCAGACAGTAGTGTAAACGCTGAACATGATGGCACTTACTTGTAGTTCTCCAATGGGCTTCAGGGCGACGCCATGTCGAACCTTCTGAACCACAACTATTCCGATGGAACCGACGTTGACTACCTCGCCGGTCACGGTAGTAGCCCGGTCAACATGGTATACATCACTGAAGACGGGGTTGAATGTGGGTAAGCCCAACCACTAACCTTCGATGCGGCAGAACGACCGTAAGCAGTGAGCCGAATTGATTGAAGTTGAACACAAGGATCCCTTGCTCGAAGAGCAAGGCTCTCCCAGGTCGAAAATGTCGCCCCCCTTTCTGCACTTGTTGTTGCATGTTTGTTTCGCGACATGTGGTGTGGACATGTGTGCGCATGACGCACCTTGGTTGTCCGCTAGTCCCAATCCGCACGACGCGGCTCAGCCACATTGACGGGCCTGCGCGCAGCGCGGCGGGTTTCGTTGTGACGGTGCGTATGAAAGCATTTTTCATTATTTATAGAAGTCGTGTTCTGTAGTCCCTAGGTGCGTCGTATGTTTCGCTAGAAGGTGCAGCGACGCATCGAAGGTTTGGCTACGGCACCGTACTTAGGCGCGTCGTACGCCCTGCGGGAGGGAGGGGCACCACATCGACAGGCGGTGCCGCGCTCACGGTGCCTCCCAAATTGAACTCGCTTGACCGGCCTTCGCGCGCGAGGCAGCGCCGTCTGCGGCCCTTGTGTCTCTCTTTGGCAACGCAACAGCGGCGACACCAATCTCGCATCAGCTGTGCAACATTGAGTTTCCATTTGTTAGTAGTGTCGCTACTCATTAGTAGTCTTGTACATGAGCGAAGAGATCGTGGTCAATTGACCCGTAATGGAGCTAGTAGTATGTGTACATTACAAGACGAGCGGCGGAGAGTGTGCTCACAGAAATACAAAGGTCTCATTGCACACTCTCGGGGGATCATGAACGTTGAACGCGCACCCGCACATGCACAACACGAGCAAGGTTAGCACGCCAGCACTGGCGGCACTTCGAGTTCGATAAGCACATGCATTTGTTTTGCGTCCGAAGGCACCCCAAGGCACGTGCCCGACACGCTTCCCCATTGATGACGGGCGCTTGCTGTGCTCTCCGCTCGCATTGGCAGCGCGAGCCGTCCTTGTTCTGCTTGAGTCTCCATCCTCGGCGTCCCTCGACCGCCAAACACCCATGCTAGACGGTACACGGTATGGGAATCTTTCAAATGCTATGTCAGACATTGGCTGACGCTGGTTAGATTACGCAATTCATGGTACGCTTCGCTCGATGACGCACAGAGCAACTTCCGCCAGCTGCTGTCCTCCCATACCTCACCCGACTGGAAGAGAGTACCCATCCCAAACGATACGATCTCGAAGGGAAAGTCGAGGGCGGTAGCACCCGAGCTCACGGATGTGGTTCTACACCGCAAGACAAGCAAGTCCAGCGAACCTGTCTACCGTGCGATCCTCGACGTCCCGGTAGGTGACACGCTGGTGTCCCTAGAAACCTGGAAGGCCGTTCTGTCGACTCCGGAACTCCGGAAGGAATGGGATCCCGCAGTGGAAGGCGCGCATATGATCGAGATACTCGACCAAGCCACTAGGATATCGAAGGTCGACTTCACCCTTGGATGGCCTGCAAAGTGAGTATCATGTTTGTAACCGGGTGCGCGTGTCATTTTCTGGGAGTTACATTGGCCGCTGAGTTGGTAATCTGGGGAGCGGCCGTACGTCCTTCAATTCGCGGTGTCGACGGCAGGCGGGCACCATACCATTTGCATCTTCACGTCTGGACGTGCCATCGGGCCGCAACCGTAGGCAGGGCACGTCGACACTCTGTGTTGCTTGTGTTTAAGTAGAGCTGGAATGGCTGCCATGTTGCATGCCGATTGGAATGAACCAGAAATGGCCCGCATTCGCGAGCAGCTACAATCGGCAGGTCAACGATAATTGCGTATTGACTTCACCCCAGTCCTAGGGATGCCGTCGTCATCTCTCGCTCGTTCAGCGATGCTACCACTCTCATCGACATCTCCACCTCCCTTCCTCGGTCCCCGGACGAACCTGCGTACCTTCGGCCATCGCCGCCGTATGTACGATCGGATGTCTCTCGTGCGTGCATTCTGAATGCGGAATTGGGTGTAGCTGACTCGTGCTTAGTCTTCGCTTGGTGCGTTCAGGTTATCGAGCAGCCCCCGACGTCCAAACGCAGCCCTAAACTACGGATTACCTGTTTCTGGCAGCATAATCTGAAGACGTTATGGTCATTCAACACAGCATCCAGCTTCGCTCAGCAGTTATGCACGATGATGGTCGGCATCTACAACACGGTACAGAAACGCGGCCTACGGATCCCTCAGCTGATGGGATATGGCAACGGCGTGTCAATCGAGCGCCTGCGTTTCGACCTTGACCGGGAGGCGCTGACTGTGGACTACTCAATCGTGCCAGAGGATGAAGATCACACTCCGCATACAACTGCCCAGGGTCTAGATGAGCTTTTCGCCATACGAGAACACAAGAGGTTGACACGTTCAGTCGAATGTGCGCTACCGACGCCGGTGGGCTGGGACGTACAGATTGCCACCAAGGCGTCCTCGGACCAAGTTGCTCAGCTACCCTGGACGGTCCAGGCGAAACGCGATCCATCTCCCGCACAAGGCTCCACAGCGACTAGTCCAGAAACGGACAGGATTATTTTCGGAATCAAACATGCCGCTTTACCCAACGACCACTCTGTATTGAAAGTCCGGGTAGTGATTGAGCTATCCGGATCCTCCAGTGGTATCCGTCTAAATGGGATCCCACAACCCATCGAGCAAGTGGAGGAACGAGACCCGCAATCCCACATCGCGTCTCAGCAGATGCTCCGGGATGCGTCAAGTGCTGCAGATTTCAGCTTCAATACGCAATCATCATCGGTCAGCACAGTGGCAGAGTCGGCGTCGAAGGCTTCTGCTGCGCTGCCTGAGCGGCCGGCGCTAAGTCGGACGCAGACCGAGCGCACCGCGACGGCCGAGAAGTCGATCCTATCCCGAGTCAAACGCAATTACATCTACTTCTCGTCGCTACTGCAGGAGCCGGAGGCGAAGTGGAAACGCAGTGAGTGCGGCTTTACTGTCTGTCCCTGCACAGTTCCTTACGGCGCGTCAAGCTACCGAGACACGCGGAGTGTCGATAGCGCAGCTCGATTCAATCGACCCGACATTGGTGGTGTATCGCGCGGAAGCGACGTTCGTTGGGCTTGGATTGTGGGACTTGTATGCCGCCGTTGTGACTCCGGGAGCCCGTGCGTTCTGGGACAGACTCTATGACGACAGCACCCTGCTAGAACATGTCAACGAGCTCACGGAGCTATGGCATTTCAAGACGAAGCCCGCTTGGCCTGTCACGTACGTAGATCCTGCTATCAGAATGACCCTCACATAGATACTGATCTGTTGTCTGTGCAGCGGGAGAGACGCGGTCGTGCTTAAGACCGTGTACAAGTCGCCCACAACAATACACGTCTTCGCCTTCTCTGCGGATGACCCAAATCTATTTCCGAACATCCCCTCCGCTGATCCGAACGTCATCCGCACACAGATCGACCTGCAGGGTTGGGCGATTGAGGCGCTCTCGCCTACCACGACACAGCTCACCATCCTCGAGCAGTCTGATCCGAAGGGCTGGTCGAACAAGGCGTCAATTCCGCAGCAGATGATCCAAGCAATCGCCGGCGTGGGTGAGTTCGCGATCAAGTGCGGCGGTCCACCCATTGTTACACGGCTCGAGGGCGCGAAGGCGACACAGATGCGGTACGATCACGATAGGTACAGTTTCCGCGTCGAGTACGAGGCTTCCGCGAGTCGTCGGTCGACCCCGGTGCAGATTCCAGACGAAGCCGCCACTCCGATAACACCTAGCTCGCCCGGGCTGCCCTTCGTGGAGTGTGAGCTGCGGTGCGATCTGGATAGCTGGGCGAACTCCTTGGATATTGTGGTCGATCCACCGCCACAAACAATATCGTGTCTCCGGAGACATCGTTTGTCCTCCGGCGGCGGTGGCTTGTGGCTCACGATTACACACGACGCCGTCTACACCGGGGACGATCGCCTACAGGTGATAGTTAGGCGCGGACCCATGAGTGTGCCGAAGGAGAAGGGGCTTGTCATGGTGAACGGAGCCAAGGTCGACGTCGACGTCGAGGAGCTTCCTGACAAAGAGGTGAAGAGCCTGCAGAAGCAGAAGCGCATCAAACCGACTCGGGTGCCATTGGACCAGCCCCCTGTTCTGAGCGTCATCAGGCGACGCAGGGCAGAGTGGAGCGGGGACGGTGACCTTGAAGGCACAGAAACCGGCTCGTACAAACCGGCGACCCCCGACGTGGAACTGGCGTCGGCGCCGACGTTTGCGTCATCGTTCAACTCGTTCATCAATCTGGCTATATCGCAGGCGACGACAGCCACTCAGCAAGCTGCAGCAGCGATTGCACCCGCCATGGCTGCAGGAGGTGATGCTCCCTCTGCGTCGAAGCCACCTATGCAATATGCGCTCGAGGCTCTGTCATACTTGCAGAGCATACACGTCAGCCCACAGCGAGACGGATGGACACTAGTCAGCGAGAAGGATGTGCCCGTGTATCGAAGGATCGACGCGGAGATCTCGCCGGTCATCCCAGTGCACAAGGGAGAGAAGGTCATCGAAGGCGTTTCTGCGGAGGAAGTGGCTTCCGTCTTGACGAGCTATGATTGCCGCAAGCAATGGGACACCCGATTCGACACGGCTCACGTTTTCGAGGTATTCGGTGGCGAGCTGCATACGGAGTTCGTGGTCATGAAGGGCGGCTTCCCATTCCGCGATAGGGGTTTCTATCTGGCGTCACTTATGGCACGCGGGAGCGCATCTCCGTCGCTCTCTCGCCGCAACACTGCTACAGGCGAAACCGAGAACTCGACCGAGAGCCGCGCTGCAATTTACTGCGTGTCGGCGTCCTTCTCCCCGGAGTCTGTTGCTTCGTTCTCTCCAGCGAAGTACAACTCGTACGGATTGCCCGTTGGCCGCATTTACGTGGACGGGTGGATTCTGGAGACACTCGATCCATATGGAGCAGAGAACTACGCGATACCCTCCACCCGTTGCACGCGAGTAGTCGCAGTTGACTACTCTGGATCCATACCTGCGGCGATGAACTCGATGATCAACGGTATGCTGCCAAAGTCGATCCAAGCCGTCGAATCCTACGTCAAGAACATCTCGCCTCCGCCGTCAACTCGTTTACCCCCGGTGGGTATCGCCCTCGCGCAAACAAGTCAAGATCCTCTACGATACAAAGCTTGGAAGCTACGGCGTCGAGACCAGACCCGTCTACTGATTGCGTCTCGTTTCAAGCCGTCAGATAGACTGTACCAGAGCACTATTCTGCTCAACAGTTCGGATGCGCTGGTACGTCCGTCTTCCAGAGCCGACGAGAAGACCCCCAGACCGCGGAACCGCGCTCTTAAGGCACAAACCATCTCGGCAGCTACTGGCGCCGCCGTCGCTGACGAGCTGGAACGGCAGAGCCGCAGCAGGACAAACTCGTCCGCAACGTCGTCATCAAAGCCCGCAAGCATGTCGCCCGAGCATGGACGCTCGCGGTCCCGAGAGGCAGTGAGATCGTCCACCATTCTGACCTCGAGGGGCGAGATGCGCCACCCGACGGACCTGCTCATAGCAGAGTTGATCGTTGATTCGAAACTCTATCCAGGCGGGTATGAAGTCCGGATTGCATCACGCATCGACAAATCGAAGACGCGTATATCGCTGACTTCCCCGCTCGGCACGGCTTCGTCGTCGACATCGGCGCAGGAGCTTCCGTTCGCCTGCGCGACGTACACCCTTCCGCCGTCACCTCTACACTCGGCCGGCCTGAACACGGACCGTCCGCCGCGGCATCTGCTGCGCCTTACGTTGCCTACAGCTCAGTACTATGTGTCCACTATCCAGGATCCTCTGACGGGGGAAACTCGCAGCGCTCCACCGAAGCCACAATGGCTGTCCGACATGGAAGAAGGTCGCGTTGTCCTCGATATCGAAATCAAGCCGGTCGCTGGAGGACGCTCGAACAAGAAGGGGACAGTTACTGTCAACGGCGTCACAGTGCCGGTGTTGGGCGAGAAGGAGTCGCTTACGAGTCTCGGGCGAGATGAAATCCTGGACACCAGAGCGTCCAAGATGGACCTTCTGTCGGGGTGAGTGCCGCTTCGAGATGATTTCATTATCCACGGAACATGACCACAATATCCCGTTTCAGCTCGTCTGCGGAAGATGACCAGCTTCCGGGGGAGCTGCAGATGCCCATTGCCGTCGCGACGGACCTGCTGGACGACGCGGTGCTTGCGTCTGAGCCCGCGCCGGTGTCCGAACAGGTCGAGACAGAGAGCACGAACGCAACACCGGAAGCAAATCCGGACGCGGGTGAGAGTGTGAGCATGTCCTTCTATTTTGGTATCAGATGACGGGGACTCAGAAGTTTTCGTGCGACAGGCTCCGCAAGTGGTCGTCTCTCCCCCCGAGACGCCAGCAGCTGACTCGACGACGAGTGGGCTTCTGCGGTTCTTGAACGCCTATCCGAACCCCCTGTTGCGCTTCACCGCTCCAGGATGGCGTTCGAGCGAGCCAACGACGCCTGCGCCGCCCGAGAGTGCTGGTACCCCGGGGATGTCTACCGAGGGTAGCCAAGCCCGCGATGTCTCAGTTGTGGCGGGCACTAAGAGCGAGGCGCTTGGCCTGCTCTCGCGGCAGGCGGTAAGGCGGACGTATCCACTATCGACGGTGGTTATCGTGGCCCTTATCGCCTTCCTGGTGGGCTCGTTCCTGCGGTCGCTGCTGTCGCCTGCCGACTTTATCTACGTGGTGTCTGACCGCAAGGATCTTGAGGATATGAACGCGGGGTGGCGGGAGTTGAAGCGCCTGTTCGAAGTGAAGTACCTCCTGGGTGGCTGGGACTTCCAGGTTGCTGTCGTGCGCCGCCACTAGGCGGGTGTGCTGCTGGGGGATGTAGTGTAGTGCTAGTCTAATTGTAGCGTATATAATATCTGTTGTGTGTTGTCGCTGGTGGCGGGTGGCTGGACGCGCGTTGCCGGGAATTGAGTTTGGGTTCCGCCCGATTCCCATCGGGGCCATCCTCGCGCTTCTGGGCAGCACTGCGCCAGGCTTCGACTCTCCCCGTCAGCTTCTCAGGCGATACCATCTGCTGTCCTCGCCGTCGCCCACGTCGTCCACGGCCCACCACCGCACCCTGTACATAACCCCCGCCCTCTCCGCCAGCCCCCACCCCATCGCCCCCGGCGCATCATCGCCTCTCGTCTCACCAGGTCCTCTGCCTCGCCATCGCCCCGCCCGTGTATTTTCATCTACGCCGTCCTTGTCCAGTATTCTGTGTTATATTGCTTCCGCGTGGGTGTCCTGCCAGCCCGATAGGGCGCCCCAGATGGCTGATCTTTGTCGCATTTGCAGAACCAACCTTGTCTACACCCTCGGGACATAACCTCGGGACGGAATGGCCAATGCAGGCCACAGTCCAACGGCGGCGTCAGCTATAGATGACAGTTGGGAGGGTGACCGAATGTGCGTATGGTCATTGATATGAAGCCTGATTTGCCAGCTGACGGATGTGTGGCGGCCTACAGGTTCAACATATATATTCATGATTATTGTGTCAAGCACGGCTACATCGACACCGCGCAAGCGTTGATGCGAGAAGCGGGCATCCAGGATGCAGCAACACCCCCCATTAATGCCAAACAAGGCCTGTTGTTCGAGTGAGTGCGCATTCAGGGTCGTTTGGACAATCTTGGACGTCGCAATCAGGTGGTGGAATGTCTTCTGGGTCCTATTCACCGCGAAGAGCCAAATATCAAATCACAATCAAGGCTCCGAGGACGCTCTCATTTATTTGCAGGTACGTGGTGTTACCTTCGAGTTGTCTCTACGGCGATGCATGACGTCTGGCACAGCACCAATCAACGAGGACACAGCAGCCAACCCGGCTACCAGCACAACCTCCTCCGAATCGATACCCCAATGGTGTGGCGCGCTCAGGGGCTCACATGAACGGCACTATGCCCAATGGTGTCGGTGCCAATGGTGTCGCCAGTGGGGCGCCTCCTACTATGCCCAATGGCACGGCTGGGCCGCCCTTCGCAAACGCGCAAGCAAATGGAATTCCTGGTACTGCTGCTGGGGCAAACGGTGTACCGACGTCGCAGCCGCCGAATGTGCAAATGATGCCTGGGGGACAAAGAATGGTGCGTGACCAGCGGGTAACAATTACATTCGGCTTCTCGGCGTACCAACCAAATAATCTATACAGAACCCTGGTGCACCCGGGCAGCAGCCCAATCCTGCTCCTGGTATGCCAGGCGGGCAGCAGTCTTTGACTCAGATGGGCCGCAGTATGCTACCTCCTAACGGGCCGCCGGGGATCGGCCCATCCCACACTCCTCAGCCTGGCTCACAGCAACTAGGCCGGTCACCAAGTCAGCCTGCTTCTCCTGCGCCGAACGGCGTCATGCCCTCCCCGAGTCCATCGATGTCGGCGAGGCAGCCTCCGGGCATGCAGTACGGTCCGCAAATGCAGGACAACCCGTTGAATGACTTCCTGCGCATGCCTCCGGATGCCCAGCAGAGGTTGAAGCAAGAGGCTAAGATAGGTGACAAGGACTTGCCGTCGTTGACTCCTGAGGAGAAGGTTCGTTGGTATGCTCGGTGGAGCGAGAGTAGTACTCAAGCATCGTATAGCAACGCCTGAGTAACTTGGTGAGGCAGAAGAGGAATATGATCCCTAAGCCGCCTGGTGCCCCTCCAACAAACGCCACTGCAGGTCCGTCCAACCCGCACATGCAACCACCTCATCAGCGTCCGGGACAGCAACCGTCTGCGCCGCAGATGTCGGGGCAGCCGCCTCTCAATCAGCGTGGCAACAAGCGTAACAGCACTTCGCCCGGCCAAGAGGTATGTTTAGTCACATCGACGTCTACGTTGACTAACTCTTCATTCTCTCAAAGGCGGAGCAGTTGCCCAAGAATGAGTCCTCGCCACCTGATCGGAAGCGACCTCGTCGAACCCCAGCTCCTGAGCAGCAACAGCAGCACACACCGCAACAGCAGCACGCCCCGCAGCAGCAGCACGCCCCGCAACAGCAGCACGCCCCGCAACAGCACAACCCGCAACAGCAGCCCCAGCAACCCCCGATGCAGCCCGGCGGGGCACCGTTCCAGCACCCACTTCAGCAGGGAGCCCCTGGCGGCCCTCAGATGCCTAACGGTTTGCGAGCCCCGATGATGTCTGCGTTCCCCGGTCAACAAGCGATGCACCAGATGGGTCAAGCCCCAGGCATGCAGATGCCGATGGGCGCGAACATGGGTGGCCCGCACATGGTCAACGTGATGAGTCCGGGCATGATGAACCACCCTCCACCGAACGGCATGCCCATGAACCAGTTGAGCCAACAGGTGCGTGTCTTGTGCCGTCCGTCGGCGGCGGGCGGGAGCTGAAAAGCCTGACAGATGTCACAGATGCAACGGGAGCAAATATACAGAGCGCAGATGCAGCAGCTCCACAAGAACGGTCTGCCCCCCCAAGGCCCTATGGGCAATATCCTCCCGCAGGGCGGGGTGGGCTCGCCGTCGAACCCGGACGGCCAGTTTGCAGGCGGGCCTCCGGGGCCTGGAGGCCAGAACAGGATGGGTCAGGGCAAGGGCATGCCGGGGATGATGCCCCCGCCGTCGCCGGGCATGAACGCAGCGAAGATCATGGGAGGACAGAACAAGGACCCCAATAGCGGCGAATCGTCGGCCCCGAACGCATCCCCGCAAAACGCCGCAGCTGGTGTCCCTCAGGGCCCCCCAGGCGCCTCCACCGCCCCGCCCACGCCGAGCGCAGGCGGTATGACCGCGCCCTCGCCGCAGGGTATGCTCAGTAACAACGGTACGCCAGCCATGGCGCCGAGCCACCCGCCCGTGCAGCCACCGATGTCGCTGAGTTCAGACCAGTCCATCATCTCACCCGACTTCCTGCAGTCCGTCGCGTCCTTGGACTCCTTCCCCGACTCGCTCTTCGGCGGGCGTGATCAGGGTCTGGCCATGGGCATGGACTTTGAGCGCGACTTCGACGAGTGGTTCAACCCTGATATCAACACTGGTGGGCTCAGCTTTTAGTCGTGACTCTTCTGTGCGCGCATTTGACCGGACCCCCCTTGTTGCTTGGCTAGGTATGTGAAGGATATGATGTGTCGTCGGACTCGATCTTGGTGTCATCGCTGCTGCTGTTGCCGCTGCTCCTCTGTTTTGCGCTCGCCCGTACCCCGCCTGTCCCCGCCCCTCCCGCACCGTTGCCCGTTGTTTCTCTCTCCATTCACATCTACTCGGATGTTGTTGTATTTATCACAAAAGCTGCTTCTGCACGCTGCACACACCTCCATCCCGGGCGCACGTTGCTGCGTCGCCCGCGCCGTGCACCGCCTTGCCTAACCCTACATAGCCATTCTGTGTTGTTTTTTCTGCTGTCGCCTTCGTCACCAGTTACAGTTGCCGTGCCGCTTGTCTCGTTATCTTAGTGACATCCTCGTCTTGGGCTCTCTCTCTCTCTTCTCCCCTCTATGTCATCATCGTGTATTTGTGGTGCTCACTCTGTTATTAGTTTGCCTGGAAATCCATCACTGTCCATCTCTGGATCTATGTCCATGTGCGAAAAGCTCTGCGACGGCTGGTAGATACGCTCCGCACTGGTACGTATCACTTGCGAAAGAAGGGCGTTGTCGCATGTGGGCTCTCGCAATCATACAACCACATTCATGAAGATCGCGTTCAGCATCGTATGTTCACGCGTGCGATTCCAAATGAATGTATACAGTACTAGAGCAGTGTAGGTAGGATTATACATGCATATCCTGTCGACCGATTGGAAGGAACTAGAGAATCATAATATGTGATACGTAGGGGGAGAGTACTGTTGAAACCAGTCCGACACGCGTACAGTATGCACGACTTCGAAGACGTCGCGATAGAGAAAGATATACACATTGCTTTCAGCGTCCGGACGGCATGAGCTAGTCAGACGAATGCTTATGCTCGTGAAGATTGAAGATCCCTCTCAGATCATTCCATATCACCTTCTGCGCATCGCGGTGCGTGTTGCGTAGATGGTCGCCACAACTGTCGCACATACCGAGCGTCTTAGCCTTCTCCTCGATCCAGGGGCCTATGTTCGTCAGGGCATCACAGGCCGAGAGGATGTCAGACTCGAAGGCGTCGAGCATGATTGCAAGGAGCACCGCCTTGCATTCATCAAGCGTAGTGCAATCCTCGGAGAGGTTGCCCGGGGACAGGGCCAGGCACGTGGTAGCAGCACCGTTAGCCTTCATCAGTTCTTCCTTCCCGTCGATGCACCGGCGTAAGTCATCAGGGGAGAGTTTCTCGCGTTCGCCGTTCGACCTTTTTACGCCATGTACAAGGAGGTCGCCGTCTAGCAGGCAGCACAGATAGAAAGCGAGAGGTAACATTTCAAGCAGCTCTGGCGTGCGGAGACGGCGGGCGACGTTAATCAGAAAGATTGAGCCGGCATGGTGGGCGGCCTCGAATGGGTCCAACGTGTATTGCTCCGTTGAGTGAAAACGGTCGAAGGTCGTCGGGTAATCCTCGGCCAGGCGATAGACCGCCTCCTCGTAGAAACTCTCAATGTTGTACTTGTGCGCGAGGGCGAGGATGCCGGCCGCTACCTCTGCGATTTGTTGTGACTTCCCCGCACCATTGAAAAACCTACATTGTCGCGTTGCATTGAGTCAGTATCAGGTGAGGTATCGCTCGAGCTTGAGGACGTACGATCGGTCGTACATGGCACTGAGAAGGAACTCCAGATGGAGGGGGTCATCGGGGAGGTGCACGACGGCGCAGCCGTCAATGAGCAGCTCGCACTGCGGTTGGGGTATCGTGAAGAGGTCACGGAAGACGGGTGAATACTGCGACAGGATGCCCTTATGGACGCGGAATGCTTGATTGCCTGCGACCAGGATGACGTTGCCGTCCGAATACCATATGGCTCTTGAGGGCGTTAAGCCATGAAGCAGACCCATCTGTGAAGCGCGTGTCGTTTCCACTGCCCGGCCACATGAGATCAGCGATTTCCGCTCCTGACGATGGGAACTCACCGAATGGTGATGTTACGTCCACACGGGTATGAGAACGCCTCTCGATAGAGAACGTGGTCAAACTCGAGGTGGGCAACGTACGGTGCACGGCACTGTAGGGAGGTCGGAGACACACCCGTCCCTTATATACCCGCCGCCGACCTTCCTCCTTTCTCCCACAAATGGCAAAAAGTCGACGACGTACCGGTCGGTGCTGAAAGGAGCGGTAACTTAGCAACAGGCATGCTCGTGTGTATTACACGTGTCGACACATATGGAATTCCTGCTTGCATTATCTTCTTCAGCGCCACTGAGTAAACATGCCCTGGTATATGCACTCAGGCACGTCGCATTCAGTGCAACAGAACATGGTATAGGCAAGTGACCCAGTACAATGAGATGCCGCCGCCCATCTAACGAAATGTAAAAGTCTGCGATCTTCAGCCAGAGGATATCATTCCGAACCAAAACCTCACTCACTTTGATATATACGCCATTACGCTATGTCAAGACGGAGTATGGAGGGCAGATTGGTCCAGATTTTCTCTCGTGCTTTCTTATGCTTGTCAAGTAAATGCGCTACACATGAATCACAGAGTCGCCCATTGTAATTCCTTTGCTTCAACCATTGGGTCACATCTCGCAGCGGATCCGAGTTCGCGAAGAAATCCTCTTTCAACCCGTCCCCAACTACCAGAGACATGGACGTGTAACACGCCCCGCGGCTCCTACATGCAGAACCTAGATTGCCCTCACCGGCGAGAAAACAGCGAGTGGCGGACGAATTTGCGGCAATGAGGGCTACTGTGCCCTCGACGCAGATTGTCATGTCACGAGGCTGCAGCCGTTCCATCGTGCCATCCGTCCGAGGTGACCCATCGAGTAATTCGACCACGTCTAGTTGCGCACCTAGATAGAAGAGGAAGGGCAGCATGGCAGTCAACTCGGGTGTTTGACTGGACCTTGCGACGTTGGTGAGTCGTATCAGGCATGCAGGGCCTCCGCCCTTTGGCCGCGCCAGAACCGTATGCCGAAAGCGTGACCCGGGCTCGAATTGCTGAAACTTGGTAGGAAATATGTCTTGCAACCACGAGATGGTTTCGCAGTACAATCTGTCCATGCCATATTTGTTGGCCAGGAAAACGACACCTGTGGCAACGTCCAATTCCTGGTCATATGTTGAGTATTCGGACCGCCACGTGTCGTCACCAAATCTGTGAGACAGTCAGGACTCGGACGCGTTTCGCCAATGTGTGAGTATTAGTACAACACTCACCGCCGGTTGTATATCATTGAGAGGAGGTTACGAAGGTCAGTTGCCTCGTCAGGCAGCGTGACCACCGGACAGCCATGTTCTTCATCAGGCTGGAGAGAGGCGAACGTTGTCACGTAGGACTGTCGATTGGCGCGAAAGGATGGAGCGATGAACTCGAAAACCATGCTCTTCGGCGATCAAGATTATACTCCCATCGTCGAACCACAACGTCTCGTCACGACGATACGTACTGGAGCCGTCCTCGTCGAGAGGCGCGGACATGGCCGAGGGCGAAGTAGGTAGTTATACTGGCGAAGACGAGCTCAAGAAGGCAACTTCTAGATCTAGAGGAGGGCGCGTACGACTATGAAGCAGCGTGGTCAAGACCAAGAGGCCATCATTTCATCATACAATGCCACTGCCAGCCTGAGTGCGTGAAGTTACGTTGGCGCCCGATGCCACGGTACACGTCGGTTCATAGCAGGCATAAATGCCACTGGCACGACCTACTTACGAGCGGCCGACATGATTCGGGTTGAATGTTCACGACTGTGTCGTATAGTAGTGGCGAATACATGGTAATGTAGTAAGTTCCGCTTGCTAAGGAGTACGCAAATCAAACGAGCCTCTAATCCGGCGTCGGGGACTCGACTCAGAGACCGGTCACGGTCATACTCTAGCTGCTACGTGGAACACTTGCGGGCTATGCGGCATGCGCAATAAGGAAAACACACTGAACATTTGCGGTAAACGAATGCAACCTTCAGCACCATGGCACTGTGATACTGACTTAACACACTCACTATCCGCATGTTCGAGCCGCACTGAGGCTATGGGGCGAGATGGAATATGGTCGCCAACTCCTCCCAAACAGCTTTGCGAGCTTCCGAATGATTCATCAACAGCTGCTCCACGCAGACACCGCATAGATGCCATCGTGTATTCCCTTCCTTGACCCACTCTGTCATATCACGCAGCAGATCTGCATGCGCGAAGACACCTTCCTCCATTCCGTCGCAGACCATCTTCACCAAGGAGGTGAAGCAAGCGTTTTGACTCGTGCAGCGGCGGGACAGGTTCTTGAGCATAGGACGGAAGCAGAGCATCGCAGATGTGTTGGCCGCCACAAGGGATGCCCTGCCCTCGATGCAGGTCCTCAGATCGTCAGAGTGTAGCCGCGCTTGTGAGCCGTCTCCGCGGAGCACGCCATTGAGCAACACATCATCTCTGAGCTGTGTGCCGAGATAGAATAGCACTGGGATCATGTCTTTGAGCTCAGGGGCCGGAATGGCTCTTGCAACGCCGATGAGACGTATCAGAGCAAATTGGACTTCGCTCCGAGAATGCTTGGATGGGTATACATGTGCGAGTCGATGAAAGCTGTAGAAACTGGTTGGGTACTCTTGTTGCAACCGCCAGAAGGCCTCCTGGAAGAGATTGTTCATGCCGTATTTATGTGCCAGACATATGATACCCGTGGATATCTCGATGCGCTCATGATATGACATCTGGTCCAGCGATGACCCTCTGTAGAAGCTACGGGGCATCGGGTCTTGATTCAGCCGTCTAGTGCTGTGGTAGATTGGATGTAGCGTACTCACTCGCGATCGTATATTACACCGAGAAGGCTTTGGAGATAACCCGCGTCGTCCGAGAGTGTGACGATCGGACATCCATGCTCGGTGGGCATATCGGCAGGCGGAGGGAAAGAAAACATGTCGCGGAAGACAGATGACTCGCGCGAGAGCAGGGAGCGATGAACCCGAAATTCGCGATCCTGGGCTATCAGGATAACGCTGCCATCTTCAAACCGGAGGGTTTCAGCGCGCGTGCGTCGCTGGGGACTATTTGCCATGCCATCAACGCTGGTCATCGCGACGTTGTGTCTAGTGGTATTGCAGAGGTCGACAGAAAGCGAGACGATTGACTCGGACTGACTGACTGACTGAGCTACGATGCTTCTGAGGGTCGCGGTGTCCAGTATAGTTAACAGTGGTGATGCAAGTCAGTTACTAGATGAGGCTGTGACCATGAATGATTCGATCCATACATGAAAGTGAAAAGTCGGTCTCAAAACTTTAAACGACCACCCCACGATCGACTCGAGTGCTGAGCGCCCGAGATCCAGGATCCCGATCCCAATCGGCCGCTGCCACTGGCTGGTCGCGGCTCGCCTCCTCTCCGGGTCCCGGCCAACTCGCCTTTGTCTGCATGTACAAGAAGATCGGTAAGTTGTGGAACCTCCGTAGAGGGACTGTCTGAATCTTTTCCAGTCGATGCTTGCCGTTCACACATACTCGGAGTCAGCCAAAGGCCTGCAACAACCTCAGACGTTGGCAGACGCCGTACGGTATATACTATAGATCGATCAACTGCTGGCAGGGGCTACTGTACAGGGTGAGCCGCTAGTCAGTTGGCAAGACATTGGCGACATTGTCCCTCTGAACGCCCTCGTAGGAAAAAATCCTCGCATGTTCGTCAGTAGCTTGTTGACCGAAGCGCGCATGCAGGCGGAACGTGAGCCAGTTTCTGTTGAACTCTAAACTAGATTCGTAAGCCCTACCTGCAACTACATATACAAATTCACTTCGTCTGAGGGCTTGTTCTCTTCGATCATCTCGCGAGGCAATGGAGCATCGTGCACCCCGCTCTGGTCAATTCCACCACTACCTTCCGCGCTTTGTCGTGCGTCGATGGCTACAGGATGTCAAGAAAGTGGCCATCGTAGGACGAAAGTGAGCAGACGCAAATTACGTGTTGACTGTCTGATAGACAATGATCGCATACAGGCCTAACGGTGGTCGTAACAAGGGTCGCCAACGGCCTCGAGAGTATAAACAAGAACTCATCAACTCCTACAACATACAGTCCGACGAACTCCACATGGGCACGACCGATCTCGGGAAGATCTTCGGTATCATCGACATGTACAAAGACGACGCAAACCCGAGCGACGTGTATCGCATCGAGAAAGCCTTTTCCAAACTTGAGAGCGATGCTGCGCGTATATTCTGTATCTTGGAGGCCGCGGAGAAGCGAGGTCGTTCTTCTGTGGAGCTGGTCCGCTCCGATATCAATACGCTCCGGAAGTTCCTCTTCCTCATACACTATCGCAACGGACGTCATGCACGTCAGTTCATCGAAGATCACTTCGACCCGATGACGAGGAAGATGGTAGAGCAGTACATGGTCCGATTCGGACTGGCCGACTCGCGTGCAGTATGGCTCCACAACCTCTCCCTGCTCCTCGAGGATGAACATTGGGAGGCGGCGAAGGATGAACGCCTGTTGTGGTCGACCCGTTTGGATTACAAAAGCGAAGCTTTTGACATGCAACTCGGGCTTTATCGCGCACCTCCTGACACCGAGTTTGTCCTCACTGAGAACGGACTCGGCCTTGCGGAGGGTACGACAACGCCGGAGAGTGTCATTATCAATATGATGTCCCCAGGTGCCCCATCTTCTTCCTATTTCCCCCTGACCTACACATACCCCATCACACCGAAGCTCGTAGTCATCTTGCGTTCGACTTTGATGACATATGAGGCAGCTATGATACGACAAGGCATACCCGCAGAGGAAGCTAGGCGCCAACTCTACTCTGGGTTCGGGTTCACTCACACTTCGTTCTTCCATGATATACCCCGGACGTCCCCGAAGACGATCTACATCCCTCCCCTCTCGCCCAACTCGTGTGATTGGTTCAAAGATCGTAACGAGATGACTGCCGAGGACCGAAAGAAGAAGAAGGACTTCCGCGAGCGCGGCTTGCTGGACGGAAAACCCCTCCACAGCCGTTTGAAAGACAGGTTCGATTTCACGATTGACAACCTAACGGTCGACCAAGCGCAACGAGTCAACACTCTGCTACTCACACATTGTAGAGAGACTATCTCCTTCTGCACTCCGGCATGTCTCCTGCAGTCCATTGCCGCATTCGAGAAGGATAGGCACTTGACGCCGATCGAGAGAAAGGACCGATACGCATCGCTCAAGGCGAAGTTGGCGATAGTACAGGTACCGTCACCATCTACCCCCGTGCCGACGTCAGCCCCGCCTGCCTCTCCGGGTATGAGGCCGTCACCTTCCCAGCCAGCCTCGACTTCTCCTGACCGCCCTTCTGCGTCGCGGCCTCAGAATGAGGCACTACCGCTGGGCACGAGCATGCCTGGCCTCAGAGGTGCATTGAAACAGAAGGCACGCTCTATCCCTGGCAGTGCGGACAGTCCAGGCACTTCAGTTGGTGCACCCCTTTCCCCCCAGTTATCGTCTCCTCGGAGCAGGGTCATCTCGGCGAGACGACGACGGGGCCGCCGCACTCCGGAGTCTCTCGCTGGTGCACAGGCCATGCCCGCCAATGTCGTTGCGTCGCCGATGCCTTCGGTCACCTCGACGCATGGCGTGCCCAATGCCCTGTCGTCTGCTCATCGAGAACCGTCGTCGGGCACGCAGTCTGTGCAGTCAGCCAGATTGAGGACAGCTCTCCCCGGCCTGCGAGGTGCATTCAACCGAAGGCCGGCAGCGGCTGGCACGGGGCAGCCAGGCTCCAAGTGACATATCCCGCACCTCTGTCGGCGCAGGGTAACCCAAAGCGATCAGAGTGAAGGGGAACATGCCCAGCGCATAGACTCTTCATGCGAGGTCCTTCTATTTGTGGAATCCGAATGTTCGCATCTTACTTGGCTCGATTTCCTCAGTTGTGGTGTTTGCGTATTGTACTATTAGTGGATTTGCGGCACCGTCAGTAGTCAAGCCGATGTGTCCACAGTCGTGGTTACGTTCAGGGAACTGGAGACTGGATTGATTCGCCCATGTATTGAAATCTTCGTTCCAGGCTGTTCCATTCATCCGTCGCTAGCTACACCTGTAAACAAGCAAGATCATTTTACAACGCGCAATGTGGTTGACCGATATCCACCATAACATCCTCCGGTATCGAAGGTCCAAGATCGCTGAATCTCCTACTGCACGCATCCCCAACCTACACGCGCATCCTCTTCCCGAGGTCCTCCCCCATCTGAACCTCCCACTCCTTCTTTGCCTTAGCGACGAAAGGATACGATCAGCCAACCCTCACCCGGACAGTAGATCAATAAACCACGCACGTCCTCTGCAAACTGCGCATCGTCGACGACGCGGAAGCCCGTGAGCGCGAGCGCCTTGATCGTCTTGATCGCGAGCCGGTGCGCCTCGATCGTCCCCGCGGACTTGGTGAACTGCGGCGTGTGGTTGCCGCCGTTGGGCTCGGTCGGGATGGTGAAGTTCGGGTGGAGGGAGGGGAGCGCTGTGTGGAATGATTGGGCGATCGTCAGATTATGTTGATCGGCCAGTTGGATGGAGGGGCAAGACATACCATATGTGACGTTGCCCTGTAAACGGGTTAGTGAGGGAGGATGGCTGGGTGTAGAGTGTGGTTTCTCACGAAGTCCGTCGAAGCAGCCATGCCCTCGTCAAATTTAGCCGTCACTCCATACTGGTCGATAACCTCCGCATATTGAGTGCCTACGAACGCGTTGGAACAACATTCCTTCGCCGACATCGAAGTGACTGACCTAGGACCTGGTTCTGCCTGAGCTCGTAATAGCCCACTCCGATGCTCATCGAGAGCTTACAGCCCGTCGCATGGGCGGCCCCTCTTCAGAAGAAAGCATGTCAGTTACATTGATGTCTCACAAATGCAGGGTGTATGAACGAACGCACTCGAAGCACGCTTTAACCCGCTCCCGGAGAACCTCCACTTCGCCCCACGTCGGCGCACGTACGATCCAGCGCATCTTCGCATAGTCCGGAACGACTGTATCGTGCCGCGGTCAACAGCTGCAACCCTGGTGTCGCGTGGATACGTACTGTTCGGCGCCCAGTCCTTCCCGCTCACGATCCCGTGCACGCGGTGCGTGGGCTTGATCTGCTGCCTGAGGACCGCCACGCTCGAGTACGCGAGGAACGCCGCGTCGAGCGCGTTCTGCGCCTCCCATGGAGCCCACGCAGCGTGAGCGCTGGCGGGAATGGTAAATCAGCTTCAAGAAGCCCACCAAGTGTCTATATGCGCACCCGTGTCCGAAGAATTCGACTTCAAGTGGCTGCGAAGCGAGAGAGGGCCCGATGGAGGCGTAGCTGTCTGGTCCGCCTCCAGGGTGGCACCTATATGATGATAGGAATGTCAGAAGGAAAGACAGGAGAGAACTGACGGGCGACTGACATGATGCACGCGTCCATGTCATCATACGCGCCAGCGTCGAGGAGACTGATCTTCCCTCCCCCGCCCTCCTCCGCTACTCTTCAGTCAGTATACCTCCGTACGACTGAGACTCCCACTACAGTACTCACCAGGCGTGCCGAGCAGGACCACCTGTCCACTCACGTCATGCTTCTCCAGGGCAGCCTTGATCGCAAGCGCGACGCCGACGCCCGCGATAGCGATGAGGTTGTGCCCACATGCATGCCCGACACCGGGGAGCGCATCCATCTCGGAGTTGACACCGATGACGCGCGGCTTCTCTGTCTGCGCGGAGGCGGAGGAGGACGTGTGCGAGAAGACGGCGCGCCAGGCGGTGGAGAGCCCGAGGTAGTGCGGGGTCACGGAGAACCCGTGTGAGGACATGTACGCGGTGAGCTTGTCGTGTGTGCGTCTGGGCGTGTCGGCCTTGTGAGCGGGGACACAATGAAGGAGGGGAGGGGCGAACGCACTTCTCTTGCCAGGCGATCTCTGGGTGGGCCAGGATGTCGAGGCTAAGCTCGCGCAGCTCGGAGTCATATTTGTCCACGGTCTCTTCGATCGTCTTTAGGACCTCGGGGCGGAAGATGTCACTCAAGCCGCCGTAGGAGGGTGGCTTCTCTGTGTCGATGTGGACATTGCGTCCGAGGGTGTAATCGCAGCACATGCATGTGTTGGCGAACTGCGTGTAGGACGGCTACCAAGAAGTTCAGCGTAAGGCAAAGCACACAATAGATGTATATATGCAATGTCGCCGCGACTCGAGCGATTCACCGAACGCTCGCAGCGCGCCTCCATGGCAAACTACTAACTCACTCACCAGCTCTTCGCTGCCCTTTTGGGCATCGGACGCGCTCTCAGGAGCAACTCTCTTGACCTCTGCTGCCGGCAGCGACGTCTGACGCATGCTATTGAACCCATCCGCAAGCCCGACCTGCACGCCGGGGGTACTTTTGCGCCTGCGGTGGAATGAGAGCAAACGGGTGAAGCATCCGACTTGAGTCTGTTCGTCCGACATTGTGTCCAGCCAGAACGGTCAGTAGGGCAGTGAGGGAGGGTCGTTCGCCCGTCGGTCTGCGAGGCTGGGAGAGCAGCGAGTTGAACGTTGAACGCGGGAGCCCGGTGAGCACGCTGACTGGTGCGGTCCCTCTGCCTCCGTGGAAGCCGGAGAATTGATGTAATCTCTCAAGCGCTCGTCCTCGACGCTGTCTTCTGAAATTCACCGAGTCCTCTGTGCAACGTCGTACGCAAATCATACGCATGAAACCGCGTCAATACTGGTTCACTGCAGCTAGGAATTCTACATGCCGTCATCTTGGCACTTGCTACTTACTCTTTTGTCGAAGACGGATACTAGTGTACTTATTGCTCCTCATCTTACGACTCCTCTACAGATGAGCCTACGACAGATCCGTTGGCGGTGCGTACTCGACGTACCAAGACCCGATCGCCAGACAGCTCACGAAGGAGGGGCAATGGATGTCGTCACCGCTGGAGCGTACGTCCACTCGATCGGCGCAACGATATTTTCCCGTTTTGGTAGCTCACTTGCCTTTCTTGTTACGATCGTGCTTTCCTGTCGTCTCCTTCCATCATCACTTCTGAAAATACGGCGTGGCCTATTCGGGTACTCCACTCTTGACCGCGCTGTGTGCGCATATAAGGCGGGTCTGCGCCGTCTCTGTTGGTGATGACTGCCCCCTTCCAGCGTTGCCTCCGGAGCATCATGACTCTGACTCGACGCGGACGAACAGCCAGGGTCTGCGGTCAATCATCGTGCTGTACAATAAGGGGCACTTCCACTGATCTACGCAGGCTCTCTTGTCGGCCGCACCAGCACCTATAGTATGTTTGCTGTCGACTGGATTCAGTACGCTCCATATACGTCGCATCTTGCCAACACCGAGGGTTCTCTTGCTTGACCACTCGTCACATGTCATTGGCGTATTCATGTCGGTGTAACGCCGGCTCGGCACAAGGGTCTCAAGTTCTCAACGCGTTAGTGCTGACGAACCAGGACCCTTCTACTAGGGTTACTACAAGGTGTGGTTAGATTCAGAGGTAGAACTGCACTTATGATGATTTACATATGTAGGAATCGTGGCGACTCCGGCCAGTGCTCAGCGCTCAGGTCGCCTCCGGTCAATCGTCCTTCGGTGGGATAGGAACCGGACACATTTCTGGACGTTCCTGTACGCCAAGATCGGCTCAAGGGACGGCCGGGTTCCTTGGCCAGGCACGTATAGTCAGACTCGAATTCATGTGATGACCTCGCCACGAGTGTGAGTTCTCCGCTGTTCTCCGTGTCTCCTGCTGTCTTTGCATGCCGCGGGAGTCTACTTCTCGAAACTTTCGATCGAACGGTGCTTCTCCCGCGTTGGGTCCACATGCAAGACTCCAGCAGGACTCCTTGAATTCGGCAACATCCATCTCAGCATCCGGTCAAAGGACTCCGACACTCACAGCTCGACAACTACTCGGGCGGACTGACAGTCGGTTCGGCCTGGCCTGGCTTGCCTCCTTGTCTGTGGAACCTAAAATGACAATGCATCTGCACCACGGCAGTGATATAAGTCAACACATGACGATTGGACTCAAGCAAGGATTCGTTCGGATTCTGGCAGCCAAACCCCTGCATACGATGAGGGGCTTCTCACCGGTGCGATTGACGCTTGCCTCTGGAAGAATAACAAGCATTAATACATAGGAATATATATTCCTGTCAACGAGCAGTATCCGAGGGGACACACTGACCATACCATGGGTTGCTGGAACTCTTGCAGGTTCCCTTCGCGAATTACTGGATCTGAGCCCGAGGTTTCGCCAGGCTGACCGACGATCGTCAATTGGCCATGTCACCACAAACTTGAAAGTCTGCAAGATACAGTGTCTACTCACCATCCCGGACGGCATATACAAACCAAAACCGCGCTCTTCCCTAGTTCCAGCGCACATGCACAGGCTCGTTACGATGTCGAGCAACAATTGAAGACGACGGCTCGGAGCCGACCGGCCTCAAAATAGATCGATTGAATTGTGTGACGAAAAGTCCGAATGTGCTGCTTACGTCGCTGATCGGTGCAAGCGCGGACTCCCTTTTCCGGTCAACCATCACAGCCCGCTCGCTCCTCGCCGCAGCGGCCTCACATTTCATTCCACTGGCGACCCCAAACTTTCCACTCATTCTTTGTCTGTAACTATACGTAACATGGCGCCCGTCGAAACGGAGTACTACGACTTCGTATGTAGTGCAGTCTGAGAGGTCGTGCGGATATACGGTGCTCAAATCCTGGTCATTAGCTTGGGGTCGCTCCCGATGCAAGTGACAGCGACCTGAAGAAGGCGTATCGGAAGCAGGCGATCAAGGCACGTTGCGTTAGTGCGCCCGTCGAGGTACAGTACTAACCGTCGGGCAGTATCACCCAGACAAGAACCCGTCCCCAGATGCAGAGGAGAAGTTCAAGGACATCAGGTGCGTTAGCTACTCATACGGTTCATCTTTGAGAAAAGGAAGGAAGTTAACGGTGGCACAGCAAAGCATACCAAGTGCTCTCGGATTCCGTACGTTTGTTGTTACTGATGATACTGTGGGGTCCCTTATGTCCGCTGCCAGAACCTACGAGCGTCGTATGACAAGCTTGGGTCCAAGATGGTACGTCGCAGCTGTCTACTCCTATGACATAATCCCATTCACCCCTGTCCGTGTGTAGTTCGACAAGGAGGGTCCCGTCGGCATGGACGACGCGGCAGGCTTCTTTGCCAATGTCTTCGGCGGTGATCGATTCAACGACTACGTACGTTTCCATATCCCACGACCCTCTCAACTTCCTTACACTCTCGCAGATTGGCGAGATCTCTCTCATGAAGGAAATGACTTCCGTCGCATCCGCGATGATGACCGAAGAAGAGAAGGCCGAGCTCGAGCGCGACATGAACGGCGGTGCTACGCCGCCCGCCCCGACCCCGAGCGTCGCCGGCGCGCCCGCAGCGACGGAGCCCGAGCCCACGTCATCGCCGAAGCCCACGCCTGAGCCGACTGCTGCGCCAGCACCCGCGCAGCCGCAACCGCAAGCACCCAGCCAGCCCCATCTCAGCCCCACCGCGAATGGTGCCCCCTCACCCTCGCCTGCGCCCTCCGCTTCGTCCGCCCCGCCTGCGGGCGCGTCCTCTTCGACCTCGCTCGCCTCGCCGGCCTTAGGCACCGTGCGCACGCCGTCCGAGAAAGAGAAGGACAGGGACACGCACGCGAAAAAGCGGCAGAAGATGTCGCCGGAGCAGAAGAAGAAGCTGCAGGAGCTCGACGACGAGCGGCGGAAGAACATGGAGGAGCGTGTGCGCGTGCTGACGGACAAGCTGAAGGATCGCCTGCGCCCGTTCGTAGAGGCGAAGAAGCCGGGCGACAAGGACGACTCCGAGACGCAGGCGTTCGAGGTGAGGATGCGGAGGGAGGCGGAGGATCTGAAGCTAGAGAGTTTCGGGGTGGAGGTGAGTCCTCTGGGTGGTGTGGATTGTGGATGGTGCTGATGTCCATCCGCGCCAGCTCCTACATACGATCGGCAACGTTTACATCATGAAGGCGACGTCATTCCTCAAGTCGAAGAAGTTCCTTGGGATGTGCGTGTAGTACACATTGCTGATGAGGTTATCACTGAGCGTCTGTTTGCAGCCCCGGATTCTTCTCGCGGCTAAAGGAAAAGGGCGCCATGGCCAAGGATGCATGGGGAGTGATTGGGAGCGCGTAAGCGTGTTTCGTTGTGGTATGGACGGCACCGTTGACCAGAACCAACAGCATCGGCGTGCAACAGGTCATGCAGGAGATGGAAAAGCTCCAAGCGAAGGGCGAGATTCCTGAGGACGAGCTCCGCGCACTCGAGGAAGACGTAACCGGCAAGGTACTGGACCATCGCTGACACAACATGCTCGCTGGCTGACGCGTGCTCTCCAGATCATGCTGGCCTCATGGCGGGGGACGCGGTTCGAGGTTGTCCAGGTGCTGCGCGAGGTCGTCGACAACCTTCTGAAGGACCCGGAAGCCTCTGATCAAGTGCTCTACAACCGAGCTCGGGTGCGTACACAGTGCAATTGAGGATGTGGCGCTGCTAACGCGCTGGGGCTAGGGTCTCCTGCTCATTGGCGCGATCTTCAAGTCAGCACAGCCGGATGAGTCGGATGCGGAGCGGCGCGAGCTCGAGCGGTGCGTGTCGTACATCATCACAGCCCCCATTCGCTCGTCGCTGATAGTGATTGTCAGGATGGTCGCGGAGGCTGCGGCCGGCAAGTCGAAGCACCAACATCTGCGACAAGCGCGGGCGAAGCAGCGACAGCAGCCGCAGACCCACTCACATCCGCACGTCCACGAGTCACCGACCACGCCGTCCACTGCGGCGAAGGACGAGAAGAAGGGACATGCGTCGCATCAGTCGACCGCTGTTTGAGGCGAAGGGCTTTACGCTGTTCATATTTTTGGTTTAGTTGGTTGACCGCGCGGTAATGAGAGGACGCGGGTGCGGGCAGATTTGCGGTGGGTGACGCTAACACAGGGCCATACTCTACATGGTGGTGTATATGCTTTGCAGGGACATGCTTGTCGGTAACCGTAATGATCTCTCTAGTGCTGATGCTTCCTTATGGATAGATTGTCTTGCTATACGCTTTCGCGATACTGGTGGATGTCCACTAGACTGACAATGATACCCCTATCACTCCAATCGTGTCCTTTGATACTCGAGTATCGATCTTGACCGGTTTGCCGTATGTGCGTGTGGGTTCTTCTCAAAAGCCGTTCTGCGGCATAGACCAACTGGCAGCCTGTACGACAGTTCAACAAAGTGACATCGCGGGCAAACGAGCTTTCTGAAAACTCGGAAACCCTACAAAGATTGGGAACCTCTAAGAATGTTCGGAAGCATGTTCGCAGCATGTTCGACGAGACACATTTTCGTAGGGGTTTCGAAGCCATTTCTGAGTCCATCAAATTCCATTAAATGTTCCCCGCGGGGTTCACTGTTCGCGGCATGTACATATTGCCACTGGCCAGGCCTGCCAGGGTTTGCCCCGGTGTCTTGAGGATCGACACTCAAATACCTGAACGAGGGGTGGATGGAGCGAGCACGTGTTTGCATAGCCTATTGGTGGTGGCGATCGCGTGATGAGTTGTCTCGTTGGCGGCTGCGCCTTCTCGTCATTGGCCGTGCCGTTCGAGCATTCTCCCAGCATCCTCCCTTCTTATTTCCTCCTCATCTCCCTCTCACCACCCTTCTCCCCCCGCATACCTGTTTCCAGCGACGACCATCCTCCCGCCGCTATGAGCGATGTGCTCTCCCCGCCTTCACGCCGTCGGCACGGAAGGTCATCTTCAACAGCAGTAATTGACATACGCAGCATCCAACGATCGCAGTCGTACCCGCGCCCGAGCAGCAGCGGAGGGCTGCCAATATACCCCCCGGAGCTGACCGCGGAATCACCAGGCGCGAGCAGCTCTCGCATGGCAGCCTCGAGAATCGTCAGCACGATGAGGAGACCATTCAGCGCGAGGCAGAAGCGGGACCAGAGCCCCATGGTGTGTCGTGCGACATCTACGTATGCTCGTTCTCATGCAGATTGATATAGGACTCGGGCATGTACTCAACCCCTGAGGAGAGTAGAGCCCCTATACCCTCGCCGTACAGCGTGCGCGACGCACCACGTCCCACCATCCAGCAGATCGCTATGGGCCTTCACGTATCCCGCACTCCCCACCTCCGCTCGCCACGCGCAACCTCTCCACCGGGCAGCCCGCGTGGAAGATCTGGATCACAGCCAGTATCGAGTTACAAGCGTGTCGGCATGAATATACCCTCACGCAGCACACCCATCATCCTCCCACCACCGCCCCCACGCTCCTCCCTCAAAAAGCCAGGCTCGCCTACAAAATCTGCGACCGCTTCTCTGACACCCTCTACCTCGGACCTATCGCTGACGGGCTCTACGCTCACGATGAGCGCGCCGCCGACGCCTTCCGCGCGCTCACACCGCGCTGCGTCCGTGTCCATATTCCCTGCGCGCCTGCAGATGAGCATGTCGCGGATCTTGCGCGTGCCGAGTCGGAAGGAGTCGGCAGCATCTACCCCTCTGCGCGCGGACGACGATTCGATGTCAAGCGTATCGAGCGAGTCGCCTCGGAAGATGGTGCGCTTCTCGAGCTCGCCTGTCGTTCCACGAGTGGAAACGGACGTGACATTTTGATGGCGTGCTGGCATGTTCGAATCCAATCTATCACTGGTGTTTAATGTGCGTATGCTGTAGCGTTTGTCGACGGTGCTCCGTGTTGTTGTCCTCCTCATTCGCATGTGTGGCATATGGTCTTGCAAGTGGCATGTGTTCATTTTGGTGCATTGCTAGCGCTGTATTTGGCATCCCGTAGCAGTAGAGTAGTTAGAAGGTCCTCCATCTGCATTGCATATCTCAGTGTTTGTATCTTTACCCATTCATCATCGGCAATCACACGGTACTATTTGCGTTCTGTCCTTCCTCATGCAATGCCCGTGTCGTACGTTGCTACGTCCTGCTCTGGCAAGGAGTTCGAGGTGAGTGCATCGCATTGACGACGCTGTGCTGATCTTGTTTTGCGTCAGGTTATTACTGGTCATCATGATACGTCTAGATAAGTGCTGACGACCGAAACACGTCAACGCGGACGTGAAAGCGCTCATCGAAGCTGTATACAGGCTCACGACAGAGTGCATACGACTGCACAGGCCTAGGTTCGAGTGGCGTCCCGGGAACGCTGAAGAAGTCAGGGTCCGCGCACGTACATATGGTACGTTACCGATGTCATGGCTGTCGACGGACGACGCCGGGGCGTGCTTCTCTGAGAGTCCCGAAGCTGCAATTGGGGGCGGGGGAGCGCTAGTGTCAATCGAGCCTCTTCGTCTTCCGCTATGCCAATTGCTACGTGCGTTCAACTCTTCGTGACGTGATTTGATAGGTGCAGGATCAAATGCTTATTGAAGCATATTATTCGCGTTGTTAGCAACAGCGCGGGGAGGTGGTTTGAATGTTGGTCCGGTCGTGTGGCCATGCCGGTGCGTTCGACTGTCTAAAGCCCGTCAGACTCTAGCACTGAATGTCGCTCACCTTTATTCAGCAGGCGGACGGGCGATTGGACAACCCATGAGTGTGATTGGATCGCAGGGGGGCACCTATCTGCCACAAGTCCTCGAAGTTAATCAGGTAAGTCAATGATCCCTCTCCCCGAACAAAAACAAAAAGTCGCCACTTCTGGCTCCTGGGTTTCGTGGACCAGTTTTCAGTGGTTGAATCCTCTGCATGTTCAACACGCCGATCCATAGAGCCGGAGGATGACAGACAATCATGTCCGCGTTGGTTAGGCTCTGCGCGAGTTCAAAACTTGTGTTATCCTCTTGCGCCGTTTCAAGTCGCGTGGTATGTGTAGAATTCCTCGGAGAGGTATGTTTCCCACCCTTGATAACAGAAGACCCATAGTTACCTCAGCATTGACTGCACAGCCAGCGGGCGGCGTTGCACAGGAAACAGACGAATCCCAGAGCCTCTAGTGCGACCAGATGTTCATGGAAGTGCACCCTCCGTCAAAATGATGGTTTGAGAATGATATGAAAAGCTAGGTAGCACTGATGTGGTGATATCTCTGCTGCGGATAGGAAAAAGCGGCTAAGGCCGGCCTCCGCGGGCTGTCCGAACAGTGGTCTAGGATTCCGTGCCGTGGAGTCGGAAGGTATGTTGTCCTTTCTGGCCCGTTGCTATGTGTGGGGACTGAGGATCACCATCCCTTTGATGTGGGGTACAGATTTGTGCGACCCGTGGGCCAGGGCGACAGCGCCAGTGAGCAATGCGAGGCCGTCCCGCATCGGCTCGTATCATCCCCGAGCCGCTAGCAAGGTGCCCAGAACTTGGAGCACAACGCGCCGAACAGTTCCCGCGTGTCAGCGCGGGTCGCAGATTGGCATATGGGTGCAATCGTGCGTGTGGTGAGTGATACTAGACCCCCTTGGCAATAGTGTCGGTGCGATTGAAGACATACTCTTAGGTTTTCCTTCCCTAGGGCGACTTGGACGTCATACCGAGCAACTTTGACTGGGATAAGTACGTTGCTGAGGCGCTCTCGCTTCTTGGCCGCCCGGTATCTGCTCTCTGCCGACCAGATTCTCGATCCGATTTCAATCTACGGAAGGCTCGTATTCTTCTTTATCCTTCCCGCACCAATTCTGTAGGAGACAACGCCGCCTCGTCGGGACTCGGCGCCCATCTTCTCGGAGGGGTGGGATGTTCCATATGAATCACACGTACGATCTAATCGGGTCCCCTGGCTTGCCGCCGCGTTCCAACCACGGCTAAGAACCCCGACGTACACAGTATGCGCCCTTGCGATTCCGCTTCCAATCCAGCAGGCCGAGAATCATGAACAAGGTGGTATGTCCGCCCAACAAGTTGTCTGGCTGCAAACTGGCTCGGTCTGTTCCTGGACACTTACACACTCCTCTACTTAGTGCAAACTTAGTGACCCCAAAATAAGTGACCCGCGCGTAAGGGCCAGACGATCCGCGATCAATGACGGAATGATTACTAACTTAGCACCGAACACCAGTCACGGGGCTGCACTTGGCTTATGAACCTCAATCGCCAGGCCATAGTGGCAAACAAGAATCGACGCCCTGCGTCCGCTCTCTGCCATCAAACTGCTACGCCCGCAAAGAAAGCACCAAGACGTTGCTGGTCGATGGATTCCCATCGCGAATCAAATGTTTGTCGCAACACATCAGGAGAGGCTAGGTGGCTTACGGTGCGCGTGTGCTGTCACCATATTGTCAATGTCAATGATCAACGTGAATCTGCGCAGTTCGGGCATCGGTCCCAATGCGCAAGCCGACCGCCTTCGCGCGCTCAGTGAGGCTATTTTCTAATTTTCTACCTTGGAGCAGTACTTAGCGTCGCACCTTTCTCAGGCTTGCCATAGCTTGCCATCCGCGCCCTCTTACGGACGGTGGACTTCGTTGAGTTTGACCACCCGGAAAGAGTTAATACGAATACAGCTCTCAGACAGCAACAGAATTCCAAATTCTCCATGGCTCACCAATGCTCCGTTGCGTCATCGTTCGACGCCCTACTAGAGCGATCATCATAGAACTTTCCCATGCATCTGTGGCGTTAGCAGACGTCGTTCCGTCACTCGCTTGCGAAAACAGCGCTGCCACTGCCACGAGAGTTCTCATCCACTGTGATACATCCGTCGATGTCCGGCGTGCCCAAGGCGTGCCATATGTCGACCCTTGTGGTATTTCTTGCGGCTGCGGGGAACTGATATGATCACTCATAACACGCGGCTATACAGATTTGTCACTGTCAGTAGCACTACGTGTTACAGCTTGCACCCCTGGAGTATTTGCGGCGAGCGCGCACGGTCGGGGCGCGAGGGCTAAAGGGCGGCCCAACGCGCGCACGGGTCTCACAGGTACGGCCAGTGTGGGTGCCTCTTATGGACCTGAGGTTCGGTTCCGTATTGGGCAGGTAGGATGAGGTTGTGCCTGGGCTAAGGGATGTAGCGTTTGTGCCGGCGGCGTGTCTTAGCGACGAATAAGGGCTATCTTCTGATGGCCTTCGCGCTCCGCGTGCACAACCGTCTGCAGCCCTTGCGCGATTCTGGAGCGGACTTACTGCCGCCACGACGATCAGCGATATCGGAGCTAATGAACTGTCGACGCAAGATCCAAGCCTTCGTCCTTCGGAGCACTGCGGAGTTCAGCCCATCATCTGCCTCCATATAAGAGCTCGCGAATATTCGTGCGTCGCTTTTACACAGAAATCTCTCCTCCCCGCTGTACCATCTCCCCCTGTATTCATACCTGTGATCACATGTCGACGACCGAAACGGCTCCGCTCCTCGGAAAGGACGGCGTTCCCCTTAGCACCATCCCTGCTTGGAAACTATACTGGAAACTCACCCGCTTGCACCTATGGCCTGCAGGCACGATCCTCTTTTTCTGGCCCTGCAGTAAGTCCCAGCCTTGTGCCATCGTAGACCTGGCTCATCGTTGGTTCACCTGCCCAGTGTGGAGCTTGACCATGAGTGCCTACCGCCTGGATCTCCCACCGGAGACTATTGCCATCCAGGCTGTTGCGTACCTCATCGGCTGCACCATTCGTCACAACGCTGCATGCATTTGGAATGACATCTGCGACAGGGACTTCGACCGTCAAGTCGGTATGTAACTTGATCTCATGTCGCAGCTTGTATTGATGGGATCCGAAATGTTCAGAGCGCACTAAGACACGTCCCATCGCCTCCGGGGCCATCTCGGTGCCCAAGGCAGTTCTATTCCTTCTAGCGCACTGCATTGCGTTCTTCGCCATCCTTGCTCTTGCTGGCTTCCAGGCGTGAGTACTCTGTATTGTGTCTTGTGCGCACTTACCCACGGTCTTTTAGCTTTATTGTTGGGATTGTTGGCTTCTTCACCTGGGAGGCCATCTACCCGCTGTCGAAGCGCTTCACGAACTGGCCCCAAGCCTTCCTTGGTTCGTTATATTGCGGGGATATCACACGTTACGGTATCTCACACGAAGTACAGGATTCGACTGCGCATGGGGTTTCCCTGTCGTCTGGATCTCTGTGAACGGTGTTTGGGACTGGAAGCTCGTGACAGCTGTCGTCCTTGGCATCTCAGCGTACGTCTCTCCAGTGTCAGCAGCGGCGACCTACCGTTGACTTGCGCGCCCACCACAGCTGGACAATCCACTTCGACACGATATACGCGCTTCAGGACAAGGAGGACGACGTCAACGCTGGTGTCCACTCCTGCGCACTCCTGTTTGGCGACAAAGTCCGCCCAATCCTGTCTGTGTTCGCCGCCTTCTTCGTCGCGACACTGGCGTATGCCGGATACCTCAACCACCAGGGCGTCTTCTACTACGTGATCACCGTAGGCGGCACGGGTCTGCACATGCTATGGCAGCTCCTCACCCCTGATCTCGTGGCCAACGGCGGGAAAATTTGGAAGGTGGGATGTCAGCAGCCATGAGCAGAGTGAATCTACGACTTACCATTCTGTATCCGCAGTCAAATGGCCAACTGGGCTACCTCGTTGAGGCGGGCTTGCTCGCTGACTATATCTACAAGGTTACCTTGTAGGTCGTTGCTCGCTGCATTACGGCGGCCTCTGAACCCTATTTATTGGGCTACTGCGAGCGCAGATAAGTGGGATTGTGTTCTTCTGGGTTCAACCTCGTCGTCCTATCTCGCGCATACCGCCTCACTGAATATGTATAGATCGTTGTAGATGTACTCGTACTCGTACTTAAGATCGCCACTAGACTTAATGAATGGATACGGTGAGCATTGAAACATCACCCCCTGCGTCTGACTGCTACATGTTGTACGGATGCGCGCCATAGAGTGCATGCCATACTATTCAAATGCTTGTGTGGTGCGTCGTGGACCGAGCAATAGTGGAGTCACTGAAAGACTGGTCTAGCCTTGATCGCCTTCAATTGTGAACACCGGACACTTGAAAGGGGTACACCGCCGTGCACCGTGCAGCATGGAGTGGAAGTCGACGACTGCTCGACATGCCTTTGATTTCGATTGAGGTGAGGAAGCCGGTCTGACTCTATCGACACGATGTTTGATCACGCCTTTGGTGCCCCTAGAGGCTGACGACAGTGAACATCACTCACGTCGACAGCACTTGCAGGCACAGACTACAGTATGCAAAGACGATCTGAGACGTCGTCAATTGGACCTACAACGATCGACGCGATGTCATCCGGCGTAGTTGGAAGCACTATGTCTTAGATTCATCTCTTGGATGTGGTTGTGTGCCCGGGATGTCTCAGTAGGCCGCACGACAGACACCAACATGAGTCCACAACCCCGAGGTACGGATGATGTATTAACCTTGTCATCGGACGATAACCGACGTACAGACTCGTGCAGAGCGCGCACAAAAGTCGGTCGTCGTGGACCTTCATCAGCAACGAGCCGCGGCACGCGGGTGGACCAACTGGATCGAAGATTTAGACTAAGTACGTCTTCTCTCAGCGCTGAGCAATAGTGCGGTACGGGCGCCTGGACGCTGAAACAAACCGCACGGCAACCACACACCCTACTAACTTCATAAAGTACCCGTATAGCCGAGCAGCGTGTAGATTTTTGGTCTCAATTCGTCGGACCCGGCGAGGTTATGTCCGACTTCTACTTGCTACATCGGAAACTTGAAGGTCACACTGTATCTGTCCGAGCCGCGACTTGGTGGCTCACAGAATCCGAGCCTGTGCATAGAGTGATCAACTCAGCGTAGTACGACTCAAGCCGAGTACCAGCGTCTGTCGTACTATCCGAATAGTACGACAGACGCTGGTCCTCCGCTGTCGTGCAGACGGTCGTCATGTTGTTCAATATTGCTGACTGTGGTGGGACATAGTAGCAGAGTCTGCCAGGCTCTGATGATCGCACAGTTACTATATGAAACAAGTCGGGGCCTCATGCATGGAGCACTGCAAGGTATGCACGTACGTCGAAGTGATTCGTGATTGACCATGACTGGATGCCTTCCCGCAGGCTTTCCAGTGATTCTAAATGCATGCGCGGGCCTTGAATCTTATGGTTAAGGAATGTTTATCTGCAGTGCGCCTCCGTAGCTCCACTCAAAGTCCATGGATGCTACCTTGCGGAGTTCAAATGATGCCGCGCTGCCGTTGTGGCACAACGTTACCGTCGCGTAAGACACCAGCTGGCTGTGCGAATGTGTCTGTATATTTTCAAGCATATATATCTCACTGACTCGCATGTTCCATGGGCGAGGCTTGTCTGCTGTCATTGTCGAGCTAGACCGCTGCGAGACGGCTTCGTCGAGCGAATATGCTACGAGGTAGCCTCGTCGCGTGAACTCGGACATGCTAGTATGAGACGGCTTCGTCAAACGAGCACACTACACGACGGAAGTACGCTACAAGACGGTATCATCGCTCGAAGCGACTCGTCACGTAGAAACGTCATCACTCAGAGGAGGCATTACATAGAAGTGGCATCGCGCACAGGCGGCATCGGGGCGGTAAGATCCAAATCTCGTCGGAGGCTCAAACTCAACTTTACGGACGTGTTTTGTACCTAGAAGGGGGGGTCCTACCCCCCTTCTAAATGAGCTGTTTAGAAGAGAGGTGTACTGATCCGAAGCAACGGCACACACGAGATGCCGACTTGCCGCAGAGATTTACAGTGCGAATTTAGGATAGAACGCGCTGTAAACCTCTGCGGGAAGGCATCCACTCGCTGGTGTTGCACGCGAGCACGAGGTCATGTTCTTGGAAGACGACGTCGCGACCACCGAGTGCACTGTCTTGCCATGAGGTCTGGTCAGCGGCCACGGCGTCGTGGATATGCATACCCAGGCAGGTGACACTGATTTACTTCTCACCTTCAGTCGAGACAGTGAATTTTGTATGCAACGCGCGCGCAAGTACGGTCTGACAATGAGAACTTGAAAATATTTGCGACTGAGGCGGAAGAGTCCTCTCGCCAAGCCATCGGGTACATATATCCGAAAACATGATCGAGATCCGGATTCTACTCACCGCCCCGTACGAAGCGATCGAATGGTAGGCTGTAGCCAATGGCTGCGACCGCATCGAGCTACGGCTAGCGGCGACAGTGCCCAACATCCCACCCTCTGTCACCACCCATTTGGCTTTACCCACTTATGACCCAAGAACAACCCGATTGCTGCTACGGCAACTACCTGTATAATCCGGCGAGAGAGACTTGGAGACCCTTGCGTATCAGCCCCGCGGCGCCCTCGACTATACCCAGATTCCGACTCTCCGCCATCCTGACTACCACTGCCACGAATAAACCTGTCTTCCACATCAGGGATACGTCGCAGGAGCGCTCCAGGAAGGTCCAGTTCACGTTCCGAGTCCGAGTCTGTGTGAATGGTCATCGACATCTCGAGAGATGTCTCCGTCTCCAACGAGTGGTCCTCGACAGAAACGACGCTGGCGTTGTTTGCTGCGTTATATACGACAGCCACAGACTCGGTTTCTGACGAGATGTCGAAAGTGGGGAACATTGTGGCTTCTGAAGGAGGTGCGACTCTCGTTGAATTTGCGTTGACCAAGGGTTCCGACGCAGGTGCGATATTTGTCGGTACTGGTTCAGTGGTGTCCGCGCCTTGTGGCGCGACCATGACGGTGTCCGAGCATGCCAAGACCACTGTAGGCTTGCTCTTAAATGCGCCTCGCAAGCGCGGAAGGGCATTCTCGAGCTTGACTGACTGCTCCGTGACAAGCAAAAGCTCGGAGGGCACCAGCATGGCCGACTTCGTCATGGGTGCATCGCCACTGGCACTGGCATGTCCAACACGGCCCGCCGGGTCAGTGGGCAGGCAATGCTCGGAAAGCAGTTCAACAATGTCGACAGGCACGAGCTGGGTGTCATCAACAGGAAGGGGAGAGGTGGACGAGGCTTCGGGAAACGTCTCGTGGGCGGAGTCCTGTCCGACAGGGGAGATAGCGGAGGACTCGGGTACGGGTTCGCCGAGTGAATCATCCGGGATACGAGGGATTGGGACTGTGTGCGCGCGTCTGTTGAATGCACCTCGGAGACCGGGTAGGCTTTTACCCACTGGAACAATCTGCGATGCTGTTTGTGACCCGGAAGGTCCATGAATAGGACCACGGGGAAGCGAAGATTGCGCCTCTGGCGAGGTCGAAATGGACGGAGATGCGGATGTAGGCGACGACTGTACCTCCTCCGCGGGCAATTCCAATGCGACCAGCTTCGCTCTGAGGGACGCGTACCGCCTTTTCCCGAATATAGTCAGTCGCGTTTCCTTCTCGAAAGCATCGATAGCTCGGACAAGGCATGAGGGAGTGAGGAAGGATATCATCTCACAGCAATGCGTGAGCAGCAGGGCATTGACCCGTTGCGCTTGATTCTCCGTGAGGTCGTCGATGGCAAAGACAAACCTGTCTCGAACCCGGCTGCCGAGCGGCACTCCGTTCACCATGCCACGCATACGGAAATCTTCCTTCTTTTGCCAGTCTTCGGCGGTCATTTGGTCAGGGGGTTTCATCCAAGCGTACGAGTCTGCTGGGAGAGGGGGAATGTAGGTTGTCCTCGGGGCTGTCCGGGGTATGTCGTCGAAATATGAGGTATTGCTGAGCCCATCATACGCCCAGCGCCTCGCCTCTTCTGCGGGAACGCCCGCCTGTATCATAGCAGTTTCCTGCGACATTTTGGAGCAACGTAGGAAAATTACGAGCTTCGAACTGATGGGGAATGCCTGGGTCAGGGTTATAAAGGAAACGCCTGGGGCACCTGGAGACATCAAGTCGACCATGAAACTCATCGGCGTTCTAGCGCCCTCAATGAGGCCTAGACCGTTCTCAGTTAGAACAAATTCGGTGCCGGGAGGAGCACGGTAAATTCCGAGTTGCTTGTCAAGTGCGTCAAGTTTGTAGTCCATACGGGCCGTCCACAATAGACGCTCGTCCGTGACCACCTCCCAGTGCTCGTCTTCGAGGAGTAAGGCGATATTGCGGAGCCAGACTGCACGTGCATTTGCTAGCCCATGCGCGAGCCTGTACTGCTCCACCATCGCCGCTGACTCTGGGTCGAAGCGACCGTCAATGAATTGTTGGGCATGACGTCCGTTCCGGTAGTGCAGGAGGAAAAGGAATTTCCGGAGGGTATTCAGCTCAGAGCGGACCAGCTCCACGGAAGAGCGACCCCCCTTCTCAGCAACGTCCAGAGCGTGGAATATACGCGCAGCATCGCTCTCGAGCTTGGAGAAGGCCTTCTCGACACGATACACGTCCGTCAAGTCCGCGTCGTCCTTGTACATATCGACGATACCGAATGTCCTGCCGAGATCGGTCGTGCCCATGCTAAGGGTACTGGTCTTTATGTCGTACGTATTGATGAGTTCCTGTTTGTACTCCCGAGGCCGCTGGCGGCCCTTGTTCCGACCGCCTTTGTACCTGCATATAGCCGGAACTCAACGGACGGCGGGAACCCCAAGTCACGAATACGCACTTTCGGCCCGGACTAGTCACTACCTTGACCCCCTGCAGCCATCGACGCACGACAAAGCGCGGTAGGTAGTGGTGGAACTGACCAGACTGCGACGACCGTTGCTCCATGGCGGTGAGAGGTGAAGCTGAAAAACGAATCCTCTGTTGCTTCCTAGTGCATCCGAATCTAAGGTTTGGCGCACAGGTGCCAGATAGAGTTCGCCCAAGTTCCTCTTTCGTATCGATACTGAATAGGAAGGTCAGCCCATGCATCGACTCTTCTGACAAGTGTACTAGCGAAAAAGTACCATCTCTCAGACTTCTCATCGCATGCGTTCATGATACTGAAGACCGCAACGTTCGATGGTCAGTCACTGGATGCCTTCCCGCAGAGGTTTACAGCGCGTTCTATCCTAAATTCGCACTGTAAATCTCTGCGGCAAGTCGGCATCTCGTGTGTGCCGTTGCTTCGGATCAGTACACCTCTCTTCTAAACAGCTCATTTAGAAGGGGGGTAGGACCCCCCCTTCTAGGTACAAAACACGTCCGTAAAGTTGAGTTTGAGCCTCCGACGAGATTTGGATCTTACCGCCCCGATGCCGCCTGTGCGCGATGCCACTTCTATGTAATGCCTCCTCTGAGTGATGACGTTTCTACGTGACGAGTCGCTTCGAGCGATGATACCGTCTTGTAGCGTACTTCCGTCGTGTAGTGTGCTCGTTTGACGAAGCCGTCTCATACTAGCATGTCCGAGTTCACGCGACGAGGCTACCTCGTAGCATATTCGCTCGACGAAGCCGTCTCGCAGCGGTCTAGCTCGACAATGACAGCAGACAAGCCTCGCCCATGGAACATGCGAGTCAGTGAGATATATATGCTTGAAAATATACAGACACATTCGCACAGCCAGCTGGTGTCTTACGCGACGGTAACGTTGTGCCACAACGGCAGCGCGGCATCATTTGAACTCCGCAAGGTAGCATCCATGGACTTTGAGTGGAGCTACGGAGGCGCACTGCAGATACTGTAGCGAACCTAACAACCCGGATGTCACACGTCACAAGCCCGTCGCCCGCCGCGGCGGAGACGGCTGGTTCCTTGTCACATCCGACCCCGCCGCCGGCGCCAACTGGGCGCCAACGCTGTCACTGGGCGCTGGGGGCGGCGCCTGCGGCGGGCACACCCACGGGCGTGTCACGGGCGGCGGCGGGCCCGCCATCCGGGCGTGTCGTCACACGTCACAGGCAACCCCGCCGCGCCGCCGGATCGTGTAAATGTGTCACACGTCACACCCCCATCCGGGTTGTTAGGTTCGCTACAGTAAACATTCCTTAACCATAAGATTCAAGGCCCGCGCATGCATTTAGAATCACTGGAAAGCCTGCGGGAAGGCATCCAGTATTGTTGCTCCCTGGAGCGGAGGGATTGTTGCAACGTTGAGCTGTGAGACCATGCGGAGATTGCCCGCCTGTGAGCATGAGCGATGCGCGCTCGGGCGTGCTAGGGAGTACGTGCGCTCATTTCCTGTTTACGCGCAATGACCGAACTCTAACTGACATCCGTGAACCAAACACGGCAACGGTCCTTCGGGCACACGGATCCTTCGAAAGCAAGCGGCAGCCTACCGTTCCATCCCCCACCACCATGGAGCAACGGCGGACGCCTCAGCCTCGTCGCGACCAAACTCAGGCCCCATTTCATCACTACCTGCCGCGCTTTGTCTTGCGTCGATGGTTGCAAGAGGTTAGGACAGTGACCAGTCCAGACCGGGAGTGAGTACTCTTCACCGTATTCCAGCCGTCCGTCAATATTCATTTTTGTGCAGGTCCAAGGGCGGTCGCAAGAAGGGTCGCCAGGGAGAGTACAAACAAGAACTCATTGATACCTATGACATCAAGTCTGACACCCTTCACATGGGCACGACCGATCTCGGCAAGACGTTCGGTATCTCCGACATGTACAAGGACGTTACAGACTCGACCGACGCGTATCGCGTCGAAAAGGCCTTCTCTAAGCTCGAGAGCGATACCGCGCGCGTCTTCAAGGTCTTGGACGAGGCCGAGAAGCAGGGACGCTCCACGATAGAGCTCGTACGCTCTCAGCTCAATACCCTCCGGAAGTTCCTCTTCCTCATCCACTACCGCAACAGCGTACAGGCCCGCCAATTCAACAAGGACCACTTCGACCCGATGACGGCGAAGATGGTAGAGGGATACAGGATCAAACACGGCCTGGCCGGCTCGCGTGCGGTATGGCTTCGCAACCTCGCTTTGCTCCTCGAAGATGAGCACTGGGAGGTGGCAAGCGATGAACGCCTCTTGTTCACCGCACAGATGGACTACAAAGTCGAGGCTCAGGGAATGCAGCTCGGGCTCTATCGTGCACCTCCTGGTACCGAGTTCGTCATCACTGAGAACGGGCTCGGTCTACAGGAGGGCGTCTCCTCGCTCATGAGCATCATGGTCGACATGATATCGCCGGGTGCCCCCAACCCTTCGTATGTGAAGTTCACCCAGTCGTTCCCCATCACTCCCAAGCTCGTGCTCATTACGCGCTCGAGCCACTTGATGAAGGAGGAAACCATGATACGGAACGGCGTCCCCCCAGAGGAAGCTAGGCGCCAGTGTTACGCCGGACTCCTACGCACCTCGTTCTTCGACGACCTACCACGAACGCCTCCGAGCGCTACGTATATACCCCCTCTTCCCCCCGGCACATTCGACTGGACGAGACGCGGACCTGATCAATGGACCGCTGAAGATCTCAAGGAGAAGGAAGACTTCCAGGTGTGCGGCTTGCTGAACGGCGTACCCGTTCTCAGCCGTCTTAAAGACAAGTTTCTGTTCGCGATCGACGATCTCACGGAGGACCAAGCGCAACGAGTGAACACGTTGCTGCTCACCCATTGCAAAGAGACGGTCTCTTTTCTTACCCCCGCGTGCTGTGTGCGAGCCATCGACGCGTTCGTCAAGGACAGGGAGTTGACGACTGAAAAGAAGGACCGATACGCGTCGCTCAAGGCGAAGCTATTGTCCCTGAATCTTGAAGAGCAGCCTGTGCCTCCGTCGCCTTTACCGGCATCCTCATTGGCTGACGCTGCGATGACTGAGCGTTCACCTTCCCAGCAGACACCAACTCCCCACCCTTCTAGTCCGCCCCCCGCGCCTGCAATGGCCGTTCCGGTGCGGACGAGCCTTCCTGGCCTCAAGGGTGCATTCAACCGAGAAGCTCGTCCCGCTATCCCACAGGCCGTCCTCAGTGAGCCTGTACCTCCCCCCTCAGCCGTCTCTTCAGAGGAACAGAAGCATCTCGCCGAGACGGTTACCGAGAGATACGGCGCTCAATTGAAGCCGCATACACGCGAACCAGACTCGGCTTCCAATGAGACAATGGGCGGAGACGCAACCGAGGCGGTACAAACCAGTGTGGCAGCCCCAGTCGATGTCGCTCCAGAAGCGGTAGCGAATACTAGCGTCGACAACGCACCGGGCGGTGCCATCGTCGCCTCCGTCGAAGACAGTGCGCCCGACTCTGAGGAGTCGAAGACATCTACGGCGGCGCCGACAGACCCAGAACTGCGCATGCCTGGAGCATTACCGGGTAGTACTCCAACTGGAGAGGACAGAGGCGCTCATACCAGTACCAGCCAAAGTGATGGCGCGAGTGGATATGCATATTGGGCAGGGGGCGAACGTAGGTTCACTTATGGGCCGGACCGCCGCCCAGGCGGCTCTAACCCACCAGAACTTGACGTCGCTCAGGCGATCGGGCAGTTTCTTGGGGTAGTTGGGGCAGCAGCAATTGGAGGGTTCTTCGGTTACTAGTAGGTGAGGCAGTTGTGTTAGAGTGGAAGGATCATTAGTCGCAGTATGCAGAGTATTAGTAGGCGTGTATCAGGTACTGGATGTGCCTACGCATGATAGCTTTGTGTCCAGCTGCGTGGTCCGTCGCGATCCTGCCATCCATCACCAAGGACGGATCACCAAGGACGGAACATATGCAACGAGCCAGTGAATTATGTCAGAGATCTTCAAGTATCAACATAATACAGCACGCGATTAACCCCCAGAATAACAAGTGTTCAACTTTCAATAGCGATATTCGTCACGTCATTGCCTACAGCAGTAGACTCCGGCGGCGGCTGAACAGGCGGCGTAGGCCCTGAAGGCGAAGTAGCTGACGTGGGCTCCGGAGGATCCACAGCCATCGCAGTCTTATCTGGTTCAAGAACGACAGGGGACAACGTCGCGGGTGGCTCCTCTTGCTGCACCGCTTTCGAAGTGACATCCGTAACATCCTCCGTTGGCCCCGGCTTGGTGGGAGGATCTGACTTGCTGACAGGCGGCGTATCAGTGCTCGGGGCGGCGCTAGGTGACTCTGAACGCCGTCGCTTTCGTGAGGGACTCGGCGGGATGTTCTCGACGTCAGACAGCCGCTCGGCGGCGCCCACGGCATCCTTCTGTACGAGCGATGGAGGTGGGTGTTTGAACCTATGCCCGGGACAATCGTCAGTGAGTGCCGCAGAAGATAGGCGTACAACGTACTGCATGTCCTTCCATGCTCGTCCGAAGCCGAAGGTGATGGTGGCTGCAGTGCACAGCTCAAGGTCGGGATGCTGCTCGTCGAGGATGACTGGCGAATCGACGTCAACAACGATGCGATCCAAGCGACGCTTCTTGCGAGGTCGTGGCACTTCACATACGACGCTCCTCCGCTCAGCATACTCCGCGAGCCGTTGCTTGCGGTTACGCAGGCCATATGCGTGCGCTGTGCCCTTCTGTGACGAACCAAGGGGTCAAGATAACGGATTGAAGCAGAATCAGGACACTCACTGGCACCCAATTTGCTGAGACAATTTCGATCCCTGCGCCGTCATGACTATTCCCCCAGCCTGCACTCAGCAGACTACTCCCATCATCGTCGCTTCCATAAACACCAACGCCCTCCGGACCCGCGAAGCTTGGCCCATTCACGTAGGGGCTCCCAAAGCCTCCAATGAAGCGTGCTTCCTTCGTGATTCGCACATCCATGCGTAGGTCCTTCCCCTCGGCCTTCGCGCGTCGGGTTTCACTCCACGCGAGCAATCCCGCGTGCAGCGCGCACAAGAATAGGTCGGAGTCGTCCGTGTACACCCTGCGCATGCCCCGCGCCTCGTATGCATGTGGCCGGCTGTCGCGGTAGGGCACTGATGTGAACTCGGAGAGCGGCGGGATGGCTGGGAGGGCAGGTATCATCGCGCCTCCCCATATGCGGGGGCGTGCAGGTCGGTGAGTTGGGAGGAATCCGGAGGGGATCAGAATCGTCGCTCGATATTGGTACAGCGTGACGGGCTCCACAGAGCCAGATGTCGAGGACGTCGAGGAGCTTGGGAAGTCAGTGAAGGGGAAGGGCGTGCGTGGGTAGACGAAGGTGCCGAGGCGGCTTGTGGGGGCCTTCGAAGATGATTTGCGCGGTGGTGACGCGCGAGACGCAGGATACAGCATGTCGATAGGTGCGGGCATGTGAGGGTGCATCCCGGGAACATAGGGTGGTGTGTCGCGATGCTGGCCATTGGGTCCGCCAACAGCAGAGGGATGAATGTGCATTGGAGGGTGAGGGTGCAGTGGATGAGGTGGGGGAGGGTGCTGGTGGTGATGCTGGGGTTGTCCGTGCGGAAGGGGCGACACACCATGGACAGGACCGTCAATGATCTTCGACGAGCCTTGCCTAAACTGCATAGAGTTTGAATGTCGAAGATGGTCCGGGTTGGCGAACATCGGCTGCAGCTCTCGCGGGCCCGAGGCGGGCTGTATGTGGGGCAGACCTCCCGGCGGCTTGGACGACTTGCCGGAGGGCGCGACGCTATGGTGTTGGTGCCGGACATGGTGGTGATCACTCTGCGGCTGGCCCTGTCGCCTGTCCATCTCTGCCCGTTCCCTCTGCATGCGTTCGCGCTCTTGCTCCTTCATCCACTTGCGCTCCTGCTCCGATATCTGCTCTTCGCGCGCCATCATCCGCCTCTCTTCCTTCTCCCTCGCCGCCTTTTCCTTCGAAGCCGGTCTCCTACGTCCCTTCTCTGCCTCCGCGACATCCCTCGCCTCTCGTGCCCTTGCCTCCTCCTCAGCAAATCTCTCCCTATCTCTTCTCTCCCTCAACTTCGCCTCCTCCCTCGCAACCCTCTCCCTATCCATCTCCACCTCATGGATTGCCCTGCGCTCCCGTTCCCGCTCGTCTTCAGCATACGGCCCCGCCGGAGTCCGTGGTGTTGCAAAGCGCGACCATGAGTGTTGCTGCGCTTGTCCTGGAGGAAGTCCCTGCATCGGCTCTTGGATTTGCGTCCTCCGAAGCCAATCGCGCTCCCGCAACTCCCGGTCTCGCTCGCGGTCGCGCTGCGCCTCCATCTCGGCGATACCTTCTTCTCTCTCCCTTTCGCGCATGATGTCCCTCTCCTTCAAGCCACGATGCCTGTCGCGCGGAGACTCACCCATCATCCCGCCGTTCCCGTTTGTGTTGCGCATGTCCCGTTCCCTCTCCCTCTCCCTCTCGCGCGCGTTGTTGATCTCGCGCTCCCTCTCCATCGCCCGTTCGCGTTCGCGCTCCCACTCCCTCTCTCGCTCCTTCGCGCCGACTCCGACCATCGGCACCGCGCCCGGACCAGAAAGCACGTTCGACATCGGCATAGCAAGTGGCGGCGGCGCACCAGGACCAGCGACGCGTGCGTTCGCGTTCATCGACATGCCTGGTCCAGCGCCGTGCTGATGCAGGGACCCGGGACCGCCCAATCCGGAAGGCATCTGCGCCCCCCGACCACCGTCCCGGTCACGGTCACTCCTGTCGCGCATGTCACGCTCCCGCTCGTCACGGCGCTCGTTACTGGGCCCGTGTCGGTGCTCGTCCCGCTCAAACTGCGGGCGTTGCAGGCTGCCCATGATGGGCGACGTACGTGGGTAGTCAAAGGAGCCACTGGTGCGAGGGCGCGAGGGGTGGTGATGCGGTGTTGACAGTGGTGGTAGGCTTGAGCTCGGGTGCCCATACATGGGCGACGGCTCCATGCCTGAGCCCGCGAAGCCGTGCGGGGAGTGCAACGTGCGAGAGGACAGTGGAGGCATACCAGGACCTGGGGGAAGGCCATTGTTCGTCGGCGGACCGGAAGGTACACCGGGGCCGACAGGAGTCGGAAAGAGCGGGATGGCGCCATGTCCTACGGGTGGGACACCAGGCCCAGGAGGACCCGGTTTGGGGGTGGATGCACCGTGGAGAGGTGGGCGTGCTGGCGGTGGCATGTACATCGGTGATTGTGCACCCGGGGTAGATTGGGCATGCTGGTGTGAGTGGTGGGCATGTGGGCGCGGGGGCGGTGGTAGAGGGCGATGTTCGACGGTGTACGGGATAGCAGAAGGACCTAATAACACGCGAGACGAGAGACATTAGATGGACATTGTCGCGACAGCGCCATGACAAGCGGGAGATCAAAGAAGCTAGACGTCGTAGCGGAAGAAGCTCCGACGCCCGAAATTGCTTCCGAGGCGAAGGCGAGGAAATACGAACGACTCACCTGGATGCCCTCCCGCTGGCCCATGGTGGTGTAGCGCTATCTCATGCACCCGCGGCTGCTCTGGGTCTGACCGGCGTCGCATCTCGAACGGTGGTGGAGGTGCGTAGCCAGAGGACGATGACAGTGGAGGTGGCGGTGCCATCCGCTGGCCGTGTGGTTCGTAGTCGGACACATATCGGTGCGGAGGCGACGGTGGAGGTGGATGCCTCGTCGCATGGGGCGAATACGACGGGTTCGGAGCTAGAGGCTGGTGGTGGTGGTGATGAAGGTGCGGGGGCGTGGGCCTGCTGTCGCGCTCGAGGCCGCGTTCCTGGGGCGGCGAGCGGCGACGTGGGGGCGGCTGCGGCTGCTCGCGTTCCCATTCCCGTTCTCGTTGTTGTTGTTGTTGCTGCTGCTGCTGCTGCTGCCGGCGGCGGTGGTCGTGGTCGTCGGACGGTGAGTCCTGGAGGAGGGCAGCGACGTTCATGGCGGTTGGGAGGAAGCGGCTGAGAAAGAGTTGACCCCGTCAGAAAACGCGTCGTTGATCACAGGGGCAATCGAGATCGTTATCTCGCGACTACGACATGACATAAAGGTTCCCGCCTCCTGTAAGTACACCGCCGCCCAGTGCGCCCAGCCCCAGCTTGTCTCCTGAGATTGTGTGGGTTGCTGCAGCAACACTACGCAGGGTGCGGTCTCTAGCAGCCAGCCGTCGACGCCAACGAGCGGCCACGCAGCGTCCGCCTGGGGCGAGGATCCGGCGGCCAGAACACGCGGGTCGCCGGGTCTGTTGATTGAGCGCTCGCCCACGCGAGCGATCGGATCTCAGATCCGCACACTATTGGGCGCCTCACTCCCGCCACTTGCCCGCAACCGAGTCGCGGGGGAAACCGCGTGTGCCGTCCGAGACCGCACCGCCACCTGGTGCTCTACTTGAATATGTTGCAGGCTCTCTGTTCGGACCTCTATAGACACTCGGCAACGACACGAGACGAAACATACACGGACGGCTGTCAGGGTTCAGTACATATGCTTCTATGACGTATCCTTCAACTTGTCAGCGACCTGTCACTGGGTATACCACGTCAAAAATACCAGTCCGAGCTCTCTTTGCTCTACTGCTATGTCTGACATAGGTATTTTCAGTTCCTTTGCTCGATACGCAAGACCTTCACAGGGCTAGTGGTCTCTGGATGGAATCAACGCAATCCAACTTCCATATGTCTCGGAACCGAGCCGGGCATCGCTTTTCGTGTCCTCTTCTCCGTATCTTTGCAGTATCTGAACTGTGGTATGCGGACGGTCGTACTCATGATTTGCTGGTTTGACAATTGACTCATACACTCCACAGATCAGCGCGTACAGCGGCTGCGATTGACGATTCGCTTCACAACTCAGACGCTGGATCTTTGCACTCGTTCCAATGGACTTAAGATGATGCACACGGCCCTATGCACACGGGTCTATGCACACGGCTCTGGGCATCCGACGTAGTATCGTCTTGCTTGCCGTTCATCGGGTATTGCCATCTCGTCGAACCGAACAACTTCAAAGACATCGCAGCCGTGGGCCCGGCATTTCTCGGCTGCACCAGCGTGGGCGTCCCGCGACGAAAAGCCTTTCATCTGCCCGCACTGGTTTGCTATACCGAACAATCGGCGGTGCTGGCCCGTTTGCCTCAGATGGGCGGGATGACTTTGAGTAGCGCAGAAGGGCACGCCTCATTGCCCTCCAAACAATGCACCAGGTTCGCTGACTACTCCGGTCAATGACTCTATGGAGAGATCCAGCCGCCGACATCGTAGCTCGGTCTGGTTGCGTCTCGACTCCCAGCATTTCATATTCTAAGTGTCGCCTCCGCTCAGTGTGAGTACCTGTGCCGGGATATCTGCAATATCTTACATCTCCATCCGCTCACCGTATTGTGTAGGGATGGGCTATGGCTCGGGTAGATAAAGCATCAACAGACCTGCGGACGATAATACGTATTACAAACGTCTGCAATGAATTTACATGACAGTGTGATAGACCGTACCGACCGATGTAGTATTCTAGAGTCTCCCAGATCATGCACTAGACGCGGATCGGATTTTGTAGGTGTAAGTGACTGCGCCGGGCTAAGATCTCGACTGGACATCCCAGTCGGCCACCAAGCCTGTGCGTTGCTCAACAACGGCTGGGGGCACGACGGCGCTGCTGTGCGTCTCAATCGTAGATATCGTCGATACTCGTGTAATTCAGGTTACTTTCACGAATGGATAAAAATACTCTGCTTCTAGAACTCGACTGACCGAGTACCTTTGGCAGGCTAGCCCGGCCGGCCAGACACAGTGATTCCAAGGATCACGATGTCTTGCATGAGCCTGTGGCAAAGGAACGCAAGGTGCTGAGGAGGTCCTGACGCTCGCTGATCAACGTCGCAGGAGGTGAGGCTGACAGACGAGTGATCGGATCTGAGATTCACATATGTACTACTTAGTACTGTGCGCTTCAACTGATCCACTAGTACTATCCTTACAACTTGAACTGTGACCGAGTTCTCAGTGACTTCGAGGCCCCTCTCGACCTCAGGGCTAGTTACAACGAATGAAAGTATATGCGTCCCCCCTAGGGTGAGTACGTTCTGTAGTGTGCACGAGACTTGTGCATGGGACACATTCATATAAAGATCCATGCGCAATTCGTCGTCCTCAAGCCGTTCGCTACAGCTGATAGAGGCTCCAAAAGTCGTGTTACTTCACTAACACTTAGCCGAAGCACGTCACCTATGCCATACGACAAACATGGGGGGCAGGATTGGGCACGGTAACCTAAAATACCAGTGCCGGCAATCTGGCAGGCATGGAGGGCGTCGTGCCTCCGTCAATGTGGTACGTAGACGACACACGCCTTGTATAGCACCACATCAATGCAAGGGGCAGGAGTTCAGAGTCGTGTTCTTGACAAGAAGCTGCCAGCCCGCCGGTGGCCTAGATCATAGAATGTGGCTGCGTCGGTGAGGTACTGGCCATTCGATACAATACAGAGCGATAGCAACTCAGTGCGGAACTTACACGACAGGCTTCAGGCCCGGGTGAAATTGCTCTCACCTCCTGATTGTCGAGACTCCTCTCGGTGCACCTAGGACTGCACCAAATCGTATGCTTTAAGTTCCGGACACGCACGCGCATACATGGAACTTCTGACATACCATCGGTGAAATACTGCTGAGCGGAAATGCTAAGCGCATGACCGATTGTCGCGAGAGAAGTTTGCAAGCTCCGTAGAATAGATAACTCGCCTCTGCCCATATACGTTCCTAGCAGTTAATATTGAGAAAGAAGCGTATAGTCCATGGGAGAAGAAAGAACGAGCATGATGGTTCAGAGCGGACCTGTATTATGATAGTAGACCTCAGCACTTCCTGGGCTTCGCTACGCCGCCATTGCGGTAAGTAGTCGCCACCCTGATCACATGAACAACTCAGTAGTGGAGTTCCTCGGCGTACGAATACAGGTACATACACACCACACGACCAACGGAACATAATCATATGCCGCGAACAATCCATGTAGCCTACAATTTATAGTCAGAATGAAACCATGATAAACGACCCAGACCACTCCGACACGAAAACGCCCGGCATACGGTGGACACATCGCGTGAGTTCTGCCGGGACGCAGGAGACAGCCACTGGGGATTCACTGCGTTGACGCATATGCATGGAAGTCTGCCGTGAGTCAACATTCCACGAGGCGCGACTAGCAGTCATCGGCGCCGTAGTGAATACAAGTCAATCACAGCGATACTCGCCGGTACCGCACCGAGGACTCGGAGATCCGTGAAAGTTCTGTAATTGTGGCGCCCAGTCACAAAAGGAAGTTTCGATGCCCTTGGGTTGTGAACTACTGAGTGAGTACCTGTTTCGCACAGCTGTACAGCCTTGTATCATAGAGTTTTCTGTGTCTGCGGGGCTCGGCTTAGTGCACGTCGGCCACCATGAGATCTAGACACCACCAGTTACAATTTGGAAAAAAGGCGACGGAGCTATTACCGCGGTATACCTGGCCTCCTCAGTGTGTATATCCGAACCGCCGAACCGCATGTTTACCGCGTCCGACTCACTACAAAAAATCTGCACTGAAACATTCGACCATCTGGTATACGTGTAAGCAGTCGCCTGCCTAGCGGTCACATCGGAGCTCTGACGTGTCAAAGTAGCCGCCATGGACCGTTCAACGTTCAGCGCACATGTCCACACAGAGTCGTCATGGTATGAGGTTCGCTTAGTATTCTGAGATCTGGAAAACGTCAAATGCAAGTGGAATCGGTGTGATATAGCAGAGACAAAAAGGTGCACGGCATTCGTAGCTTATATAACACATATCAGCGTGGTCGAGTCCCATGTCCTCATCCGGTAATCAGCGGATGGTTCACGGTCAGAGTTCACTCCCCAGGGATGTGCGAGTTGATCTCGTCTATAAGCTCTTCAGCAGCCTTGGCTGACTGGACCTACGGGAGCTATCGGTGAGCATAATCGATGAACCACACCACAGGATCGACGTACCCTGAGGTTGTAGTGCGTTGCAGTACCACTCTCGAAGACGCTAAACCGTATGTAGCGGGGATCTTGCGCGATGAAGCACTTCATGCCCTTGAATAGCGTCGCGTTCAGAAGAACTGTGTAGACAGCCTCTTTGCGCATGACTGCCGATATGATCAGCACGCCGCACAAGCCACTCCGCTGATCAAGGAAGGGAAGACGCACTTAAACGAGCACCCGTGCCGTCCTCTCTGCGAACGTTGAGCTTGAGCATACCTGTCCCACGCTCCTTCCATTGGTTCTGAGCGCTCAGCGCGTAGAGTTTGCCCCGAACTTGGTACATCGTCTCCTCATCCTCCTCGCCCGTGTGCACTACACGCGAAGCAAGACACAGGAAGCGTCAATTCAAAGAGACAGCCGAGAAACCTGCGACAGGCACGCACCTTCTTGCTCAGTCAACTTCACGCGGTCACTCTCCTCGCTATCTTCGTCGTCTTTATGTGATCGCAAACGCTCGCTAAAGCTGACCGCGCCATTACCACTCTCTTCCTCGGCGTCGTCTTTAGTACCCGCGTCAAACACGCTGGTGCCTCTCGTCGAGCCTTCACTTGGCGCAGGGCTTGCTCGCTCGGACCGAGGCTTTGACGCTGAGAAGCCTTGCGCACCCCCTGCAGCGTAAGCCGAGAACGCGCTGGCGGAGAAAGCGTTCCCCGAACGCGTCGAGGTTGGATGGCGCGAGGGCGAGCGGCTGCGTGCGAGACCGCCAAACGCCGGTGGCGGGGGCGATTTAGGTCGCTTGGCGACGCTGGCGAACGGAGATGAGGTGGATGCGAAAGCTTCGAAGCCTGTACGCTTCTGAGGGAGAGGCGTCTCTGAGGAATTGGTAGATGACTTAGTTGGTGAGCTGGACGGGGTGGTGGCGAATGCCGAGGCAAATGAGGTAGAAGTCGATGCGAACGGACTGCTTGAGGCTGGAGGTGTCTTGGACTTGTTGAAGACGCTGGGGCCTGCAACCGACGCGAATGGGGAGCTAGTGGATGCATACGCCATAAAGCCACTCTGCGATACGCCCACGTGAGAAAAGAACATCGACCAACTAAGGTGTCACGTACGATCTTGGAAGTGGATGGAGTCGCCGGCGTTGTGTTGCTGTGAGACGGTGACGTCTCCACCTTCTCTGTGTTTCCCTCTGACTCCTCAGGCGGGGGTGTCGGCCGTTTGGTGACACGCGGATTCGCGTCAGAATCTGCATCGTCTCGCTGACGCTTAGTTGCCCCAGCCTTGGGAGCGGTCGCACTGGTATGCTCCTCAACCTCGCCTGGAACAAATCTTTCACTGACCGTCCGGTCTCGAAGCTTTCGCTTCAGCCCCTTCTCGGCCTCGGCCTCAGACTCTGAGCTGCGACGTGAGTGGGGTGATGAAGATGGGGGCACGGGTGGAATGGCAGAGGTGGCCGAGACCTCTGGGTGCACCTCGGGATTGTCGAAGAGGGGAGCAGGGTCGGAGGGCTGAGCATCCGGCGGCACCTCAGCTGGATCAGCCTGGCCGGCGTGTTCGTCTTCGCCGACATTGTCTATGATCTGCGGTGGATTTTCGCCCTGCAGCAAGACCGGGGGAACAGCGACCTCATCGCCTCCCGCTACCTTCGCCTTGATCGGCTCTTCTTCGAGATCGTCCCCCCGCTGAGCAGCAACGCCCTCATGAGTGTCGCTCACCTCGGTTGTTATTTGGTGATCTGTCTTTGTCTCGGCGTTGTGTACGTCCATCTCGTGGTCTCGTTCGGAGGTGCTGTCCTTGCGGATGTGTTTCCATGTCATATCCTCAACTCCCTGGCTGATCTGCCTGATCTTGGACTCAGTCGGTGGCGACTCGCTCACCCCGGAGCCAGACTCCTCCTCCTCCTCCTCCTCGGTCGCATCCAGCTGTGTGCTTGTGCGGTTCTTCTTGGCCGGTGTCCTCCTGTCCTTGGGATCCGAATTCTCGGACTCGATTTCCTGACATGTGTAGTGTGGTCAGTTACGGCCTGGATCTGGCCACGCAAACAACCGCTGCCAGTCGACTGGAAACTGACTGCTGGCGTCCTGTGAGGTGTCGCGGGTTCCATTGACAGCTCGCGTTCGCGCTTACGGGATGCCTTGTCTGCAATGCAATCGGACGCAACTTCAGCAGCGGATCTAGAACGTGAAGGCCTTGTGTGGCCGCACCTGCTGGGTCGTCTGACGGGAGAGCTGACTGTGACGGAACAAGCTCTTCCGTAGTGCCTATGTGGTTTAGTTGGTCGTCACGTATTTCCATGGTCCGAGAATGAGGTAGTGGTCAAGGTCGAGACTCCGTCGACGCGTTGTACCTCGTTCGAGCAATACAATGGCAGCTCGTTATCCCCGGCGTATTACGTAAATTATGTAAGTGACGCGGTTATCACGTTAGCCGGGAACTACGATCGTTAATGTTCATATTACTCGGAATCATATTATTATGACGCTGGTGTGTGGCCCAAATTGCCACACGGACCACAGAGTCAGACGCGCTCCAAGCGACGTTCTAAAGCGCTTTCATCGTGTTGTCCCAGCCCTTTCATGTCCGCGTACTTTCGAGGGCATCCAGTCCTCGCCCTGCATAACAAGCACAGCAAGCCTCGCAACGTGCTCGGCTTCCTCCGCCCCGCCACAGGCTCCGAGGTCGTCCAATACATAAAGGGCTCCGAGTCTCACTTGGTACGTCTCCATTACCACCTGGTCTGTGGGTCAGACTCCCTCAGTTTCCCAGAACCGGTATCAGTGTAGCAGTGCCACTGTTCCAGTTGTGGGGAGCGCAGCGACATTTTCAAGTTCGCTGTTCACGGGGACTCGCGCCAACTCTTCAACTCTTCTGAATTCATCGTCATCTTTGCGCCGAACACACGGTATGTCGATTCTCCTTGTCTTGTGGACCGCAGCTGATCGCAAGTGGTCCATTATTCATATGGCAGCTAGTCTTCTTTTTCTGCAACAAGCTCTATGGCCACAAGCTCTATGTCTAGTCAATCAGCGAAAAGTGTGTCTTAATTTTCCCCTATCAAATTGCATCTGGGGACACGTCAATTCATAGAACAAAAACCCTTGTCATCACTTACCATTGGTGTCGAGGAAGAGATCCTCGCACTCAAGAAGGGCGAAATGCCACCTAAGGAAGATGAACATCGACATAATGGACACCCGATGACAACAGTTTGGTACGTCTTTACTCTTCACTCAGAGGTCCGCATTCTAAGACTACCTAGTCCGCCACCAAGCAGACTCCCTCAAGAACTTATCGACATAATCATCGATTACATTCCGGACAGATCAGCTCTGTATGCCTGCTGTCTGGCCAGTTCTCTACTTGTTCATCGTTGCCGCTCGCACCTCTTTCGTCGCATACGCCTCAAACCACGCACGGATTTCGCGCGTTTCCAAAGAGCTTACACGTCCAAAGGTCTACTTCAGTACCCGCGGGAAGTCGAAATTCTCGGCTGCTTGACCCCCGATGCGGATCCCGGCGATGACGCCAATTCTGGCCTCAACGACGAGGGGGACCCAGATCATCGCTGGATGGACGCGATCGTCCCCTTCCTGATGAGGTTCGACCTCGCGCAGATCGAGTGGCTGGATCTACGGGACCTCAGCTGGGGAGACATCGCGCCAGGGACACGGATATTCCTCCTTACTCAGTTTACACTCACTCGACGCCTTACCCTGAGCGCGATCGACTTTTGGAACTCGAACCAGATGTTGCGCACTCTGAATGCCTTCCCAAACATCCACGGACTTTCCATGGAGAAACTGTCCTGGCATCGTGCGAACCACACGCGCAAGCAGCTCGAGGGCATTGCTGATATGCATTTGCGCTACTTGCACATTGGACAGACGGAGTTTGCACGCTACGGACCGTTCATCAAGTGGCTTATAGGACAGCGTGACGTCCTGATCGTGGACGAGGCGTTCATCGTCTGGGAAGACACGGAGATTATGAGTCCGATCACGCTGCTTCGACGCCTCGCACCAACACTCAAGTCTCTCATATATCAGCAATGTATGATCTTGCCTGGTTGTGAGTACGTCACGTTCGCCGTGTCTATTTGATAACGAACGTGCGTTTCAGCAGAGCTTGTGGCTGCACGCCTTGCGGCGGTGCAAGCCGCTCAAGGTCAAGCCCAGCATATTGCTCCTGTCCCTGTCGTCAACGTCCCGATGCAGCCTACGCAGGCGCCACAGCCCGCGGAGGTTGAGGACGAGCCAGTCACCGCAGCAAATGACGGAGGCGAGGACGAGCTTCAAAATGCGACCGAAGCCGAGGAAGCAGCCGCCGATGAAGACCAGGCCGATCCACCGATGGGCGTAGACCTGAGCGACGACGAAGGAGGAGACGATGACAATAATGATGGCGCGGACGATGACGATGGCGATGACGACGGCGCGAACGAGGTCATACATACGAACGGCCCTCCCATCGTGATGGACGATGACGAGTCAGAAGAGGAAAGTGTCATCGAGGAGTACATCGCAGAGCACAGCAGGTGGCCGACGGAGACGGACGCCCTCCGAGATGGCATGGCCTTGCTCAATTCCATCCCTATCGAAGGGAGCAGAGTGGAACATATCAACGCACGCATTGCGTGGTCCTCGCTCGCCATGGTCGGGATGAAGCTCGTGTGCCAGATGTGCACGGCCGAGACCAAGGCATTCAGTCTCCTGTTGGTCCTCCCTCCTAGGCATCTATGGGGAAGAATAGACTGGCTGTCGATCGACTCGTTGCTCGATGATGTAGCGCAGCGTGCTGCGAAGGATGCTATACTTGAGCTGTCATTTTTGGGTGCATTTGCTCAAGCACAAGAGGATCTCCCTGAGATACGAACCTCCCTCACTGCCAAACTGCCTCTTCTACTAGCTCGCAGACGGTGGACTCCCAAATACGATAGGAGCAACCTACAATGAGACTCGATTGCAGTGGTGAGCACCTCTTTGATGATCTGGTCGATATTCTGATCCCGTTGACTTATCGCCGGACATGCGCAGAGGCTTCGCTTGAATATCATAATTATCCCAATTACCTTACAGTGAAGACAAGCTATGTCTGTGTCTGTCATGGATGATTCGGTGAATGTCGCCGTAGTACATTATTGGCATGGACTTTCGCTAACGACTTGTATTTTCTGGCAGATACGCCGTATCATCAAGTTTGTATTGAGCTACGAGGGGTGACAGTACAACGTGCAGTAGTCGATACGTACTCTAAACCTTCTGAGATCATGTATTATTGTCGTTTTCCTGCCGCTCAAGGGATGTATTTTTGTCTCGAGTTCGTTCAATTCTTGACTGCATAGTCGGCAGCCGTACTTACGAACTTACTTCCCAGGACGCCGAGGCTCATGGCACCTGTGTGTCCCACACCACATGGTGGCTCAACGAGGGTTCAATGCACATACACCGGCTCGTCGGAGTGGCAGCAACGTCGCTGTGGATGACCGCCGAGGAGAACCGTAATCGCCATAGGCAACCAGTGGTTAGTTTCCGTCACCATTATCTCTACCGGCGGATATGCGAATTGAATGATGGTGTATAGTGCAATGTGCCTTGCTTCCACGTAAAGATCCTGCTCGAGGTGATATTCTTTACCGACTTCTTCAACCTGCTGTACCGAGACCTTTCGGTGAGTAGTCACCTTTCCCATACAGGCGTGTGCGAGCGCCGAGTGGACAGCGATACGCCGATGGCATGAAACTTGGGGTTGGTGCTTACCGCATCCCCTTTGTCGTCGCATCGCTGCCACGTAATTGGCCACCGGCCCCAGTTATTGAACCCCCACCCCAGCGGCGTAAACCCGCTGCCCGAACTTCGTGATTCGCTCATAACTGTTTCCCACCGAGACACACGACTCCGACATTGTGGCGCTCCGTACGCCGCATTAACTTCAACAGTGGATACTAATTCTACCGCGGTCGTTCAACTCAACTTAAATGCTCGCAGAGCTTCTCGAATAGGCTCGTACTATGGAGTCATTGTTCGTCACGCAATGCCTTGACTGCCAGCGCAGGTGAGTGTGGACTTACTGGTATGCCCACCAGATCTTACCGGTCCGGGATTCCGACGTAATTTAGACTGCAGTGGTCTGATCAGGCGTGTTCTGCGTCTCACAACTCCGCACAGAACTCGCAAATTGAATGGCGGTGGGTTCTCTCTGGGTATAAAATGATATATAAGGGCTGCGTTCCGCGGACCATCTAACACTGGAACAATCTTCTGAGCGCTGCTTTGCAAACTGACGTAAATGGCCAGTGGTTTGCATAGTACCGCCGCTATCAGGTGTTGCACATTTTCGCCTTATCGTCAGTCGGGTTGCTTGTTGAACACGCAATCAAACAATGCTCGTGGGTCTGAATGTCTATAATGCTCATGAATGAGTCGGTGCTCATCGGCTAGTACGTCGGCGTTGAATACAATCTAAATCTCGATCCCGACCGAGTCCTATACGGTAAGTGCAAACTTACCCTACTGAGTATGACACTGGTATGATGACCAAAAGTTCGTAGGCTCGACTGCGACTACAAGAGTCCGGTCGCGTCATACTTAGACTCATATGTATGAATATGTATCTTCGGCAGGTTTGATCACGTCCGCACAAGTGCATGGGCCTTCGCCACGAGCAGTGACCCGGAACTCGAGGGTCAGCCACTGGTGCTTCGTCGGACTCACTGGTCTGGGATGCATCTCCCCTGCTTGCATGTATGTCGTCGGTCAAATTGGCATGCCAGGCTGGCACGGTGCTTGGCAGCCACGGTACTACTCGGTACTACGTAAGTACAGCGTCCTGGAGCTCGCATCCGGGTAGTTCAGGCCGCTGATCACGAGGGGTCCGCCAGGCATAATGGCTGCTGTGTACACGTACTTATGTACTTGCGTGCTGTAACTTACACTTGTGCGAGACTCATGCTACAGAGGATGTGGCTCATGGAGACCAGCCGGGCCGATGACATGGTCCTCGCGACAAGATTGCGCTGTGCGGTTGGGGGTGTATATGCCCCGTATAATAGGCTGCCCTCTCTCGGCCACTACTAGCTATGCCAGCTATCAGTGCACAGGCTGTGCAGGGCTCATGAGTCTCAATGATCACAGCGAGACTTAGACATCGGTGGCACTACACCCCTATACACGAATGACAGCTATGACACAGCCTCCTTCTCCGCGCATGTCCACATGAGTCGGCACAGTCATCTATGGGTCGCTGCGTACTGCGCATCACGTCTGCAGATCCGAGGCAGCCGCTGTATATAGCTCGAGGAGTCAGGACGCATGCTCGGCGCAGCTTCTCATCTTACACACAGCGTCCTACTCACGGGCAGATCCTCTATTCTTGAACTCTACGTTCTACTCAGCGTCCTACTAGTTACGGGCAGTCATTGCATTCGTCATGATGATCATTAACGATACAACCACGGATAAGAAGCAGGACATGGTCGATCAACACGGGAAGGTGCGTCGTCAATCGCAGGTCAGCGGCTTTCGGGGTACTGATGAATCCGACTCATCCGCGTAGACTATCACCACAGATGAGCCTCCTCCGTACGATGGTCCTTCCGCTAGCTTTGTGGCTAGTCAGGCCCCTGCATGTGGACCTATTCCTGCTTCTGTCCCTGTTTTCCGGCCCAATCAGCAGCAATGCATAAACCATTTGTCTCTCTTCTCACGTCACGATGCCATTTCTGGTACGTTCACGATGATCTTCGAGTCGAGGATCAGGGGACAAGCTCACCAGTGTCTTTGAATAGGGACCTATCTCGTCGACCCATGCCTTCCTGCTGAAAATATCAACAGCAGGTACGGAGGGCGACGCTGCCGCTCTGTCGACAAGGCGCATGCACGGAACGTGCGCCATGCCTTCGGCTCCGTTCCGGTAGACGAAACCTCTGACGTCTCGGACAAAGCGGGTTGGAACCGCCGTAAGGCACGCAGGCCGGAGGTAAACGCAGCCTTTAGGACCCGCCATGGACCTATCAAGGTCAACGTGGGTATCGTCAACTCGGGCCTTCAGGCCGCTACCTCCTCCATTGGTGGACAGCGAAAGACTCGCGGACGCGTCATGCTTTCGAGTCGCCACGGACGTATCAGTGTCAATCTGGTTTGTTGACTTCCTCGAAGACACATTGAAGTGCAAGCTCATTCGAGGCTTTCTGCAGACTGAGATACAGTTTGGTCGTTCTGTCGACCTGGACGTGTCCACTCGCCACGGCAACATCATCGTCTTCCTGCCACCCACTTTCGATGGCTCTGTCGCCTTCCGCTCTCGGCGTGGGCCCAGCGGGGTCACCTTCCTGCCAGCCTTCGCCTCCCGCGCTCGCGTCGTGCGTGGCAGCAGCCGCGAGATGCTCGTCAGCCTGTCCTCTACGCCCACCGACGCGACGAGCCTGAGGCCTGCCGGGCAGACTGGTGATGACTACTGTGTCATCGGCACGCGACACGGCAAGGTCACCATCGGTATACACGGCCTCGACTCTGAGTCCGACGTGATCCAAGGCGGTGGGCTTGCGGCGCAGTTGGAGGCCCTTGTGGAGAGCGGTGCAAAGCAGCTCGAGACGTGGTTCGCTGCTGGTGCGAAGGCTCTGGAGAGCACCCTTCAGGCCAGGCGCTCCGCAGTGGATAACACTCGTCAAGTAAGAGCCAGGGCCATCAGTAACCCACAGCGAGCGCGGACAGAGGCGGTCCTAGGTGAGCCGCGCACCTCGACGAAAGTTTGAGATATGGTCGAAAGACAGCTGCCTTTGATGGACATGAATCGTTCTGAGCCTCGGCAGTCGATTGCGATCTTATTTGTCTGTACCATCGCAAGGATAGTCACTATGGTCTATGATGTTTTAACTATAAGCTGTATAACGCTTCGCTCGGACGATGCTTGTCTCTCACAGGACCCAGTGAGCTCGTATGTTCACTTTTGTGATCACACATATAGTATTCATGGGAAGGTTATGAGGTGCTTAGAATGCAAGCGGAGAATTAGCGACACGGCCTGAGGCGCGTCCGATGTTCTCGGGTAGCACCGCAGGCGCGTCCATGACGTGCGCGCCGCGTCGCGCCTCGCCGCCGCGTCCGCGTCAGGCCTCAACGTTTCACCGTTTCACGAATATCGACACTTCCCAGGCCTGCTCAAATAGCTGACTCCGCATGCGGGCTCATGGTGTTTGTAGCTGGGAATACATACGAAAAGAGAACATACTGATGACAGACAGTGTGACTTGCTCTAGACATACATATCGTTCCTCTAGGGTACATTGCGTGATATCCGACTAAGAGAGACTAAGCGCGAAGACTAGACAGTATCAAGCGACCATGAACGAAGCGAAGTACTCATCAATAGCCTTGTGGTGGTCGAACGGAGCGACCATGCCGATGTAGCCATCCGGACGAACAACAACGATCGTGCCCCGAGTGTCGATGCCGTACTTCTCGTAGCCGCCCCCGCCCGAGCGGTTGTACAGATCCTCGTCGTCCACAAACAGCCTGCAGCCGTACTTCAGCAACAGATCATTCAGGACAGATGGCCTGTCACTCACTTCGACCAGTGCGAGCGGAAGACAGCCGGGATGTCGGCGGTGATGACCTTGAACTTGTCGCCCGATGCAATCGTCAAGACGTCGAACACCTTCTCGACGCCGCCCTTCGAGAAGCGCTTCAGGAACCCTTCCGAGCCCCCCACCTCCTCCGCGAGCGTGCGCACGCGCTGGAGCTGTGCCGGGTCCATAACGTCGCCGGCGAATACGAGAACCTTGAAGCGCGTGTCCGCGGGCAGGAGGTCCTGTATCTCGAACGGCGTCGCGTCTGCCGCGCGCACGAAGATGTGGGACGGCACACACTGGCCGATGACGAGGTTCCGCGCGCTCTCCTGGTACTCGGTGTTCACGATAGTTGATGGGTGGTAATGCACGCCGATGCCGCTTGAGAACAAGCCGGACGTTTGGAATGCCCTGATAGATGCAGCGCGCTATCGGTCAGCGTTGAACGCGGACGCTCAATGGCGCGAACGCTCACTCCAGGAATTGCTCGTGCGTGACGCCGTCGAGGTTGTCCTCTGTCCGAGGCTTACCGGAGAAGAGAGCCGAGAACTTCTTGTCGAAGGTGATCAGGTCCTGAGCGTACTTTCGGCGCTCGAACTCGTACTACGTGGGCGCGTGAAGGTGTCAGCCATCGCGCCGTACGACAGTTTGTAATGATGACCCACAGTCTTCATGAGGGAGATATCGGCCCAACCCCGGAGTACGTGTGCGAGCTTCCATGCTGCATATTGCTTAGACTACGAGAAGCATCAGGGTCCTGGTTGGAGCTTACCGATGTTGTGCGTGTCGCTCATGCTCGCATTCATGCCTTGACCTACAAAGGTGTTAGTCATGAGTGCTTAACTCCTGTGATGATTCTGACTCACCAGCCTTCGGCGAGTGCGTGTGGCACGCATCCCCTGCAATGAAGACGCGCTCACTGACAGAGAACTTCGATGCGACGCGCTGTCCAACTATCACACACGTCTCAGCATAAGCGCATCCGGCGCGATCGCAAACAACCCACTGAGATACACCGTCCACCAGTCGAACTCGTTCTTCGCGTCAATCTTGTACGGATGGAACGTCTTGCGAGCGACGTCAAGCAGTCTATTCGGGCCCATCTTGGTCTTGTCCACGCGCCCGTTTTCGTCGACGGCGTCCGTGTCGCTGAGCTGGACGTACAGGCGGACGAGGTCGCCCTCGCGCGGGATGATCATGCACGAGCCGTTTTCTGAGTGGATCGCGCAGCGGTTGCGGATGTCGGGGAAGTCGGTGTCGGGGATAATGTCGACGACGCCCCAGATAAAGTCTGGGCCGCAGGGTTTCAATGGACTGGCGATTGATCGCTGATACGTTGTACTTACCGGTCTGCTCCCCGTCCATGGCGATGCCGCAGCTCTTGCGCACCCACGAATGTGCACCTAGTCAGGCCCGTGTGTTAGAATCCCGCTGAGTATCGTACGGGGGAGACACATACCATCTGCGCCCAAGATGAACTTCGCCCGGACAATCTCGGTGTCGACCTTGCCTTCTGGTACGTCCAAGTGCTTGAGCACCACCTTGACCGGATGCGAGTGCGGGTCCTTGAGCTCCGCCTCATCGCTCGATAGCTCGATCGACGACGGGATGATCGGACGGTCGACCTGCAAACCCATCTCGGCCATGCTGTCTAGGAAGATCGCCTCGATGCCCCCTTGGTGTCGTGTCACCTACGCAGTGCGATCCGATGCGAGATCAGCAACAGGACAAGAGGTAGAGTGCAGTATACCCACCTCAAAGGGGTAGCGGGCGCTCGGTGCCGATACATTGGGAGCTCGCCCAGTGCACTGCAGAGAACGTCAACGCATTGATTGAGTATGGGAAGTGATATTTACCTCAATGCCGCCGTTAGGGCTCGGGTTGTAGAAAGCCTGATTAATATAGATTGAGCGAACTTCTAGCACAGACCAGAATAGCCACCCACAGCCATGTGCATATGGTTCGCTTCTCGCAGAAGGCGGTCCGCCAATCCATAACTCTAAAAGTAGATGTAGTCCCTGTGCAATGCAGTATAGAAAGATGACGGCCTACCTGGAATATCTCAATGGTGCGAGGCTGAACACCGTCTGCCTGTCCAGCAGCGACCTGGTTGGGCCTGTAGAATGTACGTCAATGCGGGTCGACGTGGACGCAAACCGATCGCTGTCATACCTTTGATCTATGACCCGCACGTTCACTCCGGCCCTCTTGAGAGCATGTGCGCCCATGAGCCCCGCGGGGCCGGCACCAATGATGAGGACATCGACTTCGGTCTCCTTCGTGAGTGGAACAGGCATGTTGTGGAAGCTGTTGGGCTGTGTGCGGAGGGGAGGTCTGTTGGCACTGCGGGCCAAGGGCGGGGCCTTATATCCTGTGGTTGAACCGCCGTGTGCGAGGGTGTCATCTGAAGACCTAGAAAAGGAAGGCCTCTTTGTCTGGGAGCCACACCGACCCGCGCCGGGACTGACAAGGCATGTCACTGTCCACTCGTGTCCGCCCCGCGGTTCCTGGGTGGAAATAATCACCCTCCACGCTTGACGCACTCGGGTGATGCGATCGTAGCGGCCATGTCCTTACTGTTTGCAGAGCGCGTATGAGGATAATGGACCGCCACGGACGACACCTGGGATGGGTGCAGCTCGCACACGCTGCATGGCCGAAACGCTCAGGGGAAAGGTCATGGGATGGCGGAACTAGCGAAGCTGACGCGCGCACCGCGATTTGCCTTTCTGGGCAACGCATCCCACACCGAGGACGTGCCACCGACCATGCTCGCTGATAGAAGGCCTCGCATGAGACAAATTCTGGTCTCGCCTCGCCAAATACGAGCAGGCAAGGGGCACACTGTATCCGCGATGACCTAGCAGGCCGCCGGAGACGTCCGTGATACGCCCGCCAACACGACACCCTGACTGACTGCGACTTGATGGCGCTCAACCAGAACGTTACAGTCTAGTTGGCCACCGTTGGCAATAAACGCTACCAGAGCTAAGCTGAGGACTCCATGCAGATGCGACCGGGCTACAGTGATTCCAGGGTGGATAGTGAGGGAACACACCCCGCGGAAACGGGAACTCGGGATGTTTGGGGCCTCCGAAGAGGTGGTTCGTTCCGCTGTAAGTACGTACGTCGGAGGCCCTCCTCCTCCTCGGAGGCGAACCTACTTCCTCAAATGCCGGCAACGCCCCCGACTGAGAGGGCAATGTCATGACCGTGTGTGCTTACTCACAATCTGCACGTTACGGGCTGTTGCGGGGCACGCTACGAGGAGCTATTGAAGTAGCTGACGCACTATCAGTGTTTGGCTGTCGATCCAGGGCCCGGCTTCTTGCAGTGATACACACGAGGCGGAATATGAGTGAGTAGATCGTGACGCGAGCGTCGGATGACTCGCACACAGCTCCGCGGATGCGTCGTGCGGGCACAGCACTTGGGCATTCTGCGCACTGCGGGTGGCGGTGAGGAGGAGACTCAGAGACGGCGCAGGCTACCGAGTTGGGCGACTTACGTAAGACAATGGCGGGGGAGACGCCTGCCGCTGCCAGTGCTTGGACGTCGAACGGCTGCTGCCCTATGCCCGCCATTCTGCGCTAACATATCTTTATTTCTCCTCTTGCTGGAACTTTGGAGGGCCCATGCCCGGTGTGACGGTCCTGCCGCCAGCCTCAGCTCTAGGAGGTCTCCCCTCATCCAGGATGCAAAATGGATCCAGCACTTCTCACAACGGCACCGTCGCGGAGATCAAGGAGGTAGCAAAAGAGCAGGCGCAAAAGGTCAAGGGCGCATCCGCCATGTCGCTCCTACGCAATGCACGCTCGCAGATCACCCATGCGCGCGAGTATGAGCTGAACGGCGATCTCAAGAACGCCCTCAGCGCGCTCACCAAGGCCGTCTCGCTCGCGTCCATGGTCATCGAATCGGCTGAGTTCAAGGCAGAAAAGCAGCCTGGGAAGCGGGGCGTGCTTCACAAAGAGTTCCTCGAGTTCCAGCAGGTGCGTATTTTCGGTGACAGTACAGCGCTCACGACTTACCCGGTGCAGCGCGAAGGCGGGGAGTTGCAGGCCAGGATGAAGAACCTAGAGGCGAAGTTGATGGACCAGGAGAAGCTTCAGTGCGTCACTACTTCTACTGCATGGGCTAGACTCATGTCCGCACAGAGCATCGACAAGCAACGAGGACGAGGCGGAGAGCCCCGGACGCGCCGTAGGCACCAGCATAGCGGACCGGATTCGCTCGCTGCAGAGTGGTGGTCTAGCAGTGTCGGCCAACAAGCGTCTCTCGCGCGAGGTCGCCTCCCCGGCGCTGCCGTCGCCGACACTGCCAGAAATGCCAGTGCTTAAGCCGCAGCGCATCTCCTTGCACACCTTACCCTCACCGCCTAGCTTCACCCAGCTTGCCTCACCCACCTTCGCGAGCGCGGCAGCGCCGTCGCCCCATGCCCTCGTCCCGACGTCGAGCTTTGGCCCACCCTCGCCATCCTCGTCGACGTCATCCTCGCCCCGCATGTCGCACATGAGCCTGTCGGAGTTTGCGACATCGTTTCCTTCCATCGACGAGCTAGAGGAGCATGATGTATTGAAGCTGCCCTCCGTACCAACGGGTTCGAGTGCGGGGCGAGCAGACAAGTCGCCGTTCATCCCTCCACGCTTCCCTGTGCTACCAATGGATCCTGGCCCGCGTCCATCGAGTACACCCATACCTCCCACGATTGACACCTTCAATAGCCGTCCTGCATCTCCCGCGCGCTCCCCGCTATCTCCCACAGTGCCTCGCAAGCCGTCTGGGCTCTCACTTCGCTCGTCCTCGTCGAGGTCGCCCGTATTGCCTCCGTCTACTCCTTCGTCAGAGAAGGGCCCAGATGGACCTGTCACGACTGTCTTGTTCCCGAAGACTCTGATGGAGTACAGCAAGCGGCCAAACTTCAAGGTGCTACTGCTAGACGTTCGTACGAGGGCGGAGTTTGAGAGGGAGCACATCAAGACAGACGAGGTGGTATGCATCGAGCCTAGCGTCCTCCTGCGACCCGAGTGCGTGTTCTCCGCCTTCTACCGGCCCTGCGCTGACCGTCACCCCGCAGCGTATCAGCACAGAGCATCGAGGACGCGCTCGTGGTCGCGCCACGCACCGAGCATGTGCTCTTCTCGAACCGCGACAAGTTCGACCTCGTCGGCATCTACGACGACGCCTCGGACACGTTCGGCGACGCGAACTCGCCGCTCTCCGTGCTCACGCACGCCATCTACGAGGTCGCGTTCCGCAAGTTCCTCAAGCACCCTCCCGTGCTCCTCGTCGGCGGCCTCCAGGCGTGGAAGCGCGAGTACGGCGAGGCGGAGGTCGAGCGCGGCGCGGGGAGCACGGCGATGGGCTCGGGCAGCGTGGCGGGCTTGGTCAATGGCGTGCCGTCGATGAGTCTGAATGGGCTGTCGTCGCCGCCCCCACCGTCGCCCTATGTTGAGCAGAAGTTTACAGGGCATGTGCGCACGCCGGCGGAGACCGCGTCGATCCACTCAGCGGTTCCTGTTTCGAGCGGTGGCCAGGCTTTGGTGGGACGTCATAGAGCAGGGACGGAGTCGGCAGTAGATCTGCAATCACGCAAGTTGCCTGTGGTGCCTAACGGACACTACACTGGTGATCATCCTGTGTCAATCAGGTTCGTGGTGTCAATTTTGTTGAACAAGGTAGGTGGCTAACCCTTTTGCGCAGACCCAACCCAGATGCCCCCCTCTCCCCTACGATCGACCCTGCACGGCGGCTCGTGCGCAAGCCCGCCATGACGCGCTCCATGTCAAACTCCATATCATATCCGTACAACCCTTCTCCCGCAATACCCGAAAACGTGAGTTCGCTGTCACCTGTTCCTCTTCCGCGCCTCACGTCTCTGCAGTCTGTTACCCAGCACGTCTCCCCGACGCCCGCCGTCAACGGAACGACACCAATCCAATACCCAACCGTCGTGCGCCATATATCCCCGCAAGTATCTGGATCGTCCTTCTCTTCGTCTGCCGGCGCCGTGCCCTTGCCCCCGCAGGCGTCCATCAACCCCTCGCCGCTCTCACGGCGGCGGAGCGACTATGTCGACCAGTCGCAGGAAGCGTTGTCCGGGCTGGCCTCGCGTGCGTCGATAGACTACCCCGACCTGTCTTCGCAGCATATCCTGCGGCCACCGCCCGCCGTCGCGTCCTCCAGCATGGAGCGCCAGGACAACCGGCCGCGGCTCATGCAGAGTGCGTCGTATGGCCTCGCGAATGGCTCGCTCGTCAATGGGATGCCGAGGCCGCCGACGATCCCGTCGGACTACCCGGTCACGTACTGGTCGGACATCCAGATCGGAACGTCCGGGTTGAAGAACCTGGGGAACACGTGTTATATGAATTCTACGATACAGTGTCTGAGTGCGACGGTGCCCTTCGCACGGTTCTTCACCGGTGAGTGCTTCGGGGATTGGAATGATGCAATGAGGACAGGGTTGACAAACCGGCTGTCTAGATGGACGCTGGAAGAGCGCTGTCAACATGATGAACCCGATGGGGACCAAGGGCAATCTCGCTCAGGCGTTTGCAAATATTCTGCGGGATATGTGGCAGGGCGAATCGCAATGTTTGATGCCGGTGACGTTTAGAGTGAGCGGTTTGATGACGATGCATTCAGTTGATTCTCACCACATTGACAGCGGTCTATCTGCACCTACGCTCCGCAATTCGGTGGCACCGAGCAACACGATTCGCAGGAGTTCCTCAACTTCCTCCTGGACGGTCTCCATGAAGACCTGAACCGCGTGTTGCAAAAGCCACAGTTGGACACGACGCCCGAGCGAGAAGCGGAGCTCGAGAAGCTGCCGGTGCAGATTGCGAGCGAGCAGGAGTGGCAGATCTGGCGGATGCGTAATGACAGCCTCGTCGTCGACTTCTTTCAGGGCCAATTCCGCAACCGCCTTGAGTGCTTGACGTGCCATAAGGTGTGTGATGCGTGGACAGTCCCACGGTTAAGTGTTCTGACGGATGTTCTCAGACGTCGACGACGTATAACACGTTCATGTATTTGACACTGCCCATTCCATCGGGTCGGGCCCTGTCGCACGTTTCTCTTAACTCATGCTTAGACGCGTTTGTCAAGGAAGAGGTCATGGAGAAGTCGGATGCATGGTGAGTGACGAAGGTTGCCCGTCTGGAGACACTTTGCTCAGGTCCGCGACAGGCACTGTCCACATTGCAAGGCAATGCGGAAAGCGACGAAGACCCTGTCGTTGTCACGGCTGCCCCCGGTCCTCATGATCCACCTGAAGCGGTTCTCTTCAAAAGGTCACTTCACCGATAAGGTCGAGACCTTTGTCGACTACCCGCTGAAGAACCTCGACCTCACCAACTACATGCCGCCGCCATTACCACCGGGTGTACACAATGGCCAACAGTTGTCTCGCGACGATCCCCGAGCGCAGATCCCGCCGTACAAGTATGATCTGTACGGCGTGACGAATCACTTCGGGACCCTGAGCAGTGGACATTGTGAGATTACTCGTCTCCTGATCATTGCGTCACTGGCTGATGTCTGTGCCAGATACTGCGTTCATCTCGTCGCGGGGCGGATGGCTATACTGCGATGACAGTCGTATCTCTCAGGCTGACCCCAAGGACGTAGTGGTAAGTGAAACTGCCATCCCTGTGATGTTAGGCACTGACAGTCACCCAGGGCAAGCCGGCGTACATGTTGTTTTACAAGAGGATCAAACCCTAAGCTATTATTTACTAACCCGGCATCTTTCGCGCTCATATCTTTTCGCTGTCAGTGTATCTTCGTATCCCATTGCATTGGATAATCCCCTCTATAACAATAGTACATGTAATCGTGTAGGCATCACAGGTTTTCGTTACATCAGGACACTATCCCATTTGCAGCGAGGTGGTTGTGCGTCTCGCGCGTCTCAACAAAGCAGCGGTGGCATAGCCACGACGTCCGGGAATCCGTATGCGAACTCGCACCGTTCGTCGTCGCAGATCCAGGGTGGAAGAAGGGCGAGAACTCGCTGTGACAGCGATAACAGCGCGGCTCGGAGGATGGGTGCAACTCGCTGTCGGGGGGAACACCCTCAGCGCCGTTGCTGAGGATGGAGTCCAGCCGCCGTGCTTTCCGGAGCAGGCCGTGCGTCTGGGCTATTGGCACTTGCTTGTAATTTTTACAAAACACCTGGAGAGCGGTCTGGACACGGTGGATTAGTATATTCGATCTGGGGTGTAGTGGAATAGGAGAAATACCTCTCCCAGATCGTTCGTCGCGCAGACGTCGATCAGCTCCCGCTTGTGTCCAACGTGCCCTTTGCAGATGATCACGGGCACCATGCAACCCTCAACGTCATTCCAGTCTACTATCGTCGTGGTGTCCCTACGGCTTGGCTTCACCTATGAACAAGTCATTAGCATACGGTAGCAGGAAGCAAGTCTGCAACCACTCACCCCCTGCATCTCAAAGCCGAACTTGTGCCCCTGCTTCCACGCACAAGACACGTGATACTCCGCCGGACACTCACTGCAGCGTATGACCGCCCCTCCGTTCTGGTTGCAAATCGTACAGTTCTGGAGAATCACAGACTCGTGAGGGACACCACGTAACGACTCCAGCGGACACTTACGTTCGCCCACCTCCACTGCGGGACCGTGCTTACACCCTCCACGAGCCGTAACCGCGTCGCATCGGAGTAGCTGACCTCCGGTACAAATACAGAGCAGATGACGTGCACCCAGGCCTGGCCCTCGGTCGGCTTGCAGGCGCGCAGGTAGGTATCAGGGGGCGGGTATACTGTACTCTTCCTAATATCTCGTTTGGGTCGAGGACATAACAGACAATCGGGGTTCTGGTAATATCAGGTCAGAGGGCGTAGTTAGCTGGATGCAGTGGACACGAACTAATGATGCCTCTAATGTCTTCTCGTTTGCACATAGGTCACACACCCAGGATTCCACGGTGGTCTGATCGACTACAACGCCGCTGACGCCTGCAGGGAGAGGGAGCGTCAGACCAGAGTGAATATGAATCCTACAACGTCAGGTATACTCACCGGCATGCACACGGAAGTTGCATTGTCGGCACTTCAGTACCTTGCCCATCGGACCGGTCTTCTGACATGCAAGACAACGAATTTGAGTCGCAGCAGGCGCAGGTCCTGCCGGGGGAGGCGTAGACTGTACAGAAGAAGCAGTCTGTCGCACAAACGAGTTGATATCCACCCTTCGCCACTCCAAAACAATGGGACGCACCTTCGCTCTCTTCGCCGACGGGGCACTGAGCGGCGTGCCCTCGCGCTTCGCCACCTTGGTCTTGTCGATCAGCTCCTCACGGAGCGGCCTGACGTTCAGGTCCGCGTACTTCCTCCAGCTCACGCCGCAGTTATCGCACAGAATGTTCGTCGGGAGGCCCTTCGGCGCCTTCCACCACACAGCCGACTCGCGCGTGCGGCAGCAGCCGCAGCTGTTGTGCCCCCTTGGAAGTGCCTTGACGATCGAGCCCTCCTCGTCGGGCGACGGTGCGCGCGAGACCGGCAGGAGCAGGTCCGTCCGTCCGCTGAGCCGGGCAGCCTTGATGCGCGCGTTCTCCTCGCCGAGCTTCATGCTGATAAGCATCTCGAGGTGAGTATCACTTACGTGAGAACGCGTGACAGCACACTTGCCTCTTCCAGTGTCCGTAGAAACGGATGACTTCGTAGATGGACCTTGTACCGACCTCTTCACGTACTGGACGCAGCTCGGCTCCGTGGACAGCGATGGCGTCTTCGAAGGCAGCGATCTCCTGGTTGGTCCACTCACGGTCGATGCAACGGGTCTCGGATTTCTTAAACTGAAGGTTATGTCATAAGCCGAGAACATGGGGCCCAACTAGAGAAATGCGACTGACCTTCTCGTGCCGCATGACGCTCTTCATGTTCACGGTCGCGAACTCGCGGTGGGCCATCCATGCCTCTGTGAGGCGGCGCGTCACCTCCGTGAGCCAGTCGATGTGGCATTTGAGCGTAGAGTTTGTGCTGAGAGAACTCTTGTGCGTCTCCACTGGCGGTAAACGTTAGTCGATGATTGTCTAGCGCGTAGACCACACGAAACTCACATGCGCGAACTACAATGCAGTTCCGATTGAGATATGATCGCATTTCCTAATGAGGCCGTGTTCCCACGCACCTTCTTCTTCGGACATCTCGTTGACGAGACTCAGAACTTCGATGGTTGCATCGCCTCCCCTCTCTTCCAGACCTGCGGAGACATCAGCTACAACACACTTCCTACGCGGGAATTGCCTACCTGCCGCGCTTGCGGAAGACTCGGGGCCTGGCGCTGAGGGCACGACGACCTGGAACTTGGGGCCCACGCGAGTCGCGGCACGTGGGAAAATGAGGTCGTCCGGGTCTACAGCCAGAATTAGCTCTGCGGAAAGCCAGCCGGCAGGTGCACTGACCAAGCGTGTCTTCCGCGACGGTGTACAGTCTGTCGCCACGCCCGTCAGCTCAGCGCTCCCACCCCTGCTCAAGTGCGCGCACCCAAAGTACCGGAACGGCCACATCTTGAAGTGCTTCACCTCCAGGTTCTCCTCTTTCTCCGCCAGCTGCCGGTCCTTCCGCGGCCGCCCGCGGCCCCTCGCTGCGGGCGCATTCGTCTTTACCACTTTCGGTGGGGCGGGCACGAGCTGGCGCAGACCCTCGTGGTTGTCCACCTCCTCCTCGTGCCGCCGGGAGCAGGGCGCGCAGGTCCACCCATATCCCCGACTCGGCTTGGCGAGGAGCGGCGGGTTCACGCAGCTCATGTGAAAGAATTTCTTGCATCTGTCGCACTGCACCGTCTCCAGACTGCGCAAGTGGCATCCCCGCGTCAATATGTCATTAATGATAGGAGGGGCCGGGAGATCAGCGACTTACGGAGGGCACCAGTGAGTGCAGGTATCGCAGGTACGGGGGGTGTCGGTGAGGTCTGGTACCACCTCCTTCTCTGCGACGACATATTCGTAGCGCTCGAGGAGCACGTCCTTGATATGTTGCGGAACTACGCGTCTGATCAAAACATGATTCCGGTGTCCTGAGACAGCAAAACACCCACGGTTACGAACAGTGGCTGAGGAGATGACCTCGAATTCCTTGCGGATCCACGGGTCGAACAGTCGAGTGAAATAAAAGCGGTCGGGGCGTTTTTTCCACCCTGCGAGGTCGGATATCCGGTCGCGGTGTACTACGTAGCACTTCCCACGGACCTGGCTGAGATCGCAGACCTCGGAATATATTGCGGCCAGCAGGAGGCGACAGTCCGCGGACGGACGATCGCTCACGTCGCTGGGGCGATAATACCACGCAAGGCGGACTCGCGTGTACGGCTCGTTGCGATTCCCGTCCTTGTCGAATATTGGCACGCCCTGCGCTGGCAGGAACTCCATAATACGAGCGATGGAATATGGCGTGCCATCGCGGATGGACCAACTTGGCGAGCAGTAGACGTGATCTAGTAAAAAATCAGCCGAGGGCACGGCGAGGTCCGCGCGACGGGGGTGACCTACCGTTGACCTTGACTTTGTCGTTATTCTTGAGGGTGTGGTAGTACGGGGCGGCGGGGAACGCCATGGTTAGCGCTCGTCGTGAAGAGGGATCTGGGGCGGGGGGCGGAAAAGTGAGGGCGGAATAAATTAGAAAAGCGCCTAGCGTGTGTGCAAGGCGGGGAGGCAGAGAATGGGAGTGCGGGAGGAATATCCGGGGGCGGGAGGGGCGCGGTGGTGGGGGTATGGAGGTGAGATGGACAGTCTACAGGCTACTGAGAGAGCCGGATCTGTTTACTGAACCTAACGTGATTCAACTCCGACAATCTCGACGCGGAGACCTCCTCGAACGCCTTGTCCTGCCACCACCTCCCTCTCGCTGCTCTGCGCCACGCTCGCTGTGCGCCCCAGACAATATCGACCCCCATCGCCCCCATAGCGAGGTCTGTGTATTTTTGCGGGGTCGCGAGGGGGCTGGCGTGTGTGCGCCACTTGTGGCTGCAGTGAGCCACACACAGGCCGCGGGCAGGGAGGAACGTCCCCCTCGGTCGCTAATTTGTCACGCCAAACTGGCCGTCCGTGGCCGGTGGCTACACAGCATCCGCTCGATTCCAGATCTACACACGTCCCAGCCTCATCTTTTTCTCTCTGAGATGGTTCACTCTGCCCCAGATCACAGCGGCCGGAAAGCACGCTGCTGGGCCACGCGCGTCCAATGTGGGGGAGGGCGGCGAGTGGCAGTCGAACTACAGCTGCCGGCGGCATCGCCCGAAGAAAGAATCGCTTCATTACAACCCTTACGTAATCATATGAAAGCATTACAGTGACAGACACGCTGGACGTCCAACAACCCGCCCGGTCGTGCTCCCATCACGAACTTCCTCTCTCCCGCTCCTCCATCCGGCTCCAGAAACTCCCCGAGGCGTCGCAGGCCTACGAGGCCCTCCTCCGCCCGCTCGTATGTACGGCAGTGTGTTTTGACCGGCCCGCGACGTTCAACAATAGCCGGCTCGGAGTTGGCGCGGCATTCCACACCGCGGCCGCCAGGAATGGGAATCTTCGCAGCGCAGTGCCACTGCAGCGCCGGTGCATCGAGTGCCGCATACAGCGTGACGGATTTCAAACCACGTCCGTTGGGTGACTTCTCTGCGGAGGAAGCAGTCGACCCGAATTCAGAACCGCGGTTTGCTTTTTCTTTCATGATCTCCCCGGAAGTGTCGCTTCCCAGCGCAGAACTACCAATAGTGATTGGCAGAGGAAGTATGGAGCTACCAGACCGGAAAGAGCGGGCTCTATTTCATGGCGTCGTCGTGATGGAGCATACGTACGTACGTGGGTGCTATGCGGTAGGGGGAAAAGATGGAGCTACAGGACATAGAGAAACATGTAAGGTGTGCCACAAAAACCAAAAAGAAGACTCGTGTATGCCAAAGTGGAAAAGATCAATACAGGCTGTAGATGCGGATGTGCAGGAGGGGGAGGTTTAGCTACGGATGGGGATTGGTGTATAAGAATATGGTGGGTGTATGGGTAATGATGCTTGCGAGGTCCAACGATGACAGAGCAAATAGTACCAGTTGCACAACATGCCGACGAACCCAAGGAAGGGAGAGAGTACAGAAATTAGGTGGGGATCTAGGCCCACGCGTAGTATCGCTATGATGGGGCCTGTGGTGCCCCATTTGTTCGCGGCGGTTCGGGTGGGAGTAAGGGGCCGCGTTTTCGTCGTTCGTCTGCAATCACGAGCATGCTCTTGAGACTCTTCTCGAGGACCGGCTTCGTCAGGACGCTGCGAGTATGACGTTAGCATTGCTTAGGTCGTGAACGAATAGAGGATACGCACTACTCCGCTCCAGCCTCGACATACTCTTGCTGATCCGTCAACAGAGCATTGCCTACACACATATTCAGTTCAGACGCCCTATCACCTAAATCAAGCAAGCGTACCAGTGACGCCCACGACGAAGTCTTTCCTGCCCAGCTCCCGCAGCTTCGTCACGACATCCAGCCCCGACAGCACCGGCATTTGGTTATCCAAGAAGATAACCGCATACCGATACTCCTCGCCAGCCGCCAACATCCCGTCCACCGACAGCCCCGCGCTGCCCGTGTCCTCCGAGGACGGTGTGGCGTGGTGGCCCGGGCCCAGAATCATCTCCAGCGCGATCTCGCCGTTCTCTGCTGTCGCGACCTTGCAGCCTATTCGCGTGAGCATGCGCGACATCAGCTTGCGCGTAAGCAGGTCGTCGTCCACCACGAGCACCCGCAGCGGACCCTCAGATATCGACCCGGGCGTAAGGCTCGGCTGTGTGGACGACGTCGCCGCGGACCCTGCGGGAGATATTGGTGGTTCCAGAGAAAATGTGCCGGGTTTCGGGAGCTGCGAGAGGCGAGGGCGGACGGTGGTTGTTGAACTGGAGCTGTCCGTAGTGAGCGCAGGAGGTGGCTCTTGTATAGCTGGCGGCGTTGTGTCGTCGACGATCGCTTGTGTCCCGGTTGATGGATCGCCAATGGCCCGCGTGAGGATTGTCGTCCGTCCGTCACCGCGCTTCGTCGAGATCTCGACAAGACCACCTGACAAAGTCGTATCAATCTCCGCCGACCAGGGTGGTCATTGAAAGGCTCACCTTGCTCCATGATACTATGTAGAGCAGACGTAGATCGCGAACCAACTTGCGGAGGTATGCGAAGCGAATCGGGTGGACTGTCCAAAAATGGCAGATCCGACTGTGTTGCGGACCGCATTGTCCTCGTCATGCTCGAAGGGGTGTCAAGGAAGTCCTCCCTCGGCATCGTGAACACAGGCGTCGCCTTGACCCCAACGCCCAAAGCTGAGACAGATTATCAACACATATACCAGGCACCATATAAGCCAGATAAGTTACTTACGCAGCTCCACCCAGAACGTCGACCCGACGCCGACCTTCGACCGCACACCCAGACGACCACCAGTAAGCTTGACGATCTGACGCACGAGCGCCAAGCCCAAACCGGTGCCTTTCCCACCTACACGGACGCAGCGTCACCAAGCCATTCATCGAAGCCGCGAATCTATTGCGACGTACCTTGCAACCGACCCTGTTCCGTCTGATTGAAGGCACCTATGACGGGCCGTCAGCATCTGGCAAAACTGAACCCCTTCGAGCTACGCACTGAACAGTTTGCTCTGCACCATGTCCTTCGGCCTGATGCCGTACCCCGTATCCGTCACCTCAATGCGCACAACGATCCACTCGATTGGTGGCGGTTTCGAAAGCGTGTTATTGTGCTGCGTGAGGTGCGTGGCCGATAACCGATGAGGAATAGGCGGGCTTGACTGGCCATTCTCATCGGCAACGTCGAGATGGGACGTCTCCTTGAAGTCTTCGAGAACGGTATCATTAGCATCGCACGCGCTCGCGCTCTCACCCCCGGGCGGGAGCCCCGGAAGAACGAGCTTCGTCGTGACCGTGAGCTTGCCGCCGGTTGGTGTGAACTTGCACGCGTTGCTACACAATGCGGCATAAGCTCGTATGTTCCGAGCTGACAAAGCGCAACATACCTTGCGAGGTTCGTGATGATCTGCCGTAACCTCGTCTCATCGCCGACGACGATCCCGTCCTCGCCTAAAGTGTCCTTCAATCGGCTCTCAACGACGTCCGGACTCTCGCCCAAAGCCTCGTGCAACGCTCTCCTCGCGACCTACACGGTCATGGATCAGTCACGAAATCCCACTATGCCCGAAACTCACGCACCTCGTCGATATTCCTATCCAGGTCAGCGACAAACTCAAGCCCGCGCGCGTCCGTCGCCAAACGCAGAGGGACGAACATCGAGCGCATGACCTGGTGGAAGGAGTACGGCTACATATGGACCACGCGTCAATCCAGCACTTCTCGCCTAGCACGGTCACGAACCTTAAGGACAGACTCAAAACGCCCGCTATCCATACGGTTACTATATGCCTGTCAGTGCCAATATCACGGTGTGAAACAGTAAGCCCGTACAAGTCGAGGACGTCATTGAGCACTACAATTGTACGTCAATACCCAGTAGGCAACATATCCGTGATTGACTGACCCTTGGACATCATGCTGAGACTGCCCTCCAACGCCTTGAACTCGATTTCCTGTGCCTTCGCGACCGAGCCGTAGGCCTCCATATTCTGCACTGCGAGAACTGAAGATGGGTAACAGTCATCAGTAATCGCAGCGCGATGAAGTCTTGCAAAGTGTACGTACGCGCCGTGTTGAGCGGCACCCGAACCTCGTGGAAGACATAGCTATTGCAAAAGATTGTTATAAATCATATGGGATTAGTTGAAATTGAAACGTACGATGTCAGTCGTCGCTTCGAGTCCGCTGCCTTGCGCTCGTTGACCTGTGCTTTCTGCGTTGCCCGGAACTGGACCTTGAGCTGATCGCGTAACGTGTACAACCGCCGCTCCGCCTGGAAATTAATTAGTTAGGACAATCCTGTATAGATTATAAAGAGCGCCTACATTCTCTCGCATGAAATGAATGTACAGCAAGAAGGCTTGGAAGCAGAGGAAGTTGATGAGATCTGTGGAGCGAGTAAGCGGGCGAGGTGATCGAGGCCAGCAGACGTCACTGACTTCGGATCATTTGCGTGTGGATAGGTATGATCAGACCACAGGCCCTGCGAACAGAATAAGTTCGAGAACGATCGGCGCAGTGCCGCGGTTTACTCACACTGCGAAGAACAGTGCCGCGGCTATCATAGCGGGGAAACGATTGATCTTCAAGCCAAACAGTCCGACAGTCTGCAGCGCGGTCGCATAACTAGAGTCTACTGTCAGTCAAAGTTATATGACTATTTGCACAACGTTAGACACCGCTCGTCTGTAGCACAGACATTATCGGGACTCCAAAGGTAGAGGTTCCAAACGTCGCAGCGGCCAGTGACCGCTACGTACGCCAGCGCTCGCGCTCTAAGCGAGACATCATCTTGGGGCTCTCCTCGGGAGGTGTCTAACGTTATGCTACCAACTGGAGAACGGCACTCACTAAAAGAGCGTGAGAAAATCGCGGTTCGAACAAGGCAGAATCCCGTCCTTGGTGTAAAAGCCGCAGAGATACCTGAAGCACGTCAGCTGGAGACTAGGTGAAGGAGGTGAACATCGGCCCACTCACATCATGATGACGTTGTAGAATGCCCACTGCCATATTGCGAACGTAACCCAGCACTGGTAGAGTGTCGGCCGGTCCCTAGGGAAGTCGAACATCACGAACACGAATATCGGGAAGGTCGCCGCAGGGGCAATCTAGGGCAGAGCAGTTTAGCTTGGTATTGATATCAGAGACGGCCTACTTACACCATAGTAGTAGATTTCATCCGCTATTGTGATAGGCTTCTGGATGAAAGCCATAGCCAGGACCCAGTTGACGACGAGGAATGCAGAAGACCACAAGGCCAGGTTCTACACAGATCACATGGTAGATTTGCAGAGAAAGAAAGCGTCAACGGATACATACCTTCTTCATGAACCAGTTCTCCTTGCTGTAGTGCAGCTCCGACTTTTCGTCCATGAAGTGATTGACGAAGAAATCATGCACGACCGGCCAGCATCTCCAGCGGAGGAAGATGAGGGGCCCGCACATGGCCCAGAACCCCTCGGGGCGGACGAAAAGGCTCTCCATGTCGGTGTTGGTGCCGAGGGGGTTGCTTGTCCTCTCCGGGGTGCCGCCGTGCTCGGAGTGGGTACAGGATGAACTCTTTATCTCGTCGGACCACTCGCGGTCGACGACGACCTCGTCTACGCCGTCGTCGTCTTCGTCGCCCAGCTGCGCCTGCCGGGCCCGCCCATTGCTGTAGCTGTCACCGCTCTCGTCGGGCTCGATGGCAGACGACGTCGACGGAGCAGTCCCTGTGCCCATGCGCCGCTTGAACTGCGCCCAGTGGACCCTCAGGCCGCGGTCGACCCGGGCGCTCTTCTTCTTGCCGCGCTTGGTCGACGAGCCAGAGCCCTGGACGACGGGGGGCGGCAGGGGCGTCCCGCGGAGGGTGTCGCTGAGGCCGGACGTCTCAACGGAAGCGGACTTCTCCACGGTGATGGCCTTTGGCTTGAGGATGGGGAGAGGGACGTCCGCCTCGCTGCCGTTGGCGGTGGAGGTGGCGATGGAGGTGCGCGAGCGGAAGGGCATAGGAGGGCGGCGCGGTCGCTGCGCGCAACGACGAGAGTGCACGCAGAGCCAGAGTTTGCGAAGAGCGCACAGCGACCGGATTTGAGTGTGCGCTGGGTTGGCGCGCGTGCACCAGGCACATCCCCGCATCCGGCAACAGCCGGCACCGTCCCACTCATATCCGGCATCCGCAAGTCCCGCGGCGCGCCCGCATTTCCTTTCCCGGCCGAGCATAATTTAACAGAAATCATTTCCAGCCCCGCGACGATCGCCCGGTTGCCCTCAAAGGAACTGACGTCACCTCCAGTAGCCGCTAATCCCAGGTTTGGAGATACACGCTGTTTATGTATGTATCTCAGCTCCATTCACGGCGAAGTCACAGTGCCACCCTGGCCTGGTATGGCACTGCATCGTCGACACGGGGGAGACCGCCCCAGTCTAAGACCCATCGCTGCGGTGTGTGCGTAGTACAGCCAGACAGACTCGGACTTGCCCGCTATGCATCGTTGCACGTACTAGGTTATTATTAATGCCCAGTTTGTTTGGAGACTGGCCCATACCGGCCATACCGCTACAGCTCCCGCCGAAGCAGCGCATCAATACCGGACAGGGCAGTGCGCGTCCGCGCGGGCAGCCGTAGGGCCTGCTTTGGCCCGGTCGCAATTCCAACCCCTGACGATAACACTTCGTGTCGAACCATCGTTTGCAAACCAACTGCCGATTCATCAGTTAGGCTTTGGACCTTTGTTGTGCCCAGGCCAGATGACGTCGAGCCATGGACCGCGGCCCAGAAGCATGGTTGGATGCCTTCTGCTTTTGGTAGGTCAGCTTCTGCTTTCGGCGAATCCTCGAGGTACCTTCCAGAATCGTCGATGGTTCGCCGTCTTAGAGTCAACGTTCATTCTATAATTGTCGTGCTTGCAACCAACCTGCAACCACAGCATCATATCGTCACGGGCGTTGGGCCGTGACTATGCCGTTTTCCCCTTCACTCTGGCTGCGAACACCGTTGGCGCCGACGAGCATCGTGAGACGACTAACCAACCACTGAGCGTAGGAGATTCACATAGGGGGGTTCACGTTTGTCCGTTGCCTGACACGGTATCAGAGCAAACGTTAACCTTAGAGTTCCCCTAGTTCCCGTCAACTTTTTGCGGTGCCTTGTCCGGTCCAAACCTCGCATTGATACCTGGTATACTAATGGCTACAGAAGACTATATCTACAAGGAAACAGACGATGAAGCAGCGGTACCACACCTCTCCTCTAGCTCCTCCTCCTCCTTCTGCAAGCGTTTCATGGTCGCGTCTAATAGCCTCCGCCGCCGTTCCTCCCTTGACTCATCGTCGGCCACAATCGGTACAGACACACCGAGCGTCTGCTGCCCTCCACCGAGGATGTACGTCTGCGCCTCCGCCTCAAGCTCCGACGTGGGCTGATATGCGTCGCCCGACCCCGTGAGATGATGCGTCCCCTCAGCCGCGGCGCGCTCGAACTCTGCGACTTCGCGGTTCAGCCGGGAGTTCATCTCCTTGAACTGCATGCCCCAATAACCAGGTCAACGCTGCGCCGCGGGCGGCGTAGAATGATAGGCACTCACGTTGTTATCGTGGTCACTCCAGACATTGTGCGTCAACTCGTGACACAGCACCTTCCGCACCTCGCTATACAACCGGAAACCGTCATACCGGTCCGTGCGTAGCCTGAGCTTGATTGCCTGGCCAGCATTGACGTTCAGCCCGAGAAGGTGCGGCTGCTCATGCGGCGCGAGCTCAGTGAGGAGGCCGACGGCGAGGTGGTGCGTCTGCATCACATGCCGGATCGCAGGGTCGTTCGCGAGGCGTGTCAGGAGTGCACGGGCGGATGCGGGCTCAGGTAGGTGTGCGAGAGGTTCGATGTGGTGGAAGGTATACTGGGACAACGCAGAGGGTGAGGAGGTGGAACGGGCCTAGCGGGTCGTCAGGCTGGTGGATGTACGGAATTGCTACGATGGTACGTACCTTGACGGGAGCTTTCAGTGCCCTCTCCCGCAATATCCGCTCCTTCCGCTGAAACTCGGTGTCAGCAGCGAGTGTGCGACTGAGCTCCTCCGTCGTTGAACCCAACATCTGGACCTTCGTGCCATTTTTGAGCCCAGCATGCACGAGTGTGTCAGAGTCTTGCAGGTTAGCTTTCTTGCCCTTGAAGAGCAGCTTTTGGAGGGAAGGGGGTACGGACGTGAGCTCTTCCAGACGAGCCTGTAGGAGCGCGATGGTGTCGTCCGGAAGCAGCGAGAGGTGGTGTTGTGTACCACGATGAGAGACAATGATTTCTATGGATTCCATGGGCATAGATACTGAGTTGTGAGTCGAGAGTAGTGATGAGGGAACGAGTACAAGAGGAGACGTAAGCCTCGGGCAAGGCAACGGATGGTGACAGTGGCTGTGGATGATGCGTAAGTAGGCGATCGAGATCCGGATGAGTCGGGTATAAGTCGGGCTGACAAACCCAGCTGAGTCAGCGCCAGCCCTAGTGTCGGAGACTTCCGGAACATACTCGCAACGTCCGAGGTTGGTCCGAGGAGGCCTCGTTGGAGACTGTTGGAGAGCGGCGAAGCCTCTGGCGATCAAGAAGCCAAAATGTGTAAATGGACGCGATGCGATCGGGCGCGAGGGCTGGCAGATGTGGTTTGGCGAATTTGACATGTGGGCATCGGCAGACTCAGCAAGTCGTCCGCGATACGGTTCACCCAGTGAGGTGTTGGCGATGTGACAGTGACGTTGACGTAGCAGATGAGGGAACACGATGGGTATGAAGAGACGAGGAAAATCAGCGATACACGAGGGGCGTGATATGGACATGGTCGTTTTCATGGGATGTCTATGCAAGCAATCAATGAGCAGGAGAGCGCATGACAGAGTCATTACACACCGTCTAAGTTCGTAGCGGGGTCGTAGGCCGGCTCGCGCATGTACTCGAGCACGCGATCACCTCGACGGTTTGGCACACGAGCTACGGTGCGCTCGATGCCTCTTCCGACGGCTTTCCACCACCTGTGCTCTCCTAGCCTGTTCGCATCGCCGAAGTACGGGAGCGAGACATATTGGACCGAGGAAAGTGTGCGGACCAACTTCTGAGGATCGATGGTCTGGGTGCAGTTCCAAGATGAGCGGTCCAGAGTGATTTTGAGGCACACGATGCGAGAGAGCATGAGTCCTTCCTGAGACGTCCCATGATAAGCCGCGTATCTCCTCCTAAATGCCTGAATCCTTACCAGCCATTGAAAGTCGCTTGCTCCGTGATTAGCGGGGATGACGAGGACGATCTCCAATCCCCTCAAGCGTGTCGCGGTCTGAACGAGGTCAACGAAAAATGAATAGGAGGTCGTCCCAACATCCTGGAACCGAAAGCTAAGCGCGGTCGGCGGCAAGACGTTCATCGCGCGCAAGAACGGCTGGCGATGCTGAGGCTTCTCCCAGCTGGCCGCGGTTAAGTTTAACCACTGCACCGGGCAACACACGGGCCAGTCACCGGTACCGAAGTTGCCGAAGTAGTACGGCAGCCCGTAGACGTAGTCCAGGTCAGGCCAGCATGTCAATTGGCTATCCTTGTTCTCCAGCAGCTTCCAGTGCGGCTCCGTGATGCTCGCGCGCCCGAGGACGAAGCTGCGGACGTTAGGAAACGTGTGGAGGAGAGCAGACATCGTGACAGACGTGTTCTCCAAACCGAGGCGACGGACATTAGGCCAGACGGGCCATGTAGACTTTACGGGATCGCGCAGCATCGTGATACCTTCGAGTTCCAAGTTCCAGACACTGTGGAGGGGCTTGATGTCCGGTACGACGCTCGGGTAATGGGCGAAGCGCATACGCAGCCTATGAGGCTGCCCTTTGAGCGTGGGAAGCAGGCGCGTCGATTCGGTAGTCATGTCGTCCAGGGTGAGATCCTCCAGAGTGCGCAGGTCGGCGATGGCAGGCCATATGCGTTCGTCCAGCTTCATAAGCGCGGACGCGCAGCCCAAGCTGAGGGTCCGCAGATTCGTCGTCTGCTCCAGCAGGTCCGCAAGCGCATCTGCGGATGACGAGTCCGCACTGAAGGCGCCGCCGTCGACCGAGAGTGCCTTGGAGGTGACCGTAAGGGTCTGCAGGCGCTGTGCGCGGTCGAGCACGTCGTCGAGCATGTACGCGCAGAAGCGCGGTGTCTGCATGGGGAAGTGCAGCTCCGCAGACGTGTGCACACGTCGTTTCGCGATGTAGTGGATGTGTCTAGCCGTCGCGGAGAGGCTGAGCGCGTCGCGGCAGGAGAGGAAGAAGACGATGTTCGTGAGGACGTCGTCATTGAGGGCGAGGAGGATCATCGTGTACCAACGCGGGCCCGCAGTTCCCGACTGGGGAGCAGCGAGCGGGTGGGAGGAGACAGAGGGCGGCGAGCGTGCCGGGAGCGGTCGCCGCCCATATGAAGAGCTGCTGAGTGCTGAGTGCCAATAGCGCTCTCCCGCTAAGGCGCATTCGGAAGCGCCCCAAATATGCTGTCACGTGGGCCGCCGCCCGGCTTCCTCATCAATGCCATCAACTGATCGCGGTCCTCGGTGCGGCACGTCCCCGCTTCCTCTCCCCGCCTTAGGCTCCTCCTCACCTCCTTCGGCTTCCCGCTGCCACAGTCAGCGGACTTACCGGCCGAATATTTGTAGGCTATCCCTCTCAGGGCAGGTGCCGCGCAGTGTTGGCCCAACAAATATAAGTAGTCCATTCTTGCCGATGAGAGCGAGAGAGACTGAGTCTATCACTGGCGTGTTCGGATCGATGCTTCTGACGGAATGGTCTACAGCAGCAAGTCGGGAGCCGGGTGATACCAAAGCCACAGCCTACGTACGTGCAAATCTTGTGCAAATTTGTGCAAATGCGCGCCGTGCATGTACCCTTGTTTGTGGTAAGTTGCCAGCTCGATATATAGGGGATCCTGTCATCTCAAAGTGAGACCGCGTCAGGCAACGGACAAACGCGAGCCCTAACTCAGTGAATGAATCACCTTCGCTCAGTGGTCGGCTAGGCCCACCGTATGCATGGTATGCGACGGCCATTTCAACACATCGTACTCAAGGGGTTCGCGCGTTCTGTGCAGTGCTTCGCAGCCTCTGTCATGAACTCTCAACTCTAATCCGTGCAACGCTGTCGCCCTCCCACTCCGTCCACCCGTCGCGTCCGTGTCCGTCACTACCCCCGCTGCACGTCGGTCGCGTCATGGCCACATCGCCCGGTCTCAGCCACTGCCATCCACCGAGGATTCCCAAGAGGTCCTTGGGAGTAATGGACCGCGGGCACGTGGACGCACGCTCGCTGCCGCTGCACGCCCTTCCTCCCAACACGCCCCGCCCCGCCCCTCGCCGGGTTGTTGCGCATGTGTCGTGCGTGTGGTCGTGCGTGTGTGTAGCTGGCCGTACGTTGCGCCCGCATGTTAACGGCCCTGTCCCCCTCCTGCGCTGCCCGCCTCGCTGCGTCGCCGCTGCAATGCGGCCGCCAGTGTCGCGTCCGTCGCGGTCCCCGCCACCATCCCCGCCTCGCTGCCACTGTCGCCCCGGTATTCGTGTGTAGCTGGCTGTACATTACGCTCGCATGGCTGCCGCCGCCGCCTACCTGCCTCTATCGATGTCTCATGTATTCACAGCCGTGACCACGCCACTGGTACCCGCGGTAACTTTCGCATACACATCCGTATGCGAAACTGGCGCCGGCGCGATCGTGCCAGTGCCTCCCGCACGCGCACTACTTTCGCGTGCGCATCTGCACGCGAAACAAGCGCGCTGTGAACAACGCCCCAGTGAGCAACGCCGTCCTCCCGCCGCCCTTGGCGGTAAATTGTAATGGACGAGCACGGACTGTACGGACTTCTCCCGCATTTTGGACTTGCACATTTACAACTTGCACTGCTGTCTTCATACTGTATTGAATCTACGATTCTGTCTTGCCGCTCGTTTTGCCAGTACATTGAGAGCCCGTTTAATGTCGACTGTCGAAAAACCACTTATTCGGTCGATGTGATGGGGCTGGGCCCCATGTGAGGCGTGCATCCTGCAAGCTGGAGCATGGATCGAGAGGTGTTCTGTGTGCAAAACGGAATCATCCAAAGCTACTGCCCAGCAGGACTGACCGGATAGACGGGAGGGGGAAAAACATGCAAACATTGTTGACAAAAACTCTTGGCCAACGCCGGGATCGAACCGACGACCTTGGCGTCGCATATTAGCACCACGCTCTAACCAACTGAGCTAGTCGGCCAATAATTTGCCGTGCAAATACGGAAATAAGTATAAGCGGCAGAGGACAGCGATTGTGAACCAGTCCTAAATCCCGGGCGTGAGCTCCCCTATTATCCAACCATCATATTCGAGTAACCACACTCATTCTACACTGTAACCATGCCCACGAAGAGATCCACGCCAATGAAGCAAGGCACCCTTGCGTTCACCGCCGGGAGGCGCACAGCTACCACTGGTTCAAAGGGTAAAGTGTCTCGACCAACGACCAAGCGGACGCTATCCTCCTCCGCCGAACCGACCATCCCGGACGTCATCGAGATAGACGGTAGCGACCATGACGTTTTACCCGATGAAATCGAGAGCGACAGTGACTTCGAGACGACGCGGCAGGGCAAGAGAAAGTCCGCACCTGCTGGGGAGAGCATCAGCGAGCCCGAGGAGGCTGAGCCTGCACCGAAGAGGCGGAAGCTGCGGGGTGCGGCCGCGGGCAAGAAGGGCGTGTTTGGGTCGCGCGACGGCACGGAAAACATCGAGAAGACTGAGGCTGGAGTTCTGCCCGTGAAGGCAAAGGCGAGGAGTGCGAAGGCGCGCACAAGTATAGAGGGGTCAGGCCAGCTAGCCCGGATCACGAAGAAGGGCGAGCTGGACGACCTACCGAAGGATGGACGGTGGACAAAACATTACGGTGCTGTGAGGGAGAAGATGGGGAATCTTGAGCCTGGTGAGTGTTACGTTCTTTCTTGCAATGGTGTGTCGGGGTATATGCGCTTGTGTGCGGTGGATGTAAAGCACGTATGGGCTGCCCTCCCACCTTTCGACCTGCAATAACTCTGCAACCACCCTCGAGGCGGCTGTCTGTTGACCATCGCTGTCGCTGCCGACACTGTCTCGACACCATCGTTTCAATATGATAACATCTGTCCCAGAGCTCATCACTGACCTTGTTCTTTCTGATAGTCCATGGTGAAGGCCGGTCGCCTGTTGATCACATCCTACGCGTTTTTGATATGTACGCACAGTCCGATCCTGAGGCTTCACGAATGGAGCTGACCTCTGGCTGCTATCAGGTCGTACGAGTATGGACCATGCGTAGGCGTCACCCGTTTGGAAAGGTGGAATCGTGCAGAGGCTCTTGGTCTTAACCCCCCTCCTGAGGTACGTCTGTTGCCTTCTATGCTGTCAGGATGGCGTTCACATAAGCTCCACGTCTGCTATAGGTTAAGGAGATTCTATTGACTAAGGCGGGTAGCGAGGATACGCGCTTCACCGAATGTGTCTTCCATGGAGAGGTGTAGCGCTCTCCGCACAATCGCCTCTTCATGTTGTGTCGCTTGTTCTGTGCTTTGTCTGCTTCGCTGCTCGCCGTGTTGTCTGTCTCAAGTGCCTCGTGGACTGTACTTTGCTCTGTGTACACTACCGACTGTTGTGCTACAAGTAACGAATATATCCTTCGCAAGTGAGTCTCGACTTCGATGCGGGCGCGATGCCTTGCTATGATATTGACAAATTCGCAAGTACTGGCGCTGGACAGCGCCCAGACCCGCGGGGGAAACGTGGAGATTTGCTTCCACGGACAGTGTGTTGATTGGTTCATCAAACTTCCGGGCAACGCTGCCCTGCGCGTTGCCAGGCTCCCTGAATAGCGCAATATCATCCGGCGGCAGGACCGGTGCTGTGATTCCATCGTCTGTATCGTGGCCACTTCGTGTACAACCCCACCGACTTCTTCTCCTCTCCTCTCTCCGTTTGCGCGTACAGTATATCCCTATAGACTGCTAATATCTAGATATGCCTTCTTCGACGAGCTCCAGCAGTTCCGAGGACGTCACCGCTGGGCCCGAACTTCAATATACAGACAAGCCTTCGTCGTCCTCCGATGCTCTCAAGCACCCACTGGCCATCGTGACTGAAGACACTAAGCTCAAGCCCAGGCTTCCCAGTATCAAAATTAACACGCCTGTGTCCCCCAGGAAGTCGCTCAGGTCGCCCATAGCGAACTTCAACCTCAGGTCCCCGACAGCGAAGAGCGCACCTGCCGCGCCCCTACCGCCTGGCGCGCACCGACAGCGCTTCCGTGCGACGGTCCATCGTGTCATGGCGATGCGCCGCGCGTCGACAATAATGACCTCGGGGCGCATCGGCGCAGAGCCGGGCATCGACCCCCGCCGCGCGAGCGCGAATGCGCACTATGGTCACATCCGCCAACAGTGCGTGATCGAGATCGTGGATTATTCCGTGACGAAGTGCAGTGTGGGGCGGATGGGGAATCGCGAGGTGGTGTCGATGCTGCAGTCGCCAGAGGCGAGCAAGCGGGAGCCGTGGGCGAGGGTGCGGTGGATCAATGTGGGTGGGATCAGTTGGGACGTGTTGAGTGCGTTGGCGATACGATACGGTGCGTCTGTTGGATCCTTTTTGTGACAGGCATGCGTTACTGAACGTGTGCAGACATGCACCCTCTTGCCATTGAGGATGTCATCCACCAACACGGCAACAACGCCCGCTCCAAGGCGGACTACTACCCACAACATCTCTTCCTGCGCATTCTCTGCCACCGCCTTGCGTCTGAGGATCAATGGTACACAACCGACGATGATTCGGATGACCCTAGCAGCATAGACCCAGGCAAGATACCGCGCTCAGAGTCGCCAGGACCCATGGAGGATCTGGACTACGAGCGGAAGGGGTCGGAGAGCAGGCGCTTTGGATCCGCGAAGAGAGCGGCAACAGAAGATGTGGAGATGGTACGCGGAAGGTATACGAGGGCCGCTTCACTCGCGCCTCAGCCATCGAAGGTAAGTGTGCTGCGCCAGAGACGCTTCATGGGCTACTCAGCAATGAGTTGGGTTACAGAAGAGCTTTACGCGTGATAGGAAAGTACTTGAGAAGCTGAAGCTTGAGAACGAGGACCGGGTGAACGTCAAGATCAGCCCCGTCTGTATCTTCCTCTTCCGTGATGGTATGCGTCCATGTTCCGCTTCGTCACCATACACTCGCTAACATTTGTGAAGGCACGGTGATCTCCATATCGAAAGGTCCGTTAAGCATGGTGGCGGGCACTGAGCTATACTGACATTCATGATATGCAGAGTCGAACCTCGACTTCATGACGCCAATCCGGGAACGCCTCCGCCAGCCCGATACCGGACTGCGGAGAACTGCCGACCCGTCGCTGCTCGTTCAGAGTCTCATCGACCTCAGTGGGTCTCCACGCTTATTGCTACAACCCGCCCCTTACGTCTCGATCCAATCTTCGTGTAGTCGTAGATCAGGCTCTTGAGGTCGTCGAGGAGTACCAGGGCAAGATACTCAAGATCGAGCAAGACGTGCTCATTCGCCCGAAGATGAAGACCGTCACTGCGTGTACGTCTCGTCTTCCTTTTGCGGCTGTTCGATGACCAGCTGAGGTCAACGTGTGTCGCAGTACACATGATTCAGGGCGATCTGAACATGCATAAACGTACGCTCGAACCAATCAAGACGCTCATATACGGCCTTCGGCGGTACGACGCCGACCGTGCCGCAGCGATTATGGCGAGCGAGGGCAAGGTGTGGGAGGCGGTGACCAAGCCAGTTGGATTCATGAGCGAGAAGGCGAAGACGTACTTGGTTCGTGCAACCCCATTCATGACTGCAAATAGATGAAACTGACGACTTGAATGGTTGCATGTAGGCGGACGTGCACGACCATATGGAGTACATACTGATGAGTCTGGACATGTTTGCGGGAGTCAGCGACAACCTCATCAACTATACGTGTAACGTGCGTACAGCGTTATGCATCGTGCCCTTGCGGAACGATCTGACTTCGTGATTAGATGGTCTCGTACCAAATGAACGAGGGCATGTACGTGTCCTGCGCCGACCATGGTGTGACACGTCTGCTTACCCGTTCCATCCAGGCGACAGCTGACACTCATTACAATTATCTTCCTCCCTCTCACGTTCCTTTCCGGTTATTTTGTATGTTTCTATTCGTCCAATCCCGGTATGAATGACACGTCACACGTTCTGTAGGGCATGAACTTCACAAGATTCTGGTCAGTAAACAACAATAGCGACCTGTTGTAAGTCAGCTCAATTCCCCACGCAAGGCAAAGTCTTGATGTATGCGGGTGTTGTACAGGTTCTGGGAGATCGCAATCCCCATCTTGGCGGTCGTGGTGCCGCTGTTCTTGTGGCCCGATTTGATGCGGGCTGCGCGAGGCATACACAAACGCCTCATTCGGCAGCGCGTGGATGCGAGCGATCGTGCAAAGCCGTCTCATCGTGGCATGCACTGAGGTCAGTACATAGGAGTCGAAAACGGATGTGCAGTGATGCTGTCGGGGTTGACTATGTGGGGCTTTCTATTGGGACATCTATGTATTGTGTCGCACTATTGGTAATTTGTATATGCTTTGTTGCGCTGCTTTCGAATACACATCCATTTGTAGTACAGAGTTTTAGCATTGTGTTCATTAGACAATGGATCGGCAAGGATTAGTAGTACGTGGACTACACAGCAACCCGTTAGTCTCGCCGCAAGACCCTCCACGTCATGCGAGGGGTTTGGGTCAAGCCTAACCAGCCTGTCCGACAACAGCATCACCACAGATATATCAGAACCCAAGGTCAATCAATATATTTCCAAGAACCTCTCCTCTACATGCAGGATCTTTCCGTTACGTAGGGCTCCTCCAGGTCAAATCACCAACACATCACACAATAACCAAGAAGGTCACAATTCCATTTGCTAGCTTCCAGGTGTCACCAAATGGCAAGACCGAGAAAAGCGCACAAAAAGAAGAGCGAGGGGATCCCCCGACGACACAAGCCGATACTGCAGTGGCAAGGTCATCGAATCCCCGGGTTGCAAGCAGAGCCCGAGGACAAGGGCGGCAAAAATTAGATAACCAATAATGGAGGCGGTGCCTCCATAATAGTGGTTAAACTATTAAGAACAGATACTACACTTGATCTAAGCCAAAAGGCCAGAGTGGTAAGGATTCACGATGTCGGGGGGCGGCTTATATAGCGGCGAGGAGATGCGCACGGACCATCGGCGCTTGGATCATCCACGGAGGGTAAGGGACGCGGTCATGTGAGTCAATGTCGAGGGCATTGCGCCGAGCCACGGCACGAATATTCAACATTGACGAGATTGCTACGTTTACGGCCTGCACTGAATACGTTCGATACATAAGTAGTACAATGCCAATGTCATTCAGACTCAAAACACATGGGTCGCACAGGGTACTGTCAGGACGGAGGGCGAAGGTGGGGTATTCCAGATGAAACAAAGGGGACGTGCTGCGTCAAGAGAGGCCACTGGCAGTGCACGACTCTCGTAGCTATGGCGAAGAGGTGTAAACTAATGCTTCCTAGTTTGCGATCTCGCTTGCATGACGCTCAAGCGGGCAGTCTCAGCTGCAGCCATCCTTGACAAACGTGCAGTCTCGGCTGCAGTCATCCTTGACAAACGCGCAGTCTCGGCTGCAGTCATCCTTGACAAACGTGCAGTCTCCGTCGCTGTCATCCTCGCCCAGTTCGCGTGGTCCAGCGCAACTTGTCTAGCCTGCATGGCAGTATCGCGAGCGGTTGTACTGCTCGCCTGGAGAGTCGACTCCAGTAGCTTCATACTCGCCTTCGTTCCCATCTGCACGATGTCGCCGATCTGCTTCGCCCCTGTCCCTACCAGCGCACCCACGAGACCAGAGATCCCGCTGCTCTGTATCACCGCCGACTCGTCGTCTTTGCCGTGCAGACCGATTGTAATCTTCCCGTGCCGTGTCCCAATGATGCAATAGTCTTCACTCTCTTGTGGAGAGAATGCCTCCATATGAGTGGTCGTAGACGACAGGGAGACGAGCATCTCGTGGTCGTTCCCGCGGAGGACGCGTGCGCGTGCGGCGAAGGCTGGGAGGAAGGAAATCCCGCTGGTGCCGCGTCGCGTACGGAAGGCGACGATGCCGTCGTAGTTGGAAGGAAGGAAGACGTTGATGTTGCCGTGACACGTCGAGACATCGAGGTCGACGCAACGGTTTGGATGGATCTCCGTCTGTCCTGTTTGTCAACGAACGTCCCTTCAGACAGGTGCGAACTACATACCAGCCTAGCGTCGATGCGCCCATGGCGGCTTGACATCATCACACGGCCCCGCACTTTCCGCTCAGCATTCTGTGAGGCCGTGGAGGCCTGTAATGCCGCATTCGACTCCACGATGCTGAATACAACCTTCATGTTCCCATGGCGCGTCCTGAACGCCGCGTTCACGTCCGGCTGTCGCGTGCTGTGCCTGCGCAGCCAACCCCACTTATCCGAATCGTCCGACTCATTCCCGTCCTCTCCGTCTGGCATAGAGCCGAACACATCGCGCACATTTTGGGCGTGGGCTTTCTCCACGGAGCGGTCCCGCCTGCCCGGAGAGTTCGCGTGTCTCAATTGTGGATCGACGAGGTATGTTCCTGCACAAATGGTCAACGGCTTGCGCTAGATGGATGGGAGGGTTCCTTACCTATGATAGCGTCGTTCCTTGAGTACAAGGACAAGTAGTTCACAGTCTTCTCTTGAGGAGGGCGGAAAAGCGGCACAGAAACAGGGAGCTGTGGTGCCGTGGGAATGCGAGGCCGCGCCGAAGATTTATATTCAGGCAAGGGGAACTGGGGCGACGATTGTATGGAAGTCGCAGGGGAGGGACTGGGGAATTGTGGAATGGAGGTCCCCGACGTAGGGATCGGAAGCTGAGGCAGAGATAGGTGTGCCGTTGAATCCAATACAAGTGATGAAGTGCCGGCAATCTCCTCGTATGGCGGAGGCTCGTCCTGATTCTGGGCGATGGGGAGAGGATCATCAACTTTAATTCCCTCGCAAGCAGGCCAAACGACAGCACACCTGCACACTGAAATCATGGTTGTAAGCCTCGACATGTTTCTCGGAGGGCGAGTACTCTTGGATGATCATGGTGTCCTACCGCGGAGCTGCGCGTATGACAATGGAGGCGCAAAGAGAGATCGTCGCCTGGGCACTGGCACGACGTGGGTTGAGCGATGGAGGACAAGGTCTCTATCACCGGCGTCCCTCTCGGGCTATATAAGACGCTTAGCGCTGTTGCCGCGGGCGCAGCTCCTAGGGGCGGTGCAAACTGCCACAACGCACGTTGAATTCGATGTTAGCAATTTGTACATATCGTTTGACTAGTGCCTATACGAGTGAACATGGTCAGCCTTGTGCGAGGTAATTCAAGCAACGTACCTTTCGACGGATAGCACATGTCTAAGACTGCGCGATTGAATTCAGTCCAGTCCTGCAGCAGTATCATAGGCGTACAGGTCAGTAGAAAAGAGGCGCTGAACAATGAACACAATAATAGATCTCCACGATCGCATGAGGCTGGGCTCGGCCAGGGATCGGTGATCTACGACACGGGTTGGGATCTCGGGCAGTCGACGGCCTTCAGCAGGCCTTCAGGCGGCCACTGCAAAGTTCGACCATCACCAGTGGCCTCATTGTGTAATGCGAGTATAATAATGAATGCTGCCTAGACTCTCACGATGAGTCAGGAAAGTGGTTCATACAACTCCGTTCCCGACTTCGTCCGAGTCGAAAGTCACAGTTCCACGCCAAATGCCTCCACGAAGATATGAGAGAACTTTACTCAGTTGGCCAGCCTTAGTACCATGACCTCTTTGCGGTAAGAACACGGCTTGAGGCAATGGATCTGGGACGTCGGACTCAGCTTCAGACTTCAGGTTGTGTTCCAGTGGGCTCCCAACTCGAAAGAGGCGGTGATAGATCCGACCAGATGAATCAACCTGAGCTCATGTACTGTTTATGTACATGTCCCTGTGCACGGACAGACGAGCACATCATGCTTGACGACCGGTTGTCGATATATCGCCTAGTAGCGAAGGGAAGCCGCAAATGAGAGGTCCGCGCGCAAAACACAGAGAACGTGCATCCCATTGGCTGTCAGACACCACAAATAAGTCAACACCGACATGGATCACGATCATGAAAAGAAGCACTGACTTGGCACTGGTCATGGATTTCGCTCCCCGCGCCGCAGCACCTACTGGTCCATAGCTACCGTTGAAAGCCACCGCGAGTCGATTTTTGGACACTGAACATGTCAGTCGGATTGAACCGCCGAAGAGACAGTAGATTGTATGTTAACGGCCCCGGGCGACACCACCCCACAGCAAATGTGAGCAACATTCACAAGTATGCTCGCATCTAAGATGCGCGCATTTGTTGAGTCGCCTTCCCTCCCGAAAACGATACCCACTTCAACTGTGTTTCTGATGGCCACCGCATCGTGCAGGAATCCCGAAGAGGAGCGAGGCGTCCGAGTCGCTTTCGTAGCCGATGCCTGCTATTCAGGTTGCGCGCACAGAATTGTTTGATGCCGTTTGTGATTTCAATACCTATGTCCGCCGCGGAGCGCGACATTTAATTATACCGTGTGCATCTTCCGTCGCCAAAGCCTGAAGCATGGCACCGGCGCGGTTCCAAAGAGGCTGGTCGCGCAAAGAAAAAGAGTTCTTCGCAGGAACGCGGCATAGAATGAGCTAGTCACGTAAGACATGCTTCGCCTGCACGAGAGAGAGCAATATAGTACTTACGAGAGCGACTAAATCTTCGGTTAACGAGCACAATCCACGCTGTCTTCATAGTATCAAGAGTGGAGGCGCCTGACTCTACCGCAATGCGGTGAGCAAACCTCCGGACCTGGATGCATAATTGTCTGTTCATTTCCCGGTCAGTAATAATGATAATCACACCGTGTACATTCACCGAGAATGCCGGCTCCGACTCGGAGGTGGGCGCGAAGACGGTTACACCTATGTATTGCCCTCGTGTTTCGCCCTCTGCGGGCCGTGCTGGACCCTATCAGTTTTGCGTTTGTCTCAGGTGAGACAGTGCCGGCGCAGACTTGAATCTGTTCCGTTGCCAGTAGACGCAATGCTGGGACGTTCAGCCTAGCAAAATCCATTTGTAAGTCCTTCGAGGTCTGAGACAGCTGCGTTAAGGGCACATACGAACTCTGTCAAAACCCAAATCCCCGAAGCCCTTACACACGCGGTATGTATAGGGAAGCCGGCTGGAGCACATGGGTGCAAATTATAATCCAGGCTCAACGTCCAGTCATGCGCAGCACGCATGCTCCTTGCTCGACGGGCGGCCAACTGTCTGAAGATAGTAGGAACCCGTGGTGAACACAGATATACCGGTGTGTCAACCATCCCGTTGTACGACGGCAACTCACCAAAGCCCGGGACTCAGGTGTTAGAGCATTAATGTGAGCAGAGCGACTCAGTGACGTGTCCGAGTCTGAGATAGACATTGTAATCCTCTTGTGATCAGCACTATGCACGTAGTCGCGAAGCTCACTGACCCGTAACAAAAAGAACGGCACAGCCATATCAGCCACATACCTCAACATATGTAGTAATAGATGGCAGACATACTGGGATTACAACCACGGAACCCCGCTAGGCCGTGATTGAACCGCATACGATGGCATTGCGAATCTTGCGATGACGCCGGACGTTAAGTCGCATAGACCTTCAAGTTTACAAAACGATGAGATTGATGCGACCTTCGTGGGTCTCAGAGATAGGATGTGAGTCCGAGCGGACGCTTACGAGTGGTCCTCTCCTCGCCGCGCAAGTTGTACTGCGATAGATGGTGGCTCTGCTGCCAAAACTACTGACAGTGGACACTTCGACGTCCGACATGGGATCTGGATCATGTATCAGCGAAAGTTGACAGTGATTCTCGAATTGTGGAGACCTTCTCATTTCCTTCATAGATAGAAGATTCAGGTGGCCAGAGTTCGTCGCATCATGCTTGGTGCTGCAGACGCAAATACTATCTCCGCCTGTCGAAGGCACCGGTACCGTTCCGATGGGGGCGCGTCGATGCGATTGAATTCATACTATGATAGCACTTAGCGAGGGGAAGCCATGGGCCCATCTGCCGTAGCACTATCCGGAGATAGGAAAATGGACGCGAGCCTGAGTTCGAGAGTTCCTCAGACTTACACACGGTTAATTGAAGATGACCCGCAGACTCGCAGACCCGCCAGTACATACGCTTACGTAACATGGAATCCTATTCAACACGGTCACGGTACTAGCTAAGTACGCTCCGCTTAAGTAGTAGTCTCATACCGGGACTAAGAACCCTCCATCGAACCTACGCTTCGCCGACTACCACAGGCCCTCAGAGAAGATTCCGAATCAAAGTTCTTAGACTCTCACAATACAAGACTTCACGGTATCTGGGCCTTTCAAATTTCCCACTGTCAAAGTCTATAGTAGCCGGGATAGTACTGGTACACATTGTAGTTGACCGCATAACGCATATAACGCGAGAGCTCTTGATGACATTTTCCCGAGCCGTGTACCAGTGGCCATATCCGTGGCTTCGATCTCGTCGGAGCGAGCCAGCACAGCTATCATCCGGCCCTGGCACGAGAGTATTATTGGTGAGCCAGCGGCTTGACTGCAGTCATGGCAACGTGCACTTACCCATCACCCATGCAGACTTGTGCGTGCACTCTCATTTTTGCCGCCGAATCTATCCATCGTGAGGTGGAGGTAGCGCAGACGTGCAGAGCCGGCCAGAAGGTCGGACCAGGCCTCGGTACTGCAGTTGGGGTGTACTTACATGGATCACGAGCGCGACGGGCTGGATGTTTCGCACAGCGTTGATGGCCCCTGTGCGGTTGTCCCGTATTCTCATTGCGCCAGTCCCACACCCGGCGGCACGCTCGGTGGACAGCAGAGCGTTTATACGGAGTAAGTGAATTCCTGGCGCGTTCTTCCATCCTTGCAGCATCCCGACGCATTCACTGACGCACTCGAGATCCACCAGCTTGGTCTCCTGGAAGTCCGGGTTTTTCCGTGCAAGGAACATCACTGGTGTTGGGTCGATATGTCCTAGGTCGACCCTGCGAAGCTTGGGGAACAAGCAGAGCAGGGCGGGTACTTTGGGGGACCCCGCGTCAGTCGCGATCTTCAGGTATTGCAACAGCGGCGTGTATCCCGACCCTAGTATGCACTGTCAGATGCACAAGATCGGACATGCAGAATCCGAGCTACACGTACGCGGCGCTTCCAATATACCGCCATGTACGGTGCCCAAGACCTCCCAGTTCTGGCTCGACCAATGGCAGATGGAAGAATATGCTTCGTGCGATTGGCGATGCGCTGGTACACCAGCCCTCAGCCCCTTGCAACGTGAGTGACCTCAACCCCGAGGCGAAGCGCAAGAAGTCCGCGAGAAGGGGGGCGACGTCCTTGAGCATTTCTGCAGGCGGTGGTGGGGAGGGTACCCCGTAGCGTTGTGTCTCACGCAGGATATGCAGCTATCGTACGAACGAGAGGCGAGGGTGCATAGTGTAGAGCATGTATTCGCAGTATTTGCCGACGTTCTCGACCCGGCGAAACGTGACGTACTAGTTAACTGAGTGGTTTCTGGCGATGAGATGGATACCCCGCGCAGTGAGGGAGAGGTTGATTGCGTCGCGAGTGTCGAGGAGGACTGTTATCATTGTGAGCACATCGTCGTTCATGGCGAGCAACGACATCTCGAGGGACTTCTTGCTAGTTGATCGTACGCAGATGGGGTACAGTGGAAGGTGTACATACTGTGTACAAGGAGTACTGCACATCGAACGTACCTGACAACCATTGTGAGGCGTTACACTTACAGTATAGCCCGTACTAACGTGGACATTTGCGGTGCAATTGCTCCTTTGGGATGGACTCGGACATCGAATGGAATCGTCCACTTGCTGTCAACCCTGAGAAGTTATCATGCGGCAACATAACGGTTTACACAGTACATCGCTACGAGCCTATCATACATTTGCATATCACCGGTAAGTTGAGAGCTATGACAGCGGCGATACTATGAGGACGCGACGAACAGCCTCATGAGCAGCAGGCTTACGTCCCAGAGTCACCCGGCCTGCTACTAACCCAAGGTCATAAAGTACTCCATACTATCCTCTCGGTCCGGCCGGGAACTGTGCTCGAACATGTAGTGCACGACGCACCTCGAGAGATGAAAACGGTTCAGTATGAATCCGTACAGCACAGACGCACCCTCGTCCGTCAGCCAGTACGCGTGGGAGAACCAGAAGCGTATGCGCACGTCAATTCCCAACCCCATGTAGCGTGCGGGGAGCGCGCAAAGCAGTTGGTCGAGCTCGTCCCAGGGGAATCGATATAAACCGTCGGGGCTCCATGGGAAGCGGAGATATACGCGCAGGGCGATACGGTGGCGGGACCTCTTGATGACGTGCCTCACGAGGACTGGTACCCATTCGAGTGTGCTTGGATCCAGGTTGTACGGGAGATCCGTCTGGCCGATGGTGAGTGACCGCACGTTGGTGACTTCGAGCTTCTCAATGACATGACAGAGGTCTATGCAGTGATGAGACCAATAACCCGTGAACACACGTTTTGTTTGAGTGTGATAGACGTACCCTTCTGTACATCACCAGTACCAGCGCCATCTACCGATAGGGCGATCTCCTCCAGAGAGCTCCCGACGACATTGTCCAGCATATGGAACAGCGGACTGATGCGACGGCAACACCAGTTGACGCGCAGGTGCCGCAAGCGCAGTATGAAGCGCGGTTGGCAAAGCACCGCCGCGAGTCGAAGAGCTTGTCTGCTCATCAGTAGGTCGAGCCGGTCGATGACCAAGTCAGGGAGAGGCGTCCGCCTGTCGAGGCTCCTCGGATGCACGAGCGCGCGCATCGGCTCCATCGCAGGTCTGTCGAAACCAATCCACAGTGTCTGGGTGCGACACAGCAAGCCCGGATCGCCGACATGTATGCTCGACAGCTTCGGAAAGCCACAGAATAGCTGGACGAACTGTTCCGGGTCCTTGATATCGCATTCCTCCAGCTTCAGGCATGTCACGTTCGGAAAACAGTAGACCAGGGCGTCCATGAAGGCCGCAGGGAGGTCCACGGCAGTCCAATAGGCAAGGGTGAGAGTCCGAACGTTGGGGAGTCCCCGGAACGCGCGTATGGTGTGGTCCGTGTCAACATCGCGGAGTGGCAGATCCTGTAGGATGATCTCCTGCACGAAGGGCAGGAACGAGATCGGCTTCGGCATGCACGAAGTAACGAAGCCTGTGAACAGGGTGCAATAGAGTGACGACCGGATGCGGATGCGTTCGAAGAGATGTGGGCGCGTTGCCGGGAACCAGGCGCTGCACGTCAAACTGCACATTTTTAGTGCCCGTGGGTTCGTCCAGAGGTGATCCAGGACCCTGTTCATCACCTCCGGGGCAAGGCAGTAAGACACTCTCTTGGGGCCTGGATCTTGTACGCTGGGACGAGAGGGATTTGCATAAGCGAAACGCGGCAAGGTCGACCTACGCTCGTGACTATACAGGACAGAGTCAACGTACTCTTCAATGATCTCGGTCGGCTGCCAGCATAGCTGTCTTGGGGGCATGACGGGGGACGTGCACAATATGTGCTAACAGAGGACTGCACCTTCGCTTCTATATACGCACGTTAAACAATGCCAGACGGCCATGCGCCGGTAAAGCATTGTTGTACGTCGTCGTCCACGGAGGTCGCTCTGCATTGCTATGCTACCTAGTAGGCTTGCATTGTCAACGACCGTGCCGAACCAATATGATGCTCAATCACCGTGGTCTGGACATGGTGTGAACTACATGCATATGTCCAGCATTCAGATTAGACCGACGTACCTCAGCCAACAGGAATCAGTCGAGTACGCCATCAACTTCAAGCTCTCATACAGGATTCTTTCTGCAGATATTACGGGCTAGAAAGCTCGCATACGGCAGAAAGCCTGAGACGGAGTCAAGCTCGTGTGTATGGCTTGCACAACATGTTACGGAGACAGACAAGGGAGGAACTGGGATGATGCACCAGAGGCAACTGGCAGACCTCACGCGCACGGGCCAGAAAGTCGACTCGGACTCGGAGCGGATACGGGCCGCACGACTTTGGGCGCTCCGACACGCGCGGGGTGGCCACGGTGAATGCATGTTCGCATACGATTCACATATCCGACGTTCGTCTTACTCAAGACTGGTGCGAGGTCTAAACAACAAGTAAGGAGGCTACAATACAATAATGACCTAAGTCCTGGGGAAACGAATTGGTCGTCCGAAAGCAAAATACAGGTAACTCCGCCATTTCCAGTCCATGTTTGTCCGAGAGGTCATATACATCCTTCATCACTCCTGGTCCTGACCTACTGGCTGCGATACCTGCTTTCCTTTGTTGGTCGATTGAGGCGCATCGATAATATTGGCCTGGGCCTCGAGCTGCGCTGCCCACATCGCAGCGCCGATAGTGTTCGTGAAGCTGAACAGGAGGCCAATGAGCGGAATGTAATTGAACAGCAGTGTCGCAGAACCAAAGCTATGCAACATGTCAGTAGTCGCAAGAGATCTAAAATTTCAATACTCACGCCGCGTACTCTCCCCTCTTCCTGTCCACGAAAGCTTGCCGCTGATTCTTCGAGAAGCCCTTGAGCTGGAAGTATCGCGAATGCCAGCCTGGTCCACTGGTGTATCCATTGTAGAGTACGAATAGAACGGTTCCCAGCACAGGGACCATGTTGATCGGCAGCGTGATGAGATAGCGCACGATGCCACCAGTAGAGAGGATTTGCAGGGGCTTGACGAGCGCGCTCTCGACGCTGACCGTGGCGCCTTTGCCACGAGTTTTGCCTGCCTTAACGAGCTCTCCCTGTCCCCGTGCACGGAGTGTGTTGTCGAATACTTGCGTCAGGGCGGGCTCAAGGAAGAGCGGGCGTGCTAGGAGAGCGAGCAGGAAGGCAGACTCGGCGCCGACGACGACGATCGCAAGGACTGGTGCGAGAGGACCAGAGACGGCCGCAAGGATCGCCATCTGGGGTATGTAGGTGAAGAACATGAGAAGGCCGAAGATGACGGCAGAAGCCACCAAGGACTTGACGATGGCCGGGCGTACGCCCATGATGACATTGGGATCTGTATGCCCGTGAACGTGTGAGTACACACTTGCAGCTAAGTTATGGCACAACCTACGTGTGATGGCGAAGTAGATACCACGGACAGGCCAGAGCCATGCAAAGGAGGCAATCCCATGTGCCCCAAGGACGAGCGCTCCTTGGGTCTCGCTGAGGACCTTCTGCAAGGCGGCTTGCATGTGTGAGTTTTCATGAGACGACATGGCGGTTGTGGGGATCAGAGGTCGTGGTTGAAGTTGGAGATGGGTGTGCTGGAAGCGGAGAGAAGGCGAACGTGAGTACACGCATGGTCACCGTCGCCGTACTTAGGACCGCCCAGGCGCCGGAGGGTCTGTGAGATCATAGTGGCACGTTGCACGTGGATGTGACACGTCGCGTTAGACACCAGCGCGCCGCACGCGTCAACCGCCATCATCATGGCCGCCATGCACTTTGACTCTGAGGTTCCGTGTATACAACCACGAAAACAGTCACGTCTGTGCCAGTATGGATTCCTACAAGTGCGCGTTGGAAATCAACAGTGGTCAATGACGCGGCGACGTACCAGTTCGATCGGTTGACAGCAAAATTGGCCGCGCGCGCCGAGGGAGTATCCACTGGCCGATATGACTCGCAGCGGTGAGCGTGCCAACCACATGCATCAAAGCCAAGTTTGGGGTATGTTGGTAGATATCTCATTCTTCGTATCAAGAGAGCTTGTCACAGTGACGTCTATTTCTGCGCGGGTCAACGTCCTGATGGTTGGTCCTATAATTGGTGAGCCTGTTGCTCTTCGGCGCTGTTTTGCTTTACAAATTCTCTCCATTCTGGCAGACAGACTCTTGGAGAGAGTCAGACGTATCACTGCTGTACAAGTTAGAGTGTTACCGACGGTTGCAAACAGACACGGTATCGAATTCATCCTCACTGAGACATACGGGCCCTGGAGCATGCGACCCTGACGGTGTCCGCTTGACGTGGCAGTTTCATGGAAGCTTGTGGACGATCAACACAGAACACCGACAGCTGAAGGGAAGTACGATGCAGTATTGGCATGCATATGACTGACGGCGCCGGGCATGTTACTTATAGCTCCACAAACATGACCGCGGAGCGTGGGACAGAAGACTAGAGCAAGCCGTAAGCCTATCTCATGTGTTATACTGATATGCTCTCCGCTTTCCTACACTACCTCTCCGTTGCACCATTGGCCGCCTCGTGTAACTGGTCTCGAGCGCTCTCGCCGTCGGCGAGTGCTCGCAACCATTCGGAATATACAGATTGTGCTTTAGTGTCGGACTTGCTCTCCTTCGATGCGGCAGTAGGAAGGAGCTCTTCACCCACCACATGGCCTTGCCACCCCCTGGCGCAGTTATCTGAAGTGTGGTTTGCCCTGCTTCGATCACTTCTGCGACTGCTCGTTCGAGGAGAAAGGGGGTCAGAACGCATCCCTCGGCACTTCTCACCGCACGTACGTGTACTTTTGTTTCGGCCCCGTTCAATAAGCGTACCAGTGGCCCGACATTCCTGACTCCGGTCCGACCCGCAGTTCTGCCTCAAGGAGCCTGCATGGGTAATGTCCGCTATCACACTATGCCTTCGCGGACCCCATAGATACGTGTCCTCCGGTCGTCTGCGTACACCCAACGTTAGCGGTCATTCATTGAGCTGCCCTAATGAGTGGGGTACTCTGCTCATTTACCAGGAGACGCCATGTCGTCCTCTTTGTGTACAGATCTTGGGGTATGTGTATCAAGGATCGTGAGGACGAAGCACTTACGACATTTGCGTCCCGGCCAGGTCAGATACGCCCTCTATGCGACCTCGCGGCGCACATGGTGAAGCTACGGACAATTGTCGTCACTCTGTTCACCACGGCAACATACTACGACCGCATCCAGAACGAGCTCAAGCGCAACTTCGCGGCAGAAGACATCCATCGTATGATGTACATCAGGTATGCCTCGACCATGCTTGCCCCACACACGTAAGCTACGTTCTGATGTCCTCGCCAGAGTTATTGCTTTGCACCATAACCGTACCGACCCACTCGACAACCGAATACTCGAGAACTCGTTCTCAAAGGCGTTCGAGCGGCTCACCAACCTTAGGGCCATTGCATGTATCCACACCGGCATGGAGTTCGAGCCCATTTCCGCACCCGATGGCGTAATACTTGACGTGGGTCGCTTTCATCCGATCTCTCTTTGTACTCATTTATGGTGTCGCACGTATACAGTTCCAGGGTCGCGGCCCACTCTCAGAGATCCGGCGCATCAGCCGCAAGCACGTCAAGGTTTATGTCTGGTTCGCCGGCGCACCCTCCGCAATCTTCCGCATGTACTGCCCGGAACAGATAGGCGGGATTGGTGACCTGCCGGCGAAGAGCGAACATCTTGCCAGGCGCTCTGGCATGAGCATTGAGCGTGCGGCAGGCGAGGTATGTCTCCCTAGGCCTTCTGTCGACGCAGGCTTATAAGACCAAGCCTCGGGATGTGATAGATAGCACTCGGAAACTCGGCATGCCTGATATGTATCCCGGGATTGCCCCCAATTTATGACTACGAGGTCCAGCCACAGCACGTGAGTACACTAGCTTGTTTCCTCCTTGCTACGTACTGAAGAGCTATGCGGGTAGTTGATGGGCCCAACGGGTCAGGTCGGCGACATGATGTTAACAGCCTACGAGTCAGTGCCCGACCACCGCGTTCCACTTCGCAGTCTACTGACCATTCCTACAGTACCCTGGCAGGTTGCGACGGGGTGATCTTGGCTGCGCCAGAGTGCTACGAACGCGAAGCCACTTCGGTGCTCAGGGAGTGGTTCGCTTCAACGTCCCGCTCCGTGTACGCATGTGGGCCGCTTATGACTCGGGTCCCCGATGGGCGCATCGTGGAGAAGCCGCAACCCAGTAATGCGCCCGTGGAAGAGTTCTTATATGCGACCGTGGCAAGCCATGGGGAACGCTCGCTCATATATGTGAGTGCCTTGGTAGGTGAACGGAGATATCGGCTTCTGAAGCTCGGCCTCACAGATTTCATTTGGAACTATTTATTGGCCTTTAGAATCAGACAAGCTATCTGCGTTTCTCGACATAGCCATGGCCATGAAGATTCCATTCGTAAGCGTCGTCCGCTCTGCGCGCCCAGTAATACGCTCACTACGGCTAGATTCTCAATCACGCATCGCCATACCTGCCTGCGGAGGATTTCATCGTTCAGAAAGTCGCGAGCTACAAATATGGATTGTTTACCCGCTGGTGTCCTCAGCAATTAATTCTTAGTCACTCGGTAAGTAGAAAGCCACGGATGTTGCCATTAAAGACTGATGTCGCACAGGCAACTGGATGGTTCGTGACCCACGGCGGTCACAGCAGCGTCATCGAATCCATCACCGAAGGTGTACCCATGTATGCACTTTCTCCCCTGCACGAAAAGGGCGCACTGACGACGCCACTTCAAAATTACAGGATATGTTGGCCTTTCTCCTTTAACCATTCCCTCAACGCAGTGCGTGTCAGCGAGAAGTTGAAGATAGGGTACGAGCTGCTCGAGACGCGAAATGGACCGGGGCTTAGACGGGCGCACCGTCTGGGCAATGCGCCGCAAGGCACTTTGGAGGCATTCGTAGCAGAGGCTCGAGATGTCATGCGCAAAGCACTGGGCGAGGACGGGGTCCGGAAGCATCGCAACGTGCAGCGGCTCAGACGAGAAGTCGGACAGGCCTGGAGCAAGCGTGGGACCTCCAAGAGAGCGGTCGAGGATTTACTGAGCTCGTTTGGATGTGGAGGACACTTCTTGCCTGCTTGGTTGTGTTGAAACGCTGCATAAGTACAACTGCAGGGATTCAATATGGGAACATTTTCAGTTAATTGAGTGCACGAATACACTGAAGTATATGTACTATGGTACGCTGTTGGCAGTGTCACTGTCAGCATGATTCATGAACGCCCTTGAGCGCCTCACGCCTCATCCGTGACAAAGTGTCACAATCAGCAGCCCGTGATGCGACGCGTCAGGCTGTAACTTAGACTATGCAGGCCGAGCCAAGGCCGAGCTTGCCAGTCTGCACTTGGTCTGCACCCCGGGTTGATCAGAGTCGAGTCTGGCATCATACTCATACATTCATTTATGACATCCTCAGTGTCGTTGGTCTGTGGAAAAGTGAACGATGCACCAAAATGAACCTGACAAGGCACCACGGGTGCGTCGAGTTGTGAGTCATCTTCCTTGCCCCCCCTCCGCCTCTGGAACTCGTATTTTGCGCAAGCAACGGCCGTTACATACCGGATGGTCTACGGCCGCATTGCTCGCCAAGCGATCTCAAGACACGCGAAGATGACTCTGTGTCAGTTCCGCTTAGGGGGTCGGCACCCCCAGACATGGTCGACGTCGCGATCTCACAACCCTGCTCAGTGTTCAACGAGACGCGGTTGTGGTCCAAAGGCTGCTATGCTCAACTAGGCTCAGATCCTCCTTGGTGTGTCCCCAGAGCTTCCGATCCATCACCACGGTAATACCGCACAATGACCGAAGAGTCGCGGCCGAACGGACGAATGTTGGCACATCCATGGATCAGCATGATAGAGAAACCTTGCGTAGTGTCTGACGGCCACATCTACGACTTCACTCTATTGTGACGAGAGAGGCTCACGCGTCGTCTCGCCCGGACGACGTGCATCAAAGGTACGACTCACATACACTCCCACTTCGATCTTATATCTTCTGTCCCATCCCAATAGCACCCGTCGCGTGGAGCTGGGGTCTCGCCTGTCAAGTAGTCATCCCATAGTATTGAAACAAGCTGACATCACTGGTCAGTACTTTGTCACATCGGAGGCTGCGACGCTATGGTCCAGATTTCGGGCCTTTCGCCCATGTATGACTATGAGTTTCACCCGCAGACAGTGAGGTTACCCGCTGCTATCAATGATGTGATCTGCATTCAGACGGTATGTCAGAGGATGCCTGTTGCCGCTGGCATGGCCTTGATCTCTCATGCCCTTCTCGCAGGTCACTGGCAGTGGATGGTTCGTAACCCACGGCGGCCACAATGGCGTTGTTTACGCGATCTGCGCCAGCGGACCAATGTAAGTCATTGCACCAGATACTCGGCCTACACGAGATACTCACATGCCACAGGATTCGTTGGACATTCGCTTTCGGCCAGCCACTGAACGCGATGTACCTGACTCAGAACCCGAACGTCGCATACGAGGTTTTCAACGTACGCACGGGGCCAAATCTAAAGCCTGTCTACCGCTTTGACAAGGCACCTGAAGGGACGCTTAATGTTGTGAGAGGAAGCAGGGGAGGTCCTGCGTCTCGCTTTCGGTGAAGATGGTCAGCGCAAATGGGAGAATCTGGTTCTGCGACAGGAGATCCTTGATGCCCGCTCCGAACAAAGGCGCCCAACGCGGGATATACAAGCTTTCTTGACGCATTGTAATGACGATGCACGCTGCTGCAGGACGTACGAGAAGGCATAACGTAAGACTCAGTGTCGCTCATCTAGGGTCTTCTGCGCTCGCATCTTACGAAACTTGAACATTCACAGGTAACGGGAAAGCTGTGATAGCCAAAAAGCCGGACGCGTGTAGACTACAGGAATCATGACATCAGCTGAGCCGTATGATGTCGCTTCTGTAGCCTCGGAAGTCGGTTCATACCTGTCGGCTCGATAGTGGGTAAGCACCTACTGGCACGCAATACACGTTGACCATGAACCTGCCATGAACCGTTTCTATGAAAGCCGAAGCCGTGATTAGGCGATAACACTTCGTGCGGAGTACCCGTGTATTGACTACGATTTCTGTACAGATCGCTCCGAGCAGCTGCGTTCCACAGGGCCTCAGGCTATAGCCATACCGCCGCCGTGAAGTTTTCCAGTATAATTGCGGTCTGGCGGCACAGGCCCACCACACTCGGGCCAGTTGCGTGATATCACAGGCTCGGATATGTGTTCTACCGCATAGCAACGCGGTTGCAATACATGATGCCGCCTCAAGCTCAGCAACCCGGCGGGAAGATAGTCGTCCGGTCGCCTCTGCTGCGCAAGGCCTCAGGCCTCACGGGTCGTCATTGACATGTTCTGTAGATTGTCAGGAAGTCCTGCGATGTGGAACGACGTCTTGCGGGCAACATTCGTGTATAGGGCAGCAGAGGACAGTCGCGCCTGCGTGACACTTCTTCTACACGACGGCGGTGTCGCTGGCCTCTTGAGGCCTAGCGCTCCGCTCGCCGTATGCAGGACTTCCTCACGGACAATCTTAGCTCCACTGGCACGCTTGCTCGGGTTCGCGGAGCACGAATAAATGGTACCGGTGAGCCCCATCTGCTCTTGGGATCGAGAACGAATGAATGCATAGAAGGTAACACATAGGGTACCGATCTAGTGGGAACTCTCGGCGACATGCATATCATGGCCCTCGGCGCATAAGACCCCTTGCCAACACACCTCAGCGCACGTCACCCAGCCCCTCCTCCTACATTCAAGCGACGATATGCCGGTAGCTGAGCCTTCGTCAGTCGAGTCAGTCCTTCACTGCGTCATTTCACTCACTGATGTACATGTTGCCACCTGGCACCAGTTTCAGCAATACACATCTTGACGTCCTTACCGGACGTCAACTTGACTTGAGCGTCCCTAGCAGCCATGGGCATATCGTTGTATTTGCGTATGAAGCCTGGGGTACGTCGGTTACTTCGTTGAATATGCAGACGTGAATACTCATGAATTAGTTTAGGTCATGCACGTCCACTCTGCAACTTGGCGGCTAGGCTAGTGCAATCGAGAAACATCATAGTGACATTCTTCACCACCCCAGCTTTCTACGATCGTGTCATGTCAGAGCTACTCCGCAACTTCGACGCGGATGGGCTTGGTCTCGATCGCATCAGGTGGGTGACGCTCTGGCATGTAGATGCAGATGCAGTCTGATGCCGAGACAGAGTTATCACGTTAATCCATACGGGGATGCATTCGCTTGACAACACAGTATTGAATGATTCCTTCGCACAGGCATTCGACAAGCTCGCTGAGGGCGACCCAGTGCAGTGCGTCCACACCGGTGTCACGCACGAACCCGTCTCTCCCCCGAAGGCCGTCATAATCGACGTAAGAGTTCCAGACTCCCATTGCGTAGGAAGTCCGTCGTCGCTCACTGCGACAACCGGCAGTTTTTCGGACTGCCACTTCTGCAAGCCGTGCGCCGTTTGAGCGGAGTGGGAGAGCCCATAAAGGTCTTCGTGTGGTTCGCCGGAGCGGCCGCTGTCGTTTTCCGGCTTTGTGCGCCAGAGCGGCTCGGGGGCATAGGCAATCTTCGTGCCAAGAGTGAGGAAGAAGCGATCCGCAAACACGTTCGGGTAGAACAAGCCGCAGGAGACGCATGTCTTTCTCATTCGTATCATTCCTCTTCTGACCAATCAGCATGTAGATCGCACTCGGGAACGATGGTGCGGTAGTACGAATTCCGGGGCTTCCGGCAATATATGACTACGAGATTGAACCGCAGAAAGTAAGTGCAGACAATACTGTACGTTATAGGCGCTGAGATGCATATGTCTAGATACTTGGTGGCAGAGCACTGACCGGTGCTATGTGCCTTGCAGCATACGAGTGAGTGCCACTGACACAACTCGTCAATATCAAAGCTCAGCTTAGACAGAGTGTTCGAGACCTGCGATGGTATAATCCTAGCAAGTCCAGAAAGTTACGAGCCGGAAACCACAGCTGCTCTACGACAGTGGATGGCGGGGACCTCGCGTCCGGTGTACTGTGCAGGTCCTATGATTGCACAGGGCACGCATGCAGACAGCGTTGAGAAGGGACAGTCGGAAAGCATCGCTGAGGTCGACGATTTCCTTGAGTCGACTATGAAACACAACGGTAAACGGTCTTTGCTATATGTAGGTCGACTCATCTATGTCGTCCTCTGCATAATTTTACTCATAGCCTAGATATCATTTGGGACGGTGTATTGGTCGATGGAACCGAAGAAGATTTGGACCTTTCTGGATGTCGTTCTCGAACTCCGAATCCCATTTGTACGTTCAACTTCTCAAGGATGGGGCGATATTCTAGCGTTTCTATCCTCACAATATGCCCCTAAAGATCATGAGCCATTCGTCACGCTGGGCGACCGTACCAGAGGAGGTGGCCGACAAGGTCAGCCGCTCTGGAAACGGTCTCCTCGTTCGGTACTCACCACAGCAGCATATCCTGAATCATCCGGTATGTCCCAACGACTTTCTCAATTGTCGTTGATTGATCTCAGCATGGCTTCTACGTATAGGCAACCGGATGGTTCTTGACTCACGGTGGCCATAACAGCATCATTGAAGCCATATGTGCCGGCGTGCCTATGTACGTCATCGCTTCCTGTGTTCTTCATCTGGCTTATCCAGGTTCTACAGGATCTGCTGGCCATTCTCTTTTGATCAACCCTTGAATGCGATCCACTTGACAGAGAACTTAAACGTCGCATACGAGATATTCCAGGGTCGCACGGGACCGGGTTTAAAGCCGATCCACCGCCTCGGAAAGGCTCCGGAGGGCACCCTCGATTCCGTGAAAGAAGAGGCACGGGAGATTCTACTCAACGCTTTCGGCGAGGACGGTATACGCAAGCGAGAGAATGTACAAGCTCTGCGACAGCGGACACTCGATGCTCGTTCCAAGCGAGGCACCTCTACCCACGATATTCATGTATTCCTGGACACGCTGTGACACTAATAGAGCAGGCTTACAACGGATACCGAAGAAGTAGGAGGCAAGGTCTCACAACGTGATCATGTCCAACCCGTTTACTCATTATAGCTACAGGGACAGGCTGCGTGGTTGTCACTAGCCGGATACATCCGGACTTCTATCCAACGGCTACTGTGTGCCCTACATTCTACGAAGCTGGTTGTAGCCAATCCCTCTACGCCTGGTGACAGGAAACTTCATATTCGTGGTCACGAGGGTGAGGGAACCTTGATGCGATGACGATCAATGCAAGGTTGCTCCGCCACTTGTCATGACGATGGAGACTTCCCATTAAGCGTGTGGTCGAACGCGCGTGGTTGAGACTTGTAAGTCGTCAGGAGTTTCTGCATGACGGTTCCACGCGTGGACCTCGGTGAGCTTCTCGCCATATACCTCCTATTACGTACATCTCATCCAGCACTGGCAAATGCGTGGCACAAGGTACACTGTCTAGTCTCTGGGGCCTTCTACTCAAGACTGAGACTACGCGGAGTCGGTCTTAACGAACATGCACTTCTGGGTCCGGCTACCAAGCGCTTCGCCTCATCATCTTCCTGTGCGGACGTATACCTGATAATTTCAGATCGTTGCGAAGTATGATGCACAAGCTCATGATCACGCATGGGCAAATGAAGATGCAGCCTTCCCAGGATGGTCAGTGACGTGTGAAGCATATGTGAAGCATCGATCTCATTGACTGCCGCGTATGACAGTGTAGGCGCGCGCCGTCAAAGAGATATTATCAAATGACGATACGTTCTCTGGGTCGTGCGCTCACAGTTGGGCTTCACGTTTGCAATGTTCATCGCAATGGGCTCGTTGAGGTTCTAGACAAGGTCACAGTTGACGCTACCGATTCAGGGTCGACGAACTGGGAATACTTTGGCGACGTACTGTAGCGCGCGCACAATGTAAACCTTTTGTCAATAGCCTCCTCCTCGTGCGTGCACGTTGGAGCGGGGAAGCATGCCCCTTTCTCGGGCTACATGTACGAGGTGAGTACTCAATGATATATGTGGAAGTACACGCTCACGTTATCTTGTACAGATGGTCTGCAGGACACGACTATCAGATAGCAGCGCGGCTCTCTTGACATTAGTGAGTTCGTATGCTGTACACAAGGCAGCAGCTATGCGTAAGTATGACACTCATGCTGTACATTGCGTTGTCGAAGGTCCAGGTCAATTGCCACTCCAATTTCTGATCACAAGTGTCGCTTAGTACGCAGTCGTGGGTGAGCCTTCCATACTCCGTCCCCGTGTTTGTATTCCCTTCCGTGCGAAGCGCTTTCCAGTTCCATCTGAAGTACATCATTCAGAGCTTCTGTTTGGCGCATAGAGCCTAACGACTCACACGTTCGAGACCGCAGTTCTCATCACTTCTGGGGAGCATGAGATGCTTCGTATGATATATATAGAGGACATGCAGTAGTGTATTGTCCACTCTCCACCATTCTTCAACATGCCAACTGCGTTGACTAAGGAGAGCGATGTCGATGTTCTGATCGTCGGTGCCGGTCCTGCTGGGCTGATGTGTGCGATGGCCTTAGCTCGAGCCGGTGTGAACGTCCGCATCATTGACCAACGGTGAGTAGTCGGGATATGTAGCACCAGCAATGTTTCACGTATCACTGTCTCCAGCCCGGCGAAAGTCGCTGCGGGGCAAGCGGATGGTATCCAGCCACGGATAGTTGAAGTCTTCCAGGTCTGTCCATCAGTCCATACAATAATCCTTTCTTCTGACTTTGAGAACAGAGTTACGGCTTCGCCGATCGTCTCTTCAAAGAAGCGGTCCAAGTGCACATGGCAGTGAGTCCGTGATCTGAGGGTACCACCATCTGTGTATTGACGGAGGGCGAAGGCGTTCTATAACCCGGGACCAAATGGTGGCATCGAAGTACGTCTTCATCTAGCCAACATCGCGCGATACATTGAGAGGTTCCCAGCGCACAGGTCGTGCACCTGATGTTACTGCGCCTACGGCACGATGGGCGTTTGAGGTGCGTTCTCGCATCATCGCTCAAGAAGTTCTGATCAGTGACGGTAGATGCATCTTCGTACCAGATGGCGCTGCATCAAGGGGGCATAGAACAGATCTTCTTGGATTCTATGGCATCGAACGGTGTGGAGGTAGAACGGCCTATGATACCAACAGCAATCCAGCTGTCTCAAGACGAATCAGTCCTAAAGGATCCGAAGTCACATCCCGTGAAGGTGATTATACTATTGCACTCTCTGCTGCTGCGATCCATCAACACACTGTCATCGGTTCGTAGGTGGTGTTGAAGGATCTTGGGGCTCCTGAAGGCTCGCTGGACACGGAAGTAGTACACGCGAAGTTTTTGGTTGGCTGCGATGGTAGGTTGTCAGTACGCTCCTGAGCGTCGCTATGTTGATTGCTCTCTATCTGCCTAGGCGCGCACTCTTGGGTACGCAGACAGTTTGGGATCACCATGGAAGGCGAACAGACAGGTTTGTGCATTCAAGGCGGTGACATCTATGCACCCGACGCATTCATTGAATCTCAGATTATATCTGGGGGGTATTGGACCTAATCCCTGACACTGACTTCCCCGATATTCGCAACCGGTGTGCCGTTCATTCACATAACGGTTCATGCATGATCATTCCACGGGAGGGCGACCTAGTTCGCCTGTATGTCCAACTAGCGGACAAGGACGTCCTCGATGCAAAGGGCAGAGTAGACAAGTCGAGAGTGGGACCAGAAACGATCATGGAAGTCGCGAACAAGTCGCTTTATCCTTACAAGATGTCGACCTCTCATCCGATTGATTGGTGGACGCTTTACATCAGTAGGTCGCTCCTTTATGCCTGTGTACATGTCTCACGTGTTCCAGTTGGACAGCGGGTTGCTAACCAGTACTCTGTTCATGACCGCGTCCTTATCGCTGGAGATGCGTGTCATACGCATTCTCCGAAAGCTGGTAGAAACCTTCGTTTATACCATCGGCCAAGTGAGTGCTCACGCCATGTTTGCAGGTCAGGGCATGAACGCTAGCATGAATGACACCCACAACCTTGGTACGTCATGCATTTCTCCGGGGAGACACTATCTGAGCGACCACGCATAGCATGGAAGCTGACACACGTTCTCCGCGGATGGGCGGATCTATCCATCCTCAAGACTGTATGGGTTCTTTACGGTAGTGCATTGCCTATCCGACTGACTGATCACTTGCAGTATGAATTTGAGCGGAGAAAGTACGCTCAAGATCTCATCATGTTCGACAAGAAGTTCGCCGCACTCTTCTCTGGCAAGCCGCGTACGGACGATAGCGACGACGGCGTGTCTCATGAAGAGTTCCTGGAGTAAGTTCAGCACTGTGATACAGTTCCTTTATTGAGCTCAATTGTCACTCGCATGCAACCGCAGGGCATTTCAGACCTTTGGTCTCTTCACAAGCGGTATCGGTGTGCACTACCAACCATCTGCGATCGTCGACGACAGACATTCATCTTACGCAAGCAAGCTCAACGTTGGTCAGCGACTGCCCCCGCAGGTCTTCATCCGCGCGGCAGACTCGCAGCCCGTACAGATCCACGACCTGTGCCCGTCCGATACACGCTTTAAGGTCCTCGTCTTCACTGGCGACACTACGAATCAGTTGCAGCTGAAGAATGTGAAGGCGCTGGCAGAAGAGATGCAGAAGCCGGAACACTTCTACGAGAGATTCGGGCATGGTAACAGCAGCGCGGTATTCGAGTTGCTCGCGATCAGCTCGGCGGACAAGATGATATCGAACTACACGGATGCCCCTACCTTCTTCAGGTCTCATTGGTCGAAGTGAGTACATCCTGCGTTGCCCGCTTCGCAGAGGGCTGACGAGTGTGCACCGGAAGGTTCCTACTCGACGATGAGGACATGTACAAACGCGCGGGAGGCGGAGGATACGATGCATACGGCGTGGATCCCAACGGGGCTATCGTCGTCGTCCGTCCCGATGGTTACGTGGGTACGGTGGCACCCCTTGGAGGCCTCGAATACTTGGACAACTACTTTGCCTCCTTCATGGTGCCATCCTCCTGATCGCCCCTTTTGGTCGACTACGCTTTGTCCTTGTACATCGTCAGAACATAGACTCCATACTTGCTATACAACGATACGGAATGCATGCGGTACATAGGTCGATACAGGGTATCCAGTACTTGGGTGGGAACAGTCCGTGATCTACATGAGAATGAGGAATCATAGGTTTCGCAGCTCAAGAGTAATTGGTGTTCAGCCTTTCCACATACGCCCCACCGGTGCGGCCTCAGCGCTGCCGATGGGAACACGCCTCGCGCCGCCTTTTCCAGGAGGCAACTTGCCTGTGACCTTCGGCTTCGCAAAGAGCTTTGTCGCCACCTTTGTCGGTGCCGTGCTCTTGCTTATCGATGAGGCCGAACCGCCAGAACCGGAGCCGTTTGACAGCTTCGCCCGTTTGACGTTCTCCTTCTCGAGTGCGACCGCCGGCCGCGTGCGCGTGGACACCGTTGGTTCTGCCTTGGCCTTTCCCTTCTCCTTCGCGGTGAACCTGGGAGCGGCAGCCGCGGGCACTGCCCCGGCGCTGCGCTTCGCGAGATTCGGTTGAGCCCTCTTCTCCCTGAGCGGCGGACTGTCGTCTTCTTCCGAGATGCCTAGCTCCTCAGCGAGACTCTTCGTGGGCGCCAGGACGGGCGGCGCTACAGGAGCAGCAGGTGTGGGTGAGTCGTCTGGGTCTTCTTCCATCGCTTCTTCCAGGGAGCCTAGATGTGGACGTTCGATGTCCGGGCTGTCGGGCGAGTTGGCTAGCATGAGAATCCTGCTGAGCGGGCTGGGCTTGGCGGGCGAGTATGCGTGCATCATGCGCGTTGCGGCGAGAGGCTTTGCCATAGGGAAGGGTCTGCGAACACCAGGTGTGCTAGGCCCAGCTTCTGGAGGAGCGTCCTGTGTAAGTGCGGGTGCACTCTTGGACATTGGGATTGATGTCGGTACCTCGGGCGCTGGTACATTTAGGGCACTATCGGAGGTGGAGGTGAGTACGAATGCCGGGGGCGGCAGGAGCGGAGGCTGTGCATCATGCGCATCCCCCGGAGGAGGTTTGAATGCAGTCGGCCCAGGTCTCTTCAGGGATGCTGCGGGTGACGGAGGAGGAAGCACGAAGACGGGCGCGGCTATGGGCGGTTGCGACGGGGGCAGGACGATGCTAGACTTGAAATCGGGCATCTGCAGCGATGAAGGTATGACTTCTGTCTCGAAAGGCGGGACGACTTTCTTTGGCGACAACCCCAGCCCAGACGAGCGACGGGACACGCGGATCTTCTTGCCGCTCCCAGCTCGGCCTGCAGCCACGCCCGCGGCTTTCCTCTTCGCAGGTGACCTCCGTGGCGACCTGGGCGGCGGAGATTGTGGACGACTCTCTTCGGTGGGTATGGGAGCAGTGGCTACAGTGATCGTCGATGTTGGCGCAGGAGTGGGCGGCAGCTCGGCAAGCATCATTTCCACTTGCCACGACCGTTTCTCTTCTAAGAACTTGATACGTTCCGCCTGTGAGGATAGCTCTCAGTGTCACGGCGACTCTGACCTGAAGTCGCACAACGATACCTCCAATGCCGCCTTCTCGCGGCCGAGCCGAACGGCGGCCTCCGTGAACTTCTTCCGTTCCCCGTCAAGCTCCTTGAACCGCGCATCCAAGCGTTGACGTTCCTCATCGCGCGCAGGGGCCGTCATTAGGTCTACGCTCATCTCACCAGCTTCCCCCTGCAACAGCCGCTCGTCATCAGCAAAGCGATCAAACAACGCCTGCGTCTGGGCTGCGTAAGTTGCAGCCTGCTTCTGCGCTTCATCTGTGTAGTGGTGTTGAGCAAGTAGAACGTGTGAGTATGCGAGCTCACACACCGAGTTCGGCACGTAATTTGTCAATGACAGCTTGCAGGCGGTCGACTTCCGCGCTCTCAAGAGCTTTCTGGCCGCCGGAGGATGATCCTGTACTCTTCCTCTGCAAGGAAGTTTCTGGTCTGGGTTCACTGGACGACTTCGACAGGCGTGCGATGGACTGCCGGATGGAGCTCATGAGAGCAGACAGCTTATCGCCGGCCGCCTCTGTGGGAGACATTGGGAAGAGTGCGGAGAGGGTGAGAGGGACGGGCTACAAGCCTGGTTAGCATATCCCCTGGCGACATCCACCGTGCGAACAGCATACCTCCGGGCAATCCTCAGGCGACTCCGCTACGTGCGCGTCATAGACGAGCCGCTGCATATCGTTGGCGGTAGAAAGTATCAGCCCTCTCAGCCTCCGGTTCTGGTCGAACAGGTCTTTGCGCGCAGTTTCCGCCTGCTCGAGGGCGACCTCGAGGAAGCCCTGGCCCTTCCCGCGCAGCTGGAGGTCGGGCGCGTCGACAACGTCCGCGTTCGCGCAGCGCAGGCCCGCGGCGGTATTGCCAAGCTTGACCTGCGTGTCTGCAATCTTGCTCCATCGCTCAGTCATGCGATCCTTCTCCTTCTCGATCCGTTTGACCTCGGCTTGGTGTGCAGTGCGAAGAGCTTGCATGGAGGTACGCGTTCGCTGCAGTTCGCTTGTTGTGTGTTTGTGCGCGGATTCGGTGGATAGGAGTGTGCGGGTGACAGATCTGCATTGGTGATGTAGGTAGGGTGTCTGTAGCCTTATTTGAGAGACTTACGCGAGACGAGACTTGTGAAGGTTCATTTCCCGTTCAGCGTTTGCAGCGCGCTCTGTAGTGTCGCGGTACATAGACAAGAGTCGTTCGTGATCATAAGAAAGGGTTCTGATCTTCGTTGTCAACTCTTCCGTTCTGGTCATATCATCCTACAGGAGTACATCAGAATCATATGCAAGACGAATGAACATTCTGCTCTCTAGGCGTCACAACCACGGCCATCGCGCGTGCGGCACAGGCCAGAGATAATATCGCATAGCAATGATACTATCTATCGAGAGCAACCTATGCCGGTTCTCAACATTTTCTGCACACTCGCGTCGTAACGTGCGGATGCAGCGTGTCGGCATGCGCAACCCAAGGATTTAGGAAAAGTGCGGACTGTCCCTATCCTTCCGCATGCAGATAATCCGCATAATACTCCATTTCCCTCATCACTATATCTTTCTAGGCGTCGAGGGTGATAGGTGATAGAAGGGCCGAGCCGCATCCAATCCGACGACTCACTATTCTCTGGCTCAACATACCGAGCAAACATTTCACCACTTTGTCTGTATCTTCTTTTGCAAGGCCATCAAGAGAAAGGCCTTGCCCATGCGTGAAGCCATGAGCTATGAGTTGCGCGTTGATGTAGTCGAGGCTGGACGTGACGGTCGCCTCTGACGATGCAGTATCGGAGAAAGGAGAACCAAGACCGGAGAAAGAAAGGTCGAGGGCCCAGTGAACAAGCTTCTTCGGGGTAGCCATAGCAGATTAGTCCTGCAGAGAGGAGGTCTACACGGTCGAGTGTGGTGACGAGCTCATGAACGACGGCGGGGACGATGAGAGTTGCACTCGAACCGCGTCGCGGACGCGCCGGTCACGTGTGGCGTACCTCGCGCGACGCGGTCCCGGCGCTAGCGCTCACCGCCGTCCTTCAAGTTTCCGCGCACAACGGTACGTCGTCTCCGTCGTCTTGCTCAATGCAATGCTCACTCGCCTTTCCGATAAAACTTGATCAGCAACCACACCATTTACGACGTTCCGCTTCGCTCAAAGGCGCCGTAAAGACGCGATTCCGGGTTGAATGAGACCTACGAAAATACGGAAGCCGGTATTGTAGCATTTACAGAACACCTTGTTTGATTGCCGTTAATTCCCGATACTGTACTGTCATTGGGGCAAAGTCCTATCGTAGACAATATATTCATGATATTACACCTAGTTTCCCGTCACACAACCAACGGCAACGAAAGGCCGACCTATTCAAAGTCAAGTTCGCAAACATCACGAACTGGCTACATCCTGGCTTTGAGATGCGAAGATCCCGCGAGTGCGACATGTAGATCATACATATCCTTCGCAGCACGCTCAATCTCAGCACAGAACTCCGCATTCGGCATGTCAGTCCGCGAGGTGATGGTGTACTGGAGGTAGTCTGTGCGCACGCCGATAAGCAACAGTACAACATTTGAAGGCATCACGCATGGGATGCTCACCGTCGAAGCCGGTCATGTACGGCACACCAAAGCCGTTCGGGACGACCTCGCCCCAGCCGTACGGCCCAAAGTGCTTGGAGAATACGGCAGACGTGCTGAGCACCCAGGTGCTCGACCGCTGCACGACGGGGTCCGAGAACACCTCGGGCATCGGCTCACCCTCCTTCAAAGTCTTGCGCAGCCCTGCAATGCAAGTGAAGTGTCAGCTACCTACTTCCACACATTTTCTCATGTTGGTTCACGCACCAAGCAAATGCCTATCAACCCCAAGGCCGTTCCCCGCCCGCTTCGCCCTTGCCACATGGGTCTCCACCGCCCTCTTAAACAGCCTTCCCCTCTCCTCCACACTCACCGCTGCGTCATCCATGCTCGCGACCCACGCGTCCGCCTCCGCGCTCACGACGCGGATCGCCTCCGTCCGGCCCTTGAAGAAGCGCCGCGACGATGCCGCCTCGTACGTCCCACCTTCGCGGCGCTCGCCCCGCGCGCCGAGGTGCCGCGCGTACGCGAGCTGCACGAGCATCTGCGCCCACGAATCGGGCGACACGCGGAACCCTTTGATCGCGGCCTTGCCGTACGGAGTGCGCACGATGTTCAGCGCCTGGCTCGACGCGAGTGCGTGCGCCGCCCGCGCGGCCTCCTGGATCGCTGCAGTCGTCTGCGCGGAGACGTGCCAGTCCAGCGCAGTCGGTAGCGAAGCAGAGCCCGGAGACGCCGGCGGAGATGAAGCGAAGTCGGGCGCGGCGATGGTGTCGAGGACAGTGTCGCAGAGGTAGACGGTGGGCGTGCCGTCCATGACGGAGTGCTCGCCGATGAAGCCTGCAGCGCCGTCATCGGTGACGACGAACTGGCATGGCTTGTCCATCCAGCGGTTACGCAGACCCATCTGCGAGGGCTCGGGACTCGATGGCAGCGCGCCATGCCAGAGCAGTCGACTGTGCGCGACCATGTCGGGTGCGTGTTCCGCATCGAGGCATAGCACAAAGGCCGCTGAATGGATCGTGCGCAAGATGTCTTCGTTGTGTGCGTCCGCTGCGAGTGTGTCGTAGTCCTACGGTTGCAGATCGGTCTGATACGCGTCATGGCGGGCGCATTATATGAGACGTACCTTGGTCCAGACATCGCGGTTGGACGCCGTCAAGATGCCAATGGCAGGGTACTCTTCCCGAGTGTTCTCATATATATGCCGTAGCTGGCTGTGGCACCCGAATTAGCAGACGTTCAGGAGCCACAACGCACATTACGCACGACTGCAGCTCATCGACACCCAGTAAGCGACCATCCTTCCACGGGTTGAGCTTCCACACGCGACCACGCCGGAGGACTACGACATGGCCGGAGTCGCCGCGGTCACCTTCGCGCGCGTAAGTGACGCTCCAGTCTGCCGGTTGTCCTGGCACACGGCAACAGTCGAACATCCAACGGTATGTGTCCACACAGATGGGCCCCTCCTTCGTTGCTTCAGGCGGGAGAGCACCAGTCTTGTATTGCTGCCTGAAGAGCATCCCAGCGCGGACAATCGACGCTGCGCGATGCAGCGCAGTTTGGGGAAGGTGGGCCGGGTGTGCATCGAACCCATCTGTGCGTAAAACTTGTCAGGCAGAGGAGAGACAGTACAGTCATGGTGGCTCACAGTAGTATGATACATTGATGCAAACCTATGACACGCGCCGATGAGTATCTCCGTTGAATCGCACAGTCGAAACATACCGAATCACGGTAGGTCAGATACGCGCCGTCATCCCACCACTCTTCCAGCCAGTGCTCTGTCTTTGCCTCCCTGTCTGTCAAGCGTCTCTGCAGCTCCTGTGCGGGCCCCTTGGCGAACTCGTCCACCTTGCGCACCACGCTCGCGTACTCCGCATCGTTCCATGCGAGGGGCCGTAAGGTCTCCTTCAGGGTATCGAGGGTGTCCTTAAGCGGAGGCACAGGTAGTCGTGGAAGCTTGGCCTGAGCTGCAAATGTGGTTCCAGGAAGTGGTGGTGGTGCGAGGGCCTTCCAGTTGCTGGGGCGTTGTCGCGCATTTGCGGTCGACATTCTGCGACCGATGCGCACACTGGCCGGGACGCGTTGCGCTGGGATAATTCTACTATGCGTTGGGATGGTCAGAGCGCGTGCTGCGGTGGTTAGTTCTGCATAACGTATTCGTGCAGACATGCCCCGAGAGCGATGGATAGGCCGGAGATGGCTGTCCAGGGGAATGCGGGGAACTTATATGCACCCCGCACTGTGCATGATCGCCCGAGGCAGCCGGCCATGTGAATTCGCCCGAAGACGCGGTCAGCTGATTCGCATTGCGGCGCGAATACGGCTTGCTCGGAATCGTCCCAGCCCGAGCGCGCAAATATTGAGCGAGAAGTCGGAGGATGGAAGACTGTGGGGTGCCTGTCAGCGAAGGTCAGCGAGATCTCTTGGTAGGTGCCTACTGAAGCACTGGGAAACACGACTCGGAGGCGCTTCGCCGGGCGCTTGTGCGATGTTCGCCAGTGGCCATGCACCGCTGAAAGCTTGAAGCTTAGCCTTGAATTGAAGCTTGAATTTTGCAGAGTAACGGTAGAGAATATTGAGCAACATGCGTAGACAGAGGCACCTGGCAGCCAAAGCGCGTAATAAATTACTGGTGGCGAAGAATAGGGTTTGCAGAGACCATATAACAACCAAAACACCAACTTGAATACAATTGTACATCAATGTCGTCGTCATAGTGTGCCCAATATATGCCTGAATGTCACGGGTAGAGGCGCCTTGCTTGGATCGAGCATCGAGGACTTTCTGCTGGAGAGCCTGCATCTTCTCTTGTTTGCGTTTGCCGTCCTCGCCGAAAGCGAGACTCAGCACCTCCCGCGCCTCTTCCTTGACAGAATCCGGCGTGCCTTCGGGCGCCTTGCCAAGGCGGTGGACAGGTCTCAAGCCAGACCCGGTGCGCACGTTGAACAGCTCGTAGGCGACGCCCAGGTTTTGTGTCAGGTGCAGTGAGTTCAGCGGCTGGTCGAAGAAGAACGGCCAGCATATCCTGTGGACGATGAAATTACTGTGTCGGGGTCCGTAATGTGATGCCTTACATCGGCACGCCGGCACAAATCGCCTCAATAGTGCTGTTGTGGCCGCAATGCGTCAGGAACCACCCAGTTGCCTAAGAAAATATGGTGCGACGTCGAAACCTATTCACAATCCGCGAAGCGCTCCCACCCACCGGATGATGCAGAATATGCTGCTGCGGCGTGTATTTGGTAAGAAGACCGTGACCACACTGCTTGACCTTGTCCGCCATCCCCGAGGGAACGTTTAAGTAAGGGGACGCGTGGCTTATGAGCTTGAGCAGGAGTCGTCAAAACACGGACGTGAAACATGTAGCAGAAACGTACGAATGGTATCTTGAGGTCCAACACGGCGTTCAAGAAAGCCCAGATCTTCTCCGGCTCCATGGGCCAATATACCGTCCCAAATGATATCTATGGAGTACGTAGCTTCAGCTCAGAACAGACAACGGAGCATTGAATTCCGAGATGACACACGTATAAGAGAGAACGTTCACCGTAGCGGCTCAAGGTGGACGCCAGGAAGTCGTCGATCCCTGCAGTATTATCCGACTGCTGCTTCTCTACGTCTTCAGCACGTGTACCGAGCGCAACCATCGGTCCAGCGCAATACAAGGGGCGGGTCGTCTCCACCATCCACTGTCGCAGAGCGGCTATGGTCCCCGGCTCGTAGCACTCAGGGCTGGCGTGGATGATACCATCGCAAGCGTTCAAAACTCTGCAGGAGATTGAGCGTGACGCTGCGAAGCGTGATCGAGCAGTGCTTACTGGTATGTCAGGAGGCATAAACCTCCATTCAGCGCCTTGCCTCCCATGGACTAAACGTGCGCGCGGAGACAGTCACTGTCAGTGGACGTGGGTTCATCGCTCACTGCATCTGCTCACCGTCTGTGGCTCGATCTCGTAGTCGTACATAGGCGGCAAGCCCGGAATATTTACCACGGTGCCGGAGGTTCCATACGCGATCTATGCCAATATACGGGTGAGTCGAGACCGAGAGCAACTTGTGCATTCACGCACGTCTCCTGCGGCTTCCGCTATTTCCACCTGCTTGAGGGTGGCCTCCTCAGCACTCTTCGCAAGAAGGTCGCCGATCCCGCCCAACCGCTCTGGCGCAGACATCCGGAACATGATGGATGCTGCTGCCGCAATCCACGCGAAGACCTTGATTGGCTGGTCTGGTCCGCTGAGCCGGCGCACGGCCTGGAGAAGCGGCAGGCCGAAGAACTTGAGTGTGGCACCATGCCGGTGAGCGACGCGCAGACAGTTCAGGTCCGGACTGGACGTACGTCGATTATGACAGCCTTGGGACGAGGAACCGCGTTGTATGTGGTCCCTGTGTGGACACACTGTAGAGGCAAGCCCTTCACCAGCTTCTCGAGCGCTTCAGCGAAGGCCTCATGCAGCCCCTCCGTGTCGAGCGCATGTGCGCCTGGGTTGTTCAGGGCAATGACTCTGTCCCGGCGTCAGGCTCTTCACTCGAACATCACGGTGTCACTAACCTGATACGATCCAGAGGATGAGGCTCATCCGCGTCAAAGTTACGGAGGAGCTCCGAATTGACGCGGTCGTAGAAGGCTGGTGTGGTGAGGAAAGTCACAGTCGTGCCTTCAGCACCCTGCGCCAGCCGAGCTGCTAAGTTACAAAGTGGGCGGGCGTGGCCTATATGTAGACGATGTGAGATTTATTTGCATGAATACATGACCAGGCCGCGTACCCCAGGCCTCGTAGGCAAACAGAACGAGGTGTGACCCAGTAGGCACAGATTCAGCTTCAGACATATCGCGTCTTACGAGGCTGCAGGGACCAAGTTGCAGATGCTGAGTGCGCCCACCGTGCTCTATATGAGTTCAGGACCGCACTGGTTTCGGCGCGGCCAGGCAGTGGATCGTACGTTCTTTTCTGCGTTTGGATTGTGCTCGGAGTGATCGCCTCGCAAGATACACGATGGTAGCGAGGCTGAAATCCTGACAGATAGTGCTCTGAGGCACAAGAAGCCAATTTATCATGCGTGACAGAATATGTCAGGAACAATATACAGAGAGAATTATAGAATCATGGCGACATGATCTTACGATTATATTCGAGCTGGATAGTTGAGCTGTCTTTATTGGACCATTGGGTCGCGTTGCTATGCGGTACAACGCATAGCCGGTCTGGGGGGCACATTATTCGACGGCATGGGTCGGGCTTCATCTGGGCTTCATGCAGGCAGCCCGAATGACCATGACGAGAGCGTGGATTAGGCCGATTAGCTGTGGCCGTGGACACGATGTAGTCGCCACTGTAGCGGCCGGCCGCGTGGATTGATACATATGAGTATCTGAGACATCAGGAGGAACGACAGCTCACTAGCACTGCCCGACTCCTTGGCCGTAACCGGACTGGGTTTGGTGCGAGGTCGTACATATAATCCTGTCAGTGTGAGACGTCATGACAAATATCTGCATTGCAACCAATACGTACTAGCTATGCCTTTGACGTCGCGCTACCCAAATCATTGCTAGACTTAGATGTACGCCGCTCTAGACTGCCGCGTACGCGTAGCATCGCGTTCATCCTACGCGTCGCGTCACAAGCTGTTGACCGTGTTCGAACAGTGTGACTCATGTCACGCAAGCGATGCACATCCGCCGTCTTTCCCCCCTACTTCAAGACGGGTTTCTCATACTCGTTCAAGCAACCTCTGAGCAAGCTTCAAGCAAGCCCTGCCGGCCAGGCGGAGCGAAGCGAAGCAATCCCTTGTAAGTAAGTACTTTATGCTCGATCGCCTCAGACATGTTCTCGGTTGTTAGGTCTCTGTCGCACAACGTTGTTCTCGTACAAGTTCTATCGTGGCATGACTAATCGTTAGCTACGCGTATCGTAACAATGCTACAAATGCAAGTAGGATATATATATGTTGTGCAGAGGAAGCGAACAGATGTGTATAAAACAACAATGACACGACTTTTCGAACTCGGCGGGAGCGTCAGCACTGCCGACCGCCGCACAGAGCAGGATGAGGAGACGAGCGAAGAACGTAGATAGAGCCGGGGCAGGGTGGCACGATGCAGTGCATCCGCCTCGACACCCCTGCATGCACGCAACATGATCAGGAGCGTCGGATGAGCGCACGTAGGGGCTATGACATCGAACTCGGCGACGCCATCTGTAACCTCATCACTCGGTCATCTGAGACCATGAGGATCTCATCACGCCCTGCCGTCGAATGCGGTCGTGGCTGAGGCTGGTAAGGGTTCGCATATGCCCCTTGCGCGGACGCCGCGCCATAGCCGCTCTGGTTAGCAGGATACTGGTTGTACCCATAGCCCTGCTGGTATGGGGTGTATTGCTGATACTGCGAGGCAGAGTTCGTCGTCGAGGGAGGGGTGTCAGCGAAGAGGAGTCGGAGGTTGTTGCCCTGGATGATTTGCGACATGGCACCGGTCTCCACATGTCGGATCTCCACAAAGGTCGGCTCGAACGCGAGGACATACGGATAATGGAGTGCTACCATATGTATTAGTCCCTTCAGTAGGTCATTAATGCGATGATGGCTCACCAAACCCTGTTGGATAACCCTCCCAGTAGACCATGAAGTCTTTACGTGACCTCCAGCCAGTCCTATTCACGTAGAAAGCGAATTCTAGCGTACTGAATCAGCCAACTGCTTCGGGTCGCGCAGAAGAAAGCTCACCGTCGTAGCATAGCAAGAACTCGCTTTCTATCCGATAGATCGCCAAAGGACGCAAACCTTCGCGCCTGCGCACGAAGTCGAGTGACTGATCTGAAGGATCAAGCAAGCCCTGCGTATCCAGCGTCTCGAGGTCCACGATCTCAAAGCCGTTCGTGCAGCCCACGCATAGCTTCGTCTTCAGGAAGTGGATAGAGCTCGACTGGACAGGGATATAGAACTCCTACATGGCGACCTGTGAGCAGCATGACAGACAATCAAACGGGATAACATGCCTTGAACACGCGCAGCGTATCGTTGCCCCCCTGGAGCAGCTTCTTGAATGTGGGCTTACTCCGGCCGCGGACATTCTGGTCGATGGGCTCCAATGTCTTGATGGTACTAGACAGTGGGCTCGCCTTGACCACACAGACGAGCGTCTTGCCCAAGCAGACGCCCGCCTTGAAGAACGAGATATGTGATGCTATCCGCTTGCCACGTTTCAAGGCGGCGAGAGGATCCATCGGGTCGAGAGCGTCGAGGGGGAAAGTGATGACTTGCCGCTCTGAATGGTTCTGTCAGACATAGTTTCCGCGGGTGTCACCTTGCGGGTACGCACCGGACAAGACGATCAGGAGCTGGTAATCCTCAAGGACATCTACCTGTGAGACATCCTTCAGGGCAAGGACCCTTAAGGGCTCCCTCCGCTCCCAGAGGTTAGAGATGTAAACCCCATCGTCCGTGCCGTAGACCGCCCGCTTGCCATTGTCTATTCCAAACACTCAGCGTACGACAACGCCTATACAGACAGATTGCTTACTGAAAGGTGCGGCGCAGTTTACTCGATTGGGCCCGAGGAAGAAGCCCTCGCTAAGCGTCTCCGTCTCGAAGACCAAACTCCGCTCGTGCATGAGGTCCTGCTGTTTCTGTATGTTCTCGACCCACTTCCGTTGGCTGACATACGTGCTTGCCCAGAGCGTCATCTGGTAGTACTTCCGGCCCAGGTGCACAAAGGTGATGGAGAAGCCGCCCTTACTCTCCTTCACAGCAACGGCAGGAGCATGAGGAGAGTTCTTGAGGAGCTTCTGCTTCTCCCTGTCCTTCGGCTTCCCTGTTGGGAACTCATCTGGGGCAGATACAAGCAACAGCTCGAGAGGGATAGGCTGGTAACACAACGTCAGACCGCATTCATCCGGACGACAAGCGACGATCATACCCGACGGTACACTTTATACTGCTCAACCTTGCTCTTGGGCTTCACCATGAGCAGCGCATGATCGAAGAGGAAGACCTGAAGCTCGGCGCTATCGCCTTGCTTCTTGAGCGCACCCTTGTAGATAAGCTCGCGCCCCTCTTCTTTAAGCCGAAGATCCTAAAGAAGCCCAGTCAACTTAAAGTGGATCAACCAGTCAATGGGACACGTACGACTTCCTCTCCGGGGCGAAAGATCAGCTGTTGATCGAGCTGCAGAAGGTTGAATCGGTTCTCCGCCTTGCCCGTCTCGTTGTTCACGGCCTTCAAGAATTCGCGAACGATTTCGACGACCTTGGGCAAGACGGTCTTATCGGGGTTGTCCTCCGGCGTGTGCTTGAGGACCGCCTCGAGAAGCAGAGGATAACGAGCAAGTCGAGTTGTCGGCTTGGTCAGGTAACCGTTCAGCTCTAGTTTACGGGATTCCGGCCGACGTTCCACTTCCTGTAATGATGGCGCAGTCATGAGCGCCTAATGGTACCTGCAGAATCACGACACAGACCTCGACAAACTGCGCGAAGGCGGGGTTCGAGCTCTTCTCCTTCTCGAACTCATACTTGCCATATAGCTGGTGAGCACCATACGAGACGAAGGGAGCAAAGTGGGGCACTGCCTCGAGGAGGACATCGCCTATCTGGTCGACCACGGCATAGGACTTCTGACGCTTGTTCAGGGCGTCTCGTAGCCTCGTGTTAACTGCGATGATGTCGTTTATGTTCCAGAAGACCTGCTCTAGGAAGTCAGATCGCCGAGGCTCGGGGATAATGTCGAGCTCTTTGAGAGGCTTCATCCAGAGCTGGGCGTGCCGGAACGTGAGTTGTCACGATGCTGCTTGAGTGTAGGCACATGAACACTTACGTCGCGCAAATACTCCATGTCCCGCACGAAGTCACGCTCGGTGTACATGACCTCATTGATGGCTTCTTGGCGTTTCTTCTCGGTGTCCGAGACGCTGTTGACCACCTCTTGTGGCACGGTATGAATCCACAGCGTGCCAGGTTCCTGAACAGACATATGAGACAACATGCTACGTTAGCAAGGACACGGACACATACAACGAGGTCGCCCAGACTCTCTCGGCTAATCTGCTTCTTGAGCCCTGGCTGGGGCTTCATGTTCAGACGAGCCTGCTGCTCAAGTCGCCGTGGACAAGCGATCGAGTAGCAGAGCTGATCACGAGAGCATGTCGGGGAGTAGCAATCGGTAAGAAGGGTGAAAACCCCCGACGGCAAGGGCACATCGTCAGACGCGATCGAGCCTCTACGTGGCCGTGATGGAGGCGAGATGACAGAATCTGGTGGGGAAGGGGAAGTGGGCCGCGAACCGTCCTTGAATGTCTTCTCGGCATCAGATTCAGTGGTGGGCGACGGACTTTCCTTCGGGGCTGACGTGTCCGCACCGTCATTGATGAGTGGTCGGCCAGGAGCCTTCGTGATCCCTTCACCGTCTTCTTCGACGTTCACCAGCTCTCCACTCACAAACGGGCTAGGTAATTTCGTCCGGAACTGATACAGATCGTTTGCAGAGTCACGCAGGCGGTGATCGTACGTAACCGCGTGGAAGAACTTCTGTGCATCCAGGGCACGGCCAAGGAGGAGTGCAAGGTTCCGGTCCGTTGTCTTGATGATGTACGCGATCTTGTCTACCGCCTCGCGGCCATCGAACGCGTCCTTATAAGTGAGACCATCCTTCACGCGATCCTGCAATACAATCCGCGCCTTGAACGCTTCCGCAACACGCGACAACAAAGCAGGATATACGATGGGTGTGCGCGAACGTTGCGGCTTCGCCGCAGGGGAGTCGCGCCCACCCATACCTGGTGGTATTGGGGGGCGTGGGACACGGCCAGACTCGATCATCGCACGGAATTGTGGGGTCATCGTCGCTGACATGGACCGTGAGCGATCTTGACCAACATGGTCCTTGCGGAAGGCGAGGCCAGGAAGCGTCCTAGACGACTCCGACGAGCGGCGCCCGTTGGTTGTGCTAGATATGTCGACCATGGTCGATGAAGCAGGAGAGCCGACCTTCGGCCCCGCGGGAACAGCAGTGTCCAGCTGCAGAGGGTACGGTCGGGATGAAGACGCGGTCGGGAAGGCAGCAAGTTCAGGACTCGTGTATAGGGAAGAGGCAGCTGAGAGACGTGAGCGGACACTGCTGGGCTTGGAGCGATGTCGGGACGGCGGGAGCTCACCATTACTGTCCTCCGTGCCTGGGTCGCTCGGTGTTGCCGCCTCCGTTACGAAGTCAATGCCCAGCCTCCCGTCGTCGGTTTCGATATTGACGCCAAGGAGAGGGACGTCGAGCGACGCAGGCTGGGGTAGGTAAGACGGGGACTGTTGGTAGTTCATCGGCCCGTTCATATACACCTGAGCCTGGTACGCCTGCGCAGGCGTGAGGCCCGCTCGTGTATACGCCTCGAGACTGGAATCTGGAGGTTCTTCGGGAGGCGGCGCGATCACGCCGGGCGAGCTGGCAATGGACCTTGCACGGCTGATGATAGACGGTGCCGCGAGAGAGCTGGAATGCGAGTAGTTGGCAGGCGGGTGTTGGTACGGAGGATAGCCCTGCGGAGGAGGGAGTAACGACTGCCTGTAGGTCGATGGCGGCGGCGCCTGGGGCTGGAGGGGGTAGTTGATGGATTGTACGTGCGATGAGCCCGACGTTCTCCTGTCTACTTGGGCACCATACTGCTGAGGGTAGTACGCGTGCTGATGGCCGTTGGACAGTGGACTCTGCTGGAGGGGAGGATATTGGCCAGGATGGGAGTTGTTAGGCTGGTGATGAGTAACGCCCGGGCGGCCGAAGATGGATTCATATGCAGCATGGCGTTTGTCGGGCTGTCGAGGGCCAAGCGGCCTGTCCATCGCGGCCGACAGCGAGCAGGGCGGCGTCGGGCAGCAGAGCTTGCTCGTTGTGCGAGACAACGGGAAGAAGGTGAGGAGACGCCCGTGCCAAATAGTCTAATTACTGTTACATCTGTTAGTAACGCTGTTACACGCTCTCGCCACCGCCAAACATCTTGAACCGCAACATATAGCTGCACCAGCCTCGATTCACGTCCCTGATAATGCTAGTGCATTTTCGTCTGATGAGCTACGACGCGCTGGGCGTGCCCGCCGAGGCATTCGTTTCGCAATGGCCCGGGACCGGAGTTCCCGGGCAACTCGCTGCAAGAGGCTCAGCCTCGATTCCAGTGACTACCGGTATACCCTGCACCGGTTACATAACGTTCGGAATCTCCTTCCAGTCATCGCAGATTCCACACACTTCCATCATACGCGTAGAATATACCACAGCGTCGACGCGTCGTGAGTGCATCGAATTTCCTAGCTGAAGTGCAGTATGATGATCAGAGCCGTGAACAGCCTGCCAAAACACGATACCAGCTGCGAGGGGTGACATCATCTGCTCTGACAGACACGCCCATTCGAGGTTCTCAACGTTCACCCATCATCCTGCAAGTGACCATGCGGTATGGGCTTGCACAATCCAAACGCCGCGACCACCAGGCGTTGTGGCCAGCAGGCAACACATGCGAACTTCAGTCACGAATCTTCGTTACGTCGATGCATGTATCACTGAGATAGTTACAGCATCGGGACGCCGCAGACCTGACGTTCAGATTCGGGCTTATGGACTCTACTTATCGTTTTCCCAGCATCAAGAGAAACCACTCGCAACTACTGCCAGCGCAATGCTGCGCGTCCACTCAGTACAGGGTACGTGGCCAATCACGAGATTAGTTGTTGCGGTCGTGTAGAAGTTGGGCTTGAAAATTGCGCACGGAGTTGCTCCCAAAATGCTCTCGCATCATTCATTCGGTAGCGCGACGTTCGCGTAACGCGTCCGGTATAACAACTTGCTTTCGGTTGTGTTGATTTCTCGGGCGGCCGCTGATATGCTCTCAGATGGCGGCCTTCAGTACACAGGTTCCACAGCTCATTGTTAATTCATCCATGCTGATCGTTCATATCACTGCAACAAAGGTCTGTGCGTCAAACACGCATGCACCGCTGTTGGTCATTTTGAAGTGTCCGGTCATATTGGCAACACAGCGATCGGTGCACAGGATATTGCTGGTGCGTCGGGCAAGTCAGGCAGTGGTTTTGAACCCTGGAGTAATTCAAAGACATGGTTCAATGACTCAATCCGCCTACAGAGCATCCTGAGTTGGCCCGCTGCCATATGGAGACGTTGCTGTTGTCACTGCGGTAAGCGTTGCCACCTCTCAGTTGCCAGATGGGGATGACATTGACAGTGCTTTGCTGCTTAGTTGCGTGGCGAACTTCCGCCTCGTCCACACGCATACGTCGACTCTGGGTGCACACCGTTCATGCGGGCGTTTGACGGACGGTCTCGTCATCGCACCGCCATTGGCGATCGATCAGGCGGGACGGAGGGCAACGGGAGCGCGATGGGGCGTGCTCCTGCCAACAATATGCAGTGCAGGTGCCACTCCGAGCCTCATGGCGGTACCGTCCGCCCGCAAAATTGCTTGGTACTTACAGCGACTGCGCCGTTCGTCTTTACGATCTGTTTGCCACCCGATTGTCATCGCGTGTCGGCTGTACGTGCGCGAATGACGTGGTGGCAAAGGAGGTCATGGTATGTCTCGTAAGTGACCGCAATCTGTTACCCCCTTCACCCACAGGCCGTGATGAAACTACCATGCTGACGTGCTGTCAACTCAGGGAGTGGCATGGTTCAAGTGCCTTCTCAGGCACCTGTTGCACCCGAGAACATAGCGTGCGTGCAGGGGACTCGCGGGCCCGTCATTCATGGTAAGTATGGCATCCAAGTTGTTGATGAGATGTTCCCAAACCACAATGGCTGTGTCGGGCCTGGATCCCGACCCGCCGGAGATGTCATCCGTCGTCCCTGATGCTCGCGCCCGCGTTCGTATGCGGTAAGTGTGCGCTCTGGCGGTGCGGGAGAATCGGTGCAGCTGGGGCTATTCAGGGCACCATTCACTCGTCTGCTATGCAGAGCAGACGTCGATGCCACAGGTATAAAAGCCTGTATGCCTGACGTAGAAGTCCTACTACCTCCCACCACCTACACGTTGACCTCGAGAATTCGAATGCCCAGGAAGAAGCGCTCTAGTGGTGGTAACGGAGACAAGGAACAAAATGATGGCCATAGGCGCCTCCCGACGCGTATTCCGGACTCACCTGGGGTGAGTGATGCCGTTCCTGATACACAACGACACACCTTACGATCGTCCTGGCACTTCTAGTATGTCCATTGGGCCACGCGGACCTTTGGCAGAACTCGAGGCGGACCAGCATCTGTCCCTACAGGCGTTTCATCCGAAATTGACTTCTCCCTCGCTGACAACGAAGGGCTCGGGAGTACGGAGAGTTCGCCGGTGTCATCCGCGCAAAGCTCTCTGTCTCCGACCAGGACACCCTCCAGTTCAAGAGGCCGCGGACAACGCCGGTCTGGTGGACAGGACGAGCTACCGGTCTTCGGGTCTATCTCTCCCATAACACCGTCGAGCGAGGGGGGTGACCCATGGTCGCCTCCTACCGCAGTCTCACCTCCAGAGCCATCCGGGCCCTCTCCACGTCGCGACCGATTCTCTCCCTCTCGTCAACACCACTCACCCCTCAATCAGCAAGGTTCACCAACTCGTCAACAGTACTCTGCTACCAGGCACCAGGGCACTTCATCCCATCCGCAACATTCTCCCGACGCCCCCTCCCAGCATTATCCTCGGTATCATCCGTATCGACAACCTGTAGTCGCTCCTCGAACTAGGCTTCCGCCAGGCAGTCACACACCGAACCTTCCGACAGGATCAGGTGAGTGATCATCTTCCCGTCGCCGCATGACTCGTCTTCATGTTGGCCCTGGCAGCGGTGGGCTCGTATCCTGCTCCAGAGGTCGGCATGCCGCCTGTGTACGGCTACACAGGACCCGTCACTGATGATGCGCAACAGTGGCCCGAGTCCAGCCTTGGCTTCAGCCCAGATGGATCATTGCCCGCTCTCGACACGAACTTCTCGTACCTAAATTATTTGCCACCAACTATGGAGGAACAGGTCACACATGTGCCCTTGTATATGCCCCAGCAGCCACCCTTCCAACGACAGAATATACCCCGCTCCTCTGCCCAATCCACGTCCCAATGGGCTCGCAACGCCATCTATCCTTCCGGTTACCTTGGCCCTGAGGTACAGACCGGTGATGTCGTCAATCACTATGCGTCACCGGCGTACCCTCAGCAACTATGGGAGACGCCCACAGCATATGGCTCCACAGCCGTTGTCGCCGAACACGCTACGACAAGAACAGCGGAGCAGCCGTCCTACCAATGGTCCACTGGGCAATCCCAATACGCGGCACCCCGAGGCCGGCCAGGCACAGCATTTGACCCGCATCTCGCGCATCCCGCTATCGCTCGACCCTGTCGTTCAGACGCTACTCAAAGCTTCGGGCAACCTCTGCAGCATAGGCATGGCATCATACATTCCACGCATGCGAGTACGATCCGTTCGGGGATGTCGGAGTCGGCAATGCCATTGGGCCATGATCACAGTTAGTGTTTGTGGACGTGTGTTATCGTATCGTCAACTGATCTCTTTGTTGCTATGGCAGGTCCGGTGTACCTCACAAATCCCTACGCTCCTCTACCCTCACAAGAGACGCATCAGCCTCAAGCGGTCTACAGCGCCCCTCCCTCGGCGGACGCAAGTATAGAGACCTTCGATGCAACGAGCTCTGGGCCGTTTCCGTCCTCCCATGTACGACGCAGCGTATAGATAGCTTCGTCTCGACTGGACTCTGCGCCGTGTGTATACTTCACCTTCTATGCGGACGTTTGCCTTTTCTTCTGTGTACACACCCTCGATGACCCTTGCAGCGATAGATAAGTTATGTAGCACTGGTTGTAAATCACTTTCAAGTTGTCCGAGGGTACGTTTCCATTGATCCTGTAGCGTAATATGCAATGTCGTCGTGATCCTCATGTTAGTAGCTGTGAGGAGTCTTGTATCACCACGCTACTGATACTAGTTGGTAGGACGCTATTTAATTGGAAACTCCGGATTACTACTATCATACGCATATCCGGTGAATTCGTTGACATCTGTTTGGCATATCCCACATGCACATCCGCCATCTTCGCCTTTCCCTTCATGTTCGACATTTGACTCATCTGATGATCTTCCCTTTCAAGGATAGATTCATCATGGTCAGCCTCATGATTTGCTTTAGCTGCTTGCTAGGAACCTACTCCTCGAGCTCCGCATTAGGGGCCCAGGCAGCTGTTTGTCGCCCCTATGTGTGCGCAAACACCGACTATCGGAATCTCCGTCACCTACGGTTTTCTCATACTCGTTCAAGCAACCTCTGGGCAAGCTTCAAGCAAGCCCGACCGGCCAGCCAGGCGGAGCGAAGCGAAGCAATGTATAATAGGAGTTGTGTGAGTTCAATAGCCAACCATATGACGAAGCCTGGCCGAGAACTTACCTGTCATGACCGAATCCACGCCGGGTACCCGCACGAGCCTCGTTGTGAACTTACGCAGACTCGTGCGAACCTGTTTAGCTATAGGGAGGTAAATGCCTGCGCAAGATTGATGCTTGGTCAGACTCGCATGGCGCCTAGGTTGACATAGAGACGAAGCTGCGGCAGCTGAACAAGCCTGAGGGTGGACATCGGAAATTTTAAAGCAGTTCAATATATAACCCATCGCGTTGGACTGTATGCCTATCCATATCAACCCCACGACTAAAGAACATGAAGGTCCTCGTCGTAGGGTAAGCCAAGCGCATATATACTTAGGGTGCACCAGGTTGAGGCCACGTCATCCTTGTATAGTGCATCTGGCTTCATTGGGTTGCCAGTCGCACAAGCGCTAGTGCGCGCCGGGCATGTTGTGTACGGTGTAACTCGTTTGGAAAGCAAGGCGAAGGCGCTGGCAGCGGAGGAAAGTGAGTGTCCCCGTAGTTCGCAGCTTTGAGCCATTCGCATTGAACCCGACTGCCGACAGTCATTCCTATCGTCGCACCCGTCGAGGACCCCTCCATCTGGCTGCCGCAGGTGGCGACTCTGGATGTGGTGATCGAAGCGATAGGCGGCCCGGACGTCAAGGTGCTCTCGGAGAAACTCCTCAACGCTGTCACGGAGGCTGCAACGCAGTATCGCCCACCTTCCGCACCAAAGCTCGCCTACATCTACACCTCGGGGTCGTGGGTCCACGGCAGTAGCCGCAAGCACATCATTAGCGACACGACACCAATTACGCAGTCCGTGGATCTCGTTGCGTGGCGGCCGTCGCTCGAGCAGAGGGTCGTAACAAACCCATACCTGAACGGTATCGTCGTTCGCCCTGCGCTCTTGTACGGTCGCTCGGCCTCCGTCCTTGGCATGTTGTTCAAGACGGCACACGAAGGGAAAGTCAAATGGTTTGGTACGCCGGGAGGTCGTTACTCAACTATTCACCAAGATGACCTCGGAGAGCTGTATCGCCTGGCTGCCGAGAAGGCAGCTATCGTCGGAGGGCAGCTGTTCGACGCAGCAAACGACTCCAGTGAGAGCGTTGACGACATTCTGCAGAGGCTCGTCGAGGTGTCCGGTGCCCAAGGCTACGAATATATTCCGCCCACAAACCGTACGTGATCCCGCCGTCCGCATTGAGATCGCGTCTGACTAGCATATGTCATTCAACGCACTTAGTCTTCGAGAAGGCTATCGCCACGACATCATTACTCCTGCGCCCGTATCTCGCTCGCAGCCTTCTTGGATGGCAGCCACGCAAGGCCGGCTTGGTCGACCACCTGGAGATCTACTACGATGCATGGAAAGCAACGGCTGAGTCTGCGACACTTGAATCGGATTTCATCGGTTGATCTGGTCGATGTTTCGACAGGAACACTCGAGATCAGGATCTTCTTCGAGTATCGGTCAAGTTGTAGGATGGAGTAGGCAGAGCAGGGACGTCAGTGTACACATAGCCAAAGTGAATCAGGTTGAACGAATTCGTTTGAGTTAGGTGCCAGGACTAGAATGGAAGCGGAAGTCTCTTGTAGGACCGTCGTCTAAGGGTGGTTGAGAGAACGATAAGTTCGACACAAACCCCTCACGTGCGCCGTGTGGAGGGTCTTGGTATGAGACTAGAGAGAACGATACACTTCCTCAACATGAGACTCGGTCAGTGTTTGGAGCAAGTTTGAAGGCAACTCTAATGGTGAATTTTCGCATGACCAGACGGTACAGTAGTGGTTATTCCAATAAACATCCCCAATTTGGGTTCTATCGGCTTCGTGGTCTAGTAGTATGATTCCTTCTTAGGGTTGTTAATCACGTGGAGGAGGTCCCGGGTTCAATTCCCGGCGAAGCCCTTTTATTTTTGAACGTTCGAACGTGGATTTTGTTCACCGTTTTGTCCTTCTGTTACAGTCTGAGTAAGGGTAAGTTAACTCGGATGTAATCCCCTCTTGTAGCAGCCTGCGAACCATCCGAGCTAGTCTCGCCACAAGACTCTCCCCGTGGACGTGCGAGGGGTTTGTGTCGAACCTAGAAGTTGCGCAAAACTTAATAAGCATTCAGTGTCATATGCATTTCACGTCATCTACGCTTCGCACTATACATTGTCTTCCCTGTCTCACATTACTAGCTTCAGCACAAATCCATGGTATATGATGAGCGGTACCGGTCTTACAGTACGAGGGAGGACACAAACAATAAGGTTAGGCGATTCAGCACTGTCCGCAGATCACAGAACGAAGAGAAGAGCACATCCAGCGTTCGTTCAGAAGTGAAGGAAGCCCCGCTTCTTCTTCTTCTCCTCGGTTTTGCTGCTCGTGCTGTTCACAGAGAGCGTCGACCCCGCGAACGAGGGTACGGACGGCTTGTGCATCCGGCCCTTCTCTTCGCGCGCGGCGGGCGGGGCTGCCCGCTGTGGCCGCGGCGCATCGCGCGTGTAGTACTTCTCGTCGTAGAACTCTTGCAGCGGTCTCCGTTCCTTGCCCTCACCCGGCCCGTTGGGCATCGCTCTCGAGCCGATACCGCCGAGTTCGAGGACCTTCAGATCGTCGACAAACTGGCCAGGCGTAATCGCGTTTGTTGATCCTGGCAGACATGAGCCGGGGAAATCCACAGCAGGTACACAGACTCACCTATGATGATATCCTTCCCTAGGGACTTCGACAGCAGATACACCTCGCGCATCTCGGAGTAGGTCATCCCGCCTGCGACGAAGACGATGACGCGCTGTCGGACCTCGTCGCGCGTACTCGCGGCTTTCGGGCCCCGGTGCCAGCTCGGCTTTGCACTCCGCAGAGAGGTCGCCGGTGCTATTACCGGTGCCGCACGCATAGACGCAGCGGGAGCGGCGACTGGTGAGTCTTTCACGTACGGGAAGACAATCTGATCGAGACGGTCTCTGACGTGATCCTATACGGCAGTCATGACACGAGGCAGATTTAGTCTGAGGGGAGAACTAACCTCAAGGATGGTCTGCAGCATTGGTTTGAACCGTGAGAGTTCATACTCGTCGTCCTGGTTCGGCTTATGCCTCAGCCGCTTCTTGATGTCCTTGTCCCCAGGTCCCTGAATAGAGTTGCGTCACCGCATTGCCCTGACATGTACATTCAACGCGACAAACCCTGGTCACGCGCACGCCAAAGTGAACAAGCGCGTTCACCGCGTCCTGCTCTGCCATGGACAACCTCGCGTGCTGGTACAGTCGCCGCCGGTCCTCGTCGGGCACACCATCGCGGTATTGGATGTACAAGGCAATGATGCGCACTTTGTTAGCGTTACTGTGAGAACATCAGTATGCCGCTCGATGGGGTTGGTGAGTGCACACACATTACTTCCCGGCTGTCCAGCAACGGCACCATCTGTTCGACCAGCGTCTTCGGTGTCTTGCCTTCTGCAGTCAAGCCGGTCGCAGAATTCTGTAACACCACGTTCTCAGTCATTGCTTGAATGGTACAGTCACGAAGTATACCTGCTCGACCGTTGCCACGTTCGGCAGTTTGTCCCGCTCGAAGATCCCCATACATTCTTGCGCCATGTTGAGATGCAACGAGAACTGCAAATGCATTGATCAGCGTGCTCGTTGGGAGTAGTTTTCGGCAGTAAGCACCTTCTCTCGTTGCTCTTGATACTGAGGCAAATTAGCGAGCATGTCCTTCATGTCGTTAAGACTGGCTGCTCCGTCTCTGTTGGACCAGTCAGTGACGACATTGTTTGGTACATGGAGCATCGAACTCACCCTTTCATGCCTGCGTTGTCCTGCATAAACTGATTGAAGTCCGCCATGAGTTTGTCAATCGCCTCCCTCATGTGCATATGTCGCAATTCTGTCCAGACGTTGTCCGTATCAGACAGGGTCGCGACCTTGTCTTCGAACTGCCCTGCCGCTCCCTGGAACTTGTACCTTGACGGAAAGACGCGTCAGGATGCGTCAACGAGAGACTGGTGGAGCGACATACGTGTATTTGGCGCCATCTTCGATGGGCAACAAGTCGTTGGCCATGGCCTGATACGTGAACTCGTGTACGAAGGGTGCGAGCGTATCCATAGCACGGTCAGTGATCAGCATTGTCCCGCGCGGCCGAGGAGGGTCGGATGGTTTCTGCGACACCTTCAGCACACCGAGACATCATGAACGAAGAGACCCGCACGTACAGGCCAATCAGGGTTGGCCTTCCTGTACTCATCCAAGTCCCGCTGTACCATGAACGCGAGCACTTTCGAGACGAAGTCTGTGTCGGCGGACTCGTACGCGCGTGCGGCCTCGCCGCGCGCGAGTTGTGTGCGCCAGCGCCCACTATTCTCGGGAGGTGGTGGCGCCCTCGTTGTTTCATGTGGCTTAAAGGGACCCAAGGGCGCGTGGTGACCAGGTAGGTAATAGCGGATATAAGGATATTCGTTCAACGTGACGCAGACATTCAATATCTGGTCGAGACAAGATGTAGTTGTGATCGGAACTGAGGTAGTGAAACATACCATCTTGCTGACCAGTCGCAACTCCTCCTCTAGACGATCGCGGGCTGTCCGGAAGGCAGACTCGCTGCGCGGTGGACTGTACATGTTGAAGAATGTACCAGGAAGTTTCAGCGAGAACGCCTGTGATTCGATCGCTGAGAAGGGTTAGTAAGGTTCCGTGCAGGGGCGTAGCAGGTCGCGTGCACGCACCCCAGAAGTTGATGAAGAGTTCTTGCAGGGCCTTGAGAAAGGGTTCCGCAGGGGATGATGTCAATCGTTCAAATAGTTGTTCATCCAGACCTTCGGATGCAGAGTCAAACAATTCGCGCGCGAATGAATGGACTGTCGAGCGTACCGTCGACGAAGAAGAGATGTGCCCCCGCATACTGCTGATTTCCGTCCGAGAAGTCACGTATAATTCTATCCACGTTCTGAGATGTTGACATGACCAGATACATCGCCTCGAAATTGGGCTGTGGTTCACGGTAATTCGTGATCGATTCAATCACTTGCGTACCAAACCACCGTTAGTTGGTGGTGAACGAGGCAAGGGGCCAAGACATACGTGTCACATTCTCTTCCAAGATATCAAACTGCTTCAGGACTGACCCCAGCAGCTGCTGGGAGTGCTCGTCCACGACCAATATCTTCCATCGCCCGGGCGGGTTCACAGATCTAATGGCATTCAGGAATTCTGCGAGCGCAACCGCGTTCAGCAGTGGTTCTAAAGCACAGGAATACTTCGGAGCACATACTAGCGCGGACTGAAGCAATGAGAGAGGTCATGACCGTTCGTAGAGAGGAGGCGGGATCTGGAAACACGGGCTCGCGGAGCCAGCTGTGTAGCAACTCTGTCGATCGCCCGCACCGCTGTAGGCGCCCGCCCGTGAGCGGCTACGTCAGGAGGCGCCCATACGCGAACGACGCGCGTCGCGTCTTGCACGTCTCGCATCCTCGCACCCAGTTCCATCTCCCCACCCACCGCCATGAGCACCTCCCAACCATCGACGTCCAGCGGCATGGACCAGCGCAGACAGGACGCGCTCAAGGGCTACCGCGAGGTGCGCACAGCTGCCTGAGGTCTGTACAGTGCGGACTGAACGGAGACCGTAGAAAATGCGGCAACATGAAACGAGTAGTCAAACCCTCAAGAACTGTGAGTGGTACAATTGATGACATGAACATGGCTAACGAGTATATGTAGTGCGATTTGCATTGAAGGATCTTGAGAAGGACTACGAGAAGACGGAGGATGATATTAAGGCCGTCCAGTCAGTTGGGCAGATTATTGGCGAGGTTATGAAGCAGCTGGACGATGAGCGATGTGAGTCGCATTCTGCTTTTTCCCGGGTCTGCATCGCTGAGCCTCCTGTAGTCATTGTGAAGGCATCTTCAGGTCCCCGCTATGTAGTCTCCTACCGTCCAACATTACCCGTAGCGAAACTCAAGGCCGGCACGCGCGTGAGCCTGGACATGACCACTCTGACAATCATGCGGATATTGCCCCGTGAAGTCGATCCTGCTGTGTACAAGATGAGTCTCGAGGACCCAGGAGGAGCGTCCTTCGCTGGTATTGGTGGACTGGGCGACCAAGTGCGCGAGCTCCGTGAGGTGGGTGTTCACAACTAAGCGGGGGAGGAACGTCGTTGTGAGGTTCAAGACATGGTTCACGTAAACCTCGCATCTACGTTTCTCGATAGCCCACGCATCCCGTATACACTGACACACTCCGCTAGGTTATTGAGCTGCCATTGCTCAATCCGGAGCTCTTTGGACGTGTTGGTATCAAGCCTCCCAAGGGTGTCCTCCTGTATGGACCACCAGGAACAGGGAAGACATTGCTCGCGCGTGCTGTCGCCGCGACTTTGAACACAAAGTTCCTAAAAGTCGTGTCCTCTGCGATAGTCGACAAATACATTGGAGAATCAGCCCGTGTAGTCCGGGAAATGTTCGGCTATGCGCGCGAGAACGAGCCGTGTGTCATCTTCATGGACGAGATCGACGCTATTGGCGGGCGACGGTTCTCGGAGGGTACCAGTGCGGACCGAGAGATCCAGCGCACCTTGATGGAGGTGTGTTGCCCCCTCTGTGACCCTACAATACGGATGCTCACAATGTCCTATCGTCGCTAGCTCCTCAACCAGATGGATGGCTTCGACGCGCTTGGTCAGACCAAGCTTATCATGGCGACAAATCGACCGGATACACTCGACCCCGCACTCCTCCGACCAGGACGGCTAGACCGCAAGATTGAGATCCCACTGCCCAACGAACAGGCACGGCTAGAAATCCTGAAGATTCATTCCGCGCCTGTGAATAAGGGTGGCGAGATTGACTACGAGGCTATTGTCAAGGTTCGTTCTCTGTCAGCCCGTGGCAAGTACGTAGCGTGCCTGACCGCCTCTGCCCCGGTAGCTCTCGGACGGCTTCAACGGCGCGGACCTACGTAACGTCGTCACGGAAGCCGGCATGTTCGCTATTCGGGATGATCGGTCGGTGCCCATAATTAAGGTGTCGTCATCTTAGACAGCTCACAATTGTCTGCCAGGGAATATATTACGCAGGAGGATCTCACGAAGGCAGCGCGGAAGGTCGGCGAAGCGAAGAAGCACGAGAGTGAGTGCCTGACTCTGCGGCTCCGAAGCCCTGTATTGACTGAATTTTACCTCCCCAGGCAAACTCGAGTACTCGGCTTGATCGTTGCGTTGCTCTCTTTATTGTATTACCTGTGTGAGCGCGGATGCATTACACACTTCTGTCAAGTGTTCTTCGGCCAGCTGTAATTCGAGGATATTGGACATTCTGGTCACCGCATTTCCCCATCCAACAGTCATTGGGTTCCTCATCAGAGCGACTGAACAGTAGTTGCGTACTAACTGCCTTCACCCAAGTTTGATCTAAGCCCCGTGGCCAGCGAAGCGAGAATGGATGAGGCCCGCTATCTGGTAAGTTGGTCTGTCTCGCGCTGGTTGATACGTCAGAAGTCTTGCGACACTCGCGGTTGGTGCGACCCTGAGAAACACCGGCTCTGTGGTACGTGCATCCCTATTGTCTACCACTGCCCTCACTATTGTCCTAACCACCTCACTACAATTCTATCCTCACCGTGCTGTTTATAGACAGTGCCAGCCTCCCAGTCCTGATGCCAGCCACATCGGCCTCCCATGCAACCCAGCCTCGACTCATGTTGCTGACCTAGTAGTAGTGTACGTACAGCCGCTGAGCCAGCCTCCCCGGATTAAGTCTGCATCCAAATTCAGACCGACGACCGGCCGCACAAGATCAGCCCACTACAGGGCATATATAGGTCGGTGGGTCTCGAGGCGTGTACCGAACTTTAACGTCGCTCTTCGATCACCATGTCCCGAGGAGGGTCGCTCCCGTTGCCATTGCTCGCCATGGTGGTATCTGCCGCCCTGCGCCTCGCCGCCGGCCAACCTACAACCAGCAGTTGGCCTCAAGACTACCCGGGCATGCCGGGCGGTGACTACAGCGCGTCATGGCAGGGCTGTGAGTGATGTTTCGTCGTTCATCGCGCTCGGTCTCTCTGAACAGACGGCGCTACAGACTTCGAGGTGACGGAACCTCTCCCGAACGTGACCTGGCCTGTTAGCCGCAGCTTCGCCGGCAACATTGGCGTGCAACGAGAGGGCCACCCGAACAACACACTCTTTTTCTGGGCCTTTGAGAAGACGAATGGCTCTCTGACTGCTGCTGCAGAAGAGACCGATGAACCTTGGGGCATCTGGCTGAACGGCGGGTGAATATGGCTTGCCGCGTACTCGTGAAAGGGGGCTTACCTTGCCATACAGGCCAGGAGCGGCCAGTACCCTAGGACTCCTCTACGAGGTAAGTTACTGGTGTCCGCACGTCATTGTTTGGATCACTAATGGGCATCCTATCAGAACGGACCGATACATATAGCTCCCAACTATTCAGCATACCAGAATGAATATGGGTGGAACAATTTAGCAGACTACTTCTGGATAGACCAGCCTGTGTACGTTCGGCTCATCCTTGAGGAGTTACACTGCTAAAATGGCTTTTCTCAGAGGAGTGGGTTGGGCTACTGCAGATGCAGATGCATGGGGTGAGACCCTCTTACCACGCTTTTTGAGATAGGCTTCTGACGTTTGCCGCGTAGTCACCGATGAAGATCAAGTGGCCTCAGACTTCGTACGTTCACTACCATATGCTAACTCGCCGGCCGGAAGACTGACGGAGACAACATAGATGGGATTCCTCGATAACCTCGTCAAAGTGTTTCCGAGCCTCAAGACACGTCCTCTTTACCTCACTGGAGAGAGCTACGCGGGGATGTACATCGTAAGCGAAACCCAGCACATGGTCGACCACTGGTTTACATGACCGCTTTTGCAAGCCCTACATCACGAAGGCATACTTTGGCATGGCGAATCCACCAGTGAACCTTGCCAAGATTGCAATTGGAGATGGCACTGTCGGTTCTGAAGCGGTGTTTGAGCACTTGCCTGTTGTAAGCCTGCCGGGTTTCATTGATTCTAATCGTTGCTCAGACCGTTCGTAGACAACTGTGCTTCAGACGTACCCTCAACTCATCGGCTATGACCCTGAAGTATTTCAATGGTTCAGAGAGCAGTACGTCCGAACGGTTGATATCGTCTCAAGAGAAGACATTCATCACGATATCTCTCCAGGGAGCACCTCTGTGGCTATGATCTCAACCTCACGTACCCGCAAGACGGCAACTTCCCCGACATCCAGCTCGTCTACCCCAACGACACCGGGCGGGACGAACTCGTCTACGCGAAGAAGAGCGCCTCGCTCTACTCGAAGAAAGAGCTACTCAACGAGGGCATGCGTCGCTATGGAAAGGAAAGCCTGCAAGCGCGGGATCGCCCGAACCGCGTCCGGAGAGAGCTCGCGAAGCGCGACTTGGTCGGGAGAGCGAACGGCACGATCGACCCGTGGTATGGGTGCTTCATATACGACGAGATGATCGACTACGCTCTGAACTACACTTACCCTTGGAGTGCGTACAACGGTGTTGACCTCCCGCCGCGGCTGCTAATGTGAAGACAACTGGCAGGTTATTACGGCTATATCGATCCTACAACTGAAGAGATCGAGGGCTTCGACGTGCGTTTTGATTCCGCTCTGTTTACATCTGCATCAACGTCGCCTTGCAGTATTACAGTATTCCCGATGCACTGAACCCGGAGATACCTCTAGACGGGAGCGTCTTCTTCAACGGTAGGTGCCATATGCCCTCTGATTACCGGCTCATGCTGACAGGCTCATACATCAGATCCTCAGGCTGTTTCGGCTCTTCACGCACCTACGAGTAAGCAATGGATCGGTGAACAGGAGTACTATTTCCTTGGTGCGTAGTCGCTTAAGCTCGCGACTTGGATGACTGACGTGTCTTATGAACTTTCATTTTCAACAGGCGGTACTGAGGAGGATTATTGGTCAGATCCGAGTAAGTCTCCTACCTGCACTGTGTAACATTTCAGTCCCTGACTTGCTCCTCCAGGCGTAGAGTGAGTGCAATGCGGGGACGCCTTGCGTTTGATTCGCTGACAGCGGTTAAGACCTATGGCCTTCCTCACTGAACTGGCGACAAATGCATCGGAACGAGGTGTCAAGATAGTGTTGTACTCCGGAAACGACGATTCCCTCATCTCTCATCGCAGCACTGAAGGTAAGAACCAATGTAGTTGAGATAACGCTTGATGATGCTCACACAGATACGCCTAGTTGTTATCCAGGTAGGCGTCCATGCTTTTATCTACTACCATCAACGGGAATGACATTGTCTTCCGCAGAACACGACATTCGGCGGCATCCGAGGATTCACTCAGCCACCGGCAACGCCCTGGTACGCCGACGATGGTAGCTTCGCAGGCATCGTTCACCAAGAGCGAAACTGGACATATCTCCTCTTCAAAGACGCAGGCCACCTCGTCGCTCTGGACAAGCCCGCCAACGCGCTCACCTTCCTCCGCGAGTTCATCCTTGGTAGCAACGACACTGGGCTCGTTGCCACGGAAGACGGGAAGACGGGGGTGATCGGCGGGGAGGTTTCGTCCCTCGCGGCGGGCGTTCTCCCGGGACAGTCGGGCATCTTCGTGGGCTCGGGCGCGACGCAGTCGACGTATACATTCCCGTCCGCGACGATCGCTGCTTGGGAGAGCTACATAGTGACCGCGACGGCTACGCAGGTTGTCACGTCTGATGCTGCTGCGCGAGCGCGGCCTACGGCTGTCTTGCTGTTTCGTCCGTTCGGTGGGCTTTGAAGGGCACTTGATTTGTTTTGGTCTATTCATATATCTATTGAGATTCTGGTGACCAGCTGTGAGAGTCGCTGGCTGACTCCCGTACAGAACGTAGCGATTGCGACGGTAATGATACGACCTTGATACCACTGTCATATTGAATACCATGTATCTTTGTAGCCCACCATATGTCCCGCTTGTTCAGGCGTTCTAGTGATATTCTGCTGCGAGGAAGCCAACGAACGACATGAAAAACAGTTGTGCCAGATTGTACGAGTTGTCACGAGGCTCTGTGAGTGCAGACGTTGTCAGCAGGTTGCACTTGCGATGTAACTTAAAAGACAAGATTGCTACAGTGCTGCGCTTGAGCATCCTCCTGTCATACACAATAGCCTCAGCTCGAAATGCCGCCGCCTGTCTACAAGCTCATGACAGTGAATACCGTCCCAGAGCGTGCGAAGCGCATCATCGGGCGGATAGTGGAGGATGTAAAGGATCGATGGACGATACAGTATGTGGTCAATGCAGAAAGTGAGCTATCTTCCCTGATGTGTCGGACTTCCGGGGTTGATGATGCTTGATCCCAGGGATAGAGGAGGTACTCCCTACGCTCGAGCGAGAGCGACCCGATATCATGGTGATGGTGACAGATGCTCTGACATGACGAGGAGTACTCACGCACTTTCCTACTCAGTTTGTGGCATCGATGTGGACCCCCGAGGAGCAACAGGTTGTGATCAGTCCTGCCTTACAAGCAGTGTTCCCGGCTAACTTTAATGAACCCACAGGAACTCGTGCTTATTGCTGAGCAGACTATCCCCGGTATCAAGACGTTCAAAATACCTAGCGGTCTCCAGGTGGAGAAAGGACCAGATGCTATTGTCGACTTTATCAAAGAGAATCTACCGTCTATCCTCGATAGCCCAGCGCCGAAGGAATCGCTTTGAGAGTCGTAACTTCAGGATGTACATGTAGATCGTTGAATCCTTCGTCCAAGATACCGTGTAGCGAGTGGTCGGTATGCCTGGTGATCCAAACGGCTCGGTTGATTCAACTCTACCTATATCATCGTGAGTTTCAATTGAGTCTTAGACCCAGTGCAGAGTGACAAGTGGAACGTTCAACGCGACGCGTCGCGCAGTGATGATGATGATGATGATGACCTCTGCATTTATTAACCGCTACAAGCAAACATGTGCTAAGACGCGGCGGACGCCGGCCTGTACAGTAGTGGGCGTTAAAACGCGCCACCCAGGTCGACGTCCAGTTCGGGGCTGTACTGGTAAGAGTAACGTCTGGAGGGTTATATAGTAATGGGTCGTTGTCGGTTTGTAGTCTATGGTAGCGTCTATGGTACTGGTTCTATTCGTCTGTCCGAGTCGCAACGCGTCGCGCAGTGCGCTCAGATCCAGATCCAGATCCACGGTCACGTGTGGTGATAATACGTCCCGTCGGTGGCGGCCCCTAGGTCACCAAGCGTCGGTGTCCTCGTCCTCCTCTGTTGCGTGCCGACGTCTGTCTACACAGTGCATCCACTGGGCGTAATTTGTGCCAAATATTTCTTGAGCTATGGCGAAGAAACGCAAGTCCACGCCTCAGTCCGCAACCCTGCACGATTTCTTTGGAAAGCCAGCCACGAAGAAAATCAAAGTGGAAGGTAGCACCAGTCGAGTTGCGAAGAAGTACGTCGATCCAGGAGACATCATTGTCATTGACTCGGACGACGACGACGACATTTCTAAGGCGTCACCGGAGGTAGTCGCGAGAGCAACTCCCCTAGCTGCGAGCAAGACTTCGAATCAACTTGGCAAATCGCCATCGACCGGTCAACCGGTGTCGACAGGGAGGCCTAAGGATGATGGTCGTTTGCAGAGGAAGGAGGTACCTTCTACTGCGAGCGACGTTCAGGACGGAGAGTCATTGTTTGGGCTTCCTCTATTGCTCACCCTGGACCAGGACACTGCCGATCCGTCCTCTCCATCTGCGTTTGGTACACCGATCTTACTACAGTCTTCCACTCCTTCAGGGGCTGTACAAGCAACACCTGCGGATACTACCCAAAGCGCAGGTCATACCGCACCTCTTGATGGATGTACCCCCCCTCCGATAGCACAGTCTAGTTCTGGAAGTGATTCTCTGAACGCGCCTGACGAGGAGTGGGCGACGGGGGATGACGAAATTGAGGTGGACGACATCGGTATCTCGGCAGATGCACAAGAGGAGGAGCATGTAGACGTTGACTTGACGTTACAAGAGGAGGACGCTGTGGATATCGACCTCACGTTGGACGACGAACCTCCGCCATCAGAAGAATGCGTCGAATCGTGCCCACTATGCGACATGAAGCTCAGAGGCATGAGCACTCTCGTGCGTAGGCTTTCTGATTGAGGGTACTGTCCGCCGCTGATAGGTTACTCAGGACGTTCATGAACATGTCAATCGTTGCATAGACTCGACTCCTGACACGGCCAAGGCGCCTAACGCTGCATCCAATGAGGTCAAACCAAAGCCTATGCGACCAGTATCGTCCTTCCAGGTGCACCCTTCTCCGAGTTCCTCGAAGGTTAAACTAGAAGACGAGGAGCCGCCAACGGACTCCAAGGCTGGTGTGTTCTCTGTGCTCATGACGTCTCACAAGGAGAACGAGGCATGGAAAGAGGCTTCTGTCGCTGAGGACCGGAACTTCCGACCAACGAAGAGCAACGGCGGGCGACGGAAAGCGCCATTCTACAAGGTCATGCAGGGTATGCCCATCGCAGTTGATGCGTTTCGGTACGGAACCATCCCAGGAGTCACAGCTTATTTCTTGACGTGAGTCGAGCTGCAATCTATCTCATGTCGAAACATTGACATCGGAGTTGCAGACATGCACATTCCGATCACTATACGAACCTTTCGGCCAAGTGGAACAGTGGGTTCATCTACTGTTCAGAAGGCACCGCAAACTTGATCATGCACATGCTGGGCGTGAACCCCAAGTGGGTACGCCCATTACCTCTTGACGTCGCCACGACCATCCCAGACACGGGCGGCGTGCAAGTGACGCTAATCGAGGCGAACCACTGTTAGTGTGCTCATGTGTGAGCAGATCTAGCGTCCTGACGTACTCGTCCACAGGTCCTGGATCATGCCTGTTCCTTTTCGAGGGCCCGCAAACAGTCAACGCGGGTGATAGTGCGTACAAATCGCCCTTGATTGGCTCGTCAAGGCTGTTTAGGTACCTCCACTGCGGCGACTTCCGGGCGTCCCCCGCGCATGTAAACCACCCAGCGATCAAGGGCAAGCGGATAGACCACTGTTATCTAGACACGACATACCTGGACCCGAAGGTAAGATTTACTTAATTTGAGCGCCTCTGTGGCCGATACCGACTCCTTTGCCAGTACTGTTTTCCTCCGCAGCCACAGGTCATTCCGGCGTGTGCGGAGCTCGCGAGGCGGATTGTCGCAGGCATCCCGCTACACGAGGATGCAGCGAGGGCCAAACAGAATCGCACCATGGACCGGTGGGTGACAACGTCGGGCGTCAAGACGGAGCAGAAGGAGCAGGGCATAGGGAGGACGCTCGTCGTCGTAGGGTGCGCCTCAGTACAAAGCGATGCAGAGCTTTTATTGACAAGGTTACCCTCCGCAGGACCTACTCCATCGGCAAGGAGCGCATCGTCAAAGCGATCGCGCGAGCCCTCCAGACTAAGGTCTTCTGTGACTCGCGCAAGGCTGCCATCCTGCGGTGTCAAGCGGACCCTGAGTTGCACGCGTTACTCACGAAGGATCCGCTCGAGGGCGGCGTGCACCTCGTACCACTGGGCGTGATTGCCTCAGACCGTCTGAAGGAGTACGTCGAGCGGTTCAAGGGACACTATAGCAAGGCTGTCGGCTTCAGGCCGACTGGGTGGACGTGAGTACCATCGTCGACATGTAAATTGCCCGTCCGGTCGTCTAACGGTTCATACAGCTTTACCGCGCCAACAGGGAGCGACATGCTCCCCTCCGTGCAAACGATCATCTCCCGCTCGCAGAGCCGCACCTTCACCTACGCGCAACTGAGCCCGATGAAGAACTCCACGCCCGCGCTGCAGATCTACGGGGTGCCGTACTCGGAGCACAGCTCGTTCTTCGAGCTGACGTGCTTCGCGCTCTCGCTCGACTGGGGCAGGATGATCGCGACAGTGAACGTCGGCAGCGAGAACTCGCGCAAGAAGATGGGGAAGTGGATTGAGCGCTGGGAGGCGGAGAGGAAGAAACGGGCGAGGGACGAGGTCGTTAGTGCTAGGGCTGACGACTACTGGTAGAGTAGTGATTGTAAACTTACGTGTTGGGCTTGGGGCTGTTGGGAGAAGGCCAACACTAGGACGTGCTTGGTTCGTACAGAGCAATCACAGTGCATTTACTCGACATCACTTAGCAGCGCACCGATACTAGAAGGCTTTTTCGGGGTTGTTGCCAGCTTACCGTAGAAATGCTCATATAATGCTCATATGAAGGCCAATTTGGGTCTCACCGGTCACCTTTTAGCCATGCACATATTGGTGGCGAGGTTATGTAGCCTGCGGCTTCCGCATGGCTGATATACTGTACCAGAACAACATCAACAAAAGACTACGCCAAGAGGACAGGAACTTGGCGGAGATGCTGTGGTGAAGCCAACCACAGTGCCGGGGGGATCTACACAGTATGCATGCATGCGGTAGATTTTGTGGCGTACAGGTGTCATACAAGCATGGCATAAAACATGATAGCAGAGAGGACCAGAGAGATGCGCGAACCCATACGTTTATTGCTCGGCCGCCCGCTGTTTCCTCTTGACATCCCGCTCCTCCGTGATGGTAAGCTTGGTGCCCTTGCCCTTCGGGAGGGAGACCCAAGGCTTTGTGCCCTCGCCGAGCACGAAGATATTGGAGATCCTATTTATCATGAGTCCGGCGCTCCCGGCATATATGATCTCATGCTTACCGCGTAGCGAATGTCCGGTCGAGGATGTCCTTGACGTGGACGATGTCGAAGCCACCAATGTGCTTCTCGCGGTGCACGATGACACCAGCACGGCCCATGTTACGACCACCAGTGATCATAACGATGTTACCGGTGTCGAACTTCACGAAGTCCACGATCTTGTTCTGCTCAAGATCGAACTTGACGGTGTCGTTGACCTTGATGGCAGGGTCAGGGTAGCGGATCGTGCGGCCGTCGTGGGTAACGATGTATGGTACGCCCTTCGCGCCAACAGCCGCCTTGCGGACCTTGAGGAGCTTGTAGGTCGCCTCCTCAGGGGTGATGCGGTGGATCGTGAAGCGGCCCTTAACATCGTAGAGGAGACGGAAGTGCTCGCCGGACTTCTCAATCGAGATGACGTCTGAAACGAAGTCAACACACTATTCGACGAGTTTCGTAACTTTGGCGCACGCACCCATAAAGCCAGTGGGGTAGGTGGTGTCGGTGCGGACCTTGCCGTCGACCTTGATCAGGCGCTGCATGACGATCGACAGGACCTCCTTGCCGGTCAGCGCATATTTGAGCCTGTTGCGGAGGAAGATGGTGAGGGGAAGGCATTCACGGAGCTTGTGGGGACCGGGGGAAGGGCGGGGAGCCTGCGCAAATCACATCGTCTTTATTGCAGACTCGCAGTGCACGAAGCAGATACACGCACGTAGGTCCCGCTCAGCTTGTCCAGCATCCATGACGAGGGAGCGGCGAGGCGCTTCAAGTGCTTTTTGGGTCCTCGGGCCTGCAATGAACAAAGTTATCAGCGTTGTAGTCTTCGTTGGAGACCCTGAGAGACCCAGAGGAGGTGCTATGCCGAGCTGTCGTATCGGTCGCCAGAGTACATCCAAACGTCAACGGACGCATCCATCCCCGTAGGAAGTCCTGGACATCGTTTTGACCGCACAGAGCAACACAACCGCAGCCTCTAGGTCGTCTGGCAGCATTGGACTGACCATGTTGGTGTTCTTGCGGGCTTGACGTTGGCAACGGCGACGGCCTCGAGCTTGCTCTCTCTCGACTACAAAACTTGGCTTTCCGCATTCGGCAGCTTCAGGGCAAGGCAAACTGCGATCACGTGATGCACCGTCGCCCGCGGGCTTTCCGCGTTCGGTCTCAGGCTCACGGCGCTTAGCACCAGCTTCGGACTCGGACTCTAGCCTTTTAATCCTGAAGACTTTGAGCCTGTGCAACACTTCATGCGCCTCGAATCTCCGACTTCGTTTGGTTAGGAATTTCCCCAGTCATGCTTTTGTTTGGCCAGAGCCAAATATTAACCAAGTCTGCGCCATTCAGATTCGGCACATGCATGTGTAGCAAACCTCCCGAGTCTGAGGCCGTAGCATGTTGCATCGGTTAGCAGGGGCAACATCACAGCTCAGAATACAACAAGCTCTAGCATGGGCTTAATGTTACAGCATTATGTGGTCCATGGTATACAGCGTACGTGCCTACTTCTCCTTTCTCGCCCTGAGAACCATGTTCTCCAGCGATATAGCCCGATATTCGTCACCATCAGGAGCCCACACGGCATCGTCTTGAATGTACACAAGTAGCCCGCCTTTGCCATCTGCCGTCGGCGAGACGCGGAAGAGGGGCATGCGCGACTTCTCGTGCACGCGGCCGGCGGGCATGAACAACAGGTTGTGAGAGGACGCATAGTCCTCCACGATAGAGCGGAACGTGATCTCTTGTGTCCGCGCAGGGCGCATTTTCGGCGCCTTCGGCTTCCCTGCTGCCATCGGTGCAGGGGAGGGTGAGCGGTGGTCCGGCCGGGGCAGCTGCGTGGGCGCATTGGGGCCGAGCTCGAGAGCCTTGTTCATCAGCTGCAGTCCGCGGGTGAAGCCCTGCGCAATGCCCGGCATGTTCTGCACGTTCTCGGAGAACGATTCCTTCCATTCCGAGTACCACCGCGCGACCTCCTCGAAGCTCGGACTCGGCTGGACGAGCCAGATGTGCAGCACGTCGAGCCACTTCGGGAAGAATTCGGTCTCGAGGATGCGTGACATGACGGATGGGCTGAGGAGGTTCTCCCACAGCATGACGTCCTGCAAGGGAACCATGTCCTGGTTGCGCGGATTGACGCGGAAGTCTTCCCGGAGTCGACTCCCAAGCTTCGGTACGACGTATTTGAGCAGCATGGCGTCCCAATCGCCCACATCGAACACCTACGACCATGAGTGAATATGAGGAGAGAAGGTTAGTGTACAAGCTACTTACGTCTTTCCAAACAGTCAGGTCGTCTGGCATACCCTCGGCGACTGCCCAATGCCGGAGCATGCTCTTGACCTTCCTCCGCGCATCGCCGAGGACTTCGTCCAGCCGCAGGCCGACGTGGGGCAGCCACGGGAACACCAGCGTCTGCAAGGGCACCTTGCTGCTGCGAGGGTTCCAAGTGTCCACCGCCTTTGAGACCTTCGGCAGCACTAGCTGATCAAAGAAATTGTCCCGAATGAACGGAGGCAGGAAGCTGGACCACGCTTCGTAAAGGCGGACTGCGGGTTGTGGGTCGTCTGGGGACCACTCGTTGTTGATGGAGGACCGTACCTTCGGCAACCACGCATTCCACAAGAGACTCTCGTAGGGCGTCATTGGCTTCTCGCTGAATCAACACGTAGTGTCAGCTTCTGCCAACTTATGTTCAAGAAATGCACGTACACTACTGGCGCGGTCGAGATGACCGTGCTAGTTCCGTAGACCGATACTTGGTCTTGTGGCTTCTCATCCGGTGGCGCCATCTTGAGCGCGTTTCTCCATAACCGGAACAGTGGTGTGAAAGTGGCAGGGTCCTGCAGTGGATGCCACTGCGCCAACATACGTCGTACCTGCGTTGCATCGTCAAAACCAGTTGCATGTTCACGTATGAGTAAGGAAATGACTTACGATCGGAGCAATAGCGGCAACGATAACTTCGTCCAGCCGGTATCTATCGAACTCTGTTGCGTACTGTCCGAGGAGTTTCTCAAAATTGGCGGAGAAGGTCTCGAGCGAAGGCTCGTACGTCGATGCCAGCTCTCTCGCCTGTGAGTTGATGTCGTCTACAACCAGGTTGACTTGTTGCAGGCGAGCGATCACTGGGGCGGAGGATGAGCGAAGAGAGGCACAGAATAGTAGAATTGTACGTACGCTCCGCTTCCTCTTCCACTTTCTTCCGCAGTCGGGCATCCTCTGCCTGCACCCACTTCTTGCGCTCCTCTAGCGCTTTGGCTTCACGCGCAAGTCCATCCAAGTCACCCTTGCATGCTTCGGTGATGAGACGCAGATTGTGTCGAACCTCAGGGAGGCGCATAGGATCCGCGGTAGGTGTCCACGACGCCATTGATACGTCCGCAAGGGAAGACACCTCTCTCATCTGTATCATAAAATGTAAGATGCAGTCTAGAACGACGATAAACACGGACACGTACAGTAGCACCAGTAGCGTCGATTATCTGTCCAAGACCAGCAGGCTGGGCTTCCTGCCCGGCCTCTGCGACGATCTCCTCGTACGTCTTGTGCTCGATGCGTGTCTTCGCCTTGCGAGGTTTCTTCCAGGCCTGCGCCCTCTCCTCGTGTGCCTTCGCAGCCTTGCGGCCGAGCTTCGCAGCAGGCTTGTCCTCATCGTCGCTCACAACTTCTCCGCGGCGTCGCGCCTCTGCCTTCGATTGCGCCGTCTTCTCTGTGAAGCCCTTGAAAGCGAGACCCATGCCTTTGGGCCGGAGCTTGCTCTCGACTGGAGTGACAATACCTTCGCCTGTGGTACCCAGACCGGTACCCGCCTGCCAGCCCATCTTCTCGAGCATCCGTGCACCGAAGGAGCCCCCAATCTTGCTGAAGTGTTGTCGCTCGGCGGAGCTGAGGCTAGGTGCAAGATTTGGCGTGCCTGACCTGCTCCTGCCATCGCGGAGGAAGGAGCGTTGAGTGCGAGCACCCCCGAATGCGGACGGTAGGTCTTCGGAAGTCGTTGGCAAAGGCGAGGGTTCTGCCTCCGCAGGTGGTGTCGAGGTGCGCTCCGACGAACCGATACCTCCCTTGCTGAATCCAAGGTCCCCTTTGCTGAAGCCAGAGAATGCGCTCTTTGGCTGAGTCTTCGATGCGCCAATGCCGATGCCTCCAAAGCGGGGCCGCGCCTCCTCTTCTTCCTCTTCTTCCTCATGTACTCTGGGAGAAGGTGGTTTGGAGGGTCCAGAGTCGTCCGTCTGCACGGAGTCGTCCGCTTGCTCCTCGCCCGAGTCGCTTGAGCCCCCGTCTTCATTATCAGCCTCCGCATCCTTCATTTCTATATCCCCATCTGTCACCTTGTCCATGTCTACCTTCTCCCCCGACACAAAGGCCGGAGCCTTCGTCCAGTCCCTCCGCTTCTCGGGTTTCCCTCGACTGCGCCCGCCAGTGCCCTCATCCTCATCTTCGTCAGCAAACACGCCGTAGATTGCGTCCTCCTTTCCGTTCTTTCGCCGTCGTTTGCGCTGGTACGGGTCCTGGAACAGCTCGCGCTCTTCACGCGCATTTGGGTCGTTCACATCGTAGTTCGGGTCGTTATAGTCGTCCACGTCAGAGACAGGAGAAGAGTCATCGTCGTCGTCGAGGAATTGTCGCTTCCTTCGTGCCATGGCTAGGTGGGTTCGGACGGGAAACCCAGTGCGTGTATGTAACGTTGAGTTCCGCTGAGTCCTGACGACCTGCAGTGTGATCGAGCACACGTGATCCGCTATGCAGCCCAAGGGCTCGGCGGCGGGCGCTAGCGAGGGCTTCAGGGCCCTACTGTCAGTACAGGTCAGTACATACGAACGTCTCCGACACAGGCTGAATTGTCGAGCATGCAATCTGACGAAAGTTTGGACTTTGCAATCCAATGTCCAACTCAGAAGCACCGGGGCCGCTTTGGGCTCTCCGAACCTCCGCAGTACCATGACCTTCAAATGCTAAGCGGCAGAACCAACAGCAGACAAAGGGTATGCATACAGGTCGTATACAATAGCAACAGTGCATCATTGCAGTCCGGCAGACCTAGCACAACGTGGAGTGGAATCTTGAATGCAAGCGCATGAAGCATGCGATTTATGATACACTATGATACAGGCGGACACGATGGACTAGGGATACACAACTATCCTTTCTTGAAGCCTGCACGACATGTCAGCGACACTCAAAATTCAAGCTAAGATACTACCCACCGAGACGACGACGTTCATAGAAAAGATCCGTCCTGCTCGCGCCGAGGTTGACGATCTTCGGGCAACCGTCGCGGTCCTTCTCTAACCTGGTACACTCGGCGCAATAGTACGCGTCCGAGATTCCTTCACCCATGTCAGCACAGTGGACGCACATGGAGGCAGCGAGTCGACGCACCTGGTGAGCCGCAAATGATACATCGCCCTCCGTAAGTACCGAAGTTGCACTCGTCACATATACGGACTAGTGTCTCTGGGCGTACGTATGAATCACACACCGGGCTACATCACGATGGTCAGCATTCGCGACAAGCATAAGAGCAAGATCTACATACCACTTCCCGTCGCACTTCTCGCATAGGCGACCAATGGCTTGAGTAACCGGCTGTCAGTTTGCTATACCTTGATACAAACCGAGCGCGGCAGCTTACCTATGCCTGGCTGGCGCCTGCACATAATCAAATCTATGGAGCAAGCAGTCAATAACATCATTGGACGCGTTCCGAATGTAGAACGTACCCGGATGATGCTTTGACATGGTGGACGACTGAAGAAGACGTTGGGCAGACTGTAGCCACAGACGCGCATGAAGACCGGTCCACGATTTGTCATCACTTCTCACGCCAGCTCACTTCGAGTTCATTCAAGCTGGTTGGTGTACAGTTCTAAGTTACGGTCAACTTCGAGGGGCTATCATTCCAACGAGCGCATAGCTTAAGTTACATAGTATTCGCATATCTGCATGCTTGGTACATGGATTGGGGGATGCCATTAACGTCCACAGATGGTCTACGTAGTACGGAATGTGAAGACGGAATGCTAAAAGCACAGTAGCAAAAGAGATACAGAAGAACAGCGGACGACGAACCGGGGACGATACTATGACAGGTGGAAACTTCCGATGCCCTCCCGCATCGCGACGTGTAACTTCTCCCGCATGACGGCCTTTGACGAATACTCGGGCAGCTTGAGGTAGTTGACGCATGTCATGACACTCGGCAAGTAGTCGTCAGCGGTCAGCGGAGCCTCGTGCGGCTTGCGCACGACCGTCAATGATGGGTTCAAGCCTCGGAATCCTACGTTGGTGAAAGAAACATGAGTTACGCGAAAGACATACTCTCCGCTATCCGCACCTCCTATGGGCAACCTCGGACTTCCCGTGATGAACTGTAGGTAGCTGCGACGAGTAGGCGATTCAAACTCGGACATGATCTCGAGCAGATCACGAATGGCACGACTCTCGACGTTGAAGCCGTGGTCAGCCTTCAGCGCTTCACTCAGAGCTACAGGTCATGACTTTAGCAAGACGTGCAACGCGATAGAGAGACTACGCACTCTCTAGACTCCAGTCCTCCTCCGAGTTCCCGAACAACATGATCAGCTCGTCCGTCGTAAACGCCTGCAGGTCGGCGATAGGGAACACCTTCGAGAAGCCTTCTCGGAAAGCCTTTGCCTGCAGCGCCGCGCCCTTGCCAATGATCGCGTCGAGGATCTCGTGGACATACTCGTCTACATTCTCCGATGTGACCGCGATGTTGCGACCGCCAGGCTGTACAACTGTGTTAAGTCAATGATTTCGGAACGAGACTCCGCTACCCACCCGTAGTTCGATGTCGTAGCCAGGGATTGTGAAGTCGAGGGCAAGATCTTCCACCAAGACATCTTCGACAACGCCTAGCTTGCGGCGGATCTATGTACACATGACCTCTTGAGTCATGCTCCTGAAAACGCGCGACGCGACAAGGTCATACCTTCTCGGCCTGAGATTTTGCGCTCGCAAAGCTCTGAATCTGTTCCAGCGACGCTGCCAAATCAGGATCGACACGCTATGCAGCACCGCATAAGCAACAGTACCAGGAGAGCATGACCAGACCTCTTACCCTCAGGTTGTCAACTGTCAGAGGCACATCCTCTCCGAGAACGAGTTTGAGGAAGACCTTGTTGAGCGACAGGTCGATGATTCGAGAGTCAAGCAAGGCCTTCGCTACGAACTGCCCGATCACCCGGAATATGTGTGTACGTTTACTGAATAGTCTGATCAGCTACTGTGCGAAAAGCCGAAGACGAAGCACTTACTGTCCTGCGTCGCCCGGAGTATCTACATTAATCGGCGCAGGGAACAGACCAAGGGGATGATGAACATAGGGTCCGGATAGTGTTGGGTCGGCGTCTCGCCAGATCTTGAGGTCCTTCCGCGCGAACTCCTTCGAGACAAGGGAGTAGAACTCGAGGGTAGGTCCCAAGCCCGTGCCCACCTCCTCGAAGTACTCAACCTCGAGGATGGACGACGAAGAGCCGTACAGCTCGAACACCTTGACAGCAGACTCCAAGATGTGCTGACGGGAGATCCGGACTTTCTGTCGCTGCAATCTTCCCAGGAAGCCCACGCCGTCGTCCCGCCTTGAACTGTCCTGAACACGGCTCTGTTGGCTCTGCCACTTGAGAATGAGGCGAGCGTAGCCGAAGGACGTCGACTGCAGGAAGTTGTATCGGGTACCGAAGGGAAATAGGAACGGGAAATGCTGTGGTAAATCAAGGGCCCACTCCGGAAGGCACGAACTACGAGCGACATGAGCAGTGTTCGCTAAAGACTCGCACGCATACTCACCTCGCAACAATCATGGGTTCCTCCAACTGCCGTGTCAGTTTGGCCGTCAACTTGTTGTTGACGAATGCACTCTCTGGTAGAACGTGCTTGAAACCTGGCACTGCGGGGCGTTCGCTTTCCTGCACATTCAACTTGTGCAAAACACGGAGCAATCGCAGAATTTTCCCATGTGGCGCATCCTCTGGAAGTGACGACAACGGGGGAGTCGGCGATCGACTCCGCGACCCAAACTCATCGCTTCGTGCTAGTAGTACGATTAGGATGTATCGCACGACAGACACAAAGAAGGCTTACATTCTGACAGAGGGACAGGACCGGGGACCTTCTTGAACTTGACAGTGTATACGCCCTGCCAGAACAGGCTGGGAGACAGCGCCTGACCAGACTTCTTACGACCTTCCTGTTGGTGAACGGCACCATAGATCGTCAAGTCCAGGGGAAGTTTGTGGTCGTCCATAAAGAACTCGAGGTGCCAGTCATTCGGTTTTGACTTGACTGCGGCAGCGTATGACCCTCCGGTACTTCCAGTGTTACGCCCACTGAGAGGAGGCCGACTCTTCACGGGGGCTGGAGTAGGCACCCTTGTTCCGTCAGGCGTCTGTGCTTCTACTTTCGATCCGTCTAATCGACAGTTAGTATGGATCAGCTATAATCAGACGTGCCCTACTTACCTTCGCCCACAGACACAGTGACTGTCTTATCGGCATCGGGACTCTCCATGTGCTCATCGTCGTCAACGACCTAGACAAGCTCAGTCAATAATGTTCGACGGAGAGGAAATAGTACGTACCTCAGCATCTAAATCGATCTCATCATCCGTGAAGTCGGCAGCGAACTCGGGCTCCTGCACGGCAGTACCACTTGATGCGCTGTCCGGAGCTGATGGCGACGCTGACGCCTCCGTCGCTTCGGGAGCAGCAGAGGGTGGTGATGGTGGCTTCGGTAGCGACTGGTCTGGGGCTGTGTCTGCTTCCGTTGGCGCCGTGGGTTCAGCAGGAGCATCCGTTGCACCAGACTTCTTCGCACTGAGACGAAGGCTTCGTCGACGGGATATACTTGCCGGATCAGATGCAGCAGGGTTGGGTGCAGGCGGTGTGGGAAGTGCACTTCGAGAAGATGACGGTGGTGCGAGGGCAGAGGCGGCGAGTGCTGCAAGCATACCCGACAGGCGAGAACCACTCGGGAGAGAGCCAGCAACGCGAGGGCGAAGATAATCATGCAAGGCCTGGAACGTTGCGATGGCATGGATGGAGACGACGATGTTGCTGAGGCTCTTCGGCACGTCTGAATCTTCCGCTGCAACCAGACGGAGACGCAGCTGACGCGCAAGTAGCGATGGTGAGCTTCGCTTGGAGTCTACTTGAAATGTTATCAATATAACAACAGAACTGATCCTATAGGTCATACCATCCGAACTCTGAGCCACTGTAACAACCTCAAAGGACTCCATCCTCGTCAGGCTTTCCTGCAATTTCTTGACCAGTGTTGCAAGAGGAGTCTGGTCGTTGACGGCTATCTTCGACTTCGGTGTAGTGAACACGCGGAAGAGCAGCTCTCTTCGCCGAGCGATGCTCACTATCGAATAAATGAGTCTTGTAAGATACACGACAAGAAGAGTCAACCCACCATGGCGTTGTTCATCCGTCACAAGGTGCAATAGAGCATCCACCAAGCCGCTCTGCAGTAGCTCGAAGCTGGATACAGATGATTGTGGCGAGGCGAACAACTCTGCCAAGGACACAAGAGCTGACTCCAGCTCCGCATCAGAAGCATCTTGCTTGGTGATCTCGTTGACTACGCGCTTGAGAGTAGCAAACAAGTCGTCGCTCTGCTCTTCCTCCGGTCCAAGCAGATACTTAAACCGTGTGACTCTTGCTCGCCAAGTGATAGCGTCATCAGGTTCGAGAGAAAGAGAGGTCATCTTCCTGACTCCAGGCATTGACCCGGCCATTGTAGGAGGCATAGGCGTCGCAGAAGGCTCTGTAGGTGCTGATGTGTCAGTCTCCTTGTCCTTGTCCTTATCCTTGTCTTTAAATCTCGATGATGCCACGGGCCGAGTAGCTAGTAGGTCGATCTCATGTAAGACGCCCTCGCGTCTGAAAGCCGGCTTGTACTCTGTAGGGGCCTTGCTGAGTAGCACCTCGACGATCTGGAGCGCGCCAATGACGAGACTGGGGTAGTCTTTGGAGGAGAGGATAGACGACGCGAAGGTCGCGATCGGGACATACTGCAAGATTGGTGAGCGTCGTGAGCCATCGGCTTACCGGCTGAACGCACCTTGAATACTCGGACCAGCTCATCTGCTTCTAGGAAACTGACAGCCTTGAGGAGACCGGTGAGCGTCTTGATCCGTACAGGGGCCATTACACTAGCGGCGTAAACGTCGACTAGGATGGGTACCATGAGATGCAAAAATCGTCCTACGACGGCAGGCTGAGATCGCAGAAGCTCCGTGCGATCAGACGTCGTCTCTTTCGGCAATGCCAACGAAACCATGCTCTCGTCGCCTTCATGAATCGACTGGCTGTCTGCTGAACCTTGGGAAGCGCCGTCCTCGGGCTGCACATTGGTCGGCGTGGACGTTCCTGCGATGGCAGACGCATCCTCGCCTAACAGAGTTGCTGCCATAGCGGACATCGCTTGTCGCGCAGCAGCGCGCTCGGCCTTTGCCTTCGCCTTTATGAGCTTAGACAAAGACCTCTCGGTATATGCCTTGTGGTCAAAGACACCATCTACAAAACAGCTAAGCGTCAGGGCCACAGACGTTGATACGAGGAACACACGTACCCTTAGGCAACGGGGGCATGAGTTCCGAGACAAGGCTGAGCGCTTCTTCTACTTGATCCTTTGGTCGATGCGCAAGGTTCTCCATGACCGTCATATCCGCAAGCCCACCGCCAAGGCCTTGTCCCCCGTTTCCGTCGCCCTGCTCCTCGCCATTTTCAGAGGCGGGAGGCAAGACGCCGGTCAGAATCTGATACAGGGTGTCCACGATGCCGGCCTCCAACAGGACGAGAGTGATCTTGGGACTCGCGCGGGCGGAAGTTGCCATGGCTCGGAGCAGTAGAGTGAATGTACCCGTCGCGATCAACGGCGATCCGCCAGAGGGCAGGAGAAGCAGGTTGACAGCACGAACGAGGTCGACATCGACTAGGCTTTCCAGCTTGTCAGGAGCAATGCGGTGGAAGGCGTCGATGACGCGGATGACGCAGAGACAGGCGAATTCAACCAGTCGTTGATCGGCATATCCTAGGCAATTGCGAATGGTGGGCCATACGCCGCGCACCATAGGGAAGTGCTCAGCTGAGATGTTACGGCAGCAGTTCGACGCAGCTTGGAGAGCCGTTCTCTGGACAGCGATGGAGAAGAAGTCGAGGTAATTCAGAAGCGCAGCCAGACCGCCTTCACGGACAATCGAGCTCGGGAATTCCTCCGAGATCTTCTCCAGAGTCTGCAAATCGAACCCGTTTAGATCTGCTATGTACGCACGGAAATCTCACCACTCACACTGAGCGTTTGCTCCGCTAAATCGATGTACGAGATTTCGATCAGTTTGCTACACAGGACAGGGATGGCGCCGTGGTAGACGACAGTGTGCGCCACACCCGGCAACGCCTCCATGAGGTTGGCGAGACATCTGCACGCTAGCACTTGGGCTTCCAAGTTCTCGTCGCCTTGGTACGCACCACCCCCAGCGCTCATGGCTAGGGCTGCTGCGAGCGCGGCATCCTCGTCAACGTCTTGTGGTTCTTGATCGTCATCTTCATCCGGATCACCACCAGTACCCCCCAGGATGCGAACGAGCTCTCGAACGAAGGACTCTACCTGGAAGGAACCCGCGAGAGTATCTTCCGTACTGATACTGAGCAGCTCGCTCAGCTCTTGAAGGGTAAGGAGACGCGTGGTGGGGTCAGCGGTGGGCTTGATATTGTTCAGCATAGTCTTCAGGCGACTAGACAACCCCATCATGTATGACCCAAGCTGACGATAGTCACCGAATATTGCCATCGCTGACGGTTCGTCCAGACCATCGCTTGACTGCTTCGCAAGTTCCCTCTGATCTTCCTCAGGCGGCTCGTCCAGATCATCTCCCTCATCATTGTGATCAAGTTCCTCAGCAACATCTTCGCCACCTGCGTAGTCGTCCATAGCCTCAAGCTTCTCGTTAGGCTGTTCGAGCTCTGGGTGCATGCAGTCGGCGTCCATCATCTCAGCGTCTTCGTCTGCGCGGGATGTACTGGCCATAGCTGACACGGCTTTAGTCTTCGCCGCAGCCTTGCCCTTTCCTGATGTCGTTCTATGCCACTAGCATTAGTAAGATGCACGGCACAGTAGATGTTGCTCGTACCTCGTCTTCTTCGTCATCTCAGTCGCTATTTGAGCTTCCGATCTGGATCGGAGGGAGTACGCGCTAGTGGTTCTCGTACGCTTGGTGGTGGTGGAAGAAGAAGCAAGGTTCTCCTCTCCTTCAGAGCTGTTGGGCTGAGCTCGCTTCTTGCCTTTGGTATCGGTCGAAGGCTCGTTGATTGATAATGCGGAACTGACGGGGTAAGTGGCGCGGCGTGCTCTGGTAGTGGTATCCGTCAGCACCTGCGCCCGGAGATTGCTGTGTGCACTGACCTCTTGCTCGCCCGTGAAGCGTCGTCAGACGATTCCTTGCCCTTGCCCTTGGCTGAGGTAGCCTCGCGGGCACGCTTGGCTGGAACGGATGAAGAAGACGTGGCTTGGTCCGCAGAGGTGCGTTCCTTCTCCTTCTGTTTGGCAGCTTTCACTCTCGCGCTCGAGCGCAAGACCTTGGCGTCTGTGGAGGATCCTGGGACCAACGTAGACGGTTCTTCGGGGTGCGACGTGGATGGACTGCAGCTACTGGTCGCTTCTTGCTGCTGGGTGTAGTCCATTTAGTGCATACAGCCGGCCATCGATTCCCTTTCTATAGGCTATCGAATGGCAGTTTCGATGGAGAGGATTGTGGCGGCGTCGAGCCAAGGCGGGACGGCGAGCGCGGGCGCGTAACCGGCCTCTTCAAACTCCGCTCTCTCCGCCCCAACTGCTTGCGGCTCTCTGGGGAGGAGCCTGCGGCGAGCTCCGTGTCTCTTGAGTTGCAGTGTCTTAAACAGGTGTTCGAAGTGTCAAACATACAAGGGGATGGACGTTCGTCTCTCTAACAGTCCGTAAGGCTTGTAGATGGTACAACATTCTATGCTACTGCACTTGGTTCACTGCCAGTGTATCCTTGACTAGACAGTGCTGTCTCTGAGTACCTCCTCTATAGCTTCTACGAATATGTCCGCAATCTTCTTCACCTGTTCCGGTGTAACGTTGTACGCGGGGGAGAGCATCAAATGGTCACCAGCGGTACCCTCAACGTTAGCGCCTCCCGACATGCCCATAATGATCAGGCCTTTCTCCATGCACCGCGTCTGCGTCAGCGCACCGAAGGACTTGCCTTTGAAATCTATCCTTGACGCCTCCGGGCCCGTGAAGTCGAACTCCACTCCCCACCACGCCCCGCCCCCACGGACGTCGAAGACGAACGGCGCTGCGAAAGCGTTGGGGGACTGGAGGCGTTCGCGGAGAAGGGAACCGAGGTATTCGCCCTGAACCCGCGCGTTCTCGAGCAAATTTTCTTCAATGATGACCTTCTGCACAGCCAGCGAAGCCGCGCAAGCCAATGGGTTAGCCTATAAGACGAGTGGGGCGTGTCAGATAACGTATGCGCGCTACCCTCGGGGTAAGTCAAGAGCGCACCTGATAGGTATGGCCGTGCATCCAAAAGCCCGATGCGTCTCGAATACCATCGGCAACCTTCTTCGACAACAGAACGGCGCCAATTGAAGCGTACCTATCACAGTGGTAGGTGGTAGGTTAGCGCATGGCGGAGTTGACAGTCGTTCGGAAGCGCACCCTCCTCCGAGGCCCTTCGCAACAGCTTGAAGGTCAGGGGCGACGTTGTCACCAAAGCTCTGCCATCCATGCAATGTGCCCATGCCTACAATTTCTTATCACGACTAAACTCTAATAAATGAGCTTGGAACTTACGGCCCATTCCGCACATGACCTCGTCGAGGATTAACAGTGCACCGTACTTGTCACACACGGACTTCATAGCCTTGAAGTAACCTTTCGGCGCAGGCACGACGCCCGTAGTGGCTCCGACGACCGTCTCTGCAACGACTGCATAATAATCAGTCATGTAACTCTCTCCGACGGCGTGGAATGTACTGACAGCCAATGACGGTATCCGGCCCAAGCTCCAGGGACTTGTCTTCGAGTTCCTGCCGCAGCCTTTCAACGTACTGTTCCTCCGTCTCGTCAGGCTTCTGAAAGCGCTTGGCGTACGCAGGAGAGACATGGTGGAAATGTTCATGGTCAAGGATCGCTTCATACGGGCTGCGCCGCGCGGGGTGGTGCGCGAGCGACAACGTGCCGATCGAGTTGCCGTGGTAGGACAGGTGACGGGCGATAAATTGCGCCCTCTGAGGCTGTTTCGTCTCGAAGAAGTACTATGGTCCGTGTCTTTCAGCAACATCGCGTGTGTTATGACGGACCTAGTCCTACCTGGCGAGCTGTCTTGATCACGCCTTCCATGGCCTCGCTCCCTGTGCATGCCTCAGCCATGTGAAAGATGAGTGTTCGTGTGGTACGGACCTCCAGAAACGAAGCCAACAAGGTCGAAAGCACCGCTGCTCTGCTCAATAAGGAGCTTCGCTAGCTCCTCGGCCGGCTCATTCGATAGTTGCATGTTGTACACATCTGGGATGAGGCCGCATCGCTGAGAACAGCACACACATAGATGTGACCCCTGAACACCAACAGCTTATCTTGTCAACCTGTTCCTTCAATGCTTTCGTGACGGCGGGATGTCCGTTTCCGATGCATGCCACAGCAGCACCCCCGACGGCATCAATGAGTTGCCGGCCATCGTCTGTAGTCACATAGATGCCTTGCGCAGAAGTCGCGATGGGCGGTGCCCAAGGCGTCCTGTGCAGGATGGACGTCGCTTTGAGCGACGGCTTGGCGACAGCTGCACTCGTCTGGTCAGTAGCGGTGGGTGCCATGGTCAAGTTGTGCAAAAGTGACTCACCTCCACCTGAGATAAGTACGACATCAGATACCGCGTCTCCGGAACCCCTACGGAGTGAATCCGGTGCGCGTGGTCCAGGAGACATTCATCTGCGCAGGCATCGATTGGCCTGATCCATGAGTCGAAGGTGCGGGATGCTCGAGACCATTCAATACATCCCCATTAATGCGGTAAGATAGCTCACAAGTTCACGCGAAGACTGACTTTAAGCCCTTCGTCTGCTGTGCGTGACACTGGTTCTCCCGCTGCAGTGGCTTGGGAGTCTGGCCCCAACTTGCTGACTGGAAGTAGATTGCAAATGAAAGACTGTCGTCGGGTTGCGTGCTCGACAACAGTCGGCAACTCAGCCTGAGTTGTGGACGGTCGTAATCGCGAGCGAAGCCATCGCATCGAGCATACAATTGTAGTACGTATAGGGGTTGCGCCAAGTGCGCCGTTGGACTGTGAACAAACAAGGCTAGATGTACGTTTCGCAGATTATTTGCAACGACTACTTACCGTGAGTGCATGCATTACTTAGAGTCTGTTGAACGACATTTCAAATCGTACAGTGTATTATGTACTACTTAGTTAATTGCGGCGCACTATAGGGTTAGGGTTGGGAGGAGCTAAGGACAAAAATAAAGGCCCGCCCAGCCCGAGGGCCGAAGCGGGACAGGGAAATATTGAGACGGTGCATGAGCCGAAGCCCATACAAACCGCAGGGCCCCCCTGAGGACATGGTCGCCGTGCTATGAGAGACCCCCACGGCCAACGCTCCCGGTAACATGAAGGGGAACGTTCCATCAAGGTAAGTATGAGGTGTTCGGACGTTAACCCCGGCCTCTTATACCGGCGAACGCAGCGCACGGACCAGCTCTATTCAGGGCAGGCGGAGAACGCTCTGAAAGCGGGCGATCATAGCATGTGATGCGAGTACATGGGCGTTTATGCAGACGATCGAGGACAGGATGATCGCTCCTGGCAGTCTGAGTCCACTGTCCATCCGCCACCAGTCGCCCTGCCGCTCTCTCTGTCCTGAGCCCAGCGTCGTCTGCTTTACTGTGCTGCATTACTACAAAGCTTCCGGCGCAGACACTGCAATCCCGACTTGCACACATAACACACTACATGAACTTCCCGTGTGGTACGGTCAGGTCGGCGGGAAACTGAAAGGGCACTAGGCATACCCTGTTCGACCAATAACGCACAACCTCCGCTTGCGCTCTCCATAGAGTCTCCATTCCAAGGTGAGTCGCCGCTGTGCAGCGTGTGGCCATTGCATTGCACCGCAGCAAAGCGCCATGCTCATGCGCAGTCCGATGTTCCTCTTTGAGACAGCGGACAGAACTCATGTCCTACTCCGACTACGGGGCCTCTATTTCCGACTATGACACGACTGAATCACGCCCGGACAAGGCGTTGGTCGTGGAATGCAAATACGATGAAGCCGTGCGGAAGATCCGCTTCAGCTCTACCCGGACATGTTCATACGAGCTGCTCAGGCAGAGGGTGAGTCTCGCTACATTCGTCCTCGAGTTCAAATTTTGACTGAGCTGTAGGTAGAACAAGGGTTCTCTCTGTTCGCCACACCATTCGCCATCACATACACAGATGACGATGGCGAGGTCACCGACATCTACACCGATTCCGACTTGACCGAAGCTATACGCTATTTCTCCCCAGTACATGAAGAGCGCCCTATCTCATCATCGTCATCTATTATATCTGGCCGCAGTCTGACACGAGGTAAGATTACGCTGCGCGTTCGAATAACCGTCGAGTACGATGGTCCGAGTCTATCGGACACGTCCTCTCTCGTCAGTCTGGAAGAATACAAGAACCGCAATGGGAGCGAGCTGTCTCTGTCCCTCAGCGCAGCACCACCGGGCGAAGTGGACGACGACTCAGTCACAGTCAGTTCAAAGGACATGGGCTCGAAGTATGATGTCTACCGGACGCAGGGAACGAAGACAGTAATCATGGCTGCAAGCCGGGAGCCACTCATCAGCAAGTCTCCTGAGCCGTCCACGCACGCGTCACAATGGGAGAATGGCTCGTCGTCGAGTCTCCACGCTTCTCTCACATCTGCGATCATCCAAAGTGCATCTAACTCGCAAGCTCTGCATATACAGGAGCCAGACCCTTTCGCCGATAGGCTGGCCGATGAACACTCCCGTATGGGCTCTTCAGACGTCTTCGAGAGGCTGAAGCTTGCAGACGATCAACAGCCAGGCTCGAGCCATGGGTCAACCCTCCATTCCGAGCGCGGTGCCGCGTGGCTACGTGACCAGAACGCGCGCACGATAAAGTCAATGCTCGGTGATCTACCATCGCCCTCAGAAGGCTCTTTCGATGCGAATGTACACGACACAACCGACAGACGTTCCGTCCTCAGCGGCGAACTTGCCCTGCACCAAGACTCCAGCGGGAAGTACTACTACGCCTACACAGTGGGAAGCTCGTATGCAGCATCGCATGACTCAGGGTACGAGGATGCCAGCGATGTCAACCGTTCGAGCGTCCAGGTCGAGCCGGCACTCAGCCGCCCGACGTCGATGGAGGTCCCCAGCGCCGTTGTTTACGACGAGCCTGGCCCGTCTGGGAGCGACCTCAAACGTTCTGTGTCCAACGCGTCTACATCCTCATCGAACCCGTTCGCTGATCCGCGCGCAAGCGCAGAGATCGTCTATCCGGTCGATTACATCCACCCCGACGTCCCACCAGAAGTCCTGCAATTCATCACCGCTATTCCACCCGCGCCGCCCCGCGATCCTCCAACGTGCTCGAACTGCACGATCATCCTCGACACCATCCGATACGTATGCTCCACATGCGGGGAGAAGCGTCCAATGTCGCCCTCCGCGAGCTCCGACTCGACGAGCAAGGGCAAGGACAGGGCGGTCGACTACGACGTGCGTTCCGCGAACGGCTCGCACGCCTACCCGCCGTCCCCCCGCTCCCCAACCTATCCTCCGCCCACGCCCACCATCTCGTCTTCCTCCTCCAACTCCTCGTGGTCCATGGTGTCGGGCTCCTCCGAGTACTCGCACCACCCCATGCGCTCCTTCTCCGACAGCACCATCAACACCCACACTGGCAGCAACGGCGCCCGGCCCCCGCGCAAGCCGCTGCCCAAGATCCCAACCTCGCCCCTAGCCAACTCCTCGTCCACGCTCGTCCCGCGCATCACTGCGAACGGCAACGGGTACGCGCCGTACCCCGGCGCGGGCGACAGCCCCGGGATCGTGGGGTACGAGCTGTGCTGGGAGTGCTTGCCCGGCGCGGGGGTGACGCATGCGCTCGAGATGAGCGTGGCACCTGGCAGCTCGCCCGGGCTGGGGAAGTGGTCTGCGTCGGGCGAGGCCGCGCTTTCCCAGTGGAGACGGACGGCGCCCACTCAGAAGGGCCAGCTGCGCCACGCGTATGTCGAGAAGAGCTGGGGACACGGTGGATGGCAGGATGTCGGTAAGCGGACTGCGTGGCGTTAACTTACCGTGCTTGCTAAGGAATTGCTGTTTGTGTGCTTTAGAGCAAGACGACCGGGACAGCTGCAACTGCTCGACGTGTGGGACCGCCATCGTGAACAGCCGCTTCAAGTGCGCGTCTTGCGAAAATTTCAATTTGTGCAAGGCCTGCTATAGGTATGTTCGAGCCGTTGTCGTTGACACCGCAGTAGTGATTCTGACGGCGAAGTCAACCTGCACAGCCAGGTCCATGAGATCCATCCGTCGCATGCGTTCTTGATCGTTCCGGATAAAGCTGGACGGTCGAGAGGTGGCTCGGGGAGCGGTGGAACGCCTATTATGCAGCCTGCCACCACCAGCTATGGAGAGTATTGTAAGTCGTCAGTAGAGTCTTTGATGTCCAACACATTCTCATATTCGCCACAGCGCTGAAGCACCCAGGGGTACGATGTATGTAGTAAGTCACAGATCTGCTCACCCGGCACGGACATACGCTGAACCGCTCGGTGTAGCTGCATGCAGGACATCGTCGGCGCGCGGTTCCACTGCGCAATCTGCGACACAGTTGACATCTGTCAGAACTGCGAGGCCGCAGGACTGCCAGGAAACCTTGACACATCAGAGGGTGGACACAACTCGTCTCATATTATGATCAAGGTGCGTTCGAGCCCTACGTCTCCGTACATATCCAGGTCTGACTTTTGTCCAGATCCCATTCCCCCTGCCGAATTCCGAGCTGCAAACCGCTAGCGACCGTGCAAGGAGTCTATGGAGCGGGCGCGACGCTGCGACGGGCCAGATCGTGAGGTCTCGTCGGAACTCGGCCTTGTCGGCGTACGACAGGACCGTGTTGGGCGTCGGTTCGCGCAATTGCCCGTCATCCGCGGACAGCACGGCTTCCGTTGGGAGCTCGGAGGACCATGGCCTCAGATGCGATGCGTGCAATGAGGTGGGTCCGAGTCGTTGCGTGTTGTTGGAGAGTTCACTGAGGTTGTGCACAGCGAATTATTGGAGTACGCTATCAATGCGCGTCGTGTTCGTCTCTACCCAAAGCATACAGCCTAGTGAGTCGAAACAAAAATTCGGTCGTTGTCTGTTTGCTCATGCGTTCGCAGTGCGCTAATTGCGAAGAGCGCTCCTACGTCGTACATGATCCTATGCACGTCTTCTTCAAGTTACAGCGCCCTCTGGACCGCCCATTACAAATCGAGTATCCTCTCGTTCCGCGAATGTATGTACGCCTGCAAGCGACTTGGCTGCAGCGGTTGACGGTTACCTCACTGCAGATACAAATATCCTGTTGGCCCTACAGACGGCAGGTTCGATCCAGAGAACCCAAGGGGTACGTACATCCATCTTGACACCCTCACTTAACTGACACGCGTGTGTAAATAGGATACCTCAAGCAGCTCCTACATCCGACCGCGTTGTGCGACCGATGCATGACACGGCCCATTGGTGTCTGGTTCCGGTGCGCGTATTGTGCGATGGACCTGTGCGAGACGTGCCAGGAGATGGACACACATAACGACAACCATGTCTTCATCATGTTCAAGTCATTGGTACGTCCGCCATTCCTGATCACAGATAGCAGTCGGGCTCATGTCTCCCTTCCCCTGCCCACAGATTGACATCTCTTTGTTCAAGTATGTGTCTCGCCTTCTGCCTCATCCTCATTGCTGATCACCGCTTCCGTAGGCGCTTTTCTGACTTGAACAACCCTCAGCCGATCATTCCCTACCCAATATACCACATCCTGTAGTTTTGCCGTGTTGAGCAACCCTATCGTGTCCTTTGCTTTCTAATCGTCCTAGACGCTGTTTGAACCTTGCCAGTTAGTGTTTACCATCTTCCGTCGCAGCACTCATATTAGTTGTACCAATACCGTACGCGCAAGCACACTGTATCAATTGTTGTATGGATAGGAGAGCCTTTTATTGACGCAAAATCAACGAACGGTTTGACAAGTATCTGAAGGACGGTTCAACACAGCGTAACTGGGTATTGCGAGTGCTTGGCCCATGGATGGACCCAGAAGTACTGAGTTGCTTTTATGCGCGCTTGAAAGGCGGTGCCAGGATGTTTTTGTTTGCTTCTTGTTGAGAAGCGACGCCACAACATACAGCATTCGCGTTGTATTCAGCATCCAACATCAGCTTCAGGATCAGAAGCTATACTGCACGATTTACCGCAATTCGATCCGAAATACGTCCGGCCTGCATCAGTCACTTTGGCACGGACACCATCACCTTGGTCACGGACAAGCCGTCGATGCTACACAGATAGAACAGAGATATCGAAGATATATTTGCTACATCGTGTGTTACAAGTCCGGGTTGAGGTCCAAATCCAGGTCGAAGAACTGTTGCTGAGGAGCACGGAGGTCTGGTCGGTAAGGGTTCCCGGCCGGACCCATCATGTCTGGATGCTCGACCGACTTCGGCTGCACGGTGGGTGCTGCGGTGTTTGCCACAATCAGCAGTGAACGATGTGGAGATGAGGAAGACAGGTACCTTTGCCGACAGAGTGAGTCTCGCCAAGCAGGCCCAAGGGCGCCTCGTCGTTCATATGTCCGCGACGCATCTTCTCCTCGTTCGGGAAGGGCGGGAAGAAGAGCGGAGGAGGGGGTTGCCCTGGGAGCGTCAGGTCGGGCATGTTTGGTGGCGCGGACGTGAACGAAGAGAGGCTCTGCGCGTAGGCGAGCAATTCGGGATACGGGATTGCAGCTGCGTGACAAAAGTAAATTAGAACACGAATACGAAGACGCAACAGGCTAGCGTAGTGATGCTATGTAAACAGAGTGGTGCGTACCCTTCTTGGCGTCTTCAATGGCTTTGAGTCGTTCTTCGCCTTCCTTGACGATCCCCTCGAGCTCCCTCCTACCCTCTTCGAGAGCACCCACCACACTTCGCCACTCACTCTCAAGCTCGAGCACCTCAGCCTTCAATGCCTCTATTCGCCGCTGTCGTACCTGATGTGCTCGTGCACACTGCACCGCGGCTGCAAGTGCCGCATCGACCTCGAGAAACGCATCTACCGAAGGGGCTGGCGGGGGCTTAGACTGCGCAGGCCCCAGCGAGAGAAAGAATTGCTGCGACAACGCTTGGATTTGGTTGAGTGGTTCGAGCAGGATAGAGGACATAGATGTGGGTGGCTTGTCTTCTGCGGGGATACCGGAGGGTCCGGCGAGAGCAGACATTGGTAAAATAGTCGAGATTGGAGAACTAATTATCAGAGTCGCATTCGCGAGATCTACGTGCGACCACGACACGAGCTGTGCATGCGAAGCTGTGATGTACAGACCTGAGACGATGCCAACTGGCAGCCACAACCAGGCCACAACCGAGGGCCGCCACAGGTCTACCGCATTTGGCAATCGTTGAACTTGATATCCCCAGTGGCTGCCACAGTTCGTCTTGCCACAAACTACCACGGTGCGAGCATACACATACTCACAGCGCCTGTCAAGGTCCAATTCGCGACCCACGTCGTCTTCTAGCCCTTTCCCCGACAACTAGGTGCAGTACTGTCATTGACTGATACGCAGTGCTCTAACCAGCTCGCTGCAGTGGCGGCAAGTTTTCTACAAGACGCACTGCCAAAATATCCACAATCCACCATATCTGTTCTATCTCTTCACTATGAACAGTAGCCTCGATAACGCAAGCATACATCACAACGCGTCAACTGCGCCGATCCACCGCTTACCGGATGAGCTACTCCATGCCACCTTCCACATGCTGGTATGCGAAGTCTGGAGCACGGCTTCGCCTCAAAAGGTGCTTCCGGGAGGTCACCTCATTGACATTATATCCCACGTCTGCAGCCGCTGGCGCCAAATATCGCTTGCATCCTCGACGCTCTGGACGTACATGATCTTCTCTGGGCGTTCAAGCATACAGCAAGTCGAAGCCTGCCTATCACGATCCAAGCAGGCACCTCTCTGCGTGAAATACTTTGAAGAGGATTACGCGAGAGAAGAAGTGGAACAGTACATCGCCAAGACGTTACTAGCCCACGCGCATCGTCTATGCGAGCTCCATGTATCCGGTTTCAGCGACTGGGACTTCAGCGACTTCGTCCGCCGACTCTTATGCAAGCCTGTGCCACTGCTGGAGCGTCTCACGCTCGAAGATCTACCCTTCACCGGCTACGATCGCCCTTGCGTCATCCCCGGACGAATGTCATCTCTTCGGCACCTCGTATTGGTTGGCGCAGAGCAGGACGAAGCGTTTGTCAACGTCAATCCGTTCCACAGACTGGATACTTTGGTTCTGAAGACCGTATACATCGACGCCACGTTGCGGGAGATAGTGGAAGCCCTTCGGAACTGTTCGGATCTACGGTTCCTCTCCCTTGTGAGTCTGACCTTCAACGAAGAGGATTCAGACGAAGAACAACAACCTCCGGATACCGTCCAACTCAAGTCTCTAGTACACTTCAGCTTCGGCACAGAAGCAGATTCGGACGATTGCGACATGGTCGACCTCCTGAAATACATCTCGTTCCCGTCTACGACAAGTGTAAATGTCACACTGCGGCAGCGTGACCACTTCCAGGACCTCGGCAAGGTTTCCCCTTCCCTGCGTAGGATAGCTTCGGCTCAAAGTCAGCTCTCGCTTACCCTGTCGGATACAGACCGCAATACTGCCCTCCTGACATCACCAGACGGCCGTCTTCGCATGGAGTGGCAGTGGGCGGGCGAATTCTTCCCCACCGTGACTCTCTGCCCCGTCGCTCTAAAACCCTCAGGCTTGCGGTTCACTTCCCTCCGCTCCCTCACCATCGTTGCGCACAACCTCACACACATCGGGAAGGGCCGGCGGCACAGTCGGATATGGACCTCGATCTTCTGGGATATCCCGGCAAGCGTCACGACGCTGACACTCGATCTCTCTACCTCCCTGGCCGAAAAGTGCATCACGGCGTTTGGCGGCGGTCGCAGGATAAAGAAACTTTGCGCGAATATCAAGCATCTCATCGTCCTTCATGCCGATGAGATGGTCGAGAAGCTGTCGGCGCTGGGCCACTGCTGCCGGACGCGCAAGAGGTACGGCGCGCCCCTGCGGGAGGTGGAGATGATCATGCATGGAGACCCCCTGAAGGAAGTGGAAATGATCATGCATGGACCCGCCCTGAAGAAAACGCTCGTTCCGGCGTGGAAGTCCATGATCGAGGAGGCTGTCGAGAAGGTGCGATATACGGACTACGACGCGTGCAAGCACAAGTCTGCGGATGTGAACCGTACGTTGGCGGCGATCTATGCTGAGTTTGGCTTGCCGCCATGTGCTTATGAATCAAAATAGTCAGTGAGTGCCTCGCGTTTGCTACACATCGCCCGTGTTTATGCTTCCGCAGAGGCGTTGACATTGCTCGTTGACTCAGGTATAGCCCTGAGAGCTGTACGCCCCGTAACCCGAGGAACGCTCGGCAAGTTCTCAGCTTCAGACCTCAGACCCAGTGTATAATATCTGTGATTGCTGTAAATGCGTTAATCCGATCGTACTGTCAGTGTGATCAATGCCGCCCTAATATCTGATCTTCCGCTTAGTACGGTTTAGAGACGTCGACGCGCCTGCGGTACGTCGATACTCACGACAATACAAGGGACATTGACAGCCGGCAACCCAGGCCTTAGGACCGACAGCCCTCGGCGTGAGAGTTGTGTAGCGTTGCACAATGCACAGCCATATATGATAGCTGTGTTATATCGTGAGTGCTACAGACGCCCTCACATTCTTTCGATCCGCCCCCAGCCCAACTTTGCTGTGACTATCCTCGCAGCTCCCTTCGTCGAGCTACGAGCTGATTGTGAGTGTCATGAACTGAAGCAATTGCCACTGTGCCTCACACTTACATCTCGTCTTCATCTCCACAGGGAGTGTTCACACTCAAGCTTTACTGGGCCCCATACGTTCGGAGTCATGAGCCCTTCCAGTCGCTTGAACCGACAGCCTTCATCGCATGTTGAAAGCAGTCTCCATGCAGCTGGGTATACTGCGTCCTCCGGGAGTGAACGACGCCATGCTCGCGGTGGGACCCATGGATTCTTGAGGCGGATGCTATCTGTCAAAGATCACCGCGGTGTTTCCTCATTGCAATCTGGACCACTGAGTGACTCGGACTCGGTCACGACCATCCGGACGAATGGACCTCTGGCGCTGCCCTTGAATCTCGTCGGTGAGTTTCCTTCGGGTTCCGTACCGTAGTGCGTAGTTGGCCAATGTTGACTTCTCGGTCGTTCATTCACGCTAGATGATGATGATTTTGCAAGCGACCTCCTCGAATCTATATCTGACGTCTTCCAGCACAACTCCGGGGCTCGGGACACGATTAAACACAATCATGATGCAGCTTACTCCGCCGTTCAGCTCTGTGACCCGCGTAGCCCACTGGTTGCTAGCACGGACTCTCTGCCACAAAGCCTGGATTTCAGTCTAGCGACCGCTTCCGACGACAGCGAGACGCGGTCCACCTTCTTTTTCTCCGATCAGCCTATCGAGGTGCCTATCCGGAGCCCTGGATCAGCTCTCGCGAGAGAAGAGTTCTACGATGTTACCGACGACGATGACAATGAATGGCCATCGTTGGACATGCCGACTCCGATGTACCGCGCATCCTTCGCGGACGAGTTCGAGACAAATGCAGTCGTGGCGCCGCGGGTAAGTCTCAAGCGCAATGCGTCTTGCATATTAGACTAATCCATGAACCTGTCAAGGCTTACTTGGCGCACGACGTACCGAGTTACAGTTGGCCGTTCGCGACGACTTCTATATCCGAAGATCTGGAGGGAGAACTGCAACAACAACTGGCGGTAGCTATGCACGGCGCGTCAGCAAGAGCTGCCGACCGTACGAACCATACGGCGGCTAGACTTCGGGATACTGTGGCTACGCAGTCGCCAGGCGAACGACAGGCAGCTTGCATGGTGTGCACAGCTTGCCAACAGGCTGTCCAAGAGGATAGCATCGTGCGTGTGCGGAACAACCGCATAGTGCACCTCGAATGCTGCCGCGACAGTCCTCCGCCCAGCTACGATGCGACACATTCCTCCTTGAATGCCACCCCTCGTGATTTGGCCATGTTGGAATCACCATTCGCTCACTCCGATGTCTGTGGATCGAACGGCTTCTACCCTCGCCGACCCCGGCTTCTACCTGGCTTGATGCGCTCGCCAAACTTCTCAGTTTTTGCCCCATTCAACCCTAGTCCAGACCGCACCGAGTCATCGACATCGCCTGTCCGCAGGCCATCCAGTATCTTCCCTTCACCGGGGAGCCATAGTGCCGAGGTTGCAAATTGCTATGGTCATTGCTGTGCACCCACCGGGACAAACCACTGGCCCCCGTACCATACCTGCTTGCCGGTGGAAGTCTGGGAAGATATACTTAGCCTGCTCCTAGACGAGCCAGAGGCACTTCTCGCCTGCGCGTTCGTTTGCAAGGCCTGGTATGCCTGCTGTCGACAGCACCTCTCCCTAGGAGTGCTCCAGTTGAGACACCATTCCGACGTCATCCGGCTGTCGAGATATGTCCGTGCCCATCGTGCGTTCGCGGGGCGTGAGTTCGTCACGATCCAGGGAGGCGTGGGGAGGTCATTGTTGCACCTGCCAACGTTTACCGCGCTATTAGCGGGCAGGATGCCACACCTGGGGTCTTTGTTCATTGAAGACGGTGTGTGGTGGACCGGGATGACGGATGACGGATTCTTCACCCGTGTCGCGTCCTTCGCTTCCGTCGTCCGGCTTTCCTTGAACGACGTGACATTCCCCTCTACGACGGTGTTCGCCCGGTTTGTCTGCGCTCTGGAGCAACTGGAGGAGCTCTACTGCGTCAACATCAAGACCGTGAAGAAACGCACTGGACGAGAGTTGTTCCTGCCTTTAAGACATTCCTCGAAGTTATCCCACTTCACACTTGTGGGTTCTCAGGTGCACGACATCATTGACTTCGTCGTCGCCAGTGGTCTTTCTCAGAGAATCACGGATCTGTGTCTGCACGTCGGCTCCGTGGACTATCGATCCTTCGCACACCTAGACGCGGTCGCATACCGCGACTTGTTCTCTGCGTGTTGGTCTTTGCGCACACTCCATCTGCAACTTCGCGACGCTGCAGTCGCCAAGACTGTGAGTCCCGATACCGGCCTCGGTACGTTCACTTGTCATGCGATCTCTGGGAGACTATGTCGTCCTGACTTGCACGCGTCCTTCTGTGTAGCACGCTACCTAGACCTTGACGCAAGACACCTCGAGATTCTCCATCTGTCTGTGGAGCCACATCTATACGGCGACTATCACTTCGGATGGATTGCAACATTCCTCTCCCAAGTCTGCTCCGGTCATGCCGTCCGGGAGCTCGATATCACGTTCGACATCCAGGGGGAGACGGACGAGATAGCCCACGACCTGCTTCTTGTCAGGCTGAGCGACGAGGCGGACTTATCTGGGATTGACAGGGTCCTCGCGAGTACACGGTATGCAGGTCTGGAGAACGTCGAGGTCGCGTTGCGTGTCGGGCATGTCGAGTCGCGTCTCATCAAGTCGCGAGAGGCGCTGTGGGCCGAACGTGTCCACGTTCAGCTGCGAAGCGTTGAGTCGCAAGGGATTCTGCGGTGAGTCGTCGTTTAAACGTCTGCCTGGAGGTGCGCACCTTGACTGATGCTCTCGTCCGTTCATGCACAGCGTACGAGTGAAGACGTGATTACCGTGGACGACGTCCTGCTAGCTAAAGTGCGAATATAATGCTGGTGATACATAGGGATATACCGTCCGATGTGGGTAATGTCAGAGCAGATTCAGAACGCGATGTGAGGTAGTGATGGACACGACGACATGTAAGTGCCGGAGAGGGGATCTGATGCAGGACGAAAATCAACAACTATTCAATAGCTCTGCAACCTGCACTTCATTGGTCAGAGAAAGAGGTGCATCGGTAGTCTTGGGTGACTCCTCGGCTTTCGCGGATGTCACAGCAAGCGTCGATGTCGTCTGGAGGATCCGCGTTGCGTGCTCCGCTTTGTGTGAAGGCGCTGGAACGGACGTCCGCCAGAGGCGCAGTTTCCCGAGGCCCAACCCCAACCTTGGGTGCAGCTTCGGCGACTGTGACTTTGGTGCGTCTGGGTGTATTCGCAGGTAGTACTGCTCCAGCTGTTTCCGGAACCCGATGTTGGGGGAAACTACGGGACGCTTGGACGTAACGAAACCGATGGCGTCCAAAGCCGTCATGTTCGTCGTAGCAATTACATACGCACAAACGACGGTGGCAGAGCGGGACATGCCTACAACGCAGTGTACCTAGACCACATGCACCGATCGGTCATGGCCAGAAGGGTGAACGTAAACGACAAACGCACCAATACTGTATTTGTGTCGTTCTCTGCGAGAGCAGCTTTGATCCACTCTGTGGTCTCCTCGAGATAGGCGAGTATGTCCGCACCGACCTCGTCTCGTATCGGGACATGGAGGGTACTGAGTCCAAGGCCTTGTGGCATTTTCGGAGCCTCCTCCATGACGCTCAAGATATGTGTGACGCCCAGATCGATGAGCTGTGTGCGGTCGCGTGCGGTGAACATATTCGAGAGGTAAAGGCGCGGAACAATGAGGGAGGCCTGGCGGCCAAGCGTAAGGCGTTCACCGGGCGCGATGGTCGAGCCTGCCTTGACGACGAGCCACGGCGGGGTCCGGGGCGCGGTGAAGGACAGCATGGATCAGTGCCGCTGGGGATGATGGTGGTTGGGGACAAGATGGAGGCGGGAGAGGCCAGAGGACCTGAGGCGGTGGAGGGACATGGCCGTCGCGGACCTCGCCCAGACATTTAGTCGCCCGCAGATGGGGCGTCCGATCTAGCCGGAGGAGATCGGTTCGATTCGTTGGATCGTGGTACCGAACCTGCCACTTACATCGCTCGGTCACTGCTGTCCGCTGCGCTCGACGGCCTCGACGTAGCTACACCCGACGCGACTCCGTTGGACAGTCTACATACACGGGAAGGTTTATTCCTGAGACAACATGCGGCGAGTAACGAATGCGATGCTGAATGCGCTTAGAGCTAACCGTGACTGGTGCCATACAGAGGTTCACGACCACGGGTCAAGCCTCTAGACGGGCATGGACATGCTCACAATCCATCCGACTACGACGCAGAACAAGAAGGGCTGCTTGCAAATGGATACTCCACCGGACCTATCCCTTCTCCATTTCCACAGAAGGGAAAGGGACCTGCCTACGAAGAGGGCGGTGTGATCGACTGGCAACGTGAGGAGGCGGCCGAACGGGAACGAAAGCGCATACTCGCCAGTCACCGCGGCTTTCGAGGGTTGACAGCTAGGCTGGCAGACACGGGGAGTATGTGGTTGGTCATCATCCTGACTGGTTTGGGGATTGGAACTGCGGGGGCGTGGCTCGACGTGTTGGTGCGATGGTGCGTACAAGTCAAGTGTTACCGCGTCCGCTAACACATCAACGCGTCTTTTGTTTTGCTAGGTTGGGCGACCTACGGGACGGTCGGTGTGCGTACGGCTTCTTTTACAACCAAGTCATGTGCTGCAGTGGGCTGGATCGTGAGTGCACACATCCTAAGGTATTGGCGCGGTGCGCCGACGTATGGCGGTCTAGCGGGCGAGCTCTGCTACGAATGGCAGACGTGGAGCGAATATCTGAACATCAGATGGATACTGGTGCAGTCATTACTGCAATCTTCGGTATATATTCTGCTTGCGGTACGTGTTTGGTCGCATTCGTCAATCCAGTCGTCAGGCCAGTCATCTGAATATGTATCCTGTAGGTTGTGTTTGCAGGAAGTGCAGCCGCCCTAGTCAAATTCTACGCGCCATAGTGAGTATTTGAACTCTTCCTCCTCGGTCGCCATTCTCACATCCAGTTCCCAGTGCGTTCCACACCGGAAGTGAGTTCACTTTCAGCCAGTGTATGACGTCGAAGCCTGAATCGTTATGCTTCACCCCAAGTTCCTGAGATCAAGGCCGTCGGTATACAGTTCACTCTCAACCGTGGCAATCGCTCACCGAAGTCCTCGTAGATCCTCAGTGGTTACGTTCTAGACTCCTTCCTCTCACCATGGACCTTGCTCATCAAGGCGCTCGGACTGGCTCTAGCAGTGGCTTCTGGTCTATCCTTGGGCAAGGAGGTGCGACGTCTTTCGTACTAACTCGTGGTCGTACATGCTCAAGGGTGATATCGCAGGGCCCGCTTGTCCACGTCTCATGTTGTCTAGCACTTCTCCTGTCTAAGATGTTCAAACAGATCCACCGTAACGAAGGTACTCCTCCATCTTCTCAAAACGAACTCGCCCACTGACCCTCAACGCCACAGCTCGGAAGCGCAAGATGCTCGGAGCAGCAGCAGTCGCAGGGGTTTCGGTCGCCTTCGGTTCGCCCCTCGGCGGCGTGCTCTTCGGACTCGAGGAACTGGATACGTTCACGGGCGGTACAGATGTGATGTGGCGTGGCTTCGTGACGAGTGTTATTGCAGCGATGGCGTTGCAGTATATCGACCCGTTCGGGACGAGCAAGCTCGTGCTGTTCCAGGTGCAGATCACAGATGAGACAACGGTGTGGCGTGCCTTTGAGTTGGTGCGTACTTGGTGGGTGCAGGTGTATTGAGTGTTGATCCAGCGTTGCAATGTAGATTCCATGGCTGTTTCTCTCTGTTCTGGGGGTAAGTGCTTCCCCTTCATACTCTAGGACTCCTGTGCTCACGGTCGCCCAGGGGTTCCTTGGCTCGCTGCTCATCAAGCTAAATGCACGCATCGCTGTCTACAGACGGAACAGCATGCTGAACGACTGGCCAACGATCGAGGTCGTTAGTGTCAGCGCAATCACCGCCGCCGTTTGCTACCTGGTATGCTCTATGCTATGGCCTTACGGCGCTCCTGTTGACTGACCTGCACGTCCAGGTTGTGTTCCTCAGGGTGCAGTCATCCGAACTGGTCGCGAATCTGTTCATGGAGTGCGACCCTATCAGGGGAGACTGGCACGGTTTGTGCAAGTGAGCCGTTCTTGAGCTATTTGCAGCTTGGGGGTGTTCAGCTGACGGCATGCTAGCGCGACCGCCATCTGGGCGAATGTGTTCTTGCTCATCCTTACCGCCGGGACGAAGCTCGTCTTCACGGCGTGGACATTCGGTATGATGGTAAGTGTGCACCATGGGTACGTAGAACGATTTTCACCATTCTGTAGATCCCGGCCGGTATATTCTTGCCCACGATTGCGATTGGGGCTTGCCTTGGACGAGCCGTTGGCCTGATCACGTAGGTGCCCGACGTTCTGTACGGTAAATATAGACTGATGAGGTTGTGGCGACAGTCAGGGCCTGCACCGCGCATATCCTCACGCATGGATATTCTGGTCCTGTCCGCCAGAGCCGAATGCACGATGCATCTCCCCGGGATTCTACGCTGTCATCGGCGCATCCGCCATGCTGGGCGGAGTCACACGAATGACCGGTGCGTACCGCCCTTCAACTTAGGTTCCCAACGCTCACACCGACGCACAGTTTCCCTCGTCGTGATCCTCTTCGAGCTGACCGGTGCGCTCTCGCACGTCCTGCCGATCATGATCTCGGTGATGGTCTCCAAGTGGGTGGGGGACTACTTCGGGAAGGAGGGCATCTACTCGATCTGGATCGCGATGCGCGCGTACCCGTGGCTGCCCCCCTCCGAGTTCCGCGACAAGGGCGAGACCGCCGCGGACGTGATGAAGCCCGCGGCGGACCTCGTCGTCATCGCGGAGGACACGGAGGGCGGGTGCGAGCTCGAGGACGTCGACCGCGTCGTGAGGATGTATCGGTTCCATGGCTTCCCGGTCGTGTGTGGGGAGACTCTTGTGGGGTACGCGACGAGGGAGAACTTGCGGGCGGCGTTGGGTGAGTGACCGCTGCAGGTTGTTTGTGCGGGGCTGGCGCTGACTGGGCTGGCTGTGTAGACCCGCTTGTTCTGGAAGACGTCGCGTCGAGGAGAGGGCGCAAGTGCACGTTTGTGCCGCGCCCGGTGGAGCTGGAGTCGGAGTCGGAGCTGGTCGACTTGTCGGACGTGCTCGAGGACGCGGTGCTGCAGATGCGCCCGGAGATGCCGCTCGAGCTAATCGTCTCCACGTTCCAGAAGCTGGTGCGTACGCTGTGTCGTCGTTGTCGCTTGGCCTGACTATACTGTGGAACGACAGAATCTTCGGCATATCCTCTTCTCGCGGGAAGGCATCCTGTGCGGGATGGTCACCAAAACTGATGTCGTGCGCCTCTTCACGGCGAAGTTCCCCTACACGTCTGCGCTCTCCAGCAAGAGCTTGTGATTGACAAGACTCCTACGAGACTATGTTGCGGTATTTAACCTATCTTTATTGTACCTTCTGCGGGATTCGCACATGCTATCGACACCTATGGATTCTCTTTGCGATGCGTTCGTCGTCCGGCTGCTAATCAAGTCCGCACGATGTACAGGTAGTAGTGAAAGGCCTCGCCGAGGGCGCGGACCTCGAGGCTCGTGCCCGGGCGGGTGAGGTACCGTTTGCGGAAGTGCGGCTGGCCGAAGGTGAGGTAGATGAAGAGGCCGCCTGGTTTGCGGAGGACGCTGGTGGCGGCGCGGTGAGCTGTGACGCGTGACGGTCTGGGCTGGGGAGTTGAGAGACGTACCGGAGGACTTCGTCGACTTCGCGATTGCAGTTTTGGATGACTTCGGGTGGGGGATCCTGTGGAGTGGTGGACGGTGAGCGTGAAGACGGGGAGGGGCGGATGGATGTACCGACCCAGACATCCCCTTTGGCCGTCATCATCGCGTCCATGGTACCTGTGGATGCCCGTCGATTGCCAGTCAGACAAGCGAGATTGAAAGGATGGGGCGAACCTTTGTCGATGGCAACATCAAATGATTCCGACTCGAAGGTGAGATCTCGGATGTCCATCTCATGCCCTGAATTCCTCTCAATACGTGAAACGATTTGTGTGGAGACGGCGTCCATACATTCCATCTCTGGACGAGCTTCGGCGTGTTTGTGCTTCATTTTCTCAACGACGACAGCAGAGTACTTCGAGACCAGATGCACGCCGAATGAGTCGCACGCGATGTTGAGAGGCTCAGAAACATACGTCGGTGTTGACAATATTATTATAACCATCGTCATACATCTGACATACAACGTTTGCAGATGCAAAGAGGTGTACTGACGGTGATCTACGGACCTCTTCTGAAAGCTTCGAGTTGCCGCACCCCAGCATCAGGATCCTTGCTCCCTTGTCAGGGATCAATTCCCGGAGGATGTCCGCCACATCCGCGTATGACTTGAACCAGTCAAACGACACGTCCTCAGACTCCCTGGTGCACGATCGAGTTACCGCCGAACATCGCTTCACTGTGTTACTTACTGAGTGTATCTCTGGTCCCTGCGCAGATCACAAGGTGTATCTTCACTTCACAGCACTGCGAACGTACCAGTACTCCTTCGTGCCATACTGCTCGTTCTTCTGGGGGAGGACGTCTCTGGACATGGCTCGCAGCAGATGCAGGTCGCGGAGAAGAGAGATGCGCGGTCCGGAGCGCGCGACGCGAGATAGCCGCCTCTGTGCTTCGGCCGATCGCATCACATGGCGCGCCGGCTTATAATGCGGGGCAGCCGTGCGGGGCAGCCTGTGCACGCGTCCACCGCGACCATTCCCACCACAGCCCATCCAGTCCAACCAGAGTCCAACATGGTGAGTGCTTCGTGTGCGCGAGTCCGCTGCGAGGTCGCTGAGCGCGGCTGCACAGTCTGCATACCCCGCGTACGTGATGGGCGGCCTCTGCATCGTCGGAGGCATCACCGGCTTTGCCAGGACGCGCAGTATCCCGTCGCTGGTCGCGGGTGTTGGGTACGTCTCGCTCGTCTGTGAGCAGCGTCTGGCTCAGCCAACTGACGTCGGTATTGCAAGCGTGGGCGCGCTGTACCTCTGGAGTGCGGATAGCATCCGCAAGGGCACGCCAAATGGTCTCGAGGCCGCGCTGGGTGCGTCTCGCGCACGATCTCGCTTACATACTGTCTCACCTCGCAACACAGGCGCATCTGCTATCCTGCTCCTGTCCTCACTTCCGCGCGTCGCGAAGGGCCCCATCCCCGCCGTGCTCACCGCGACATCTACAGCCACCGCAGTGTACTATGGGAGGAAGGTCTACGCACTCCGGCAATGAGTCCCCTTGGTTCCTACGCAGTGCGTTGTACCAATGCGCTTGTATAACACCATGTGCTTCGTATCTCTGCAATTGCAATACCCCTGCTCTGTCATGCTAAGTATCCAGACCCCCGCGCCTTGGTTCTCGGCCGCGACTCGGGCGTTCCAGGACGAACCACGCTGCGCAGGAAGAACGCCGCGCCATATGCGTTGTGATGCTACGATGTGCGTCCGACGCAGTGTTCGTGCAGTCGAGACCCGGGACATCAGGCCGATGACCCTTGCCGTCGTGCGGACGTCTCGCCGGACAACCACACAAGATTAGTGACGTTGATGCCGTCTTCCTGAGTCTAATGTCCTGTCCCAATATGCTCTACGGCCAGCGAGTTCGTAGGTCTCAGAACAAAAACTTGACATTTTGGTACAAATTAAGGATAGGGTTCTCGCCATTCCGCAGACGCGTCTTGTTCAAGTTCGCGTATGTCGACATGAACTCCGCATGCGTGTACACGCTCGACTTCAGGTCGCCACCCGGTATACCCCCCGCGGACGCGACGCCGTCCGGGGAGAGCCTGAAGTTCTTCGGATGGTACGACGAGAAGAAGGTGCCGCCGAGCGCGAGCGGGGACGCGCTCGTCGCGAGGGGGGACGGGCCGAGGGGCGCCTCCGCCTCCGCGCGGGGGAGGGGCTGCGCGAGGATGTGCTCGTACATCTCGCGGAGGCGCAGAAAGTCGGTCGGGAAGAAGATGTCGAAGTAGCCCTGCTTGACGAGGAACGTCGTGCACGGCACGGTCGTGTTCCGGTAGCGCGTCTGCACGACGGGCGCGTTCACGCCCTCGATCGTGTTCGGCAGCGACGCGAAGTCCGAGAGGAGGAGGCGGTGCCGCGGGAAGTGGCTGCGGAGCGTGCGGAGGAGGCTGAGCAGGCGCGTGGGGATATACTCGGGCGCGGAGAGGTTCGGAGCGAAGGGGAGGTTCGCGTAGAACGTGCGGAACGTGCGCGAGGCCTTGAGCAGGCGCGGCAGCGGCGGCGGGTGCATCAGGTGCCGGCGGAGCGCGATGAACGCGGCGATGAGCGGGTCCGTCACGCGCGTGTAGTACGTGCTGAAGTCGCCGTGCGCGTCGATCGTGACGAGCCCCTGGTATGGCTCGAGCGTGCGCAGGTCGTAGCGGATCATGTCGTGCGCGAAGTTGTCCTACGCGCAACGCTCACTCGCAGGCCCTGCAGCGGATGGGGGGAGCACTCACGATGACCTCCATGGCGAGAAAGAAGCACGGCGCCGGCTCGCGCTTGGACCAGCGGAAGATGCTCTCGTTCGTCACCTCGACACATGCGTGCTTGCTGCAGAGCTTGTCGCGTTGCAGCTGCGCCAGGTTCTCGCTGATTTCGATAATCTTGTACTGCGTGCGGTCGTAGACCTCCGGGTAGCGATCTTGGATGTAGTCGAGAATGTCGAGCGCGAGGGTACCGTTGCCCGCACCAATTTCGTAGATAATGAAGTCTTCGTACGGGAAGTACTTGAGTAGATATTCAGAGACTAGACATTGCGCGATGGCTTGACCGTACCAGGGCTAGAGCATTTCCTGGGGTATGAGACTATAGGACCCAAGGTGTGCAGCAGCACTTACCTTGAACAGTTCCGTCGGTGTATGCCAGATCTGCCGCCCGGGCCCTTCACCGTCAGGACCATACTCGGCATACTTCCGCGCGACCACCTCCTCAAACTGCACCAAGTTCTTTAGCTTCCCAAACTGGACGGGCTCGATCGCCGTGAATATGTCGGCCTGCTTCGGGAAGTAGCCGTAGTGCGGATTGTACAACGAGTCCTCGATGAAGTCCCGCACGAGCATCTTGACGCGGCGCGGCGGCTCTTTGTAGGACTCGAGGTCGTTCGCGGTGACGCGCTTGTAGGTGGCGTGGTCTGCGTCGGGGACATCCTGGAAGGAGAGCCTGTTGTAGTTGATCTTCTCGTCGGCGGTCTTGCCTGTCGCCTTGTGCTTGGTGCGGGTCGAGAGGAGGGGGCGGAGGGTGCTACGACGGCATGCTTGCGTGAGACGCGTGCTGCTGGACGCGAGCATATGTCTCGAGCTGTGCGCGAAGCCCAGGCCTGCTGGCGAGTGGCAGCAGGGGATGTGGAGGTCGAGGACAGATGCAGGCGCGGACACTCGCTGTCCCGCCGCCAGGATCGTCCTCGCCCACGTGCCAGATGCACTCCAGATATTGGGCGCTTCTGACTTCGTGAGTCGTTCTGTCGATCTCTCAGTCCGAAGCGATCCTTGTATTGAACCGTTCGCCAAAGAAATAGGCAAGGGCTTACACAACGCCGCCAACGCTACCTCACGACACGCGAGCTCGAAGGGAGAGGGAACAGTATGGAAGCGCTCCAGCGGGTGGTACGGACATGGATCGCATCTGAGCAAGAGGAAGAAGTCGATGCGGCGGTCTCAGGTAAGCCTTGTCAATGTCATGCGACGAGACTAGCTCCCCCACACAACACTCTACGACAGAGATAACCAATGGTAGTGCGACTCTACTGGACCTCGTCAAAGCCTTGGGAGAATACCTCACCTCCGAGGAAGATGAGCTGAGGACGAAGGGTGATTCGCTCGCAAACCACCCGTCAATCACTGTATTTACATTTCGGAATGCTAGGTGTCGAGTTTCTCTCCCTTGTGATTGGGAAGTCTCCTCCAGAGAAGCTCAGTCGACAATCGGGTGCGCATCCTTCACCCTGAGTGCACAATCTCTCGTGCTCACCAAGTACGTTGGCCATGTACGTGAAGTCCGTGTGCTGGTGAGCTTCTACTGCGGAAAGCTGGACGATACCGAAACCATTATACCGGCCCTCAAAGGGCTCGTCTCTCTCACCGCCATGCCCGCCTTTGCTTCTACAGATGCAATCGAGGTCATGAATGCGTAGGTTATGAGCATGCTAGCATCTGAGGGTAGTACTCATCGTTTCAGATAGGCTTGTCAAGCATGTTCGGATGAAGGCGCTTGTTCAGTCACAACGATTGATGGTATACAAAATCGTCGATACGCTTTTAGCCAAGCATCGGGATGGTCTGTCATAACGGTTCTCCTATGCCGACATAGCGCTCATCTGTCCGTTTCACAGCACTCAAAAGCATGGGAAAGGAGTTCCTCTCAGGGTACATAGCACTTGCCGAGGGCGAGAAGGATCCAAGAAATCTCCTCCTGGCCTTCTCTATCGCCCGCGTTCTGTTGCTGGATTTTGACATATCCGCTCACATAGAGGTCCGTGACCAGTCTGAGAACCGTCTATCACAGGCTGATAGCAAGCGCAGGACCTCTTCAATGTCACATTTTGTTATTTCCCAATTACGTTTAGGCCACCACCGGATGATCCATACGGTATCACCACAGATGATCTCAAGAACGCACTGGGGTATGTGCGTTGGAGTTACATAATTGCTGCTCTGATTAACGGATTACTCAGTGCATGTCTCAATTCAACGCCTCAGTTCGGTCCCCTGGCCATCCCGCTGTTCCTTGAAAAACTCGCCGCAGGCACGCCGGCCACCAAGGCAGGCTGTTGTTCAGTCTTTGTATCGGTCACCTTCTAACTCTGAAGGCAGAGGGACACGTTGAAAGCTCTGGACAGTTGTCTCCCTGTCTATGGGCCATCCGTGGCGCGGACCCACGCGCGGAAGCTTTGGAACTCTCTCAAGTTGGAGGTAACGCTCATCACAGCGCCGCGATTGCTAAATGCTCATTAGCGAACAGATTTTCCAACCGACTGACAGCGTGACAGAACAAGCGGCCCTGCATACCACTCAGGTGCTCATCCGGACGATCTACGCAGGGAGCGAGAGCGAAGACCAGTCGAGCGAGGATATCCAGGGCCTGGCGAAAGACGCCTGTGAAGAATGCATTCAGATCCTGCGTGAGCCAGAGAAGAGTCAGGCGAAACCTGCGATCAAGATTATGTGTGCATTCATGGCGACTACACGTACGGTCCATCTCTCCCTGGCTGTAAATATGATACTGAGGTGCTTCGTTGCAGCCTCTGTTGCGCGCTTCACGCTCTCGCAAGTGACGCCGCACCTCGTCAGGCTCTACCTCAACCCAGACGAACTCCCAAACCGAGCGCCTACCCTCGGGCTGCTCGCCGATGTCGTTGCAGCAGCTCGGGACTCGATGCCGACGGATCCAGAAATCTTGCCTGCGGAGGAAGACACCCCACTCGCTCCGTACAAGGATGAGGTTCTCGGTGTTCTGACTGTAGGTCTGACCCCTGGTTCGTCAGTGCAACCGGCCCTCGATGGGTTGAAGGCGTTGGTGACCACTCGCGGGCTGTTGACGGATGAGGAACTCGGATTTGTGGTCCACAAGATCAACGAGCTGCTCCAGGACGGCCAGGAAGAGAACGAGGACATCAGGTACGCTGTATGCAATACTGGCCGGTCGCAATGTGTGCTGACACGATGGTCGTTTCAGCGACTCCGCGCTCGACCTGCTCACGACCATCTCCGCATCCGCACCCCGCCATGTCTCTGAGACGACGCTTCCCCTCCTCTTCAGTGCCCTCCCCGACCGTGCGCCTCCGCGCGACGCCCAGTCCGAACGGCTCAAATACTGGCGCACGCTCGCCTCCCTCACCAGGCTCTGCAAGCAGCCTGATCTCTTCGAGACTCTCGTCGTCAGGCTCCTCACGAAGCTCGACCTCATCTGTGTACCACCGCCCACTACCGCCGACGCCGCTGGGATGGACACGGAGCCGAGCGCGGCGTACGCACACTCGATCCTGCGCACGATCGTGGACGTGCTGAGTGCGAAGGTGGAGTTGGGCCACGCGGATGTGATCAAGTATATCGATAGGCTGGTGCCGCGGCTGTACCACTTGTTCATCTACTCGGCGCTGATGTCGAATGGGACGTACTTGGTCGCGACGGACCCGCGCCTTGTGTCTGTCGCGTCGCAGATCATCACGTTGGTCGTACAGACGTTGTCCGCTCAGTAGGTGTTTTGCAGAGCGGATGAACGGTGTGCTGATATTGGTGAAGGCGACAGGAGACTTTCGTCAAGGCACTATTTGCAGCGTACCACCGAGATGATGTCAAGCAACTCGCGGAGGGTCATCAGAAGATACCAACCGACAAATCATTCGGTCCATTTGCGGTGCGGCTATCACCCCTATAGTGCTGTCGTAACGCCGTTACTGAGTTTCGAACAGTCGAATGCACCTCCCGTGCAGAAGAATCTGCTTGCGCTGTATGCAGCAGCAATTACTGCACTACACAAAGAGGTCGGTTTAACACAAAATGCTCGTGCACTCGCTCAAATATTGGATTGGCAGGTCGCACTTCCTGATCCAGGGGAGGGGCCTTTATTGAACCAGCTTCTCCTTTGGTCCGTCGTTGATGCAGACAATATTCTGCAAAGAGACGCAGCAGCTCACGCGATCGCTTCAATCCTCAACAAGCGGACGGAAGGTACGGGTTCCAGACATCATCTCCTCATCCCTCGCTGAATATCGTCTAGGTCTATCAACGTTCCTCGAGGAGAGGCTCGATCTCTTCTGGAAGGATGAGGTGGTCACCTCTGAGCGGCCGCCGGAGGCTCGTCGCCAGGCTATCTCAACGTGGACATGGATGACGAAAGCGCTGCTCGTGAGGGGGGATCCTCGCGGGGCAGACCTTGTTGACCGCCTCTTTGAGCTGTTCGGAGATGACAAGGTCGGCTGGGACGCAGCGCGGGCGGTGGGCGGGGCAGTCGCCACTGACAAAATACTCACCAAGAAGAATCACGCTGTGATCAAGTTCCTGTATGCTCAGAAGTATTGCAACTCGGTATTGCCGAGGATCATTGAGGGAGCAAAATCATCGGAAGGTATGTATCGCCGACCACCCACCCATCCTCTACTGTTTATCCTGTATGATCTATTTTTCACACACTCTACAGATCCACAGCGGCAGAACGCGTACCTCGTGGCCTTGACATCCCTCATCAAGTCTGTCCCTAAGACCGTCTACGCTCACCAGATGCCGACAGTGAGTCGTTATCAGCTATACAAACCTTGTTCACTAAGACTCACTTTTGCGTTTTCACAGTTGATGCCGCTCCTTCTCCGCGGACTCGACCTGCCTGACTTCGAGATCCGAGCAAGCGTCATTGACACACTTCTCGCGACCGCCGAGAGCAGCTCATCATCAAATGCGAAGGAGAACGGTATCATCGCAGAACACGCGTCCAGCTTGGTGTCGACGATGCTCAGAAACAGTATGATCAAGGAGATGCCCTCCATGGTGGGTAACGAGTTCCATTGCGTACACCAGGAACTGACGTCCCCGACCTTCTCGCAGCGTGTCAGAGTCGCTGCTTTGCGATTCCTCAGTGTCCTCCCAAGTGCTGTGCGATACGATGTCCTGCACCCGCAAAAGGCCACTGTCATCCGCGAGCTATGGAAGGTGCTGGATGATCCCAAGAAAGCAGTCAGGAAGGAAGCCGTGGAGGCACGGTGAGTGCTACGGACAAGGGGCGACTAATCATTTGACTGAAAATATCGTCAGGACAAATTGGTACAAGTTCAGCGGTTAACTTCCAACCCAATCGCAAAGCAAAGCCGATAGCGAATGTAGTAGCTACCAACAAATCTGTATCGATAGAGCGCATACCTTGTAAACGTCCACATGCCATACGACGGTTTGGGCCAATCGTGCGACTGCTCGAGGTGCTATCTGATACTGTCTGATATAGTGAACTCATAGGCTTCAGTCAGCATCCGCATACTATTAGTGCCTTCGGCCTCTGGTAGGGTATGTCTGTTGAGAGGCACTACTGGTACTGTAAGACATCGTCTCAGCAGCAGCCTCACTGTTGAGTAGATAAGGAAGGCCGCAGTGCCTCAAGCAAGTCATCAAATGCACGATGCTGCTGCGTTGCGTTCCCCGAGCATCGCTGACTATCGCGTGGCTCGATCCCAAACGGACGCGTACGCGTCGCGGTAACAGACGTTCACGTGACCGTGTTTAGTGGCACCGAGACTCAAGCACCGAACGAGGTGACGTGAAATAAGTACTCACCCTGACGGGCAGTGGTTTGGCTCTCATATCACACATAGACAGCAAGCGAATCAGCTGGTTGAATTCACGACCATATAGCGATAACACCCGTCATGACTCAAGCGGTCAGGAACATTACACGTAACACATCGTCCGTCGGACTCCGTCCACCGCCAGGAATCACTTCGAGCCTCCAGTTCCAGACGACTTTGTCACGTTGCCGCTGGGCGAGGTGTACTGGGAGTACCCGTTGCCGGTGTCGTAGTACGTGGAACCGTTCGAGTTCTTGTAGTAGTAGCTCCCATCCCTGACGACCGCGGTGAGTACAATCACAGCGAGCTCGAGTCGGATGGCAAAGTAGCTCACGTATTCGAGTAGTGGTAACCATTACCACTGCTGCCGTAGTCGCGGCTACAGTAGTGGTTGCCCTACGTATACATAAATTGGCTGTAGTTAGCGACACGCGTAGTAGAACACACCCTCCACGCACCTGGCTATTAGTGCCGCTGCTAGTGGTAGTGTAATCCTTAGGCATATTGGATATGATCAGGGGGGAGGGTGCTAACGCAGGCTATGCCCTGACCGGAGTAGGTTGTGGTTCAGAACAAAGAGCGACAGTGTGACGGGTTCACTTATATAGGGGAGCTCTCGACCCTAGATCCAGGAGTCCGATACCCCGAGTCAGTGGCACAAAGCAGCGGGCACTAATTGGGCATAGCTCCAGTCCTAGCCCGTTTACCCTTAGACTGACGACAGTCTAGATCCTAGACTAAGATAGGCATTCCGAGTCACTGCAGCCCATGGCCAAACACGCTCGTTCATACGGAGTACTCACGGTGGAGATCATCACACCCACAGTATACGGCGCTGTAGCTGGTATCAATCCTGACCATACAAGTTCACTACAACAGTAGGATGTGCGACGAGAGCTGTACTTAGCGATCGTGGATAACGTTAAGTGCCAAAGAACGACTATGATGAGATGCATTAGTAGATCAACCTGCTATGCGTACGCGATACACATCCTCCACAACGAAATCTAAGCAATGCCGTCTACGCTGCAGCAGCCATGATCTGCTGTGTCTTCTGGTTCGCCTCGGCAAGAGCCTTCTCGAACGCTTGAAGGTGCTCCTGTACGAACTTCCTCCCATCCACCCTTCTATATGACCGTGGTGTCTCCTCGTTTGGTGTACCAATCTCGATACCAGACTCCCACTGCTCGATCTTCACTCGGCTGCGCTCCGCGCTGTCCCACTCTGTCCTCCATTCCGTAAGCTTGTTCTTCAGCGCGCGGATCTTCCGACCCGCGTCTGTCGTGGCGGCAGCGTTCACTTGTGTGTGTTCTGATATGGTCGCGAGAGACGATACTGCGGCGGTCGTGAATGTTCGAAGGTAGGCGAGATGTGTGATGGTGTTTGCGGGAGTCGGGGTGCCGTTCAACGGAGGAGGGGGAGGGAAAGTCGCCTTGACCGGTGTTGTTGAGTACGCAGACTCGTATTCGTCCTCCTCGGTGTCTCCTAGCCGTTCCCGGTCAGGGTCGACCTCCCAATCACTCGCAGCCGCAGAACTCGTGAAGGAATCCTCGTTCACAGGCTCGAGGTCGCGCCGGGGCTCCGGAGCTGGAGCTGGCTCGTCGATCATCTTCTCCAGCACGTCCAATTGACCGAGCACCTCGGTGCCGTTCACCTCTGCCGCGATCTTCCTGAACTCTCGCTCGCACACGAGAAGCTCCCGCACCTGCTCCTCCCGATCCCGAGTGGTGTCGTTGATGCGACGTATCATGTCCGACGCGAGGCCCTCGATGTTCGCGTGGTCTGACTCGAGGCGACGAAGCTGCGCGAGGAACTTCTCCGTGTATTCCAGGTCCTGCGCCAGGATCACCATAGGGTCCTGTTCGGGTTGCCGCTTCTGCCGTGGTGAGGTAGGGCTCGTTAACGCGGGATCGACCTCGGCCGGCTCCGCCTCTGCGAATTGCGGCGCTGCCTGCTCTACTTCTTCCCTGTCTGCCTCGGGGGTGAGCTCATCCTGCAGCGATTGACCCGCCCCGTCGTATTCGTTGGCACCCTCTGGTGGCTCGTCTATGCCCTCCGCTCCCTCGTCGTACTCTATGCCAAATTCCTCCGCAAGAAGCATCGACCCTGCACTGGGCTCGGGCATCAACGCCACTGCCAATTCGTGCGCAAGCGAGTGTCTCCCCGTTGCTCCTTCATCTCCGAGTGCATCCGCGAGGCTCGAGCCTGCGCGTAGCGAGGTAGACGACTTCCGTCCGTTGAGACTTAGGCTTTGTCGAGATGGTGACTTGCGCGGAGTAGACGACCCGGCTGAGAGGAAGCGAGAGCTCGTTGCGCCGTGGCTGTCATCATGGTCTACTGAAGGTGGCATCTGAGAGCTTAGCGATGGATCTGTAAGCAATGCGACGGACGCTAGAACGAAGGAATGAGGCCAAGGTCGCTGTTGTCGTGGGCGTCGCGGTAGTAACTCTGCTCCTGCCAAATGGGGCAGTAGGAGGGCCCTCACGTGGTCTGTGGCTGAACCCTAGGTCCCAGGCCCTGGGCCAGGACCCGTATTTATGCCAAACTTGACTGGAACCTCACTGTCTCGGACACACATTATGGTATGCAACTTCATCTGGAATATGGAATACGAAGTATACTAGCCTACACAGGTATCGTCTACCAATCAATCATTGTACATTCACACCGTGACCTCATTCAAGTTCAAGTTCATGCAGCTGTAGGTCCTACCAGTCACTACTAATTTACGGTCGAAAGGCGGAATCGATACCTATAGCAAGGCCGTCTTCAACTCTCCGTCAAGCACCCCCGCAAGCGCTCCATCGAAGTCCATGATCTGCATAATGCTCCGTACGTCAGGCTGCGTCATCAGGAGCGCTTTAATGGGCTCGCGTGCGAGGATTACTGGTTTCCATCTCGCACTAGACGGCTCCCGCTGCCAGTCAATAGCATCGTCGAAGGAGATCCGCTTGGCTTCTGGGCATGCGCGCACCAGGTACTGTGCTATCATCTTGTGCTGCAGCGGCAGGTTCAGCTTCCAAGCTGCACTGACGAAACGCAGGTCTAAGCCTGTCAACTTCGAGGTGCGACCTGCGGCGCAGATGTCTCGGACAACCTGCAGAGAAGACCGTCGGCTCAGCATACGTCGGCACATGCGCCCATGGCTCACTCACCTGCTCGAGAGGCGTACTGTAGGTGAGGAGATCGAAACAGATGGACAGATTAACCAAGGCAGGCGCGTATTGGTGCACAGGATAGTGATAGAACACCCACGCCGGTATCTCCAACTCCCGCAGTTGCGAATGTCGGAGGGGTATCAAGAGCCGAATATCCGTAGTCTGGCTGGGGCAGAACCAATCGCAGATATCGACAACGCTCAGGCGTGACACGGATCCACCGGGGTATAGAACGGGAAGAAGGCTGAGCGGACACCGCAGTGCCTGCAACGCCGGTAAGGAAATCTTGGGTGGCACTGCCTGCGGCGCGGCCTCTTCACCTGCCTCCATAGTGCTCACCAGCGACAGATCCGAGACGGTACTCGCGTCCGCAAGGACCCGGAACAGGTCAGCGGAGTCGTTGGGATCAAAGGGGACGTCCAGCAACTCCAGACGACTCGCCGAGATGCTCTGCAAGATTGCGCGTGCGAGTGGCCACTCCGTCACCTTCAATGACCGGATGGAGGCTCCCTGGACCATAGATGATAGCGCCGGAATGTATTGGTCCACGCCATCAAGGAGGAAGGCATCGAAGTGTTCGAGCTTCATCGAGTACTGCAAGGGCTTGCAGCGCCCCGTCAGCGGCGCGAAGATGCAGTGCCTGATGGACAAGCTGCGGAGATGCTGTAGGGACTTCATCGTTATGAAGAAGTCCTGCGAAATGGCTGCTTGCACGAGTGTTAGATCGCGCAAATTTGGAAAGTAGGTGATGATTTGGGAATGCCGCCACGAAGGCGACTCGGTCGTGGCGAGGTGGCGCCCGCTCTCCGTGGAGGCGCGGCCGCGAAGATGGAGTTCCCTGACCATGGCGGCTAATTCGACAGCTGCCTTGTCTCCCCTCGCGAGCTGCTTCAACCATGCCGTACGCGCGGCGTGTGTCCGCTTTAACTCCTTGGCCAGCGGACTCGCAAACGTCAAGCGTGCGAATAGCTTTGGCGTGGCGAGGTTGGCGAAGAGTCGGCAGACGAGGTTCAGATTGGAAAGCACTGATTTGTACCCCGCGGACGATCCGTCATCCACCCCGTTGACAATCTCCTCCAGGATCAGCATGTAGACTTCGTTGGGTAAGGATACCAGATGCCTCTGGCCGTCGATCCGGACTGGACCTGGAGTGTGGCGACGGTCTTATCACCAACTCATTCACGGGGTCAAAGCACTCACTGCATGAAGTACGGACTGCCATTGCTACGGGGGGACAGGTCTGGAAGACGCCACAGGACGGGATGCGAAGGTTCAGGGGACAAGCTCAGCATCGCTGGCGGCGGGCGAGCCTTTATGAAGCTGGGCGGGCGCGTAACGAATTCTCAGCGCGTTGCGCTGGCTTACGCCGGCGCCTCTGTGCGTTCTCCATAGTGCGCGCGCGTTTACCACGGAGCGCAACACAGGAGAGTACATATGGCATGGCTGTCCGGGATCCGGGCGTCACTGACAATTGGCATCGCCCCTTCTCTAGGTCCCCGATTGACGCCAGACCAGGCGCTCCCTCGTTTGGCTTCTGACAGTGATACCTACACCGCGTCTCCACGGTCCCGCACGCTCTCTACGTCCCCTCCTCCGGCGGCACAATGCGCAAATATAGCTTCTTCCCGCCGTCAGTCGCTGCGATGTGGCCGTGGCGTGAGGCGCCACCCACGGGCGTCACTGCTCGTGGGTTGAATGAGACGGGTATCATGATGACGGTTCAGCGGCCTCTAGCAGACGTGCCTCTCAATCTGTGTAATGGAGTCCTGCGTCTCATCGGCGCTCCGCGAGGAATATCCGTCCCTGTGCCATGCTTGGCACACCTAATGCGCTCGGCGGAGTGGCCTATAATTGTACTGGGAGCGCCTCAGGAGAGCATGGCGCCGTCGGCGAGACAAGGTGAGCTTTTGGACGTCCATAGAATATCCACATCTATTCCAAAGGGCGTCAGGGTACGCGCACATCCCATGTAGTCTACTGGGAATGTCTACTCGAATTTGCCCAGGTGATCTATGAGTTTATTTCATGCATCTCTAGCGCGGGTCTGAAGTAAGTGGGACAGTTGATGACCACGGGTATGCGGGTGCAGTCTACTCTATCTATGATGGGAGCCGTCAAGAGATTATGACACCGAAGTCGGAGAGAATATCGTTATAGTAAGTGGTAAGGGCAGGATTCAGCTGTGGGCATGTCGCCTGCTGCACCAAATCGACATCCGGGTGGCCTGCTGCTTCCAACGATTTGAGCGAAGGGAACAAGGCACGGACATAGTCGCAAAACTCGGAAATGGAAGGTGGGATGGCCTCCCTGCTACCGATGTCCAGTCGTCGCAGGGGAGCGCGGCGAGACGCAGTGCACGGGCGCCCGCTAGCGTTACTCGGTGTAGTACGGGCGAGGGACGCGGCATCCGGCAATTCATCGGCGCTCTGGGGAATATGAACCGGCAGCGCCAGGCTCTGTAACGCGGGGCAAGATCTTGCGAAGAATGCGTAAGATACGGGCGTCATCCCGTAATCTCGTGGAAGCCCGCACACGTCCTCGACTGCGCCGACAGCGAAGTGCTCCAAACTCGGCCACCATGATGCGAGATCCTTGGCGTCTTGGTCGTCGAGGCAAGGCGTCACGGCAACCTGGACGTCGAAGCGCTGCAGGCCAGCGAGACGCGCCAGTGGACGCAGCGTAGCGCGGTCCACTATGTCGACGTCGTCGAAACATTCTAGCGAGAATACACGGAGGCTGTCCGGGAGGTGTGCGAACACTTCGCGCAGCGGGCTTTGGGGCGCGTCAGCCGTCCACTGCACGTCAAAGCGGAAGGTTTCCAGGGTGCGGGATGGGATAAGCTGCAGCAAGGCCGAGGCCAGGGCAGGCTTCGCCTGGATTGTGAGATCTCGTAACGAAGGACAGATCTCCGTCTCCATTGCGAGCGAGGTAACACCCTCCAACAGTTCCTCCGCGTCTAGGTGTCGGGCGTCAACTGTCAGCGTGCGGAGGGCTGCGAAAGTGATAATTTTGCAGAATATCTCCATGGAGAGTGAGGTGCCGACATGCAGGACTAGTGTTCTGAGACTGGTGTATGCCGCGACACTACCGAGGAGCTGTGCCGATGTCGTGCCACGGACCCGCAGGATCTCCACGCCCGCCGACGCGTCGTGCAGCTCCTCGAGGTATCTCGTGAGCGCATCACTCGTGCATCCCTTCCGTCGGTTGTATCCGAGATGGATGTCAACCTCGCGCACGTTGGAGGAGATACCCCAAAAGTCGGCCGACTGGCATCCACCGTTGCGGAAGCGAATTGAAGTGAGCCTGGGCAGGGAAACGAGGCCACGCATTGACGAGGGTATCCGCACGGTCTCCGTCTGCTTGATGCTTCGGACACGACGCGAGTATGCGCGGAATCGCGCCAGTGCCCTCTCTTCTATATCACCTTGCCCTGGGATGTCCTGTAGGGTATTCAGCACGACCGCTATAATCTGCAGCGGAATTTCACATCTAGAGTCCACCTAGAGTCCGCCCGTAGCTGTACATGCGGCGTCGAAGGCAGGCGGAGCTTGTGATATGGTGCAGCAGACCATATCTCAGGCGCCGTCCACCCGTAGCACGGTGCCCAGTGTGAACTAGCTCAGGTCTCAGCTCACTCTAAGCTCGTTACCTGGGCCTCTAAACGGGCCTTGACGCCCGGATGGTGCGCGCCAACTCCGTAGGTCGCCAGACGACAGGTGGCCTATCGATGTGAATATTCTCCTGGGTAGGCAAGTCCGTTGCTTACCGCTTGATGTAGCAGCCGTAGAAGAGGCGTTACGCCGTCCAGGCGAACCCAAAGTCTGTCCAGCGCTGGATCAGACCAAGCCCTGCAGCATCGCGCGATCTGGCACAGCGACGAGCGGTATTCCTGCTCCGTCCAGGCGGAGCAGACCTCGAGGATGGTTTCTAGAATTTCGTCTATGAGGAGAGCGGTGTGCATGGCGGCGGCTGTGCAAGACACCCGCAGATGGGCTGCAAGAGCGGTTGCAGAGCCCGGAGAGGACGCGTAACTGCCACGTCGATGTGGTCCGGTGTAAAGTACTCTTCGCTCTTGCCGCGCTCAGCCGAGTGATTTTCGCTGTTGCAGGTCGGTTGCGCCGACATGGCGGTGGCACTGCAGATTTTGGGCAGCGCTGAAACTGATTGGCTGGCGCTTACAACTCTGCCTCACCGCGGTCGTATGGGCGAACGTTCATTCATAGCGCGTTCATACCCGCAACAGTACTCGCAGATCCGTACTTGAACCAGACATAGGTAATCAGCAGGTCCACTCAAGGTTCGCGATTTGGTACAAGTCATGATCATATCGATTGCATACGTGAGAACGATCGCATGGTGGTGATACGGTACATGAACGCAAGAACACTCTGCACAACGCCTATGCCCCTTTAGACCGCGGGGGGCTTGGTGCCGGGCTGGAAGGTGTACGTGAGGCCGCATTTGCCACAGTACTGGCGGTCGTTATGGAAGGCCATGAAGATGCCGGCACCGCACTCAGCAGAAGGGCACTCGCGGCGGAGGCGCTTGATCTTGCCGTCGGACTCCACCTTGTAGTACTTCAAGATGGACATCTTGACCTTCTTGTGCTTGTGCTTGATCTTCTTGGGAGTCTACAGGCGATAATTGTCAGAACGTAGGCAAGGGCAGCGGTGGTGGGACGGCTCACGTTGTAGGTCTTTTTCTTGCGCTTCTTCGCACCACCACGCAGACGGAGCACCAAGTGAAGGGTGGACTCCTTCTGGATGTTGTAGTCGCTGAGGGTGCGACCGTCCTCCAGCTGCTTGCCGGCGAAGATCAGACGCTGCTGATCAGGGGGGATACTACACACAACCGTCAGAATAAGTCCCCGAGATCTGGAAGCTGATAGACTGACCCCTCCTTGTCCTGGATCTTGGCTTTTACATTGTCGATGGTGTCCGAGGACTCCACCTCGAGGGTGATGGTCTTGCCCGTGAGGCTAGAGTCCGCTTGTCAGCACGTAAAGCCTCAGTGAGTCGTTGGGAGCACATACGTCTTCACGAAAATCTGCATCTTGACGGACGCCTCTGTCTGTCCAACGAGCTGAACGATGGAGTCGTCGACGAAGCGAAAACCGACTGTGAGTGAGCAAGCAAGCGCGCGCGATCTTATATTCGCCCGCTCACCGAGGCTTAGTCAGCGGGAGGAGGGCTGTTGATGGTCCGTGCGCAGATTGCAAACAAGGTTCAAGATCGCGTAAGATGTGGCAAACGCCGAGGCACGCCCGAGGGCGCGTCGCGCGTGACACGCGTCCGACGCGTCTTAACCGTGGCTCACCCGCCTCTCAGCCTACGCGACTTTGTCCACGGATTCCCGCTAAGACTGCAAACACTGCGGAGATGGACTCAGATGAAGACGTCCAGATGGAGAACACGGAGCAGACGCCTTGGACGGCAGCAAGCAAGGGGAAGGGAAAGGCTGTGGCTGCAGACACAGACGAGCAGTATGACAAGGAGAACTTACCCTGGTACGCTTGGTGTCGTCTCGAAATCTACGTCTACCTTACGCCTTTCTTAGGGTGGAGAAGTACAGACCTGTAACCTTGGATGACGTGGTGTCCCACAAGGACATCACCGGCACGAGTAAGCCTCACCGGTCGATCACGTATGCGCTTTACCACTAAGACGCGTTTAGTCGAGAAGTTCATAGAAACGAATCGTCTGCCTCACCTCCTCTTCTATGGACCTCCTGGAACCGGAAAGACGTCGACAATCCTTGCTGTGGCGCGTCGGATATACGGCAAGAACTATCGTAAACAAATCCTCGAGGTGCGTGGCATCCGTCGCACTCAGTCTGCAGCAAGCGCAAACATCTACGGTGCAGCTCAATGCCTCGGATGACCGTGGTATTGACGTCGTACGAGAGCAAATCAAGAATTTTGCCGAAACGCGTACACTGTTCCTCAAAGGCTTCAAGCTCATCATCCTTGATGAAGCCGACATGATGACGACCGCTGCTCAGGCTGCTCTCCGGCGTGTGATTGAGCAGTACACGAAGAACGTCCGATTCTGCATAATTTGCAACTACGTAAACAAGATCATCCCCGCCATCCAGAGTCGTTGCACTCGCTTCCGCTTCTCGCCCCTACCTATCACGGAGATCGAACGGCGACTGACTGGTGTCATTGAAGCTGAAGGGTAGGTGCCTCCCTATGCTCGACGGTATATATGCCGATTCCTTGAGCAGGGTCAACCTGAAGGAAGATGGCAAAAAAGCATTGTTGAAGCTCTCGAAAGGGGACATGCGCCGTGCTCTCAATGTGCTTCAGGCATGCCATGCAGCATACGACACGATCGGGGAGACGGAGATCTATGACTGCACGGGTAGTCCACAACCAGCAGATATAGAGACTGTGGTGAACTCTATGCTGTCTGACGACTTCACGACGTCGTACAAAAGTGCGTATCTTCTGCGGCAACTGGAATTGTCGGGATGAGACTAAACTTTTTCAATAGTGATCTCTGCCCTCAAGATGGAACGAGGTCTCGCGCTGCCCGATTTGATCAACGGGGCATACGAGTACATCGAGACGATTGAATTCAAACCGCACGCACGGATATACCTCCTTGACTTCTTGGCGACGACGGAGTAAGTCAAGTATGGAACACGGAAAGTTACGTCAGGGTACTGACAAAGATACATTGCTCAGGCACAGATTATCGACAGGTGCTAGCGAGAAGATCCAGCTCACCGCGTTGCTGGGCGCATTCAAGAATGCGGTGGAGATGACAGGGAAGTCATCATGACATTCATGTCGCATACTTCTTCCTCATTCATTTGGTAATTGACCTTGCTTTCTCGTGATTATCCATGTATATATGGTGACAGGGTCATTATTTACCTCTCGCTACATACATACTGCACACTCGGCCGCAGGCGCGGTTGTGGCTGATGGGAATCCCAGTCACGTGGTGCGCGTCACTGACACGCATCCACGCATGCAAGCCCGGCGTCGTGCACTTCGGACTCACTTCCAGTCGAGTTCCTGGCTACAGCCGTCCGTCCCAAGCCACTGACATTCCACTGCACATATCTCTGAATGCCTGCGCTGCTCGTCGATTGACCTCTGAAACTGGCTGCTGTCTTCGAAACATCATACATTAACCGATTCGCGCAACGACATGGCCTTCCCTATTCCCGCGCACCTTCCCCGAGGCAAAGACCCTCAAGATATCTCCACGAAAATATTGACGAAGATATCTGAGACGGGCACGAAGTCTCTGAATGCCTCACTAGCATCCTCCTGGGTGGCGGAACTTGACGAGACCATCGCTCAAACGAAGGTGCGCACTCCCCAGCAGGAGTTGGTGGTAGAGCTTGCCGCAGACTGACACACTAGCGCGTTGTTTACAGACACGCATACATGAGCGAATATCCAGCGACCTCCCGTATTTCAACGAGCAGTTGTCAAGCGCGAAATCGATTCAGGAGCGGTTACGGACGTTGACGGACAATGTGGATGCATTGGATGGTCGGTTGTCGGATTCAGAGGTGTGTGCTGTCTGTCCCCAGTGTCCTTGAGCTGACTCTCGAGCATCATATGCAGTCTGGTCTCGTGCCGACTCTGCTCGCAACTCTGAACAGGCATGCGCAGCTCGCACAAGAGACCCTAGACGCCTCGGTGAAGCGTCAAAACTTGATCCACCTCGTCGGGCTGAAGCGACAGTATGACAACCTCACTGCACTGGTGCACGGAGGTCAACTGCCGGAAGCAGTCGGGGCGTCTTCGAGACTTGAATCAGAGTTAGAGACTGCGCCGGAGCCGCTGACGCGGAGTGCGGTCATGGGGGAGTTAAGGGTACGTTCCTTGTTGCTCAGGAGTCATGGAATATATGCCCACGGTATGTATAGCGTAGCTTCGGCGCCACGAAGGCACGAATCGAAGAGCAACTCAACGATGCATACCTCCGGAGCGTGGTGATATCACCCTCCGAGCTTGTCGTCCGTCCGTCCGTGCAAGGCAGGTCAAACCTCCCATGATGGCTATCCCTAGCTCATGTAGGAGTAGTGAGACAGTCGGAGACAATTCTGTCCCTAGCGCCGGTGCTCTCGTCTCTCTCAAGCGCATCCTTGGCTGAGCACCTGAATCATCTTCGCCGCAACCTCACAACGCACTACGTCGAGTACATCGCCAAGCAACCTGTGAGCGTGGAAGCGTCTTCTCCCAGCACCATCGCAGGAGCAGCAGAGCACAAGCTCACTCTCTTCCCGGCACCCCCTGATAGCCAAAAGCTCGGTGCTCGCTTGGACGGATTGTCGACCGTCCTCAGCTTCCTGCACAAGCACCTATTGCCTCACTTACCTTTGGCGGAGCGGAAATCGTTCTCACTCTCCCTGTGCAGGCCCATCCGAGCGGCCGTGCTCAACAACCTCCTCATCCCTTCTCTGCCGTCCTCACTGGACGGGTTGCCGCAGTTCCTCCACTTGCTCAAGCGGGCGCAACAGTTCGAGCTGGACTACCTGAGCTCGATGCTGGGAGATGATGGAGGCGAGCAGGACATCAAGAGTTGGGCGAATGGCGTCGGGCTGCACTACGAGCGCAAGCGGCGCATGCAGCTGCTGGAAGCTGTCAGAGTCGTCGTCATGAGCCCCGAGGACGAGCGTCGCATGCTCTCCATAGATATCGAGGTCAAGCCCGATTTGGACGAGGGGAACAACGCGGTGTCTGATCCACAGCAAGATACGGCACAGGAGAGCGATGTCGAGGCGGCTTGGGATTTCGAGGACGAACAGCCGGCCGAGACGAACGAGACTCAGCAAGACGATCCGACGGCTGATGAGGATGGATGGGGCTTCGACGATGAGAATGCTGAGCCTCAGCCAGAGGAAAATACGGTTTCACCATCACTACCTCCAGCAGAGGATGATCCGGGAGACGCTTGGGGCTGGAACGATGACGATGCGTCCGAGACACTCAATGGGGACGACTCTTACGATGATCCGTGGAACGATGGGTGGGACAACGACGCGAGCAAAGAGACGGCGAATGCACCCGCGCAAATACCCAAGCCCGCGAAAGGACTTGCGAAGCTGACGTCGAAGGGGTCGAAAGGGAAGAATTCCACCAAGGGCGATGAGCCTCCATTACAGTCACCTGTTCCGGTTGCACCCCCGCCACCTACGCCATTAGTACCGTCGATGTCAAAGCCAGCGGCTCCCGCACCCGTTCTGAAGGAGGCATATGTTGTGTCCGGACGCACGAAAGAGCTTATGCAGCACGTCGAGAGCATCCTGAAGGAAGGCGCGGAGCTAGTGTCTTCAGGCTTGCTGGCGTCTCATCAATCTTCGAGCTCGGCACCGGGTTCTGTAGTCCTACAAGCAGCACCGCTGACGTTGGACGTTTTCCGCGCTGTCTATCCCGTCACCTTCTCTGCCATTCTGCAAGCCTCGCCGAAACCAGCCATGCGCTTCTCCAACGATTGCTTGTACCTTAGTGGGGAAGTGCAACGCTTACAGCAGTCCCTGAAGGGCCCTGCTATCGCTGTGTCAGAGAAACTTCAGGACTCCGCTGAACGGTTGAAGCTCCTCGGTGACAGCTGGTACTCCGACACCATTGTGAGTAGTCTCCTTGCGAACATTGGCTATGGATGGTGTTGATATGATTTGGTCAGGATCGACAATGTCAAGTGATCCATGAATTGCTAGACAAGGCGGCAGGCTTTGTTGAGATTACTGACCAGGATCGATTTGATGAATGCGAGAATGCAGTCAACCAGGTACTGCAACGCATACGCCGATTATCACAAGAGTGGAAGGTAGGTATCCAATGTCACCGCTCGTTTTTATCGACACGTAGCTTACCAGTGTTCATGCAGCGTGTGTTGAATAAGAGCAAATACTACGCGGCGCTCGGCTTCGTGGTGGATGCTGCACTGTCACGCATGCTGGCGGATATCCTGGCACTGCCCGACATTACTGCTGAGGAGTCGAACCGCCTGAGCGAACTCTGTCGCATCTTCAACGCGCTCGAAGGCCTCTTTGTGGAGGATCCATCGCAGGTAAGCGGCTCTAACTATGTACTGCAAGTCTCATCGATCGTACCTTCCACAGCCGTCATTCGTCGTGTCATATGTATCGTCCTGGCTCAAATTCTCTTACCTCTCTGAGCTTCTCGTAAGTCAAGGCTCTCGGGACATCATACTTCAGTTAACGATCAATCTTTCTGGTGCGACAGGAGGCGTCCATGGCGGATATATCGTATCTCTTCGAGGAAGGCGCCCTAGTGGATTTCGAGATTGACGAGTTGGTGAAGCTTGTGCGCGCACTGTTCGCGGACACGCCTTTGCGGGCGAATACCATCAACAAGTTCCTCAGAGGACATCCGACATCGCCATGAAAGTGCTAGTATTGCTACTTTGCCGCGGTTTCTTCTCGCGAGATGGTGGTATGAACTTGTTATTTACGCTGCTATGTAGTCGCTTAGTCATATATGTTCACACTTGTCACTCTTCGAGGTGGATAGTACAAGCAGCATAAGTGTCGAACTTTGAGCTTCCCCGAGACTGGCTCGATTGATGCTGTGCGCTGCCTTGGCGCTGCCAGTGAGTGCGGAGGTGGTGTGCAAGCAATCCTGAAATGGCAGTTGGGAGACGGCAGACGCACGGACCATCGCTGTGGCCAAATACACCCAAATACGTAGCCGCTCCTCGTACCGCCGGAGACGCGCGTTGTTGAACCCATCCGTAACGTTCCCGATACCCCTCCCCGTTCTCCCGGCTCGCCGAAGGTCACACAGACAACATGGCCTCCCTTGAGGTAGCTATGGCACTCGTTTTTTTGGAGGTCTTCACTGATTGGTCACGACCGCCTTCTATGATCAGTCTTTCGAATCCACGCTCAAAGACGTCGTCAATGCGAAGAGGTTGTCTGCTTCGAAGATGGCCAATTTGACGGAGATCGCGCTGAAATACATGAAGGTGCGTCAGCCTGCTCTACATGCTGTCTCACAACACTCATTCCCGCTTGTGTGTCCGGCAATGCAGAATGACACGCAGCTAGTCTCCGTTCTGTTCCGCACACATAAAACGTTGTCGCTGGCGGCCAAAGTCAACAGCCTTTACGTATTTGACGCGCTATCTCGCGCTGCCAGGAACCAGGTGAACAAGCATCGCCTCATTCCGCCCAGCGACCCAACGCAGGGCAACTGCGCGACGTTCATCGTGAAAGTCGAAGGTATTCTCGATAGTCTCTTTCAGGACCTCGTATCGACTCGTAACGAGACGCTGAAGGTCAGTACTCAACTTATCGACTGACACGGTTGCTGGCGTCCACCAGACGGCGGAACGTTTATGGGTAGTTGTATAGTCCTGTGCTCGGTGACGAAGCGTCTCGCGATGACATTGAGACATGTCGTGCGAGGCGTTTTTGGCTCTACCAGGTAGTATTGCGGTCTACCCATGCTGACTGTGCTCTATGATGACTCGTCGCGCTGTTGAACTGACCCGTAGCACGTCGATGTTGGAGAGCCACCGCGATCACATCGTGAACGCGTGCATACAATTAGCTACTTCCCCGCTATCACATGACCGTTCCACAGTCATTGTCTCTCCGCTCGCCTGCAACTCGACGTAGAAAGCCACAGTTCTAACCTAAACTCTGGTATGCACCACTTGCAGGAGAAGTCAAAGAAGGTCCTTGATATATGGGTCAAGAACAACACCTTCCCGTCCGCCGCGCTAGAACGATTGTCCCAGTATCTGGAGAGTCCAGCAAAAGGTGCTCGTCGTTGTCTATATTTATTCGCTGAGTGTAGTTTCTGTTCGCGCAATTCAGTCACTTTGTTTTCGACCAACGTCTGTTGCGAGTGAGAATTGAAACTGAAATGTGATCTGTCTTCGTCAGAACCCGAAGGCATTACTGCCTCTAGGCCGGCAGACCCACGCAGCCCACCCGCACCGCCGACTTCCACGACACCGCCGCAGCCTCCCCCTGTTGCCGACACAGGTGCGGTAACAAACCTAATCAACCTTCTCGCCAAAGCCACCAATGCAACTTCTGTGCCCACCTCGAGGTGAGTTTCAATGCGGCATCGTGTAAAGTGCACCTGCTCAATCGCGCTTCTAGCCAAACACCGACAAATACAGCCACTCCCGCCTATGCGTTCACGGCCGCACCGACACTGGCTACAGATCCTCTGGCTTTAATCCAGCAGCTGGCGCAGGCAGCGGGATTGACGAACGGAGTTCCTGCACAGCCCGTACCATTACCCGTGTCATTAGTCCCGTCATCCTCATCTGCAACAAGTGCTGTTCCTGTATTGCCTCCTGACAGAGGTCCGCCGCAGCCTCCGCCGTATCCAAATGATCATTACGGTTCCGGTCGTAGAGAGTCACCCCATGACACGTATGCCGGACCAGATCGTGGCAGAGACCGTGATGATTACTACGATGAGCGCCGTGACCACAGAGGCGACTACAGAGGCGGCCCCAGAGGCGATTTCCGCGGTCGTGGTCGTGGAAGACGGGTAAACCGTGACAGGTACAGCGACCGGAACCGAGATCGAGATGGGGGCCCTCAATGGAGAGGCAGACCAAGTCGGTCGCGCAGCCCGCCAGGTAGAAACGGCGGGAGGAGAGACAAGCCACCGTACAGCCCGCCGCGGAGGCCACCCCCCTCTCGATTCGCCGACCAATCAGCCGCCAGGGCGCCCGGAGCAGGGAAGGACGAGTTCGGACGGGACATCAGGCCACCATCGCCGGACAACACGCCATCGGGATCCGTTCGCCACAGTAGTGCAGATACCCACTCTCCCCCTGCGCACAGACCTATGACAGGCGCCCCCGTAGATCGACACCGAGCGGGATCCGACGCTCATTCGCCGAGACACGACGGACCGTCTTTCCCCCCGCCGCCACGAGCCCCGCCTCCCGCTCCTGCACAGGGAGGACTAGATACGTTCGACTCGACTACCTTCGATCCTACGTCGCCCGCATCTTGGACGGCGCTGGGGAACGCATGGAACGTCACACATGGCTACTTGCCCGCTCAGGAAGAACTCATGGCCTACGTGCTCAGCGGCTTCAGTGCCTTCCCGACCACGGACCAGTTCGTGGAAGGGAGCGGCAGCCAATGGGCCGGCCAGGGTAACACTTACGGTGGCGACAATGTGTACCCCGACGCAGGGAGCTGGCAAGGGAATGGAGGAATGAACGAGGCAGCTGCAGGCGTACAAGGGAGCGATAGCTCGTACGGCAACGGCCGAAACGAAGCTTATAGAGACGAACAAGCGCACGGACAGGGCATGCCTCACCGCGACAATACCTTCGGAATCGCCGGGCCTCAGGCCGCGCAGTCGTCGTTGTCGATGCCCGGGAGAGGCGACTCGGTCGAGCAAGAGGGCGGCGGCGACGCGGGCTCCGCAGGCGGGAGGATGCAGAAGGTCGGCGACAGATGGGTCTTCGTCCGAACAGCGCCGGCGTGACCGTGGCTGCCAGTTGTACTCTTGATACATAGCGCCCCGTACTACTTTATCAGCATGCATGCATGTCACCACTCGTACATACGTTATACACTGTCGACTCCGTTTGTATGCTCTATACCTGCTAGCTCGTATTGGTATCCGTTTTCTCGTGCGTCGAGCCGGCGATTTGTGTAGAGCACCCTCGCGTGGTATGCGGACGGCTGTGGCTGGGCGAAGGGGTTCGGCCAGTATGTCAGGTAGCAGATCACAGCGCACGCGATGCCGAGGAGGCTCCCGACGATGACATCTTCTTTGTGATGCCTCTGTAGCAAATCGTTAGGGTAAGGAAGCGGAGCAGTCAACAGACGCACATAGTCTTCCAGACGACTGATCGCGACCCAGGTAGCGAATAGCAGAGGCAGCAAGGAGAGGCTGAGCCTCGCAAGCCTACTTGCGAGGAAACTCCTTGCCACAGTGGGGCGCGTGATGCACCATGCGCCCGTCATGCCCGCTATCCAGAGGGACAGAAACATCATGCCTGAGAATGCTGTGGACGAATGGCCGGATGGAAACGATTTGCGTCCGTCGAGGATCGTCTCGACGTCACTGCAGTTAGGTCTGTAAGTGATTGTCCCTGGAGGCGAGGTCTACACGGCCCTGACCCTGCACACGCTTTCGTCGCTTTGTCCCACTTGCAGCGCGACAGGAAGTCTGGACGCAATCGGCCTATGACAAAATGAAATTATGTTCATCTTCTCAACTGACTTCTGTACTCACCGACGCGGTTTTTGAGCAGTTCTGTGGCGACTTCAGCGAACGCTCTAGTCATTATCACAGCTCACGCCAGGTGTTAGCCCCACTATAATTGCAGACTCACCGTGTCGCGTAGAGAGCGAGAGCGCTGTGGTGAAGGTCTAGAGCGGAGCGCCTTAGACATGCAGTGACGCCTATCACTGCGAAGGGGGCGACAAAAGCGATGAACCAGTTCAGGTCACCGCCAATCCTGGCAATGAAGCATAGCCCGTCAGACCGTGACAAAAAAGAGAACGTAGAACGCCTACGCACTGGCTTTTGTGATGTTTGTGGTCGATGAGTGGGTCCTTGTGATCGAACTCCCTCTGATACGGTGGCAGCCCTTTGATGTTCCATGCGATGAACCATGCTCCAGTCGCTACCACCCTGTTTCAACGATGGTCAATGTTTTGCATCTTGGCTGAAATCGGCCAGACCCACCAGTCTGTGATGTAGGATCGATCTAGCCAGTCGAAGGCGTCCTCTCCAAAGACGTTTCTCAGTCTATCGCGTAGGGCGGTCATAGTGGTCATAGTGGCAAGTCTAAGAAGCTTGGCTTCAACGTCTAGCGATATTCATGACGGTAGCTTGGTCTGCAGAATGGTTGTCGCATGCCCGCGCGAACGGTGAACAGAAAGCCAGAATCACTGCAAAATCACTGGACGACCTTGGATCGGTCCCCACCCTGGTCAATCTCGTTGCTCGTGCAGTGTATATTCGTCCCATGCCGTTTCCCGCTCATCTTCGGTGCGAAAAGCATGGTTGTAGGATACAAACAGCTTCCGCCATGCATGATACAAGGGTCTCCGACCATTTCAGACAAACTCCTAGGTGCGACCGGATGGATATCCGTGCGCTGCGGACGAAGACAACAACCGATATGCAACCAACCGCAGGATGATACTGGACATACCTCGAGGTTTGCGGGGAATACGCGAGTACAATTTAGGGAGTGTTTGCTGAGTTCAAGTCAAGCACAATTCTCCTGGGCCCGCACTTCAATCGTGCGCATACCTTATCGCCCGTTGCGACGGTTGTACGATGGCGGGTGAGCTGCGAGCTGCAGGCGTCGAAGGCGGGGCAGAGCTGGGGCGACGGTGGATGAGAGGCAATGCGAAGATTGACCATACATACGCGGAAGGTCAGGCACTCTCAGGGCTCATGAGAACGGTTGAGAAGACGTTCGCCGCTGTCTGTCCAGGAATAACTCAGCCACTGCGTGTGCGTGCCAAGACGGGTAAGCCACGTAAGTAGCGATCGACTTGGCGCCCGGCGGTACGGATTCAACCCTTGTGTGACTGTCAGTCACGTGTGACAGCACGCGGTCGTGACAAGTCTATTGCTGACGCGACGCGCTTCCCGTCTTTCTCCCTCGCCCTCCCAACCACCCCTTCTCGTCGTCTTCCACGATGGCAAAGGGTCAAAACTCAGCTGTCCCGAAGGGGCAAAAGTCTATTTCCTCCTTCTTTGGTGGCAAGCCCGCAAAACCGCAGCCAGAGCAAGCCCCAAGCACCGCGGACGAGGAGTCGTCCGACGCCGAGGTCGATGACACCGTGACGCAGGCAGTCAGCACGTCTAGAAACGCGGCTCCCGACGCGTCCAACCTCCCACCCATCCACGACATACCTGCCATATTTTCTGACTTGGTCTCGCGCGTCCCCGAGATCAAGGCTGTCGCAGAGCATCTTGAAGGGCGCAAGATGCGCGTCGCAACCATGTGTTCTGGTACGGAATCTCCGTTGCTTGCACTTGACCTAATCCGCCGCTCCATCGTTGAACACTATGGCGTGAATATGGAGTTCGATCACGTCTTCTCGTGCGAGATTGAGCCTTTCAAGCAGGCATACATTGAACGTAACTTCAAGCCACCGCTGCTGTTCCGGGATGTTTGTGAGCTGGGAGATAGTCACGCGTGCGTATATTCGCTCTCATGAGTCCAACTGCATCTGAGAAATACTGCCAGGACGACCGCTTATGGGTCGCTCGCACCCGTTCCCGGTGACGTTGACCTTCTCGTTGCTGGCACCTCGTGTGTCGACTATTCAAACCTCAACAACGAGAAGCAGGACATCGATGACAACGGGGAGTCAGGAAGAACTTTCCGCGGCATGATGTCCTGGGTGAAGAACCACCAGCCGCCTCTCGTTATTCTCGAGAACGTATGCTCCGCGCCATGGGACCGCGTCGCGCAGTACTTTGAGAAGATTGGTTACAGTGCCGACTACCTACGTGTCGACACGAAGAATTTCTACATTCCACATACCCGCACCCGTGTATACCTACTCGCTGTCAACCAGCGTCACTCTAGCCTTCCTGGCAAGTGGAAGGATTGGATTGGTAAGCTCAAACGCCCGGCATCGTCCACGTTGGACGCGTTCCTTCTACCTTCGGACGATCCGCGTATCCATCAAGCGCGGGAGAAGCTCGTGTCTGAAAGCTACAATGGTGTCGATCGACGGACCGGGCGCACGGACTGGGGTCGTTGCGAGTCTCGTCACCAGCGCGGGAGATTGGAAGAGGAGCTGGGGCTGAAGCGACCATTGACCGGTTGGGAAGAAGGTAATGCCAATTGGTCCATACTAGGGCGCCGTTGTTTACTCGCTTGCAGGTGGTTACTGCAAAATGCCCGATTTTGCCTGGAACGACTGGGGAGTCGGACAGGTAGAGCGCGTGTGGGACTTGATGGACATCAGTCTCTTGCGCTCAGCGAAGAAGGGAGTAGACCCTTCGTACAAGACGTGAGTCTTTCAGAGGGTTCTCTGTCGGTCGCATGCTCATATCATCTATACAACAGTCAAGTATGGAACTTGTCGCAAAACGTCGATCGGGCGATCGGGTCGAACAAAGTCGGTATCTGTCCATGTCTAACACCGTCCATGATTCCGTACATCACCAATCGCGGTGGACCGATGGTCGGTCTTGAGGCCCTGTCGATGCAGGGTCTGCCGGTGGACGAGCTTCTGCTCACGCGTGAGACCGAAGATCAGCTCGCCGACCTTGCGGGGAATGCAATGTCCACGACCGTCGTCGGCGCCTGCATCATGGCTGCGTTGGTAGTGGGCAGGAAGCTACTCAAAGAAGGCGACGACGACGCAACGTACGAGTCGAAGAACGACGTGGCGATGGATGTCGACGACGAGGACGAGGACGAGACTATGGACGTGGACCGGGCACCTGAGAAGGACGTTCCTGTCGAGGAGCGCATTTCGGGCGAGGACCAGCTGGTCGAGAAGCCGCTTGACTTGGCCTCAACGGCCGAGACGCGGTTGACTGCATTGCTCCAGAAGGCCCAACAAAGCGCACGTCTCTGCGAGTGTGAGGGCCGCAAGGACATCACGGACCGTCAGCTGAACCGTTGCGTGGACTGTGGTTCGTCGTCCTGCGTCAAGTGCGGTGGCCGTCCGGAGCACAATTTTGAGGCGATCGACGTGAACGCTAACACTCGTCTGCCTCCTCTTGCATTCGCGAAAGAGCTCAAGGCGACTCTACCGATGTCGCTATCCCTCGCAAACGTCTCTCGGGAGCTCCTCGACAGCCTCCGGGAGGAGACGGGCGTAACCATCCCAGAGAAACGATGGGGTTCGTGGTGTGAGGCCGTCCTGCGTGTCGCTGCGCATGAACTCCGGTTTGTCGAGCCCAAGCGGCAAGAAATCTGGGCGGCGACCTACCAATCGCCAGTCGCCTACCTCGAGCTGCAGCTGAACCCGCAACAGCCGGAGTGGCGCCTATTTGCGAGGCCGGAGGGCGACGAACCTGCCAACTCGGAGATCCGGAAGCTGCTCGAGTCGCCCATCGGACGCTTTGTGTGCGAGGATGGCCTGTTCAGCGGCCGGTGGGACTTCGCCCTGCCGTACACGACGTCCATCCAGATCACGATCTCTGGCAGCGAGCCGGTGCCTTCGTGGGAGCAGAAGCTCGGTCTTCAAGGGAAGGAGTTCCGCGACAGGATGGTCAACTCGCGGCTCGAGATTGACGTGGACGCGAAGGATCTTGAGCACTTTGACAGGGACATCTCGGGCGCGTACACCCTTCTCGACAAGTGCGGAACTGCCAACTCGGCGCTGCACAAGAAGGCCACTGACGCCCGGGACGCGCATCTGCCGCCCCTGTTCCTCCTCCTGGACCCTACGCGCTGCGGCGACCCGGTAGACGACAGCTTTGTCATTTCCATCAGCAAGGGCCGCTACGAGTACGGTGAGACGCGGCCGATAATCTGTCAGCTTCAGTCGAAGTGGCGGCAATCGGATACCGATGAGGAGGAACACATCCGCTGTCAGATCCCGTACAAGTGGATGAAGGCGTCTGACGTGCAGCTAGCGGTGAGTCAATACAATCCGCGCAGTAGACAGCTCGCTCATATGGTCGTTCTAGCCTGTTGCCGGTCATGAGGCCCATTACGCCGTGCCAGGCGACCAGCTCGACATCAGCGTCTCGATGGAGGCATGCCGCAGCGCGAACGCCTTGCTCGTCTGTCGCGTGCCGCTCCTGGACCAAGCAGGCCCCGAGTGGCCTCGCAACGCGTGGAAGGAAGTGGACAAGGTTCACGAGCGCGTCACCTTCAAGGCGCTGGCGTGGCTCATCGAGCGCATACGCAACGTCGGAGGTCGCTTTAGCGACTGGCAAGACGCCGAGCTGCCTGGGGCGCACGTCAACTGCGAGCGCTGCGCGCCGACCGCGCCGAATCTGCTCTGGACGAAGGTCAAGAAGCGCGTGGTCGCAATCGAGGACACCGCGCAGGCCGGACAGTACGAGCGGGATTTGAAGCGTCGCCCCGCGCCCTTTGTGACGCAGCTGAAGCTCGACAAGAATGGTGTCGGTGTTGTGCGTATCGGTGTCAATGTGGCATCTCTGATGCATCGCGCTATGTCGCGGTTGCCGACAGCGGGCAGAAAGGGGAAGGTATCCGTGTCGTGGCGACTCACCATGGACTTCCTCCCGGCGGCGAAGATCAAAATGCCGAAGTTCAAGCTCTCTAGCAACAGGCATGACTCACTGCACGCTCAGCCTCCTAGCTTCAAGATCCCGCTGCGTCCGGAGCAGCTTCGCTCGCTGACTTGGATGTTGGCGCAGGAGTCGCCCAACGCGCCTCCGTTCATCGAGGAGGAAATCTCGGAGGCGATCATGGAACCCCTCGGATGGCGTGCTGAAGGCCGCGCTCAGCGCCCGGTCCACATACGCGGCGGAGTCCTCGCTGACGAGGTCGGGTACGGCAAGACCGCGATTACGCTTGGTCTCATCGACTGCACCGCCAAGGAAGTCGAGAAGGATTTCCGTAAGATGCAGGACATGAAGGGCAAGATCCCCGTGAAGGCGACCCTCGTTGTGGTGCCACCGCACTTAACGCGGCAATGGGGCTCGGAGGTGAAGAAGTTCGCGGGGAAGCGGTTCAAGGTCGTAGAACTTGCGACTGCGACAAACATCAACTCCCTCACGATCGAGGAGGTTCAGGAGGCCGACATTGTCGTCGTCGCGTCGAACCTATTCCACAGCTCCGTCTACCTGGCTAACCTCGAGGCGTTGGCCGCCGCAGGAAGCCTGCCTCTGCAGGACGGTCGGTACTTCAATGCGCGACTGGGGAATGTACTCGACTCGCTGCGCAACCAAGTGGACCGTCTCAGAGACGATGGCGCGAACGCCGTCATGGACAAGATTTTGGAGGGAAGAAAGCTCGGTAGGTATATCATTGCAGCGCTTTCCTACTGGCTCACGCCTTGTGTAGATGAGGATGAGAGCAACTTCTTCGTGCCGACGAAGCGGCTGAAGGGCAAGAGCTATCGTGAGGTTGCCGAGGTCGCAGAAAGTGGGAAGAAGCAGCCTCCGAAAGTAGAGCCAAAGGTGAAGACGAAGGCGAAGAAGTCAGCTGTGCCCGACTCGATACCCGCGAACGCTTCTGTGAGTCCAAGAACTGGTCTCGTTATGGAGGTTGTCATTCCTGTTCGCAAGGCATCGGCCGCTTCCAGCGCGACGTCAGGAACGAGTGAACCCGAGGAAGACTCAGATACACGGCCCAAGCGACGCAGAATCATCCGGAAGGTGATGTCTTCGGACGAGAGCGCAGGCTCAGACGAAGATAAACCGCGAGTCAAACGTGGTAAGAAGGCTGCCCCTGCGAAGCGGTTGACAAAGAAGAAAGCAGTCGACTCGGAGTACGAGGCATCATCTGCTGAAGAATCGGGTTCAGACGCTGGGTCACTTGCAGAGTCGTCTGACGAGGACATACCCAAGAAAAAGCCGGTAAAGTCGAAGCCAAAGCCAAAGCCAAAGCCAGCAGCGCGACGCAGTAAAGGGCACAGCAGTGACGCGACGACTCCCCCGATGACTGATGACTCGGAGGCTATGAGTGTCGACGAGGAGCCTACATCTAAGGCGAAACCGAAGGCGACGAAGAAGCGGAAGGCTGAGGACGACGACCAGCGCCCCGCGAAGAAGCAGAAAAGGCGAGAGGACACCGATCCCTGGAAGCTCAAATCGCCCGCCGTAAGGCGAGACTGGACCCAGATGAAGGCGCCTCCGCTGGAGATGTTCCACTTCGCTCGTAAGGTCGTCGATGAGTACACGTACCTGGACGGTAAGATCCACTCTATGGTGACGAATATCACGGCCGAGCGGCACTGGGTGCTCTCTGGTACTCCACCGATTCACGATTTCGGCGCGCTGAAGACTATCTCCGCATTCCTCAATCTGCACCTCGGTGTAGACGACGATGGCGAAGGCCAGTCGTTGCAGGTCAAGAAGCGCAAGCGCGAACAGACCGGTAAGTTAGACCGCCGCAATCGCTGAGCGATGTAGGCTCACCTGTGTCCAGCCGTCGAGAAGTTCCACTCCTTCCGGGAGGTTCATAGCCTAGAATGGCATGCGCATCGGCACGAGTTGGGACAAGGCTTCTTGGATCGTTTCGTCCGCCAGGTAGGTGTTTTTCTATTCGATAGCTGAAGAGGAGTCACTGAAGATTGGGTGCAGAACATCGCTGAGATCGACGAGATTCCGTCGACCACCGAGATCAAGAGCGTCAACCTGCCGGCCGCTGAACGAGCCATTTACCTAGAGCTCGAGCATCACCTTCGCGCCCTAGACATGACTGTCAAGCGCGGTAAGAAGAGCGAGAGCGACCGAGAGAAGCGAGTAGCGCAGGCACTCGGTGAAAGCGGGTATGTTTGGGTTGTAAGACTATCTCCGTGGCATTGACTAGAATTGCGTAGTACCGCTGAGGAGGCATTGCTCAAGCGATGCTCGCACTTCGATCTCGACACGTCCGACAAGGAAAACGCCATGAAAGCATGCGAGGTCATCGTCGAGGAGCGCAAGAAGCAGCTGGACAACTGCAAGGCAGAACTTCTCAAGAAGCTCGGCGAGGCCTTGAAGATGGAGCAGAAGATCGGCAAGGTCGAGGGCGAGTCGCTCTTCCGCGAGTACGTTCGCGTAACACGCAACGAGGGCGTCGGCGACAAGGACGCCACCGAGCAGGCCCAGGAACTCCTCAATGAGGCGCAGATTCCAGCTAATCTGAAGGGCGTGACGAACAAGCAGGTCGATGGCAAGAATAAGGGCAAGGGCAAGGACGAGGGCCTGTCTAACAGCAAGAAGGAGCAGATCTGGGAACACCGTGAGCAGACCCACGAGATCCGTCGAATCACCAAGGAACTCGTCGGCCGCGTGCGATCGCTTCGGTACTTCACTGCTGTGCGAGACCTCCAGCGGCAAAGGGAAGTTCCACCCGTCGTGTCCTGCCCTTCGTGCGGACGAGACGAGGTGCCCATCGAGGAGGTCGCTGTCCTGTCTTCGTGTGGCCACATGGGCTGCTTGAAGTGCGTCATGGAGTGTGCGGATAAGGAGGAGTGCGTCTACGCTGCCTCGGGCGCGTGCAGAGCCGCCGCCCGCGTTCTAAACGTTGTCAAGGGCGACACGCTCGGTGTCGACGATGAGGCTCGTGATGGTCGTGGCAAGCACTACGGCCTGAAGCTCGAGCAGGTTATTCATCTCATCAAGTAAGTACCGAACTCATGCGCCTCGGGTTCCTTTGTTGATGATCGTTCGCAGAAAGACCATTCCGAAGGAAGAGCGTGTTCTCATCTTTGTTCAATTCCCGGACCTCATGAAGAAGGTCGCGGAGGCTCTCTCTGCGAATGGCATCGAGTTCCTCGAGATCAAGGGCTCGGCCTCGCAGAAGAGCAAGAACCTCGAGAAGTTCCAGAGCGACAGCAAGGAGCGCGCTCTGCTCCTGAACGTCATGGACGAGAGCGCGAGCGGGGCGAATTTGACGTCCGCGAGCCACGCTATCTTCCTGTCGCCGCTGCTTGCGCCGTCGCAGGAGATCTACGACGCGTGCGAGACGCAGGCTGTCGGGCGGTTGAGGCGGTTCGGCCAGACAAGGCTTGTGCACATTTGGCGGTTCCTCAGTACGAACACGATCGACGAGGAGATCTACGAGCAGAGGACGAAGCCGAAGAGGGTGTAATCTTGTGTAGGGTTTGTTATATAGGACCATCATCTCATGCTCTTAGATATCGCATTGCTTTCGATCTCGCATGGTGTTGGCATGTATGATAGTAATCTTGGTGCATTGTATTTAGACCGCTTACTTATTGGATGTCACTAATATATTGTATGCTGTGTGACGGAGCATGGAGCTGAAAGTACCTGGTTGTCATGCCTCAAACGCCTCGTGGATGGGGATGAATACGTTCAACTCGCCCGCATGTACGACACGTGTGTATGAATAGCGACAGAAAACGAATAATGATAGTCGTGAGGGATAGATTACACTTGCATGGTGATACAGCGTCCCGTTCAACATAGTAGCCCAGGCCGTCTACTTGGCCGACATCGAGTAGCCGGTCGTATCCAGGACCTGCTTGCCACAGATCGCACATACTCCACGTTTGTATGCGCATCCTAGAAAGACATCAGTCCCCGTCCAATACTATCCGTCATGGCAGACTCACCGTGGCAGTACTTGGCCCTGTTCTGCGTCACCGTCGACTTACAGTCCTTACACTTCCCCTGGTACGGCTGTACAGGTGGTGATGTCAGCGTGTAGACAGGAACGCGCTGAACATAAAGCGCACCTGGAACCTGTTCTTTGAGCTCCCAGGTCTGGTCAGCAGCTTGTTCTCTCCGACTTTCCGAGAACCATCCTTGATGCTCTGCGAGCTCGAGGTGAACGGGTCGGGAGCGGCAAGTTTGGAGAGTTTCTAAAGTGCCCGGTCAACGATTGCATCAATCTTGTAACGTCAAGATGACTCACAGACTCGCATTTCTTACACACCATGATACAGAGAGAGAAGGAAGTAAGGTGGTGGTTAGTGAGCAAGCCTGCCACTGGGCCGGAACGGCGTGGCTGAGTCGAGGGTGGCTGCAGCAGATCTAGATCCATGACTAAAGTGCTGCGCCCGATAAGGAAGGTGTAGTGATCAGCCCGGAACTCAAGCTCACAAACTCAAGGTTCGCATGCAATGAGTCAGCTCTCACTTGACTTGCATTTGCCTCGGTGTATAGAGAGATAAATACCTATAGTCAACGCTTGAGAACCCCGTTGAATTCATCACATTTTACGGTCAGAAAATGTCTCCATTTAAAATGTCTGGCTGTCGATCTCAGATGCGCAGGGTCAGATTAATGTATCCTACATCACAGGGGTCTTCCGTCTCAGTCAGTCAATTCACGCCAACGAATCTGCCTTCCATTTCAATAGCATCCATACAACCCACCGTCGTCGTTCTTCCTCAGTCTCTTCGTCCGCCCCCTCAACACTCCAAGGCCTCCGGCGGTCCCCTCCGACCTCTCGCTCTGTAGCCTCCTCCACCTCCAGTCCAGCATCGGGAACTGCCTTCAAAAATGACTCTACAGTATACCTCCCCGTATGAAATCCTGCGACGAGGATGATGCGTGCGTCAGCAGTCTTCTTCAAGGTTGTTGACAGAGTGCCAAGGAATTTCGAGTGCAACTCCGGGTTCCAGAGCGTGTCCGCCGCGATTACAATGTCAAACACGGGCGCCGCGGATGATGTTTCCGCAAAAGGGGCCAACATAGGAGATGGGTCGCTCCCCCATGCGTAGGGGATAGCGTGGCAATGGGTGAAGACCTCGTTCTTCTGGACGTTGTCCGCCAATGTCGAGATCAACTCATCATCAGGATAGTCGCTGGTCACGACATCCACGTCGGGGTAGAGCCGTGCGATCAAGATCCCAGGCAGGCCTGCCCCTGCACCGAGCTCGAGCACGCGCAACCGATTGCCTCCGCTCGTCGCGCGCTTGATGTGTAGATCAAGGTGCAGATCGTGAACGTGATCAGCGATGTACAGGGCGGATACCCATATGGACGATGCATGGAGTGCCCAATTGGCCGGTTGTGTGTCTGGTGTCGTCAAAGTGACGGTGAACGGGGTATCCAATGGGTCTTCATCAGGGCCTTCAGCTCCCTCTGCCGATTCGTCCTCTCGTCCAAGATACTTGTATCTGAAGGTTGCACCCGCGGACGAGAGGGTGATGGGTGTGTAATCGTAGAGACTCCCCAACGACTCTGACAAGAGATCCTCAGGGTTCATCTTTGAACAAACAGGTCAGCCAGCTGGAGGCGAACTGACCATCGGCTACTCACCTTCGCAGTCGGGAAGAGACAGACAGGCGCCTAACTTGCGAGCGCGTCGTAGCCACGTGCCCGACGCGACGACTCAGGGGCACGTGGCGCCTTCTTGGGCGTTGAGCAGGGACGCGGTCCGAGCTCTTGCCATCCAACAACGACGACCTCTCCCTCCGCCGCGTCCAGGCGACACCGCAGACCTAACATGAGCAACGTCGACGATTCGCTATCTAGTCCAGAACGGCGAGTCCGCAGCACGCGTACCGCCATAATTCGGCTAACGATCCTGAAACTGCCAGATCGCCGCCTGTGAAGGTGAAGTACAGTGCGCGCCGGAAGGTGAATGTGTCGCGTATCTTCGTGTCGTATGTTGTCCTGAACGCGTGACCATACTTAGAGGAGACAGAATGTAGCGAATGAGGAAGCCGAGTACGTCGCGAGTATGATGTTGCGCCTGTGTTATACTCACGCTGTTGGCAGGGAGTCTCCGGCTGAGGAGACAAAGAATGAGGGCGAAGAAGAGGTCGCTGCAAGCCCCGAGAAGCCTGCATCCACTGACGCGGAGGTGAGTCAAGCACTGGTCTCAGCTATGCGCAGGAAGCATGGCTGCACGCAGTCGCTCCTCCTCATGTGGTCTTCGGTATAACGGAAGGTAGGCTCGTATTGTCATGATCGTACGCGGTATATCGTACAACGATTCGTGCGTTTCTCGTCCTGCCCATACACCTCTCTCTGCCCATACACGAGGGCTACCCCGCCTCATGGTGCTCTGACTCCTCGGGTGGTGGAAGATACAGTCCGTAAGGTTGCATAACCCTGGTCCATTTGAATTCCTCACGGACTTCTTTGCGCATTGACCCGTGGACCGACGAGCTGGCCAAACACGCTTGTACTCCCTGCCTTCTCAATGTCACGTTCTCTTCTCAAAAGCCCAAATTAAACATGCGCCCACAGGTATCCACAAAGAAGCGTGCACCAAAGAAGATTGATGTAGTGCAAGTCGCGTCCAAACTCTGCTTCTGCTCCCTCTGATCAATGATACCCGCTACATAGTCTGCGAGGGCCCTCTCCCACTCGAGGCCGCCAGGATTCGCCCGCTACAAACAAGAGACCTCCAAGCAGAGCCAGGAAGGCACCGCACTCGCGGGCGGGGTCGGTGGCATCCATTGCTCAAGAAGACGGGGATACCTCCCCAGTAAAGGGCAAGCCTCTATCCGCGGTTGGCGCCAAGGCTTTCCAGACACCTGCAAGGTAAGGTTCGTCACCTGGATAAGTGGTGTACGTTCGTGACAAGCTTGTCCTCTCGTGTAGACGCGCCCGATCACCAGATAGTGTTGCCGACGATCAGTCCGTCTTGGGAGAGTCGTCGAAATCGGCGCGTGCAAGGAAGACCGAAGCCGAGCGCATCGAGTTCCTCCAGAATGATCCGCTCACGGAAGAGGTGGAGGCACATCGTGTGTTCTGCAAGGAGTGTCAGGAATGGGTCGATTTGGCCCCGAAGCGGAAGTACGTGATGCAGAACTGGGTGACGCACCGCAAACAGAAACACAAACAACGCGGCAACCCTGACAAGTGAGCTAGTTTCATGCTGATGAACAATATACGACTGATCGCAGCATTGTAGACACGACACCTCGGATCTCAAGTCTGAGGTTGCAGCCGACGAGGACGACGGTCACGTTGAAGATGATAACGCATCTGTAGCCGCATCCTCGGTGGCACCGTTGGAGACGCCTCGGAGCGAGAAGTCGTCACGAGAACGTCCCAGCAACCGCATTACCGCTATGCAGCGCAAGCTCTCGCTGGTGAATGACCCGCAAGTGAGAAAGCTGACAGATCAGATTGTCGAATGCGCGGTATGCCGCGCTGAAGTGACGGTGAAGGGCCAGGTGGACTACGATCTCGCCCGATGGGAGGGACACAAGGCTACGTGCACCAAGTGAGTGGCCCGGTAATCTGCCGCGGGGCGTCGCTTGACCTCGCGAACTCAGATCGACTCCCCGCCCCGCGACTTCGTCCGACCAGGCCGGTGCAGCCAAGGTGCCGCCGGGGGCAGCACTACAATCACCGCCCTCGGTGGCTTCGACGGATGCAACCGCAGTGGGGTCCGACCCTTCGCCGTCGCGTGGCCAGAAGAGGCCTCGTGATGAGGACGAGGAGGATTCAGACCAGAAGCGTTCTGTGCGCCCCCGATCTGCATTCTACGAGGCACCGGAGGGGGACTCGCCAGGCTTTTTGGACTGGGTGACGCTGCCGTTCCGCTCGTTTGTGCGTGGTTTCCGTGAAGGACTATCATCGGGATAGAGTAGGATATTCTCGACGTCCGCTCCTATCGCCATATCGCATCGCCTCGCTCTTGACTAATTACTACCCCGCCACACTCGTTATCGCCTGCTTGCTGAGTCGCTCGCTTGTCCCCCCGTTGCCTGACGGTTCCCCTGCATGTCTCTCGCTGCTGTGTTATCTGCTTCCGTGTATCTAGTCCGAATCTATCGCGCCGTTTTATCGAGCAGCGTGGCTGGGGAGAGATCTGATTCCGCGAAGCTTTTGCCGATGGGCGCGGAAAGATGGGATCGGCGAGAATCCCAGGATTGGGCCGTATATGGACTGGCACGCCCGTAAGCGCGTGTCGCCCCGTTCCCCGTGCGGTGAATGCCGAGGCCACCCTCGCTGGGCCTCCTCCGTGCGCCTGCACACCTGGCGGGTGGCGTCCCCCTCCCTCTCTTCTCTTCCCCCTTCGTCCCCCCACACACCGTTCGCCCTGCTCGATGGATATCAAGAAACTGTGCGCACCCCCGTCTCCCACAACCGCGTCTGTCTGCTCACAGCCTTCCCCCCGAAGGTTACGATCACCCAGTCCCGCCACACCTGTACTTTTACATGACATGCACCCAGAGGTCGGTCGAGTGGCCCTCCAACGTTGTGGGACATTTCCCGTGCTCATACCGACACCCCCCTCCCAGAACTACACTAGAACTAATTCTACTTCGAGGTACGCCCGATCACTACCACCCTCTGCCCTCACGACCCTCACGAGCCTGTCACTCCACAGTACGCCCGCATCGAAGCCGGCCGCGGCCACGAGCGCACGCCACGAGAGGTACGTCCTCCGCGTGCCAGGGCACACGCCTCTGACCGACCTGGACGAAGCAGTGGCAACGCCAGCACCACGATGAACGTACGCGACGCGCCCGCCAAGCCTGTGGCACCTGGGCCGTCCGACAATACTGCGGGCCCTCCCGGCAGGCACCCGCCCGACGATCCCGCCGCTAACTACATCGAACGAGAGTAAGCGCTATACCTCCCCCGCGCGTGCGACGGCTCGCTGACCCTCGTCCCCCGCCCTAGTTTGCCCCGGAGGCCCACCCCCGCGGAGAAGGCGCGCGAGAACAAGATGCGCGCCGACGCGCTCTGCGAAATCTCGAGCCCGCAACTGGTCCGATGCCTCCGGTGCCACTCGTGGATCAAGCTGTCAGCGAAGAGCGCGTTCGATCCCGCGCATTGGAACAAGCATCGCGAGCGGTGCATACGGAGGCCAGAGTCGGTCGTCGAGGAATTGCGCGAAACGAACGATCAGGTACAGATGTCGATGCCATGCCTATTGCGATGTGCTGAGGTATTTTGACAGCAGGCACCGTTCCCCTCGGACGTGAAGCCACCCAAGGTGGTCAAACGCAAAGCACTACCCACACCTTCTCCAACTCCAGAACGCGATGCCGACGAGACCTGCAGCGCAAGCGTGGCCGACGCCCCGTTCAAAGAAGACTCACCCCTCACGCAATTCTCCGATAGCACACAAGCTAGCCCCCCGCCTTCTCCGACGCCCGCCCCGACTTCCCCTCCGCTCACGATCCCCGATCCCGGGCCTGTCTTCGAAGAATACCTCGCCCGCTCCCAGCGTCGGCCGACACGTGACCTGGCCTCGCCGCTGCGGAGGAACTGGCAGGAATGGAGCTGGTCGCAGCTCAAAAAGCCGGTGTGGTACCCCGAGTACGACGACTCCGATGACGATGAGGAAGACGATCGCCGCCGGGTGCCGGTCTCGCACGCGCGGGCTTCCCCCCGAGCCGAGCGATCGCGCGAGAGCAGTGCGCCCTGCTGCGCGCGCCTCCTTAATGACAGACGCGATGCTGCCGGCGCCGCGGGACCCGTGGGCGGCCCCGGACGGCTGTGATGACGAATTTCATGATGATTTCCCGAGTGCATATGATGATGTACAAACTATAATGCCCAGTCTTCCGTTCTCACATGTTGTCTACGCGCTTTGAATGCTTGCTTACTTCTCCTCCCGAGTCGTCTCCTGCTGTCGACGTACTTTTGGTCTCTATCTATCTCACTCATCTAGTCCCTTGCTCATCTGTGTTGTCGTTGTAGCATAAATGACGTTGTTCATTTGATTCTCGGTGATCGGTGTACTACATCCCGCCTCTTCCTTGGGGTGCTGAACTGCGCTGCTGGCGCTGGCTGGCCGCCGGTCCAGACGTACTGTACGACGGACGATCTTTTTATTGCAGATATGACAGACATAATGCATGAGCGTTTGAACTCTGGCTGGGTGGGGCGCTTACATTCATGAGTACGTGCTCGATGCGGAGGAAGGGGAGGCACGTGGTGTCTCCGTAGTACGTACACCGGCCTGCCTTCACGGAACCGAAATCTGACCTTGTCTTTTTGAAGCAACACGACATCCCGGATGGCGGGATCTGTCCCATACGAGGATAACGCTGCGTCGGCCTTCTCCATGATCTTCGCTGCATCAAGTCAAGTACAAGCTTTTAATTGTACCGAGCCACTCGGCCATGCCGTCAGGACCGCTGGGATCGAGCGAGAAGATGGCGCAGCCTCGCGGAGTAGTCAAGCAAGGTTCGTGCCTCGCCCGGATCTGCAGTGTATTTGCCTGCTAGCGAGACCCTGCGCGGGTGGCTGGCCCGTCAGAAGGTCTGTGGCGGAGGTAGAGTTCAGAGGGCAGCTTCTGCGTCCCACGAGGCGGTCTGGCACGCGTCCTTTAGGTTCAAGTCAGCGTACGCGTCGTCTCTCTCGCCTTGGTCTCGATAAGGGCTGTTCAGCACTGTAGAGCCCGCGTCTTGATCGTGGAGAGTCATCGCGTTCTGTCTAGTGGCCAAGGTGAGTGCTGTGACATTGCGGTGGCTTAGACAAATGGCGATCCTGACGTGTTCTCGCACGGGTGACAGGGATTTGATCGATACGATGGTGACCGACTGCGTACGCTGCAAGGAGCATTTCGACAGCCCAGGGGCCCTCGCAGATCACCTGGGCACTTCCAAGGCCCACAACGTCTGTCGTACTTGCGTGATGGACTTCCCTCTTCGACTGCACCTCGTGCAGCATTTCTTGTTCAGCCCCCTTCACAATTACTGCCAGCGCTGCGACAATCACTTTGACTCTCCTGCGGAGCTAGTACGCCATTTCGAAAGTGAACACAGCCAATGTCTTATGTGCGGACTGGTGAGCCATCCACGGGTGCCGAACACCGAGCGCCATGCTGATCACCGTTGAACTGGAACAGTGCTTTGCGACTCCGAACGATCTCAACGAGCACTATCACCACACGCATTGGACTTGCATCGAGTGCAGAATCGTATCCGCCACACCCGACGCGTTCGACGCACATTGCCGGGAGACGCATTGGTACTGCGCCGACTGCAAGCGCGTCTTCAAGGACGGCGACAGCCTCAGGGCGCACTACGAGTCCAACATCCATAAGGGCCGTAAGGTCCATTGCCCAGGCGTTAAGTGCTCGAAGGACTTCGTGTCGAGTTCGGCCCTCATTCAACACCTCGAGTCGGGCGGATGCACCTCCAAGATGACGAGGCACGACGTGAAGAAGCTCGCCGTCCAAATGGACAAAGAGAACATCATTACGGACGCCGCCCGCTTGCTCACTGGACCAGGGGGTAGTAGCGTCCCGCGTATGACTACTACCTCTTGGGCCACGGAGCTCTCGAAGAACCCTCGGACGGGGCTGTACGAATGCGTGATCTGCCACGCGGGCTTTAAGAAGCTGACTTCTCTCAACAATCACCTGCAAAGCCCCGTCCACGACGAGAAGATATACCGCTGCCCGCAGACCTGGCAGGGGTGCGGTGTGGAATTCAATACCCTCGGCGCCCTCTGCCAGCACGTGGAGAAGGGGAACTGCGGGGTGCACAAGTTTAACAATACTTTGCAGAAGTACGTCGGTTCGTTGGCGGACGGAATGAAGAGGCTCGCCCTCTGAGAAGGCAAGGGTGGCTCTTCGCGTGTGCGTGTCGATACACGCGGGGGACGGTCTTGTGTTCTCGGATGACATGTCGGAATACTCGTAGGTTGTACAAGTTGCTCTCTTTCTTGCTCTTTCTTGCTTTGTGACACAATGCTCTGTAGTAGTCATACTGTTTTCATCATGACTGAATCGTGGGTGTTGATCCTGTACTACTACATGCTACCTCTGATGTGCGGCAAACGTCCTCTGTTGTTACATGGTCTGTACGATACATTACAAGCGACAAACAAAACTACAATCATACTCTCTAGTGGGCCGGAGATACCCATCAGTTCATCAGTAACCTGTAGCCTAGCATCCGCCACAGCCTCCTCCCCCTCCTCCGCCGCCACCACCGCATCCTCCGCCGCCGCCACAGCCTCCTCCTCCTCCTCCTCCGCACGCCGCCCCTCCTGCACCGCCTGTACCTCCACCACACATGGAAACGCTTCCACACCCGCCACCACCACCACATCCACCACCACCACCACACGCTCCTGTGCCCCCAGAAATTCCAGCGGCGCAAGTGCCCGTACTCTACAAATGCGAGAATTCTGAGCGACCTGCATCGCAACACATGCGGGATATACGACTCACAGCGCCGCACTGGGTATGGCCGATCGACACGCAAGCAGCAACTGGCGTCACGAACGGCACCGGGGTCAAGAACGCGGTGTAGTGCATCTCACCGCGCCGGTACTGCTCCGGGTCGTACTCGCCCTTGTGCATGCGCCGCTCGTCGCGCTGGCGGCGCTCGTGCATCTTGCGCTGCCGCAGGAGCCGCTGGCGGGTGAGCTGCGCTGCCTTGTTCTTGTTGAGCGCGTCGTTGAGGCGGACTTGGACGGCGTTGTGCTCGCTCGCGTGCGTGGCAGGCGGGATGTCCGGATGTGCGGGGGGACGCAGGCCGGAGGGCTTGTCGGGCTTGGCTATACGGAGGAGTCGTTGGAGCTTGTCGCCGATGGAGTCGCCCGGGAGGGGGCAGCCGCAGTAGCTGTACGGGACTCCGAAACGTTGCTGTGAATCGAGAGCGGGTCATCGCCAATCGATAGATGAGCAATATGCGCGGACGTACCTGCCAGACCCTACATGTGATGTCGAAGGCATTCGCTAGACGGTTCTCTTCCACCTTGTCGTCGCTGTGATTGTGGGTGATTGGCGATCAGAGTTTCAATTCGGATCTGCGAACATTGTTACTCACTGGTCTATGTACCGACCGACATATTCCATGCAGTCATCCGCGTACTTGCCTGCCATCAACTGATGAGTATGCCAGGCGAGGTCAATGTCTAGGGTCGGCACGAAGAATGAGGCTGGCGACGGAGCCATCATGTCAAGGAACCTACACATCTATTGTGAGGACGCTGGGCTCTGCTCGGTATAACAACTGGAACGGCGTACGCATGGTAACGCGTGATGGCGTGCACAAGCACGATTGCGTCTATTGGCTTGTCAAAGTATCCTGGAGCAGTCCAGCCAAAGACGTGCATCTTCGATGTGAAGGAACCTTGACGGATGACCTACAAATCACGAAGTAAGAGATACCAAGTGAGTTGGCGTCGTTAGCCCAGAACACGGACAATGAATGGAGGACACATACAGCGCCCACGAGGTCGATCGAGAACGGGCTATCATCTGTATATGCACACATTATCCTATCCAACCTATAAGTCGGGTGAAAGAAATCAGTCATGAATCCAATCCTTAGCAGCCATCTTTATGAGACGAACATGCGTTTGAGCAGACCCAGTGCTCTCGGCGGAGCCGATCGTAAGGTTGTGTGAACGTTCGTGATGGAATATCCGAAATCTTCCTTGATCTTGCGTTTCCAATCTTCCCGAGTGCACTGGCAAAAGGGGTGAGCGACTGCATAAAGGCCCATCCCCGTTCGAGAGTGATCGTCTACATGCCTCTTTGGGTCGACGTAACCTATCGAATTGCACGATGCGCTCCTTGACCTGGATCGCGCGTTTGGTGTAAGCGTTGTCGGTGGGGCTGCGTAGCGTTCCCCTGATCAATACAGAGATCGTCAGCTATAGGCTCTTTTAGTCCGACTTCCCGCTTTGCATGTTACGCACGGCAGGTAAGCATCCATCTTTGCATCCAGGTCATTGTGATCCTCAACCAGGTCTTGCGCAAGCTTGTCCATCGCCAGGGCTGGCTTGTCAATAACCAGCGAGCAGCGGGAGCATGTCAACTTGAACCCTTGTTGGGCGTAGCCGGTGCCTTCTGCCGTCAAGTACGCTGCAGTGCTACCTCAAACTCCATTCGAATAATGTCATGTTTGGTCTCTTACGTGCGGCATTAGGGCTTTCGCATCTGGGACAGGTGACATTGTGGTGCGGAAGGTACTTGAGAGATTCTATTGGGTCAAATGGCGTGCCTGTGTCTGCGAGCCATGTCTGTTTGCGCTCCTCAGAGGGCTGGTACTTTGCGGGATCGCCCATGATGATCTGGAGGTCATCCAGCACAAATCAGCAAGCGGATTAAGAGCATCGAGGATTCATCCATGGGAGCTTACCACCGCAGGTAACAGCCTATCATTCAGGTCACGGAGAGTCTGCAGCGCAGGTAGGCGCAGACAATCTTCTGCATACCATCTACAACGTATTCGGAGGTAAGCCATAGACAAGACTCAGGCCAGGGGCATGCCTACGCAGGGTTTAGCATGAACGCGTGCCATACCATGAGCACGTCGAGCGGTGGCACTTGTGTCTTCACCCAAGATTCGATCTTCTCGTCTGCCGCCACAGTTATCGCCCAACGATGGAATCTATCGAGGTGTAAGAGACGATGGGTAATCGAGCAAGCTGTATTCAGCCTCACTGACCTCTCCACAGCCAAAGATACGAACCACGCCCATCTGCGTGGCGTCTGTGGGGTATGGTCAAGGCCCCTCGCAGGACTTGGGAGGTCTACTTCGGGGCACGTCTCCACGCGTTTCTCGAGGGCCTTGAACGCCCCTAGTAAGCTCAAATGAGCCTTCACATATGGGATGCCGACGAGAGGCTGCATGATCGTGTGCGGGCCGATTAAGAACGCTGGAGGGAAGCCAGCGGTCATTGTTTGGGGGACAGGCATACTGGGCTAGTCGCTCCGTGGACTCCTATACGTTTGTGAGTACCACCCCCGGGATGATGTTGAACGTTGAAGGTCGGACGACGCAGTGTCAGCTGTGCCAACTTATGTAGTCTGAGGAACGACCACATGGCTGTGCGGCGTGTCAATATCAAACACTATCTATGACAATTGGGCGGCACAACAGTGGGCGACAGAGGCTCCAATCGCGTGTTTCCCGAGACGGATACGTGGCAGGAGCATCAAGCGCAGCAGTGCATCTCTGACGAAGGGGTCTGGATAGGTTCAGCACAATGGCAGCACCCTCCTAGGAACGACTAGTCCGCGGTGATGGTGTGTGCAAGGTGTGTGAATGATGGGAGTCGACGATGCACATATGTGTTCACCGCCACACAGGCGCACGCGTTGATCAGTACACGTGACCGTGACTTCCTCTTATGCTCAGGCTGTGGCTAAATTTGACCAAATTCGGTAGCGGCCTGAGGAGCATCCAGTTACAGTCTAAGGCAAGTACTGAATACACTCTACTACAGAAGTGGTCTATCAATGCATACACGGTCTTGTGCATATGGGATCCGACTCTGTACACGGATTACTAGCAATAAATGAACACCATACTGGAACTGGCAACATACTACGTAGTCAGCCGCTCAACGTTGTCAACCACCACCACCACATCCCGAGGATCCTCCTCCACCCCCGCCACAGCCTCCTCCTCCGCCTCCTCCACAGTTTGAGCCACCACTACCACCACCTCCGCAGTTCGAGCCGCCACCTCCGCATGTCGGGGCGCTCGCAAATCCACCATCAAAGCCGCCGCTACTGCAGAACGAGGAACTGCCGCTGGCAGCACCACCGAATACCGAGGATGTACTGCCGCTGCTGTCGGCACTGGCACATACAGAACTGTTGTACCATCCTGCAGAGGAGCACACTCCTGCAGCGCAGGTTCCAGCGCCCTATGTGCCAGTGGCCCAACAGGTTGTGCACATCAGAACGCCGTTCAAAGACATCTCGGAAGCAGAGAGGAATTGACTGACCGCCGAACATTGGGGCTGGCCACCAACCGGGACGCATGCCGATATAGGTTGCACAAACGGCACTGGTGTCAGGAAGGCAGCATAGTGGTCCTGACCACGCTTAACTAGCTCCGGGTCCATGTCACCCTTGCGCACGCGCCGGGCATCTCGCTCACGGCGGTAATTCATCTTCTGCTGGCGCAAGACCCTCTGCCGGTGAAGCTTTGAAGCTCCACAGCCCGGCCGCTGTCCAGCGCTGTATTGAGATAGACTGGCACACCGTTATGCTCGCTCGCGTGAGTGGCGGTCGGGCTGGCCGGCGGCCGTGAAACTTTGTTGGACATGAACTTGCGCGTGAGGCACTGGAGTCGATCGCCGATGGTGTCGCCAGGAAGCGGACAACCGCAGTGGGTATATGGGACTTTGAAATGTTGCTACGAATGACGAGCGGTTCAGCAACGAGAGACGGTGGGTGAAGGGCTCTCGCATATACGTACTTGCCAGGCCTGACATGTAATGTCAAACGCATTCGCGATGCGGTTTTCTTCTACTTTATCATCGCTATAAATTATCACAGTGACTTCAGAGACCTTAACTATCCAGGTAGCACCTAGCACTCACTAGTCGATGTACCGCCCAACGTATCGCTTGCAGTCGTCCGAATACCTGCCTGCCATCAACTGGTGAGTGTGCCATACAAGGTCAATGTCCAGCGTAGGCACGAAGAACGAGGCCGGCGACCCAGTCATTAAATCGAGAAACCTAGTAGACAGTCGTCCTCAGTACTACACATCGGTCAATGTACAAACAATGGAGGGTGGCATACGCATGGTATCGCGTGATCGCGTGTATGAGAACAACCCCATCGCCAGGTGTGTCGAAGTATCCTGGGGCAGTCCACCCAAAAGCGTGCATCTTGTTCGTGAACGTGCACTGACGAATGACCTGCACCCGGAAACACGGAGAAGTAATCGTCGGATGAGCACCATCTATCATGACTACTACGAGAGAATGGTAATGAACGTACGGCCCCAACGAGATCTATTGAGAACGGGCTGTCATCGGTATACGCGCTGAAGATCCTGTCTAACCTTTCCGATGGGAACTGTATGTGAGCATCGACGAGAGATACCGATGATTCAGACAGAACGTACATCCGCTTCATGACTCCCATGCTAGCAGCCGCAGGTCGCGCCACATCCCGAAGTTCACTGATTGAGTAGCTGAAGTCCTCCTTAATCTTGGATCTCCATTGCTGTGGCGTATACTACGGCAATCGGGTGAGCACTGAGTCGTTCCAGCATGAGTGCTTCGACGGAGCAAGAACTTACACCCTTCGGCCGGCGCACTTTGCCGTAGGAGACGATCCGCTCTTTGATCGCTCTCGCGCGCTTGGTAAGGATGACATCTGTTGGGCTGCGCAGTGTACCACTGGTTTGATCAGGAGCGAGTGAATGAATGGAATTACTCGAAAAGCAACTGAACGTACGGGAAGTACGTATCCAGCTTCGCATCTGGATCATTATGGTCCTTCGCCAAGTCTTACGCAAGTTTATCAAGCGCCAAGGCGGGCTTGTCAATTGGAAACTGGCAGCTGTTGCATGCAAACTCGAAATCTTGCTGTGCGTAACTAGTGCCTTCTGCGGTTAAGTACGCTGCAGTGCGCGTCGTCAGAGCCTGAACAAGGTCATTGAGGAGTACACCGCCTCTTACGTGCAGCATTTGTGGCGCCGCACCTGGGGCAGACAACTTCGTGGTGGGACATCTGTTTGAGAGCCTCGATGGGATCGAACGGCGTGCCCGTCTGCTCGAGCCATGTGAGCCCGCGTTTCTCCGATGGCTGATACTGAGCAGGATCACCCATGACGATCTGGCCATTGAGTCCGTCAGCATCGTTACATATACAAAGCAGTCCATAAACGCCTACCACTGCACGTATGAGCCTATCGTTCAGGGCATGAAGGCTGTACTCGGAGCGTAGGTACGCGTAGACAGTCTTCTGCATACCACCTGTAGGATCATCAAGGCTTAGCGTGCCAATGCGAACGAAACAGGGCGCAGACAAACGTACGTCGGATTGAGCATGTAGGCGTGCCAGACCATGAGCACGTCGAGCGGGGGAATTTCCATTGTAACCCAAGCCTCTATATCTTTATTTGCCGTCACACAATTGACCCAGAGGCGGAATCTAACGCACGATGAGTACAAGAAGGATGCCAATCGAATAATATACGCACCTCTCCACAGCCAGGTAAACAAACCACGCCCATCTGCGCGGTGCCTCAGGAATCGAATCCAGGCCGCGTGCGAGCTGCGGCAAATCCTCTTCAGGACACAACTGCACACGCTTGCTGAGACTCGTCGCGAATGCACCCAGCAATCTCAAGTGCCCCTTCACGTAGTCAAGACCGACTAGGGGGTTTGTGATAGTGTTAGGACCTATGAGGAAGGCAGGAGGGAAGGTGGTTGGCGCCATGGAGGATGCTGTTACGGTATCAGTCCGAGAGTTGTCAGACATGGTGAACATCTGTCGTAAGACGGTCAAGCAGATAGCGAGCTTTGAGTGTGGTCACATAGGAGAGAAAGACACGTATGCTCCCCGACCTCAATCCATGGAATGGTTGCCTGCGGAAGGAGTCAGCCATCACTGCCACTGTCGGGCGTCAGAGATGTCGAGGCTCTGCCGCTCTGGTGACATTGGTACAGATGATCAGGATCATATTGAAAGATGGCAAGAGTAAGCGAGGTGTGTTATGTCCAACAAGGTTTCGGCGCAGCGCCAGCGACGGACGCTAGTAGAGAACGTTGGAGTGAGTTCAGTTTGAGCCAGATTCCAACCTAGCTGTTGTGATCATCATTCTCAGTACTTCCACTGTCCAGCAGCCAGCTGTGCAGTGCACGCAGCGACGCGTGTTGACAGAGCACGTGACCACGACGCCCTGCCGTGCCGAGAAAGTCCGAATCCATTAGCACTTGACGCAAGAGTGGACCCAATGGAGGAGGAGGAGGAGGAGGAGGAGAGATCCAATAGTAAGAGAGAGGTTTCACTGATCTGAATCAGCGCTGTAGGGCTGACGCCACTGACCTAGGACCAGTGGTAGCAGTCGCAATGCGTCGGTAACGGTTCGAACTGAGCTTGTAGTGACACTCCTCGTATCTGTCAGCAAACTGTCAGCACGACGTTCTGAGGGCCACCCATTTTTCAGTCATAAGTAGACGCTTCACGGACATATTGCTACAATCATTATCGTCTCACCACGCTATCATACACGGAACATATTGAGTTTGCAATCCCATCCGCAACTTGCCAGTAGGCCCTCGTCGTACAGCGACCATTCGCAGCCGACAACGAATTCTGTATGCGCGTCATTGATGTATAGCATATGACCTCCGGAGGGTAAGGGCGTCGTCGACCACCTGCAGCTGCGTCAGATGTGCTCAGACCATCGAGTGTGAGGGACTTACACTCTGCATGTCATATCGTAGCTCGAACTCGCGAGCACATCCGGGCGATGTGGGCTCCATTTCACCTTCCGCACTGCGTATTCATGGCCAACAAGCGGCAGCTCACACACTCCGCCGACCTGCTCCTGGCTGCCGCCAAGCTTGACCATGCGGCAGTCCCACACCTTGATCGTTTTGTCGACGCCCGCACTGGCGAGCACGAACGGGCGGTACTTGTTCCAGTCGATGGAGAGCACCTCTGTGCCGGAGGCGGGCACGGTGAGCGCCGCAGCGGACGTGGGCCGGGTGAACGCGTTCGAGCCGCCGGCGTACGCGGGTGCACGCAGATCGAAGAGCTTCACGCTCCCGTCCGTCGAGCAGGTTGCGATGAGGTCGGGCTGGTGCGGCGAGAAGAGCGCCTGGTAGACGCACATCTGGTGCGCGTGTAGGGTCGTCAGGGAGTGCGGGCGCTCGGGGGACCACTACAGGGTGCAGTTAGCTTCGATGCACAGAGATGAGCAAAGGATGGATGGGCGCGCACTAGTTTCACGGTGCCGTCCCACGAGGAGGACACGAACTTGTCCTTCTGGACGTTCGACCAGTCGACGGAGAACGCTTCGCGTGTGTGCTCCTGCCACGCGCGAATGGGCAGGTCCTAGATGTGCTTGCGCGATCGTGAGCGGAGACGCGCTCCTCGAGCAGTCGCTGCCGGGCCTACTTTGAGCATGATGTCCCATAGTCTGATAGAGCCATCGCCTGACGCCGTGACCAGCTGGTTTTCGTGGACCTCTGACCAGGCCACATCGTACAGGCCGTCCTGTGTATCGTAGCTATTAACAAGTTTCGTCAACCGCAAACACGGTTAGGGGACCAAAAAGACTCACGACTTATCCAAAGCGAGGCCGGGCAAGGCGCTAGGACCGGGTCCGAGCGAAACGAGGTGTAGTCGGCCGTTCCCCACGAGGCCGTAATTAGCAGACGACGCGACTGCGAGGCGGTTGGTGTGAAAGGGCGAGAACGCGACGGAGTAATGCTGCCATCCCGGTGTGTGTAGCGTGGACGGCGGCGCGGGAGGCTTGAGCATCGCGGTGGTCGGCGAGAGAGCGCGGGGAAGCCGTGGCCCCGCGTCCGGCCCACTCAGGCTTGTAACCTGCCCTCTCGAATCACATGCGCATCTCCGTACCCAGCATCCCCGAGGCCATCCTCAAGTCTGCAAATGCAGCCCAGGCTCGCGCGATATTGCCGGCAGAGGCGGTCGACCGCATAGCAGCCTTCTTGTCGCCGGGGAATGCGGCGGTGGTCACCGGAGCGGGGGTCAGCGTCGACTCAGGCATCCGGGCGTACCGCGGCGCGAAGGGGAGGTACCTGAATCCGAACTACAAGTACGTCGGGAAGTTTCAGAGCTCCTACAGTGCTGACAGCGATTCCATGTAGACCTATATTCGTATGTGTGCCGTGGTCACTTGCTTGAACCTACGAGGTCTGACAGACGTGTGTAGTACCACGAGCTCATGGACCCTTCGGCGAAGGGTGCCGCGTTTAGGTGCGTTATGTGTCGCACTGCACTTGCGCTCCTATCCATATCCTGAACCAACAGACGACGCTACTGGTACGCACGCCGTCACTTCCTCGACGTGATTGCCATGGAGTAGGATCTCACATAAGATGAGTAAGGCTACGGTCATACCTCGGCTACCCTCCCGTCCGCGACGCACAGCCGAACACAACGCACTGCGCGCTCGCAGCCCTGCAACACACTTCGGTCGTGAACAAGCTCATCACACAGAACGTCGATGGCTTGCACCACAAATCCATAGCCCATGTTTGGGATAGGGCACGCATGGACGAGCGAATATTGGAGCTTCATGGACAACTGAGGGTGGGCCAGCCTCACCGCACGCGGGCGAACGCTTTCTGACTGTGCTATAACAGAGTGTACGGTGCGCACATGGTCATATGACGGATAGGGATGCGTTCCAGCAGCAACTGTCTGCTGCAAACCCGCAATGGGAAGCATTTGCGGACGAGCTTGAGGCGACTGGCAGACAGCCTCGAACCAATCCGGACGGTGACGTGAGTAGGTTTCGAAGAGAGGAACTGAGCTATGCTCATGCCGGCTTTGCCAGGTCGTACTAGAAGGGGTGAACTACGATGAGTTCGTCGTACCAGACTGTCCGGCATGCCTAGCTGAGAACAGACATAACAACATCGTATGTGGTTTCTCGCCTTGATAGACTGCTTCATGGCATCTGATAATCAGCGTCATAGCAAAAACCAGAGGTGATCTTCTTCGGCGAGTCAATCACAAAGGAGGTCAAAGATCGCTCGTAAGCATTCCCAACGCCATGAATCACGATCGTTTCTCATCATCACATCGCCCAACGCAGATTCCACGACGTCGAGAACTGTGATCGCCTTCTCCTGATGGGCACAACACTCGCGACCTTCTCGGCCTTCAGGTATGCGCTAAATTATCCCTTACATATCTTTTCACTGACGGGTGCGCATCGTAGACTGCTCAAACACGCGATGGACCTCCACAAGCCTGTCTTGCTCCTCAACCTCGGCCCTACGCGCGCAGACGGCTTGCAGGGGTTAGAGAAGATCGATATTGCAAGTGGTGTGGTCATGCGTGACGTGGTCAAAGCCGTTCTGTGAGTGACGATGATACTTACGAGCTGTGTCCGAACTCTGATCTGCTCGTCCAGGGGTGCCGGATGGACGTCAGATCCCGTTGTAGCCGATATGCTACAGCGCGGCATAGTCAAGCCACCACCGGATGATCAAGAGGATGCTGCACCGAGAGTGGAAGCTTGATGGACCTCAGACGAGACTATCGCGCGTGTGGTCCGGTATACATTAGGATTCTCGATGACATCGGCACGTATACTACATAATGGTCACATCTTGGTGTCGAGCTGGGTATAGACATAGAAATACATGTCGAGCAATCACCGTCTCGGAGCGGGTCCATACGCGAGCACCAGTCAGGCCGGATACGCCTTGTTAAACGTCCAGAGTAGCTCATATATGACCATTGCGGGTATTGACCTGTCTGCCAGAGATCTTCTCCACGATGTCCTTCAGCTTCTGCGCCCAGGTATCGCCGAGGCTGACCGCGCGCATATATGCCGGCGAGATATCCAGCGGGACAGGGTAATGCAGCGGGACAGGCGGGGAGAGTACATGGCAGAGGCTGGAGAGCATGATGTTGACGGAGGCGACGTAGTCCGGCGCGCGCGACTGGATCTCGCGCAGGCCGCCCAGGCGGACGACGAGCTCCTGCACGTTCGCCCGCCCGTACTTCTCGCGGAGCTCGTCGTACGTCATGGGCTTCGCGTAGAGCACCCGCGGGCGGGCCCACGCGCGCGACGAGTGCGCGCGGACGGGGTGGCGGTCGAGCATGACGAAGAGGACGGCGTGCTCAGAGAATGACGGGTCCGACGCGATGCGCAGCCCGTTGTACCCCGCCTCCATGAGCGGCAGCTTGAACTTCTCCGCGAACGCGCAGAACTCGTCCATGATCACGGACGGCAGCACCGCGCTGGGGTTGATTGCCTGGGCGAGGTTGCCCCCCCAGGAGAGGAAGAGCTGGTCCATCTCTTTGAACTGGGAGCGCTCCTGCTTGATGGACTTGCAGACGAGCTTGTGGAAGCCCCAGCCGGCCTTTTGGCATGCAGGGCTCTGGAGCGAGGTCGACGGTCACGGCTGATTGGAGTGCCATAGTGAGAGGTCGACCTACGCAGTACATGGCGAGTTTGCATCCTGAGCACGCAAACAGCCGCCCTACTTCCGTCCTGCTCTTCAGACCTGCGGAGGAAGTCAATGTATGCGCCGCTCAATGAGACGCGACGACGCCCGGCGTACAGAAGTCACACTCTTGTATGCCGCGACGCGCTTGGTGCGACTCGGAGGGTAGTATTCCGTTCATCGTGATCGATGGACTGAGAGACGGCAGATGTTATCGACAAGCAAACTTCAAGGGGACGGATGTGATGGTCACGGTGAGCGTCAAGGACGCGTCGGTGGCGTGCAGCAGGCAACCGAAGGAAAGGGCTGCTTGGCTTCAACTCGAAGGGGCCGGACCAATAGCAAAGAGTCGTAATTCGGCACTAGGCTTGCAGTGACTCTATTACCAATAACATTTTCAAGACCGCGATTAGTACAAGAATACGACTGGAATTGATTCGCAAAGCACAAGTACAATACACCGACCCGGTGCATCATAGCCTCAGGCAGAATATGCTAGTCCAGAACGCGTCATTGTTCCCGCCACAGCTCCTCTGCCATCTGCTGTCGTCGTCGAGGTACGCTTGACGCGGCTTTGACTACCGTCCCTGGTGATTAGGCCACCCTAGAAGAGCCCTCAACGACGGTCAACGACAGCCGGGGCATATAGGTCATTATTGTCAGGAGAATTGGGTGTTACTGGATATGTTGCTGGGCCCGCCGCATCTTGAGCGTGGCCCTACGGCGGTCCGGGGATTCAATTTTGGCGCTGTTGCCCCCGCAACGCCGGAGCCGGAGGGATCGGCGCGATCGATCTAGAAAGAGACGCGCGGAGATTGGGGTGGCAGATCCAGACCGCTCGGGCCCTGGTTGCTTGGAGTTGCTGCGCCGCAACATGTCTGGAACAGCGACAAATGGTGTTGGCGGACGTCTCTGACACGTCCCCCTGAGCGGGCAACTCGACCGCGGGCAGTCCAAGCGTATTGCCTCGGGCAACGCGTGGTGGCGAGCGGGACAAGAGACCGTCTATGTTACAATGCTACTACTGAGATGTCTTCATTCCTCAATGAGTGATTGTCGAACGCGTGTAGTAACCTCAGCCTGTACATGTGCGACCCGTATGTCAGCGTGTACAGCACCGGCGGGACATCCATCACTCGGCATGCCTCCTCGGGGATGAGTGGCCGCGCTTGCACCGTGCTGGCGACTCGGAACTGCAGGGGGATCGTTCATTTCCTTGGAATGAGGACACGAAGGCCAGAGCGGGACAAAGCATGGCGTACAAAGCGGCCAAGGGTGCTGCGGACAATGAAAGGCAAGTGTACGGAGGAGGGAGGACAAAGCATGTGCCTATCGTGGGAGAATCTACCATTGGAGGCAGGTGGCGGTGACGGCCGGGCACGCACGCGCAAGGCTCTATGTAAGTGCTGCGGCCTATCAGAAAAACGTCCTCGCTCCTTCTCTTTCTTTCACCACCACCCCCTCCTTGGCCCGTCTCTCGTTAAAAGGCCCCTCCTTTTCCAATCCCCCTTTGGAACACTAGAGTCACCATGATCTACGCACTCACCGCCGTCGTCCTCGCGCTGCCACTCACCGCGTCCGCTTTCCACCAGGACGACACCCTCCGCCGCCGCCATGCCAATGTCGCACACAAGCCCGCGTTTATGCGCCGCGCAGCCAACTACACCATCAAGGATCACTTCGTTGGGGAGGATTTCCTGTAAATCGCATCATTCATCATGTTATGAGTTGCAATCTGACATGTCACAGGCAGTGGACTTTCTTCAACAGCCCGGACCCAACGGGGGGTCTGGTGAACTACGTTGACCAGCAGACCGCTGTTCAGAACGGCCTCGCGACGGTCGACTGCAACAACGTGACGACGCTCGCCGTCGACGTCAACCAGACTGTCGCCTCTGGCGGCAACCGGAACTCCGTCCGCATCAGCTCGCCGGAGACGTACAGCTCTGGTCTGTTCATCGCTGATTTCGCCAAGATGCCGACGGGCTGTGGTACTTGGCCTGCGTACTGGACCGTCAGTGCGACGGCGACATGGCCCGATGGTGGCGAGATCGACATCATCGAGGGTGTCAACACGAACACTCAGAACCAGATCACCCTTCACTCTGGTGCTGACTGCACGCTCAACAACACGGTGAACACCACCTCCCACCTCCTCGGCACCGAGTGCGCTAGCTCTGCGGGTAACGATGCTGGGTGCGCCTGGCAGCAGGCGAGCGCGACGACCTTCGGTGCGGGCTTCAACAGCGCTGGCGGAGGTGTCTACGCGCACCTGTGGAACTCGGATGGCATCACCGTCTGGAACTTCGCGCGCGACGCCATCCCGTCCGACATCACGAACCAGACCCCCGACCCGTCCTCCTGGGGCGTCGCCGCCGCGGTCTTCCCGAGCGCGGGCTGCGACATCTCCAGCCACTTCTACGACCACACGATCGTCCTTGACACCACGCTCTGCGGTGACTGGGCTGGCCCCGCGTACGCGTCCTCGGGCTGCCCTGGTACGTGCCAGGATGCCGTCGCCAACGCGACCAACTTTGTCGGTGCGTACCGCGCGTGTTCCGGCGTTAGCGATAGCGCAGGCTGACGCTCTCATGTTTGCTCCACAGACGCGCAGTGGAAGATCAACTACATCACTGTCTACCAGTAGACGCCTCACGCATGGTCTCTCGTTCTCCTCTAACGACGTCCGCAACATACTTAGTTTTCCGCCACTGGCACCCCACCCTCACCTCGCAACGCACTGCACCTAGTCTCGTATACCTGATGTCCTACTGATCTGCTATTTATCACCGACCTTCAGCCGCGCACCCGCTTCTACTTATCTTGTCCACGTCGGTGATGGATGTCCATAGCTATAGATAGCGCAATTTCCGTTCCGTGTTACCCGTTCCCGCGATGGGCTCGCGTAGACGTCGCTTACTCGCTTATACCTCGACGCTGCTGCATGGGCGGGCCCGCCCGATCCTCGACGGAGCGGTGCTGCAGCCGCCGCGTACCACTCTGGGTCCTCGGGCTGCGTCCGAGGCGATGCTATCATTATTATTACTACACGTTCCGCGAATGCCATAGCGTTATGCCGTACTGTTCTTGTGGTGCGACCATGGGAGGTTGCACTGAGGTTGCTCAGTTCTGAAGTCTCGAAAGGTGTGTTGACGTTCATCTTAAGTTCATCCAGATGACCATCGGCTCCGAGTATCAAGATCGTGTTTCGGGCCCCAAGTTGTGATCGGGAAGGTCACCAAATTGCGAGGAACATGCTTTTAGGCTGTGTCTGGGCTGTGTTCGAAGCCAATTTGAAGCGTACGCGACGCGTCGCGACTCGCGACTGCCGTGGACGGCAGCATTTACGATCACGTGTGCGCAATAAGACGCGTCGCGCGCTTTACGATGATCAGGGAGGAGCGGCCGACTCTGGAAGAGCTGGGGGTCCGCAAGCTGTGGAGGGTCCCCAGGTAGTGGCGGGGTTTCTTCAGGTCGTATGAAGCCAGGCTCAAGTACTACGGGCTCTCTATAATAGATGCAAATCCATCAGTCACTCTCCTACTAGTAGCTACTATAGTGTTGTATCGGCGAACTGAGAACCTGTAAACGTTGCGACTTCGCTATCAGGCAAAACATGAGCTCTGCTTTCCAAGCGCCGCAATCGTTACATACCGATGTTATTGTGAATATCATACAATATATCAGGCTGTGCATACCATACTGCGCAGTCACCAACTTCGTCTGTTCTGCACCCAGATGGAACTACGTGCCCCCTTCGCGTCGGGTGCCACTGGGATGTGTTATATAAATCCAGCTATGCACCAGTCGTGCCGCAGCCTAGCGACCATCGCGGGTGTTCCTACCAGATATTTTCTCCACGATGTCCTTCAGCTTCTGCTCCCAAGTATTACTGACACTCACAGCGCGCATGTATGCCGGCGTGACTCCAATCGGAACAGGGTAGTGCAGTGGCATCGGTGGGGACGTAACGTTGCAGTAGCAAGAGAGGAGGATGGTCTCGGACGCGACGTAGTCGTCCACACGCGATTGTAGATCGCGGATCCAGATGAACTGGTCGATGAGGCCCTGCACATTCTCCCTTCCGTACTCGGCGCGTAGCTCATCGTACGTCATAGGCCTTGCGTGGACGACCTTGAAACGGGCCCATACGCGCGACGATTGCGCGCGATCAGGAGCATGCTCGAGCAGGACGAAGAGAACCGCGCGCCCAGAGAAGGACGGATCGCTCGCGATGTTCAGTCCGTTGTACCCTGCCTCCATAAGCGGCAGCTTGAACTTCTCGGCGAATGCGCAGAACTCGTCCATGATGACCGATGGCAAAGCGGCACCAGAGCTGACCGCCGCGGATGCCTGCGGCTTGTCGCTCGCAGAGAGGAACAGTTTGTCCATCTCTTTGAGCTGGGAGCGTTCGTCTTTGATAGATTTGCAGACATGCTTGTGGAAACTCCAGCCGGCCTTCTGGCACTCAGGGCTCTGAAACTCGGGTTAATGGAGACTTAGATACGAATATGAGGAGCCGGCTCACGCAATACAAGGCCAGCTTGCATCCAGAGCATGCAAATAGCCTTCCGACTTCACTCCTCGATTTCAAGCCTGTGAGGCATCCGATAAATCTACATGTCGCCGTATAGACGCGATGAACCTGATCGCGCACAGAAGTTGCATTCTTGTATGCCATGGCGCGCTTGATGTGAGTCAGACGGTATGCTAGGGTCCATTGCAGCCTAATTCAACTTTTGATACCCTGATGTACAAGGCATAGTGAGCGGCCAGTAGTACAAGCAAAAGGAGTAGAATCACCTGGGACTCGTCGCAGAGAAAGGAACGATGAGCGTCAAAAGCGACGCGTTTGTGGCGTTGAATTGTGGCGTGTGAACTGGGATCGCTGACACTCGAACTTATTGCACGCCGACTGATCAGCTGAATTTACCACTTCTCTTCTAGTAGTCGTTTAGCACGCGAGGGTAGGGGATTTATCATTGCTTCAAGTTGAACAAGTCATCCTGCGATTTTCCTGCCTACGTTCTCGCGTGCTCACGTACACTGATTCACCTTCAACAAGTACTGGTATTTACAGCCAACATGGTGCGCAGTCACGTAACGACGCCGCCAGTGTTTCCACTCGACGCCGGGGAATCAAATTGACGGTGCAGGACTGTACAATCCGCAGGGGATAGTAATTTTCATGGACAACATCATCTGTCTAGCACCGTCGGGTCTGGGCCCCGCCTCGGCGATTATTATCTAGCATTCTCGCAGGAAGTCAGTAGTTGTGTATGCAGTACGATGCTACCGGGTAAGCTATTCTCCACGCTGGAGCACAGTGTGTAGGTACGGTTATCTGATCAACTCAGAGCGTTGCAGGTATTTGATGACTCCCTTCCACCCTGAACAGGTCAACGCAGCCATCTATATTGTGACCGTCCGATCGCAGACAAGGTATGGGGCTTTCTGAACGTAATCTCCACATCAACGGACTGACGACTGCCATCAAGCTTCCTACTGAGTGCTCTCATTTAGCTGGATAGGATCCGGGCATGCTCGTCGAATGCTTCCCTGGAATAATCTTGAGGCTGTGCTCTGTAAATGAACATGGAAGAGCCAGGGGTGAGAACACAATCGGTGTGTACGTGGGGAACACACGGATAGCGGCAGCCGGTGAGTGTTCGGCCGAGATGCCTATGCACACTCCCACTGACGTCCGGCTAAGTTCACGAACTGAAACTGCTTTGCCAGCCCGGAACCGGTAGGTACCTGTGGAGCTTATCAGACAAACATCCAGACTAGAATGACCGGTCCGAATTCGCGTCTGGATTGTGCCGATGTAGGATGGCCATACACGTTATGAATGCTGCGGACGGCGTCCGAACGTCAATTGGCAAGGGGGGCGGTCATGAGTTCAATGGTACTCCCATGCCAAGCTAGGAGGCTCAATCCAGTGCGGTCATCACTGACACTCGAACTTGCTCCCCGGGATATTGGCAATGCTATGTGGACATGCAAGTTTGAGCCGCGGAGGCGAATGATCGATCAGCGCTCCCGTCAAGCTTAGGTTCAAGATTCGATCTCACGCGTGTAAGAATGTATGTCGAATGCTCTTCCTGCGCGACGTATTGCTAATCAGGCGCAGCGCACTCATCTAGCACACGTACTGACTGTTCGAGACCGGCCGCAACATGCACTATCCTGTTCATTGCAATGCATAAGATGCATCCAAAAATTGTGTCTTCCTAATATGACGGCGCAGACGTATCGCAGTCAAAGGGCTTAGGCTTTACAAGTTCATATAGCATTTGACAACATTGGACGAATTGGGCTGCGGCTCGCTCTGAGGCAGTCGCAGATATGGCGCACTCCGCCGTGCCTGTCTCTTGCCGACGGCCTACACCGTAGCTCTTCGGCCGGTTCCAGTTTGCTTTGCTTTCCCACTTACGATATTTCGAGCTAACGGTTTATCCGGACCAGAGAAATCCTACCAAGTCGTCCACATCGCCTTGCGTCGACTCCTCTTTGCCTCCTTCCTCCGGTCTGGCTACGTTCAGCACCTCTGGAGTCCGCCAGTGAGCTGGAGCGGGCTATGCTACCCTCTTCCAGTGGAGGTGAGGTCGTTGACAAGATCATCCGTACCGAGGGATGTTCCTCTCCGTGGGAGGATTTACGAGGGAGCAGGTCTCAAATGAAACGTCTGGGATCTGGGGCGGCAGATGACCTCCCCACACGAACGATCGTCCATTCGATACCGGGGATGTGGGTGCACTGTGGTGACCTTTAAACCACTTCCCTTCACTGTTCGTCCCAGCTTCCAGTGCCCCTTCGACGCCCATTCTCCCTCCTGATCCCAATCCTGTTTCTTCATCGTATAACTTACCTTTCGACCGTTGAATTTAACTATGTCGACTGCGGAGGTCGATACAGAGAAGGGCTCGACCACTGTGATCGAGTCCTCGGACAGTCAAAAGACGATATCCTCCCGGAGGATGTCCAAAGAGGACCAGGCGATAGTGGAAGTGGAGCGCGATGCGCCCGAGGTGCAGCAAGACGAGGTGCCGCTGTATAACCCGCATATCGACGTGAGCGGCGTCGATGAAAAGGCACTTCTCCGCAAAATGGACTGGCAGCTTGTGCCATGGTTGTCCTTCCTGTTTTTGCTGAGCTTCTTGGATCGAACAAGCGTCGGTAATGCAAAGGTCAGTCTCTGATGTCCGTTCGGAAGCTATTGAGCTCATCTGACTGGGGTTTGAACAGTTGTATGGGATTGAACAAGCGTTGCATATCAACGACACGCAGTACCTCATCGCACTTACTGTGTTTTTCATCCCATATGCATTCTTCGAGGTTGGCCCTGCTCAACCCTTGCACAAGGGCGTTCGCTCACACCGCGGCCCGCTATCCACATACAGGTTCCATCAAACATTGTCTTGAAGAGGCTCAAACCATCTTTCTGGCTGTCCTTCCTTATGTTGGGATGGGGCGTCATAATGGTGCGTACATCCGGCAATCTTTTTCGGTCCTCAGCCCGCTGATTCCGCTATGCGCAGACAATACAGGGCCTTGTCCATAATTACGGGGGACTACTCAGTATGTCGCATTGGCAAGCATACATTGACCGCCCCTCGTGGCTAACGCGGCCGTTGTCAGTAATACGGTGGCTTCTAGGAGCCTTCGAAGCGGGGCTCTTCCCTGGAGTAACGTACTACCTGTCATGGTGCGTCAAGCACCGTTGCATCGCCGCCTGAGAGTTTGTCGTCACATGTAGTTTGCCTGCAGCTGGTACAAACGTCAGGAATTTGGCTTCCGCACTGCCGTCTTCTTCTCCGCTGCCACTATCGCGGGAGCCTTCGGCGGTCTTCTCGCGGTACGTTAGCGTACCGTCTACGTACTACACGCCCCGAAATCTGACCACGTAACTCATTGTCGCTTATGCAGGCTGGCCTTTCGCAGCTCGCGGGCGTCGGCGGCAAGGGCGGCTGGGCATGGATCTTCATCATCGAGGGGCTGGTCACCATCGTCGCGGGCGTGCTCTCGTTCTTCATCATTCAGGACTTCCCCGACACCGCGCGCTTCCTCACTGAGGAGGAGCGCACGTTCGTCGTGCGCCGCCTCCAGGCGGACGGCCAGGTCAGCGCGACGGGCGAGAAGCTCAAGTGGCAGTATGTCTGGCAGGCTCTGATTGATTGGAAGACGTGGCTCGGAAGTGAGTGCTATGGCTTTATCGCGCGCTCTGGGACGACGCTGACTTTCGGCGGGTCGTGCATTTTTCAGTGGCGCTGTATATGGGAAATGAAGGACCTCTGTATGCTATTGCGCTGTTCATGCCGAGCATTATCGACCAAGTATGCTATTTATTCTGCGTTTTGAGCATGGTCGCTGATGAGCGAACGAACCCGTCCAGCTGGGTTACAGTGCGACGCCAGCCAATCTGCTGACCGTGCCCGTGTATGTTCTTGCGTGCTTCGTCACTTGCCTGGTCAGCTGGCTGGCCGACCGCTATGGAGGACGAGGGTGGTGGAACATGTACGTCGCATCCCGTATCTCTGTCCATTAACACGCCTCACAGCTCGGGCCTTTTTCGCAGTGGATGCATGCTCGTGGGCGGCACTGGTTTCATCATACTGATCGCGTCGCGGAATGCCGCCCTGTCATACTTTGGAGTGTACCTTGCCGCATGTGGGGTATATCCCTGCGTGCCGAACGTCATCGCTTGGATGTCCAACAACCTTGAAGGGTCGTATAAGCGCGCAGTATCGCTTGGTATGATCATCAGCTGGGGCAACCTGAACGGTGCAGTCTCGTCAAACGTCGTGCGTTGATCAATCCCTCCCCCTTGCCAAGTTCGGACATGCTGACACCGCGCTTGTATGCTGCAGTACCGCGCTCAAGACGCGCCGTGGTACACGCTCGGGCACGGGATCTTGCTCATCTACATCGGCATCTCGCTGATCTGCAGCACGACGTTCATCATCCTCTTCGCGCGCGAGAACCGGAAGCGCGAGCGCGGAGAGCGCGACGAGGTGATCAAGGGCGTGAACGAGGACCGCGACGACCTCGTGTGCAACGGCGTGTTCGCGAGCGTGGAGGAGGCGCGGAGGGAGAAGGGTGACACATGGAGTGGGTTCCGCTACCGGTGGTGAGCGCGGAGATGAGTTTATGCACCTGTATGCTGTAAGTGTGGTGGCACGCGGGCCCGGTGTAGGAGTAGTGAAGTGCATGGCACTGCTGTTTGTACGAGTACTGAATACGTATATAGGCGTCTGCGTGTATCGCTATCTAGATACGCGAGCGCCCACCCCGCGACTGCCAGAGATGGCATGTATGTCACTCAACCGTGTCATCTCTGAAGATGTTACATCGCCTACTTATCTGAGCAGACTTGCCAGTGGGGGTTTCCAACGTCATTCGCGGTCTCCTCGAGTGAGCCGAGTCTAAGACTCGAGAAAATTATATCGTCGCTTGCATATACATATGCTCCAGCAGAGTCTGCGATGTGCTGGCGGATCATAGGCCAACGTCGAGGCGACCTGGGGTGACCACAGAACCGCGTATGCACTGATAACGGGCCAATTTTGGGAGCTCTTGGGCCAATCCTGGGCCGTCGTATCTTCGGGTTTTCGCAGTTTGTTATCTCCTGCCCGAGCTGAAGCGTTAGAGCTAGATCTAGAACGCGATCATCGATCATCCCTCCCGGTCATTGTGGTTTCCCGAAGGAAAGGGACTCTGTGCAATTGCCTGTGCAAGTCTATGTAGTAGTTATTGAATAGGAGTATCCGACTATAGCGAGAACCACAATGACCGGAGAAAGAGATTTCGACAAAATGATATGCGGCTTTGCGTTCTCGAACACCGTCGTTGGTGGAGGTGCCAGGATGCCCCAGTGAGGATGCCGACGGCGGACTGCCAAGCCCTGGTGTGAACGTTGACGCGATCATGTGATGCGGCCGATCTTGATCATTTCATTCCCCCGCACCATTCCCCCGCACCCCGCAGCTTGGCGTCCCCGCAACGCCGTCCTCGAGCGGCTTCACGTACAGCGTACATGGACATGCCTCTGCTTCGTCCCGACCTGCGCAGGACACTGAGTGTTGCCGGCTACGGTGTGCGTGCTTCATATACCCGCGTCCGGGCTTGACGCCACCGCCAAGCCGAAGGAGGTAGTCGGGTTGCGGGACAGGGAAGGGGTCGATGCCCGATAACAGCCTCCCATCTGGAGCCCCATGATGAAATTCTCCGTAAGACATTTCTCCCGACATTGGAGCCGCTCAGCCGGTTAGCGTATCGAATAGTGGCGGCTGGTAGGTGGCGGCCCTTGGGCGGCCCCTCAAAGGGCGGCATAAAGCCCTTAAAGGGATGCCCGTCACCCAGACCGCCCCCTGCTAGGCCCACCTGTCCCCGCACGAGCGTCGCGCGCAAGATCCCGACGAATCTTGACGAAGATACGACGAGACTAGGTAGAAATGGCAGATGTGGAGAAAGCGAGCTCGTCCTCGAGCTTCCCCGGCGAAAAGCCCGGCGCGTCACATATAGAACAGTCTGCATCCGACAAGCATGCGAAGCAGCACGGCGCCGAAGTGTATAATGCCGACGTCGATACTTCGGGCGTGGATGAGCGCAAGCTCATGAGAAAGCTCGACCTGCATCTCGTCCCGTGGCTGTCGTTCCTGTACCTCCTCAGCTTCTTGGATCGCACGAGTATCGGAAATGCGAAGGTGAGTCATCCTGTGCTGAGAGAACAGTGGCCAGTGAATGACCTGGTCGCAATACAGCTGTATGGAATGGAAGAGGATCTGCACATTAGCGACCAGCAGTACTTGATTGCACTCACGCTGTTCTTCTTTCCATATGCCCTTTTTGAGGTGAGCATCCTTCCTCGAGTGTAGGTAGGATGGCTTGACAAGCAATACCATCAGGTTCCTTCGAACGTGTTCCTGAAGAGACTGCGTCCGTCAATATGGCTATCATTCTTGATGTTCGGCTGGGGCATCATGATGGTGAGGAAACCCACATTTCGCTTGAGTGAGGAAGCTCACAAGATGAGATGTACAGACTGTGCAAGGCCTTGTCCATAACTATGGAGGCCTTCTTGGAATGCGGTGGCTGCTCGGCACGTTTGAGGCTGGATTGTTCCCTGGTGTTAACTACTACCTCTCATGGTGCGTTTTGTCATCACCCACAGCTACGAGCCTACACCTACCAATGCCCTTCGCAGTTGGTACAGACGCTCCGAGTTCGGCCTGCGCTCCGCCATCTTCTTCTCCGCCGCGACCGTCTCCGGCGCGTTCGGCGGTCTGCTCGCGGTACGTCCCCTGTCATCCCGCGCACGTCAACCACACTGACAGCCTCGATCACGATCGTCAGGCGGCGATCGCGAACATGGACGGCGTCGGCGGGAAGCCCGCCTGGGCGTGGATCTTCATCATCGAGGGCCTCGTGACCGTCGTCGCAGGCGCGGTCTCGTACTGGATCATCCAGGACTTCCCGGACAACGCGCGCTTTCTGACCGAGGTGGAGCGCACGGCTGTCGTGCGCCGCCTGCAGGCGGACGACCAGTTCAGCGCGGCGGGTGAGAAGCTGCAGTTGCGGTATATCTGGAAGAGCTTGAAGGATTGGCAGACGTGGTTGGGCAGTGAGTGTGCTCTGGTTGTGAGGTCGTGGTCATGGCGGCTGATGCATGTTACCGCGAAGTGCTGCTGTACATGGGAACGGATGGCCCGTTGTATGCGTTCTCGCTGTTCTTGCCTAGCATCATCAATCAGGTCAGTCGTCCGTTGATCTGCCAATGAATCGGGATGACATGCTTACGCGTTGTCTTTCCTCAGCTTGGTTACACCGCTACGCCCGCGAATCTCCTCACAGTCCCCGTATACGTCGTTGCATGTATCTGCACCTGCGCGGTAGGCTTCATCGCAGACAAATACGGCGGCCGCGGGTATCTGAACGTGTGCGTGTCCGCGCCCACCTTCCATTCTCCGCAAACGCTGACACCCACCTCTGCAGGCTGTGTCTCGCGGTTGGCGCCGCCGGCTACATCATCCTCATTGCTTCGCGAAACGCGGGCGTGTCCTACTTCGCGGTATATTTAGCTGCGTGTGGAATCTACTCCAGCATTCCGAACGTGATCGCTTGGGTCTCGAACAACGTCGAAGGCTCGTACAAGCGGTCCGTCACGCTCGGGATGGTCATCTCCTTCGGGAACATCAACGGTGCAGTGTCGTCGAACGTCGTGCGTATCCTGCTTCCTCAATTGTTGTTGCCACTTGATGCTGATGGACTGTTGGTGGTTAGTACCGCGCGAACCAGAAGCCGTGGTACACGCTCGGGCACGGCATCGTGCTGGCATACATTGGGATCGGGCTCGTATGCTCAGTCGCGTACATCATCCTCCTCAAGCGCGAGAACGCGCGACGGGATCGGGGCGAGCGCGACGAGATCATCGAGGGTGTGAACGACGGGGACAAGCACCTTGCGCGGAACGGCACGTTTGCGAGCGTCGCGGAGGCAAAGCGCGAGAAGGGCGACCATTGGAGTGGGTACCGGTACAGAACATAGTGGCGGTGGTGAGCACGACTTGCCTGGATGGCTACGATGATCCAGATGTATTGTATGTATGTATCGGGACGACATACCCTCTGTACTACTGCTACGGCACAAATTGTAATGACACTCCGACACGAATCGCGATGTCAGATTCAGATGTCAGCTGTGACATAAATAAAGCAACTCGCCGTCTTATCACCGCAATTGTTACCTTGGACTGGATGTCGTGTGTCAGAACGCCGTTCTATCGCCTCGGTCCCTCCACCCGCTCGGTGGCTCTGAGTGGCGGGAGAGTGGCGGGAGTGGCGGAGAGTGGCGGACGTCACACGTGGCGGGTGGGAGGGCGCACGTGAGACACACAACAGTGTCAAATACGACTGGACGCGTCGGAGGCGCAAACTTTGAGCCGCCAGCACTGCTTGCTTTTGCCCCCCGACGCGTCCCTCTCCTCCTCTCTGTACGCTCTATCTATTCCCCACATACCCCCAAAAGCTCTACAGCACCTCATACCACCTCTGTAGCATAGCCAACGATCCGCAATGGGCCGCCCACTCTTTTCCCAATACCACCAGACCCCCGCTGTGCGTGTCGAGCCCGAACAGCCACAGCCGGCCTGCGAAAAATGGACGTACTGGAACGCGTTCGACCCCGACTCGGACGAGTTCTTCGAGCGCGACGACGCCGTCTACGAAGCGTTCGTTCCCCAGGACGGCACAGCGCTCCCGCAGCCGCCCACGCTCATGGACATGCCCTTGTCCAGTAGTTCGAGCGAGGCGAGCTCGAGTGGCCGCGGCAGCCCCACCGATGAAGCAGGGACGGACTTGTCGACGGAGGAGATCGACCTTGCGTTCAGGAGGGAGGCAGAGTTAACCAGGCTCAGCGCGACGAGGGAAGATGATATCCAGAGGCGCGTACAGGAGGCGCGAGAGGCCTTCGCGGATAGTCACTCGCCCACTACCACTCTTCCTGCTGGCGAGGACTCGGAGCGCGTCCTGCGCTACATCCAGGGCCTCGACAACATCTCACGCCAAAACGAGGCCACAACGCAGTCTGTCCGCGAGCGAGTGCTGCCGGACCCGGAGCCCGCCTCCGCAATGGCGGAGCTCGCTGAATTTGGCCCCTTAGAACCCTTCGTGATGCTCCCCGCGAGGCGTGCAGATGTCAGACATAGGAGAGGAGATCCTCCCGCCCCGAGTAGTGAGCAGGCCACCACGGCCCGTGGGATCCTCGTCGCTGTGCCCTCCACACTCCCCGCCTCCTCTGCCGCCACCGCAACGACACATTCTACTCCTGATCGTCCTTCCACGCCTCCCAATGGCTCTCGTCTCTTGAATGACCGCCTGTCCACTCCGCCGAACCGTAGCCCTGCGCTTGACGTGTCACCGTCCCCACCTCCCTCTGTTACACCTCGCCTCTATTCGTGGTCCTCGCGCAACCCCGTTCACGCTACACCTACCTCTCCGGGGCCATCAGGGCCCCTGCGAAACCGCAGTGCGCGGCTGTCGGTAGAGCACATCTCTCCGCTGCCGGATGCGTCCTCCGCTCGCACAAGATCCCGCCCGAGGATACGCTATACAGGGGAAGGCCGGCAGAACCTCTACCCTAACGCCCCGCGCGTCGACACCAGCTCTTGGATCCGCTCCTGAAGACACAATGCTACGTTTCTCTAGCCCTTGGATAATGCCGTCTGTTGATGCTTATCTGGTTGCACGGTTGCTTTCTGTAGCACTAGTAGTCGACTTCACACGCTCTCTGCTACCGGTGCTCTGTCTCTCACGTTCGTTTGCTTTTTGACCTTTCTTTCGGGTGTTGCTGTTTGCTCAAAAGTATGTCCTGCTGTGATCTGCATAGGCTGATAGTGGTTGGGTTACAATCTAGAACATATGCGTAAGTAGAGGTAGTTTAGCGACGTATACTGCGGTTTATGGAATGCATGTGCGGCACATTTGAGTTCTCTCTTAGTCTCTGCCGTTGAATGGCTAGACGTCGTCGGTTGCGCATTGGTGGTGGTACAATGAATGACACTTCCGGGTATCAACATGAATATGGATCGTCTAGATTCCGTTGGGTAAGACCTCCTTGACTGCCGCTTACTCAGGTTACAAATGGCGATTGATTCCCTATTCCTTGGCCTTAGTCCCACAACGCACAGCGCACGTTTGACGATGGACTCACCACTATGCACGTTCCCACCCCGGTCGTCCCATAAGCACCAGGGAAGGTGACGACACACGGCGCAGCGTACCGCTCGGTTGGCCCCGGGCCAGCCTGCGCGAACGGCAGCGGCATGAGGTACGTACTGATGTGCGCCTGCCCGCGGCGGTACAGCTCCTCGTCCATCTTGCCCTCCAGCACCCGCCGCCCGTCGCGCTCCCGCCGCCGGCGCAGCTCCAGTGCGCGGAGCTCGCGTGGGCCGTTGGCGGCGGCGTACGAGGGGTGGATCTTGCGAGGCGCAGCGCGCACGGCGTTGTGCTCGCTCGCGTGCGTGGCCTCGGTCGCGCTGGGCAGCGGCGGCGGTTGTAGGGCGCCATTGTCCTTGGACGATCCGAGGCGGCGGGTGAATTGGTGGAGCTTGCTGCTCATCGTTTCGTCGGGGAGCGGGCAGCCGCAGTGCATGTAGGGCAGGCCGTAACGTTCCTAACAGTACAGTATCGCCGGATGTTAGGCATTTTGCGGTCGACGGCTGTGTGGAGGATGCGACTTGCCTGCCATACACGACATGTCTCGTCGAGGCCTTGCGCAAGGTTGATCTCCTCTACCCTATCGTCGCTGCGAGTAGGATGTTTAGCGCGCGGAAGGTGATGATGATGAGAAGAGTACTCACTGATCGACGTACCATCCAACGAACTCCTTGCTGTCCTTCATGTAGCCATCACCTTTGAGCTGGTGCGTGTGCCATACGAGGTCTATGTCTAGTGTCGGGACGAAGTAGGAGGTCGAAGCCGACGACAACATGTCAAGGAACCTTGAGGTAGTAGAGGGCCGTGAATCACCATGAGAATGCGATATGGGGCAATGCACGTACGCATGATACCGAGCGAGCGCATGTGCCAACAAGATCTCGTTCTGTTTGCAGTCGAAATATCCCTGTGCTAGCCACCCCAAGTTGTCCATTTCTTCGATGAACTTGCCCTGTCGCAATACCTAAGGGGCCAGGGTGACACCGTTCGTCAACACGCCGCCATCCCTGCGGAATGCATAGCTGACTGACTGCTGCTGCGAGGTCCACAGAGAACGGCCTATCGTCTGTGTATGCGTTGAGAACTCTGCCCAGTCTGGCACTTCACTAGAGGTCAACTTCCGCTCGATCGCGCGACAAAGTGGCGTGTACGCACACCAGAAAGTGGGGAACATTGGAGATGGAGTAACCAAACTTCTCCTTGATGTTACTTTTCCACTCGCTGCGCATGACCTCGTTGAATGTCATCATCAGACACAAACACCAGAAACTGAGGGTTTACCTTATGTGCGGGACGAAACACACTGCCTGGGTCACCTATGAGTTTAGTCTTGATCGCGACAGCACGATTCCAGTCTCTAGAATTATCCCGAGTGTGGAGCGTGCCACTGTGACCACGCGCATGAGTACGACACAAAGGAGAATGTGGAGGCTACCAACGCAAGGCACTTGTCCGGTTCTATGTGGATGGGTCGGTGGTGCGACACGACATCGCCTGCAAACTTGTCCATGGCAAGGGCAGTCTTCGTAATGAATATACCGCACACGCAAGCGTAGCGGAAGCCTCGTTGTGAGTATCCCAATCCTTCGTTATCTAGGAAGGCTGCTCTGGGTCAGCATTGCTAAGATGGCCGGGAACGACGTCGCAGGTGCTCGACTTACGAACATCATTCATTCGTCCGCATCTCGGGCAACGAACAGCACGGTACAATAGACAGCTCATGGAAGACAAAGGGTCGAATGGCGTGTCCGTCTGCTCAAACCATGAAAGCATCCGTTCTTCACATGGTTCATACAGCGTCAGGTCGTCCATGAGTATCTGGCAGGCGCTGTCAGTCAATCCTGAGGAGAACACATGACCAACTTCTCGACTTTACCACAGCTGGAATGAAGGAGCTATCGAGCGACCTTAACGTTGCTAGTACGGGAATCCTATCGCAATCCTCGGCATACCAACTTAAGTTCCAATAGTGAGTCGCGGTTCCCGTAGGTCAAAGAACCAAGCCTCACTCACATCGGATTCAGCATGTAAGCATGCCATATCATCAAAACATCCAGCGGCGGTACTTCCTCCATCACCCAAGTAGCGAGCTCTGTATGTTTAACATGCTTGACCCAACGATGGAACCTAGTACGAAGAGAGTCGGTTAGTTTGCGTCCGTGCACATGTCGTCCGGGCTTTGCTCAAACATACCGTTCCACGGCTAATCCGACGAACCATGCCCATCTCTGGGGGCCGTCCAGGAATTGCGCGATCTGCGGCAAATAATCGTCAGAACACGACTCCACTCTTTGCCTCAGCTCCTTGAAGGCGCCAAGCAGACCGAGATGAGCTTTCAGGTGCTCTGGGTCGACGAGTGGTTAGGATATAACGCGTGAACCAATTTTGTACTTCGAATGTTGATTGGAGAAGTGATACGAGGGAGCGAGCGAGGGACCGTTCTCCAGGTGCCAGTACCTCTGAGGGTACAGTCTGGGCGACGTGCTCATACCGAGTTGCGGCTCGACTGGTTGAGTGTATTCAGCGGGAGACCATGATGGCGAGTCAGGTCCACCATGACGATATTGGCCAGGTTCCAGATGACTGGTGGAAGCCTCGGAACGGGACAGTAGACTTGATTGAACGCTGATTCTGCTCGAATTGCGCCTGATCTGTTGCGAAGTCTCGACCCGAGAACCGTGCTCGGAAGCTGAATAATGGGTGTCCGATGCAATTGAAACGACATAGTCGTTGTCTCCTGGTAACCCTGCTTTCAGATCGTAGTTCATGTAATCGGAAATCCATGGAAGATAGGAAGATACACTTACCGGGGCCCCGTTCGTCAATAACATGAACCTGAGGCGGGTCGAGATCGAGGCCTGCAAGCTCCGAGGTTACTAGTCCGACTGCGAGGCTCGAACTGTTGGCTGTATGTTCCGAGACTTCGGAAATGTGCAAGTTAGTATGCGCTGCATGTCGACGCTGTAACGGGTCCTCTTCTGTATATGGAGGAGGAGGCTCTTCAGATAGCTGGGACAGCTTGGAGAGTCGCGGAGGCATGGTCATGTCTGGAAGACGTAGTACTAGGAGAGTCAAAGACACACTATGAATGCCCGGCCAGTACGGCATCACAGCGACCATGTTACCAAATCAACTCGTGGAACCGCCACGATTGACAGCTCAGCGCTCAGCGCTAGGTCCAGGTACCATGCGCGGCTACTTTAGTACGAGTGATTCATCAAGATGAATGGAGTTCCGGGTGCGACATCGCGATTCGCCGCATGCTAGTCCGCACGTGCCATCGAGGACCTGGGTCAACCAGTGTGTCAACAGCATCGGTGCTCGCAGTAGGCATCACATAAAGCTATTATGATTTTGAGATAGCCTCTGGGTGGACAGCGTATATCAGTTGAGAGCACGGCGGGACGCATTTGGCAACGCAATCCACATCGCTCATCCCCACCTCGAGTCCCATTTCCCGATGCTTTCAGCAAGGACCCAGTTAGAAGTACCGCGTTGTGCGTCGCCGTGGCTCGACACAAGCAAAGACCATGTGTCCTCTGACTCAGGGCGCGGGAGTCGCATCGGCGTCCGCAACGACGACGATGGCGGGATGTAAGTCACTGGAGCAGTCGGCATGCCGTGGATCGTTACAGCAGCGAATGCGGGTCGAGGAAGACATGCTTTACTGTCAACGATATGGCTCAGTTGGATAGCTCAGCACAGCGGAGGACCAGAACATACAGCATGCTGCCAACTATGCTCCGAGTGAATGCTGGAGACAGCAATCCACGCCACCGGATATGCACAGTATCCGTTACATGAGATGGACTTGGCGAGGCGTACATCGCTATGTACGGGTCGCAGCTGTCGCTTGCGAGTAGTCTACAAGAAGCCTGTGGTCAGGCGATGAATGACCAGACGCAAATAACATACCTCTGGCTCCCAAGACATGACATACCTACCCATTCGAACAGAGCGGATATTTCTTCATCCCAATCCTCGCGTTCCTCCTCCGAGTTCGGGCATGAACACAGGGTAGGTTCCGGAACGTGCACATGAGCCCTTCGAGATATGGATGGTCTGACGACATGCTCAGTCGATCCCCCAATTGGAATTGAGTTTGGTCCTGAGGATATGAGCCTATGGTAGGTAAGAGGAAAAAATCGGACGAACCGGCGTCTCGTAGGTAATATGAGATATTCCAGAGTCCGTGATCCGCGTCCCATTGAGTTATAGCAGCTTGCTGTTTTGGCCCGTATTGGTGTAACTTCCGTGTGGCAGGATCATCTGGCACACCTTCAGATAGCGTGCATTGAATGACTGGTGGTGACAGTGTGAAAGGGGCCGTCAGCACGCCTATAGACGGCCTGATCTGAGTTACTGACGGTACATGTCGTCACATCCACTCCAACGCATCTGTGTCCCCGCTAGACCGAGGCGTTCGTAGGCCGTTTTGTCGACGACGAAGGTGAGAACACCTCGTGTATCCAGACTGAACCCGGCGTCTGTCGCCGGGTCGAACAAACTGACAGCGGCAATATCGCTGCGCTCATTGAGGTCAACTTCTTGGTTGCTGCAGAATACACGGCCAAATCGCACCTTTGCATCTCGAGCTTATTCACGAATGTCTTGGCATAGTCGATAAACTTCGTAATGGTCGAGCGGCAGCTCCAATATGTACTTGTCAGGGAGGCTAGTTCTCCCTGGAGCATCAGCTCAGATGGAAAGACCATATCAACCTAGCGGTGTGTAAGAGAAGAAGTCTCGCAGTTCGCAGTGAGTGTGAACTGACATGCCTGTTGAGAAAATGGGTGGGGGGAACGGTCCAGCTTCTTGTTGACGCTCGCGCTACCGTCATACACGCCGGACGACACCACCGTTCTGCGGTGCTCTTGTGGTAAGGTGTTCATTTGCTTTGCGGCAGTGAACAAGCGGAAAGTTCGTTGAGCAATATGATAGTGATGGTCCTGGTTGATCCCAAAAATCGGATTCAGGCTCACATTGCGCATTTCCCGGGATGCCATAGTCTACGTACCGTGAAAAGACGCTACTACCGAGTCACCGAATGATATGGCGTGGCACTCGTACTACGTAGAGTGGGCCACTTGGGCCGGAGCCGCCGGACGCTGTCATGTTGTAGTTGACACGTGATATCGCGTGCTGCGTGGCTAAATGGATCCCCTCCTCCTCCTCCTCCTCCTCCTCCTCCTCCTCCTCCCCTCCTCCGTGAGGGTAGGTTCGGGTTGACTCTATCCATTTTCTCTGTCCGCGATGACGCTCTCCGCTCTTGCCTGCTCGCCCAAACGCTCGTTGAACGTCTGCGGCACCCTCGCTAGGCTGAATGGCAGGTCTCCCCTTAGCCATCTCGGTAGCTGAGCTGCATCGCTCCCGTCTCCTCTCGCCGCTCTCTTCGCCTCCTTGAAGTCCGCCATCTGATTCTCGTTTCCCCTTGTGCCCCGGGACCCAGTGTAATGTGAAATTCATTGACACATGCATGAGAGTTTTAGCGGGCTGCGATGACGACGTCGTTAGGCCCCGCTCAGAAAGTGCGAACAGAGGCGGAGGTATGCACGCCGATTGGGCTGCACCACCAGCTGCGCTTAGTCTCCCCTAGGCAGACTCTAAACACGACCTTTTTGTGGGGGAGGAGGGCGGTCTTATATGATGCTGCGCTGGTGTCCGGTCCGTTCTTGGTGGCACGATCCTCCTCCTCCTCCCCACTGGCAGTGGCTGTGCGGTTTGATCGCGATCTGCGCACTAACTACATCCCCGAATAGTGGCGTGGTAGGTAGCCGATATGATATAAACACTTTATTTGTGACGTAGGCACACCCATCTTCGCGCAAACATGTGGCCTACTGAATCACTGTTGAAGACCGAGCTTTGGCAGGCACCGCAGGTATCAGAACTTGGGGAGCTCTCGTACCTCCGTGCTGAATCTATCTCCAAAGCTTATGGCGAGTCCTTCTTTTACGTCTGTATCATGTAGCTGACAGCCAGGCAGGTCTCAATCTGAAGGATATTGCGACGCTTACGCCTAAGTTCTGGAAGCTGCACCAAGACCCAATCTTATGTATTGACGGCGCCGCAACCACCTTATTAACTATCCACTACAATCTGTGTCTCGGTACGCTTAGCACATACCTACCACACAGGAACGATCTATATCCGCTCGCGCAAAGCCTTGCTGAGTACCAGACAATGTGAGTGCTTCTATCTCGTAATGTCGTTGTACGATGCACTGACCGTCAGACGTCGTAGTGGTCAATTCTGTCTTACCGAAGGTATGCGAATATCTATGCTAATGAGCGAGTAACGTTGTAACTTTGTCACAATAGTCAACCATGGACTTGACGCGTTCAACTTGGGTACGACGGCAACCTTGCACGCAGACGGGAGCTTTGATCTTCATTGTCCTACTGCAGCCAATGCTAAGTAAGTGCGCCGTACTCATGAACCTTCTTGCAGCTTATTTTCTTCAGATACATGCCGCCGACTATTCCTGTGCTCAGCCGCCCCTGCGTCGCCATCGTCTTCGCACAGCTCGTGGTCGACGGCGAGAAGAGGGGCATCCGCCCTTTCGTAGTCACCCTGAACGACGGAAAGTCCATGTCTAAGGGGATTTCAGCGCAGTGAGCATCTAGGCATAACGCAGCATTTCTGACAACTGCTGACGATCATCCCAGGCTTGTCCCCACCCGACACGGTGCCGCGCCCGTCAATCATGCCATCACTCGATTTGAACATGTTACGCTGCCCTCGGCAGCCCTCCTCGGCGACCTCGAAAAGTCGGACTCGCCGCACCAGGACTTCCTCCAGGCCATCTGGCGCGTCGGTGTTGGCACACTCTCCCTGAGCGTGATCACTATCCCCCTGCTCCAGATTGCGACGCTCATTGCATTCAAGTACTCCGTACGCCGCAAGATCGGCGCGCCCGATGGCGCGCCACTGCCTATCATCTCATTCCGCACGCAGCAGATGCCCATCTTCCATGCGGCGGCGCAGGTGTACGTTCTGCAGGCGTTGAGCAAGCACATCGTCTTGCGCTTTGCGGACACGACGGCAGACCATCGTGTGAGACACGCTGCGGCGACAATATTCAAGGCGGCCACGATGCGCCAGTGCCAGACTCTCCACCTCGAGCTCTCTGAGCGATGCGGTGCACAAGGCCTCTTTGCTTATAATCAGATTGTGTCACAGTTGGTGTGTAGTGCTCTGGGTGCCGCGTGCTTCACTCACTGTGTTGTTTAGAGTGACTTCCGGGGCATGACCATTGCAGAAGGCGATATCCTCGTGCTTTCCATCCGTACGCTATTATATCAGATACTCGCACCCAGTGCGTCTGACGGATACGACTACTCCACAGGTCTTGCTACTGAGCTACTCGTTGGGAAATACAGTCTTCTTCCGGCCGCGGATCCAGAGAGCCTCCTTGCGAAGCACGAAACCTCTCTCTTCGACGAATATCGCGAGATCGCCAGAAAATACGGTCATCGCAGCAAGGCATTCGCATCCCTCGTTCTTCCCCGCTGCTTGTCACTCGTAGAGGCCGTCGGGGCACGCATGGCATACGAGGCCGCGCTCGCCGAAGGAGTTCCAAAGCCGCTTGTGGATCTCTACGTTACCCACACCATTAGGGAGGATCTTTCCTGGTACGTCGAGGCTGGTATGCTTACCCGTGCCAGCCATATGGAGAAGGAGAACGACGCCTTTGAGGCAGCGTTCCCTGTCATGGGAGGATACATCAACGGAATGGGCGCGGCGCCCTTCGTGCGGGCTCCCATTGTCAGCGATGCGAAGTGGGAGCAATTCTTGAAGACTCTCAGAGTATTCAAGCCACCGGTCTCCGGTGCTGTGAGGCTCTGACTGGCTCACCGTCGTACTAGCAGGAGTTGAGCGCTGGGCAGCAATTGTCCCACCGAGGAGTCGGGGATCGGCGTCTGCGCCGCTACGGAATCTTACCATAGCAACTCGGCAACATAGCTGAAACCCATGACGAGGGTACCACAGGCGAGGAGCATAGCGATAAACGACAGAGGACGAACCAATGAAGAGGACGAGGGGGAAAGAGCGCGTAGTAATGAGGTCGACGTACAGACATTACACTTTGTTCCAGGTCTTCCTGTCATACTGCAATGATCATGAGGATTCTGTACTGCCTGTGCCCATGATGTCGTTCGAAGATGCCACTTCGGCTCTATTCTGACTTGATCAAACGTGCCCAGCCTCTTGCCTGCAAGAGACCGGTCGAGCACTACCGTCCGTGTCTAATGATCTAGACAACTGTCGACCCCTGCTTGCCTTCCGCTCTCTCTGCGCGCTCCTTCTCTACCCACGTCGTTGCGTTCTTCGCCGCGTCATACGGGCGCACCATGTACATCATCAAGTACCCTTGCAGGCTTGCCATCGAGAACTCGCGCTCTGGGATCGCTTCGGCGAACTGGGCCGCCAACACCCTTGACTTCGCGCGGGGGAGCGTAGCGCTGCGCAGAGACTGAGAGAGGAGCTGTTGTTGTTCGGGGGCATCGGGTGTCGTGGGTGTGGATAGGAGGTCCTCGTCGTCGCTGTACTTCTCGTTGAGCGGCTCGTCCGGCGCCCCTGGCGGGCTGTAGAATGCCTCGAAGAGACCCCGCGCCTGATCCTTGCTCGCGAGCTTGAACTCGATGTGGAGATCCATGCGGCCCGGGCGCACAAGGGCGGGGTCGAGCGCGCCGTAGTTGTTCGTTGTCGCGAAGAGGATGCGCCCTTCTTGCGCGCCGATACCGTCGAGCGCGTTCAGCAGCCCGCTCAGCGTGACACGACCCTCCATCACATCCCGCTTCTCCTCTGGACCAACCTCATCACCATCCTCGTCCTTGAAGACCTTCTCTTCCGCTGGAGGCGGGGCGGCGTGAGAGGGTAGGCTGCGACCCACGCCCTTCTTGAATGCGACGTCGACGTCTTCAAGAAGGGCGATGCACCGCTCGGGAAGTTCGGAGAGCAGTTGGTTGAGACCGGTGTCATCAAGCCCGGCACGAGACAGGGTAAGGACGTAGACATCCAGGCCCAATTCGCCTGCAATACTGTGGATGATCGACGTCTTACCCGACCCAGGTGCACCGTACTAAGTGAACTCATGGTTAGCATGTCATGCTTCGCAGCGCGTAGACGAAGGACTTACCAACAGGTACCCTCGACGGAATGGGATACCTGGTCGAAGCTCACGTTAGATGCTGCGATAAAGTTGACCCGGGAAATATCGAAGACATACCTCTCCTGGTATACCAGTCTTTGCTCGCGAGGAAGTTGCGTGTATCGTTTACAAGAAGTTCTTTGACACCTACGTCAAGGACGATGGATCCCATGGGGCGTTTCGGTCGTGATATAATGTGCCTCCACTTGTTTGATCTTCACGCAACGTGAGCAAATCACTAATGTCATGTTTACAAGCCCAGACTCACGACTCAGAGCCGTATACAGTAACCAGTTGTGCTTCGGCGTTTTGGTATGCTTTCTTTGCTTCGAGGACCAACTCGTTCATTACTTTGCAATCCCAAGCCAGCAAGCTTCACATAGTCATATATTAGAATGGTAGTCGTTATCAACGAGCGCCGACAGTACGTACCTGATTTGGATGGACTCCTTGACTCGGTAATAATTGCTGGCAATATGGGAGCGAGAGACCAGGGTATAATGGCCCCTATACCACATTTTGTGGCTGTCGAAACGGCCGGGCTTATAGCTCACTTTACGGCTCGACAGTCGATCCTCTTCTTGGCCGGGAATGGCAACCTCATCGGGGTTGATGCCATATGTGTTCGTCGTTGCTTCCACGGACCGTGCCTTGCCTAGCGTAGTCAATGAGTCATGTCTCCGCAAAACCATAATCACTGAGAGCTTACGCCATGAGGGATGTCGTGCCAGCCAATACTGGATCCATGCTGTTCAACAAGCGATTAGTCGCTGTTACAACCACATGGTTTTGCACCTACTGTAGGCCACATCTTCGTCGTCAAATGAGATGGTAACCCAGAACGCGTTGACCACGGTGTCCCAGAGGTTGTAGAACAAACGACGGGAGATCTCGATTATGCCACCCATAATGATAAGGTTCAGCCACTCAGGCATTGACGACAACGAGAACGTCGTGAACATTGCGTATATGGGGTCGGATAGGTCCTCTAGACCCCTTGCCGATAAACTGGTCGCGTTCACAAACGTCTCATTTGCTTCTGAGGCACGTAGCACAGTCTGTGGGTCGGCCATGATGGTGAGCTGTATCAGGGGCGTCGCAACAGCGACTTACTACGGTTTATATGGGTACGCTGTTCCCGATCCATCTAGCCGCAATGAAGGCCAGTGCTTAGCGCTAAGCTGAATGTACCGCCTCCTGGACGATCTTGATCCTTGATTTTGTCAACGCGCTGGCCGCTCATGCATCATCGGCACAGCCTGAGCTTCCGCATACGCCGAGGCAACGGACGCCGCGATAATCGAGCTCATCGGGGGCTGGGAGCTTGAGTTTGAATACCTAACGGGCAGTCGTTAACGCGTTGTACACCAGGTCTTTGCGTTAGATTGCAATTGTTCCCTAACCTCGATCGAATGGGCCAGACTCGATGGTGCTCAGCACCAGTGCCGGTGTGGTGTACGAGAGTGCGATGGGATCAAGTTGATCCAGGTAACCGGGCTTTGAAGGCACTGCTGCGGTTCCTTGGGCATTCAGAAGTATGCAGCGTTGCGGTTCAAACTCACCATGAAACCCGGCTTGCTGTGAGCCTGTGACGTGGCGATGTGGCGCGAGCATTCCAGGACGCGGTCACGAGACGAGAGCTCGCTACTACGTCACACGTGAGTCCGTGACGTGAACCGCCGGAACGCTCGAGCCTCAGCGTCGCGACTGTTTGGCGACTGTCATTCACTTTGCATATCTACTTACCCTGTGTACTACATTCTACTGATACGACACAATTCCGCAAGCTATATCAGACAACATCTGACGAGTCACATTCTCACTGGCAGGCGGCGAAAGCGAGTGCAAGGGCGCCGGGCTGCTACTCAGGCAGGCTGTTCAGGGCCATGCCGTGCAGCATACGGATTGCAGAAAAATACGACGCCTCAGACAAGTTGATTGTACAAGTATTCACACGAATCGAGACTGTCACTACTTGCAGTTCATCATTGTTACTCGTACGTACTCTCTCATATGAGTGACAGTGATGATACCTGCTTCCCGGCTTGTACTCTCTCAGCCCTCTCCTTCTCAACCCATCCCACCACATTCTCGACTGCATCATGCGGCTGTAGCTTGTACAGCATCAAATAGCCTTGTAGGCTCGCCATAGAGAACTCCCGCTCCGGAATCGCTTCAGCGAAGTGCGCTGCCAGATCCGCCGACTGAGCGCGAGGCAAAGTAGCAATACGCGTAGGGATGATTTGCTGTTCGGGTAGGTCTCGTGCCGCGAGAGTCGGAAAGGGGGGTTCATCGTCGCTATACTTCTCATCGAGCGTGTCATCCGGTCCACCCGGTGGACTGTAGAACGCCTCGAAAAGACCCTTCGCTTGCTCTTTGTTCGCAAGTTTGAAGTTGATGTGGAGATCCATGCGACCCGGGCGGATAAGCGCAGGGTCAAGTGCGGCGTAGTCATTCGTCGTTGCGAAGAGGATACGTCCTTCCTGTGCGCCGATACCGTCGAGTGCGTTTAGCAACCCGCTCAGTGTAACGCGACTCTCCGTCTTGTCATCTGTGTTGTGGGACTGGTTGGGTTTGTCGTCTTCCCCTATCAGCACGTCATCTCCTGCTTTGACGAGACTCCCCTTCGATAGGGACCTGCGAGCCATGCCGCCCTTGAAGGCCACGTCAACGTCTTCTAGCAATGTGATGCACCGCTCAGGGAGGTCGGACAACAGCTCGTTGAGACCTGTGTCATCGAGTCCAGTCCGTGACAGAGTGAGGACATACACGTCCAGGCCAAGGTCCCCGGCGATACTGTGGATGATTGACGACTTGCCAGAGCCTGGAGCGCCGTGCTAGAAGGGCGCATGTACGTTAGTCAATTGAAGCGTGGTCGAACAAAAACTCTACCAGAAGATAACCTCGACGAAATGGTATCCCTGTCGAGGAGGATGAAGGTCAGATCCAATTAACCTTATAACCGACAGCATTTTGATTACCTCTTCTCCTGTACCATTCCTTGCTTGCTAGAAAATTACGGGTATCGTTTATGAGCAACTCCTTGACGCCTGCATCCAAGATAATGGACTCGATAGGGCGCTTTGGCATTGAATTGAGACGCCTCCAGCAGTTCGTTCTGGCGCCGTATCAGCAAATGGGAATTTATGAAATATAACGGAATTTGACTGACGGATTCGAACCGTATACATTCACCAGTTTTCCTTCGGCCTGCAGGTACGCTTTCTTTGTCTCAAGAACAAGTTCATCTAGTATGTTGCGACTCAGGGAGAGCATACTGCGTAATGATCGAGAGTAAGATTTCGCTCTTTAGCACCCGAAAACGAATATTGGTACCTGATACTGACAGACTCCTTCACACGATAATAGTTGCTTGCGATATGGGAGCGGGTCACGACTGTATAACATCCTCCATACCACATGCGGTGGCTGGTATAACGACTGGGCTTGTAACTGACTTTGCGCATTGACGGGAGATCGTCTTCTTGGCCTGGGATAGCGATATCCTCAGGATTGATGTCATAAGAATTGGTGGTCGCTTCTACTGATCTTGCCTTCCCTGCGTGCTGATATCAGCGAGGGGTACTGCGTAGAAATAAATGTCCGGAACCTACGCCAAGATGGATGCCGTGCAAGCCAGTAATGGAACCACGCTAGGCAAGCCATCGGTGAGCTAGCGCGAGAACAATGTCCGAAGCGATACTCACTGTACGCCCAGTCTTCATCATCAAAGGTGACAGTGACCCAGATTGAGTCCACCAATGAGCCCCATAGCATATCGAAGGCACGACGAGATATCTCGATCACAGCACCCATAATAACGAGCTTCAACCATTCGGGCATGATTGCATTCGTCATGACGGTAAAAATCCAGCCAACAGGGTTGTATCGATCGAGTAAATCCTGCGTCGTAGTGTTGCCGAAGGTATGATTCGTTCCGACGAAATGCGACATAACGCCTGTTGTAGCAAGTTGATGATGAGCGTCAGGGGTCAGGACGGATGCGCCGTGGATACCAGAGCACGTTCTCCTACAGATACCTTATATCCTCGGGACGTGCTGTTCTACTTGTGGCCGTTGCCACTGTGTGGTACAGCAAGCCACTGCTTCTTCGCATCGTGTGTGGCCGCTGCCACTGTGAGGTACAGCAAGCCATTGCTTCTTCGCATCGTGTGCGGCAAATAACTCCATAGCGGAATGAGCGCACAACCGGCATAGCCCATACTTAGGCTGTGATTCCAGCTGAGGACATGTTGAGCCACTCGTAAACGCCCACGACCACACTCCGGCGAGTCGGGGGAATCAAGTCAACATGTGTTGAACACAGCCGCCCTAGGACAGTCGATCGGATTACGCTCGCATGCATAGATGACGCTGAGCACTCACTGGCACGGGCTAACACGGAGATCGTGTGCGTATGAGTGCGCCTGTGGTAGCTTGTCAGATCTATAGGCAGGATGTAGAGGCAAGGGCGCACCATACATCGTAATAGATTGGGGCCGTTCAGGGTGCGGGCCCGTCCAAAGAAGGAATACCCTGTCGTTCGTAAGTTAGATCCAGCAATAAGTACATGCCACGACGTCGTCTTTGTGATAGTCGGGAGTCCCGGTGTTTCGTATGAACGCCAGGGACGCAGATATCGTAAGAAGCAAGAGATCCGCCCCGCATACCAGCGGTGCTACGTCTCCGATGATCCGAGCTTCGTGAGCGCAAAGACAGTGCCTGGTGGGTGCATCTCGAGCGAAGCGCATACTTCCAGCGTTCTCAGGCCGAGTTCGCACTGACAACATCTATCTGTATATCAGTCCACCCGAGTGCGCCCCACTGGGCACTCGGCCGTCGAAAAGTGCTTACTAGTGCTCGAGCCCGTGGGTGGAATCCAAAAGTGGTTCAACAGTCCGCAGCATGTCAGAAGAGGAATAGTAGTCTGATGTCATAGTACGCTCCAATCTATCAGTTTGCGACTTCGGATGTCACGCAAATACATACTCACCTCTATTGAGCCTTGACAATGCCAGATAGGGTCTCTCGCCGCTTTCCTCGCTGTCCACAAGCTCCCGGTCATGCAGCTCGGCGACTCAAATGGGTGTTGACATCTGCTCCGCTCTCTCCGCTCTTTCTTTTGCTCCCCGTGCCTGTGTTCTGAGCCGCATCGTGTGGACGCGTCGTATCGCATCAATTAGCCTTGTAGACTTGCCGTTGGGCTCCGAAATTGCCTCGGCAAACTGGGCCGCCGGAAGTCTTGACGTCGTAGCAGGAGACTAAACAGTGCCGGTGCAGAACAGGCGCTGGGATCTTTCAAATCACCATGCCCATGAGGACAAGGTCCAAGGATCAGCCATTCTGGTATCGTTGGGACTGATAACGCGGTGAATGATTAACGGTCCGTATTGACCGGCGATGGCATCGTTGACAACTAGCTGTTGTATTCCAGTGGGTGCTGTTGACTTCGAGGACACAGTACGTGCCAGTACGTGCTCTGCACTGTGATAGCAAACGCGCGAACCTGAGGGACAGTGGTAGCAGACAGTAGTTATGCGAACACAAGCAGTAACGCACCTCTTGATATACCCGCGCAAACTCACTCAGTCCACTTAACTGTCAACGTGCGGCATGAACGGTCATGTCGAGACTTCGCTGCCTCGTCATGCGTGTGCACTGGGACGCTTGCTACGACCAGTCTTGGCATAAGAAGCCGATTGGGTGTATACTCAGTGACCACGCGTCGTGCAATTTGCTGAGATGAGCTACCTGGTGAAGCGGAGAGATAACCGAAAATGTGGCGCATCGACTCATCAGAGGTGCAAATGCCATACAGTGTACTACCGTTCCTTTACCCAGGTGATTGAGACTTGCCTCCCGTGGGCCCGCGTCTTGAATGAGATGGGCGCTGTTTTCGGTACTTCGTAGAGCATTGTCGAGAGCACTGGGCTGAATATTTTCTGGACGCTGTGCTCGTTCGTTCTGTACCCAGAGCTAGAATAGTTGCGGAGGCGGAGCGTCACGCAGAACCGCTCCTTTACCCAGCGTGACATCACGTCAACTCGCGGAGGAGTGTGAGTCACAGTTACCGAATTCAGAAGGAGACTGCGCGCTCCAGTCACGCATTGTCACTGTCAGCCACCCTTGTTGCTCAACGACATTTATCTACGACGCTCTTCCTCCTTCACCATAGACTTGGAATTTTTGGTGCAACAAAAATACTCACCAGCATCGTCTTCGATTTTTATGTGGACGCATAAGGGAGTGTAGTAGTCACTGTATCACTCCCGAATCGTGGCTTCGCCCGAAATGGTATGTTTCGGAAGTGTCATATTTCCGGGAAGCACATAGTCGTGCGGTCCCCATGAAAAAATTACCGTAGCTCAGGCCATACTCTGGGATAGCTCAGGTTAATTTACAGAATTTTGGCTCAAGGACGGACTGCCCTGGGTGCACATGGGTAAAGGAACCACCATGGGTAAAGGAACGGTAGTACACTGTACTAGACACTCAGAGCAAGCAATTGTATTGGCATATTCTCTCCTAAAGATGTCTTCATCAGCTCGCACGCGTAGTCGTGTTACTAAATCCTCTCACCCCCGTTGTCCAGCTACCGTCTCCCGCTACGCGTTCATGGTAGCCGCATTCTGCCCTTTCACCCATTTCTCCACGGCTTCGACGCCCTCCTCCGGCTTATCCTTATATAGCATGAGATAACCCTGAAGGTCTGCCATCGAAAATCGTCCTTCTGGGATAGGATCTGCAAAACGTGCGGCTAACTGTCGCAAGTCAGTCTCAGTGCCCGGGTCCTCCGAATCTCTCGTTGACGAGGTGCCCGCGTCATCCACCGCCGACATCGCCTCAGCTGGGGGAGGAGTAGGGGGAGGGCTCAGTGGCGCAACTCCTTGTAAAGTATGAGTGCCGAGGTCGTCTTCACCATGATACAGCGCCTCGTCGTCTCCATCGTCGCGCGTATCAGAGTAAAAACGGTAGAACAGCCGCGCTGCTTGGTCTTTGCTAGCGAGCTTGAACTCGAGGTGCAAGTCCATGCGTCCAGGGCGGCACAGCGCCGGATCAAGGGCGCGGTAGTGATTTGTGGTCGCGAACAGTATTCGACCTTCCTGGGCAGCGATGCCATCCAGGGCATTGAGCAGACCGCTCAATGACACACGGCAGTGGGCCTCCTCCTTCTTTTCTTGCCCTGTGCCACCGTATTGACCTTCCCTAGGCTCCTCTTCGGAAGGACGGCAAGAGACATCTTGACGGAACACCGCGTCAATGTCTTCGATGAGCGCTATGCACCGTTTGGGGAGTTCAGCGACTAGCTGGTGCAGAGTAGTGTCATCTAGCCCGGCACGGTTCAGAGTCAACATGTAGATGTCAAGACTCAGTTCGCCTGCAAGGCTCTGTATGGCGGAGGTTTTGCCTGTTCCAGGAGCTCCATGCTGAACGGGGGTCAGCGACCTAATGTGTCTATCTCCGCAGCGGGAGAAGAGTTATAAACACGTACAAGGAGATACCCTCTCCGGAACGGAATACCTAGGAACGGACATTGTCAAGAACCGCTTGGCGCAACTGAGTTCAATGGACCGACCTCGCTTGGCGTACCAGTCGGCACTGTTGAGAAAATCGCGCGCGTCGTGGAGCAATCTTTCCATCGTCCCGCGCTCCAGTATAATCGATTTCGATGGCCGTTTTGGCCGCGCGGTCACCTGTCTCCACGCCCTGGCAGTGAAGGTTCTACTGAATGAACGTCATCGGACGTCGTGCTGTAGCTAGAGGAGCGAAAACCTACGCGTCTTGAGCGTATATGCACACGAAATCATTCTGCGCCTCTACGTAGCATTGCTTGGCTTCTACGAGAAGCTCATCGACGACTGAATTATCACGGGTCAAGAAGCTACGGAATATATATATGAGATGGCGCCATGGAGCAATAGATGGACGCTACCTGATATGCAAAGACTCCCTGCATATGTCGTATTCTCCGTAAACGCGTTCACGCTGGACCACAGTCCAGTACCCATTGTACCACATGGTATGCCTTGCTTTTGTGCTCGGAATGTAGCTCAAGGTGCGAGCAGCTCCGTTCCTCTCCGCTTGAACGGGGACAGTCACTCCATGTGAAGGCACACCATACATCCGAGTAGTCGCCTGGACAAAGCGTGCGTCACCTGAATGGTAATTGCAGAGTCAAGAGAGAGGCGGAGACAACAATAAAGGGAACTGACGCCAGGACGGATGTTTGGACAACCAATACATTATCCAAGCTTGTAGATGCCTCCGTCAGCACTTCGATCAAGCCGAACCATGTCTGACTCACTGTAACAAGCATCTTCGTCTTCGAAGGACACCGTCACCCAGCAGGCCCGATGCAGATGCTCCAGAATTGCAGACGACATTTGCCGCAGTATATCGAGCATCGCTGCTATAAGAAACAGTTTGAGCCATTCGGGCAGCGGGAATACACTGGGCTTCGTGGAGGCTTGTCGGTCGGGGGGCGTCGCACTGTACACCGAAGGTCTGTCACCTGCGAGCTTGCTCGTATTGTTCGCCGGCTCGGCCATTGTTGCGATGAACTGTGGCAATGAAGCTAACAGAAAACGCGCAGAGGACGCAAAGAGTGGTCGGGCACGTCAGAGGTTGGTGCCATAATACGGCTCTTATACTCTCTCTCATGAGCGCGACCCTGAAGCAATGCGGGCGGATCGGGCGCGCCAGATGCGCTGAGCCGTAAAGGCTCGCCGATGATCGTCATGCCGTTCAAGTTACTCAGCAATAGCGCAGACCATCATGAGCAGCGTGAAGAGAGTGAATATGTCTCTATAAAGGTCAGAACATTCGTCCCAAACGGCGAGAAGGTAACTTGCGTGTTACGCCTCGAGTTCTAAGTGCATGCGCCTGCTGCATGTACGGCATTGCCAACGAGCAAAACTGTAGCATGATTTTAGCGAAATAATCTCCGAACAGAAGGAAGAACAGAGCAATGGAACTGCCAACGGTAAGCGGCAAAGGTGGTCCCCCGAGACGTGGAACTTACGGATGTAGTCTGGCACGCATGGACGACTTGCTCTGCGGCGTAATGTACCTACGCTATGTACCGCGGCCCAGCGCGTGTCTGCAGGCACTTGATGGTACAGTTGTGCGAGGACATCGAGCCACGTAGGCCGCCACGGCGTAGGCATTGAAAAAGAATTGTCTATGGTGTCTTGATGGACGACAGTTGGGCGACCGTGACAGTGAATGAACTTGAGCGCTCAGCGCAAATTGTATCGTGGACAGAAACTCAGAGTACGTGTCGCCACCACGTGACCACCTTAACCTTGCGTTGTTTTGTTCCTCGTTCGCTCCTCGCCTGACGCACCATCCTCACTAGCACTGTCCGAGTCTGTCTCGCACTTTATTTGACTCAGAGACACCTCTATATACTCCTTGGACTGGGTGCAACCTACGAGGGCTTGCATGAACCATTGCCGGCCCGTTCTGTCGGCCCTCGGAAATCATTGTAGGTCAAGTTCGTCGAAATGGAATGTGTGTCTCAGGAAATCTAGAAGTCCGCATTCAAGCTCGAGCCACACTGTGACTGCTCCCATGTCGGAACCAATCTTGGAACGTCGGATTGCCCTAGATCTCACATACGTTCTCTGTACGCACGTCACAGATCTCACAGGTCTCCTTGGTATCATTAACTCAATGTGCGCGGTGGTGTCACCTAGATCCTGAGTCTTCGCAGACGTCACTTGTTCTCGCTCTGCTTACTCTGAGTCCTATTCTAATCAACGTAAGTCGCCTTCAGTTCGTGTTGCTACGTCGCTAATCATATGACTTACTGTGACTTGCATGGAACAGCCAGCTTATGCCGTTCTTTCAGTACAAACGCGCGAGCTGTTCTTCATTGAGATGTGGGCAGGACAAATGCTATGTGAAGCCCTGAATTGGGTGATCAAGCATGCCATCCAGGAGGATCGTCCAACTCGTACGTGTTCGCCATCGTTTCCCACATACCCTACCTTGGAGGCAACGAGGCAGCGCGTAGAACGCAGCGTTGTACGGGATTGATATGCCTGCGCCTCGTTCAGAGTTTCTGCGGGCACAAATGAACTGTTTGAGACCACATTCTAACCACTCACATAAACGTATGACCCTTACGGTCCGGTTGAGAGGCTCCGAATACCAATCCCAAGCCTGTCTTTGTTTCTTCTCGAGCTAATCGCCTGACAGGAGAGCTGGGCGATGGTTTCGGCTTCCCGTCGTCACACAGCCAATGGATGGGTTACTTTTCGACCTTTCTCATCTGGCACCTAACGTATCGCCATCGCTTCGCATCTTCAGGATGGCGTTTCCTTGATTTGTCCTGGCGAATAGCAGTTTATATGGGTCTCGTGGGATGGGCCCTTGCTGTCACATACTCGCGGTGAGTACACAAAGGCATTCTACGGGCCACTATGGTTGAACCATCACGCACACTTCCATGCCTTCTAGGTATTATCTGTCGTACCACACCCCTCGTCAGGTCATATGGGGCCTGTCCATAGGCGTCCTTTTCGGCACATGGTACTACGCAGTGGTCGAGGTTCTGCCAACTATGTGGCCAAGGTCGTCACTCGGTCGTGCACGCGCTGCCGTGCTCGAAAACCCAGTGAGCACCTGGTTCAGGATCCGAGACGGCTGGGCGGTCTGGAGCGATGGGGGAAAGGAAATCGAGTGGCTCCGCTGGAGAGCTGAATGGTCTAGGTCTGCCGGTATGAATAGTGGGGGTCTCAAGAGGGAATAGAGTGCCGCGTGGTGGCCTGGTGCACAAATCTAGGGTTGATCATACGTTTCAGAGCTGTGACAATCCAAACCACCCGGATATCGGTCCTGAGCAATTGTGCTGAATAGATTCTTTCGAGAGAAGAGTGTCCCATACCTCGTTCCTTGTGGTACCGTGTCGGGTGCGTGATGCAGTGGCTTGCGACGATCATGAGTCACTAAACCCTCCATGGAGTAACTCCAGTACCATATCTACGATGGCCTTGGACGTATGCTGACCACTGCATGACGCCTAGAGGTATCTGTGGACCAGCAATGTCGGGAAGATTCTACAAGACCTCGCCAATTCATACCCGGACCGCAATGTTGACGTCCCTGCACATGCATCAGACTTGCTAGACGCGCTGCCGGCATGCCGCTATGGTAAAGATGATCATGGATGATCGCTGAGTACCGCACCAACGAGCACGATTTTGCTACGTGAACGCCGACGACATCGCGCGACTCCGACCCAAAAGGCAACATTAGTTATACAGTGGCATAGTAGCACTAGTATGCAGGTTCATGTCTACAGTATGGCAGACTACATGCCCGAGGGCAAGGCTCAACGAGTCGACGGCGCTCTTCACTGCAATGTCTTGAGCCTTGAAGCTTGACTAGCCTCTTGACTCTTCAGCTTCCATATTTCATGCTCATTGCTTATCACCGTTCGAACTTCGCGAAGCTCTCGACACGTCCACGTGATCGTGAATCATATCGCGATCGCGCCACCTCCTCCTCATTTCCCCACCGACCGTTCTCCGTGCCCCACCACAGGCTCGTTGCCCAAGACCTCCGTTCGCTGTCTAGCGACGACGGGCCCTCTCATGCTACAGCGTCCACGGACTGTTGCATCAAGACTACTGGGAAGTCTGAGGTCACCGCCAGCTCTACGTCGCTCGACAAGCATGTCTTCAGCAAAACTTCCGGAATGCTCTATCCCCATCTTCACCACGGTCGCTTCGTATCGTGAGTGGAGGAGAGAGGCTCACGATGCCAAGCAGAAAGTGGGCTTCGTCGCGACAATGGGAGCGCTGCATGATGGTCATCTGGCCTTGGGTACGTCGGTCAGACACCATCCTTCCGCGGTTACGACTGAGAGCCTGACTTCAGTAAAGAGGTCACTGGCTGAAAATGACCTGACTGTATTGTCAATATTTGTCAACCCAGCGCAATTCGCGCCGCACGAGGACCTCGCGACCTACCCATCTACCCTGCCTCGTGATTTGGAATTGCTCTCGGCCATGTCTCTTCCGGTCAATGTACAGGGGAGCAATGGGCCTCTGGTCCGCAAGCCTTCAGCGGTATTTCTCCCGACGGTGTTGGAGATGTACCCTTCCGGGATATCGCAAACCATTTCCGAGCAGAAGGGGACCTTCGTAGACGTCAAAGGCTACGAACACCAGATGGAAGGGAAAAGCAGACCTACATTCTTCCGCGGAGTTGCCACTGTCGTGACGAAACTGTTCAATGCTATAGAGGTGCGTCCATGCAACATGCCATCGCCTACCTGTCATAGAACACTTTGCAGCCGACCCAAACGTACTTCGGTCAGAAAGATATCCAACAGGCGCTGCTATTGCGCCGCATGACACGAGACATGCTGCTGTCTCATCCCTTGCCTGACAAGCTCCATATTGTGCCCACAGTACGGTGCGTAATGTGTGGTCGCACGGTTGAGATTGTGACTCATGTCAAGTAGCGACTTGACATCATCGCTTGCGCTGTCATCTCGCAATGCGTACCTTACACCGCACGAGCGCGAGGTTGCCGCGCCGGTCCTCCATTCCGCACTGCAAGTGAGCAAAACGGCGTGGCAGAACGGCGCAAGCAAGCAGGAGTGTATACGGCAAGCTTGCACCTTGATCACAGACACGGCGGAGAAGGCAAATGCGTCCGGCGGCGATGACAAGATAGACATTCGTTTGGATTATATCGAGTTGAATGATCCCGAGACCTTCGATGTGCTTCCGGAAGAGGCTTCGCGAGCGCAATGGGAGTCGGAAGGCTCAGAGGGCAAGGGCCGCCCTGTGATTCTCAGTGGTGCCATGTGGGTCGGACGGACGAGGCTGATCGATAACATCATATTAGGAGACACACGAAAGCTAGGTATAATCGAGTAATGCAGAATGCAGGTTTGGCAGAGCATTGTTATGCCGTCGATAGTGTCTCAGGGCTCGTTGGCATCGACGGTGGATGGCCACACGTTCGCTGTACCACAACCTTGAACCAGTTTGGCCAATCTCCTCGTACCTCGAAGTTCGCCATCTGTTCTCGCGTCAAAGTCACACTGGGTGTGTAGTGGACGGGTGTAGAGGGCGTCGTCGCAAAGGATATACTGGATAGGAACATCTTTATCTTCTTGGCGCCGTCGGGGCCGAGAATCTGGTCGTCAGTGTGCGGGACAAGCTTCCTGACGCTCTCGTCGTTGAAGAAGTCGACCAAGTGCTCGATCTTCATGTCGCCCACGAAAGCCACTCGGAAGCGTGACCAAGGGTAAGTCGGCAAGCTGTCATCGGGAAGGCGCTCCAGGAGAACGAAGAGTATAGTCTTCGCCTCGGAGATAGCTTTTGCACTGCGAATGGGGCGGACCAGCGCATTGTAGCCAGCGGTGAGGAGCGCAGGCATGAATTTATCCCCGAAAACGCGCAGCTCGTCCAGGAGCTGTCCTGGTAGCGCCGCAGAGTGTTTGGCCGCCTGGGCGGCCGGGACTAGCGAGAGGTCGGAGAAGAATTGGTAGTCGACCTCCTCGACACGAGCGCGGCGTTCGCGCTCAAGTCGGCAGCGCTTTCTGTGCTCACGCCAATGGTTCTTCTGGCACTCACTGCTCTGTAGGATCAAGCCGTATCAATACTATTGAAGTGATCAGTGTGTTGCACTGTGACCTACGCAATAATGTACAGCCTTGCAGCCGCTGCATCTGGAAAAGCTTTCCACCTCGCGCTTGCCCTTATGGCCTAAGGAACGCAAGTTGCTCAATGAGTTGGACGGCATTGGCCAGTATCGGAATACCTACAATGTGCACACTGGTTGAGCATCTTCCGTGCTTCTCTTGCTTCCGCGCCAGACTCCTCGTAGCATCGAATGCGAATCATCCCGCCTCTGGCAGTTTCCTGGGATATCGTAGGAAGAAGGCAGATTTTAAGTCTAGAAGGTCAAGGGGCAAGTCGATGGAAGGTGGGAGAGCGAAGGATTGAGTGAGGCTGACTGTTAAATGGTCATCATAATGCAGACCGTCGCGAATGCCCATCGTCTGCTTCGGAATGCTACCAGGCGCATCAGGATTTGAACTGTCAAACATACATCGCGTGGCTGGTCTTGCTCACGCGGACATACAAAGGCACGCAGGATATTTTGAATCGCACACAGTGGTAGGCAGTGAAGGTGACTACGGGACCTTGAAGGCCGCGAGGATTTGTCCAGGACTCCTAGACTGTACCATGGATTTACCTCACAAATACGTCCTGAGCACCGATGCTGCCAATGATAACGTCGACAAATCATGTCCGACTGATGTTCCATATTTGGTCGTCTTCAGATTCAGATATGTCGAAAGGTATCTGTGAATGTATGAACGCTGCACCAGAGCACGAGACATATACAACGTACCTTCGCCAGCATTTCGTCGAGATCGTCATCTAGGTAGACAAGCACTTCTGCCATCGTCCGTAGGCCATCTGCGACCAGATCCCCAGACACAGCTCCAGCAGGCGTATTCCACATACTTGCCAACGGCGCCGGTATCCTTGTCAGCCGGATCGAGAAGCGCAATGATCTCTTGCGGATCCTGTATAATTGCCCTAGACATCGGGTAGCAATAACGAAGAAGATTGTCGAGAGCGCAACTGTTCTTCCCAGGAACCTCGACGACGGTAGTGTTCTTGACTTCCGACGGGTGTTCATCGAATGCAACTGGTGGCTGCGGTAATGAGAACATGCCTCAAAGACAGAAGAGGCCTCGGACAGTATCACTTTGGGGACCCTATAGTCATCGCCGTCTGATGAGCGGAGGATTGTGTCTGTGGTCATCTTTGTGAATGGGTGTTCGTAGGGCATGGGGGGAGGTCGTGCGAGCCGCCCCTTGACAAGCATTGTCAATGAACCATTCGACAAGGGTACAGCCTAGGGACACTGACCACGACATTTATAGAGAACCACAGTAGCGCGAGATTGCGGTGGGAGATTTACGACGTACGCCCCCCTCGCGTCCATACCGGCAGAAGCCAAACTCTGTCCAGATAAGTAAGGTGTTGGGCATCACCGTCTTGCAGGGCTTTTCATGTGCCATCGCGAGAACCCCAAGAAAGGCGGAACGACCTAGGCAGCAGTGTCTAATCAGTCAATTACGAGCCATTCGCTCTCTTAAGTCACTGTTCTGCCATCAGAAATTGGATATATGCATCGATGACGTTAAGTACGTGTGCACTGTACATTTCCTCCGCGTCATAGTCTGTGGTAGCAAAAGAGCGTGAATAACTTAACTCCAACGAACCCCGGGCCAGACCAGCTTCAAATTAGTCTTGGATGGCCCCGAACACGTCCTCGACCCTCCATCCCGTTTCTTTCCCCTTGTCACTGTTGGCGTCCGCCCGATGCTGATGACCGCCCAAGAACACGTTCCGGTTTGGTGTGCGCTTGAGACGCTCGATGTCTGCACGGATGATCTCGTTGCAGAACATGTCCAGATTGAGATCGTTCTCGTCGTATCCAAACGGTTGCTCGATTTCCTCTCCCGCGGCCAAAAAACCGAGGTAGATGAACGCAGCGATACACACACCCGGTATGGTGTACCACTCGAACTGACCAATGAGCTGGAAGGGCAGGAAGAACAGGTACACCCACACCGTATGCCGGATGTGCACGGCATAGACGAATGGCAACGGCGTGGTCAGGATGCGCTCCAGGGCACCCAGGGCGTCCTCCAGACCGGCCAACGCTCCTATCATGCCTCCGAGACTAGACCCCGGGACGCTCTCGCGCTCCTCAAGCACGGACAGCCACGCCGACAGAGCGAATATGGTTTCGAGCGGGAGGCTCTGGCCACCACCCGCGACCCGCGGTCGGTGCTTCGCATGCGTCATGCGCGATGCGTCGATGGTTTCAGGGTTCACGGAACGATGTCCGACCGCAGCGGTCGTAACGCGAGCCTCTCCGGCGAACTTGCGCTGCCCACCGCTCTCGTCGAAAGCGTCTGCGATGCCCTGGTCAACCGTTTCCCCCGTCTCCGCTGCCCCCGTGACGACAACCCCAACTTGACCCTCTTCGTCTGGCTGTATCCTCCGCCCTCTCACGAGCACGAAAGGCCACGCCAACGCCCTGCCGAACGCTTTCAGGAAGGCACCAGCCTCGTCTCCGAACGGGATTAGGTCGCTAGAGACTGCCCCTATTACGCCGGAGTCAGTGCGCCGCGCGCGCCCAGGGAGTAGTGGATGGTGATCCTGAGCGTCGTCGCCAGATATAATGCTGGAAAAGCTGGAGGAGGATGTGCGGTGTGAGAGCAGGCGTTGGGCTGCGAACGTGCCATATGTGTTGACAGGTGGGATCACTGGATCTGCGCTCGTGCCAGCAGGGTCCGCGTTAGGCGTCGTCTGCTCGGGGGATGCAGGGGTCTGTGATGCTCCATTGGGATGTTCTTGTTCGTCGCGAGGGTGGTGTCGACGGTGATGTGGATGGTTGTGCAGAGGCCTGACTAAGCCATAAAGGTCCTCGTAATAGATACCCATTTCGCTCCTTAGATGGTGTTTGACAGCGACCGCGAAGCCCAATGCCAAGTCAAGCGCCATACGCTTTTCCTCCATACACCTCTTTCTCTCGTCCGGCGGCGTCTCGTGGTCAGATTTGGGGCCAAGTCGGAGGGGAACGTGAACCCATACGAGACGCGTGAAGGTGCGGAGGTTGCGGATGACGTCTGACCATGAGCTGCGGCCCGTCCAGTAGCGATCGTAGCCAGACATGGCGCGGTAGGAGATGACGAAGCCGATGACAACTCCAAGCACGGTGAGGAGCACGGGGGGGATGTCAAGCCTGACCTGAGTCTTCATGGACAGCGTCACCACACCGGCTGCGAAGAGCGTGTGCAACGTTACCGCTGGCCATATCCTCCATATCACGGTGTCTCTCCCGAACGTCCAATGGAGGAAGGTCTTTGGTTGACCCACAGGCACCTCGTACACATCTGTATACAGATGCCATGTTCGTTCCGAAGAGGCGGGAAGGAGGGCGTGATGGCCAGTGGAACTACGCTTCGCATGAGATGATTGTTTAGAGTGTAATGGCGTGGGTCGTAGGGACACCATGGTGAGCGTGAGTACCGTCGTCTATAGACTTCGGTATCCCCGGGTCTACACTTCGAGACGTACTTCGGTGGTAAGCGAAGCAAGGGAAAGAGTGGGTTCGTCAGCGCACCGAGAACGTCGTGCACAAAGTGACTTCCAGTCGATGACGGCTTCACGGCGTTCGTACAAGCCTTCAATAAGATGTGCACGACCGGATTTGTTGTGGCTCACTCGGGGAAGAGGCACCCGCCGCTGGGGAATGGGGTCTGTGTGCATTTGCTCAACATTCTCCCATCACTTTGGTTGAATAGAGACACTCACATCTTGGGGTATATGGTTCTCGAGGATGAGTACTTTTCCTAGTCAAGCGGGGCCGCATGTGTAACCGCGCGCGTCGACGTGTTGTTTGTGCATGTTGTGAGTCGCAGACATTGCGTTTGACTCCGACGCTCCTCTGCCGCAGATTGGCCGCAGACACTACGCGTACGCCTCTCCCTCAGAACGAACCTGCGGCTTCCCTGCAGTCTTGTTGAGATCCTATTCAGTATGCCTTAATATTTTTGTTTCGAAACACTTCTACGCTCATCTCCAAAAGCTCCGAGTCGTCAGTTGTCGACACGCCTTTCAGTGTCGACGACACCTGTTAGTTGATGTGCGAGACGGCGGAAGTACTGCATAAGTACTGGACGTGGATGATGTGAGTTTACCCAAGATGAGTGGCATGTATATAGTCGTTGACTATCCATGTTGCCGTGCTCCTTGAACTCACATGTCAATTGACAATGGCAAAGTCTTGCATATACCTCACCGCAGAGCCAAGATGCAGAGTGTGTTTTCTTTTCTTTTTGCCGGAAAGTGCCTGCGATGGTCATCATGCGTGCAGTCCTAGTTCCAAATCCAAGTCGGCGTCTGTCAACAACGTGCTTAGGCTGAGGGCGCGGGCCACGACTTCCTTCCCTCATGGTGAGCCTCATTATCTCCCACATCCTCTCTATCATCCACCACATCGCTCTCTCAACTGTGCCATGGAACGGAACGTCTGCAGTACTCCTCCTTATGCCTCATCCCCCTTCGACGACCCCGAAGCCGATCTGATCCTTCGCTCCTCTGACAATGTCGACTTTCGAGTGTCCAGATTCATCCTGAAGATTTCCTCGCAATTCTTCGCCGACATGTTCGCGGCTGGTCAAGTCAGCGACGATGAGCTTCGAGACGGGTGTCCGATCGTACAGATGCAGGAGGACAGCAAGACTCTGGACGTCCTCTTGCGCGTCATATATCCTACGAAGGCTCCTGTTCTCGACCAACTCCCAAAGCTTCATGCGGTCCTGGGAGCCGCTCTGAAGTTCGACATGGACTATGCAACGGAGCTGGCTAGAACGGCCCTGCGCTCTTTCATCGCGAAGGAACCCGTTCGCGTGTGGGCGATTGCGGTCCGTAACAGGCTCGAGCCTGAATCACGCGCCGCAGCGGACGAGATGAATCGTCAACATATCTCAGTGCTGGATAGCTTCCCGTCCGAAATGCAGGCTATCGACGCTGGTGCGTACTATCGCCTCCTGCGTTACCGGCGTTTGCAGGGCGCGGTTGAGACGGACTTCAAGTTTTGTGATCCCCCTACGACATCACCCGTCTCTCCTCCCGCGTCTTCCAGCCCCGCTGGTACTCAGATCATATCGCCGAAACACAGTCGCATCCAACCATTGGCAGATATCTTATGTCGTTCTGCAGATGGACAAAAATTTCCGGCACACAAGGTGTTGCTTGCGCTCGCATCGCCTGTCATGGCCGCGATGATGCTGAGCCTGCCTACCGCAGCAGCAAATTCGCCCGATATGGAAGGTGGCTTGCCTATGCTGTCATTTGAGGAGGATGCGGCGACGCTGGGAGTCGTTCTCGGGCTATGTGCATTGGAGGGGGAGGTTGCCGTGCAGGAGCTGCAGGTCCTACAGAACGTCATCGAGGCGGCGAAAAAATACGAGATGGACGATGCGAGAAAACTTCTGCAAGACCAATGGACAAAGTTATCGGCCTCAGACCCTTTGCGTGTATTCCTGTTCGCAGCAAGCCGCAAGGCACATGCTGAGGCACGTCAAGCAGCGCAGCAACTCCTTGATCGCACCTTGGATGACTACTATACCTCTGCGCTGGAAATCTCGGCGGCATCGATGTATCGTGCGCTATGCATGTATCATAATTCCTGTCGGTCTTCGATCCACAACACCGGACGATCACTGGCGCACCTCCCGACAACAGCGAAAGTCATCTATGATGTCAAGATTCCAATCAAAGCCTCGAGGTGTAGATCGACCTACATGAACGAGTACTATGGGAGCTCTTACACTTGTCGTGGGGTCGAGGTCCTGCGAAATCTGGATCGCAATCCACAGGCGTGTGAGCCATGCGTCCAACTAGGCCAGATTATCGTTAATGCACTGCAGCAATCAAAGACGGAGCCAAGTGTACTGATTGCGACATCCGAGCTGCTCCAGGATTGCCCGGGTTCGATATTTTCGAACCCGTACTGCTCTGCATGCTCGCAACCAGCCGATCGCACGCTCCTCACAACATTCCTAAAGGGACTGTGTAGCGAAGTACGCGAGCACATCGACAAGGTACGTGTTGTTACAACTCTCGCCATGAACATAATTTCCGAACCCTGTGTATCCTCAGGAGTTTTCGAAACATATCGGTGAACCCTTGAAGATAGAGCGGCCGTGACCCTACCCGTCTGGCGGGATGGGATGGTGTACAGTAAAGGGCAGATGTGTCAAATAGGCTATGGAATTACACCGGTAGTTTGCCGGCAGTACGGGGTCCCGGGAATGCTCGTGTAGGAGGAGGAGGAGGAAGAAGAGGAGGGGGTCCATCTAGCCACCGGCCGATGCAGGGTTCGCGACACGCCGCCGATTACCGTTCATTATTGCTCAGGGAAGGTTTATAGTGTATGCCATGGATAGGATTCATGCTTTGGATATATGGCGTTCAAAGGTAACTCGAGTTCTTGCCAAACGGGAGGCGCGTATCGCATTGGCTGCGGCTTATTTGTGCATGTTTGATACGCGCAACAATTGACATGAGCGCCTATCCTCAACAGATCTAGACTTGAAGCTTGAAGCTTGAAGGAGTACGAGTCGACCACCCCGTTCTGGTCGGAACGAAGTGACTCGTAGCACTCTTTTGATCTTGGCTATCACTTCGCTGCGAATGATGTTAACTTGTATATTCCGCTATCTTTACTCCGACTGGATTTGTTGGACACTAGAGGCGGTCATATTGTGTACTGCAGCCGTTGGCATGGAAGCGGCGCAAGCATGTCTCCAAGACTCTGCCCGTGAGTAACCTACTCGATGAGGCATACTGGACTGTGCTACTAAATACAACAGCGACTCATGGACCGTACATATGTTGGTGCATCGTACCACACATTCGTTCGATGCGACCGTAACGCTATGCTTCGCGCCGAGCCCTTCAACCATATACGACAGGATGTGATAGCGGACTAGTATGTTCTGCTATTTCGATATCGTCTGTCGTGACGAGAATGTGAGATCTGCGGCCTACGCTCCATACTCTCATCGGCTTCGCATTCAGTCTGGCGTCTACTAGCAACGTGTTCCAGGCGTGTCGAATTCGTGAGTAGTAGAATGCTCTCTCTACACGAGTCTCAATCTTACCCTCATCGTCCATAGTCCAATACATCACTCGACTCGAGAAACTGCACCATGGCATCCGAACTACCAGACCTGCCTAAGATCCCTCCCTATGCCTTACCGCCCTTCGACCATCCAAAGGCCGACTTTATCATCCGTTCTTCCGATCTCGTCGACTTTCGCGTGTCCAGCTTCATCCTCGAAGTCGCTTCCGATGTGTTCGCTACCATGCTCAAGGTTGGTAATGCGGAGGACGAGGAACTTCGAGATGGCTGTCCGGTCGTTCCGGTGCAAGAGGACAGCCAGATCCTCAACAGTCTCCTGCGTATTATCTATCCGCAGAAGGCCCCCGCCCTTGATGATCTCCCTCAGGTTCATGCAGTCCTAGCTGCGGCACTGAAGTACGACATGACGAGGGCTGTCGAGTTCGCGAGCGCGGCTCTGCGTTCTTTCATACCGACAGATCCTTTTCGCGTCTGGGCGATTGCTGTTCGAAACGAACTCGAACCAGAGGCACGTGCCGCCGCAGACGAGATCATACGTCAGCACAGTCCAGTCCTCGCAGTCCTCACCGTATTCCCATCCGAAATGCAGCATGTCACTGCCGGGGCGTATTACCGCCTCCTGCAATACCACCGTCTAGAGGGCAAGGTGGAGGAGGGCTTCGGGTTCTGCAGACCTTCCTTGTCGCAGCGCCCCAACACCGACCCTTCCTCCCTTTCGACGTCTGCTGAATCCTCGTACCTCATCTCGCCCAGTCACAGTCAAATTCAGGACCTCGCGGACGTCGTCTGCCGTTCATCGGATGGTCAAGAGTTTCCGGCACACAAAGCGCTCCTCGCGCTGGCGTCTCCCGTTATGCACGCGATGATCACTAGCATACCTACGCGCGACACTACGACCACTAGCGAAGGCAGCAACGCAGCAGACGGGGCGGCTTACATCCCGGCTCTCGTGTTCGAAGAAGATGGCGACACCTTGAGGGCCCTGCTTGGGCTATGTTACCCGCTCTCGAAGGGGGACGCGGAGCGTGACGTACAGGGGCTCCTGGCGCTGCTCGACGTGACAACGGCCGCTGCGAAGTACGACGTGGCCAACGCGGTGGACGGTCTTCGTCGCCAGTGGTCTCGTCTATCCGCTTCGGACCCATTGCGAGCGTACCTGCTCGCAGTGAGCCATGACTTGCACGTCGAGGCTCGTCAGGCAGCTACACAGCTCCTCGATCGATCTATGATGGACTACTACGTAGCAGAGCTGGAGGCCTGTTTCGCGCCAACATATCGTAGCCTGCTGCTGTATCATTGGCTCTGTGACCGTATGGTAAAACAGTGCGGAGACGCGGTCATTCAGCAGCACTGTCCAGCTCCGGTAAGCGCCGGCGGCACGGCCTCAAAAGCCTCGGTATACCATGGGAAGCGCTCCGGGCCTTGCAGGAAGGGATACAATAAGGCATACAACTATGATTCGGACTCGGATCCCGAGAAAATAAGTGAAACGCTTACGGACAAGTTCACCAAGGCTTTGCGGCCATTCGAAACGAAACCATACACGCTTCTCCACCATCTCGAGACCGACGGTGGCGTAACGGAAGTCCAGAAGATTTGTTCTTCATGTGTTGCACCTGGAGATAGGACCCGATTGCTGGACATGTACGCGGCACTTCGCAAAAATCTGTCCGAACATATCGCAAAGGTGAGATGACAGGACGCGCTAGTATATGTATACTGTCTGACGTTGGCAAATGTTATAGGTATACACGGACTCTTGCATGAGCTCGCAGTCTTCCGATGGGATATAGGGACCATATATGCTGTGTTTCTCGTAATTTGTGCAATGACGAGAGATCTGACATGCTGCTCCTACCCCCAGAGTGCTTGCGCGACCCCGGGATCTTTGACGTCGAGAACTGGCCTCTGAGTCGTTAGTCACGTCGGTCCTTGCGAGTGCACCATCAATTGCGACGGAGACATTGGTATTCGATCGGTTGTCTCATGTTGGACAGCCGTGCCATAATGAGTTGCGATGATACATCAATCATAATACTAACGTCCGTTTATATCATACGGCCCGAGAGGGTATCGATGCGCAAGTGACTGCTCATGCAGTCGGGTCGTTGAACTGTTGTTGCGCCTGGCCTTGATCGTGGCGGAGGTTGCCTGGATCATGGGTCAGCAAGCATGCTCTTGTGGATACCCGCTTCTACTCACCAGAAATTTCCTGCTGGCGGTCACCGGTGATCGCGCCGACAACAGCATCCTTCTTTCCGCTGAGGCGGTCGATGGTGCCCTCTGCGTATTGCTTCGCCTGGGCGGCCTGGTACTCGGCCTCGCCCTGCGCGTGCTCTTCCTTCCCGGATTGCCTCCAGGACTGAGCACCGGTGAGATCGCCGACCGTCTCCACCACAGTTCCCTTCAGGGAGTGGTACTGTCCGGTGGTCTTGCTGCACGACATCTCGTGAGTACGGTTCAAAGAGCATACGGTTCTAGTCAAACTTACTTAGGCTCACCGTTGCCAGTGTTATTGTTGTTGCTGTTGTCGTTCGAGCCAGACATGTTGGTAGTTGCAAGTGGGAGAGTTGGGGCGATGGATGTGTGAAGGGTATGTGAGTTTGCTTGATGCTCGAAAGGTGAATTTCGCTTGTCTTATATACCGCTCGTCTGATGCATAGCCCCATTGCAGGGAGAGCCACGAATCGCGTCACTTGGCGGGGCCTCAAGGCTGTTCGCGACGAGGTCTGTGGTACTCCGACGTGACACATCGACACCACAGGGAGACTTGCCTTTTGAGGAGCCATGACGGCGGTCGTGGCTACGTCATCGGTCCCTGACACCGACGTCATCATGTATCGCGAGCGTTGTGGCGTTCCTGCGTGAGATTCGATCTGCCGACGTCGGCGAGTCTGACGCGTGACGTCATTGAGCGGCTGATGTGCAGCGCGAGACGCGTCGCGCGTCGCGTCGACAAGTTGACGTGAAATGAACTAACCGTTTCGCGCCTACATAAAGGCGATCCTTGCGTGCTCCCGGTTCCAGCTCTCCCAATCTCCACCACCACCATCATCTCCACGCACAACTCAGACGGCCTCGCCATTATGTCCGGCAACGGCAACGAACCAAAGTACGTCGTCGTGTTAATGATGTCTGTCTTACGCGCTGACGCGCATATATCCACTGATAGCAAGACCTCCGGCCAGTTTCACTCGCTGAAGGGCACTGTCAACGAGGCCATTGGCAACGTCACCGACCTGCAGTCCTGGCAACAATCCGGCAAGGAGGAGCACGCTCAAGGCGAAGCCGAATACCAGGCTGCTCAAGCTAAAGGATATACCGAGGGAACGGTTGACAGGCTTGGTGGAAAGAAGGACGCTGTCGTCGGTGCAGTGACTGGCGACCGCCAGCAGGAGGCTTCCGGTATGTATGCGTCTCTATCGACACATAGTCAGGGATCCTGATGAAACACTTCAAGGCAATGTCCGGCACGACAAGGGACAGACGCAGCAAGATTTCAACTCGTGAAGCATGTTCTCTTAATTTCACTGTGTGCCACGTTACGGCCCTGGGAACGGCAATGCTGTGCACCCTGTCTCGTAGTGGCAGAGTAGACCCAGATGTCTTGTCCCGGCGACGGCGGTGTAGCATACATTACCAACAATAACGGATCCTCTCCCGCATAATTTCCGAGGATAGTATCCAGTTCGTCGACCGCCATCTCTGTAGACGTTAGGTTGAGAGTTTTGCGTAACAATGCTTATGTTTGACGACAGACTGATGGAAGACCGCTGGGCGTCGATGGAGCGAACATTTATCATGGAATCCATATGAGTACATTGTGTGGAGGCAAACCGGTTTATGACTGCTACGCCAGACTCCGTTGCAGAGAAGTGTGTGTGACCCGAATAGAGTTCACGGGAAGGGTGCCTCGTGGCGAGCGCGGATGGACGTATCCACGCAGTCGATGGGTCATGGCGATGCCTAAGGCGAAGTTATGAGTTATCTTTTGGGATGTGTTCATGAGAATTGCAGCTGGCCGCACAGCAGCGCCGCCTACGAATGTTCGAACAGAGGTATTATTTCATCCAACGGCCGCACACCATCTGTTACGCAGCAGCTCCGAGAACTCTGACCTTGGTATATATGTCAGTGTCGCGCACATCGAAATTGCGAACTGACCTGAGCAGAAATTGGCACTCGATATTGGATAGTAGGTCATCAGAGAAACGCCCACTCTGGGTGCTAGAGACAGGCCATATGTACAGCATTGTGGTCAATCGAGAACAAAAATTGTAAGATTGTCGGGGACGTTGGGGGACATGAGGCGACCGTCACAGGAGTTAGCAGGTGTTACCACAGTGCCATGTTCTGTTAAGTTCAGATGACCGCGCGTTAGCAGGTTGATGGTCACCCAAAATGCCATAGAAGATTCACCTACCTTCGTTCTCTACGCCTCGGGCTGTATGACTATGTATTGCGTAGACGCCTGCAAAGTGAGATAAGAAAGCAACAATATCAACTTCTAGACGTGACGACATACCTGGTTTACCTTGAGGATGACTTCGTCATACATGGCCTTGTACAGCCGCCGCATTGCGAGGTGGTCCTGCTTGTATGAGGACGAAGGCCAGACCGGGTTGCTCGCCAGCGACGGATTCCTCAGCCAATCCATCGCAGTGAATAACTCGGCTGATGGTGACTCCAGACGCTCGCAAGCGTGAGCGATACCGGTTCCTAGCAGGGTACAGGGGATGCAGCAGCGGTTCCTAATATCTGGATTGACAAGATAATTTGCGGACCCCAGGCAGGAACGGCCTTTATTGCCGTAGACTTGAACGCCAATACACTGGGTAGAAGAGCGTGGAACAACGAAGTCTCCTTCGCTGCCACCTCCCGGGCCAGCCTTTGAACGTACCAGCCGTGCTACATCGCAAGCAGCATCCTTGCACGCCCGATGATACAAAAGGGCGTTGCGATATGTAGATGCCGGTGAGCTTTCCATTGCGGGAACATGGTACTCTTCCATGGATCGGTCGAGTAACCGCTCTGCCGCCTTGAGCGCATCCGCGGAGCGCTTGTGACGCGCTGCAAGCAAGTACGCTCGCAGCGGGTCCGATGGCATCAGCTGCGACCACTCGCGTTGCAGAATCTCTCTCGCATTCTTCATCCCATATTTTTCCACAGCGTCATGAATGCCTGGCAACGTCAGGTATTCCTGCGCGTCATCGCCGGCGTCGGGGTAGCATAGGTCGATGAGGGCCCTCAACGTATCGCCGTCTTCCTCGAACGTCAAGTCTGTATTGGCGTTCGATGCCACAGATTCATCGCCAGCGTCCCTTGTACGAGGTATGACTGTGTCTGTGACCATCGCAGCGATGACAGGAGACGCAAATGCGAGGAACGCCTTGACAGCGAGGAATTCCTGCCCATCCGAGGAGCGGCATATGACATCCGAAAGCGACTCGGAGCGGCGGATGCGTTCCTGACGAGCCTCGACGGCCAATCCTTGCAAGTATAGTAGGACCTTTTCATTAGACGCCGGGGACGCATTAGACGATGGCGCAGCGAGTCTGGAATTGGCCTGAATGATAGGAGGGCAGCAGAACTCAAAGTTCTCGCCAACTTGCCCTTTCAGACTCAGATACTGGAGAAGGCGATAGTACGACCCAGCGTTGACCTCCTGCATCGCAGGCGGGAAGTTCTCCAGCACTGAGATTTGTTGACGGTTGATCTCGTCTGCGGCAGCCCGTGCCTCCACTTCGAGCCTGTTACGAACGGCAATGGCCCAGACGCTGAATGCCTTCTGCGGCGCGAAGGAGAGTAGGGTCATGCTACTTAACGCGATTGCCTCCTCCATGTCATACTTCAAGGCTGCAGCCACGACAGACTGAAGCCTTGCGAGATCGTCGAGGACAGGATCCTTCACTGGATATACGATGCGGAGAAGAAGGTCCAACGTGTTGCTGTCCTCCTGGACTGGTACGACCGGGCATCCATCTCGAACAACGTCGCCGCCTGGGTGAGACACGTCCGCCGCGGCATGCGACGCCCGACCGACCTCGAGCATCGAAGCGAAAAAGGGGGATGCAAGGCGTAGGATGACTCCGAAGACGCGGAAGTCGACGCCGTCGCTTGATCGCAGGATGAGGTCTCCATCCGAGTCGTTGAACGGCGACGATGCGTAGCACGGGATTTCAAGATTTGGCTGCGCCATGAGGATACTCGCGGGTGAAGGTAATGAGGACGGTGACAATGCAGGTGTTGTTGGGCTGGCAGGACGACGGTGATGCGGGCAGGGCAAGGGTTCGAGGACTCCGCTGGGACACGCACCAAGCACGTTCCCAGAAGAGCGCGTATTGCCATTTGACTTCACGAGCATAGCGCCCCGTGACAGCAATCTGACGGAAGTCTCCTGCTATCGGGCGTCAGCGAGACACTGGCCTGTGAATTCTGCGAGCAATCTCGCAACGAGAAGCCGTAGAAGGGAATGCATACCGAGCACGACGATGAACATGTCATTCTCATTTGAGCGCGAGATCATGCTTACTGTCTTCGATGTCACGACACGACGCATGCGGCCTGAAAAGTCAACAGTCGTGTGCAGTCTCGCTGTATGCAGCATCATATACCGCGAGTACTCACCTTGCATCCAGTGAGGCTACCGGTAGTTGCGTTTTCTCTATCTCAGGAGCGTGTCGACGACAACTTGAATGCGTACAACAGAAAGAGCCGTATTCCGCATCCGTTGAACATCGAAGAGGAGGTAAGTGCAACCGCAACACCGTCGATCTGCCACTCGAACCACTGAGCGCTGAGGTTGCTAAGGTTGGCAGTACATCTGCGGACGACCGTTGCTGGCACAATCGAACTGTTCAGAAATAAGGCATGATTTACATAGCATATAAGGAAAGAGACGCACATACGGATACTCCCATATACACAGTGCTAAAAGCCGATGTTACATAGCCTCAGGCTCGCATGGGCTCGCATGCAGCCGTCGAAGTAGTAGATTTGGACAAAAGCCGAACTCAACGAACCGTCACGAACGAACGCCCGAGTCAGATCCGATATGTGTGCCCAATGATCGACCCAATCGAGCGGCTCATCAGCTTACTGATCCCTCAGGGCACGCATATTTGTACGGCTCCTGCTCGTTGCCCCAGGCCCTCCTCATCCCTCGAGGACGACCTGGAGAATCTCTTTGGGTGTTCCAGTGAGTGCTTGCTGTGATGGTTTGCTGGTGTGATTGTGGCTACCCAGCCTGACCGATTGTCATCGGCTTGATGGTCTAGAGGTATGATTCCTGCTTTGGGTTGTTATCACGTGCAGGAGGCCCCGGGTTCAATCCCCGGTCAAGCCCTACATTTTGCTCGGACGCACCGATGGCATCCGCAGGAGAGACAGACTCGTGCAGACGGTGGGTCGTACTCTTTTTGATCTTCAGACTCAGAGTAGAACGGGAAGAGCACCTGCAGGACTTGGATGTTCGGGCCCATATATAATCTGAGCATGACAGCGGTCAGAAGGAAACAATGCGTGGTGACCACGACCTACTAAGGCTTAAGCGCTTACCGGTTACCTCGTACCTCCTCTGTCGACTTGGATCGACCCTTACATGGCACTCACTGTGGAACAACAGACATGCATGCAGCATGCTGTATGCAACATTACAACCGCCGCTCAACTGATCCGTCTACCCACCGTCGTAGCTGGTTTGAAACAGTGATCCCGCTAGCAGTGGTAGCCCAGTACATACAGCCAGTGCAATACAGTCACTGGTACGAGCCATCATATGAGATCAAGACTGCTTCGTATATGCATTGTTGAGCCTGAACCTTTCTGATCTCTTCTATCAGTGACAACTTCGCTCGAAACTGGCTCAACGAAGTACCGATGGGCGTTCGCCCATCTAGGACGTATGCATACGTCCGCAAACTGAATCGAGCGGCAGGCTGTTCTGTCAAGCTTCTCTGCAGCATCGTTACAACAGGCGTGCCACCTGCGTGCCACGGTGGGATGGGATGATCGAAGATCGATATCGCGATGTAGTCGCGATGCAATCTCCCATCATATGGGCTCGGCTACTACCGTGGATGTATCACTACTACTGCAAGAGCATCGCAGCTGAGCATAGGGTCGTTCCTCAGTCTACATCACTGAAGCTTTGTTCTGACAATGGCTAGTCTAGTTATCATTTGACCGTGAAACCCGCCAGTCTGCTTCCCTCAGCAGGCCACTCATACTTGACGACGGGTGAATGGTACACATATGAAAGTGAAACAGGCTGCGTCGCAAGAGCCTCTGTAGGTACCGCTTACCGCCGCATCATCCGACTGTGTAGATCCATATACCATGATCAAGCACAAAATTGCTGCACAATGATCCGAGCTGATGCGATGAACGGCGCGATATCTTGCCAGAATCGTCGCTGTGATCCCCAAGTCTGTGCCATGGCTACGCATAGTACCAGCACATAAAAAGAGAGGGATGCCTACCGCGTCCCTCAGCTCCTCTTCTTCTTTCGAGCTCACCGAGTAGGTTGCCGGCAAGTAAGTGTTCAGCGACGGTTGCAGTGTGGATGTTGCACTTATTTCTTGGACCCCTCCAGCCTCGCTCTCTTTTTTGACGATTCACGTTCATTCCACCGAAATCCTTCGTAACGACCCCAGTACATACAAGACATCATGCGTTACTCTACGCTCGCCTCTACTGTCCTTTTGGCGGTGGCAACAGCTCCCGCGCTCGCTCACCCAGTCACCATGTGAGCGCCTCGCTATTCATCATCATCTCATAGCTGACCATGCAGTTACAGTCGCGCGACCGAAGATGCATCCATAGTTGAGCGTGAGCTCCAAGACGGACTCATAGAGCGCGGCTACTACGACGACCTTGTCTCTCGAGACCTCGAGGCACGCACTCCTGTAGATAGTAGGGAGCGTGCCGCGATCACGCTTCGTAGGATGAGGGAGCAGCAGGAACGGCAGCGTAAAGGCGACGCCGCAGACAAGGAGCGCGCCGCGAAGGCGCTTCGTCTGAGGAAGGGGTCGATGAGTCAACCGACCAAGTCACCTCATTACTCCCAGTCTAGTGGGGTTGGTCCGTCTCTGCAACATCCGAAGCCTCAACGCCCGTCGGAGAAAGCCAAATTTTTGCCACCCCGGGAGTACGACCTCGACGGCGAGCTGTTCATGTGAGCCCCTCGCTATTTGTTCTTTTCTCGTGGCTGACCATGCAATAACAGCCGGACGACCGCGGATGCCTCCGGTGTCATGGTTGAGCGTGAGCTCCAAGACGCACTGATGGAGCGCGGCTACTACGACGACCTCGTCTCTCGGGACCTCGAGGCGCGCAAAAACTTTGATCATGGAGACCCTGTCGGGGAACGGGAGCGCGCCGCGAGGGCGCTCGCGCAGAGGAGGGCGGCACAAATGGAGGCGGCGGCGCAGAGACTTAGGCACGTCGGGATGACCAACCAGGGCCACGCTGGGCCAAGTCGTCCTCCTCATCCGCCGCAAGGTGGCTCTGGGCAGAACGGCTCCGGGCGGGGGTCGGGAGCCCAACCTCGTCCCCGGGAGTATGACCTCGACGGCGAGCTGTTCGAGCGCAGCTTCGAGGTAGACGAGCTTGACTGAGCGGACGTACTTTGCATGATTGTGGGGCCGCTACGATGTATTTCAGTCTGTTCTACGCATCGTGTACATTGTTGCGTACTTGAGATGTCAATCGTAACGTGAAGACTCATTCGTGCGTGCTGGGGGATTTGATGATCAGTTGAGTGTCGCTCATGCATACAATGCCATTATGCAGGCCCACCATCCCGAGCAGTAACCTTATATGTGTGGCCAGGTGGGACTCGGAGTGACCATGAACTTGAAGCTGGCGGAACGATAGCCGTCCTGCAGTGGCCGTCCTTCCGAAAATTAATGTTGAACCCCGACTTCAACTTCGAGAACGTCGTCCGTATGCATGAGAGCACCTCACAGGTGAGACGACTTCAGGCTGTTAAGAGAGTACTACTTGAGCGGTCCAAGCGCGAGTCACCCCTCGGGAGCTGGACGGCGAACGGCTGTTGCATTCGTTGGTAAGCTGGCGATGGGCGTTCTCCAGCTGGATGTTGACGCCGAGCGGCGGCCCTGCAGGTGCGTACGAATCCGCGACTTGGGGAACTCGGACGTGAGTGGGCGCGTTCGTCAGAGTCGGTCAAGGGCAAACGCATGCGCATGCTGCTCTGGTGTACGCGGCCGCGACAGGTCTACAGCAACTGCAAGTCAGTCTCGGCAGAGCAGAATACCGGGAGAAGGGGACGTACCACCGTCGCGGCGTTGCACAGATGCAGCGTATGAGTGTCGAAGGAGGGGCGCAGGCGGTGTAGTACCAGTACCCGGGGTGGATACCTATATATGGTGGCGGCGCCGGGGCGAGGGCAGGGTCCCCTGTCAAGCCCTTCATTTTGGTCTTACCGCACACGTAAACACGCCCCCCTGCAAGCATCGCAAGGATCGGTACGTTGTGACGTTGCTTCATATTGAATGAACAGAAGAGACGCAGGCGTCAGGAATGCAGCTGTGGTGGTACAAGGTGTGACTGCTTCAGACACATTGATTTCTGCTCGTTACATCTCATAGCTTCCCTGCACCCTCGACGCCCCACCCCTTCTCGTCTTCACCGAAGATCTCCGCAAACGCGCCGCCAATCTCGCCGAGCATGTCCTGCGTGACGACCCCCCTGCCCTTCTTCGAGAACGCGCGCCGCGAGGCCGCGCGCGTCACCATAGAGCCGCCGACGGCCGCGAGCAATGGCAGACGCGACAGCGGGAGGGTTTTGTCGCTGAGTGCGCGAGTTTTGTGTGAGTGGATGAGTGGATGAACAGCGCGGAGGAGAGTGGGACGTACCCAAATGCGCCGGTCTCGTAGCACTTGCCCCAGGCGAGCATCGTCCCGACGCTCCCGCTGAGGATGTCGCCCTGTCCGCCGCACCGCTTGTATCCGCCCGGTGTATCGACGACGACTTGTTCCTCTGTTGACTGGGAGCCGGAGAGCTACGAGCATGGCCGTCAGCATCACAGAGCCCGTGGCCATTGTGGGAGAATCATGGACTCACTGTGCTCCCAGTGTCGGTCGCGATGATGTCTTCTTTGTTCTTCTGCAGGATGGTTACACCGCCTAGCACGCGCGAGATTCGCATGGCGTGTTCATCTGGTGGGCTCTTTGGGTCCACGCCCTGTGGCATTCAAAGCATCGTTGGTAAGGCTCTCGTGAAGGAAACGAGGACTACAGGAAACTCTCACAGCGTTATCACTCAGCCGCTTGAATTCCATGACGTTTGGCGTGAGGACAACCTTGCGGTAGCCTTTGATGAGGCTCAGGTCTTGGCCGATCATCCACAGTGCGTCTGCATCCAAGACGACATACATATCCTGTAGTCCCCATACGTCAGGTCGACGACCTCAGGACTGGTTGCGGTACCATTCACGTACCTGTTCCTTCGCGATGTTCAGCGCCATCTTTGCGAAATTTTGCATGTAGTCCTCCCTTCCCAGCCCCGGCCCGATGACAAGTACATGAAGGCGCTCCAACAGTGAGGACAGAATAGGCTTCACTTCGGTGGGCGATCTTCGTGGTCCGTTGGACCCGACGCGCGGTGATGGTTAGTCCCTTGCTCAGTGATAAGCAGCTGCAAGATACTCACTGGTCCTCACGAAGGATAGGGTGGACGATGAGGTCTGGAGAGTAGGACTTGATTGCACCGGCGGCCGTAGGTGAGCAGATTACGTGCGAGAGGTCCGCGCCGATACGGAGAGCTGAGATGGATGCGAAGAACGGTGCGCCGGTGTAGCTAGGCTGAAGTCAGTCTCAGGAACCGTATTGGGAGATCTGCGACGTACTCGAGTGCGCCTCCCAGGACGCCGACTCTGCCAGACTGACCCTTGTGCAGCGAGCCGTTGAGTGGCGGGATGATCTGCCTGATTTCGTTGAAGAGCTGGCGAGGAACAGGCATCTTGTTGTCGTTATATCGGTCGTAAGTCGTGAATCTAAGTTGAGGGCGGCGTGTAGGAAAGGTCGGCAACGATCGCTGGGCTTTGTACGAGGTGGGTGTGGAGGGAGACCCGCCCAGTGACGTCGAGGTTATGGGCGCTTCCCCGGCTTACATACTCTCGGCGCCGGAATTATCACAGCAACTTGCAAGCAACTTGCATATGTCGAGCTAAGTACGATTGTCCGGGGTTGGCATTTAGCGGAGTCGACTGCGCCGATGCAGACTGCGAGCAGGAGGTTGCACACCGAAAGCGCGGGGGCTGCGGACAAGTCGCGAGTCGATGTTTGGGTCGATCAGGCACTTAGACGCGGCTTTGTCCGAGGCGTAGATCCATCGGCCATATCCATGTTCGTCGTTCGGCGGCGCTCGCAGCCTCGTTCGAACTGCACGTTGGGCGTGATTTTCGGCGGAAGATTACTATAGGATAGTCGAGCTTTCCAACAGGTATCCATTAGATATCCGCCGGCGGGCTTTCCCAGGGCTTTCCGCCCAGTACCAATCGTTTATTCACTGTCAGGTTACGTAAAGCGGTCGCGGGCCCGTGACCGCATCCGTCGCGCCGCGCCGCGCATACAGCCACTATCTCTGAGTGCGCGCAATGCGCATACAATTGTAACCTGTACCACGACGTCGAAAGTCTGAGTCGCGACTTCGCGCAGCCCTCCCGTCGCCCTCAAGATATCCTCTCCAACAATGTCGACAGTGACCCGCGACCATTCGACCATACAAAAAACGCCGCAGGTGCAGCTAAGGCCCTTCGCCGGTCGTAGTGGGATCAGAGCAGCAGGCGTTGGTCTACACACATGTCCATGCAGCGTGTGTCGCGCGAACCCACGTAGCGATCTTCAAACCCGACGAAATATTTTAAAGCACAAAAAGAAGGACGAACAGCGCAAGTACACAGCTCGCCTCCTCGAAGCTCACAGAGAGACTGAGGAGCGCGAGGCTCTTGCATGTACGACCTCAAAAAAAGCGCAAGGCTTGAAGCTTACCGAGATGGTCACTGACTCGGAGAATGGAGCCAATGCACAGGCTGAGGTATGGGATGAGCGTGGAAGCACTGTGTTCGGCCAGAACTGATGCGACTACTACAGGAATCCCGTGCGCATATAGCTCGGAGGCAGGACGACGACTTAACTGTTGCTCGAGCTCCAGTAGCAGACTTGCACTCTCCATTTCCAACATCCCGGTGAGTACATGTGCCTGTCATTGGCCGAGGCAATACCTTGACTTGTACCACTCAGTCAAAGCTCGGTCTTGAGCTATGTTGATCAATACATGGCCGTGCCATACTCGGATTTGCGGGGTAAGCACGCCCATAAGTCCAGTGAACCTTGTACTAACTCAGGTATGTTCCTCTCAGCTCATGTGCATGAACATGCAACGCCCATCCGATACGCGCACTCGAACGCGAGCGATTCGGAGGCTGCACTGGCAAACAAAGGCGAGCAAGTTCGTGTCGTTCGACTCTCCTGACTCAGGAGAGTCGGACGGTACCGCTTCTGCGCGGTTTCGCGTACTACTTGCTCGTCTTGGGCTGCCACTGAGGAGAAAGAAGAGTCCCTCGACCCGTACTGCGGAGACGATTGAAAACCAGCTCAGCGTCGTGCAGGACATGTACCTCAGGCCGAGCGGTTCGACAAATGAATATTTATGGGTTCGTGTCGACCTACATCTATGACGCTATAATGCAGACGACGGATGGTACATGCGACCGTCTAAGACCCACACCCAAGGCCACGCACAGCACCGGATATCAGGTGGAAAGCAAGTGATGTTAGTACAGATGTAAGTATGCGAGTATGCTAAGTAGGATGGATCCGATCAGACGACGAAAGGACGGAGGGGGCAGATGAGCAGGTACGAGCAGCAAGACAATCATGCTTTGGGCTTGCGCCCGTACTTGCGCCTGTACTTGCTGTCGATGCTCTCGAGGTAATAGCCACCCGGCCAGATGTTGTCGAGCGAGCCCTCGGGGACGTACGAACCCGCGTTGTGGTTCTTCTCCCGGAGCTGCGCATGTCGCAGTTAGTACTCCGCTCTTAAGACAGCGAGGAAAGTCGACTCACAGTAAGAGCATCAACGTATGCCTGGCACGGCACGACCTTCATACTCTCCAGCCTGTTGAGGAGGTCCATCTTCTCCCGGATGGTGGTCGTGTCGCCCTTCACGTTGATAGTGAAGAAGCTGCTCGCGAGACCACTGCCGAACGCGAACATGCTGATGCGCTTGCCCTTGATCGCAGCAGGCTCGACGCTCGCGAGGAGCGACGCAAGACCGCCGTACAGCGACGCGGTGTACATGTTGCCGCACCGCCGTGCGCAGCGCATGCCATGCTCGACCGTGCCGTCGAACTCCTTCTTTGCGACACCAATGAAGGTCTTCTCGAGCGCCTTGTCTGTGAGCGACTCCTTGTAGGGCTGCGCGAGGATCGCCTCGGGGTTCGGGACGTTGGCGTACTTCGGCGACTTGGGGTTGGCCATGAAGTCGTTCCAGACCTTGGCGCTGCCTGTCAGACGCGAGAGATGCTAACCAGCTCGTGAGCACTCACCAGACGTGCGTGCGCCTTCTGGACCATCTTGCCGTACGGGCTGTGGAAAACAGGGAAGTCGACATCGTCGAGCGAGAACGCTGCAAGCGAAGTCGCCGCATCGCCATTGCCGTTCAGGCTCGCAACCTTCTTCGCCTTGGCGTGTTTCCGGCGGTACGCAGTGTAGGCAGCATCGATAGCAGAGACGTAGGCGGTGATAGAGAGGGGGCCGTCAACCTCGGGGTACTCGGACCCGAGCTTGGGCTTGTAGAAGTCGTAGGTGTTGGCCATGTGCGTGCCATGGGTCGCTGATCAACAAGCAAGGAAATCAGCAAACCAGGCCCAAGACGTCACAGATAAGGGGTGTGAAAACGCATGTTGTGTTAAACATACACGGGTGCGTCATCGCGAGACGGGAGGGAATAGACGCGATCGGGCGAAGCCACAGGCTAAAAGGCAAAGACATGATACTCACGCTCAAAGACCAACGGGGCGTTGGGGCCAATCAGCATGGCAAATGCACCCGCACCGCCAGTTGGCCGGCCGCTGCCCTCGGCATAGATGGCGATATCGCCGCCCACGACGATCGCGTTCCGGCCGTCCCAAGACGAGGACTCGACCCAGTTGATGGCGTTGAACAGGGCCGCGGTGGAGCCATAGCACGCGTTTTTCGAGTCGACGCCCTCGACGTCAGTGTTGCCTGCCTCGGCGAAGAGGTCCATGAGGACCGTCTTGGTCGCCTTGGACTTGTCAATAATGGTCTCCGTGCCGACGTCGATGCGGCCAATGGACACGGGATCGATGTTGTACTTCTCGAGCAGGTTAACGACGGCTTATTGCAATACGAAGTCAGGGCACGCGTTGGCAGCAAACACGGAATATGCTCACCAGTGAGGGCGAACGAGTTGATGTCCTCCCGGTCGTCGCAACACGCCATGAACTTCTGGCCGAGACCAATGGTGTACTTGCCCTTCGAGACACCGTCAAACTCCTCGAGCTCCTCCTCCGAGATGCACTGTATGCGACCTGCTCAGAATTACGCGTTGTGTAGTCCACTGCCCTCCACTCACCCTCTGCGGGAAGTACATCTCCATGGCGAGGAGACCGACGTCCTTGGGACGGGTGGGTGCCTCGACGTCCTGTTGGGCGCGCGCAGAGCCGTTGAGAGGGATGGTCATGGTGAGGGGTGGGATGTCTACGAAGGGATACGACCTGGGCTGGAGGGTGTGCAGGGAGGGTGAGGACGAGGGGAGAGAGGACGGCGATAATCAAGTGTTATATAGAATCTGAGGACGAGATGGGTCGACTTTGGGTCGACTGTCGGAAAATATGTTTTTAGCGAATGGAAATGCTGGTGGTACGACCACCGTCTCCTGCCACCCCGTCCGCGCCTCTGATTGGCTGCCCCGCAGCCTCCTCCCTCCTGCCAGACACCATCGCCATGGCCTGACTTTATGCCCTCCAGCGCCCCGGCAGGTCGCTAGCAAGTTCCCGGTGCTACAGAGTACGCAGAGATGGCTCCATGTCGTCGAGCGCCGCGGCGCTGCAGCCACCGTCCTGCCCGATCTGGCTAGCAAGCAAGCACGGCTCGCGCTTTTGTCTCGTCCTGCATCCTCCTGCATCCAGCGGCCGTCGAGGAGCTCTGCGCCTCCTTATCTGCAATGGTCTTGTCTCGGTATTGTTATCGCCTGCCACAGATGCGCTGTTAGAGCGAAGTCGCGGAAGTCGCCTGCTCAGGCAGCGTCCAATCCGGTTCACGGGTGCACCGATTTCTCCACACCCCAGACACGCTCGCCTTGTCTCCATCTTGCTCTCACGGAAGGTCTCAGGCACGTAAACTAAGCCGGGCTATGGCTTTTCTCCTGTGACTCTCCTCGCGATAGCATCCTGGGAGCGCGTACAGTCTGATGGCGTACTCGAACACGACTGCTCAGGATGTACGTATGTCAGTTCTATGCGTTCACATGAATGTGCTGAGTCCGGCTCCGGTCGCTTCGCCTGTAGCCTTTCCAATTGTGAGCGAGCGAATCTGTGGAACCGCTGCCTGTAACAGTGCCTGCTTTGGCAGGTCCTGCGCAGGTTCTGTCAGTGCACAGCGGCACGTCCACGGTCCAGACGCGGCCCTACCCTCCAGATCTCAGAGGCGAACACAGAAGTATGGGTGATTACGTCCACTCAACTTGGCGCAACTGCTAAGGACCCCCATTTATTGGTGGGGAGGCCTGATCCCGCCGCCCGAGATTTTGGCATTTTTGTCCGGACGTAGACGTCCAAATTTGTCCGGATTAAATCAGGCCTCAGGGAGGATTGTCCGCTGCTGTCCGGACTGTGCATCAGGCCTTGGTACGAGCGAATCGGTGTCCGGATTGCAAGATCAGGCCTCGTCAGCCATGTAACTCATGGTAAATAGAAATGGTCGGGCAAGTGAGCACCAACGGTGCACGGATGGGGTGGCTACTGGTCGATGATCATGCCAGCAGTCGTATTCGTCGCGCACAACGTGCTATGGCTGCTCGGCATTCGACGTCAGGGAAGTCATGATGCCGACCTTGCGCATGCAGCGGACGTGTAGGTCAGCTTCAGGTTGTGCCGCGACAGGTTGCGACGCTACATGGACGGTTGAGGTGTCCGGACAGGATCAGGCCTCGCGGGGCTGGAGGAACCATGTCCGGATACTGGCTCAGGCATCCGCCCTCATGAACGTCGATTTTGTCCGGATTACATCAGGCATACCCCCCTCAAAATGGTCTGGTTTTGTCCGGATTGGGATCAGGCCTCTCCCCCAATTAATAGGGGTCCTAACTGCTATCGCGGTTGTTGCTGCTTTGGCCCAGACTTGTAGACTTCCTTTCTGGAGCTGCGGCCAGGCATTATCCGGCCTTAAGGCGGTCTGTGCAATCGATGTCTCCCACCCACGTCGACATGCATCCTGCGCACATCCGCCAATTCTGCCTGTCTATCAACATCTACGTCTCATGCGCGGCAAAGCAATTCGAGATCCTGTTGAACGGGGAACTCTGCGATGCATTGCACACGTCAACTGATGGTATACTTCTCGTAAGCTTCGCGACCGCCAAGCCTCCGCTCATCCACGAGTTCATACTAATAGTAATAGAGAGGCAGGCAGGGAGGGCTGATCGGCGTGTAAAATACAAACAGTGTAAGTACTTTTCGCATGAACATGACAACAAAGGACTATGACATGTATGCAAGGTCGTATTCGAGGATCGCAGACTGGTTGCGAGCTGGGGCGTACTGAAGGACGTCGCCGGTCCACGCGCGTGTCGATCCTGCCAAGGCAACGTGTCTCATATCTGTCGGTGAGTACCTCATATTTTTGTTCCTGTGATGCTGATTGAAAATGCATCCATCATCGGTCTACACAGCTCAAAAGCCGCAGAATGTAGGTCCGGTGTACTAACGATGAGGCACTCGGTCAACTTGCCGCACGAAGTCGTACCATCCTGTTATCAAGCTTGCGCGGTGAAACCGCTGCGGGGTGGTCTACATGTTGATGCGTTGATTGAAGCGTCTTGGTGCGATGTGTTTAGGCGTGGTATAATTAGCGGGCCGAGTGCTAACGGAACATTGTACTACGTAAGACACTCAGGCTGAAGCCCGCATAACACACAATGATGAACATCGTCGATGTCGTGGACACCGAGTTAGCATGTAACATAACCTGTCGACGATGTTGCGCGAAGAGGCTCACGGGATGTTTTGAGAAGAGAAGGAGGAGGAGCTGAGGAGGAGGAGATACTCTCAGCCACCCGCGGGCCGGCGCTCAAGCGCTCATGGACTGTGGCGCAGCTGTAGGAGGACCTACCGACATGGTTCTGACTTGATTCTGTCTGTCTTCATCATTACTGCACTGCCCGCGTGCCTCTGGGGAAGCATATCTATACTCTTTCTGCGAACGGCCTTGCTACGACTCTGAACGATCATCACGATAGGCGCATTTGCACCTCATGCCGGACCCGGAGCCACCTCAAGCTGAAGGGGCGAAGACCGGTCACGATGACCTGGACGATGCATTGGACAGCATGCACATAGGTGAGGGAGGCTCTGCTGTACACCACATCGACACAGAACCCAACCCATGGAGCGACCCTACGTCCCCTCAACCTGACGTGGACTCGTTCGAGCGTACGCTGCACACGCCCGATCCCGCATCCTTGGATCCTACGGCCACGCAGGGCTTCGTCTCAGGAGAGATCACAGAGCCGCATCCGCACGCGAGCGAGGAAATTCTACTGGAGTTTGACCCTCTGGCCAGCTCGGAGGAGAAGGCTGCGCGTGAGGCATGGGAGAGCTCCGAGGCACATCCACCACCACAGCCTCCGCCGAAGGACGAGACGTCGTCCGCGGGTGCTGCCTCAGAGCAGGCTGCGGAAGGCACCTCGTCCGACCAGCCAGGTGCCTCCACGGCGGACTCACCATCCGCAGCCGCAACCGCCTTCCCTTCGCTCGCAGCTCTCGCGCGCACCTTCTCCATCCCGCTCGGCGGACGCACTCAACGTCCGCGATCCCTCGAGACAGCTACTGCCGTACCCTCCCCTGCTACCCTTTCCTCATTCGCTCAGCAGCAATCAGCACCACCGGCGCGCACGATGATGGTCGACCCCGAGAACTCGAGTGCCACGGAGGTCAGCGGGGGCAGTGGCCGGAGCACGCCTGGGAGTCGGGATCCGGGGCGGGACAGAGGGAAGGCAGTCGACAGAGACAAACCGCCCTTTGACTTCCAGACGTTCCTGGACCAGATGAAAGTGAAGGGCGCGGAGCCGGTGGCGAAGTTTCTGCGGTCGTATGTCAGTGTCACTACTTCTTTCTGTATAGTTGTTGATTATATAGGATGTATGCGTGCGTTTGATATCGTAGATTCCTCAGCAACTTTGCGAAGAGGACATTCACGGTCACTGATCAAGTAAAGTTGATCAACGATTTCCTCGGTGTAAGCAATCTTTACTGTCTATCTCCGATATCGTTCAAGGCCCAACATTGCATATTTTACGTAGTTCATCGCTGAGCGAATGCGGGAAACGGATGTGTGGAAGAATGCTTCGGATGCCGAATTCGACAACGCAATGGAGGGCATGGAGAAGCTCGTCATGAACCGACTCTATGACTTGTACGTGACCACTCGATCTTGAACCATACATGAGGCTGAGTATCTCCTCATTACAGCACTTTTACTCCTGCGGTGGTCCGGATGATCCCTCCTCGACCGGTGACAGTAGACGATCTGGAGCGTGATCGGGTACTGTCACAACGAATAGCGTTGTTCAAGTGGATCGAACCCCAACATTTGGACGTCCCTGAGGGCGAAGGTAGCGAGGGCTTCATGATGTTTGCTCAGCAAGGTCGGTCCCACTCACCTAGAATTCGTGACACGGGAACGTTCGCTGACGTGTCTACTCTGAACACAGAGCTGCTCAAAGTCAATCACTACAAGGCACCCAGGGACAAACTCATCTGCATCTTGAACAGCTGCAAGGTCATCTTTGGTCCGGTTCCCGTCCACTCGTCCGCGGCCTCTCTGACTGACTGTCGTTCCCTTGTCCCCCATTAACTCGATAGGATTGCTCAGACACCTTCACAAAGAGGAGGGTGCCGATACTTTCGTACCAATACTAATCTACGTCGTCTTGAAGGCGAATCCACCTAATCTCTTGTCAAATGTGGAGTAAGCAGCAGAAATGGGTTTCGAGTTGGTCTCACAATTAATGACACGCAGGTTCATCAACCGCTTCCGCAATCCTGCAAAGCTGCAAAGTGAAGCAGGTTACTATCTCTCTAGTCTCGTGAGTGTAGTCGCCTTCTATTGATAAGGCTGGTATACCAACGACTTCTAGATGGGCGCAGTATCATTCGTCGAGACAATGGATCATACATCACTATCGAACATCACGCAGGAGGAGTTCGAGAAGTATGTACATTTCGTTATGACCAGTTTGCATGTCTAACATGCCTTCAGGAACGTCGAGCTGTGTATCCAGTCCCTACCGGCCAGCGGAACTGCTACACCAGAGTCATCTACACCATCGTCGGGCATCTCAAGAGCCTCCACACCCTCGCGACCATCCCCCCACTTAGGCGAGGAGTCTGCGCAGCCGCTTGCTCTCCCGACACCTGCGCAGGTGCTGAGCGAAGACGCCCGTCGACTACTGCAGAAGACCGGAGACACGCTCTCCAAGCCGCTGAACGCCATCAGCCGCATCTTCAACGAAGTGCTCGACAACGCCGAGGAGTCCTTTTCGACCCTCCCCTCTCCTTTCAACCCCGAGACAACGCGCGATCAGGGGCAATATCAGCAGCAGCAGCTGGAGCAAGACCAGCAGCTCGCGCAGCACCTCGGGTTCGCGGTCCCGCAGACGCCCTTTGGCGCAGGGGATGGCGGGCAGCAAGTCGGCGGGTACAGCACACCCATGCAGACGCCTTACAAGCAGCGCGTACGAAGAGTCCCTTCGCCGCTCTCAACAGGCCAGTCTCCAGGATCGTATACCCTCGGCTCGCCTTCGGGCATCGACACCCCCTCACGACCACCCCGCGGGCCCGCTCCGATGTCACCCTCGATGGCGCCTCCACGCAGCGCCTCCGCCATCCACTCGCGGCCGGGCTCCGCGGACCTACGGCCACAATCAGCGCACATCTCGCGGACGCCCACGCCGAGCTTGGACCTGGCCGGCTTGCAGGACGAGATCGACCGCGCGCACGAGAGGGCGGCGGTCGCGGCGCGGGAGACGTTGAAGCAGATATTCCCCACGTCGGACCCGGAAATAATGGACTGGGTTCTGGAGGCTAATGAAGGCGACCTTGGGAAGAGTATTGAAGCACTCTTGGAGATGAATAGCGGGAGTTAGATGCAAGACGGGTTTCATATGTGTTGACGATCATTATGGAATTGATTTTTTCAGAAAACACGTATAACACATCGCTGATTCCTAGCTCTGGCCCGGGGGGACTAGGACACACTTCTATATACGATTGAGACGAATCAGGATCAAGTTACACGTCGCTTTCTAGTCCGGTTTCGACTCAGAAAGCATTCTGCCCTGAACGGTATGATCGGAACATGTCCATGGGTAGCATCAATACCGTGCCCTAGGACGCTTCGCGTGCTGTTGCTTTTCACGATACATGATAATCCATCCTGTCACAGGCTCTGATGCGAATCATCAGAGACTATCGAAAGCTACCTTCATGAGAGCAAAACGTCAGTGCACCACTATGTGACAGTAACCGATTTCTCACTTTGGCGATCACTTCTTGGACTTTGGAGGCAATGGAGTCACAGAAAGTGATACAAGAGCGCGACGGGGGATAACATTGCGAAGAACCACAACCGTCTTGAATCATAGCAGAAATATGGGACATGGCTGTGTACTCCTTAATCGTCTGCGGTGACGGGCGTTGGTGCATGCGTTCAACAGCGTCGGAAATCGCTCGGAGAACCCATCCCGTCGGCTGCCCATTCACATAGTGGTGACAGCTGTTGCAATGAATGCTCTTTCTTGCGGCGTCATCGAGCCAGGCGGTCGTCTGTGAGCCGATGGCAATGATGGCGTCCCTGCAACTGGCATGATAGGTCAGGAGACGGTAGTAGAGCCGGGTCGATATGTCCTCCAAGGCCGGTGTGTACGCGGCTTCGATATGCTCAATCGTTTTGGACAGCAGCGCATCCGCAGCATTTCTCGCCTCCGCCGTCCAGCCGTAAGAAGATGCAAGAACGTATGCTCGGAAAGGGTCGAGTGGGATGTAGCGTGGCCAAAGGAGCTTCATGAACCATATGGCCTTCTCCACCCTATACTTCCGTGCTGCACCCGCTAAGAGGGCTATGAAAGTAAAATCGTCCGCTGGTATATCCAAGGTGGCCGTGGGGTGGCAGAGATGCAGTAGACCTGCAAGCGTCCTACTATCCTCCTCCACCGAGACGTGTTGATCTCCGCAGCCCTCCTTCACGTTCGTGTCCAATGTCGCACGAGCGGGAAGTCTGTCCGCGAGCCCAGGAGCAACCATTGAGATGAATGTCGCTTGCACGCGGAAGCAGACATTGTCCGAAGTCGTGATGACTACGTCGGCTTCAGGAGAATCGAATGGCGGCGGAGCACCCGAGACGGGCCCTGGCGGAGCCAGCAAGGCCCGTGGCGAAGCCAGGATTCCGCGTTTCCCGCGTTTCTTCTCTTTCTTAGATTTCCTGCCATGCGCATGCGCCGTGCAGAACTCGAGCTCCTGCCACTGGCCTCGTCGTCTGTAGTACTGCAGCAACCTATGGAAGCACCCTGCTGGTACTTTGTCGAGCTCCTCCACATATACCATCCCCTGCTTGAATATTGATTGCGAATGGGCTTGCTCAGCAGCAGACTTGGCCATCTCTTCGAAGTTCAGGCGGCAAGCGATTGCGAAGACGCGCAGCGGCTCGCGAATTACGAAGGCCTGCAACTTCCGCTCGCCGAACTGGGTGGCCTTGGCAACCTCGTACTTCATCGCTGCTTCTAACACGCTACGTACAGCGTCGAGATCGTCGAGAATGGGATCGCCGAAAGGGTAGCAGGCATCCAACAATCCACGTATGGTCTTGCCATCCTCCGTCAGATCGACGACCGCCGGAGGGAAGGCAGTGAGCTGATCGGCCGCTGGAACCGGAGATTTGGAGGGCTGGGGAAGGCTGAACATGTCTGCAAAGACAGGCGACGCCATCGTCAGGATGTTACGATGGACCCTATACGAGATGTTGTCGCAAGAGCGGAAGATCACGTCGCCATCTGTTCGGTCATAGGGTGCTTTGAACTGGGGTAGATCTGCGCAGTCGGTCGTCATGTTCGGACTGCTCGCGTCGTCGATCGTCTTATTGGAACTGCTCGCGTCGTCGCCGTCGACCATGCTGAGCTAAGATAGAAAGCACGATCTATGTACATCATCAAACAAAGCTTAGTCTCCGGAGAACCGTCATGGAACTCACCTGGTGGAACGGTAGGCGCGATGGTCGAGGGTCGATAAACGACCTTGCAGGTGAGTGTTCGGGAGTTGAACGTTTGAACGAGCACAGCGGCGGCAGCGTCACCCTTATCACTGATCAACGTACGGATTTGGTAGGAGGGAGAAGTGACAGAACTTAAGTTAGTCGAAGCTACGTAAAACTTACGACATGGTGGAGGTTTCTGGTTTACATATGAACTGAACACATACAATAGGGTCCAGCAACTACCACGACATTTACAGACGCGTCGCACTCTGCACGATCGTATGGGGGCCGCAACTCTAGGGTGCGCACCTTGGCCGTGTACGTCTCTTCGTCCGTCACGCGGCGTCATCATGCAGGTTCGAAAAGTGAGGCCGCGTAGTGGCCTGAGGAGGCGCGTCAGTTCTACACATAGTTGCCCATAGTTAAGCACGCACATATACTCGTCTGCAGCTTGAGCTGAATTAGAACACTACAGTACGATGAGAGCGTAGACTGTCAGTGTGCGTGACTGGCCGGGAGAAACGCTCTCGGACGTCGAAGCGCTCGCGAATCACACCAGCAGGGCGTTTATGCAGTGCCGCAACCGCATTTGGCAGGTATCGATGCCGCAGAAAACAATGCAGGAGCAAGAGTTGGGCGGCCCGTTCATGGAAATCTGCGTAGTACGCATACACGAGATGAAGCAGAATAGCTTGCTTCGCATACAATGTGGGTACAAACACTGTGGCTTCTTAATCTCCCCTAGGCAGACCTTAAAGAAGACCTCTTGGACGGACAGGGGGGGGCGGTCTTCTAAGGGTGGCTTCTACTTAGCCAATGATTGACCTTCGCAACCTCCATTGTCAGCCACCTCCAGCCCCAGTGGCCAGGCTTCAAGCTTGTCAGAGGCTGCGATAATAAGTCAGCCATCGTTTCAGTCCGAAAATTCACCCGGTTGTGCTGTTGTCGTTCTTGCGAGATATCCAAACACCTGAGTCATGGCTCAGCATAAGACTCCTCGAGCGAACGACAACACACTTAACTTCTGTGATAACCCCACATGCATGATATGGAAAGGGGCAGCGGATTTCAGCAGATGTAAAGGCTGCAACATCGGCGAATACTGTGTGAGCATAGTTCCCGCTCGTGTAAGCGTAACTGGGGTCCGTGCTCATAGACATTCAGTCAAAAGAATGCCAAAAGCAGGCCTGGCCGTCGCATCGAACCTCTTGTCAAAAGTCACAGACCGACAGGCGCATGCTCAACGATAAGCAGCGCGAGCTCTGGGACGACCTCCAGCGCTGGGCAGCGCGTCATCGGACGCCTCTGTACCATGGCATGCTCGCCGCATTCGATCTCGAGCGACGCCCTCAAGCACACGAGACCCACTGGCTAGGCGTGCACCTCAAGTACTTGCCCAAGGGAGCGGCGTGCCCAGATGAACATCTTCAGATCGTCTCGATCAGCGCCGTAGAATGGAAGTCGACCATCAACTCATGCAAGCCATTCGTCAAGCATACGTTCGACGCAATCTTCAAGAAGCGAGTGACACTGGAGCAGCAAACGAGGTCACTCCCGCATGGTGCCACTCGTGGAATCGGCATGGTCGTGCTCTTCGTCAACTTGGAGCCTACCGGAGCCATGGTCATGGAGTTGCCGTATCGCATACAAAGCGGAGACATACCACGACGTGTATACGGCACCGCCGATTGGATTTCACGCTTGAAACAGGACTTGGAGAAAGTTCAGTAGGACGGGCCGCGGCGAGTGCAAGTGCCCGGCGGGCAGCGCGGAGTTGTGATAAAGCTGAGATCAGCAACGTCGTCGCGCTTGCCTATCTATTGCATACCATGGCAATTGATTGTAAATCAAGCAGGCAAACCAATCAATCCCACATACGGGCTAATGTCGAAGTACGAGAGCTACGCATGACTCTTGAATAGAATGTCGGTACTAACCTGGCAACCCGAATCGTGTCGTGAGTCTCAATAACGGAGAGATGTTTTCACAGAGTACATACCGCCGTGATGACTTCTTCGTTAGCCTCAGTGAAAGCAGCCAGCAATCGTACGATGTCGATGTGCGATACGCATTCGACGCAGCTCGAGCAGCTTCCAACCTGGACGCACAACTCCCCGATCAGAATCGCGTCGTCCGAAACAGCTTTGCGCGGACGATCGCGTAGTGCCTTGAAGCGAGCCAAGCAAGTATCGGCCCAGCGCGATGCCGTCGCATTCGTCAGCGTGCGCGAACACAAGCCTCCAGGGCAGTGTCGTGGTACGTCTCCTACGAACGCCCTCGCCCAAGATTTGCGCACCGCTCCATCTGCCGCTGCCGCGCACTTATCGTGGTACTGTAGAAGACGGAAGTAGTGGCCGGCCGAGACGTCCTCCATCACAGGGTCGTACGCTCTTCGGAGGTCTTGGCTAGTCCACGACAGGAGCCGTCTCGCTGCCTCGATCGCTTCGTCCTTCAGACCATACGCAGAAGCGATGAGATACGAACGCAGAGGAGATTCGACGGACAATTCGAGCCACCGTTTCGCGAGAGCAGAGTGTGCTCGTTTTGTGCTGTACTTTGCAGAAGCCCGGAGGCACGATGCGGCCGTCGCGTGATCGTTCATGTCTTGGGTCTCGAGCTGCAGCAACAGTTCTAGCGTCCTACTATCCTCTGGCAGCGACAGGATTGTGGGATCCAACTTGCAACTCTGCTCAGCGTCGTCGTCCGCGCCGAGCGCGGTTGGATCTTGAGACTGGAATACGGCAAAGGTCTCTTGCGATACGCTGAAACAAACAGCGTCCACGCTCCGCAGCGTATGCTGCCCTAGGTTGTCGGTTGCGGCGTCGCGGACCCGATAAACAACGTCCGATTCCTGTTGGGCCTTGAGGTCTTGTTTGGCGTCACGCTGCCGGCAGAACTCAAGGTGATCGACGGAGTAAGTGTTGCTAGCGTGCATAAGCCGGTAATAGCATCCAGTGGGAATGTCCTCCAATTGGGACACATAGACACCGCGTAAATCCCCGATGCTGAGTGGCGCATTCTGCGCTACGAGCTTGCTTGCGACAGCGTGTGCGACACCTTCGAATCCATGCTTGCATGCAACGCAGAATACGGGTAGAGGAGAGGACTCCACGCCTGCCGTCAGCTTGGCCTTCATGAAATCTACAGCCTGCACCATATCGTACTTCAGCGCGGCATGGGTGACATTGCTGATGTGCTGCCAGTCCGTCAGCACATGAATTTGCAGCTGCGGGTCCCGGACTGGATAGCAGATGCGTAGCAGATCCTCCAGTGTACGGGCGTCCTCTTCAACTGGGATAATAGGAGGCGGGCTAGAGGAAGACGTTGTCGATTGAGGTAGACTGAACATGGTCTCAAAGAAGGGCGACGCCAACGTCAAGATCTGGCGATATACGCGGAAGTTGGTGTTATCTGAAGATGACAGGATGACATCCGCATCTGGGCGATTGAACAGGGCTGGGGCTGATTTAGGACCTCCGGCGGTGGAACGAGATGAATCTGAAGCTGCTTCTGCCATCCGGTCGAGTCACGTAATCCACAAAAGCAAGCGTAGCTGGTGGGGAACCTGAGGGACAACCAGATAGTTCAGACAGTTAGGACAATACTCTCAATACTCAAACCGAGGAAACTCACCAGGAGGTTTCGACTCTCGAGGCACTGAATTGCGCACGGCGCTGAGAGCTGTGTAGAGGCGCTACCACACAACTATCGGCGGAAACCGTATAGAAAATGTGAGGGGGGATGGAGAGGATATATCCCGTTAGCGTCGCAGTACTGCGTCTGAGGGTGCGTACTCCATAATGTTCGACCTGTTGAACTGAAGGGCGCAGGACTGAGGAGGCGACTCGAACCGGCCCCCGGGGTCCGGCCACGCCTACATACTCGATCACGTGCTGCAGAGACGCGTCGCGTTTGAACCGGAAGTCGAACTTGGCCCGCCTCGCACCAACCTCTGAGGCTCTCCCGCTGCTCGCCTTTCGTAACTGGCTTCACCGACGTCTCTGTCTACTAATACATAAGACGCTTTAATTGCGTTAGAAACAGCAGTGCCGACTCGTAATCAACACAACTTTCCACTCGCGCGGTAATCGTCCCGAGCAATACGCGCAAGGATGGCGGCGATGCTCGAAACTCCGTCTCGCGTCTGGAGGCGCATCGAGGCAGTGGAAAGCAAGGATATGCCGTCTTTGCCGTCTCTTCCAGCATTCGACGACTCGCAGGACGCGTCCGAGTCCGACACCAACCTGGAACTCAACGATGAATCGCAAGATATCCTGCCGATCCACTCGACGCCAGCATTGTCAACTCACACTCAAACTACCATTCGAGCTCCATCGAGCACTTCAAGCACGGCACGATTTGCATATTCCATCGCATCCCGGTCGTCGAAGTCCGCGTTGTCGGCATCCAGCGCGAGCGCCGTCCGACCACCCCCGGAGGAGAGCTTTGACGTCAGTGATATACCAAGCCTTCCCGATGTACTTGGTGCTCCTGAATACGACGATGACTTGGAGCTACGGAGCAGTGATCAAGAGACGGAGGAGAGCTCTCTACCCAAGTCGCCGCCGCCGCTGGATGCAAGTGCGAGTCAGGGCTTTGACCGTGACCTGGATATTTCGGAGGCCTTGCGGTCTATCAGTCGACCCAACTCGCCTGAGGGCGATGCTGAGCCGACACCGCAGAAGAAATACGACTACTCAGTGAGTCTACGTTCAGAGAAGAAGGTACGTCGCTTGTCGCCATCTCTACCTGGGACGCGCGGGGAGGTTTGCATGCAAACACACCGCATCTCCCTTGTCCATATAATCACGTTTATACATATCGACCATTGTGTCTGTTGAGCTAATTACTTGACATGACAGCCGTCTCCCTTTGACAAGATGCGCAACGTATCCTTGCGTCGTCCACTGTCTCGTACGCGAACACCGTCACTTACTCGAGCCACCCCTTCTCCTTCGTCGCTGTCGTCGACTTCTACACCTCACAGTACCCGTTCAATGACATCGCAGAGGCATGCAACCGCTTCGCCTTCGCCTGCAGCAGTACCTCTTCCCCGGTCAGCAACTGCGTCCCCCGCGCTCATCCCTTTGCCTCCCTCTGCCAATGTGTCGCCTGCTGTTCCCGACACAGGCGTGTCATACATGACGGGAATCGGGGATTCTTCAGATGCGCACGAAGAGTCTCGAGACGATATGGACCTCACGGACACCATGTCACAGGAAATGGAGCTTAGGGATAGCGGGAACGACACGAGGGAACCCACATTCTCCTCAGAGACCTCATCGCAGGCTGCTGAACTCCCAGCGTCGCATTCACCTCGCGGCTTGTCTGTGGCGTTCTCATCGCCCGCGCCATCGGCCATTTTCACACCGACACCTGCCTTCCAGCCGCGGCCACGAGCACGTTTTGCCGCTGCGCTTCCTCTATCTACACCACGCCCAGTGCAATACAACACTCAGGATGCTACCCCACCAGAGCAGGACGATGATGATCTCGCTACACCGTCTGCGCACAAACGCTCGTTCCTACTCTCGGTCATCAACTCCACGGCTCGCCCTCGAATCGGTTATACACCTCATCCCCATCGCGCCGGGAATGGTGTACCAGGCCCTATGACACCGGGTGTGAATCTGCAGGCAGCGTTCGCGGGTGTCACACCACGCCCACGGACACAGGTCCGGCCGCGGCTCTCGTATCCTGTGGCTCAGGCACCCAGTGCACCGTCGGACTCGGGCTCCGCTTCAGGTGCAGAGTCTCTCGGCGACACACAATCCCATTCGCCAATCGCAAGTGGCTCTGAGTCACCTTACGATGGCAACGCCGATCGTGTTTCCATCATCTCGACGGCCTCCTCGCAGGATCTGACGACGCACGCGCGCGCGAATGCTTCGTTCGACCCAGTGATGGGTCTTGGCGAACGTGGACACGGCGTTGGGCGATTCAACGCGGGCAAGCTAAATAATTACCTACATGGCTTGAACCGACGTCTGCAGGAGGAGAACGAAACTCTCGTCTTCCGGCTGAGGACCTACGAGGAGAAGTACGGCAAGGGAGGCATGACCGAGCAGGCATCGGAGGCGGGGACGCCTCAGATATCGGACCGCTCTGTTTCCAGCAGGCGATCAAGCGCAGGGAGGAGGGTCAGCGCAGGACCGAGCCTCGGTCTCGGGGACGTGCCGGAGGAGGTGGCGGAGGGGTGGCTCGAGGAGAAGGCTGCACTCCAGGAGGAGATAGAGGAGCTGAAGGAGGAGCTCGAGCAGCACGCGGCCGCTCAAGAAGAAGTCGAACAAGCACTTGAACAAGAGAAAGGCAAGAGAGTCAGGGACAAACAGGAATTCGAGGAGCGGATACGCAAGGTGGATAAGGGCGTCTCCGACATCGTTCAAAAACTGGAGGACAAGCTCGCCGACGCGGAGGGGCGTCTGCAAGCCGCTGAGCGCTCGAGGGCCGCCAATACGAGAGACTTGGAACGACGCATTGAAACGCTGGTCACGGAAAACGAGCTGCTGGAGGACAGAGTGAAGAACGCCGAGCAAGCGTTGGAAGGCGGACAAGAACTCGGTGCCGAGCTGAATGCCGCGAGCGAGCGAGTCTCCCGGCTCGAGGGCGACCTCCGGAACGCTAGGCAACAGATCAAGGAGCTCGAGATCGAAGTCATGACATCGGATGGCAGGATCGACGACCTTGAATGCAAGCTGCATAAGGAAAGGGAAGCCAGGAGCATCCAGGAGGACGAGTTACACGCCACGCAAAGCGGGCTAGAGGACGCCTCCAACCGCGTCAACCGACTTACGGAGGATCTCGATAAAGCGCACAAGGAGCTACGCGCGGCTGAGGCCTACGCCTCGCAATTAGATTCCGACACAGGGGATGCCGTCGCCCGTGTCGAAAGTCTTGAGGCTCAAGTGGCCGCTGCGCAGGATCTTATCACTGCCATGGAGGAGGATGCCGGGCAGGACGAGCTGGAGATGAATCGACTGAGTGCCGAAGCTAAGCAGGCTGCCGAGCTGGGTCGCCAGATGCAGCAGGCCTTGGAAGCGGCAGAGGCCAGGATCGTAGCGAAGGAGCAAGATATTGCCTCTTTGCAGGCGGCACTAGCGTCCGCGGAGCGTGCGGCCGACCGCTCACGGTCAAAGTCTGCTGTCACACAGAGCGACTCGTCGTACGAACTCCGCGCAGATGTGGACGCCCTCGAGGAGGAGTTGGCGACTGCGCACAAAGAGATTTCCCGTTTGAAGACACTCCTCAGTCAGTCGCCGGCGCGCAAGGCGATTGACAAGGCGAAGGACGCCAAGATCAACTTGCTGGAGAGGGAGAAGACAGATCTACTCGAGCGGCTCAAGACGAACAAGGCCAACACGAGTCTTCATGGAACCCCGAGCAAGGTCGCAAATGCCAGCGGCCTTTCGCCTCTGCACCGACAGCTCCTGGCTTTGAAGAGTCCGAAAACTCCCGGGGGGCCTTTGCGAGATGTGGGTCTACCGAATGTTGCGCTCTGTTCGATGCTTACTCGTAGCCTTTGTAGCTTTCTTGGCTGCAGACAACTATGAATGATCCTTCGGTGTCCCCCTTAGTCGCTGAGATTGCCCGCCTTCAGCAGCAATTGGACAGGGCCAACCAGAGTATCGATGACAAGCTGGATCAGCTCGAGGATGCAGGTCTCGGCGTTGTCGGCCTCACCACGCGGCTGGAGGACGCTCGCGAGAGGATCGTTACACTGGAAGACGAGATTGCACGGCTTACTAGGAAGGAAGGCCGACTACAGCGTCGACTCCAACGAGTCCGCTGCACGAAGTGCCGCACCAAGGTTGACCTCCGAGGACTGCTAGCCACTTCCGTGGGTGATGAGAGGTAAGGACGATAGAGCGGATTGGCGTATACTTGCTAACTATGCTTCAGTTCCATACTTGAGGAGTCCCATATGAGCCTCATTTCTGAGCCACCTACGCCACCAACCAAAACGAGCGAGGCTCTGCGTGTGCAACTGCAGCAAGTCAATACTCAGCTTGCCTCCATGAGGCAGCAGTGGGAAGATGAGAAGCGTCAACTGCTCGGGGACAATGCAGTTCTCCAAGACGCTGCGAATCGACTGAACACCCAGGTCCGCGACACCAAGAGAGAACTTAAGAAGCTCGCAGATACTGGCAAAGCCGGCGAGCATGCACGAGCCAGCGTCCAAGAGGTAGGATTATATCGGCAGGTTGTGTTGAACGGCCTGATAAACCTGATGTCATGTAGGAACTGGACAACGCGAGGCGTGTCATCGACGAGCTAGAGAATGAGCTCACGGCCGAGCGTGCGCGTCTGAGGAACTTGTCAACAGAGCAATCTCGTGTGCAGCGAGAGAAAGAGCAGGTCGCTTATCAGCTGCGGCGGACAGAATCCGTGAGCTACCATCGACTTCTACTGGAGTACGACTGACTCAGGCACCCCCAGGATATGACCGACGTTAGGACTCAACTGCAGACACTCAAGCAGGAGAACCAAGAGCTCTCAAGTCACTTACGATGTGTGCTGTCTTCGATCTTGATTGAGTTGCTCGATATCTGATGTCTAAATAGCGAGCTCTGTCGCAGAGCAGAAGGCCCGTCTCTTCGAGAGCAAGGTCTCCGAGAACGCAGAGATGATCGAGCAGCTGCGGCACGAACGTTCCCTGCTCGCGGCCGAACACAAGGAGCTCCAGCGTCGGTACTCAAAGATCTCAGAGGTGCGCTCTAACATTATTTTGCTGGGCTGCCTCTCCTGATCAGTAGCCATGCAGCACGTGAACCAAGTGAGGGAGGAGCACGCCGCATCGCAAGTCTCACACGACGAGCGCAGGCACCAACTCGATCTGCGGCTGCTGGAGATCGACGACCTGAAACGAGCCCTCTCAGAGCAGGCCAGCGAGCTGCTACGCACGGAAACAGAGCGGAACCGCATCGCCGCAGAGAAGTCCGACGTCGCCCGCTCCGTAGCTGCACTCGAAGCAGACCTCCAGCGCGTGCGGCGCGACGCGGAGATGTTCGGGCGTGACCTCAAGCTGTTGCGTGCGCAGAAGGACAGACTCGAGGAGGAGCGGAGGCTCGAGCAGACAAAGGCAGAGCGCGCGCAGAAGCAGGCGCAAACGCAGATCCGTGTGCTCAAGGAGGAGCTAGATGGCCAGAAGGAGAAGGCGAGAGTGGCGGCGGAGCAACTGCAGAAACACGTCTGCGTTGTGTACGTCTCATCCCATTTCACTTTACGGTTGGCGTTGACTAACGGGCCTTTTGGGTTGAACAGCGATGAGCAGCAGCTCGTGGAACTGAACAAGCAGCATAAGAATGAGTGCAAGGGTCTGATGCTCCAGATACGCTACCTCAAGGCTAAGTTCACTCGCGAGTCCGGCCTCAGGAGTGACCTCGGCTACCAGAAGCAGTATTTGCTTGTCCTACTGACTCATTACGAGAGGACGTGAGTAGAATATATACGTCTTGCTGCGGTCCGCGCTGACAAGACGTTGGCATGCTACAGAGAGCACAGGATCTTGGCCGCGATAGCAAGGATTGGCTTCCCTGCGGCAGATCCGCCGGTCAAGGCGAAGAGACGAACGCTCAGGAGCGTCGCCATGTCCATCGCATTTATTGCACGGTCAAGGTAAGACTGGCCTGATACGACCTTCGGCACGTATTGACACAACATTCCCAGACGCGCTGCCGAGAGCTGGCGAGAACAACGCGCGTCCAAGGACGCCATCGCCGCAGCTTTGCAAGAAGTACGGCAGCGTAGGACGACGGCTGGAGGCGGTAGAGCGACGCATTCATAAATTATTCTGTGACTGGCTGTATCCATTAGATTCCCATCTACCGTTGTATCGCGATTATATTGTAGATTTTGATTAATGGCGCAAGATACGCGTGTCGATATTGCTATGAAGGCGGCTTCCGTCTTGCAGAGATGACGCGGACCGCGTCCTTCGAGAATAGGTAGGATGCCCCGCTCCATATGGTGGTAGTGGCCACTACCCACCTTCGATTGCTATTAGTATGTGCATTTCGGAGGCAGATGCACTACGTACTGGAAAGCCTGGAGCACAACGCCTAGATCCATCGGTAGTACGGGACTCACCGTCGTCAGTGCCATGAGCGAGAGTTGAAGCAATGTGTTGATCTGCATCGGCATGCGTGAGTGTCGCGCCGAGATCAAAGGGAAAGAAAAGAGTCGCACCTTGCTTATTCGCGTGGGATGCACCTCGGCGGACGGTATTGACATGTCCCAATAGCGCGTGAACGTTTTCTGCATGATTCCGTGAGCCGTGCATTAAAGACTGTCCATGAAACTTACTCACTGGGTTCGGCAGCGAAGTGTAACGAATGTAGAACGCGGATAGGCTAAGGAGGACATCTCGCCCGAAAATGATGACCGCAAGTGGTACTGACCGAGGTCAGTACCCTAGCAAAGAATGCAGCGCTGAGCGACTTACCTGGTATCATGCCCTTGTAAGCCAGCGTCAGCGTTAAGGTCGTCATCAAGGTCTTGTCTGCAGCTGGATCCAATATGGTTCCCAGCACGGAAGTCATGTTATATCTGCGGGCGATGAAGCCGTCCACCTTGAGACGGGGCTCGAGACATGAGCAGCAGAGGGAGCAGAGAAGACGAGCAGACCGTATCTGTTAGACCGGCATAGACGAGCAGAGCAGTGGCGAACTGGAAATTGTCGTGTACGATAGCCCAGCCGAGGACGGGGCATGCGAGAATACGAGACACGGTCAAGACATTCGGTATTGTGTAGATGTTCTCTCTCAGGATAGCCAAGGGCTTCAAAATCCGCGTCGGCTCCTTTCGGTCTTCATTCTTCTTCAAGGGAGAGTATACAGAGAAACGGTTGACAGACGGTCGTGTTGACCATGCAGGGAACTGGTAGAGTGCGCGATTTCGAGCCAGGTGTAGCCTGTGTATCCCGCGGTTTACACAGCGCCCAGAGCAGAGAGTACGCCATGACGCTCCGCTAAGGAATGCGATTGTAGACATGGTGAAGGACGAGAGACGACGACGAGGTGAAGCTGAGGTGAACGCTCGTCGCTGAACATACGAACGCGTTCGGCATACGCTCGGGGCACAGTGACCCGCGTAGCACGTGGCAATTCGCGGTCACGTTTTCTAGTCGCGCAAGTGGGCACCGCGTTTGCACCGGTGACCGCGTCCCGGACTGTGATGCAGAGTGAACAGTTATATGTATTCTATATGCGAACAGTGGGGGAGAACAATATCACATCGGCCAGTGCACGTATGCCATTGCCAATACCACAGCGACGCATCCCCCGGACAAAGCCTCCCAGTGACAATTTGCAAGAACGATATTTACAGAAGAGACGTGAACGTTGCGTTGTTCGTTCTTGAAGGTTATGATATCCTAGAAAAATGTCAATTCAGACTTCAAACATATCAGTTAGTACAGTGGACACCGTAGCCTTGCGCCGGAACATACCATCGCATGCGACAACACTGCATCTACCCTCGTAACAAGCCGCTGAGAGAAATGTTGCAGATGTAAAGCTGCGACAGGACCACAAGTCGTACAGGTCGACGCGTCCCTCAACGCAGAACGCATGGCTTGCTGATCGAGGACGGTTTGACCTGCCGGCCTGTCGCTGAGCAACTCAGCAACCTTCCGCAACCACTCGCACCACCATCCCCGCAATCCAAACGGGTTGTAGAACGTGCGAGGCAGGGTGTGTGCCTTGCAGCTCCTACACGTTACCCACACCCAGTGTCCGGCTCCTTCGCCAGATACAGGGACCTGCTCTTTTTTGCACTCCTGCATCTCGCTCAGCGCGAACTTCCCGGCCAGCACTCCCATGGATTTGCAATGTTGAGCTAGGTGATAGTAGCATGAAGCCGATATGGCTTCGAGCTCCTCGACGTAGCGATCGCTCCACGGCAGCCGCAAGCACATCAGTACGGCATGTCTCGCCTCGCGTACCCAGTGGTTTGCGCAGGCGATGGCATACACCGACAATGGCTCTGCTTCTGCAAATACGAGAAACTGCGCTTGTAGTGGCTCGACAGCGAGCGTCAACTCGTACTTCTTCGCTGCAAGGAGCAGGATGGCTGCGGCCTGAGGATCGGGAGGCGCGTCAGGACGCTCCACGGGGTAGATATATTGTAGGATGGTGGCGATTGTATGGCTGCGTTCATGCAGTGTGAGACTGATGATCTGTCCGTCTTCGTCCCTCTCACTTCCCTCGATGGACTGGCGCATATCAGCCAGCACACATCGAAAGTATGGCGAGGCGATCCGCAGGAGGTCGGCATGCACCCTGAACTTGACACCATCGCACGTGCGTAGAGTGAAGTCCGCCGAGGGCAGGCCGAAGGGATACGGTGATGCATACCGGGCCTCCCACCACGACTGGTCATGCGATGCCAACGGTGTGCTTGCAGAAGTGCGGGTGAGATTGGCGGAGAGGAGCGGTTCTGCTGGAAGTGCGTCCGCGTCCCCAGCTTTGTGGAACTGGAGTAGGCGATAGTACGCGCCCGCCGTTAACGTCTCCAGCTCGGCAAAGTAGACGTCATGTAAAGGTTGTCCGATTGATCTCTGAGCAGCAATGCGTGCAACGTCTTCATAATGGTGAGTGTATGCGGTGATATAGATCAGGAGCGGATATGCGCCGTCGAGCGAGAAGTCTGTGAGATGCTTCTTCACCGTCTCGGTCAGGCCCTCCATCAGATATTTGTCTGCAGCCGTGAGGACGTCTCTGACTTGCATGAATGCCGTGAAACTGGGAGGGGCGACAGGGTAACAGAGACGGAGAAGGAGATTCGTGACCTCGCTCGTCTCCGTGATGGGCACAACGGGGATGCCGTCCCTCCTGGGGTGCTCGACTGGAGCTTCTTTGGCAATGTCGAACATGTCTTCGAAGACGGAGGACGCCTCTGCAAGTATGCTGCTCCGTACGCGGTAGTCGACGCTGTCGCAGGTCCGCAGGATGATGTCGGCACGAGGGTTGTTGAAGGGCGCAGGAGCGTCTTGTCTGTATGAACGACCATGACCCTCAGCTGTCAGTAGCGCACAGCTAGTGACACCGCAATACGAAGACCTACATCATGATGTCGAACTAACGTAGTTGATGCTGGTACAGCGCTGTGTTGACGACAGACTCTCTGGGTACGGTTGTAGGCGGCCTGAGGTTGTGCATAGCCAGAGGCTAGTTCGGATCGTCGCACGATAGAAGCCTATTGAGCGTCAGCGACCATGTGCAGGGAGTATACTTAGAAGTGTCTGCTACCATCTCAAGCTTCGTATCAAAGCTTCCGGTCGCATGTTGGGCTTCTGAGGCGTGGCCGCGTCGCTCGTTAGCTTGAGTGTTTGCCGTCAACACAAATACCAGAGCGGAGGCGTCGACTCAAAGCAGTCAGTGCTATAACAGTATCACTGTAACTGCCGCTTGCTAATTATCGTCACCGTTGCAGAAGCTTGACGATATGGTGTGCTGTCCGACACTACGCCGTAGCGACCTATACAGTCCGGGGATGGACGACAGGAATATTCGAATCCTCGCGTCATTACGAGACCAACGGTGTTTGTGGTCCACAACCCGCGACGCTGAAGAACATCATCAGCAATGGCCTCGAACCGAAGAGCCTGAGGCAGCTGTCTTACTATTGATGGGGAAGCTGCTCGCACGAGGAATTGATCAGGTACGAACGACTCGAGTGGGGGAACAGGGGAACGCGTCTGTGGCGTGGGTACCGCGCCCCGCCACGAACTGGTTCGGTGCGCCAGTCTGACTCTCAGTGACCCGCCAGCACGCGAACGAGCCGAAGACGACGCGCTCTGCTGTCCGCCCTGCCAGTGCCATGGTCGTCTGGGGCTCGGAGGCCTCGCCCCTGCGCTGAGCAATGTCGAACCGCTGACCGTCGTCGTGACCACGTCGCGGCGGATGCATCCCGACAATCACATGGGCGGGCGCAAGTCGAGTCGGGATGGGTAGCCGGTTCAGCGACCTCCGCGGTCACCCAAGGCCTCTCAACGCAGCGCTCGTGTGATTGCCTCCCGAGGCCTAGTACACGGCCTTCCCGCCTGACCCTCGCCTTATAACCCCCACGTAACGCCAGCAAGTCCTAGTCCGCCGTCGCCATGTCTGTCATCTCCACCCCAGTCACCGAGTTGTTCGGGATCAAGCACCCCATCCTGCTCGCAGGTACGACAGTCCAGATCAACTTCGTGCTCGGAACTCATATGACTGGACCTTCTCTCATACAGGGATGAACGTGGCTGCTGGCTCTGAGCTTGCTGCAGCCGTGACGAATGCAGGCGGTCTGGGTGTCATTGGAGGACACGGCTACACGCCTAAGATTCTCCGCCAACAGGTCCGCGTACCGCCAGATCCCGTTTCTCATCTATAACTCAGACATCTCTCTGGCTGTAGATCCGTGCCATTAAGGCAGATCTCAAGGACAAGAACGCACCTTTCGGTGTGGACCTCCTGATCCCCCAGGTCGGCGGTAATGCGCGGAAGACGAACGTAAGTAGTCGGTACTACCTCACCTGGCGAACCCGTAGTGAACCTCGTTTCCCTCCACAGAAAGATTATCAGAACGGGCAGCTGCCACAACTCATCGACATCATCATCGAGGAGAAGGCCCGCCTCTTTGTCTCCGCCGTCGGCATCCCGCCCAAATGGGCAGTGGACAAGCTGCACGCAGCCGGCATTCCGGTCATGAACGTGAGTCGCCGCCTACTCCCCGTCTTCCTGAGCTAACCTCGCCCCAATGCAGATGGTCGGCCACCCGAAGCACGTCGCCCGCGCGCTCAGCGTCGGCGTCGACCTCATCTGCGCCCAGGGCGGCGAGGGTGGCGGCCACACGGGCGACGTGCCCTGCTCGCTCCTCATCCCCGCGTGCGTCGACGCGGTCAAGGGCAAGACCTCGCCGCTCACGGGCAAGCCTGTGTACGTGATCGGCGCGGGCGCGGTGTACGACGGGCGGAGCCTCGCCGCGAACCTCGCGTGGGGCGCGCAGGCCGTCTGGGTCGGCACGCGCTTCGTCGCGAGCGTCGAGGCGGGCGCGCCCCGGGCGCACAAGGAGGCGGTCGTCAAGGCGGGCATCGACGACACCGCGACGACGCTCATCTACACGGGCAGGCCGCTGCGCGTCATCCGCTCGCCGTATGTGGACGAGTGGTGAGTCCTGCGCGCTGTCTGGGCTGTGCGTCTAGCTTATGCGCTGCCTGTCCAGGAACAACAACCGACATGAGGAGATCAAGCAGCTTACTGCGAAGGGCGTCATCCCGCACGAGGAGGAGCTTCGCAAGCACCCCGAGAAGCACGGCAAGGGCATTACCTTCCTCTCGGGGCGCGTCGCCGGCCTTATCCACGACGTCCTCCCTGCCCAACAGATCGTCGATAACATGGTGAACGAGGCTGCTGTGATCATCCAGAGCAGCGCGGCCAAGGTCCAGGTTAAGGCGAAGCTCTGAACTGTTGTTTCCGTCTACCCGCATTAAGATCTATCTTTGGGTGCTATATGTCATTCCCTTGTGTGGATTATACGGTCGAGTTATCGTTATTGGATTCTTTCTCCATTGCTTCGACGGGTGCTTCGAGGTTCATTGCAGTATCTTCGACGTACGCTCAGCGTCTGTGATCACAAAGGAGGGATAGGCTCGATCGTCCGCTATACATTCCAGTTCCCCTTCCAGTTGCTAGCGTCTGCAGCAAAGCTCTTCGACGACTCGCTTCATCAACCGCTCCGATCCAAGCAGTTAGGGTTTGAGGATGAGGAGATGTACATCTATGAAACAAGATACCTATGAGGAATACATGCCCATGCCAGTGCCATAAGGCAATACTTAGACTATGCCTATCAATGCCGTGCCATTATTAGGATGGGAAGAACCGCCAGCTGCCCAGAAATCATAGTCGTCCGACTCGACACACAGTGACAAACAGACAGACAACAGAGGGTGATAGCGCATCAGTAGTGGGGGAAAGAAGAGGGTAGAACAGATGGGAGGGGGAGAGTACGAAAGACAACACTGCCGGCGCCTCGACGTCGACCGCGCGGACGCAACACCATGCCCAAGGGCAGGTGGGGACATGCACGAAGGGTGAACGTGGAGGTATGTATGCGGGGAAGAATTAAGGCGTAACTAGCGTAACGAAGTTCGATTCATGCGACATGGCGGCGGTGCGGGATATCGCGAGCGGCTAATAATGCATATGAGAATAAGTTGATGGTGCAGGAGGCGAGCATTGACGGTTGACCCACGTGTGTAGGGTACGGTGGATGTCGGGTGGTGGTACAATTGCGGATGCAAGAAGCAGGGAAAGCAGGGAAGGGGGCGCGGAGGTGGCGTCGGAGAGAGGCAAGAAGTGCTCAGGCTTAAGCCGTGCCGGTGTTCCATATTGATCCAAGAAGACCTCGTGCGGAGGAGACCATGTCGGCGGCACGGCCCACGAAGGTACCGTCCTGCTGGCCGTCCAGGGAGGATCTCGGAGTCCGGTCTTTCCGAGGGATAGCAATGGGACTGCTTGCCGAGATCTCGCCTTCCGCAGTGGAGGGAGAGGATAACGTCGTGGGCTGTGGCTCCAACTTCGCAACAGGAATGCCAGGGGAGGTGATGCTAGCCTTCAATGCGTTGACAGGCGAGTTCACAGGCGTGGGGTGGCTCAATCTCCGTATCTCCTCTTCCTCTGGTATCGGCGAAGGGATCAGGAGCGGCGCACTCGGGCCTGTGTGGACAGCTATTCGAGGGAGCGGTGCAGAGTCCTGAGCCTGTGAAGGACGCGCCGTCGACGTACTCGCAGTTGAAGATCCCGAGACAGAAGACGGCGGGGAGGATGGCTCGCCCTTCGGTGGAGGGACGTCCACCGACGCCGTCGACGAGTCGCTCGCTTCCCTCCCGGCCCTGGTCGGCGAGTTCACCACACCCGGCGGGCTCACGCTCGCCGCGAGTGCCCTACCTGTCCTGTCCCGACCTCGGTCACTCTCATCACTTCCCATCCTCCGTCCTCTGTCCCGTCCCCGCGCGAACGCCACGGCTCCGCCAAGCGCGAGTGCCGAGCCCGTCGGCGACAGCGAACCTATTGGCGAGCTCGTCCCGCGGCTGCTCGAGCGCTCGCAGTCAGAAAGGGAGGCACTCCGCGTGAGCGAGCGGCCCCGCGACTCAGAGCGCGAGTCCGTCGAGCGCGAGTAAGAGCTCGATCCCGTCGTCGTCGACCCACTTACGGACCCGCACGTCGGAGACGCGGACGTGCGTCCGCGGCACGGGCTGAGGTTCGGCGAGAGCAGCGTCGAGTCCGCCACGTGTGGCGAGAACGAAATTTGCGGGTGCGTTGTGCCGATGCGCGGGACAGCCACCGGTGCGGTGTGAACGAACATCGGCGGGTTCGTCGAGTCGTCGCTACTGATCTGGGAGGGACTCGGTTCTCTTGAACGTTCTGTCCGCTCCTCCATGGCGCCGTTGACCTCGTTCACGACTACGACGGGTGTTTCCGGGCTATGTGTGGGCGAGTAGACCGGAGGTGACTCGATGAGGCCACTACTCCGTCCGACCTGCACGCTCTCCGCACCGCCTTCTGCGAACTTTGTAGGTATTGCGTTGGTGTTGAGCGCCGCACTGTCCTTGTTGCCTTGTTGCCACTCGGGCGTGTAGTTCTCGTTGAGGACGGGAGGCCCGTCGAAGTAGTCAAATGTGTCTTCCACGACCGTGTCCATGTGCATGGGAGACTCCGAATACGTCTGGCGCGGGAAGAAACTTCGTGACGCGACTTCATACTTCGGCGGTGAGGAGGATAATCGTGGCGGCGGCGGAAGAGCGTTGACGGTGGCGATAGGTGGCGAGGCTAAGGGTGACCGCGACTCTGGCGAAGGGCTTGTCCCTACGCTGAAATACGACTCGCGATGGCGATACACATCCTCCTGTGTCAAGCTCGGCGACCTCTGCAAGCTGTAGTTGCTATTACTCGGTGGGGCATACACGAGCTCAAGCTCCTTCGTGACAGGCGTGGGGAGGCCTGGACTGGTAAGGTTGTTGCCGACGCCGGTGCCTTTGAGCATCGTGGGCGCGATGGGCGCGATGGTGACATGTTCCGTGCCCGTGGAGGATCTACGCACTAACGGGGGGCGCAAATGTGGGTGCGGCGCGCGGGGGACATCAAGAGCAAGGAGTAGCTTACGCGGCAGCGTGCTCGCGGCGGAGGACGTGCGCGAGCGTGACGACGCCGTGCGCATCTCCAGCACGTCGTCTTCGTCTTCGTCGTCATCCGAATCCGAGTGCATCGTCGACTGGCGCGCCTGGTAGTATGTCATCGGCCCCTCGTCTTCGTCCTCGTTTGTTACTTCCGAGTCCTCGTCGTATCTGCAAACACATGAGCATTGCGCTGCTTACTATGGTTGTTCCTGATACCACTCACCCATCGTCCGAACCTGTTACGGGCGATCGGCGCGGGCCGGGGGCTTGGCGCTGCAGATCGGGCTTCTCAATTGCGATGCACTGCTCCACGAAGGTGTTGAAGCTGATGTGCTTCTTCTTGAGGCCTTGCTCGCTCGCCGCGCTGCTGCCGGTGGGAGACTCACCGCTCACACTGGAGCCGCCGCTCAGATCCGGGTCGCTGCCGCTGGTCGCTTGTGATGCGTCGCTCGATGCGCCGGACATCATCCCACAGGCGACGGAGGGCATCCCGCTCGCGGCGGACGCATCGCGCACGACTGTCGCCGGCGCCGGCGTGCCTGACTGTGCGATGATACGCGGCGGCGAGTCTTTGCGGTGGGCGCGCCCGCGCAGGCTGATATGCGTGTCGCTCTTAGTGTGCAGGAGCGGTGGGCGCTTCTGGCTGCCGTGCTCGCCGTGCTGTTGTTGCTGATCGAGCGAGGCGACGTCCTCCTCGTCGGACTCGCCCTGCTCGAACCACGGGCTCGTGGGCAGCGAGAGCAGCTGGCTGATGCTGCGGCGCTTGAGGATGGGTTTCTTCGGTTGCACGACGGGGGCCGGGTTTGGTCTGCTGGTGGCGGGGGAGTGGATCGCGCTCATGCTGTTCTGGCGCTGCAGAGGCTGCAGCGAGTGCGACTCGGGGTTGCGCGAGGCCGTCGGGGACCAGTCTGCGCCGATGTGCAGTGGGCCGTAGAGCCATGTCACGTCCGAGTCCTTGAGCCTGCGTGCATGCATTGTCAGTCGGGCGCCAAACGCACGAGAACAAGGCGAGGCGAGTGGCCGGCGTGCGGAGGCGCAGATGTGGCCCCGCACGCTGGCATGGAGCGATTGGGGAGCGCGACGAGAGAAATGAGAGATACACACCAATTGAGCGTCTCGGGGCTAATGGTCTTTAGCTTGTTCCTCTGCTTCCACCAGGTGCGCCAACTCGCGTTCTCGAGGCGGGTGCCGTTCGCAATCGCGTTCTTCTGGCGGGTCATGCTGCGCCATGACCGCCAGACGTCCTCTTCACGCCATTCGTGGGAGAGGTAGTCGACCTGGCCCTCTGGGAGGGTGGAGAACGAGGAGTCGTCGGGGGCAGTGGAGTGTGTGACGGAAACGAGGAGGACCGGGAGGTAGCTGGTCAGGATTACGGGCATTGGCATGGTGGTGGCCGGCGATGCGAGGGATGGGCTGGCCAGCGACGGGAGGGTGTGGAACGAGCTGCTGTGGAGGGGCTGCTGTACCAACGAGTCCAAGAGCGGTTCCGAGGTGGGTCGGCCTGGTGATCCCGAGCACGACGAGGCGAGCAGACCTGATTAGACTAGTAATTTCGTGGAGGGAATGGCGGGCGGCGGGGATGTGTGTGTGCGCGGTGCGCGAGGAGTGGTGGTGGGGAGCAAAAGCTATGTCGAGAAAAAAAGCGACATAGGTGGTGGTGGTGCGGATATGGATAGTTGTCGCCAGTCGACTGACGGCTCTGGCCGCTGAGTCGCGGGTTCCCGGGACGCGCACGTGCCCCGCCATCGACAGCGTCGGCCACACGTTTTCCCAGCCCGGCACGCCTGCCGCGCATTGCCTTTTCGGGCAGCCCTCGCCTCCTTTCGCCCCCGCCCGCCCGCATGTGCCCCGCCGCCGGCCCATCGATCCCTCTGTGTCCTCGCCCCTCTGCATTTTTTGCGGCGGCCACTGCGAGGCCTGCGAGCGCACGGACCGGCTCGGCCTCGCGGATTTGCCGAGAATGCTCCATGCCATGGCATGCCCCGTATGGGCAACATGTTACCTGCACCGGCGCACCAGCATCCCAGGAACATCGATCCGGCCACGGATCTTGGCCCTTCCCAGTCCCAGAGCTCCGTCCGCCTTTCCTCCCGCCGCACACCGCGCGAGGCTCGCTGCCCGCATCCGGCGAGCGCATCCAGCTGGAGCACGCAGCGCCGCCGTGTTCTGTGGCCTGCGCGTACCTTTGCAGTGATGTCAGCCAGTGGCTCGCGCTTCGTCAACCAATCTCCGTATCCACCGCAAGGAAGCATTTCTCTGGCACCTGCGCCACTGCCCCGGTGCGTTCAACATTCACCCCGTGGCCGTCCTCCTCAGTCGCGCTGATCAGGACCCATTCCTAATTTGCTATAGCCACACCCAATCACTCAATCTCGCGATCCAATCTCACCTGACGCCTCTTCCCCTGCCTTCCAGTGCCCTGCTCGGTATGTGGGCCCCGACCCGGTGTGCGCGCGCGATGCCCATCCGCGTCTCCGCAGGCCCGACAGAGCGAACCGCGTCGCGCGTGACGGCGGGACCCTGTCCGCTCTCGTAACCTCCCGTTGCGCCCGCGCCAGCTGACGTGACAATTCCCTTCGGACAAATGTCTCTTCAAGCTGTCTCGCGCGGTCTGGGAGCATCCTCAACGCGCGCTCACGCGTCCTCTCTCGGCTACGCCCCCTCGCCTTGTGATTGTCCACAACGCTCCCCATGACTCTGCGCCGGACTCGCGCAGCGATGCATCAAGTCCTCGTTGCGAGGCTGTGGCGTGTGCTGTCCAGCCAGCTGACTCCTCTCGCGCCACGACGTGCTCCGGGCTGCAACGAACCGGGTGTCTTGTCTGGTCCTGCCAAGTCCGTCGATGCGGGGACCTCGCTTCTTCCATTGTGGGGGTGCGGGGATGTGGGGTCGGCCGAACACATCGTTCCGAGTCGACCATCATGAGGAGCGCGGCCCGAGCCTGAGTGGCATCGCGCATTGACACTTCTTGCTGCGATCTGTGCACTGGCATGACACCGCGCGCTGATGTGTGGACGTCCGACAGTGCTTCTGCGGCCCAAACAGCAACGCGACCTACAAATCCAAAACGGGCCTTCTTCCTCTCCACGTCCTCGCACCCTCAATTCACGCCTCACGCATCAACCAGGAAATTCACGCGCACGAGTCTCGACCCGGCTGACTGTCGTCAGTGCGACCTCCGCGGTTCCCCGCATGACGTGTGTATGTGGGCTCGATGTGGACACCGGTGGCTAACCGCGAAGCTCTTTCCCCTGTATCCGATTCTCGTGCACGGTCTGTCAACGACTAGTGCCTCGATTTTTGGCGTCGGGACGCCGTCGGGGCAGCTAGCGTGGTGCTCAAGTCGGACTCGTATGTAGTTCTCCTTTTGGAGGCAAGCATGTGCTGGATTTGGACGTTGGGCGGCGGTCAGTGACATCCGTGCATCCGCTGGTGAGTTGTCGTATGCAATTGCAGTGTGTCTCCGGTAACAACTGTATTGGTGGTCTTGTGGTAGTCTCTATCTCAGGACTCGAGCTCCGGCCGCCGTCGCGATTGGGTCGTTACGCCGTTAAGCTTGCTGCGAGCATCCAGGGTGCCGTTGTCATACCCTCATCGATGTATGAATATACCTGACCAACGTCGCGACGGAAACCGGACCATACCTGTCGACGAATACATACCACAGAGCCCGAATCCGCCCAGGTACAACGGGCTTCTCTCGCTGATTGCCACCGCAGTTGGCAGATGACACACCCCGGGACGAGTACTCACCTGTGTTCCGTCCGGTGACTCAACGTATCGACTCTGGAAGCTTCCTATGGCGGGCGGATTCTTGACGGCATCTTGGCTCGCTCTCTGTCGTTGAAGTGAGTTACCGAGATCTGTTCTTCCTTTCCGCCGAACAATGGTGCAGTTCACAGCGGAGCTATGCTCACAGACTGATGCATACGATGGCTTATGGCAGTGAGCACGCCCGCGCAGGTCAAGCGAGAGCTAATGGGGACTGTTATGTCGAAGAGGCACCAGCGCATGCTGTCGGTTTCGCATACGGATCCGTATGGCAAAGTCGGCGCTTGTTTCGCGTACGCATCCGTACGCGAAATCTGCAGTGGTTGAGACGGGGCAGGACTCGTACCTGTGGCGGCTTAGTACTTCATTCGCTGGTTCATGTTCCCGAACATGTACGTGCCGGACGCGCAGCAGTTGAATCATGTGGGCATACTCCGCCTCCGAGGAAGCCTCTGTGGTGCATTGTCCTCGGCTTGAAGCTTGCATTGACTTCGCTGGTCTTTCAGACTCCGACTCTTTCTTCCGACAACCCAGACGATCCAGGCTTCAGCTCTGCGCACCAGATCTGAATGAACCAGCTTGCTCCTCCATCTTCGTCGCGCTTGCGGTGTGGTTCATAGCAGACATAGGCAACAGCAAGAGTCCTGAAGCTCATGTCATTCGTGTAAGTCCTTCGCTACATTTGGACATCACTGCAATGCTGACTGTTCAATTGTACATGCAGACGCGACGCCCCTGCGCCCTTCAACAATCCTCGCGCGGATGTCGTCCTTCGAACCTGCGACGGTGTTGACTATCGAGTGCGGAGCAGTATCCTAGCCGAGGCGTCTCCCGTCTTCGGGGATATCTTCGACCTCGCTAGTGAGGCTCCCAGTGAGGCTCTCAGTGAGTGGCCGCCTAGGAAGGATGGGATCCCCATTGTATCGATCACAGAGACCAGCGAGGTCGCGGATATCCTCCTCCGCTTTTGTTATCCCGTCGCCGCACCCACGTTCACGACATTCTCGCAAGTCCAGGACGTCTTGACGGCTGTAGACAAGTATCTGATGGAGGGCCTTATTGAGGTGGTCAAGAAACATCTCACCGACATCTCGCTCGACGGCGCGCACCCGCTCCGGCTTTACGCCACAGCATATGCCCATCGCTTTGAAGACGTTGCACGGATTGCTGCCAAGGAGACTATCGGGAAGCCTCTGCAGACAGTCTACGTTACTGAGCTAGAGAGCTTATCGGCGGGCGCGTACTACTGGCTTCTGGAGTTCCACAAAACCGGGAAAGCAGACGTGATTCCTGAGGTACCCTTCCTCTCCGTCGACCCCAGCAGGACTTCGGCGCGTCCGCCGCCAGGACCGCATAGCAGAACGGCATGGATATCGAAGTATGCGTCGCCATATCCCTTTGGACTGCCATTCGCGGATTTCACTCTGCGCACATGCGATGGTATCGCGCTCAGAGTGCACTCCGACCTCCTCCGGGTCGCTTCGCCATACTTTCGACTCATGCTTGCCGACACCTCTCAGTCCATCGAGGGGATTGAAAAGGATTCAGATGGACGTATCATCGGCCTTGTGGTACCCGAACACAGCAATACGATCGCCACCGTCTTACAGTATGTCTACCCCGTGGAGCGTCCAGACTCTCTGCCCGACCCTCAGACCGCGTCCCTCTTACTCTATGCGGCGAAGAAGTACGACGTCGTTCCCGCTCTTGCGCCACTACAGGCAATGTTCCTCGCATTTGCCGCAGAACATTCGCTGGTAATATATGCTATTGCCTGCGCACGCTATTGGGTGCATGAAGCGAGACATGCCGCGCTGGCGTCGATGCGGATGCCATTGGACGACCTCTGCTACGTCGATGAGCTGGAAGCGATACCTGCTTCATGCTTATATCGTCTGACCCAACATCGCAACACCTTGGGAAACATGGCAAGAAGGATGGTACTCAGTCAGGCGCAGGAGTTCCTGAAGCAGCTGACCCAACCGTCTAGTCAAGGAGTATGCAAATACTATGCGTGGGTGTACTGCATGGAGTGCAGGGCGGACACTGCTGTTACTCTGTGCCGCGCAGGCACGAAGTCGTCTGGGCTACGGAAATGGTGGTGTGATTGGTTGCGTCGAATTGCTGAGCTGCTCCGCGAAGTTCCGTCTGGCCAGACCGTCCTTGACGAGCAAGCCATCGTGTGTGCAGTCAAGGATGCGCGTGACTGTCCCATCTGTCGCGTTGATGCGGACACCGAGTTGCGGCGTTATGCTAAGGAGCTATCGATCAAGGTGGACGCCATGTTGGTTCATGAGATGGTACGTCTCTGTTACACGCAGTGCTCACCTCTCTGATGTTGGATCCTTCAAGTCTCGAATCACGTTCTTTTAGGTGGGTCAGACCGGGTTAGAGCACTATGCCGTACTAGTCATGTCCTATGCTTCGACCTCCTGTGGTGTGTAATCTCATTTGTATATTTCTGCTGTTTCATGCATTTCTTCATTAGAACATAGCATTCTTTGAGTGCCATTTCCGAACTTGACCACTGGCACCGTGAAACAGGCGACGTATAATTGCTATAATTACCACGCCTGTATACATGCTGAGCTGCGTCTGGCGTGTTTAGGCTTCTAAGGCATGCCTAGTGGCGGTAGTGGTGATGTCCAGAGATGTATATAGTAATGGGCTCGTCGCTCGAGTCGTTATAACAGTAGGCCTCGGCCCTCAAACCATGTGCATGAACCGGCAGGCGGAGGACGCGTGTCACGTGACCGCGACCTCCGCGTAGCTCCGAGTCTTGCTCCGAGTCCTCGTTGGCTTCAGGTTCAAGTTGTCTTGTCGTTGGCCCTCCACGACGCATGCCACGCACGCGTCTGGACTCTGGACTCTGCCGCGCACGACGCACATCGCCATTTATCTGCAGTTTGCTTGCGACCCCATTGGGTGCCTAAGTTCCTAATCGCCTCTCCTTGAAGCCATGACCATGTGTTTCACGGCGGTGTGCGATACATATCACTGTCGAAGATCGAAGCCCGCCGTCAGTCGCCCGGTCCGTTACAGACAGTATAAGTACCGTAGCCAGCAAGCGGCTGTCCCTGCTCGTGGCATGTGCGCTATAGAGTCTTTTGGAGTCTAGAGTACGACTGATCATTGCCTTACAGGTGCTACAGAACCTATGCATCCGACGTCCACAATGTCTGATGACACTACATAGTACTGGGCGGACGCTCCGAGTTCCACGCTTATTACGCGCGAAGTCTCCTCCCCAGCTTCTATCTCGACGAGTCTATGGTCTCCCGACTGCTTATCGCGGACAAGCTTCCGCGTCGAAATACTGCGATGGCACCTATTACTCAGGCTACTAGAGCATTTCGCTCGAGGGCGAGGCGCAAAGTCTTGCGCTTCAACCTTCACGATTCCCGACTGCATGAGCTCTAGGGTTATAATGACGAACACGAACAGAAATGCCGACAGAGATGAGGCTGAATTGGCGAGGATGGGCTACAAGCAGGAGCTCAGGTGAGCGCTTCGCGATTCGACCTTTCCAAGTCGCTGAAACATCGGAAGACGAGACTTCGGGCTGCTGCAGGTAAGCTCAAGTCCAAGTAAACAGCAAGGTCGAGGCTAAGCTTCTACAGAATTTCGGAGTCTCGTTCTCTATCATCAGCATCATCACTGGTGTAAGCTCGACGTTTGCGTATGGCCTGGTAAGTCAAGGCACGGACGTATCGTTGCTGTGTGATTGTCTGATATGGCTTAGAACACGGGAGGACCTGTGGTCATGGTATGGGGCTGGGCAGTCATTGGTGCGTCGTCGTACCAGGATCAGAGGATGGCGTCCTGAGTTCCGGCACGCAGCATTTTTCACGATGCTTGTAGGCCTCTCTATGGCAGGTAAGTGACAACGCTTACTACAGGTTCATCTAGTTCATCAGTATGTTCCAGAGGTCTGCAGCGCGCATCCAACGAGCGGGGGTCCTTACTATTGGGCTGCTATGCTCTGTAAACCTCAGCATGCGGCTTTCGCGTCCTGGGTCACCGGGTGGTTCAACTTCCTCGGCCAAGTCGCGGTCACAACAAGTATTAAGTACGTACCCTTTACTAGACTATACACGACTTGCCCCGCCGAGCTCTGAGTCTTTAGTTTTGCCTGTGCAACATTCATCTCGACTCTCGCAACGTTCAATACCAGTTTCGTACCCTCCGCCAGGACGACCATCGGGGTCTACGCGGCAGTTGTAATCACGGAGGGGCTTATCAACACCTTCGGCGTGCATCTCTTGCGACACCTGAACAACGCCTCCATCTGGTGGCAAGCCGTTGGTACCTTCGCAATCATAATCACGGTGCTCGCGGCGGCGCCGACGCACCAGACGGCGCAGTTCGTCTTCGCGACTTTCGTGGATGGGACGGGCGTGGATGGGGTTGGGTGGAGCGTGAGGGCGAGCCCGGCGTATGTCGTGGTGATTGGAATCCTGATGGCTCAGTATTCGCTTTCGGGTACGTCGGTATGTTATCGCAATTTCTCTCTTGGTGAACTGAGGATGCACAGGCTTCGACGCGAGTGCACATGTCAGTTCTAGGTCACTTCAGCTGATCAATATTGCGTTGACGCAGGAACGGCGTAGATGAGCGAGGAGACCCATAACGCGGCTACCGCTGGACCCAAGGGCATCATCATGTCCATCGGAGTCTCTGCCATCCTTGGGTGGTGTCTCATGATCGCCTTGCTGTTCTCCATTCAAGACCTCGCGAGCACCGTCAGCTCTCCCACAGGCGAGCCTATTGCACAGATTTTTCTCGATACGGTGCACGAGAAGGGCGCTATTGTCTTGATGGTGGGCGATGGACCTCAAGGGAAGTCACGAAGAATGCACTGAAATGATGCATTTCGGCAGGTCATCGTCATTGGGGCGATGTTCTGGTGCGGGACGTTCTCGATTACATCCAACAGCCGGATGATGTACGCCTTCGCTCGGGACGGAGGCATTCCTGGGCACAAGTTCTTCCAGCAAGTGGACGCGAAGCGGAGGTCGCCAGTTCGCGCAAGTCAGTGCAGCGTTCTTCCATCTATTCATCCATTTACTCACTCCCACTCGGGCAGTCTGGCTCGCCTGCACGCTCAGCTTTATCCTCGGCCTGCCAAGCCTCGGGAGCTCCGTCGCCTTCTCCGCCGCGACGAGCATATCCACCATCGGGCTCTACGTGTCGTACGGCATCCCGATCGCCCTCCGCGTCCTCTACGCGTCGCGGTTTGTCCGGGGGCCGTTCCACCTCGGCGCGTTCTCGTTCCCCGTCGCTATAACCGCGGTGGCGTGGATCTGCTTCATTACTGTCGCGTTCGTACTTCCCCAGGAGAACCCCGTCGACTCGCAGACGCTCAACTACGCCGTCGTCGCGGTGGGCATCGTGGTCGTGTACAGCTTGGGGTCCTGGTTCCTGAGCGCGCGGAAGTGGTTCACGGGCCCGGTGAAGCAGATTGCGGGTGAGTCTGGCGTTCTGGTCTTGGAGTATAGTTTTGATGATGGTTGTTGTTTCTATCCGGCGGAACCAGCGGAAGAGACCAATGTAGACGCGAGGGATCCGGCGACGGTTGTCGTGCTGGACCGATCGGAGAAGGGCAGCGACGAAAAGGAGTCCGTCTGAATACATATCTCACATCAAGAGCACCCCGATCATTCGCGTCTATATACGTATGTAGCTATCGCTTTGGTAGAACCGAAGCCATCATGTTTACACTGTATTTCCCAGAGCATTAACATTCCGAGGTATCGGGTAGCAAAGTGTGCTAGTAGTAGTATGAGCGTGAGGCTCCCACTGCCCAGATTTTATGGAAATTTGAGTAGTATTCGAAGTACCTTTGTGACATCTTGCTGTTGTCGAGAGCGTACGAACGTTAGCACAACTTTGAGCTCGCGACTCGCCCAGGTCACTCGTCGCGGCTGAGTTGAGCGGCTAAGTGGGCAGGCCACAGTAGCAAGAATTCCCACGCCACAGACGCGTCTGCTCCCAGTCGCGACTTGGTCGCGCCCTTTACGGCGACGCGTCCACTACTCGTGCACCTGGACACCAGCGCCATCTTGACTCTGTGCTACGCGTCTTTTTACACCTAAAAGTGCTTGCTGGTTCTGCAATACCCTTGCAAGTATCTCACGACGCGCCAGAAATGAGCACACAACCCTATTGCGGCATATGCTGTGATAATCACAGTATAGACATGTTCAGACTCTTGCGATGTGGTAAGTGATCCGCCTATTTTGATGTTGATCACTATCTCTGACACTTGGGCATTTTACCAGGACATGGGTTTTGCGCAAAGAGCCTTCAAGCGATCCATCCCCTCCTGCGCCATCACTATTATCCCTACGAAACATTCGAATGCCCAATATGCCGGCAGCACTTTGTAAAACAAGATCTGTCTCCCATATTTTTGCAATGGAGAGACCCAGCAAGCGAGGCGTCACAGGCAGCCAACGACGGCGAAAGCCCCTCACACCACCTCTATTCAGCAGCAGTGCTGAAGCAGGCGAGATACGTGAGTGAGCGGCTCAATAAAATAGGCCGGGATAGCAAGCCAGAGTACATGAGAAGATCTGCTAAGGAGCTAGGGAAGGTAGTGGAGGGAATGGACGAGGATGATGCCAGTTGCCAGCCCTGCGAAGTCAAGGTACGTTTGGTCCACTCATGGTCGACTGGTACTGGCACTAACTACATGGCAGAATCTGCTCTCCACAATGGTACGAGTGTTCGACCGACTCGCGAATCTAGTTGCATCACGAGACACGGCACTGGACGACATTTCTGCTCTGCAAGGCGCGCTGCAGACTGCAAGGAAAGAGCAACATCGCCTGCAGACCGAGATGATGCAGACCGAGAGGGACGCACATGACGCCCTGAACACCGCCGAAGCAGCCGCCGGGCAAATCAAGGAGGCCCGAAAGGAGATCCAGGAGCTGCGGAGAGAGCAGAAGGCCCAGCAGAGGCGACGCGACTTGCAGGCTTCCGAGAAAGCGAAGGAGACGGAAACTCTCTATGAGACAATCCGAGCCCACAAAGCCAAGGTGCGTGATTACTCGGTGCTTAGAAATGCATGTCTTACGTGAGAGGCTGATATGGTCGCAGGAAATCAAACAAGCTGCAAGGATCCGGGAATTGAAACAGCAGCTCGCGGCCGCGGAAGAGGTGGCTTCCGCCAACCACAATATCTCCGCATTCGTGACTCCCAGAGCATCGCGCGCAGCGCCACACTACGCGCGAAGTCCACGTCGGCCTGAGTCCACGGTCCGTCACCGAACACTTGTGCTCGTTCTCAACTGATAAAAGCAGCAGTCCAGTGTTGCCATCTTAGAGGAAGCCAGAGACTCGGAGTTGTCCACATGTAAACTGGACTTCTCAGACCCGCTACCCTTGCCAGCCCTACTTCCCACATCGCCCAAGGACATCTCGGAACAGCCTCTCGTGCTGCAGCCTCAATTTACCAGTGATTGGAATCTCAAGCCACCACCGAGCAAGGCTAAGCGCAAGCGTGTGCTCTCATCTGGGACAGGGCCTGAATCATCTCGCCCACCGTTTCCCATCACACTGAACGACAAAGGACGCCCAACAGGCCCGGTGCGACTCGGGTCCAGGCAGAGGGAGCGAATCGGTTGATTTATTGTGGGTTGTGGTGTATGTTATGTGAAATGCATGACAGCTAGGACTAGATGGGAGTAATATTACTGCAATGACCAGGGAATGCGTGGATAACATGCCGACTGGGTATAGATTAGCACATATGGGGATGCGGGATGTAGGATGCAGTGTTCGGGCGGCACGAAGTGAAAAAAAGAATCATGGAGGGGCAGGAGCATCTGCTTGGGAAGCTTCTGGATCCATCCGCATGAGCCTGCGCAACCGCGCGAGCTCCTCTGCGAGATTCCTAGTGACGTTTACGATCAATGAACGGCGAGGGCTCCTGGCATGCTGTTTACGACGTACCGTGCAGTTCGCCATGCCTCGTCACTCTCCTTCCCTTGCCTGTCCACCTCGGAGCGAAGCTGCTGGATGTCCTCCCGGAAGCTCTCCTCTACCTCCTTCCGTATCCGCTCATTCTCCTCCCGTAGCCGCTTGGCCTCGCCGACCACAGAGCTACCGTCCTCCCGCTCGCGGCGCACCTCTGCCACTAAACGTGCGTAGCGCTTGCCCATCTCTTCCGCATCCCGCAGGATTTTGTCCTCTCGCTTGCGCACTTCCTCCTTGATTGCGTCCGTGTCTGCCTGGAAAGAGGCGACCAGACCCTTGAGCGAGTCGCGAAGGACGACGTACTCGCGTTCTGCCTTGTGGGAACGTGCGGTCGCTTCCGTGAGTGCCGTCTCCATCTCGCGGAGGGACTTCTTCGACGTGGTCGTCTCGGACTTGAGCTGGGTTTTGAGGGTGATCATTTCCGCTTCTGCCTTGCGCGCACGCTCAAGGACCTACCAAGGAATTAGCTAAGATTAACGTATGCTTCGAGAGCCCGACGCACCTCTTGCAGCAGACGCTCTTTGCGAGCCACCACGTTGTTGAGGCCCTCGTTCTCCAGCCGGAGCCGCTCCCGCACCTCCTTCAGGTCCTCCGTCTGTCGCGTCAATTGGCTGACTTGTCGCTGACTCACGCGGAGCTGGGCCTTCGTGTTCTCCAGTGCCGTCTTCGCGTTGAGAACACCAGCCTGGAGGTCCGCGAGCACCCTCGTGGTGTTTCCGGGAGCAAACGACGATCTGCGACTAGGCGAAGTCGTCAGACCGTGGGGAGACGACGATGACCCATGATTCGGTGATAACTGAGAGGACGCAAGATGCGAGTTGTCTTGCTGGCCTTCCTCCGCGAGTGCTCGTGCGTTACCTGCACCGCGTTAGACTGCAGACCATCTAAAACTGACCCTCCACTGACCTACGGATGATACTGGTATACCTGCGTAGTATCAATACGCGTTCCCGCATCGTACAATAAACTGGACGTACGACTAAGCGTCCGTGTAGGACTTTGCGCGCGCGTCCCGGAAGGTATGCCCTCCCGAATTCCGTTCTCTTCCCCGAATGACAATCTCCGCTCGTCCCTCCGTGGCAATGGTAAGCTTGACTCTGGTCCCGCGAGACCCTGCAAGATATCGAAACTATTGCGCTTCTGCAGTCGTGGAGACATGTAGGTGCTTCCGGACGTAGAAGCCAGATCGAGTTCGGTCGGTGAGCGGGGCGGCGAGTTGAGCATTCCTAGAGGCAGCGGGCGCGGTCCACGGAGAACTGTATTTTCGAGGCTATGCAACTGAGCTTGCTGGTGTCGGATAGTATGTCTGAGCGTGGACATCTGATTGCGTATGGCAACTGGCAACACGGTCAGTCGCCCCTCCGCCACAACAATTCAGCCCGCATACCTGCGTCGTCCGACAAGGACACCGAAGGACTCGCAGATCGGCCGTTGGAGCTGCGCGATGATGGTCTAGAGCTTGGACGAAGAGGAGACGTTAGATGGGACATATGTCTGCTCGTCGGTTTCGGCGGCTCGAGTGTAGCTCTTGTAACGAGTTGATGTGGTGCAGTAGCTACAAGTGGAACGGTATGTTGTATACGCGACCTAGACCAAGCATTCATACGCGCATGGTACTCGAAGCGGGCTGTAAAGGACAGGACGACGAACGCGGTAGGCACCAAGTAGGCACGCGTGGTGGCAAGCTCCCGGCCATCAGACGCGCGCTACACCATCCATTCGCACTCTTTCCCACCCTCGTCTCACCCTCTCCTGGCACTGGGCAGTGCGATACAGTATATCCGTCCTTCAAGCTGCTCTGACTTGTGTTTGCAATATATAGTCGTCTTCTGCACCCAATCTAGTTCGTGGAACTGACTCCGAGTCACCCTCAATCTCAGTTCCCGACGGGGTGTTCTCGCCGAGCTATTGAGCCGTCTGCGATAACAGTCAGTGGCCGTCTTCGTTGTGCGTGCGACTCTCACTCAGGCGATGTTAACTTGTTATTCCACGCCGATAGATTTGCGAAATGGCAGGGCCAGCTTCGGTTTCATCCCATTCCGCCACCAGGAGCTCCAAACCCGTGCCAACCTTGTTCAATCGCCCCGATGCAGATGCCATTCTGTACTCGTCGGATAAGACACACTTTCGTGTGCACCGTCAGATCTTGTCGGTAGCTTCCCCTTTCTTCGAGACCATGTTCAGTTTACCGCAATCGACGCCATCTTCCGTTGGCAACCTACCAGTCGTCCCGATGGAGGAGGATGCTCGTACGGTGGAAGATCTCCTGCGTATTTGCTATCCAGGGCGGGATCCGCAGCTAAAGACGTGCACGGCGTCGGAATGGCAGCACATCGGCGGAATGGTGCGCGCAGCACAGAAGTATGACTTGGCCGCGGCCGTAGAGTTCATGGAGGCAACGTTAACGGCCAACGCGGACTCCTTCCCTCTGATCGTTTACTGCATCGCATGCACGCACGATATGGAAGTGATCGCGAAACATGCCGCACGTAGCCTACTTGCATGCGTGAAGGATGGTCATGGGCTTAACATGGAGCGTTGGTCGGCACTCGAAACTCTATACGTGCCGCAGCTGGAGGACATATCTGCTGGATGCTACCACAGGCTCATGCAGGCTATTCGTGGCGGTAAGCTCCCTGACGGCTCTCGAGTTCGTTTACACGGAGCCACCAAAGAGACCAATACGAACTCCCGAAGGACCTCCGTCTGTACCCTGGACCGCTGTCCAGATAACGGCCCAACGGAGTTTACCCTACGCGCCGCGGATGGAATCGACTATAAGGTCTCGAAGAAGACCTTCCTATCTTTTCGACCTCACGCAGCCGATACAAGCACTACTCTGTCTTTATCAATACGGAGTAGCGTGCTCCAGTTGCTGCTGCCCCTCCTTGATGCGAGTACAACCACTGAAGAGCTCCATGATTGCAAATCGGTTGCACCAGCGCTTCGTGCCGCGGCGAAGTACAAGATGGACAAGCTCCATGCGGCTCTCAAGAAACGATGGCTGGAATTATTTGCTGGAGACCCTCTCCGCTCCTACTTGATCGCCTCCGTATATGGATTAGAGGATGAAGCGGTCGGATCAGCGAAACTGCTGCTGTTTCGAACGATGCTGGAGCTTCGTGCTCTTTACGTGCCTATCATGGAGAGTGTCTCAGCCGGATCTTACTTCCGTCTTCTGCGATACCACAAGAAGTGCGCGGATGCGGCAGATGGCGTACGCAAAGCTTGGTTGAAGGCATTTCCGCAAGGCTTGAAAGTTCCACAAACTTGTCCCCAGCGCCGATGTAGCCGGGAATATTCCAAGCGGTCGCGTTGGATGGATATATGTTTCACTCGCCTCTACGCCATGCGCGACTGTCCACGCCAAGACGTAGCGGAGGACAGGGCACTACTCGGAGAGTTGTGTTTCCAAGCCGGAAATTGCGCAAGCTGCGCAGAACGGGTCTCAAATACTAACGTAATGAAATTTCTTGCCGCATACAGCAAGGCGAACAAAGAGGCGATCTCGAAGGTGAGCCCTAGCTCTGCGATTGCGACGAGTCTTTGTGCCCCGGTTGACAATGTACCTGGCCTTTTCAGGTCGGAACAAGCATGCTCTTCAAGTAAGGGCTATCAATAACTCTGCCGGTGTGTAGTCTGCGCGAAGGCATTGTGTGACCTCGAACTGACGACGTACGCAATTGATTGTTCAGGTAGATACGAGCATGCTATACACGACTCGATCGTAGCTTTGCCCCATGACTGGAGTCCGTCCGGCCACTTATTATGTACTTACTTTGTGTGAAACCCTAATCAAGCCAGTTTGTGTTGGCATCATGAACACCGGAATCATATATCCCTAGTATGTATGTACAATTGGTGCTAGCAGGGTCGCGATTCATTCTTTAGCTTCGCTATGCGGTGTCCACGCACTGAGGCGGCGCTCGGGCATCACTCGATGACCAAGGGAACCTGGCGATAGCCGATCCGTGCGTGAATTAGTGATGCACGTCTGCGGTAGTACGGAGCCTAGGAGACGAACCTCTGCGACAGCCTCGTCGACCTTCTGTGCGAACTCTCGAACAAAGCACCGCATCTGTCCCGGGGCAGAACGCCCGCACGTAGTGCAATCTACTACCGCCTCCTTAAGGGCAGCGTCTATTCTACTGTCAACCAGGAGTGCCTTGCCAGAGGGCGTCGTTTCCAGAAGGGCAGCGCTTCTGGTCATGTACCTTTTCCACCAGCTCGAGGCGTAATAGTCCCCGACGTAATCGCGCTGGCAACCACTGTGGTGGCTATCGAACCAGGTGTTACCGTTTCGTTTCAGGGCCCATGGTGGCTGGTTAGCCACCGGAGTAGCCTTCGCGCTGCACGCTCTGTGGTATTTGAGCAGATTATTGAACTGCTTGCCAGTGATCTCTGCTAGCTCCGGCGCATCCGCGCTCTCTAGTATGGAGAAAGCCAGAAAGGCCTTTGCCGCCGCCCTAGCCTCGTCCTCCAACTTCAAGACCAGCGCGATCGCGTAGACTCGGACGGGGTAAGCGTCTGCGAAGCTCCGAAGATCGCCTTTGAGCGTGTCTAGCAACTGCGGCATGGCATACTTGATCGCAGCGCGTATGACACGGCGTAGGTCGTCCAAGTTTTCGATTTTGGGGGTGTTCCCCGCCGCCGGATAGCAGAGACGCAGCAGCCGCTCCAGCGTGCTGCTGTCCTCCTCCATGTCCACGATCGGCAGAGCATCTCTGGTCTCCTCGAGGGATCGGCCCACTGCGGGCTGTGGCAGCTGGAACATGTCCTCGAAGAAATTGGAGGCCTCTGCGGGGATGCCCCTCCGCACGCGGAAATCGACCCGATCGGATGAACGCAGGATCAGGTCTGCCGTGGCTCTGTTAAAGGGGAAAGGGGCGTCGATGATTCGTGTGTCGTTGCTCTGGGCAGCATCGGATGGCGGTACAGTGTCTGAATCGGACATCGTCTGCGATGAGCTTGTGCTTGAGGGGCAATAGTACGTCTGCTGTGGTTGGCCGGTATGTCATGCATGAGCAGATAACGGTTGGATGTCCTGGTTAGCAAGGGAAGTGGCTAGTGGCTGGATGCATACGTACGATGGTTGCAAAGCGTAAGTGACAAAGGCAACGTTCGCAGCCGCGACGCTGAGTTCCTTCGACCTGCCTGAGATTGAACTTTGTGTTAAAGAAGCCTTGCAATCGCGTGAACTCTATCTACGTGGACGTCAGTACCGTAAAGGCGCGTAGAAACAACCTCCCGTTTGTGTGCTGAGTTCATCGCATGACTGGAAAGGATATTCGGGATATTCTTCTCTGTATATCTTTCGACATCAGCACCTACAAGTACAGACACATCCTATAATACAATTCATCAGAATCGGTGTGCATGGGCGCAGAGTGGGGGATACAAGTCGCGAACACAAGGTTCTACCAGCGTCGTCAAGTACGCGCCGTCCATTTCATAGAAAACACGAAATTGGAATAATAATAACCGGAGATGATGGACAAAGCGAACACGAGAGCATGGGCGAGACAGAGATACCAGGAAATTGTTTGTCAGGATCGGGCGAAACGGTGATTTCAATAACTGGCGTCGGGACATATCAGCGGCTTGCGCTCGAAGCTCTCCGCGAGCGCGAGCTTCGCAAATGGAGAGGGCGAGGAGCCGGAGGAGTTGGAGCGCGTGCGCTTGAGCGGCGCAACTTCCTCGTCGCGCTCGTCGATCCGCTTCCGCTTGACGCTGCCCTGTGAGCATTCGGCGCAGTCGGAGCAGTAGCTATCGTCGCTCAGCGAGGGCGAAGGCATGCGGAAGGAAGAGCGCGAGGCTGTGCGGAAGTTCCCGGCAGACAGCGGGAGCGGCGTTGCGCAGAAGACGTCGCAGAATTTGGGGAGTGTCGGCGGGGTTGGCTGGGTCGGGGCTGTCCGCCTGTGCGGAGGAGTGTGAGTGAGGCTGTCTCGATAGTAGTGATAGGATTCTACTTACTGTGATTCCTCGAACGTCTTCTGCAATGCGAGGTGCTTCGCCTCGAACTCATCACGCTCCGTCTTCATCTTCATCGCGGTGTCGCGCGCCATCCGGGCCAGGCCAATCACGCCCAGCGTGGCCGCAGCATGCACCGCAGCACGCTTGCGCCAGACGACACAACACGCCTGGAGCGACGCCACCTCCGCGCGCAGGCGGTCGCATTCCGCGGCAGACGACTCTGCGGTAGACGAGCTCGGAGAGCTGTATTCGAGGTGGAGCCTGCGGATCGCAGGAGAGACATGTGGCTGGAGGTGATGCGGGACTAGGTTAGGATCGACGTGCGCTAGACGGGTGACGATAATGAGCGTCGATGCCTCGTACGCGGGGTAGTGGAGAAGCTCACCGACTGTATAGGGATGCCGACATGTGGGACAGAAGTGGCGGGTAGTGTACGGGGTAATGCTTCGGACTATCTTGACGATGCATGAGTAACAAAATACATGGCCTAGTATGAGAAGGTCTCAGCCAATATTCGGAATTATGGGAGCCTCGTACTCACCACAAGGTAAGGCGGCCGGGTCCTTGAGGACCTCCAGGCAGACGATGCAAGTAGGCATGCCGGTCTGAACGCGGCTAGGTATAACGCGATTGAAGGGATTTGAGAGCAAGGATGTCAGGGTACGATGTGCTCGCGTCCCTGTCCAAGCATGTTTTATAGGACCTGGGGGCTCGCGGAGGGAGCAGGGAAGCGCTTTCCGAAGCCTACCGGACGAGGGTCGCACCACATCCTCGTAGAGGCAACTGCGACAGCGGGCCTGTGCGATAGGCAGTTCGAGATTTCCAGAGTGAAGGGGAAACTGGATCGAACGCCGGAGACGGATGGTCAAATGGTTTGTCCGAGGGAGAGTTCCTTGTGTGGTGTCGCGCCGGCATGGAGCTTATTGATCGAGTCAATTAACTCGGCCCTGTCATGCCTGATAGTGTCAGGTCAATTGCCAGAAATGCACGCTGTCGCTCGCTCGAACCCTGCTCGAGCCAGCTGTCCGTCGGCAGCGGATCGTACGAAGCTCGCAGCGCGAGAGGGAGGCCTGCAAATGTCTGTGAATAATGCATTCCCCTGCGACGTGGGACAGACAGCAACCCGGCAACATGGCCTCAGCACCGCCTACGCACCGAATTTGAAGGCGGGCAGGGCTCGCTGGGGGGCGGCTGAGCGAGAGCCCCGTAGACGGACCCCGGCGCGGCCCAGAGAAGGCGGGGCCGCGTCGCGCGTCGTGCCCGTGTCGCGTCCACGTGACTCACGCACCCCGCCCACACAAGGCCAAACAACGCGACCCGCGTCTGCGCCGACGCGACCCGATGCCAACCTTCATCCACAACAACCACCTTCCGTGCGCCGCACCCAGCAGATCCTTGAGCTCTCCACCACTTCGCGTGGTTTCTCCTTGTCAAGATGGCCGAGGGCTCCTGTGGGATCTGCCTGGACGACCTCAAGAACCCCGTTTCCACTCCGTGTGGTACGTGACCGCGTCGCACAGCCCCTATTCTGTCCAGCACTGACCTGTATGCGCCACAGGTCACCTTCATTGCGAAAAGTGCCTAATATCTCACGTCGAGGCTAATTCCGACGCGATAACTGCGTCCTGTCCGTCGTGTCGCACGGCCTTCCCCATAGGTTCGCGCGTTGTGATCCACTCGAGGCGTTGACTGACCTTGCGACGCGTCCACAGCGACACCCGACCTTCGTTTTGTTCCAGCAAAATATCACCGATTCATAATCCCGAGTGTCCGACGCGTCTTCGTCGATCCGCCCGCCGAGACGACCAAGCTGCTCAAGGCGAACGTAGCGCGTTTGGAGGAGCGCGTCAGATGCCTGGAGCAGGACAAGTCGCTTCTCATGGAGCGTTGTGAGGCGTCAATGGCGGCGTCATCCAAGCACGCCGAAGGAGAGCGAGACGCCAGAATAGAGTCTGAGCGCCTCAGGAAGGAGATGCAGGAGCTGCGGAAGAAGTACGAGGAGGTCAAGAGAAGATACAAGTCACAGAAGGAGAGGTGAGTAGGTCATTCTATCGGTCATCTATCTGGCTGATGAATCGCAGCCGCGACAGCGGCGCTCTTCAATTGGCGACGAAACGCAAGAGCAACCAGGCATCCCTGGATGCTTCAAGCAGCTCCTCGTCATCGCAGCTCTTCCGTTTTGGCGAGCACGACGACCCCGCCGACCGCCCACTCTCGCGGATCATCAAGCGTCCACGTCTACTCGCCTCTCCGTTCAATCCCGACAAGATGGCGTCAGTCGCACCACTTGCTCGTCCTGTCCTCTTCAAAAAGGGGCGCACGTCGGTCCTCCTATCGCTTGAGCACGCCGGGCCGCGCAGGATACTTGGCACGCCGGAGGAGCGGTCGACGAGTTCGGCGTTAATTTCAAGCGTAGGCTCTTCAGGCCCTGGCAGCGCGGGGCCCCAGCGGTCCGGCCTCCCGACGGGCGACCTCTTCTCGCCCGAATCGAACCGCACGCTGACTGGCAGCAGCAGCGTGGACTTCAGCCTCCGTAGCTCGGATGACATCCTGGTGGAGGACGAGGATGATTGAGCGAAAATGCGTGCGTCGACTGGGTCGAGGCAGTCGTTCGTGAGTTCATTCAGGGGATTCATGGGAGAATAGACTGAGGACTGGTGTTTCCGGGCTCGGGATCAGCATGTTCGTGCGCCGCATTACTTACCTTATACATACATACCTTATTTGCACGCATTGTCATCATCCGTCATCATCACCGCCGTGACACACCACACCTCAATCACCACCTACATCGTATACTAGCTGATATGCTTCGATAAAATGTTGCTTCCTATACGTCTTGCCTGAACGCATTGCTGTACTTGTGTAACACCGCAGCGGTGGTGAGAGGCGTTGAGGGCGCACGTCGTGGTCGGCCGTGCCATCGCGATCGGGCAGCCGTTATGGCGCAATCGAGATTCCGATCGAAGGTCATGCACATCAGAGTCCGCCTCAGAGTCATTCGAGTCAGCCTGAGTACTGTACTTCGAGTCGGATGTAGCTTCCAGCCCGAAAAATTGCACTGTGTAGACTGACTGTCCCCGCTGCCTGCTGCCATGGACCACGCCGACAAGACAGACACCATCGAGCTTGCGCCCGTCGCTTCCGTCGGCCAAGAGGAGGCACAACGCTCGAGGTCGAGCAGCCGACAGGGCCTCACGCAGAGCAGACTGGACAATGCAGGAGGAGAGACTGGCCCAGAAAATGTGCAGGAGCTTGCGCCCATCGACGGTGGTTGGCCAGCCTGGCGGTTCGTCGCTGCAGGTTTCATGGTCGAGCTCATGATCTGGGGCTTCCAAACCTGGTTTGTCCCCGTCATACTACGCTCCATGCCAGTGCGCTCGCTCATGTGAACATCATGGGTAGCTATGGTATTTTCCAAGGCGTGTGAAGGACCCTCAGGCTTCAGCCGTCCGTATATATGTGCTGAACATAAACCTACGCAGAGTACTATACGTCCAACCCGCTTTTCAAGGATGCATCTGGTGTCACAATCGCCGCGGTTGGCACTCTTTCAGTGGCCATACAATTTGGAGAGGTGTGTGCTCCGCCGAATTGTCCCAGTCACAGCAGAGCGTCACTCTGATGCTGAAGACAGACAGTCTTGCTTTCCTTCTTCTTCGGGCGTTACCCGGACCTCCTCCAACCTAGTCTATGGGCGGCCCTAGCGCTATGCGTGTGTTCCCTCTTACTGGCTAGTTTTGCGACCCACGTGAGTCCAACTATTTGGATGGCCTCGTTAATGGATAGCTAACCCATAGACGTAGATTTGGCAGCTAATAATGCTGCAGGGACTCGCCTTCGGCATCAGTGGCGGGTTCCTCTATTATCCCGTTCTCATACTGCTACCCCAATGGTTTGTTCGTCGCCGTGGGCTGGCCACTGGTATCATATTCGCCGGTTCTGGTCTTGGCGGTGAGTGCGTCTGACGACGAAGCTCCCGGTGGCGCTTGAAGTACCATACTATCAGGGTTCGTCTTTCCGTTCCTCATACAAACCCTCCTGGAGCGCTGCGGCTTCCGCTGGACACTCCGGATATGGGCGTTGGCCGTCCTTGTCACTGTAGGCATTGCGATCCTAGGCATGAAGCCCCGCTTGCCCGTGCCCAAGTACCAGGGAGGTCAAAGACCCCGTTTCATACCACCCCAGATGCACTTCCTGAAATCGTCCCTTTTCTGGCTCCTGGTACGACCTTCCTTCCTCATCAGATCCACATACTCACATTTCCCATGACCTGGCCCCGGTAGAGCGTTTGCACTGTGATGCACACCATGTCCTACTACTCTGTCTCGCTCTACATCGCGACCTTCGCCAGGGTCATCTCCTCGCCGTTCTCCGCCTCCATCGTGCTCGCGCTGTTTAACTCCTCCGGCGTCGTGTTCCAGGTGGTCATGGGTCACATGTGCGACCGCTTCCCGTACGCCTGGATCATGGTCGCCAGCACGCTCGTCAGCGGGCTCTCGGTGTTCCTCTTGTGGGGCTTCGCGCATACACTCGGCGTCCTCTTCGCTTTCGCGATCATCTACGGCGGGCTCGTGAGTGGCTCGCTTCTACCTACACATCGTCATCTCTAATCCGCTGCTTCCGCGGTCGTGCAGATGGGTGGCTACCTGGCCATCGGGCCCACATCCGTCTGCGACTGCGCGGGCAGAAAGCCCGAGCAGGCGAGCGTCATCTGGGCGTGCAGCTACGTCCCCCGCGGCATCGCTGTCGTGATTGGTCCGCTCATCTCAGGCATTCTGTACGACGCTGGCAAGGCGTCACCCGGCCCGGGCACGCAGTACGGGGCGTACGGTTTCAAGACGCTCGAGGTGTTCGCCGGCTCGTGTGCTGTAGCGGCTAGTCTTGTCAGCGTCCTTGTGGCGGTAACAAGGCATAGGGCGCAGGCTTGAACTTGAAGCCGGGTACACGTCTTTGCAGTGCTCATCCGTTTGTAGGCAGAGGGCGCATGCTCTGTTCGACATCCATACAACCCTTCTGTCGTTCGAGAAGCAGTGATGTGCATCCGCTGCATCAAAAGACGTAAAAAGCGAGTGGGCCATTGTCTTCACGCAGTCATCATTATGTATGCGGCTCGGTCGGAGTAGGCTGCAGCAACGTTTCTTGACACAATTGTGCAATGAGCACGCGCTGAGTCTGGGTTTAGTACGGGAGCTTTGTTGGAGCCGGGCCTGGAGCTCGCACCGATGATCGATCGGGACGTCATATAGGAGTGAGTCAGCTCTTGCTGGAAAGGCGGAACATTCGACATCATCCTGAGACTCAGAGCTCGGTGGTATGTAAGATGGTGAAGCAGGATACCCGTACTCAGTACTCAGGTTCGCAACCCTCCCCAGCATGTCCCAGCTCGACCCTTCAGAGTGCCCAATCGAACTGACTCCAGTCGCACTGGAGCGCGGACGCGAGGACACAGCCAGCGATCGACTGCATCTCCGAGAACCCAGCACGGACGGGACTGTCACCAGTCAATTCGAAGAGACCAACGTCCAAGAACTGCCCCCCATCGATGGAGGCTGGAAGGCATGGCGTTTCGTTGCCTCCGCCTTTATGGTGGAGGTCATGGTCTGGGGCTGGGAGTTCAGGTCAGTCCCCGCGCAGTAGCTGTGCGCTCGAATGCTGAGACTTCGACACTACCGTTAGTTACGGTATCTTCCAAGGCACGCATCTGACCACTCCAACCGTGGATGACTTGCTGAGCACATACGAAAGATTATTACACCTCGAACCCACCGTTTCAGAAGTACTCCACTGTCAGTATCGCGGCTGTCGGAACAAGTGCAATAGCCATTCAGTACGGAGAGGTATGTTCACTTATACGCATCATATCACCGAACCCGTATCGACGGTCCTCAATAGACATTGCTGCTGTCGCTCTTCTTCGAGCGATACCCCGATCTACTGAGACCAAGCGTCTGGATCGCCCTCGGGGTCGCGACTCTGTCCCTGTTGCTGGCGAGCTTCGTTAGTCAGGTGGGTTAATCTCCATGCAGCGTCCGAATCCGATTTCTCACCTGTGACGCGGCAAGATATGGCTTCTCATCATGCTGCAAGGCGTGATCTTCGGCGCGTCCGGAGGGTTCCTGTACTATCCCATCATCGTCCTCCTGCCGCAATGGTTCGTTCGGAGGCGCGGTCTCGCAACCGGCTTCATCTTCGCCGGCTCCGGTTTTGGAGGTACGCCCGAAAGCTAATTCGCTGAGTGATACCACGAGCTGAAGTCATGCATCTCACCGGCAGGGTTCGCTTTTCCATTCCTCCTGCAGGCGCTCCTCGAACGGTACGGCTTCCGCTGGACACTCCGGATTTGGGCTATCGCTACGTTTGTCATAGTCGGCATAGCGATCCTCGGGATGCAGCCTCGACTGCCAATACCCAAATATCAAAGAGGAAAGAGGCCGCGTTTCATCCCTCCACAGATGCACTTTCTCAAGTCTACGCTATTCTGGCTCCTCGTGAGTAATGCTCCATCGACAAAGACAAAAATGCTCACCATACGCTTGTAGACCATCTGCACGATCATGCATGCGATGTCCTTCTACTCCGTGTCCCTCTACATAGCCACGTTCACGAAGGTCATCTCGTCGCCTCTGTCAGCTTCGATAGTCCTGGCGATCTTCAACTCCTCCGGTACTGTGTGCCAGATCGTGATGGGGCACCTGTGTGACCAGTTCCCCTACGCATGGATCATGGCCGGCAGCACTCTCCTCAGCGGGCTAGCAGTGTTCCTCCTGTGGGGCTTCGCGCAGCAACTCACATTGGTATTTCTCTTTGTTATTATATATGGAGGCTTTGTGAGTCCAATGCCACCTGTACCGAGTTTTACCGCAATTACTCATGGCCCAACCTCCTCCAGATGGGAGGTTACAACGCACTTGGCCCGGCATCCGCAAGCGACTGTGCGGGAAACAAGCCGGAGCAATCCAGTATCATCTGGGCGTGCATATTCTTCGTCCGTGGCATCGCCGTCGTGGTCGGACCCCTCGTTTCCGGTATGCTCTACGGTATCGGCAAAGCGTCCCAAGGCGCACACGTCGGGTACGCAGGCCACGGGTTCAGGGCTCTGGAAGTCTTCGTCGGGACATGCACCGTGGCCGCCAGTCTCAGCAGCGTCATGATGGCCATTACGAGGCGCAAGGCCCAAGAGTGACCGGAATCGGAAAGTCGTCGGCCGCACTGCATTCGCGCCAGTTCTGCACTCGCTCGGAGCTGCTGGGCTGATGTCAGCGACATGCGGAACATACAAGTACTCACCGACGAACGCAGGCGTGCGTCACATAGATCTCATATACTGTCGGGCATCTCGGGGTCGTTAGTGGTCTAGAAAACAGCTAGATGTACAGTAGTGTACAGATACACCAACGGATCTAATCGTGGTTGGGGCAATGCAGCAGCATCATTTCACCTCGCCGGGTTACCGGGCAAGAACCGGACACCCTCGCCGTCCGCAACTGCGATGACCTGGGCGCGGTTGGTCTTCGTCAGGATGGCGACTGCGCGGCGTAGTAGCGTTGCCGGGATCCCGGACAGTGGCGATGGCACAGGCGGCTCGATGATCTCATAGAAGGTGAGGATGGTATTGAGTTGAGCTGTTGAAGATGCCTAGCGGGGGTTCGTCAGATAGAAGAACGAGACGGCACATCGCGCCGTACCCATTCATGTAGGACTTCCGCCCATTCTTCCGGCAGCCTCCAGTGCAAAAGCACAGTCCGTGTTTGCCTGGGAGGCTCGTAGACTGCTAGGTTCTTCGACACCATGTCCGCCATTATGAAGGACATATGCGATGGCATGAGCCGACCTGCATCATCCGGTCAAGACCCATCATACGGAGTGTCACAAAACGCACGGTTTATCCTCTCATTCCTCAAAACCTCATCCCACTCGCTGCCCTTCGTCTCCGCGTCCTCCACACGCAGATAGAATAGCCTCCGATGTCGTGCGTACGAGAGGATCAGTCGCGTCCAGTTCTCGGTCACGGTCGCTTGTGTGGCGGGGTTCGGTTGCTGTCTGCGAAGGCCGTGTTAATCGCGAGCTGAGACCGCACCGTGAGCCAAACCGGACGTGAAGAAAGGCGGCATTGAATGTATTGAGGGAAGGAGGTAGCCTGTACGACATTATGGCAGCTTACGGACAGGGACGCCTGAAACCACTTACCAGAAGGCGTCGTATGAGTAGACATCGACGTAGTCATCGCCAATGAAGCTTGCTAGCCCGCGAGTGTGCAAGCCCGGGCCGTGCAGTAGATGGTTGTGGGATCGTTTAGTGAGGGGTTACATCGCGCCGTGCTTGCGTCCTCCGACTCAAGAGTCCCAGCCACAGATGGTTGCACCTGCCCGAAAAGGTAACATACACAGGGGCTTCGAATTGTCGTCCAAATGAGATTGCGATCCCAATGAACAGCGAGTAGTCGATTGAGTCGTCTACATATTAATACACATTGATATCTCGCAACCTTCGTGCGCGCGCAACTACGGCAAGCCTTGTGTACAATATGATGCCATGGCCAGTATGTAACCTAGTAAAGAAGGAAGGGAGCTTGAAGGAAATGTTGAGAGCATACGGACAGCGAAAAGAGAGCAACCGAGTCGAGAGAGGAATCAAAATCAGTGACAATAATGAACGGCACCCGGGATCACTGCAGTACCGATCACTCATCATCGCTCTGGTCCTGCAAGAAAGCCATGATACTTTGGCGAGCGGTAGCCTGCAGGTCCAACTTGAGCATCATATCACATAGGGCGAAGAGCCCAGCAAGTACTTACCCGTGGTCGCTTAGGCTTCTCTGCCATATCCTCGTCAGATTCGTCTTCGGGAACCTCTTCGGGAGCCTGCGCTTTCTTCGACCGACTCGCACGCGCCCCAGCGACAACGGTCTTCTCGAAGTTTTTGACGTCCTCTACAAGCAACGTACAATCAGTATCCATGACCGGCTTGTGAGGGAGTACAGACAGGCTCACCTAGCTCCTGGGCAAACTCTCGTTTCTCTCGGATGGCCTTCGCCTGCTCGAGACTCATGCGTCCTGTCATACCAAGGTCGGAGAGGATCTGCTTGAGTCGCCTGATTTGGTCGGACGGCCTGTCGATATCTTTAAACTCCCTCGCCCACTGCTTGCGTACGCCACACGCCACAACAAATGACTACGGACTCAAGTGAGCACGTAGGCCACACTTCCTAGCAAATGGTACACTGACCTTGAGGCGTTTAATGGTTTCCTCGTCCTTCGACAGCTCCTTCGCCGGTTGTCTCGACTTCCTCGCCTTGGGTTCCTTTGCGGACTTCCGAGCATACGGCTAAGTTCTCAATCTGTGTCTTTGACTGGTATCACGAACCTTCTTACTGTCTGCATCCTGCCATGAAACCACTCTACGGTCAGCTAAGCAAAGCAGCGTGAAGCATCCAGAAGCTGACCTTGCCCTTCTTCCTACCACGTTTGGGCGGTTCGTCTATCAAGACAGACATCTCCGACTCACTCTTCTGCAGGTCGTCGTCAATATATGCGGATTTAGCTATGTTTGCGTACACTCACGTAACCACTGTCTGCCACGGTGACAGGAAGATCGTAACTGGGCACACTGTCTTGCTTTGTATCTGCTGCACTGGGGCTGGCCTCAGGGTCGACGTTTGATGTAGCCCCGGCGTCCTGCATCTCGACGTCTGCGACCTCAGCGGTGCTCTTCTGGCGTTTCTTGGGAGGCTCTGGTGACTCGGCCTCATATTCCTGGAGAGCTTTCAGCTTGTGCTGTTCACTCGTGTTGCCCGACCGATCTCACCTCGTCAGGTACGGCCGCCTTTTTTGACTTCCTCTTCGGAGCCTCTGAAACAGGCTTGGCAGAGGAAGTTGCACCACCCTCATCATCCGAAGAGGGGACTACGGACTACGAGTGGTCAGCAAGTTGTTTCAAGCGCTCCTCAAGAGGTTGCAAAGTCTTACTGCAGAACGCTTCGGTGTCTCAGCCTTCCTGGACTTCTTCGCGGGCGCACTTTTCTCTGTCGCTTTCTTCTTTGGTTCTTTGTTACGCTCTTTCGCTGTCTTGGTCGTTTTGGTTGGCTTGTTTTTCTTAGCAGGCTCTGGCTCCGGCGTCTCTTCTTCGTGTTCATTATTTCCCCCTTCCTGGAGTGGGTAGGTCAATACGAGTACTTCGTATCCGGAATCTAGGTGACGCACTATAGCCGCGTCGATCGTCTGCTTCACGACGCTCTTGTACTCCTTCGCGGCCAGCGTCTCAGTTTCGAGAGAGAGTCGCCTCTCGACCTCCCTCCGCACTTTTCCAGGTGTCCATTCCCTATCATTGCAGGCCTTTGAGGATAGCCTGTCTCATCTCATTCATTGTGTTCGCACGCTTACCCTGAATCCAGTGTCCCGTCCTCCTTCGCCTGCTTAATGATGTCGCGCGTCACTCGCTTCACCTCGTCCACGTCAACCTCCGACATCTTCATAAACCTGAGAGGGTAAGACGGCGGGGTTTGTTCAGGGAGACAGATGGGCTATGCGCGGCAACACTCAGGAGGAGAGTTTGACGGACGCGTCGGAGTCCGAACGCGTGACGCGATGTAGACGCGTTTGGTTGTGTTTGCCACCGGCGCGTCAGGCACGTGGTGCGCGACGCGACGCGTCCGAGCCAATCTCGTTCCTCGTTTCTTGCGAGTGCTTGCCATTGTCCTACTGCTGCACCTCCCGTAAACTCTACACATCACAGAACTCCCTCGCTTACGCGCTTGAAATGTCCCCCAGTATTACTATCGCACAAGCGGAGGAACCACTCCCGACTTGCACGCCATACCTGATGCCCTTTCACATCGACTACTCGGGACCTGCCCCAATCTCCACATACTTCCGCGTTAAGCCAGCACCACCTCCAGGGTACCTAGGCAAGATGGAACGTCAAGGCTCCGCTGCTCAAGGTACAAATACAAATTCGCAGGATGCCAGCGAGTCGCAGACATCCTCGACGTCGCAGGCGACGCTCGTAGCGTCCTCCTCCAGTGGAACCTTGGAGACCCAGCTCGGCGAGTCGCAGGTACGTTCACACTCATTATAGCATATGTAAATCGAGATCAGACATTTTTACCTCGAAGAGGGCGCTCGCATGTTGGCAGTCTTGCCTTGCGAACATAGTCGGTGCTCCACAAACGGCGACATTTTCGGGGAGGAGAGTCTTCCTCGGAACTCATTCGTGCTCGATGCCTTGTGTCACCACGGAATATTTCGCATACCGAGTCGTTCCGGACCAAAGGTTTGACAAGTTTACGGTTTCGAACCACACACCCGCCGGCTGCCAAGCCGGTGCACAGCAATTCCCGTCAAATCTGAAGCCTTTGATGCGAACTTATCCATCTCGCCTGCTAACTTCGGTGTCATCATCTTCAGCTCTTCATCTGCACCTGACTTCTGGTTCGCTGGCAACGAGCTGCAACGAGAAGCTCATGTTTTGAACGCTATAGGACACTCTCATCGTCGAAGATGCGGTTCCCACGAAGACGCAAGGTGCTGGCAGCAGATTTGTAGCGGCCTTTCGCGGAAGAACAGTACAAGGCTTGAAGGTGGAACTCCCCGAGGGCTATGCAGGACTGATTCTGCAAACCCCGGAAGACGCAAGCGCCGCGCGCTCAAGCAAGCGAAGTGGGGCATCCGCGAAAGAGCAAGTAGGAACGCAAGCTACGCGTAGCTCGCGTCGGTCTTCCCAGAAAGAAGCGATGGTCATCGACACCGACGTGGGAGGTGGTGTGGACGGCACCGAGGAAGCCGAGCCGGAAGGTGCTCTGCGGACATTGCAACCCATATCCACGTTCTCCTCGTTCGTGTTGTGGAATCAGGACATCCCGGTGGACGAGGGCAAGGACGAGTATCTGCGCTCGATACGAGAGTGGACGAGACTGGCGGCAGAGGTGAGCGCGGTGCTGTTGTCAAGGGAGGTGTACCTGACTTTGGGCGGCTCCTCGAGGTTCATCGAGTTGAAGAGATCTGATCGACGTTCGACGTTCGAGTCATTCTGTCTATATTTGACGTTCCTTGACATTTACTCCGACGACAGCGGGTCGTTGAGAGGGATCCAGACATAACAGAGATCGCAGCTGTAGAATTGGGTATAATTGCTGGAAGACATTGAAACCTCGGTCAAACCTGTCAGAGTGCGCCATCTTCGCGTTTATGTAGGCACCGCCACCAAAGGGGGTACCGCGAACCCACATCTCCTCATGAGGCTGTCCGCGAATACCCAGCGAAGTTTGGTGCCCGCCGCCTGCATCGTCGGCTGAGGAAGGCGAACATCCAGCGCGGGCGAAAGTAGCCATTGTGGCCAAATTGTGGCTGATGATCAACATGGCAGGACAACGTGTTCGCGCGCGAACAGTTGGATTAGCCGGATTAGGCAGGCATAGTATTCAGACACCGACGTCGACCATGCGGGCCCTGAGTGGCATCCGGTGCCAAGGGCTGACCGAAGGACCGCCCGCCCTGACGCTCGCCTTTTATCCCCGCGACTCTTCGTCTGGTCCTCCCCGCTCCCTGTGCTTGGACTGTCCCTTCCTTACCTGCGTCGCTCTTTAACGCAATTTGCACTTCCTTATACGGTAAGCGAAATGAGTGTTATGCTTGACACTCGACCCTATTGACACGAGAATAGACACCTAGTCCAGCCTCAACCACACTCGAATCATGTACGCATCTGTGGTTCTCGCATCCCTTTTCGCTGGCGCCGCGTTTGTGCGCGCGGACGTTGGTCCGACTACTCCTGCCCCCGGCGACGTCTTCAACGAGGGCGGTGATTGTAAAGTGGCTTGGAACGCGGACACGTCGGGCGTATGGACGGCCATGAACGTGGAATTCATGACTGGAAACAACGAGGCCATGCAGTTCCTTGAAGGTGAGTGCTCGCTTGCCACCCTTCTACACATCGTTCGGCTTATTCACATTCGCTCCACGACCTAGTTGTGGCGACTGTAGACGGCACCGATGCATCGAACAACAGCATCACATGGAAGTGCCCCGATGTACGTCGTTTCTTGTTGCTTGGCTCGATTAGTCTCACACGTACTACTCCCTAGGTTGACCTCAACTCGCAAGTTTACTTCTACCAGTTCACATCTCCCTACTCCAAGAACGTCTACTGGACCGGCCGCTTCACCATCGCCTCCTCAGACGGCAGCACGACTCCCCCTCCCGAGACTGAGGTATCCGGTGGTCAGACCATCTCCTGGGGCAGCGGCTCCATCATTGGCCAATCTCCCTCCACCGCGCCCGCCTATGGCGAGAGTACCGGCGTGTCTGCTTCTGCCTCTGCCTCCGGTTCTGCCTCGTCCTCTACTGCTTCCTCCGCCTCGTCTTCCTCCGGTTCGTCGGATTCGTCATCCGATGCATCCAGCCCCGCGGCAGCTCCCGAGTCGAGCACGCCGTCTGGCCCTCCTCTCACCAAGGCGGCGACCTCGAGCGTAGTGACCGTCAGGTCCTCGGCTGCCGCGACCTCCCCGGGTGTCGCCACTGCATCGACCAGCACGGCCGCAAACGGTGCCGGTGCGCTCAAGGCTGACAACCTCGTCCTCCGCGCCGGCATGGCGCTCATCCTCGCGGGGCTGACGTTCACCGTCGCTCTGTAAGTCCCTCGCGGCCACCTCGCCCAAATACGTGCAGCAGCACGTTGACGTTGCGCTGTGCATTTCTGTCGTTATTGTTCTGCTGTTGTATGCTGCTTTATATATTACTACCGTACTATCGAGGCAAGTGATACTCGCACTGATGACCATCTACGACGTGCACTGTATTCGCGACTGTATGGGGATTTCTGTACCTACCGGGCTTTAGGCTATACGCTTCATAGTAAATTAAGAATTCTGGCCTGGAAGATGCGCAGGTCCGAGACGTTCGCGGCCACATGCAACGCAAATCTCATCACCCAAAGGTGTTTGCCAAGATGGTTTGTAATATACAAATGCTTCGTTGATGCAGCTTCATGATCGTACAATGTCCCAGTGGAGCGCAGTCCGTCATCGCTCGCGAGTCGGACGTCTAGTAGTTTCTCGTCTGTGTGGCGACGCTGCCGAGCTGTCCCTCAACATAGCCGACCTCTTGCTTAAGGTCCTCGACAGCAGACTTATTGCCTTTCACTAGAAACAGCCCATATCAATCAACCGTTTGACGCCGCTGGCTATCTGGTCTACTCACCTACTGGCCCTTCCGCACCCGGTAGCGTCTTCGACTCCTCGAGATCCGCGTCTCTCCTCGACCCGTATCGTGATTGTGCGGTCATCTGCGACGCAGGGTCATACGTAGCACCTAAGCATGCAACAAATTGCATCAGCGAGCTGCTCCTCTGTTTAACCTTGCCATTCACGCACCTCCCTGCGCTACCATACTCGGCTTCGGGTCTCCTACAGCCTCCTTCCTGCCAAGGTCAACGGGCGTATCGAGCAGCGCTTTCGTTCCCGAGCCAATGGACTCGCTCTGGTCGCTACGCGTGCCACCTGATGAATATTGAAACGCGGTAGGATCCTTGAACGTAGAGTTCATTGGGTTCGACCCGGACATGGTGTTCTGCGATGGTTCGGTCATGTTGACTTCAGGTGAATGGGAGAAGGTCTGTGGGCGTTTAGAGTTGTCTGTATAACGTTGGGTTGGCCATGCTACCAGCAGGAATATATATGAACGGCGGCGGTGGCGTATGATGACAAGTGTGGAGCCGCGACACGCCAACGCGTCCAAGTCACGCCGAGAGGCTACTCGACCACGTGCGACGCGTCTGTGGCTGCATCGCGCACTAAACTCGAAGAGTCGATCCGTTTGTGTGCTGACTCTTCCTTCGACCTCTCGCACCGCATCCAGCCCAAAGGCCACGCATACAAGCAGACGGGACAGTGCAATTCGACAGCAAGGTACGTGATGATACATCGTGACGGAACACTTGAGATATTACAGGGTTGGAATGCGCAAATAATGTAAGTCATGACACACGCATCGAGCATGCTGACATTCGTGTAATACAAGCGTGGTGGAACAGACGTCGAACCCATGAAGATCGTAAGAAATAACAGTGCAAAATAGTACACACACGGCAAGTGAGAGAGATCGGGGAGGTCTAGATGTCCTTCTTGCCGCCCATGACTTTGAGGAAACCGCGCACGTCCATCTTCAACGAGCCCTTCCCACTCGCCGCGATCTTCCGCGCCACCGCTGAGCGCGAATCGACGCGCGTCGCAGTGTGTGGAGGTTCTGACGGACGCTGCTGGTGGTGGTGATGGCGGTTCTCGTCGCGCACCCTGGGTGCGGGCGCGGGAGCGAAGGAGTGCTCGAGGAAGTCCTTCCGGACATCGTCGAGCGGGTTCGCTGGGTACTTCGCCGCTGGGCTGGGAGGAGGGAGGGCGATCGGCGCGGGCCGGCGGCGCTCCTTGCCAATCGGGCGGCTTTCTGGAGTGTTGGAAACGTGCGGGGAGAGGGGTTGTTTGCCCTTCGCCGGCGCGGAGGCATCTGGGACGGGGAAGACGTCGAGGAGGAACTCGGGTTTCCGAAGGTGTGGTGCAGCGCGACGCGCACGAGATGGGAGCGCAAGGACGGACATACCGGGCTTGCGCATCGCGGAGGGCATCAGGGCGCTGCCAAAGACAGCAAGGTCATCGCCAGAGTCGGCCTGCATGGCATAGCGAGGGTCGAGGTCGGAGTCCTGGCTCGAGCAACTACCTCTCCGCTCCTCATCGGCACCAGAGCTGGCGGCGGAGGCAGATCCGAAGCGTACCCAGGACCTCTCGTTGCCGTCGAGGTCCTGGTCACCTCCGAGGAGGTGAGCATACTCCCACTCCTCGTCCTGGTCCCGCCAGACACCGCCGGCACCGTCTCTCCAGACGTCACCGACGCCAACCAGCTTGCCATTGACCATTTGCGCGCCGCCAGCGCGTGCCTGGCTTTCCGCGAAGCGCCTCACATGGTCATCCATCTTGCCTCCGTCGGCGAGCTGCGCGAGCGCGAGTTCGGTGGCGAGCGGTGGTGGGCGGTACTTTGCATACTTGGACTTCTTTGACTTGCTGACATCGTCGCGCGACACCGCACGGCTGTGCGCGGAGGCAGATGGGACGGGCGGCGCAGGGTGTCGGGACATGAAGGGCGGTGAGGGCATCGAAGGCATGGTAGTGGATTTAGAGCGCGAGCGGGACCCTCTCAGAGCGGACAGCGAGCGGAAGTGTTTCAGACCGCGCTTCGCTGGCTTCTGCGACACAACAGGTACGGGAGAAATGGGGATCTCCAGCGGAGATGGGTGTCGGTCTGGGTACGCAGCAGAGGAAGGCGTCTTCGGAAAGTGCACGAAAACGGACGCGTATCCGACTGCGGTGAGGTCGTGCTGGAAATCCTTCAGAGAAGGAGTAACGTGGGTCGGGTTAGTCGGACTCTCGAAGACGTTCAGGAACGACGCGGAGGGCACACGACCAGACCCTACAGAGGGGCGCCGAGAGCAGGAGCGCGGAGAAACGGATGGGCGGCGAGAGCTCGAGATGGACGTCCTGCGCCTCGGGGTAGGAGGAGCAGGTGATCCGGGCTGGATGTTCAGAACCCAAGCACTGATAGCAGAGGTCGTAGCGGATCTGCGGCGACCAATCACGGGGCTGCGCGGAGTGGTAGGTACTTGAACGGGCGGCGAAGGCAGAGGCTGTGTGGGGCGTTTCTTTTGAGGCGGCGGCTGCGAGAGAAACGGATACTTCGGTGCGGCAGTGGTTGCTACAGTCGAAAAGTTTAAGGGGGCAGTAGACATGGATATAAGGTAGGGTTTTAGAAGCTGTGGCGGAAGCGAAGTGCTGCCAGAATGCGGATCAGCCAGCGGTTCATGAAGAACGAAGCGGTGCGTACTCACATGAGGATGTGGCAGAACTCTAATACAGACGTCCTCGTGCCTATAGGTGATACAGCGGAGGGAGAAGAAATGCAAGTTGAGACTGTCGTGCGACGAGACGTTGAGTATGGCTACAGAGGAGAGAGGCAGCGGAGGACAATCCAAGGAAAGACAAGGTGAGTTTGAGAGCAGTGCGAGTGAGATCCCTAGACTAGCTAGTGGTGGGGGTACCACAAGCTCTGGAGGGTTCCTTTTGAACACCTGGAGGGGACAAAAGTGAACCGCGACCACGTCCGAACAATGGCCATTGTTCCTCGTCTATAAACATCCTGCAGGCGTCTCGTCGTCCAGTGCAAAGTCGCGACAGCCACCTACATTCTGCTGCCGCCACCGGGACCCCGGCTAGCTCTGTTGGTGATTAGGCGCCGCCTATTGGTCATTCACCCATTGCTTATTGTCCTCGGTTAGGCATTTACACAGCGGTTCCGGGTCTCCCGCCCAAAGTACAAGCCCTTCCCGTTTGGAAACAAGATGCACGTGCTTCGCGCCGTCCTCGTTTCCCGTCGAGACAATAAGACTGCCATCGTCTGCCGCCTTCTCCTCCCCTCGTCAATGTCCTCACTCCTCCCCGTGATGCTCAGGCGGTTCTATCGATGCCTTCTGCCAGCCATATATGTCTTTTTTCCGCTTCTTCTAGCCGCTGTGCTGCCGCCCTCTGAGCGCATCGCGTACCCACGCAATTGTTCAGACTCGAGTACCACGTACGCTGCGCTCGCGCCTACCGCCTTTTGGTCTAATTATCTAGGCCTGAACACTTCTGGCTCGCCGTCGCGCAGGCTATAACGTTATCATGCCGCGCAGGCTAAGATTCTTTATTGTCTCTGCGATGCGGGATGGTTAGTGAGTGTTGGTAAATCTCTTCATGCAGCAAGCCTATAGAGGGCGATCATTCACGCCAGGCTTGCAATGCGACTACTTACACAACATTGTAATTGTGTTGAGGAGCTTTGCCAGTGACATCATCATTGCAGACTCTGCTGTATCGCGTTGAGCGACCAAGACGCTCGCTGTTCGCAGCGGCACTGTTGACTTAGCAAGATCGCTTCATCAACCGCTGGCCCTGTGGCGGGCTCACGCGAACACCCGGAGAACTAAGCACGACCTTTCCCTCCCTCTAGAACGTAGAAGCGTCGCGCTACAGCTTACTGGAGTTAGGTCAGCAGCAAGTCTGCTACCGATACAACATTTGTTGCAACTTACTGGAATGGGCTGATTTGTTCATCTTGCAGGCTGCACCCTATCGTTCATCGCCCAGTGAGAAGCGAGCGGTTGTATAGCGCGAAGGTCCACATCAACGCTAACATATGAGCGCCGTAACGTGGCCACGGACGCCTACTTTGTTACGTTAATCCTCGTGAGTACGCCTGCTGTGTGTACACTACACTCACACCATGCTGCATCGATCGATCGTCGTCCTCCCATACTACGATGACAACTGAACAAGCCTGTGCACGTAGTGCCATGTAGGGTAAGGGCACGGTCTAAATTCCGCTCCGCCCGGTACCGTTGAGTCAAATTACAAGCTTCAACGGTCGGCGTCAGTGCCTTGTGACGTACTGCCTGAGCGTAAGGCAACCGTACCGCACATCCGTTTTACCGGCGCGGGTAAATGCCTTCTCGAGTAAGTTATTGCAGATCGCTTACACTATGACGACGCCCGACGCGCTCACGCACGGTAGTTTGTCTCCAGGTGATCTGTCGATATGTACCTGTCCGGCCCAACAACTCGACGTCTCCGCAACGTTGGGAAGTGCCTCCCTCCATCGGCTCACCGGTTGTCGGGTGCTCCCTCCGGGATCTGGTATACTACCGCTTCTTATGCGGATCAGCTACAGCATTGGAGTACTCGGAACGCCGTTTGCTATGAGAGTAACATGTGTATCGATTGAAGCACGGTACCTTTGTCTGTTCGGCAATACACAAACTGTCGACGACCTGCGGATGGGTCTCAGTGACCGTGCATCAGAGCTGCGAGCTATATGGGGCTCAATGATGTCAACGATGTCGATGATTGCCTGCAGGCAGAGTTGTGGGTGATCAGTACCATCGGTATGCCAGATGAAACGTTCTGCTGATCACACGTAGGTAAGGGAATGCGGAACTTGACGTCATCTGTCGATGCTCGTGCCAGTGGCTTGCAACGCGTTGTGCTTGGTAGTTCGCACATTCACGGGCGGTGTCAATGTTAAATTTGAGCGCGTACATAACACCTTGCATCAGTACGAAGCGCAGTGCCATATGGACCAGCCATACATCCACAATCGGGCTGCTGTGCACGGCTAGCGTGTACGTTACCAGATGAACGGTCATGGGCGGCATCTTCGCTGAAATATGATGCTGCAAGAACATCACCGGAGTGAAAGTATAAAGTTACATGCTTTCCCTATCACTGCCAGCAGTGACGATCAATAAGGCCGCATCGCCGGAAGTAGATATCGGCCACCGCCATGCAGACCTACAGCAACCGCAGGTGGTGCGCTATACCTAAGACGACGGTGTCAGGCATAGGGTTATGCGGTGTCAAGACGTCGTACCATCGGAGCGGCGATCTCAGCCATCAGAGCCCATAAGAGTCATGGCAAGCAGCTCAGGAAGTGCCTGCGGTCGGGTGTACTGAGGTTGAGAGTCGTGTAGGCTGGGTGACTGCCAGGGCGAAGTCCGCAAACTCTCTTCTGGTCGCCTTGCCTCTCTGCACATGAAAATTGCACGGTCAGGTGCTGGAAAATCGGATCATTGAACGCCCACCTTTAATGCATACACGACGACGCTCTCTTTCAGCCGGTCAAGTGAGGCTCCGTCGCACTCCTCTACTTCTTTCAGCACGACGCGCAACACGCCCTCTTTCTCGTCAAAGGTGCAGCGAACCGCTGGACGCAGTCGCACGCTCATGGACACCTTCCACACGGGCGCCCGGCGGAAAACTGGATTGGAGAAGCGCGGATGGCAAAGTTCATGTCAAGATGTAGCCACAAAATCGGCGGCCTATACTGACCCAATCGCACATCAGCAGTCTCCTTGTGCGAAAGAAGCTTGACGTGTCCAATTATTCCGTCCCCGAAGTCGCTTTCTCCACGCTTAATGAACACCTTCGCACCTTTCACCTCCGCTCGCACTTCCTCGTCCTCTTCGCCGGTGACCGCTGCACACGCCGCATGGGGGAGTCGTTAGACACACTTCCCATAAAACATAAGCGAGTGGTAAGACGTACTCGTGCATGTCGCCCGTGTGTAAGTCTGGGCCTTCAAGGGGTCGTCTTGCGCATATCCTTCATCTCGGAAATCTACGCGCTCCGAGCGATCCGCGTTTTCCAAGCACCCAGAATGAGCGACAGGCGGGGTAGAGCGCCTCACTTGCGCTCCAACGCTGACGGCGCCCCGATGATTCTGCGGGGGCTCCGACTCCGGGACTAGGCCTTTCGCATGTTCTCCAGAATTGCTGTGAATGTCGTGGTACCAAACAGGTTTGGAGCCCGCAATAGGGGATGCCACCACTGTTGCGAATGCTGAACTGGCATTTGCGAAACACGTGAACGCTCCTGATGGCTTGACCTAGGGTACGAGGCCGTGAGTCTTCGTCATACGTGAAAGCTTGGCAAGCACCACTCACTGCAGGTATTAACAGCAATGGCGAGGTCAAAGCTCCATTCGACGGCACCCGCGAGGTCCCCCAGCTCGTGGCACGAAGATCGGTTCCGTCGAGGACCGATGGATCGCCCCCATGATCCATGGCCAAACCGTCGGCCTCCGCTGGTATAGCTTCTGCTCCATGTAAGGATTCGGGCGCCCCGGCTTTGCTTGGTGGCGCGGGAGGTTGTGGGGGGTGGGAACGTACTAGTAGAAGCCGGGCCTCGTCTACCATGCCAGACATCGTCTTGCTTCTCTTCCTCGGAGCATCGGTTGGATCATCCTGAATCTACGGTGAGCGCGGTTTCTGACCAGGCAGGAATGCGGACCTCACCCCGGCAGGTCGCTCGAGCTTCTCGATTGACTGCTGGTCGCCGGACGTGTGAGCAAAACATACTGAAACAAGAAATGTACAGGCTTATTTACATCGTCTAGATCTTCGTCTCGGCTCTTTCTCTTTAATGATCCCGGCTCCGTAATCTCATACGACTGTGTATTCCGTGGATGAGCAGCGTGTCCAATGTAACGATGATGAAGATCTGACCTTTTCTGACGCGGTGGAGCTGTTCTGTGCGGAAGAGTCTAGTAGGCTGCTCGCCCAAGAATCGACTGTTGAGCACATGGTCACAATCGGTTTGTTTGTAATGAGTTACCCTTCAGCCTGACCTCCGTGTTCTGCGTGCCTTCATGTACCGATTGGTCAACGCGTTCGAAAGGCGGGGCCATAACTCGGTCATGAGGCTTACCATCTTGACGTGTCCCTACAAATCCGAGATACCTTATATCCAATAGCCGCGGACACGGTTGCTAGAGCACAACAAGCAGCGTGGAAATCGTTCAGAGGGAACATCTTGCCGAGCGTATTTGCTGATACACGGTGTCGCCTAGAGCTAATGATCAGTTATCTCGGACACTGGCAAAGCGTAATCGGGCAAAACCGAAATGGTCAGTGTATAGCGGAGCGGATAGCAAGAGGAAGAGAAGAAAGTCGCGGAGCTGCCTGCTTATGTACGTCTGCCCATAGAGGCCCCTACACCTGTTCCGCACCGTAGACGCACCGTAGACGCAAGTGCAACACGTGTGCCAGCTTTCTAGCTTGGGTGGTACATAGTAATGCATTATTGTGCTATGCCTGCTGAGCTCACGACGAAACTACCTAGCTCCAAAAATGACGGTCTTTACAAGCTTGAACACTTCGATCAGAGCCTATGAGTGTTTCGAAATAAAAACGGCGAGTCTCAATCGAACAACGTACTGCCGAAGCGCCGAAGCGCCACGAGCGCTTAGTCTTATTGCGACGTGTTCCTTGTGGGTAAGTACTTAGGGCACGTGGCAAGTCGAGGCGGCCGACCTACCGTGCATGGCCCAGTTTTGTTTGATCAGACTGTGTATCTGCATGCACATATTTCGGCTTATTGACGATTCGTGGTGAATACTCAAAGTGCTGGTGTAAAGGATTTCTATCTTTCTTGGGTAGGGGTTGCGGGCGTACTAACCGTTGGATCATCCTCATTTTGCCACGTCAGCCCGATCATTTAGCCACGACGGCCGAAAGACTCCGTGGTTCGTTCGTACTCTCCCATTTACAATCATCTACCCCACTATCTACACAGCAGCATCCTTCGTATACGAGGAGCTTCACCTCGAAGAGGCAGCTTCGCGCATCGATACACATTGCATTCAATATGCTTATCCCTCGGACTCTGACGCTCACTTGCCTGTTCATGCCATGGCTTGCGTCGGCTGCATTGTTTCCAGCTAAAACCGAAGTGAAGGTGATTGACGCCAAGGGTTTCAAGAAAGTCATGGACCATAATGTGGGTTTGCATCCTCGTTCGTCTACACTGCTCACTGCGTCCCAGCTTCTAGCTTCTTTCGGTCTGTTGCTCATTTTGGCTTACTTTTAGGTTACATCCGTCGTTGCGTTTGTAGCTCCTTGGTGCGGTGTATGTCGAGTTTCCCACTCTCTGTGGTACAGTATCTGAATTGAGTTCCTCGTGCAGTACTGCCAAAGGATGGCACCTGAGTACAGCAAGGCTGCCGAGGCACTTGCTCCCATGGTACCACTCTTCGCGGTGGACTGCGATCAAGCATCCAATAAGCCGCTGTGCTCGGAACAGGGTGTGCAAGGATTTCCCACAGTCAAAGTAAGAAGTGTCTGGACCCGGTGAATTATTGAACGATTCTCATACAACCCTTCCTAGGTATACCCACGCGGTGGCCGTTCGAAGCCACAAAGTTTCGATAGCCCGGAGCGAACTGCAACCAATTTTTTCCATTGGGCATCGCGCAGCATCCCTCACGCGGTCAAGAGGCTCGACAGTGTTTCTGAAATCTCCGGTTGGACCAACGAGGTATGTGGGTTTCTCACTTCGGAAAGCGGCACGGTAGACTACCCAGCCAATCGTTTCTTAGAATGCTGCTCAGCCACGCGCCCTCTTACTGAGTTCCACCAAAGACATTCCGCTGATATGGAAGGCGCTGGGCAACAAGTACAAGCACGCCATCTCATTCGGGATTCTCCAGGACAAGAGCGGTAAACAAGCAGTGAAGTTGGGAGTGGAGGATACTCCGACCAAGGACTCAAAGGTGCTCATTCACCCTCCAGGATCACAGCAGTTCGTTCGCTATGAAGGTACAGATACCCGCCTATGTACTAGCTCCATTCATGATGACGCATTCGCGCACCCAGGGCCCCTGAAATACAAACCACTGAACAAGTATCTCGGCTCCGTCGCAGATGGGACCGCTGACTTTCCCATACTGCGGGAACAGTCCGAAGACTCGCCCGTGGCTCCGGACGCTCCTGTTAGCACCAACGGAGATGCGACGCGATCGGAGTCGGCGACCTCTTCGACTGTCACTCCTATTTCCTCTGTATCTAGCGCTCATATTGAGGAAGCCAGAGCGACGGAAGGAGCCCTAGATCAGAAGGAAGCTGATGAGGCAGTCAAGGCCACGGAGGGTTCGGCCAACGCCAAGCCCTCGAGCGTTCCTGAGGCGACGGCCGCTGCAGGCCCAGACGTGGAGGGGGATTCGCGCCCGGACCATACCAGAGATGAACTGTGAAGATCCGTCCTATGTCTTGTATAATTATTCTTACGTCTCTGCGGAGCCCTCATCTGTTTGTTCTTCCGTGGCCGGGACCAGCCTTGTAGTCAAAATCAAAGTCAATCGGTTCCGCCGTAACACGTGACACTTCACTCACGAACGTCGAAGGCTGCAGTGAGCCTAAGCTTGACTTTGATGACAGTTCTGTTACCTGCCGGAAATGGCTTCACGAATCAGAATCACGATGCTTTGCGGTGAGTGAGGGCACGAAGCGCACCTTGGATCCTGACCGATTTCGCATCTACTTAACCAGATAGGTTGAGACAGCCATTGCTCTTGTGCCATCATGATATTGCTACTTCATACTCTCGATGGGATTACTTTGTTATGTCTGTCTGTGGTCTATGCTTCAGTGAATCGGCGCAGCACCGGAACTCGAGAACTTGCCAAGACTATTCGTCAGCCGCGACAGTCCGTGTAGGAAGACCGTCATGTACACCTATATGAAGCCTGGATCGCGACCCATATGGTTCGGTTAGCAAGTTAACTGCATCTCTAGTTACCGAGAAGTTTGAACATTGCACACCGGGTCTATAGAAACGGGCGGATCAAATTCACTGGTTCGCACCTGGAAGATCGCACCTATCCTGGTCTCATGGGCGTGGTATGGGGAGTGTTTAACCTTCGATTAGCCTTCATGTACCGCGGCTAACGATTCTCTTCTCAGCAATTGCCTTTTCTTTCCCATGCTAGGGACATTGTGCGCATGAGGTCGGCGGCTTGCAGGCGCGATTGTGATCCTACTTTGAAGTAACTGGTGAGGATGTTCCCTCTGCTTCGGGACGCACAAGGTCTAGTTCACAGTCAGGGATGATGCGATCCCATGATAGAAGTGTCTTGTCGGAAAACATGCATGATGGGCTTGGGGAGAGGGCATTGCGTACACGTTCCATGGATTCTTTGAGGATTGTGGACAAGTCCGGAATGACCGTGATACTTTTTGCGGCGCTATGTCAGGTTTGGTTATAAAGGCTACCATCTTCCGAATCTGGGATCTCCCGCTACCATGATAATTGACACCGCACACAGCGTCGCTCCCCTGACTACTCTCCCGCACCAATACCTCGGCGATGCGGAGCCATTGTCGGACAGGTATTCAGGATCCGACGGCCGTTCTCTGGATACCTTGGTCACCGGTGAAGACACGCCCTCACCTATGGTCACGACTACCCCGCGGTCTAGCTCTATCAGCATCCATCTGGGTAGAGTTTGTCTCCTGCTACGTCAGCACGAGGTTCCCAGCACGTTGTGCCTTCTTCGCTGCAGCCAATGCTCCAGACGCTGATTGTTCGGACTATTGCAGCCCGAATGCCTCCCTTTCCTATCAACAGTGGCAAGACACATGTACGAGGAAGGCGGTTCACTTCACGGTTAAGTCGTGGTCCATCTGGCCATCGGCGGTGAAGCTGGGAGGCTGAAGGCACCAAGAACAACGTAACTCAAGGGCAAATCGGGAATGCGGCGATGGAGAGATGGATAACTTCCACGGTACGATGTCTTGGTCATTAGCCCGTGACTATACGAGCGGTAATCCCATCCTGAAGAGAACCGCCGTGCGGCAGGGAAGGCAACGTCTGTACTTGGCGAACGAAACCTCGATCTGCGTCGATGGGCATGGTAAATGTCGGATGACGTGTGCGGGGCCGCCGAAGCGGTGAGTGAAATGTTACATCTCTCTGAGCTACTGGTCCTCAATACCCATCGCCCACGACACGACTTTTGATAAGAATAGGGTTTAATCCTCCACTCCCACCGTGCGGCACGCTCGTTGTTTGCGTTGGGAGGTTGTCTAGGGAGTGTTGAACGGCTGACGCTTGTTATCAGATACGCGGGATTACCACGCAGTCTCCTACAGACAAAATCTATTGGTCCCCGCAACGAGTTTCGCCGTCATTCGCGGACGTCCTTTGAAGGCTAGTGTTCTGCGAGGATTCTCTCTCCCTAACCTGCTCGGACTACGGTGGCCGCCGATGACGAGTGCCACGGACCTTCCTCCATGAACTCGCGATTCGGAACCGCCTCTTCGGACTATTGGTGACTGATGCCCTGGAGATGTGCGTCTGAGATTTCGTCTCAACGTGTCGAAGTACTTTCATTTTCCGAAGTTCGCACTCACCTCGTTGACCACATCCTCAGGAAAGCGCGGCTGCCGTTACTTCTTCCACGGGCATCACAGGACCTACCTACTCAGGTTCGGTCGTGGAATAACATGTACTCGACGGATCTCGCGTTGCTATATAAACTGCGTCCTCTCTGGTTGAGACCATCCAGTCAAGTCGAACCCACTTCAGCATCGAGCAAAGTCGTCGCTGTCGCCTTGATTCAGAATGTCCAACCCCGGCGCCAGTCAGCAGACGAAGTTTCGCTTGAACCCGAAGCCCACATATAGTGAGCGCATGTCGGAGACAAGAGGCGAAATCAGGCGCATCATGAAGGAGGCCCTTCGTGAGTCCTCTAGACGTGCGCACGTGCCGATTGACTGACACTTTCGACAGGCCAAATCACGGGCGATGAGGTCGCCACCATGCACTGGCCCACGTATTGGAAGGACGTCGTCGCTCGATACCATGTCATCATCGAGGGTTGGCCGGGAGATGTTCCATTCCGGAATCTCAGTGACGTCTCCAACCTCGGTAAACTCGAGCAACTCCTGCGTGGATGGCAGAACGGAGACATTTATTTTCGCCGCATCTCAGACGCAGAATTCGCGGTACTAAACGCACAACGTGAAGCCGGAGGATCTGCGGATTAGACATGGGCATCAGGCGGCGGGCATCTAGCAGAGGTGTAGGGACGCACAGCGGCTGCTAGAGAAACAATGGCTTTGGATATGTCTCCGATATTCTACGCGCATGTCTGACTTTTCGGTTCTCGACTGATTCTCAGTTTGACACGTGCAACTGAGACTGGGCCCAAGCACACGCGGAGTAACAACCAGCACAACAGTCGGCGCGTGTCGTGGGTGCAGAAGTCGTGGTTTGCGTGTATCGCCGGACATGCAACAGGCAGAGAAACATCTGGGAGCGGCAACACACACGACGACTGTACCCCGGCAAGAGTCTATCAGCCTTTGTTCACAGGGAAGGCGTGGAAATACGGCCTACATGAAGTAAAATGCATCTACTGAGGTCGCTGGCAGCACTGCCGTTGCTTGGACAAGGAGTTGCCCGCGTTTACGTTATAAACCCAGGCCCGGGGCGCCCGAACTCGGATCCTGAGTAGCTCTACTCACAGTCTTGATCTACTATAGCGGACGTGTATCGCATTGGGTTGTGCAGCGAGCTTCAGGACGAGCGGATAAACATCCGTTGCAATGAGTACAACAGCGCGGGTCACTGAGCGTGTCAGAGACGAGTCCTCCTCAGCTCTCCAGCGACGCACCTTAAAGCGAAGCCCTTGACGCACTGTCCCGAATGTTCCATGCCAGCAACTTTGCTTTGCTGAGGGCCATTCTAGCCCATTGACTACTCGGCGATTTGGTCACGCAACTTGAAGTTGAGAATAACCCAGTCGAACATTCCGTAGTGTATGGTAGGTTTGGCCTTACACATTGCATAGCTGACCACCTGACGTTCGCGCAAATCTGACATACATGAGTCAGGGGACACCGTTCATAGTGCAGGTAAGAACATCCTACCTTCGAACTCGGACGCGGTCGAGATCTGTTGATGCATTCGCATGCATCCGCATCTGCGTCTACTCGGACATCAACGGGTGCTCCAAGCGGGAAAATAATATTATCACAAGATAGTAGATAGGCTATGCCTCTATACAATGGCCCGTCGCCTAGCCACAGGCTTCGACCGCTTACGCCTTTTGCCCTGCTCGAACGCGTTGGCAGTCCTGAGGTCACGACCCAGCGGATCTTCCTTCTTGACCTGGTAAATACGGACCTGGGGAGGAGGAAGGTTAATGAATGCGAAGCGACTGTTGACGGCAGTCACTCACGATCCAGTTCTCCGAGGTGAAGGCCTCGTCTATGAAACGCAGATGAGGAATGATAGCAGATGGTACCCGATATACGCACCAAGGTAGTCTAGCGTCGGGCCTATCTTAGGCATCTGCTGCCCCCGGACGCGGTCCACCGCTTGATTGCCACCGAAGAGCTCAGCAAAACTGAAAACCTAATCTCAGTGGATCTCCACAGCCAGAGGTGGTCCTCTTGCTTACCGGTAGTAGGACATTTTGTACATCAGGCTGTTCTTCATGGTGTTCGACGCCCCGTCATCAACTTTGTACTCACCCTTCGCCGTGAAATAATTGGGCTCCTGGATCTCGTCTGGCCACACGCCCTGAGCAATGCGGACCATCCACAAGAACTTGTTGATGTCGTCACCAGAGTAACCGAGTAGGCCACCGAAGATGACGAGAACGTAGTCGACGTCGTGCTTACGGAGGATCGGGTAGGCCACCTCCTCACTGCTGGACATGGCCTTACCCACGGTCGCGATGTGGGCTGGGAGGGTACGAACGTCAGGCAAGTACCGTCCGCAGCAAAGAAACGTACGTACTGTTGTTCCAGGTGTTATTGTCGACCAGGGTCGGCCTGTCTGCCATACCCGCGATCTGATATCCGTAGTCCCACCAGCTCATGACGACAGCGGTCTCCGGCGTGTTCTGCCTAAGCCAGTAGTATGCCTCCCTGAAGTCATCGATGATGTGCTGGCTGCCGTCAGGGTTCGTCGACGCAAGCACGACCGAAGGGGACGAGTACGCCGAGGACGTCACGTACGTGCAGTGAAGCACGAAGAACAGGAGCATGCCGAGCGCGTTGAGGAGTACGGCGAGGCGGGTATCGCCGCCGAAAATGCCTCGAGATTTTTCGCCTTTCTTGGTAGACACGACGGCGCTGACCGTAGAGACGAGGCCGCCAAGCGGACCGGGCTGTGCCGCTGGTGCAGCTTTCTTGCCTTTCTTCGTCGCGGACCCGGAGCTTGTAGAAACAGCAGTCGAACTCGCGCTCACGGCGCCGTCTCCAGCTGTCTCTGCCTCCTCTTCAACGGCGTCTGGCTCCACAGGATTGATGTACGTGTCCAACACGGAGGAAAACGCCACAGCGGCACAGACACACACGCAAGGCGTAAGGGTCAGCATGAGCCGCACCATGACGCCAGCGAAGTAGCTAGCCACCACAGCGTAGATGATGACGAAGACGTGCTCGTCCCGCAACTCACGGAAGCACAAGATGACGCCTGCGGGGAAGACGAAAATGAGGAGCTGCAGGTCCATGAAGAACGATGGCCATGCTGTCGGCTGATGTTCCGAGACCGAGGCGATGATCGGGATATACCTTGACCATCAGTGCGTGAGCAACTCTGTCGCCCAAAACGAATGAGACCGTACTTTTTCGCATAGCCTGTATCCCAAAGGGAATAGAAACGTCCCGTCCACGGTGCAATCCAACCTTTGTACGTCAGGCCGACGATCGCGAGACCTCCTAGAATACCCATTCCGATGACGGATGCGTAGAGCAGTCTCTGGAATTGTTTTGACGAGACATGCGCACGGACAAGCTCCGCAAAGGCGATGATCTGTAAAAGGCCAAAGACACCTGGGGAACAATGTGATCAGGGCAACCTATACATCCAGGTTCGAGTGGCTTACCCAACGCCGCCATATGCTCGCTGGTGCGCACGGGCTGGAATCCGACGAATGGAACCTGCATGCTGGCAAGGGTGCCAATGGCGTACCACGATGAATACGCCACATACAGGCGGCTGCTGAAGCGCCCCATGAGTATCAACGTGAACGCATGCAGCGGGATCATGTTCGTAATGAACGCGTATCCACCTAGACCACACTAAGTTAATGTCCGGAAGACTGCAATACACCGATCAGATCTTACCCCAGGCGGCTACCATGTAGAAGTAGAACAGAGCAGCGAGGGTGCCGAAGAAGGCACTGCCCGTCTTGAGCGCCTTGATCCAGAGGAAGAACGTGAACATGAGTAGGAATATGGCAATGGCCTCATTGTCATATGAACCCGCCACGGAACGAGAAATGTAACCCGGAACAATTCCGATGAATGCAGCGGCGAGAAGGCCGGCGCTCTCGTCCTTCATCTCCTTCGTAAACCTAAACAATGATTAGTACATGGACATGGCCTCCTGGGAACTGCGGTCATACATGTATGTGGACCATGCCGTGAGAGCACTGAACCCAGGGGCAAGCATGACACATATGTTGCGAATGTCGACAGGCAGGTTGAGTCCATGCAGTATGCTGTAGATGACTCCGCTGGTAGCCATCAACCCAGGGTAGATGGTCCCTCCAACAACACGTCCCAGCGGGTACCATGCTGTGGGATCGAACCAGTTCCAAAATTCCTGGATCGCTTTGTCAACGCTTTGGTTCAGCGAGTCTCCAAAGAAACTCACATAGAAGCCCTCCGAAGCTAAGACCCGGGTTGCGCGACTGATACGCGGTGAATTCCCCGCTCAGCTATGGGAACGTCGGCAATGGTACTCACTAGTTGAACCACGGGTCGCTGAGACACGCCGTCAGCCTCGGTCAGCATAACCCATGCGTTTGTCAGGACATACAATTCATGGATGACACTCTCGAAGTTGATGACCGCGAAGAGACGTGACGCGATGGCTGCCCCGGAAATAAGAGCCAGAGCCACAATACGCAACAGCGAGGACGCGTTCACGACCGTCGCCGGCGACAAATCCGTCGGCAAGGAGTATGCGAGCGGCATGACCGCAACCAGAAAGCGTGAGCTGCCTCCAAGGAGTGACCGTGTAGTTGGAGACGAGGAGGACGGGAAAGGGAGAATGCAGACCGCAGCGCAGCGTGGAACGCGAGACACGTCGCGCGGGGAGGCGCGCATCCCACGTGACTGGGCACCGTACATGGGCGCTTACACGGGGTCCTTGTGGTAACTTGTCGGAAACCGCGACATCATACCCTAGCAATTGCTTCACTTTGTCCTACCGGCGCGAACCAATCCACAAAAGCACGGGCGGCGCTCGGCACTCTAACTGTTCTGCTAATATGTCAACTTCGCGCGACCGCGTCGAGGACACATACGAACTCCAGAATGACAATAGGCTGGAAGACTTGCACTCCAAGCTTCGCACATTACGCGGCGTACGTACCCTCCGACCCCTTATCCTGTGCCACACTCGACCAAACTACGCGATAGGTCACAACAGACATCTATGATGACGCTGAACGTCAAAATTCGACACTGGACGAGTCGGTGAGTTTAGCCGCACTCTAGGGCTCTGGACATGGCTGATGTGACGACCCGTTACGCTACTAGCGGAATACGTTCAACTCGTTTGGCGCATCACTAGCGCAGTCGTCCCGAAGAGCAGGTCAGGCGTTTGGGCTGACCGGGGGAGGAGTGAAGCAGTGGCGGAACATCGGATACTGCGTCGCGGCAATCGTCGGGCTGTGGTTCTTGTGGAGGATACTGCATTGGTGGTGGGCTTCACCATCCCCCTGAATCCAACCCTTGCTTCTGTTCTGCTGAGCTGTTCATTGTTTCGTCTGTACTTGGGACTTATACCTTTCATTCAGTACCGTTTCGCTCTGACTGCCCGTAACTCGACTCGGCGGCATCGACTTGCTCACGCGCGAGTCGGCGCAAGGCTTTCATTTGTGACTTTGCGCCTAGAATAAAACCACCATTTGTAACGAACTGAACATGCGCGGGGCATCTCACAAGATCACTACGATGATCTCCTGGAGGGTGTATGCCCTCCTCGTGCTGTGTTTGCTCTAACATGTGTCTATTTCCTTCCGCATACCGTGCAGTAAAATCCCGGTCCTCCTCCTGCGGTAAGTTACCTGCCAGTGGTCCAGCGGTGTCTTCGATGGACATGTTATTGTACATGGAAGAGGTCCCGTGACGATTCGCCCGTTGAACAAAATGCAACACTTCAGCTGGTGTCACTTGTGCCGAGCTACCCTAGATGTCCCCTTCGGGGTGACATACGAAAAAATTGGAACGATACAGAGAAGATTAGCATGGCCCCTGCACAAGGATGACACGCTTTCCCGGAGTGGTAGATCTACGGATCTCAATATTTATTTTGCGTGGTACACTTCGGCGCTTAACGTACACCGAGAGCGTCCTTGGCATTACCGGGCCGAAATGGTAAGACGCTCGGTAGCCTCGAGGCAATCGGCACGTGCTCGATGTCAATCCATTATGGCAGGCGTACGTCAGTATACCGAGACCTCTTCAGTGCAGTCTCGCGTACACCTCTTTGCTGGACTCTGTCGATCCAAGAAGAGTCCCATACAGATCACTGACAATAACACATTCGCATCCATAGTTCCTGAAGCATGTCTTCCGACAAAGACGTCCTGCTCTCGATGGGCTTCGATCCCGCCCGAGTAGACTGTAAGTAATCCTGAACCTCGACCGTCGACGCGTCTCCATCTCCACTTCTCTCCCACCGCGTGAATACCACACTAACACGGTCATCTGTCTAGGGGCGGTCAAGGCAACGGGCGGACGCGGCCTCCAGCCCGCGATGGACTTCCTCCTCGAGAACGACGGCAAGCCCGTGCCCGACCTCGCCTCCGTGTCCGCAGCCAGCGCGAGCTCCGGCGGGGGCGCGCCGATGGACGTCGACGACGAAGACCGGGAGGAGCTGGAGGCGCTCCAGGCGGTGTACGGGAAGGCGCAGGTCGCGCCGGCCGGTGGCGAGTCGGTGGAAGCGCAGGTGCGTTGGATCTGCTGTGGGCTCGGTGGTGGGCGTGTGCTGATTGTGGTGGAATGTGCGGTGTGTGACAGAGCATCAAGTGCTCGCAGTGCGGCAAGGTCTTCAAGAACACCGCCCTTGCGAATTACCACGCGGAGAAGAGCGGGCACGACCAGTTTGAGGAGTCGACTGAAGAGGTGCGTCGCACCTCGCTGGTTCTCAACGCCCTTGTGACCGTGTGGTAATGACGGCTCTGCGATCCAGGTCAAGCCGCTCACCGAGGAAGAGAAAACGCAGAGGCTTGCAGACCTGAAGGAGAAGATGGCAGCCAAGCGTGCCGTAAAGGCCAAGGAAGAAGCCAAAGAGCACCTTGCGAATGAGAATATCCGGCGCAAGGCTGGCCGGGTACGCACACCACTTCCATTCATCGCGCGCACGTTCCCTGACTCCGTACAGGACATGAACGAAATACGGGAAGAACTCAAGGCCAAGGAGCTCAAGAAAGATCTGGAAGCGAAGAAACGCGGTACGCACATCCTCTCGCTGTTGCCCCCTCTTAGCCCGCTCAACTCGTCTGCAGAGAAAATCGAGGAGGCGCAGGCACGCGCCCGGGTCAAGGCACAAATCGAGGCCGACAAACGCGAGCGCGCAGAGAAGGCAGCAAGGGAGAAAGCCCTGCGCGAAGGCAAGCCCGTTCCCGGAAGCTCTGCTGCGCCTGCCCCGGCCGCCCCAGCAGCCGCTCCTGCGCCCAAGACGTCAGGGAAGGACTACCCCGAGACGCGTCTGCAAATCCGGATGGCCAGTGGCGGGCAGCCGTACACGACGACGCTCCCAAGCGACTCCAGTACGTCACTCTCTGTCCTGCTTGACTCTTGGGCCCCGCCCCGGGCGGAGTACGTGGCTGATTGATCTGATGTCCACGTAGCACTCCGCGAGGTCGCGGAATTCCTCGCGGCGCAGACACTATCTGTTGATGCGGAGACGGTGACGTTTGCGATGCATTTCCCGAGGTGCGTGCCCGCGGGTGTGGGCTGATGCGTGCGCGCGTGGGTCCCGGTGCTCATGCGGCGCCGTTCCTTTTTGTTCTGTGTGTCGTCTGCAGGAAACAGTTCACTCGATCGGACCTGTCGAAATCTCTGCGCGATCTGGGGCTGACGCCGTCCGCGGTGAGTGTATGCATATGATTACCTGCGTGCGGGTGGCTGACGGCGTGGTCCCCTGGACGTAGGTCCTGATCGCATCATGAGGGTATGTTATCGGATTGTTGCAAGGCTACTGGGAGGCCCTTCTGTTGTTGTGCGAAGCTGTATCGATATGCTGATGTATGATGTGTCTGGGAGGGAATGATCATAGGTTGCATTCTTTTAGCCTGCTCCGAATCAGTTCGCTGTGGGGGTACTGCAGCCATTCGCTCATCCTCCGCAAAACAAACATCCCCGCTGGTCGGCTCTGACACTGGACAATCGGAAAGGGCTTGCGACAACCCTAAAAGCCCTGAGCCCCGACCCGTCGAGGGCGCCCGAGGTCCCCAGTATGGAAGGTAACCTTCCAGATGCGGATGTGTGGCTTTCTGTTGCCCCTGCGTTTCTACACACATGTCACCGCCAACGCCGCAGCTTTGGGAGTGCAGTGGCTGGGAAGTATGCCTCGTGATGCCTCGTGGATATATGAGAGTATCCCGTCCACCTGGGGCTTCTGTATGTGCAGGCCATCCCTTGTACATAGACTGGCTTGCACTGCACTTGGAGCTGCTCTCCTGTTGTATTTCCTCGTACGCATGGCAAGGCTCTGGGGAGCTGTAGCTCCTCTGTGCGCGACTATCGATGGCCGCCCGAGTTTCAGGGTGTGTGTGCATGCGCCTTCCGCCCTGCATCGGCCATTCTTCCCTCAGGTGCGCTAGTGGCCCGTCATGCCTCCGCCCGCGGCGGACGTGCGGTGGCTGAGCGGGCCTGGCGTCGTGTCGCCCCTCGTGCTCGTTGCGGTGCCCGATGAGCCGTGGACCGGGCCGGGTGGGAGGTGGAAAAGATGTGCCTGCGCGGAGGCATCTGGGCATCGGGCGGCGGGGCGCGCGGACGGTTGGAGAGCGTGCTGATCGAGATTGCGCGTAGATTGCCCCGCAAATTCATTTATGTCACGGACCGTCCTGCAGCGAACGTTCTGCTACCCCAGGCAACACACTCGGAGGATGGCAGCGCTGCAGGCGATAAGTAGGCGCCGGAGGGCCCTCATGTAGACCCATCACCGCATCAGTCCCTGGACGTCCTGTCCTCCATCCTGTCCTCCAACTCCCATGTCCCCATAAGCCCTCCAGGGCGCAGTCACCCACCCGACCATGGACTACACCCGCGTCCGCTCGCCCTCCAGCTTCTCCGTGGGCACGCCCTTCCGCCAGCGCCCTGGCGGCCCCCGCGGCCCAAAGTCGCCCACGAGCCCCGGGGCCACCAAGGGCATCATCCCCCTCGACCTCTCGGCCCGCGTCGAGGAAGCGACCCCCGCCTACTCCAGCCCCCGCTCGTCTACGTGGTCGCCGTCCTCGCCAGGGCTCGCCTCCGAGCAGGATCTGCATTCCGAGTACGGCGGCTCCAGCACCGAGCGCCGCACCACCGTGAGCAGGGCGATCCAGACAGGTGCGCCGGAGCCCGCCCCCAGCACCCCCAGCACCCCGTCCATCGCCGCCCCGGCAGTGACGGTCATCAAGAAGACCCCGACGCTCTCGCCGCCGCCTGCGGTCAACTTCGACACACCGCCCGTGCCATGGCGCGGGATGACCCTCGAGGCCGCCCAATGGACCCTCACGTCCGAGCAGCTCCAGGAAGTCGTCTCCGCGGCCATCCGCGCGTCCGCGCAGGAGAACTTCATCCAGCTGGTATCCCGGCAGACACTGGACGTCGAGCTCGTCCACGAGCTCGAGCGCCTCGACTCGGTGAGTCTCCCGATCTGCGCGTAGCGCCTGGTGGTGTATCTCATCTCGCATGGCCCCGCGCGCTGACCGCGGCCCGTCGATCCTCATCCAGCTCAAGGCGACGACGCAGGCGCAGTACCGCTTCAATATGCAGCGGCGACTCATGCTCCTCCAGTCCCTCAATGCGCTCTCTTTCTCCCCCGGCGACCCATTATCCCAGGAGGCGCTGTCCAATCTCACGGCACAGCTCGCTGCACTGACCGCCGCCTGCGACCGTCTCATGGAGGCGCTGCTGACCGTCGCTGAGCAACGTGCACAGATACAGCGCCTGCAAGACGTGCACGTCGCGTCTGCGCTCGCGATCAGCCTGCGCAAGCTCAACGGGAGCTACGGGCGGCGTGCGACCGAGGTGACGGAGGCCCGCGCGAAGATCACCGAGCTCCAGGCGGAGCTCGAGGAGGCGTGGGGCGTCGCGCAGGAGCTCGCGCACGAGATGGACGACCTGGACAACTTCGGGCGCGACTTCGGGTACGAGGACGACGCGGTGTTCGAGGACGAGGCGAGCGCGGTGTCGCGCGAGGGCAGCGTCGTCGTCGCGGACTCGCGCACGGAGCGCAGTGTGCAGATGGCGGAGGTCGTCGGCGTGACGGCGACGGCCGTCTCGAGCACGGCGACGTACGCCACCCTGTTCCCAGGCCCGATCGCGCCGTCGCCCGCGCAGCTGCAGGTCGCGGACCGCACGAGCCGCGTCCTGGCTGCGCGGCGGCGGAGCACGCGTGCGAGCAAGGCGAGCCTGCGCCTGCGGCAGCCGTCGGTGAGCGAGGGCGAGGCGTCCTCGTCCGTCGCCGCCGCGGCGCAGACAGCGCGGAGGGCGAGGAGCCGGAGCCGGAGCAGACGGAGACCGACCATCTCGACGGAGCCAGACGTGCCCGTGCCCGCCGTCCCGACCATCCACGTCGAGTCGGCGCCGCAAAAGGGCGGGTCCTTCCTCGACCTGAACGAGACCCGACCCACGACGCCGAGCTCCGCCGCGGTAGAGGCACCGCCCCCGCTCCCCCCCGTCTCCGCCATCGCCACCTCGCTCCTCGAGTCCCACGGGAACACCCTCGGTGAGCCGCCCACGCCCACGCACACGCAGTACGTAACGGCCGTCCCCCATCCACACGTCCCCCCGAACGCCACGCCCTCCACGCCGGGCTTCGACCGCACGCTCATCCCCCCCTACACGTTCCGCGCCGCCGGCGCGTCCCGCGACGACTCCTTCCTCCCCAGCTCGCACGAGCGCGACGCCAAGGCGCGCCGCGTGCAGTCGCTCGGCGCGCGCGCGCGCGGCGACACCGTCAGCCTGCTCGACGGCGTGCCCGGCTCGAGTGCACGGACGCTGAGTGGCGGGGAGGCCGCCGAGAGCGGCCGGACGAAGGCGAAGCGGTATTCGGTGCCGTTGCGGGCGGTGCAGGGCGAGACTGCGCGGGCGCCCCGGCCGTTGACGGCGGGATCGACCAGTGTTGGGATGCATCATGACCAGCAGCAGGCTGGTCCGGGGCCGTCGTCGCAAGAGCTTCGTGATCAGGTGCTGCGTGATAACGATGTGCAAGCGTCGCAGCCGGCGCTGGACCAGCAGCCCCCGCCCCTACCGCCAAAAGAGGGGGCGGTCACAGCTACGGAACCCCCCTCGGGGCCGTAGCATCTGGCGAAGCCGCATGGAGGAGTCAGGCAACATAACTTATTACCCTCGCAATCTCTCGCTCGTGTTCGCATCCGGTCTTGGTCGCAGCCACATTGTACACTATCGAAGGTGCGCTCTTGTGTTCCTCAGCCTCTCGAGAGTCCCGTCTTGCTGATGCTGATGATGTGCCCCAGCAAAACTAATGCCCCATACCCGGCTCGTATATCCTAGTGACCCGATATGTATTACCTAAATTGTCGCAACCACCCACACCTACCCTCCCCTCCGCCCTCGCCCTTCCTTGCACCTTTGGCCCTTAGGGGCCGCAGAGCCGTGCTTGAGGACACTTGGCGCAGTGTACATAGTGGAGAGCCCGTTTCCCTCCTTGCTTGATTTGGCTTCTGTATTGTGCTCGCTGTCTGTATTACACGCATACTTACATGTACTGCTGCTCTGATTGCTTCACTCATCCATCGTTTGGCGGGGCGAAACGGAATACAATGGACTCTGAAGGGATGGATCGTGATGTGTGCGGTGTTGCCTCTTCGTATTAAGTGGATTGTGTGCCATGATGACTGTAAGGTGCCTAAGGCCTAACCTGGTCTCCTGCTGCAGAACATCCTTGCGCACACCGAGCTCGTCATGGAATCACAAGAAAGCAATCAAGGCGGCGCGGGTCGTCATCCTCACGAACCTGGCGTTCAATATCACAGCCCGGCCGCAGGCGCATAGTCAAACAAGTGCACCTGCCCAGATACCGTCCCCACAGCGATACGGCCCTCATCCTCGTCCATCGCGAGCTTGTTCCACCCGTCGTCCTCCTCCTGCATATGGAACACCATCGTCTGCACCCGCTCCTCGCTGTACCACCCCGGACTCACACTGTCCGCGCCCGCGCCCACCTCCTCTCCTCCCTGTCCGGCCACATCGACTTCTCCAGTCGAGCTCGGCTTGTCGCGGTCTAGTTCCGCTCCCGCCGACGCGAGCACCTTCCCCGCGATCCGCTGCCCGTGGTCGCCCGCCTGCGCAGGCCCGCTCTCGTACGCCTGCGCGTCGAGCCAGAGCGCGGTCCCCCGCCGGCCGAGCACCATGTCCGACGGCGTGAAGAGCCGGATCGGGGACGGTATGCTGTGCGCCATCGTCGGCCCGCCGCCAGGGTGCAAATACGGGATGGACACAGGCGTGTCTGGGGCGACCGCGTCGGGCGGGGAGGACGTGAAGGCAGGGTTGGGTGTGAGGACGTAGTGGTGGAGGATGTTGACCGGCCAGGGGAACCACGTGTCGAAGCGGATGAGCACGTCGATCGGGGGGAACTCGTCCGCTCCCCCATGCCCAGTGTCCTCAGGCTCGTCGGCGCCCGCACGGACGCGCGTCTCCGCGTCCTCGTCAGTAGGAGCAGCGCCGCGCGCAAGGAGCCGCGGGGTGACGACGAGGCTGTCGATGCGCCATTGCCATCCGTGCGACGCAATCGGGTTGTACGCGACCGGGGGCGGGTGTGTGCTGTTGTCGGGCGACTCGGGCACCGAGGGGAGCGCGTACAGATGTATCCACTGCCTGCAGAACGTGAGGACGTGCCCCCGCAGCACTACCGCGCCCATGCAGCGGTGTTCCTACAAGCGCAACAGCGTCCGCCATATCATTCGTCAGCGCTCATCGTCAGCGTGCACACCTGCCCTCTTGGATAGAGACTCACCTCGTTGCGCAGCGTGGGGTCGTCGTACTCGCGGGGGACACGGAGCGCGGCGCGGACATAGCCCGCCTCGACGTCAAACACGCGCACGATGTTGTCCGGCCCGCTCGCCGCGAAGACGCTGCCCTCGAGCGCGAGCGGGAAGCGGAAGCTCGCGAATGCCTGCAGCGGAATGAACGCTGCGCCGACGTTGCGTGCGCGGAAGTCAATTGAGAAGATGGACGTCGTGACGCTGTCGGGGGCACGGTAAGTGACGGGATATGTGAGGGTGAGTCGGGCACTCACTCATCGCTGGGTCCTCGCCGCGTGATGGCTAGGATGCCTGGATGGCTGGGGTCGGTGTTCACTGTCGCGCCTGTGAGGTCCGTACATCGCAGCGCCGCAACGACCTTCGGCTCGCCCGCCTCTTCTCCGATGTCCCAGCAATGCACGACGTACTTGCGCGGTGCTGCCGGCTCATCGTACAACGTGATCGTGAGCAGGTAACGACCCTCGCGACCTGGGAGGTAGTGTACGGCGAGGTTGCGTGGGCGTGCTCCAGGCGGGATGTTGGGCGGAACGAGTTCGGCAGACCGCGTACTGCGCGGGTGAGAGGACGTCCAATTGCGGCGGAGAGCAAGGGCACGGAAGGTGAGCTCCTCAAGCTCTATTGCAGAGAGCGTGTCGAGCGAACGCGCGCGCAAGCCGGGGAGCGGCAGTCCGCGGGCGAGGATGTGGGTGTGCAGGGCGTCGTGCCAGACGCTCCGGGAGCGCGTGAGGTCTTCGAGGGCCTTGGACGTCTGCAGTGCGAATTGGGTGAGTCTGAGGCATGAGGTGGCAGTCGTCTAGCACATACCCGTCGCAGAGCGAAGATGTCTGCTACTCCGAGGTGTCGGAGGATGAGGAGGAGAATATCCGTCGGTAGCGTCGCAAAGCCCATGTCGCCAACGGTCTGCAGCTGAGGTGGCTGTTATGCGAAGGGTTAAGTAGGGAAGGGTGGCAGCTGTGCGCGGCAGAACCGCAGGATGTGCCATGACAGGAAGCCTCCGACGACATCGCCCCGGCCCGCCCTTCCGCACGCGTCCCCGCATCCCGCTATACGGTCACATGCCGCTCATTAGTCGCGTCGCGTCGCTCCTCTCAGCGTGCTCAAAGTCGTGCATGACCTGCATCTCGTCGCGAGTACAGCCTGATTCTTACTCTTCGTGCATGAAAGTCAACAGTCGCCAAGTATAGCACTTCCCTCTGACCCGATGTCATTCTCCCTGCCCACTTCTCCGGAGCGCTCCCAGAACGCTCCAAGTGCTCAGGCCTCAGGCCCAGGCTGAGGCTGACGTTTCTGCGCATGCTTCGCGCACCTTGAATAGAATCTAACGTGTCTTAATTACTGCATATGGAGCGCCGTTGACTGGGAGAAATGCCTATATTATGCACACGGTGTAATGTACAGTACAACAGTAATAGCTGGTGCTACAGCCTGTTATCCCGGGTCCCGACAGTAAAGAAAGAATGACGAATGGCGTGCAGCGTTACGACACACGTCCGCCTGGCCCCGCCGGAGCAGTAATGCAGTACTACTCACCCGTCCGTACCCTAACGCCGAGACGTGAAGTCAGAGGCCATCTCCCATCCCCTGGGAGACGCGCCCTCAAACGCATAGTGATGGGCGTCCACCTCCATCCTGTCTGAACGTGGCATCCCCGGGTACTCCACTCGCCACCTTGTCTCCTCGTCGAGGAAGGGCGCGAGCGCGTCAGACGTCGGATACCTAAACGCGCCGCCGGCAAGTGCCCGGTGCCCAGCAGACGTCCCCACCGCTGCTGCCGCATTCAAGCCCATCACGCTCGCAGGGTCTTGCGTCTCGAGGAACGCCGCAGGCGATTCGTCAGCGACCGCGAACTCGGCCTGCAGCGCCCTCATCGACGGGTACGCTACGAGGCCCACCGCCGTCGCGCTCCGCGTGCTCGGCCTTGACCGTACGGGCACCGGTACGTACTGCACCTCGGTCCCTGTTGCGTGCTCGGAAAACCCCGCACCGGGGTGTGGCTTCCGACCCTCCGCAAAGGCAACGGCTTCCTGGAGCTCTGCCATGGACGAGTACGCAAGGAGGTGCGGCGAGCGGAGCACCGTGGGGTTCACCGTGCGCGAAGGGGGCTGTTGCGTGTTAACGAGCCGGCGGAAGGTCGACACGGGGACGGGAACATATTTCGCGGTTGACGCGTGCGATGGAGACGGCTGGGATGTGGCTGCCGAAGGGTTGGCGAATGGGCTGTAAGGCGCGGGGAAGGCGGTCGATGGTAGAGTGGTGAAGTTTGGCTCGATCGGCGGGGCATGCCGGAACCTGCTCCTGTTCAACTTCTCCTGCAGGTCCTTGCCAACGCTGGGGGGAGCTCTCAAGGTCGGAGTCGAATTCGTCCGCGCCCTCGTCCTGACCTCGTCCTGTACTTCCTCCCTCTTCTTTGGCTGGTACTTGTACCCAGGATACAACCTCTTATGCTCCTCTTTCCTCTCCTCCGCGACGCGCTCGTAATACGCCCTCCCTGCGGCATCGAGCTCGTGCCACTCGCGCGCGACACGCTTCGAGAGCTCTTGCTGGTGAAGCGGCGCCGTCCGCCCCGCAGCCTTTGTCTCTCGCTGATAGTCCTGGAAGCGGTCTGAGCGGAAGCAGATGAAGGGGTTCGGCGGGCGCGGAGGATTAGCTGGTTGGGTGTGGCTTGGCATAGCTGGCGAGTGGCACGGAATAGTCGGTAGTGAGGACTCGACGAGGCAGATAGGGGCTCCTCAGTGAGGTACACGGCGTCATGTTGCACGCTTTTATCCCCGCCCCGCACTCGTTGTCCGTTCAGCGGTGTACAACGTCCAACGCTTTGGTCGCTTTGACAAGCCCGCACGTCGGCGCCTATCGGTGCGCAGGATCGCTCACGCTTTGGGTTGATGCCACTTCGACTTGTGCAACGAGACAAAGCGGAGGTGCAGGATCACCAGGACGCAACTCCGCGGCGAGGAGGGCGCTGCTGGAAGCGAAGCGAGGTGATGATTGGCTGAGGTCGACGCGGTGTTAAAAGACGACCAGTCCGGGGACCTGGGTTATACAACGTCAGTGCGACCAGAGAGAAGGAGGATCCCTGACGATGCTGCAGTGACCTCGCAACGCAGTGCGGATGTCATGGTCCCTGTGTGGATCCTGAGTAGTTGAGAAACCAACCTGAGATCTTACCACGATACAGGCACACATCCCCCGTGCATATTCGAAACAGTACGACGCTGCTGCAGACAAGCACTGACGCAGGTCAGCTCTGTGTTTGACGTACTCAGCTGAACACTGTGAGAACGAGCTGTGGGAGAGGCGAAGGAGAGTACAAGGCGTCGACGCCACTGATCCGCCTCCGAAGGCCGACCCTGTCGCAATGGGGCACACAACGTCGCGTGCCTAAGCACCGTAACCATCGCCGCGGCGCAGTGGAAGTCCGCGAACGTGTGTTGAATGCGCTGGGTGTACCTGTTGAGGATCATCCCCGGGCTGCCTGGCAGTGGCACATCTCCTCGACGGTAAGGCACGCTGTCAGCCATGAAACGATATCGCGTGCGATGGAAACATACCGGCGGTTAGGGCGTGTTATATGCAGATACGGCGCGCTGCAACGAGACTTGGTTGGCGATGGTGGCGCAGGACGTCGGGCGTCGGTAGATATCGCGTACCTGCTAATCACAAACACTTCCTTATTCAGTCAACTTAATATAGTCGGCAGTCCACCTCTGCAAAGTGCAAAGCGAACTTCAGTCTTTGTGTGGGTCGAGCCAAGACCGGAAACTCACCATAAAGAAACTTGAAACCTGTCCTCCATGTTCAGACTTCGCGAACACGCCCCCACAAGAAACACACGACTTCACAGAACCATTACAACAGCCGATCTACGTATTAGACACTGGTGAACAACAACAAAACAACTTCACAGGATCCATCACAATCAGCACTCCTGCCAACGAATAAGTTACACTACGCGGGAAGACTCCATCCCCTCTGACGAGTGTCAGTACCTCAGTCCTCGTCGCCGATGACATGCATCGGCTCCGCCTCCCCCTCGTCCGCAGCAGGTACAGGCGCGTACCACTTCGACGTCGGTGTCGTCAACTCGATGGCATGTTCCTTGACCGCAGAGGCGCCGTTGCGCCCGCTCGTCGAGTAGAGGTTGATCAGAACGACGACGAGCGTGTACAGGAGGAAGGCGACGCTACGGCGTCGGTTTCAGAGGGTGAGGAAGCCTTGGGAGCATGGGGAAACAAAGCTTACCTGAACATGATGAGGATGTAGGTGACGTGGTCCATGCCCTTGTCGTGCACGTAGTCAAGCTCCTCGTCCGTCGCTGACATGAACAAGAGTCTTCGAGATTGTTAGTCTCGAAGGCCAAGGCAATGTACATAGCTCAGCTTACCCAGCGCAAACGAGCAGCTACACGCACTACTGTAAGCATTCACGAACTGGTTCGAGCACCAAATGGTACGCACGAATGAGGGTAAATGTCTGAAGGCACGTCCAGCAGAGGCAGCGGTAGACCCTTCGTCCTTGCCTTCCGCGAGTGTATGCTCGCTGTGACCGTCGCCTTCCTCCAGTGGAGTGTACTTCGGTACTATGAAGCACACCTCGACGATTCGGGCGACACCAGCGAGCATCAATGTGTGACCGAAGGTAGAGTGCACCTGAGCGGCGAATTTTCATCAGCTAGGTCCTGGCATTCTGTGTAGTTGTGTCACCTTCGTGGAGATCATCAATGCTTGCGCGTGCTCCGACATGGCCCAACCGGTCAGAATGATACTAGTGCAGAGTTCAGCAACGTTAGTCGTGGAGACAAAGTGTGCGCTTACATCAAGGAAGGCACAACAGAACGCTATTAGCATTGCGTCAGTAGCCAGTCAGTCACAGTAGCGGTATACAAACTTGGTTATTACGAGACAAGAAGATACCCAGAGCACCTCCTGTCCACCCTGAATATAGCGAGTCAATAGAAGGCGATTGATGTGACTGAATGTGACCGTACAGAGAACACCTAAAATGCTGCGAGATGTTTAGTCATACCGAGCATATCGTGACCGGCGGGGTCTACTCACGTATGTTGCATGTCCTTCACGGACCACCCTGAGCCGTGGTGCTCCGTGAACGTATTGACTGCGCAATACGTAAGAATCGTGACCACATAACCTCCGATTCACGGGAGACGCACCGATACCCTACAGTGAACGGTCAAGGTCAACTCATAACCTAGAATCTGCGCGACATACCCAAAGCATGATAACCCATGAATCCCACCACTCTGGACTACGCCCGCTCCGCCTGATCCATGTCTCCCCGACGAGCAGTAGGATAGCTATGATGATTCCATATGCAATGAAACCACTTCCCTGTAACCGAGCATGATGAGAGAGCACGACGGACACAGCACGGATATGCAACGAACCATGATATAGTGAGCGAGGCACTGCCCGAGGTGACCACCACGGCAGTAACCGCGGACGGTGATCGCGCCAAAGAGCATCTGTGTCCAGCCGATGACGGGGTACGCCTTGCCTACGATACCGTGCGCAACGACCGCGTATGGGCGTAGTGTCCGCTCCTGGATATGAAGCTTGAGGTAGATGCCGAGGGCGAGCTGGAGCGCGATGGGAATGAGCATGATATTCGCCATGGTGCCGTGTACCCCGGCGAGGAACGCCCGCCCGCCATGCGAATGGCCTAAGATGTAGCCTCCGATGGTCAAGAGGAAGCCAACGCTCTGGAGAGCATCTCAGTAAGGGAACGGGCCCCTGAAAACGAGGCAATTGACTGAGGGCTCACTTGCAGAGGCACATGCCAACGACTCCGCGAGAGTCCGAGTACCATACCAGTCGGAAACAGCACGCCCCAGACGAGTGCCTGCACGCAGATATGAAGCCATAGGATTGCGTCGATTGGTGCGCTTGATTGCTCCTCCGTGAGTTCGTCGTGATGTTCGTGAGCAAGTGTTGGTAGGACGAGTGCGAGTAGCCAGATAGGCAGAGACGTCATGCTAGCCGGTCGGGCCATGGCCGTGGTTCAGTGGCACAGGATCTTGCGATTCCACAGAATTCGCCGTTGTCGAAGGAACGACACAGCGGCCGCAGCACTGGCTGTGAACTGTCGGCGAACAGGCGTGTCCTGACAGTTGACTTGGTCCTGAACAACGTCGAGTCCGAGTCTCGCCGCCGGCTCATTCTCACAAGTTACGTAAGCATGTGGCGGCGACGCATATGGTAGTTTGGAACATAGAACACGCTCGTCCACTGCTAGTGACAGTGTTCGCGGATCCTGAAGACATCGAGGACAGAATAGACGCTTTCGAGTCCACTGGACAGAATGAATATGCGATTGAGATCAGGTCGAAATGTTGGACATAAACAATTGTAACTTTTGCATTCGGAAGGGAACCCAACATGAAGACGCAGGCAGAGGACGGCCGGTCAAATGGCAACTTTCCCTGTAAGCGGAATTCAGACCGTAAGCAAGTACTGTACAGCATTCTCTCGAATGGTGTCAACAGGGCTCGTAATGCGGGATTGTACATGGCTAGACGCAAGCAACACACCTATGCTCACAAGCCCTCCAATATGCCGATTGTGCTCAAGCACCCAGACACATCCTCCCCTTCAATGCGACCCGCGCCTCCTCGCCCGGATCACACTTCGCCAGCTTATCATAATTATACCAGACGAGTACCGAGTCGCACTCCGTTACGATCCTGCGCTGCGCGTACGACCATACGGCGCCCTTCAAGTAGAAGTGGGTCTTGGGCAGGCGCTTGGACGAGTCCGCTGACGCCGACGAGCCTAGGTGCGGCTTGTGCGCGACGAGGAGGGTATCGGGGTAGACGACCGGCCGCTTGTAGTCGATCGAGATGGACTTCAGGATGAGCGAGATGCCCCGACCTGCAAGCATGTCTGCCTCGCGTTGCGGGCCACCAATCTCCTGCGCAAGAGAGACCATCCATTCGATGCGCGACGACTCGAAGAAGCGTACTGCGCGCGTATAGCCTCTTAGCATCATATTCACCTACGTTATGAAGAGAGGCACACCATAGCGGACGTTGTTCACATGCCTGCGCGATAGCTCGTTACACCGCGTAGACAAGGGCGGATTGAGATGTACTCACTGGAAGGCATCGTGGTCTCCCCACACAATCTTCTGCTCCCAAAAGCTGCTCGGGTCATACCCCATCTCAGACAGCTGCGCACGAGCCTCCTCTTCCGGAGAGACCGTCTCTGCCTGCGCCTTCGTGTGCAGGAACTCTGCCAGCAGCTCCGGCGGTGGGTCCGGAGAGTCGGGCCCTATCGTACCAGGTGGAAGGTGAAACGGCGAGTTTGGATCGCGGAAGGCATCTTGTAGAGTCTACTGTACAAGGTCCCGCCAGTAAGGCAGGGTAACGCGAACCTTTGAGATGTTCATACGCACCCGGATAGACGACGAACGCCGTACATGATTGAGTGTAGCGGGACACCGGTTACCAGCGTGACGCAGCGTCCAAAGCCGCTGTCCGGCTTCAGCAATGCATTTTAACTGTTGCTGCATCACTGGGATGGTCGATGGAGTTCGATGGTTCAAGACAAGCAGTGGCGTCGGCGTCGGAAACCCGACCTGCAGCCCGCCGTCGCGCTAGTATGATTACAGTGGCGAAGAACAAAATAAATATTGAGACCCGTAGGTCTACCACTCCGGGAAAGCGTGTCATCCTTGTGCAGGGGCCATGCTAATCTTCTCTGTATCGTTCCAATTTTTTCGTATGTCACCCCGAAGGGGACATCTGTTGTAGATCGACCGGATTGACATGCAACAAAGTCCTGTGTTTGGTCCAGCGCGCGAGTCGTCACGAGACCCTTACCACTTGAACAAGATCGTCATCAAGCTGCCCAGTGCCCTCTCACTTCACTCGTCTTAGCACCATTAGAGTTTGCTTGTTGCGGAATATAAGTGCAGAGTTCATCATCATCATCACCCTCTCACTTCACTTCCACTTTGAAAGTCTTCTATGACGGCTTGATCCTGGTGCTCCTCCTTATTCACATTCAGACTACCGATCATGAGCCAACATATCACAATGTATTTCTTGCGCATATCGCTACATTTCAACCGGGGACGATCCGGGACAGTTTGGGGACAGTACAGACAAAGAACTTATAATAAAAGACGAATAATGAATGTGAAGGTCGCGTCCAGACGTCACGACTAACAACCCATAGTAATGCCATTATACGGGCCATCGTGGTCCGACTCATCGCCGTCCACTATGGAAGGAACATCACCCACAATACACTGGGTGCTGGGGTTGTCCTGGCCAGGACACGACGCCCATTCGCCGGAGTCCTCGATGTGAACCTCGCCAGACGGGTGCACGAAGCCGAGGAACATGCCCGGAAGGATCGGAATGGGGTCCTCCTTATTGTTGATGTGCGTTACTGATGTGGACAGAGCGTCGACGTAGTTCGCGAAGGCTTGGTTTCCGACGCGAGGCAGGCCGTATCCAACGAAGCGGTATGTCGCGTCGGGGATGTGCAGAGGCAAGTAGACAGCGTCGAGCAGCGCAATCGCCGCGCCTAGAGAAGATAGGTGAGTCGACTGCGACTGCCTGGAATGATAGTATTGCGCGCCTAGTGAGTGCCCTACAACTGCTATGTTGCTCGTGCTGTACTGGGACATTGTTTTCTGGACTGCCGAGAGAACATCGGATGCAGTACTGCAGGACTCTTCAGCACATGTTTTCTTGTGCGACATCTATACTCACCTTGATTGTGCATCAGCGAAGCCCTGGTGCACCTCAATGTCCGAAGACACTCCGGGGAAGAGACTCGAGTCCAGGTTCGTTAGGACGGCGTCACCATCCGTGATCAACGGCAAGCTGACAACTGGGTCAGCCTCGGATGCAGATGTAACGGTACAGCCACCTACATATCTTCCGGATCCGTCCCCTGGTGCGACACGACGACCGTATCCAAGTTTGGGTCATAGCCCACGAACCCTAGCACAGCAGTCAGTCTGCGGCCCTCGACAGTACGCAAGCGAGCCCACAGTACTGCGTGCTATCGCCGTCCCCCCCAGACGCAACGGGTTCAAAATTCGAGTTAGCCTCGCAGTTGGTCCCGCAACTCCAATTCAACGTCTCCGACGCGGAGCAGTACCCGGCGCTGGCATACCACGTATACGGCGTGAACGCTGATATCTGTGCAGAGGTCAATGCGGTGATCGACTGGCGCGCCTGCAATCCCGGGGCTGGCTTCGCCTGTACGAGGAACAACGAAGCCAGGAGAGCTGCGCCGAGGATAAGGGCGGGCATGGCTGCTCGAGACTCCGGGACACCGGTGATGTGCTATGGAGCGGGGAATCCAGGTAACACTCCCGCCGTCCTTATATACTGGACGGTGCGGTGGTGGCGGGCTGCCGGAACAGTGCCGCCTTGTGGTGGACGAAGATGGAGGGGGGCGGCTGGCAGAGCCATATGCAGGGAAGCCGCATCCGACTGATATGGACGGCCTCTCTGAATGGCGCTGTGTGAATGCGGCCTTGAAAGCCTATACATAGCAGCTTTGCACATGTGAAGTACGGACGTCACGGTCATCGAGAACAGTTACAGCTCCCGATGTGGCTCGATCAGACATCCTCTTCTGTGCGGCCGCATGTGCTCGGTGTCGGCGTTGCGTATACGAGACGCTCGTCCATGCACAACGCCTGTGTACCGTCGCACGTTCGCCGATATCTAGCGCGAGTTTGGGAGGTTTGGAACCGCACCATCGCCCCGAGTGCTTATGACATTAGCTTCACGGCCCAGGTGACTGCTTCCGCAGCTCTGCTTCTTCCCGTTGCGCGCTGTTTCCTCAGCCAAATTAGAGAGCGGCCCAATAGCTGCTGAGCGAGCATCGCGAACTCGAAGATAACTTTCACATTGAACGTGCGGCAGTGCAATGACCTGGTCGGTGACCCTTGCGGTCGTTCTGCGGTTGACACGCAGGGACGAGTGTCCTCGATATGATCACCGTGCTCGAGGCCCGTCAGAGTGGCGGACATCGCTTGTCTCTTGGACGATACACAGCCATCGGAACCAACTTCACTGCGTCCGTACGGCATTCAATAGCGATGGGATGCAAGCTGCATGTAGTCGCGAATGAATAAACCCGGCCTCATCACACGTCGCAACTGAGGGAAGGCCACTCTCACCATCTGGCATGAGGTTCACAGGGTGCCTCGGTGTTACGGTATTTTGGACACGATGTTGCATTCTTCTGGACAATTTCAGAACGTCGAGGGCGTTACAGAAGAGACTGACTGTACAGTCGGGAGCCTGAGCAGACGCGTACGGCTAGGCAGCTGTCTGCCAGTGGGCATATCGGTGATAACGGCGGCGCCTCTGCTGACTGAAAGTCTCGTAGTCGTAGAGGCCTTGTCACGCGGAGAGAGGGATGACCGAGAGGTATGAATGCACAATGGCGAGGGCGAGGAGCAGACGGGAGACTGATCCTCCCAAGAGGCTAAGTCTGATTTCACAGTGGTGGTTGCAGCCGCAGAGACGTGGCGTAAGTCAGACGTTCGAATTCGTTTAGCGCAACTGTTGCCTTTTCTGAATCGATCGCGTTACATACGGCCACATCGGGCCGGATGAGCCGCGCGCATCCTTGGCTTCAACACCTTCAGCTTCAGCGTGCACGGCGACAGGAAAACTCGACCAAAGACAATTGTCCGCAGCACAGCAAAACACTGCAATCAGTGTGTGCAGTTGACGTCACTCACATGCTCAGATAGCGGACGAATAGTCAGAGACCTAGTAGTACAGCACCGCCCCACTGGCACTGCATACACCAAATATTGGTAGTACGGTACCGCTTGACACTGCCGGTGAACGTGCTACGTAGTACGGGTAGCCCCCTCGGCCCCAGAGCGCGTCCCTCTCAGTGTCACCACCGTAGACCTGGATTGAACATTTCATCAGTATTAGCAATGTCACCAAATGACCAGGTTCGTGTCCGCCCATCCCTTGTCAATGTGTGTAACTCACGTCGTTGAGCCTTGCCAATTCAACTGGATATGAATTCTCGAAGGCTACCCCCCCTCCTTACGAAGACACGCCGTACATGGAAGTCGTCCAATGGAGTGCTACCAAAGGATGTTACCACGCTTCCCCACCAAGAACCCTTCGGCCGGCCCTCTCTGCTCGCATCCCGCACGAGGTCATCGAGTTCATCATAAACGGGATGGATACGCCCACACTGGCTGCAGCGGCATTGGTCTGTGCAATATGGTACTCCCCAGTCATGCGCAATCTCTACTTCACAGTCGAGCTCCACGATCGCACGAGCTTCGACTTGCTCTTCAAGCAGTCCCGCACGTCTCCGCGCGTTAGGCACTGGCTCGCAACCACACGCGAACTTGTTGCCTCCGACCCGCATCCCAGCCTTCTCAATGCCATAGAGGCCGGAGATTTGTCTCTAGGGCAAGAGAGGAAGACTGCTCGCTTCCTCCACTCACTTCCCCTCGCGTTCGGCCGCACGATGTCCAGTGTGCGGGCCCTCAGCGTTTCCGACTTGCATCGCTTCACGCGTCCCGAATTCTTTCGATATCTAGCTCAGTTCAAATCCCTCAAGGCACTGGCCTTGTCGAGGTGCACGCTGAGCGCATCCCAGCTGCGGCGGATCATCTGCGCCGTCCCCCAACTTGAAGCGCTCACTCTCGAGGGGAACATTCTGGCTGATGAGGGTCCTTTCGATTCTCCGCCCGTACACTGGCATCTACTGCCACCAACAAGTACACGGCTCCGACGTCTCGGGATACACCTGGATGCGAGCGACGGGGTATCGCCATCCCGTCATCGGGCCATCGTCGACTGCCTTGTGCGCTCGGGGTTCTGCGCCTCTCTGAATGACATCGCGGTCCGGGGCACTGACCACCCCTCGTGGAAGACCACTTTAGTAGACGAACTGCTAGAAGCAGCCGGCCCAGCACTGACTCGGTACTCCGAAGATGGCTTCCCGCACGGTAAATGCTCACTCGCCCCGCACATTCTAAAATCGATACTGACCCCTTTGCACGGGCGCAGGTCGTCACGGCAATCTCGCGCGTAACGCAGCCCTGCGGTCCTTAGACTTCAGCTTGCTTGGCCCCGTCGTCGCGGGCGCTGGGCAGTCGATTCATAGCTGGTCGAAAGTCTCGGACGACCTACGCAGCGTCTTAGTCATGGCGCGCAGCCACCAGCTCGAGCACATCGTCATCAGGATCGACCTGCCGCTTCACCTGAATGCAACACAAGAGATGCGCGACGCCCTCAATCAAAGGAGCAACCTGATGCTGCGCGACCTGCACAATCTCATGTATCGCCCGGACTTTGCCACGCTGAAGGGCGTCGAGGTGTCGGTTCGCCTCTTGTATGCTTCGCGTGATGGCAAGGAAGCGGAGGTGGAGAGCATCAAAGGAAGCGTTGGGAAGGCGATTCGCCTCTTGCTCAGGCCGTGGCATGGTCGCGGTGTATTGCACCTCTCCTGGCGGAACAGTTGAGCCCAGAACTCTTAATATCATGGGAAGCAATGGGCTCGTCTTCGTGCGCGTAGCCAAGCTTCTCACTCTTACCACACGTCTCAGGCGATGTAAATAACCGATGATAATAACGTCGTGAGGCATCTCAATACAACAGAACACACCCAAGATATACCCCAAATCCCCAAAGACAAACCAAAAGAATGTGCCCCTCATGAACGTCTCATCCATATGCCTACTGGCTGTCCGGATCATCCATCCCTTCATCTACCCCTCAGCACCCTATCTCGACGCCATCATACGGGCCATCATGGTCCGCCTCCTCGCCGCTAAAGATCGACTTCACGTCGCCGACGGTGCACTGCGTGCTCGGGTTGTCCTGGCCGGGGCACGCGTCCCACGCGTTCGCGTCGGTGATGTGCACCTCGCCCGCGGGGTGGACGAATCCGAGGAACATGCCCGGCAAAATCGGGATGAAGTCCTCCTTGTTGTTGATGTGCGTGACGCTCGCGCCGAGCGCGTCGACGTAGTCCGCGAATGCCTGGTTGCCCACGCGCGGGAGGCCGTACCCTACGAAGCTCAGAGCCGCGGAGGGGAGCTGGAGGTGCAGATAGACGGTGTCGAGCAGGGAGATCGCGGCACCTAGTGGAATGGAGAGTGAGGTTTGTTGGGCATAGGGACGGTCGCGGTGATTGAGTGTGGAACGTACCGAGGGAATGGCCGACAAGCGTTATCTTGTTCGTGCTGTGCTTCAACATCGTCGTGTTCACCGCCGCCAGGACCTGCGTCGCGGACCTACGGGCGAAAATCATATCAAGTCAACACTGGATGATGGTGCAATAGAGCGGACGACTCACTTCGCCTGGGCATCTGCGAACCCGGAGTGTGCTTTGAGGGACGAGCTAATCCCCGGGAACAAGCTAGAGTCGAGGTTTTCCGGGACAATGTCTGCGTCTTCGATGAGAGGCAAGCTGTAGTACTTGCGCGTGAGAGGGCTCTTGCGGTGTAAAGGTAGGTAGGGACACTTACATCGCCTCTGGATGGGTGCCCTGGTGCGAGACGATGACCGTGTCTAGGGTCGGGTCGTACCCCACGAACCCTGTGTATCATAGCAGCGCGTCGCACGTCAGTACTAGGTTGTTGGTGGTCTCTACGTAACATCGCTCGACACTTACAGAACTGGGAGGTGTCCCCATCCCCTCCCGACGCCGTGGGGACGAAGCTCGGGTTCGCCTGACAGTTGGCCCCGCAGTTCCACGCTAATGTCTTTGCAGCGTTACAGTACCCAGCACTGGCGTAGAACGTGTACGGCTTGAACGAGGATATCTGCGTGGTGCTGAGCGCGCTGATCGACGCGCGGGGGTAGTGTATCGAGGCAGGGAGGGCCTGGCTGGCCGGAAGGAGGGCGAGGAGGGCGACGGCGAACGTAAGGAGGGGCATTGCGACTCGATACCAGATAGAGCCGGAACGGACGAGTCCCGAGGGGAAGGAAGAAGCCAGGACGAAAGACAATAGCTGGCGGCGGAGGCTTGTTATGTACCACGGCTCGGCGCCGTCAGACGGTCAGGCATCTTGATCAATATCAGCTGGCATGGACAGAACTTTGAAGCACCCGCAGACGGGCGGGAGGCCAAGCGGGAGCTTGTGCTTGTCGGGCGGTGGGCGGTGTCGAAGCAGTCGATCACATTGCCCGAGATTGAGACGCGATCGCCCCGCGTGGCTGTATCGCCCCTCGCCCGCCCACCGTCCACGCTGCCTCCGTTCTTCTCCCTCGGATGCAGCTGCTGTCCCTCAAGGCCTGACCTCGAGCATGCCACGCCGTCCACTTCTGCATCACGCTGTTTCATATGTAGATCATTGGAGAAATCCTTGCCACTCACATCCATGTTGATTCAAATTAAACACCCTGTGGAGGCCTCAAGAGGCTCAAAACTTGACGCGGACAACGACCGTTGCTTGCAGACCGTCACCATGCATAGCTTTCCCGCCGAAGGCCCCGTATTCGAGCGTGACCATGTGCTGGCCCAGGGTGCGTCTGGCCATTGTTCCTCGGCGACTTGCCCCTCCTCCTCCTCCGGTTCACGAAGGCAATGAGAGGACAACACGCTCAACCGTCGACGCGACGGGCTCAGTGGGCTCAGTTCTGCCTGATTCAGACGGTAGCGGTGCGTCGCAGCGTAAATCAGTGATCGTTCCTACTGGACACGCCGCACGGTGTACGCCGATCCGAACTTTCGCAACTGAGGAGGAGGACAGTGGTTGCTTGGTGGTTGCCTGGCATGCGCAGTGTCTTTGCCTGTGTATGATTGTCAAGTTGCATTCGTACTACATTCGTCGTCCCTATGACACTCTCTGGTAGGCGATCACGGTGGTGGTCGAGCCTTCAGGCCTTCAGGCGCCTCCGGTCACTGCATCTCTAAACGGTTTCCACATTCCGTATGCATCTTGATGTCTGTCTAGCTGGTCTTGACACCGACACCGGTTCTTCGTTCCTAGCCACTCAGCACACGCAAAATGCTGCACCTCGCGGATGTTCTGACGCCGCCGCCGCCGTACCACTGAAGATGGCTGCCATACATCTGAGTGGCTCGTATTCATTTGCAACCCTCGTCTGTGATCAAACATTGATAGTTATGTATCAGGGAAGCGTATTCTTGTTCCTGAATTGGACTGAATTAAGTATCTGTTTTGCTGAGTATTGCGTACACACTGACAGCTTCCGTGCATTATTCTCCCAGAGAGGAGTTCTCAGGGACGACTTCCTCAGCGAACAGACTTGCAACATTGGCTCTCGCAGACTGCAGAAAAGTCAGCTGTTATCGCCGCATATCCTCTAGTCCCGACGACCACTTAGGCCTCCAACCATCGTTTTTGTCTTCCTGCGTGCATGTGCTGTCAGTACGGCTGACAATGATAATATCAATGATAAGGGCGCAGCAGGACATCTCAGTGCCGTCACTGAGAGCTTCGAGGCGTCGTATGTTCGCTCGGTCGACATTCAGGTACGCCAGTACTGATAAATCCGTGTTACCTTCCATTGATCATAACGAACGTGTCACCTGCACAGGCAGATGGAGGCCAGAGAACACACGGGACGCGCTATACATAGTAGCCTGTACTGCGGAACGTTCGTACAACCCAATCTTCCACAACGCTTCGGCGAAGCTTGATTCATATGGCCGCATCCTCGATCTTGGCATACTATTACGGGCTTCGTACCCCCGTATTTAATCCGCGCGGTGCGGGTCTTCTGCGCCCTACGGTCTGCGGTCTCCGGATTCGCCTCTCCCCGAGCAACGAGCAGCGTTCATGCACGCCCTTGCGTTCAGCGCAGCCCTCCTCCTGGGCGCCGCATCCGCTGCAATCGCAAAGCCCGCACCCGGCCTGCGTGCACGCCAGTCGATCACCGCGCTATCGACCGCGCAGATCGACGCGTTCACGCCGTATACGTGGTATGCGAGTACGGGGTACTGTACGCCGGCGGAGACGCTTGCTTGGGATTGCGGCACGGACTGTGAGGCGAATGCGGATTTCGAGCCGGTTGCGTCAGGAGGGGATGGAGATGATGTGCAGTACTGTGAGTGGATGGCCGTCGCGCTGCTTGTAGGTCCTAAGTTATGAGAGCTTGCGCTGAAGGCGCGGGTAGGGTTTGTGGGTTACGATCCCTCGTTGGACAGCGTGATTGTGTCGCACCAGGGCACGAATGTAGATGACATGTAGGTGCTCTTCCCTGTACATTGAGCTTATCAATTGACTGAAATTATTGTACAGCCTACCGATCATTACGGATGTGGACATCATCATGACGACGCTTGACTCAAGCCTGTTCCCTGGGCTGTCCTCAGATATTGAGGTTCACTCAGGGTTCGCCGACGCCCAGGCCAAGTACGTACTCTATCACTGTTGCATGGCAAATCATTGTCTTACCGGCATATAGGACTGCAACAGACGTCCTGTCTGCTGTTCAGACGACCATGTCGACGTATGGCGCTAGCAAGGTTGCTGTTGTCGGCCACTCACTCGGTATGCCTTGCTCTGCTTCCATCTCACTGTAATTCGCACTGACTGAAATTGCCGTAGGTTCTGCGATCTCCTTGCTCGATGCGGTCTACCTCCCTCTCCACATCTCCGATGCGACCTTCACCTTCGTCGGCTACGGCCTCCCGCGCGTGGGGAACCAGGCCTTCGCGGACTACGTAGACGCGCAGTCCACGTCCGTCACGCACATCAACAATGAGGAGGACCCCGTCCCGATCCTGCCGGGCATGTTCCTCGGCTTCGTGCACCCGTCTGGGGAGGTGCACATCGAGGACTCGGGCGAGTGGGCGTCGTGCCCTGGTCAGGACAATCCGAGCACGCAGTGTATTGTCGGGGACGTGCCGGATATCTGGGATGGCGATACCTCGGACCACGATGGGCCGTACAATGGAATTGAGATGGGATGTTAGCGGGAGGCCACAGATGGTAGTGACGCTGGCCACCGGATAGTACGGTGTCGATGTACTTGAGTTGTTCCCTGTGTCATGAAACTTGTAGCATTACCTTGATTAGGACAAAATCTTCGTTGATCCTGGCTACCACTGTCGGACTAACCTTGTCGTGAAATCAGTCCCAAGAGTTCTGTAGACGACGACGATGATGGTGCATTCATATTCCTCAACAAGCAAGAGACTTCTGTAGTCGAGCTTGACTCTGATGGACCAATCTCAGAAAATCGGAACCACGGGGACATTCGTCCCGGGGACGAGGGACGCGAGACGCGAGACGTCACAGTCAGTCACAGCACACCGTGAGTAGCCGGCCGCCATCACCGCTTTACCTCCCACTTTGACCACCTTTGACATTGACATTATTGAGGGCCAGAAAGACAATTCACCGGTCAGGTAGGTGTCTAGATGTACATATTGACTGACTTACTGACTGAGATTTACGAAGGCGTCACGGAGGCCAGGCATAGTGGCGCTTGAGTGGCGCGCTACGTGACGGAGATGATTATGTAAGCATACCACAGGCACTACTCATAGGCTCTGGTATGTAGTTACCTTCAACGACACCCATTGTTTTGAAACCGTGAGGCTAGATTAGATGGTGTAATTACTCAATGCAAAACAATTGTTGTACACGGAAACGGGGAGTACATAAGTCATTGGAGGACTTTCTGAAATAGTAGCCCCTGTTACTCAAGTAAGCAAGTCAGTCAGTGTGACAGCGTCCCGCGGGACGTCCCCCAGAGCGTCCCCGGGACGTATGTCCCAGTCGTTCAGACGTTCTCAGTTTGAACGCTGTCGGGTGTCACGTGTAGAAGATACGCGTACAATATGGAGCAGGACTAAGACCAGGAATAAGTACATGGACGACTCGGAAATACGGTGTACGCATTGAATGCGGTACTAAAGACGTTTCTAGTGATACACAACCTATAGCAATTAGAAATGCGTCATTGCAGGTCGAAGTCGAAACGAAGTATGAGAGGGGGGCGATTGAGGCAATATGGTGCAGATGGGACGAGCAGAATTCGAACTTTGGGGGAGGGGACAAGGGGCAACAGTAAGAGGATGAAGGAGCCGTGAGCCTGGGGAAAGATACGAGCAGCAAATTGACTACCGGTCGGACACAGCTCTGTAGCTAGGCATCAGGAAAGTGTGCAATTTCTGAAGGTATGAGCCTCTGAAGGTCGGCCTTCAGAGAGCTTCAGAAGCATCAGGGCATGCCAGACATCAGATGTTGTCAGACCTTCTCATTTTGTCTCAGACAGTGTCAGTAACACAGTACATCAGACAGCACATATCACACATTTCGTCAGAAAAACACCCCCTGCACGTAAATTGGCACAAATGCAGTGGATTTAAAAACTGCCATAATGATCATAATACATATACATGCACATATCAGAGCGTGGCATGTAGGCGGGTGTTCACCAACCAGCTCGAGCAGATCGTCGAGATCGTTGGCACGGGCATTGGGCGCGTGAACACGACGCACCGGCAGCAGCACGATCGCGCTGTGCAGAACGCGCAGCTCGCCGCTTTGCGCCGCGAGGAGGAGGTACGTGTCCGGGAGCGCATCTGCGCGGAGACGTGGCACGACGGACGCGTGGACTGCATCACAGGGAACGGCGTGATGAGCGAGTTGGGCGTGGGCGATGATGTATTCGATCACGACTCGGAGGAGGAGCTACACATCGTCAGCGCTGTGTCGAGGGGCGATGTTATTGGGTCTGATGCATCTGACCATCAGTAGCGGAGACAACAATAATGGCAGCGTCCGTCACGGGCCTTTTCTTTGGGAGCCCTGTCGACATCAGAGTACCTGAACTGTGCACTACCCTGCTCAGCGAGAACCTTGGTGATGCCTGCTGCCAATGTGGTCTTGCCGTAATCGACGTGACCTGTGTTCGATGACACGGACACGGGTCCTGCACAAGCTCAGAGTGCGTTCGAGGACGCGTTACGAGAGAGAGAAGGGATCGGCGCGAACGGAAGATTGGGCAATGGCTTACCTGGTAGTCTTGCACTCGTGCACATCCTACCATCCCATCACCACTCCCCGCGCTCGCTCTCGACCCACGCTCGTACGTCCAAGGCCATGTGTGCCACTTGTCCACTGCGGCGCCGCCTTGGTCATGTCGAAGTTATGGGGCGTGCCGCAGAGGAAGCGGTCAAGGAAGATGTTCCGCGCGTGCTCGTCCGTGCACACAACGTGCAGAGACGGCACACTTGAAGTAGTCTCGCCGCAAGACCCTTTCACGTGTGAGGAGTTTGTGTTGAACCTGGCACTTGAAGGAAGGATCGAGCGACTCGAGTCTCGGAGGGGATGGACGATTTAACGATGCCCATCGCGCCGATTGCGAATGGGAAGACGCACCAGGGTGTTCAGCTTATCGGAGAGGAGCTGCCCCGCGGGCGTCATGCACTTATCGAGCCAGCCCAACCTCAGTGCACAGGCGCAGGCGATCGCAGAGAGCCTGCTGAACAGAAGAGCGTCGGGTTACGAGTCCGCGTGGCTGCATAACAAGACGTCCAAGCCTGTTTTGAGTGCGGCGGCGGCGAAAGCGCGCTCGCGCGTGCTCTCGCTGTCGGCCGGCGGAGGCGGAGGCACTACAGGGTAGGTTGGAGAGGCGGGTAAGCCGGTGGGCAGGTGGGTGCGCGAGTGAGGGAGTGAGCAGGAGCGTGTGTATACATGTAACATGATCAAGCAGTCGGGTGCGCGAGTGAGGATCAGGAGTGAACGAATACAACGTTCACTCGCTTGCCTGCAAAGAAGCGGTAACTCAGCAAATATCGAGTGTGAGCACTTACCTACCGTGCCCGAATCCTCCGTCTCCAGTGCCACCCTCGCATCCGTCGTGTTTAGCACATGTTGATACATGCGGTGTCGGGCTTGAACGTCGAGCTCAGGTAGAGTGGGTGGGGTGGTCCGACGGCGGCTGTGGTTGAGTGAGACGATGTTGGAGGCTGTGAGTCACGACCGCAGGCGCAGTTGAAGTGCTAAGCGCCTTAGCCACGACCTGCCACGACACGCCACAGAAAGCGCGCTTGTTACCCTCCTCTCTCCGCACGTCCACACTCGGCCTCAGCACCCTCATCGCCGTCTTACCTTCGCTTCACCATTGCCCTCTTGCCGCCTACCTCGAGAACGTACGTGCGGGCCCGTCTACAAGAAAAGTCGGCACGTGTATCAACCCGCCGCGCGCCCCTCGATCGCGTACCATGCACAAGCTCAAGGAGAGAATAGTTGTAGGTCGAGAGCGCGGCGGGCTCGGCGGGGTGGTCGTGACGAGCGCGGGAGCTGCGAAGTGTGGAAGGTCAGTGCGTCGGAAGTCGGAGCAGGGCGATGCGAGTGAGTGTCTGTGTCCGTCACCTCAGGCATGCAACACGCTGATGACGACTGTCCCGCTATATGTCGTCGGCGAGGCAACAGCCACCGCTCTCCATCCACTCGATCGCTGGGTTTTACACGCAGCACAGCGCGCGTCCCTCCAAGGGGAATGTCCACGGCGCCGCGAGCACGGGCACCTCCGAGAAGCTCACGCGGCTCAACATCACACAGCTCACGAATGTACCACCTGAGGAACCGTGCCGGGCACTGCTGAACCTCACACGCGATAAGAGCCAGGACACTTTCAAGCACGTTCGAGGAGCAGTGGAGCCCGTGCAGGTGTACGAGACACATGGGTCTGCGACGTTCAACGCGGAGGGTGAGTTCGCCATACCCGTCCTCCATGAGTACTTCGCTCTCTCATTGTCAAACAACGACTCCGCCGGCAGCTGGCTACGCACAACATCAATGAATCAAGCCCAAGCGCAGGGCAGCCTAGACAGCCGAGGAAGATTACACGACGACCAAGCTCCCGCCGAGCACCCACCGCCAAGCACCAGCGCGGTGCGTAAGGAGTTGACAGCTCGAGGCAACCTGGTAGGCTCCAGCCCGATGCATAGAGGCCCATTGAAGACAAACACGCCACCCTCCAGCCCGAGAAAGAGTGATGCCACCGAGTGCATATCCTACCTCGATGCGCCCGCTGCCAGCTGCATCGAGAACGACGCAGACGAGCGCGGTGAACCCAGCAAATGGACGGGAGCGCGCCACGCAACATGGCCTGCAGTACTGGGGCGAGTACGAGGAGGATCGCCGCTATGATGCGCACGGGCGTGTGGCGTACCGCGCGAGCCTACTGAACTGTATATAAGTACTATGCTAGTGTAGCTGATAAACAATTGTCACATTTACGAGCAATACATCTGAGTGCTGAATATATGACAGCTTGTACCTCTGACAGTCTGATGCAGTATCTGACCACTCTGAGGCTGTCTGAGTCTGTCTGACAATTCTGTCTGACGACAACAATTCGCCAAAATTCGAGTCCTTGAGGGATGGCCATATGAGCCGTTCTGATGCGACCTGAAGCATTCTGAGCGCTTATGAAGCCCCTGACAGGGCCCCTCAGAGGAATTACACGAAATCCTGATGGCCTATACATGCAGCCCGTCAGAGTGAAGCCATAGCACAGGTTGATAATACTTGACAAACCTGTTTGGTCGACATGCATGCTTGATCGATACTGGACTGCCGTCAGGTTGTCCAGGGTTAATCCGTTGACCCTCTCAGGAATGATTCCTGATAGCCACCGTGAGCGTAGGGAACATGGAAAGGCTCCCCCGCCGATGGGTCGTGGGCACATCAGGAAAAACACTTCTAACTTCAGCAGTCTTGAATGAAGAACACCTGATCTTATTCAATCTTTCACAACTTGTGTTCCTCAATTAAGTGCACCATGTGCATGAAGACTGCTGAAGTTAACTATAGTATCTTTGAGAAATTTGTCTTGTCCCCAAGTTGGAAGATATGCAACTTTAGTTCTACAGATCAAGACACATAAGTACACATTAGTTGGCAAATGACCTCTTAACTAAAAAATATGCATGATGAGATGTCAGATTGCTCAATATGAAGACTTCACCAAGATTTCACCTGACAAGTTAACACATACTATATCTGGCAACAGTAATGGGGTACAAATGGAGATTATTTGTTTTTCCCTGGGATTATGAGTATATTACCCTACTTACAACAGATGCTGTGGTCAAAGTCATATTGTCAGGGATTTGGACATATATGACCTGTTAAGGTTGAGAGACAGCAAAAGAACACTTAAGCATGCAAAGTGAGACAAGAAGCCTGCCCTTGAGCAAATTATGAGTCTACACAAGGTCTGCAAGGCAACAGATAGTGCCAAGAAGAAATGAGGCCAGTCTGAGAGCCCAGGGATGCACAGGGGCTGGGCTAACAGGGGGCAGCAATTGCAGATTTCTCTAAGTCCAGAAAGATAGTCTATATCGGTTATTGTAGAAGGGAACAAGCACAGGGACCTATGGTGTAGTGGTCACAAGTTTGTGCTGGGAGTGTGGGAAATTAGTTTAGCAGGTCAGGGGTTCAATTCTGGGAAATGGCAGATTATTTTGGGCGACACTTTTGCATCTGGGATGCCTGTTATGACAGCATATGCACAAACACAGCAGAATCATGAGAGAAGTCACCCCAGTAATGATGAAAAAACATCATTCTTGCTTGGAACGAGTGTTTACTTTGGTTACTTAATGGAACTTAAGTAAGACAATTTAAGAAATCGACTTACCTTAAGGCTCTTGTGGCACATAGTGACACATAATGTCACTTTTGGCTCTCCACAAGACCACTTAAGACACGAACATTTTTCCTGATGCAGTTGCCTCGGGGTATGTTACGGAGCCTGACGTTGCCAGTAAATAGGCTGGGGAGTTACCAGATCTCGACGGTGATTGAAAAGGGCTGTGGATCGGTGAACGATCTTCGAACAAACGCTGAGAGTCGGAGGACGTAGCGGGGGAAGGGGAAGGAGTCCGCCGAGTCAACCAGGACCATTCCTTCGGCACCCAAACAGAGCCTATCAGCTCTCCTCCGGCGCCATCGCTCACTCGAGTCAAAGTGCGCCGTGAGGGTTGGAACATTTCAGCGAGCTCGTCTACCGAGCGATCCGCAAAAGGATCTAAGGGATAACGGCCGTAGGCGCGTTCTCTTGCTAGATCGGTCGGCGAGTACCCGACGCGAGTTGCTACGCCATCGATGATACCGAATCGCTCTTTGAACTTTCGCATCCATGAGCGCCCACAGTGGAAATAACGCTCAGGGTTTGTTCCTCGGAGCCCCTCGTCTTGCGCAAACAAGGTCGCCCGGTTCTTGATCATCTTGTCTGTAAGCAGGAAGTCGTTATCTCTGCATGTAGTGAGCCAGGCTTCCATTAGACGGTCAACCTCACGGAACCTGATGGCTCTGAGGCAACTTCAGCGTCATGTAGCTCTACCAAGAAAGGTGCCCACCGAGGTCGTGCGAACGTAAAGCCTGGTTGATGTTGTGATTTCAACCACTGATCCTTTTTAGCAAGGACCCTGGTGACCATTGACTTGTGTACACCGAATTGATCTGCAATCTGCTGGTGGGTGATACCGGGATTTGCAACGTATATCTCGCAGACCACCTTTTTGTCCGCAGCATAGAACGGCCTGCGGGTGAGGATGGATTCCCCCGGAGGCCGTCTTCGTTTGGCTTCCGCTCTTCTGATTTTGATTAGTTGCTTGACAGACAACATCTGGGGATCGAAAGACGGAGTATCGGACTGAAAGACGGACATGCTAATGGGTACACGTTGCGGAATCAGCATACGCCAGTACTTGCATGCTTGGATGATTGATACGTGCGCTGTTCATCCGTACTACGTAAGCAGTGTTGAATGAGCCATCTAATGTATGCGAGACCCTCATGCGACACGCACTAGTTCTTGAACGTATCAACCGCCGTTCGCACCAAGATCTGCCCCCGGAGAGTTGTCACGGGCCCGGTCACTACGCAAAGTGACCCCTCGTTGGTAACTTGAGGGCCGAAAGAGCCTTCAGATATGTTATGGTATCCAGGAACACACGGATATGGAGAACTCCTCAGTGAACAGCCGTCAATGTCAATAAGAAACAAGGGTACTGTCTCCCCGATTCGGGATCAGAGGAAGAACACGATCATGTGATGTAAGTATGTCGATCCCCGCCGCGAGTCTACTCAGACCATATGGCATCGAGGAGATGCGCGGCAGACGTGGTACTAAGTAGTGCACACCAGGCAGCGTCTCTACCCTATGACCATGGGGTAGCGGACGCGGCGAAATAGCCTATGGCTTAGGGCCAGCTGATGCCGGCCGACGTGACCTGTGGGCGCTATACCCGCTGCTCAGATGGGCGTAGGCGGCGATGCCTACGCTCTGGCAGCAGCGATCGCCTCTTGCGCTGCATCGGCTGTGGGCGCTCTACCCGCTGCTCAGATGGGCGTAGGCAGCATTGCCTGAGGTCCGGCGGCAGCTATCGCCTCTTTGTCATGCAGGACCAGGGTAACAGATTCGACAGCGACGTGTCCGTACTTCAATGGGCCAAATGAGCGAGATTCATGGAGCGTGCATACTGTGCATAGGCGGGTCTCCGCTTATGGATGGGATTACTGCCAATTGGTTTAGTTAGCAATTCTACAGTGTATTCTGTCTTCAATGTGTCACTTCAATGTATATGACGCTATGCTAATTGAAGAGGCGGATGTCCAATGCATCTGCTTACCTATCCGCCAATGTTGTTTACTTTGACGTATGGGCGGGACTCGGATACAGTGAGAGCAAAATTATTCAAGCGACATCAAGTGCGGTACAAGTAAAGGGCGATAAAGCGGCGGATGCAGAGCTGTGAGCGATACGGAGCAAGTTAGTAAAGTACATTGAAGAGCGACTGTAAGTTTTTTTTTTGAATCCCTTTATTGTCCGCGAGGGCCGAGCCCTATGTAGACAAAGCTCTAGCAGTACGTAGTTAATGCGCGTGTGTGCTATCAGTATCAGGCTTAGCATGTGCTCGTCGCCGAGGCTAGAGCGAGTGTATCATCAGGAAAAAACATTCTGTCTTAAGTGGTCTTGTGGAGAGCAATAAGTGTCATTAAGTGTCATTATGTGCCACAAGTGCTTAAGGTAAGTCGATTTCTTCATTTGTCTTAATTAAGTTCCATTAAGTAACCAAAGTAAACACTCATTCCAAGCAAGAATAATGTTTTTTCATCCTTACTGGGGTAACTTCTCTCATGATTCTGCTGTGTTTGTGCATATGCTGTCATAACAGGCATCCCAGATGCAAAAATGTTGCCCAAAATAATCTGCCATTTCCCAGAATTGAACCCCTGACCTGCTACACTAATTTCTCACACTCTCAGCACAAACTTCTGACCACTACACCATAGGTCCCTGTGCTTGTTCCCTTGCACAATAACCTATATTGACTATCTTTCCGGACTTAGAGAAATCTGCAATTGCTGCCCCCTGTTAGCCCAGCCCCTGTGCATCCCTGGGCTCTCAGACTGGCCTCATTTCTTCTTGGCACTATCTGTTGCCTTGCAGACCTTGTGTAGACTCACAATTTGCTCAAGGCCAGGCTTCTTGTCTCACTTTGTATGCTTAAATGTTCTTTTTCTGTCTTTCACCCTTAACAGGCCAAATATGTCCAAATCCTTGACAATATGACTTTGACCACATTGAGCAATCTGACACCTCATCATGCATATTTATTAGTTAAGAGGTCATTTGCCAACTAATGTGTACTTATGCATCTTAATCTGTAGTACTGAAGTTGCATATCCTCCAACTTGGGGAAAAGACAAATTTCTCAAAGGTGCTATAGTTCACTTCAGCGGTCTTCATGCACATAGTGCACTTAATTGAGGAACACAAGTTATGAAAGATTGAATAAGATTAGGTGCTCTTCATTCAAGACTGCTGAAGTTAGAAGTGTTTTTCCTGACGATGTACAGTAAGGCAGAGATGGGTAAGGATGTGGGGCGCGTTTACGGTGATTGGCAGTCAGAGCGATGGTCAAGATGTGGTCACGTACAGAGGCGACTGTAAGTAAAGTACATTGATGAGCGATTGTAAGTGCATGGAAGAGCGACAGTAAGTAAAGGACATCGAAGAGTGACAATGAGCGACGTCTAAGGCAAGGACATGGAAGAGGGCGACGGTAGGTACATTAGTACATTAGAAGGGGGCCCGTACTCTGGCCCAATACGCAGCCTCCGCAGGAGAGCTTGCGAAGTTTGCCGCTGGCTCGAGGAACGGGTGCGGCCAACCCGCCCATTTGACCCAGTAGTGGGTGGTGCCATCCACCATAACATCATGGCCAGTGATGGATTCAAACTCGTATTGATCCTCACCATTGATCGTCATCACGGGCCCTTGCCAATCCTCAGGCGGCCCGTCGTCAAAGAGCGTGCTTTCCACGGACCACGGTATATTGGCCTGATAGAATGTGAGTGTACAGGCGAGACCCATAGACAGAAGCGTACCTTGGGGCGCGTAACTAAACGTGTAGCCTTGAATCCAATGGCCGTTTGCCAGCTGCTCCTGTTAAACAGTAAAGAAATATGCAATGCCAAAATGAAAAGCAACTCACGCGAAATTGTCGAGGCTTCCGACGGCGAAGCGACATCACGCGTTCCAGGCTAGCTCCTTGCGCAATACGGGCGGCGAGGTCGGGATCGATAGCGGCTGGGGGCGGACGCTCGACAACAAGAGGCGGAGGCGGGGTCACGTTGCGTCGAGACAACCGCCGTTGTCGTTGCTGGGCACATCAGGAAAAACACTTCTAACTTCAGCAGTCTTGAATGAAGAACACCTGATCTTATTCAATCTTTCACAACTTGTGTTCCTCAATTAAGTGCACCATGTGCATGAAGACTGCTGAAGTTAACTATAGTATCTTTGAGAAATTTGTCTTGTCCCCAAGTTGGAAGATATGCAACTTTAGTTCTACAGATTAAGACACATAAGTACACATTAGTTGGCAAATGACCTCTTAACTAAAAAATATGCATGATGAGATGTCAGATTGCTCAATATGAAGACTTCACCAAGATTTCACCTGACAAGTTAACACATACTATATCTGGCAACAGTAATGGGGTACAAATAAAGATCATTTGTTTTTCCCTGGGATTATGAGTATATTACCCTACTTACAACAGATGCTGTGGTCAAAGTCATATTGTCAGGGATTTGGACATATTTGACCTGTTAAGGTTGAGAGACAGCAAAAGAACACTTAAGCATGCAAAGTGAGACAAGAAGCCTGCCCTTGAGCAAATTATGAGTCTACACAAGGTCTGCAAGGCAACAGATAGTGCCAAGAAGAAATGAGGCCAGTCTGAGAGCCCAGGGATGCACAGGGGCTGGGCTAACAGGGGGCAGCAATTGCAGATGGCCCACTGGGATGGATCTGTGCTGGGCGGCGAAGGTCGGCCTCCAGATTGGCAAGGAGGGGTCGGAGGGAGGCTGGGACACGGTCATTTCCGGAGAGGTGGTACATCGACATCGAAAGCCGGACGAGAACGGGTTGGATGTCGAACTCAGCCGGGGGATGGTGGAACTGCACCGCTAGATGGTGGTTCGCGATGTAGCCATACTGAACGGAGGGAAGGAGGTCAATGGAAGGAGGCCAGCCACGGGAAGAGACGTACGAAGTCAATCACGAGGGCGCGGGCCCACGACGCCCAGCGATACATCGTGTTGGTATCGGGAAACTGGGGCGGACGGATTTGTATCTCCTCCGCCGTATACATCTCGAACGCGGAGACGAGGCGGACGAGGGAGCCTATTCAGCGGACTTTCACGTTATTAACGGTACAGCCGAGATGCATTTCCGCCGTCATTAACGGAAACCCGACGTCGGCCGACGGAATGAGTCTGGAGGTTGCAAACCCACCGGCCGGTGCCGGAGGTGCCCTTTTTTAGCGGACCGGCCGGTCTTGTTTTGAACGGATCGGCCGACAATGGGGAGCACCCAGAGGTGTCACTAACAAGGGGCCTGTGTTCACCCATATGCTTATAAACAAACCGGCCGGTGATTGCACATATGGTTGTAAATGGACCGGCCGGAGATTGGCAACCACATTTATAACACTCCAGCCAGATTTCATCCCTGTGTTTGGAAATGGTCCGGCTGGAATGCATCCCTATGGTTTCAAATGGTCCGGCCGAAGGTCATATACCTTTGTTTATGATGTACCGGCCGAAGGTAATATATCTAAATTAATAACACACCGGCCGGAGGTGATATACCTACATTGAGAAAGAACTGGCCGGTCATAATGTACCCACACACAAAACAAACCGGCCGGCCATGACATAGTTTCACTACACATTGACCAGCCAGGCATAGCATGCCTATATTAGAAATGAACCGGCCGGCCATATGGAGCCTGAATATCAATTGCTCCCACCATCCTGGAAAACATATTCATTGATGCACTGAGTTTTCTGGACCATTAATGCACTGGACCCAGGTTTTTTGGGCTTTGAATACATTTTTAGCATCCCCATAGATGCTCCCAATTTTCCAGGCACATGCAAACCATTCCAGAGCTTTAGAATCATCAAAATTGAGCTTTCTGGGCTGAAAATAGACCAAAACCAGCCTTTCTGGGCTGGAAATGCATCAGAACACATTTATTGAGCCTCCCAATCCACATTTACAACAGCTCTGAGCCTTATACATCAGGTCCGAGTATTTTACACAATCGCCGAGATTCCACAAAGTCCCGGCGCCGCAGGTGCACCAAGTCTCGGCGCCGCAGGTGCACCAAGCCTCGGCGCCGCACATTCGGCGCCGCACATTCGGTGCCGCACATTCGGCGCTGCACATTCGGCGCCGCACCAAGCTTCGGCGCCGCACTAATTAAGCGCCGAGAAACATCGCTCGGCGCCGAGGGGTGCACTTGCTTCGGCGCCGAGACTTGGTGCATCTGCGGCGCCGGGACTTGGTACTACCTCGGCGCCGAGTTGTGCTAAAACTGAGGAATAATGGTGTTTCTAACAATGATCACAAAAAGATTACTGATGTTTGTTACACCAATGACCTTTTGTAGCTCATCTTATAGGGAATGTTAGGTTCATTAGGAAATCTCCTAATGACACTACAAAGGTTTGTATGTGGTTACTTATAAAAAGTGATGTTTGTGTCTCATTGTGTAGGGAATGGTCTGTTGATAAGTAAATCTTCTATTGACACTTCAAGGATTTCCAATGGTCAGGCCGGTACAGCTGCTTTTCTTGTCTGGCTGGTAAGTAAACTTACTGATGACACTACAGTATGTTGTATTCAATTTGTACATTTGTAGATCATCTTATAGGAAATATTAGGTTCATTAGTAAATCTTCTAATGACATCACAAGGGTTTGTATGTGGTTACTTATAAAAAGTGAGGTTTATATCTCATTGTGTAGGGAATAGTCTATTGATAAGTAAATCTTCTATTGACACTTCAAGGATTTTCAATGCTTAGGCCAGTACAGCAGCTTTTCTTGTTCAGCCAGTAAGTAAGCTTATTGATAGCACTACACATATTTGTATCTCATCTTGTGGGGAACATTAGGTTGATAAGCAACTATTATGATGAGACTACAAGGATGTGTACATCTCATGCTGTTGTTATTGTACACTAGACAGAACACTACATTACAAATGTGTAGTACTATGACAACTTCTGGCTGATCTAGCGCCCACACTAAAGTTGGTAGCACTTACAGCTTGGAAGATTAAGCTATGCGATTTGGCATATGTGCTGCTGGCTGTATGAACATACATTATAGCCACTAACCTAATGTGGGCAAAGAATACTGCCATGGTGAGGAGAGTAAGAAGGGAGCAGGGACATGCACAATTAGTGATATGTCTCTGAAGTGATAAGTTGTTGCCTTTATGTACAACGTTCGTGCCAACATGTGTCCAGATGAACAAGTACATTCATCAAGTCATGTATGGATGGGTTGCTGATACATGTTTCATTTATCCTCATACATTCTGCTATGATCATGATGTCCACACCCTACATATATATCTATATGTAGAAACCAATCCCAGATGAATATGAGACATTCTATAGAATTAACACATGTGGTCCTAGGTACATTGCTCTGCTACAGCCTACATTTGGAACTCACTGACTTTTCTGTAAATGCTAGACAGTTCAACCTTGATGCAGGGTTGTAACTATGATGTATTCTTTTGTGATAATCAACCTCTTGTTCCTACAGTGTTCCTTTGTCTTAATTTCATTATGTACTAATTAAATACAACACACTGTAGTGTCATTAGTGAGTTTACTTACCAGCCAGACAAGAAAAGCAGCTGTACCGGCCTGACCATTGGAAATCCTTGAAGTGTCAATAGAAGATTTACTTATCAACAGACCATTCCCTACACAATGAGACACAAACATCACTTTTTATAAGTAACCACATACAAACCTTTGTAGTGTCATTAGGAGATTTCCTAATGAACCTAACATTCCCTATAAGATGAGCTACAAAAGGTCATTGGTGTAACAAACATCAGTAATCTTTTTGTGATCATTGTTAGAAACACCATTATTCCTCAGTTTTAGCACAACTCGGCGCCGAGGTAGTACCAAGTCCCGGCGCCGCAGATGCACCAAGTCTCGGCGCCGAAGCAAGTGCACCCCTCGGCGCCGAGCGATGTTTCTCGGCGCTTAATTAGTGCGGCGCCGAAGCTTGGTGCGGCGCCGAATGTGCAGCGCCGAATGTGCGGCACCGAATGTGCGGCGCCGAATGTGCGGCGCCGAGGCTTGGTGCACCTGCGGCGCCGAGACTTGGTGCACCTGCGGCGCCGGGACTTTGTGGAATCTCGGCGATTGTGTAAAATACTCGGACCTGATGTATAAGGCTCAGAGCTGTTGTAAATGTGGATTGGGAGGCTCAATAAATGTGTTCTGATGCATTTCCAGCCCAGAAAGGCTGGTTTTGGTCTATTTTCAGCCCAGAAAGCTCAATTTTGATGATTCTAAAGCTCTGGAATGGTTTGCATGTGCCTGGAAAATTGGGAGCATCTATGGGGATGCTAAAAATGTATTCAAAGCCCAAAAAACCTGGGTCCAGTGCATTAATGGTCCAGAAAACTCAGTGCATCAATGAATATGTTTTCCAGGATGGTGGGAGCAATTGATATTCAGGCTCCATATGGCCGGCCGGTTCATTTCTAATATAGGCATGCTATGCCTGGCTGGTCAATGTGTAGTGAAACTATGTCATGGCCGGCCGGTTTGTTTTGTGTGTGGGTACATTATGACCGGCCAGTTCTTTCTCAATGTAGGTATATCACCTCCGGCCGGTGTGTTATTAATTTAGATATATTACCTTCGGCCGGTACATCATAAACAAAGGTATATGACCTTCGGCCGGACCATTTGAAACCATAGGGATGCATTCCAGCCGGACCATTTCCAAACACAGGGATGAAATCTGGCTGGAGTGTTATAAATGTGGTTGCCAATCTCCGGCCGGTCCATTTACAACCATATGTGCAATCACCGGCCGGTTTGTTTATAAGCATATGGGTGAACACAGGCCCCTTGTTAGTGACACCTCTGGGTGCTCCCCATTATCGGCCGATCCGTTCAAAACAAGACCGGCCGGTCCACTAAAAAAAGGGCACCTCCGGCACCGGCCGGTGGGTTTGCAACCTCCAGACTCATTCCGTCGGCCGACATCGGGTTTCCGTTAATGACGGCGGAAATGCATCTCGGCTGTACCGTTAATAACGTGAAAGTCCGCTGATATATGTGGACGAGGACGGCGGAGAGGTCCGCGGCAGCAGCGGCGTCGAGGTACGGAGGGGCGGACATGGTGGGTGAGGTGACGGAGGGAAGAGAGCGTCAGCACGGAGAAGATAAGGGAGGACGGAGGGAGGCCAAGGCACGAGGATCGAACAGGCGCTGACCAAGGGTGGCTGAGGAGCGGTGGCTACAGGCAGCGGGGAGGAACATCGCGTTAGCGCCGGCCAGGAATAGCGACGGGAGGAGCGGCACGGACGCGAGAATCAGGGGACGTTCATGCTAGGAGGAGGGCGGGAAGGGGACTGACCGGGGACGGTCAGTATCTGAGGTCGGGGCAGGTGTGGGCGGGGCCCACGGGCTGAGGCCGGAACCGCCGGAAGATGGAGAATCAGAGAAGGCCGGGGACGTTAGCTGGGAGACAAAGATCGGGCCGCGGCAACAGGACTGGAACGGGACGTCTTACGAGGTGATTCGAACGCGGCACAAGTCAGATCTATTGAACTCCGCAAGCTGTTACATGCCAGGACATACGGGTACCGGAGGGAACAAACTGGACGGAGGAAGATGCTACTCGTAAGGGTTCAGTCACGGATTAATTCCAACGGGGGAGGGATGTCTCGCGCGTCACATATGTCCTCTAGACGGCCCGAGATGGAGACTACTTCGCGCATCACGGACAGCTGGTCGATCCGGGCCTCAGCCAGGCCGCGGTGGAGGTGGCCAAGCTCGAGGCGGAGGACATCCAAGGAACGGTCCGTCGCGGCAAGGACGCGATCCCAGTTGTCGGTGTGGGCATGGCCCACGGTCTACGCACGGAATCGACAACATACGAACGCGTCAGGGCGAGAAATGGGACGGCAATACGGCGCAAGGCATCTCCGAGAAGTACGGACTTGGGGAACACAACACGAACGGGCCAAATACATTCCAACTAAGCCAAGCACACGGTTACAGAAGGTGCTACGGACGACTACATGGGGTCAGTTCAGCGAAGGGCTTGCGTTACGAACGTTCCCTCCGTCCCCGTTCCTTCCGGACCCTCCAGCCTCTCGGTCAGCAGCAGCATCAGCAACGCTACGCGTGAAGCCCATGGGGCGTGGATTAAGAGACATCGAACCCCTAGACGTGGCGAAGACTAAACGACGAGGAATTCCGGAATAATCGTCCGGAAGGTACAGCCCGTGTGACAGCTGGTCTTGAATACCTTGGACCGCGGCGGAGAGCGTGGCTAGCCCACCATCGAGCTGGTCAAGGGCGTCGGTGGTCGAACACTGGGCATCACTAAGAGCTTCCAGCTGGTTGGTGACGACGTCCCATCCGACGGAAGAAGCGCGCTGGTTCGATAAAGCGAGTGGACTGCTGCGATAGGAAATGGCTGGGAGTGGAGCACCTTCCTCAGCAATGCTCTGCTCGGCGAGGACGCGGTTAGGCGACCAGGCGATGACGGGGTATGGCTCGGGAAGAGACGACGCGTGCTCGGAAGGAAGGGTTGCGAAGATGGTGTCGAGGTACACTATCAGGGCGTGCACGGATGGTGTCTGGCGGACGGAAGGGAGAGAGATATCCCCGGAGGCTACGGCGATGCTACGAGACTCGAACAGCATGCGCTGGAGTACAGTCAGCGTGGGAGACGACGAGCCCTAGGAAAAGGACACACCAATAGCCAACGGCTTCCATGGGCCCAGGCCAGCCAGGCAGTCGGATCGTGGGGGAGGAGACGGGGTTCCAGGTCGCGTTCGTGTCGAAGGAGCTCGAGGAGACGGTAGAAGCGGACGACGTAGGGGGATTGCCCAGGGAGTGACATGGTGGGCGGAGACGGTGAGGGAAGGAGGCTGGGGCTTCACTGACCAACCGGAAGGAAGGGGGAGTAGGGGAGAGAACGGGGAGAGTCGGGAAGGTTTGAGGGCGTGGGAAGTCGGGAGGGGAAGGACATGGCGTGCTGGCGCGAGGGGGGGGGACTTACTTACCACCACCACTTCGAGAGCGGACGGTTAGAGGCAACTCCTGCGAACTAGGACAGCTCTGTTTTCTTAGCGGCGTATAAATCTCTCTCTCTCTCTTGCGGATCTGCGGCGACAGCGGCGAGCGTGCGTATAGCGAACTCTGCGTATTTGCGTGTCTTTGCGGGAACAGCGGTTCCATCGTTCAGCGGAACGAACATCGGGCAGCGTAGCCTAACCACTTCCCTTCCCCCCTTCCTTCCGTGACTGCTAATAGTTACGTCAACATCGTCCGACAACGAAACCCGTCGTTTCTACCGACTATCGACCCCTGCTCCCTGCCACCTCATACGGCCCTGGGAGACTCGCAACCTACACATCGGTCGAACCGCGGAGGGAGGAGAGGCGGAGGGGAGGATCATTATACGATGGAGGAGGAGGGGGTCGGGCTTCTTCCGCGGCGGCTTGCTCCTTCTGAAGCTGGTCCGGGGACCAAGGGATGGTCGCGTATAGGAGCGGCGCCTCGTTCTGCTCGGAGCGGAGGTTGAGGAACACGCGGTCCAGGTGCTCGATAAGCTCACAGACCTCGGGGATACCGGACGGAAGGGGGATGCGGGCGTCGCCGTGAGCAGTCGCTAGAGCGTAGGACTCGAAGAGCATCCGCTGGGGCAAGGCAGACGGGTCAGGAGGGACGAGGAGAACGACGGAAGGTGACGAACCACGAGCCAGCGAGCACCATGGGCCCAGGCAAGCCAGGCAGTGGCGTGCTCCACGTCGAACCGGGGCTCGAACGTTCCTTCGCACCGGAGAACCTCGATTAGACGGAGGTAGCGAGCGGAGTGCGACGAAGTGGTGGGGTTCGGGGGCTGCGCCATCGGTATGGGAAAGAAGGCGTGAGCGGGAGGAGAGGGAAGAGTGGGGGCAGACCCGGAGGGAAGGAGGAAGGGGCACGTGAGCTCGGCTGAAGGAGGATAAGTAGCGGGTCGGAGGGAGCGGGGGAGGACACGTAGGACCCACTCTCGGACGCGGACTAGGACTCGGACTTGGAGGCTCTCAACTCGGGCAGACGGCTCGGAAGGAACCCTCTATATTTCGCTCTCGTATAGACTTGTCTTCTCGACGATACACTTGTCCCATACACCTAATATCACTACCCATCCTTGACTAAAAATCTACCCTTCCTCCTTACCCTGTACGGAGGGAGCCGAACTCAACAGCACACAGCGGCAATGGTGGAATCGTCCGGCGAAGAAGAAACGCCCCTTCCAAAGGGCGCAAAGGGTAAGGCCCCGGCAAATGCAAGGCAGCGCGTCGCCCAGAAGACCAGCGGCCCCCAGAAGTCGAAGAAGTCGCTCCCCGTGGCGTACAAGTCGCCCCATGAGAAGATGCAGCCCGACTCGCTGATTGATGCGGTGAGTGTCTCAGTTGCTCAATGTCGCACTTGTTGACATATCCATTTAGGTCGTTCAATGTGATCACTGCCGGCAGAACAACAGAGACTGCCAGTACAAGGTCAGCAGGACCGGTTCGCTGCCTGGGCGTTGCGAGGGATGCGCGAAGCAGCAGACCGCCTGCAGCCTCGCCCCGCGCTATGTCAATGGGCAATCGCTCAGAAACACCAGTGCTGGGCAAATGGCGCAGAAGTGGCGTGACTGGGCCAGGGCGCGGAAGGCGGCGGATCTCCCGGTTCCGGAACTGGCGATCCTCCACGATGGACCCCAGGGCGCGGAGGACTGGGTCGTTGACCTTGAGACCTGGGACGGCAAGACTGCCACCGTGGCGAAGCATCTGCAGGACTGGGTCGCCTATCGCACCAAAATGCGGCTGGCCGGGCGCCACATCAAGGCCTTCAAGGCCAAGGACTTCATCGACTTGACCGTCGAGAAGCAGGATGGCGCGGAGCCGCCTGTCTTTGACTTGACAGGTGAGGCCCAGGAACCGACGGAGCCGCCCGTCGATCCCAAGGACAACGACGTGGAGATGTTGGATCCCGGCGAGGGTGGTGAAGCAAACCCAAATCAGGCGGACGCGAAGGAAGGAGCGGATGGGAGGGAAGCAGCGGGGCTGACGGAAGGAGCGGGGCTGACGGAAGGAGCGGGTCCGACGGAAGGAGCGGGGCTGATGGAAGGAGCGGGTCCGATGGAAGGAGCGGGGCTCACCAAAGGAGCGGGTCCAGCCGAAGGAGCAGGGCTCACCGAAGGAGCGGGTCCGACCAAAGGAGCGCGGCCCACGGAAGCAGCGGGGCCCACGGAAGCAGCGGGGCCCACGGAAGGAGCGGGACCAACCGAAGCAGCGCCGGTCGAAGGAGCGGGCGGCAAGGTGGCCACTCCAGCCAAAGAAGCGGCACCTGGGGCCGGGCCGGTGGGCAAGGAAGTGGACTCCGTGGGCGAGGTCCCGATGGACCTGGACAAGCCTGACCAGGTACGCTGATCCCGCTCTTTGTGCACTGTCAGCTAACGACCTTTTGCCCAAGTTCCCCGGGTTCCAGGCACTCAACGAGCGCGAGGGCAGCGGAAGCGGCGTGCACGACGCTGAAGACCGGCGCAGTGCAGAGAGCGACAACCAGCTGGGGTCCACCACCTTGGACCCGAAGATGAAGTGGAAGGAAGCGTACGTTATCCTCGTCCAACTGCTCAGGGCAGAGAAGAAGGATCGCGACGCGCTCGCCGCTCGCGTCGAAGTGCTCGAGCAGGCCAACGCCGCTCTTCAGCAGCGGGCCGTCAACGCTGAAGAGGACCTCAACTCGGCGATGAGCGGGCTTGCGGAGTTGGACGAGGTAGTCGAGGGAGTCAAGGAAAGACTCGACGCCTATTCCACTAGGGTGGATGGGCAGGTCCGGCGAGTCGAGCGGCGGCTCGACGCTCATTCCACCGGGTTGGGGGCGCTCACCTCGGAACAGGAGGGTATGCGCAAGTACCTCAACACCCTCAGCACGCTCAAGGAGCGAATGTCCGTGATGTCGGAGTCGTTCAAGACTTCGATGGAGGCAACGGTGAGGCGGGCTGAGGAGATTGATGAGCGCGCCCAGGAGCGGATGCGCGCGTTGGAGACCATGGTGCAGCAACAACGGCGGCACCCCACCATGGTCGAGCAAGAATGGCTGCAGATCCCCGTGCAGGAGCGCGCGACGCGGGTCCATAGGTACCTGCCAGAAAGCCTGGCGCCGCGAATCCAACCGCCTACGAGGCCGGCGGGGACGCTTGTTCGACCTCCCCTCTCCCTTGCGCCGTTGAACTTCAACCCGGCCACGCCTCTTCCGCGCAAGACCCGTACGCCGACTGGTCCGCCGATACCCGGTCCGTCAACGGCTGGTCCAAGCCGCCCATCAGACGTTGGCAAGAGCCCGTTTGAGCCGTCTTCTGAGGACGAAGAGGACGACGAGGATCAGCTGGCGCGAGGTGAAGCAATGGACGAGTCTGACTAAGTCCCGCACGTAAACAGCATGTATTAATCGGCATAGTGTAGTAATGACAATTGTGTACATGATCCGCTCACTTCCGTTTCCCATAAACCAAGTTGAATGTTCGCTGCTGTTCTCGCTTACCGCTCAGGCGTTTTGATGCTCTGAGTGAGCCTGTCTCAACCTGAGGGGCCGCCAACGCTGGAGGGACGGCTGTGGCATGAGGCGCAGCATGGCCCGCTTGTATTGGCGGGCCCGCTTGTGTGGATGGACCCGCTTGTGTAGATGGGCCCGCTTGTGTGGATGGGCCCGCTCGGGAACTGCTCCATTGCAGAGCGTCATCATTGGCGGCACCTGAATCCGCTTCTTTACCGGTGTCCGCTTGTTCTGTCGGTATGTCCCGCTTGTTGCCTGCCTCAATCTCCGGAATGATGCACCGTCTCTTTGACTGACCAGCTCCCTCGCTGCTATCCACCTCGCTCCGCCTCTTGCCATGGGAGGCGGCTTCCCCCGCATGCTGCGGTGCTCGTGGCAAGCTATTGGCGATGGCCCCCGCTTGTTGCGTCTGCGACTGACTAGGCACTGTTTCGCCCAACTGTCCCAATGGTCTTGGCCTAAACGTAGGCAGGGGTTGAAGAACCAGCGGGGGGCGCTTCGGCAGCGATTGCAGAACCAAAGGCGGGCGCAACTTGACCAATGGACGGTCAGGGGCGGCAGTTGGGGCCGACGAACGGCTCGGTCCAGTGGAAGACAACACTGGGACATGCGCGACCGGAAGAAGCGGCGTCGGAGGGGCCTTAAACATAGTGGCTGGAAGCGAGGGAGGCTCATCCAGAACAAGCGGGCCATCGGGTGCGATCAGGTTGTGGCCTGGAGTAGGTGAGCGAGACTCCTCTGTGTTGGCTGACCACACAGTGGGCGGGATGTCGTCAATGATAATGAGCTCGCTGATGGAACCGATTGAGCGAAGAAGCGTCTCCCGCACATCGTTGAAATCCAGAGCGGTGTTTTGTACATAGATGGGGATATGAGCCGGAGGTGGGTCATCTGGATCATTGGTGAACTGGCCATTATCCAGGTCTCGCAATGCAAGGCCGACACCAAGTAGCACCTGCTCGACCCGCCGGTAGATGGCGTAGTTGTGGCGCTTCCAGGGTTCGGTCACGAGGAACTCGATAAGCGGTGACAGACCGTCTGCGGCAGCATGGGCGGATTCAGGAAGAGACGGGGATGTCCACCCCCAGGACGCCCAAGGCACGCCGGGAATAGGCGGAGGCATGGCGCCAGAGATTGACGTTCCCTCCCTTGCTCGGATATATTCTGCAGCAACGTCTCGGTACCGTTTGTCGCCACATAGAGATGCCACAAACAGTCCGCGGGCGCGTCCGCGACTGACATTTTTGGGTGACTTGTCGGCAAACTCGTCTCGCCTGTCAAGGGCATGCTGGACCAGCATATTTGAAGTCTCCATAACCGGCCCCGCACTCCACCTGCCGCTGTCATCGTCGTCGGTGGACAATTGTTCGGGTACAGGGCTCTCATCCTCGCCACTGGACACTCCAGCAAGTCCAGGCGAGGGAAGGAATAAAGGCACCTCCTCCTCTGACTCGTCCTCCGACACCGCCTTCTGCTTGCCACGAGATTTGGCAGACTTGTCCTTCTTGCCGCGGTTTCGCTTGCGAGGAGGCTTTGAACCTGCTTTCATTAGACAGCCGTTTTGGTGATAGATGAATCCACACACCCTTCTTGGTGCTACCCTCTGCAGCCGCTTCTTCTGCCGCACCCGCCTGTTCGGATGCCCTCCTCCTCTTTGCTTCCCGAGCTGGCGCTGTTACGGACGCGGTGGAACGCATCAAGTCCGCGTACACCACTACGTACAAAATGGTATTCAAGAATCGCGACCCGCACGTCTTCTGTGCACGTACATAATTATCATTAGTATTTAGTGTTCTAACCCTCATGTAATTATCTAAGACGCGCGCTCGCGACCGACTCGCGCGCGCTTGCCTAATAGAGACGCACTTCTACTTGCTCCTCAACCACTTCGTCCGTGTGCGACTAACCGCGCCGTCCGAACCGGGAGCTCCTTCCAAGGTCGAAGTGCGCTCCTCGCGCGCTGACCGACTGCGTGTGCTACTCACCGCGCAACGGAGCAGCCCCTCGCCAGCTCCTTAAGTCGAGCTCCTCGCCGGCTTAGCGCGTCGCGCTCCTCGCCGACTCGCCTCCCGGGCTCCTCGCCTCGGGCACGACTCTCTCGTCGGCTCCTCGCCGACGCACGACTAACACGACTCACTAGGCTCCTCGCCTATCACGTATCACGACCACCTCTGGCGCCTCGTCAGCTCACGACTTATAAGGCTCGACCGCAGGGCGGTCACCAACGCTCGAGGCTGCCAGGTAGCCCGTTCCCCTCTTGCGAGTTGACGATACTACCGTCTCTCACATTGGTGGACACTCAGGGGAGCGGTCCACTACCTGGCACCATCTGCTAACAACGGTATGGCTGGGCGGGCTCCGGGAGTTGGTACTTCCTTCCTCGGAGACGCATCTCGACCCTCGCGTCCGCCTTCAGCAGTTCCGTCAGGCTCCACGACGCCATTCACGCACATGTCGGCCTACGTGGAGGACACCGAGGACGCGGGTAATCCCAACCCGTCTCTCAGGACAAGTAAGTCTTCCAACTTCTCCACCCCCTCCTCAAGGATGAGCGATCCCGGTCGGTCCTCCCCCGCGACAGCTCCAGTTGTCCTGCGGGACTCGTCACCGCTCATCCCGGCTCCGGACGATCTCCCTCCTCGTGTCAATCTTGGCCCTGTATCCCTCCACGATGTGAGAGGTACCTCGCTCGTGGAATCTCCTCGGCCCCGCCCCGCAGACACTAGCTCTCAGACCGCGTTGCCGTCGAAGTGGAATTTTCATCATTCACCGTCGGCGACGTCCGCTTTGCCTTCTGGGCCCCGAACCAACCTGTTCTTTCCTTCGTTTGCGAGCGAAGTCGCTCCTCTCGATTACAACGCGCCTCCTTTCGCCGCATCCACCCCTTGGCGTCCCAGCGCCCCGCCCCCTCTGCCCGAGGTGGGTCCCACACCCCTCTCGGCGGCGGAAGTTAGGAAGGCCGCCAAAGAAGCTGTCGACAAATCCCATCTCAAGGACTTGTTGGATGAATCAGGTCACTTCTACGTGCACCTGCGCAAGCCCGCCGAAGCTGAAGCTCTCTTCAACGACCTCAATGCACCCGACGCGATGGGCAAATTTGGCACGCTGTTCGAAGAAGCGAACGCGTTTGTCGGAGACGACCTCGCTAATTCTGACGTCCGCAACACGGCCGAAGTGGAGGACAAAGAGTCACGGTTCCACTTGACCGCTAGAGCGATGAGGCGGGTCGACTATGTCGTCGAAGGCTTGGAGACCTTGGTCGCCTCCATGCTAAAGTTGGAAGGGGGTTCCCGTCGGTGGAAAGCCGACCACGCCGACTCCTTGCTCGAAGCTCTTCAAGGATCCGCGTCGAGAGGTCTACTCTCCGACGCGTTCCGAGTCCTCCAGTACCGAGCGGCCAAAGCCCTTACCTTGATTCATCAACGTCGCGCCCTCCATCTTGGGCAACTCTACCCGAGCTCAATCAGGTCGACGGACTCGGATTTCAGTTTGCACGTCAAGGACTCGAACTCCAAAAGGGTCGTAATCGATAAATGGCTGCAACACCCCGACGTCTTTCATAACCTGACGCCGGAATATCAGGCTGTAGTACTCCGTCGACTGGGCAAGACTAAGGGACTCGATCCCGACCTGGCGAATAAGCAAGTACCTCCTGAACTCCGATTTCGAGTACTCCCGGCTTCCTTGCTTGTCACTCCCGTCACGCATGGGGCTTCGGTTTCCATGAATGAGAGCATGGCTCAACATTCGCGTGCTTCCTCCATGGATCGTGTCGAATTGGAACTGACTCGGCCCGTCCCGAGCGTCCCTTCCGAACCTTCTCCTCCCCTCAAGCCGGAGGAAAGTGTTCGATTGCCTCCCACGGTGGACAGTCGTCGACGGTTCACCCACCGTTCGAGTCATGCTAACCCGGATTTCACCTTGCCCTCCAACGAAGACGGAAACCGGCGGAAGGTTCAGTTCCAAGAGGACGGGGCCTCTCGTCCCCTCGATAATTCCTCTCCAGCTCCTCCAGTCGAGCGTCGAGCCTCAGCTATCGGGGCTAGGAGTCACTCTCGCGCCCTTCCGGAATCGGCAGCGGCTCAGGCTGTCCGCGACGCCGTCTTCCCTGCCGGACGTCCTGTCTCTATGTCGCTTTCTCAATTCCGGGCAGTACCTGCTCCGGTCCCTCAACACGATACCCCTCCTCACCTGGCCCAGGGCCTGCATTACGACCAAATTCGTCAATCCAAAGGCGCCTCGGGCGAAAAGGTGTTCGTTTACGAAGCTCGCCCTACCGGTTACTCGGCGCAAGGGGTTTACCAACCCCACGCGCCCAGTTTTCCGAAGTCCAAAGAGCAGAACCATCGCGACGACGAGTCAATTCACAGCACTCGTTCCAGCCGAGCCGACCGTCCTGGGAAAGGTCCTCCTTTCGGCGGCCCTCCGGGCGGTCCTCCCGGGGGAGGAGACCCTCCGGGAGGCGGAGGCGGCGGAAACGGCAATGATGGACCTAACCAGAACGATCGCGACGACGGAAACGACGGCAGGAACTCGGGGGGCGACCGATATCCGGACGGATACCCTGGCGGCCCTCCAGGAGGCGGACCTCCCTACGGTGGATCCAGCTCCGCTCAAGCCTCACCGGATAACCGACCCACGATCATCATCCAGCAATTGCCTGCTCTGAGAGAATCCGGAATCCGTCTGGATCAGAAAATATCGCGAGACTCTATACCCGAGTGGAATGGGAGCCGGAAGACTATTCTCATCTATCTGCACAAGATGAACAACCTCGCTCGGAAAAACGACTCGGTGGCCAGAGACCTCGGCGCCGCCGCACCTGATCGATTCACGGGTCGTGCTGAACGATGGTGGCAACTTCTCGATTACGAAACGCAGAAGCTCTACTCGTCGGGTTGGTGGAGTCTGTACGAAGGTATCAAAGTTCAGTTCTTCACCCACAAGTTCCTAGTCGCTCTGCGCACACAATACGACGGCCAACGTTTCCGTCAGCCAGGACACGAGAAGGAATTCCCCATGGATTTCGTAGATCGACGACTCCTTTACCACCGCCACATTGCGGGTACCCCGGAGCGACCAGTCGATGAGATACTGGCCGTCATGCAGAACGCCCCGCCTACCTGGTCCACCGTGCTCACGCTGGATTCGATCCTCACCATCGCGGCTCTCATGGCGAAAGTGGCCGATAAGACAGATGAGCTTATCGCATTCGCTTCCATGGCCCCGGCGCGAACGTCTCAGTACGAGCAGTTGCTCCACCTTCCCTCCACCAAGACCGAATCGCGCTCTTCCTTTACGCCTCGGCGGGCCTATGCCGCCGACGGGCTATCAGGAGGAGTCGTTTTCGAATCCCGTGAGGACGACGAATCCGGAGATGAACAACCGTCAGCGAACGAGGAAACCGTTCCTGACGGAGAATCGGATAGCAATGCCAGGGAAGCTCTGGCTCTCGAAGCGCAACCCCGAAAGTTCCCTTCTCGGACTGCGAAGAGCTTCGCGCGTAAACCTCCAGCAGCCGGGTACAAGTTCCCTCGAAGCGATTCGGTCAAAAGCAAGAGACCGCCGCCGGGTGATTGTCGAGTCTGTGGCAGTCCTTATCATTGGGACAGGGACTGTCCGCACTGGAACGAATATGACATCGGGCGTAGGGCCCTCCTCATTGGTAACGAGTTCGACTGCAACGAAGACGAAAATCAGGAGTATGACCGTGCTTTCGTCGCTTACATCTGTAGTAGTATGAGCAATGCTAGATTGTCGAGCGCGTTGGAGGCGGACGTCCGCCGGGCTGAAGGAGAGTATATCCAAGCGTCCCTACAGATGCGAAAGCCATCGAGTGTGCTATGCGAGGACGTCGACGAACTACCGTCGCGTCCCTCGTTTGCACTACCTCACGACCACCCTCACATCCTCGAGGAAATACGGAAACCCGATTCCAACTCAGGCGTGTCCTTAGTTGATGCCTTAGCCGAGGCCCTAAGCGTGGACGGTTCTACACACTATGCCAGTACTCAGGCTCACGATCGGTTCGTCAGGACTGCAGCGGCAGTGGATGAGGGCACCATCCCTGCTGCCCAGCCTTCCTTACCTATCGCCGACCCTCTGGTCGTTCCATTAGCCAGGATCCGGGATCCTCCTCCAGGACACTCTACAGTGGGAGTAGCAGCTCTGTCATTCCAACTTCGGTTGGGTAGCCTCGCGCATCCTGCAGTCATTTGCCGCGCAGACTCTGGGGCGGACATCTCCTTAGTCTCCCAAGAGTACCTGGAATCTCTCCCGGAGGCGTCTCGACCTAAAATCAAGCAAGGGCTTAGAATGAATCTATACCAATTGACGGGAGGGTTCCGTATCTCAGGTTACGTCCAGACTCAAATCTACGTCGAGTCGGAGCAAGGCCACGTTCTGAAAATGACGGCGGAATGCTACGTCGTACCAGGGATGACCGCACCTCTCTTACTAGGCGAGGACTTCCACGTAAATTACGAGTTGAGCGTCACCCGCAGCGTCACGGACGGTTCCGCCATTCGTGTAGGAGAAACTGGATATACTATCCCAGCCTCCTCGTCAGTACGGAAAGATAGGCCTAGCCTTAAAGTGATGGTGAGGGCAGCCGACTCAAAGTTTGTTCGGGCCAAGACACACCGTCGTCGACGCGCAGATCGTCATCGGGAGATCACGAAGACCCTTCGTCCCTCCGCTCTCGCTGCGCAAGATGTGCGAATAGCACCGCACTCTTGCCGACCGGTTCCCCTTCGAGTCCCACTAGGAGACAGAGAACAATGGTTCATTGAAAAGACAGTACTGGGTCAGTCCGACGGAACCTTCCTTCTGACCACTCCCACTCTCCTGGACACCAAGCATCTCTACGTCTCCGTGACCAATCCCACCGATCGTCCGCACATTATTCGCGAAGGAGAAGTGTTAGGCCTTTTGCATTCCCCGTCGGACTACTTCGCGTCAGCCACTCCCGAACTCCTTGCTCACGCTTCCTCCGTCAAAACCATGATCCAGGACGCGGCGGAGCAACAAGCACCGACAGCTGAATCTTCCACGAAAGCAGACGACACGGATGATCAATGGGGCCCTAAAACAGCAGAAGTCCCGGATCCCGAAACCTACCCGTCCAGTGAGCTCGAGAACATGCTCGACATCGGTCCCGAATGGCCCGCCGCTCAGAAGGACCACCTGCTACGGATGTTGCGAGCTAACCAAGCGGCTTTCGCTTTCGACGGACGGCTGGGACAGAATCCTACGGAGGTAGAGATCAAGACGCACCCCGATGCGAAGCCTATATCACTGCCCATGTATACCGCGTCACCCGCCAAACGAGAAGTCATAGACACACAACATGAGGCATGGTTGAATCTCGACGTCATCGAGCCGTCCAATAGCCCGTGGGGGGCTCCCGTTCTGATAGCCTACAGAAATGGGAAACCCAGGTTATGTGTCGACTACCGCCGTCTGAACGCGATCACCGTACCAGACGAATTTCCTATTCCTAGGCAAAGCGAAATACTGCAAGCTCTCTCGGGGGCCCAAGTGCTCACCTCATTGGACGCCCTATCCGGTTTCACGCAGCTACTGGTAGCTGAAAACGATCGGGAAAAGACGGCCTTTCGTACTCATCGCGGGTTATTCCAATTCAAACGCTTGCCCTTCGGATTGCGCAACGGTCCGTCGGCCTTCCAGAGGGTCATGCAAGGAGTGCTCGCCCCCTATCTCTGGCTTTTCACACTGGTGTACATCGACGATATCGTCGTGTACTCTCGGTCGTGGGATGAGCACGTCGGTCACTTGGACAAGGTCCTCAAGGCAGTTATTGCGTCAGGAATCACACTCTCCCCCCCTAAATGTCACTTTGGGTATACCTCAATCCTCCTACTGGGTCAGAAGGTATCGCGGCTGGGGTTTTCGACGCATCAGGAGAAAGTCCGCGCAGTAATGGAACTGGCCCGTCCAAAGCGAGTTTCGGATTTGCAGACCTTCCTGGGAATGACGGTCTATTTCTCAGCGTACATTCCGTATTACTCCTTCATCGTCTCCCCTCTGTTCGAGCTGCTCAAGAAGGACCACAAGTGGGACTGGACCGCCGAGTGTGAAGTGGCCTGGCAGCGTGCGAAGGATACTTTACAAACCGCACCTGTCTTGGCTCATGCAATAGCCGGACTACCCTACCGCCTGTATACGGACGCTTCTGATATCGCGTTAGGAGCCTGCCTCCAGCAAGTCCAACCCATTCGAGTCGCGGACCTTAAGGGGACCAGGGCCTACGACCGCCTAGCCAAAGCATTTTCCGAGGGCGCTCCCGCTCCGAGCTTAATCACTCGAGTATCCCAGAAGTTCGACGACAAACCTCCTCCCGCGGAATGGGCTCGCACATTTGACGATACTACCGTCCATGTCGAGCGCGTAATCGCATATTGGAGTCGATCATGCAAACCCGCAGAGCGCAATTATTCCGCGACTGAACGAGAAGCACTAGCCGCTAAAGATGGTTTGGTCCGGTTCCAACCTTTCATCGAGGGGGAACAAGTTACACTGGTCACGGATCACGCCGCTCTTCAATGGGCTCGCACGTACGAAAACACGAACCGACGACTAGCCGCGTGGGGGGCAGTATTCGCCGCCTACTTGCCTAATCTTGACATTGTTCATAGAGCGGGTCGAGTACACTCAAACGTCGATCCTTTGTCACGACTCCCGCGAGAACCCCCGGCCCACGATTCGCCAGTCATTGATCTTTCAATCCCAATCATCACGGACCAAGTCAAGCCGGCAGCCGCGGAAGTAGCCGCTGAACGATCGCCAGCCGTCAAGATGGCCGCTGCGGCCGCTATTATCAACAACTGGGAAGACATTCTGGACGCATCCCCGGCGTCGACACCCTTCTGCAACCAAACGCACGATGACTCCGGCCTCAGCGTGGGGGGCGCGTACCAAGAGGAGTCTCAGAGCATGATCGAATTACCGATCTGCTCAAGTGAAAACTCTGACGCTGATCACCTAGTCAACGTGAACGCGGGAGAAGGACCTCCCCGTATCACCCTGGACAAGTCAGCAGTCCCAGTATCGACAAGATTCAAAGGACAACGTCGCCCTCAAGTCTTCGCAAAACGAACGCGCCCGAAATCGTCGCCAACCAGCACTCTGATTCCAGAACCAGTCCATCACGAGGAACACGATGTCCGCGATCCCTACGAGCCGAAAGACGACCTATCAACTCCCACGGCTCTCATCGAACTCAGCAAGGAGTATCGCAACAAGTTCGTGGAAGGATACGCGGAGGACGAATTCTTCAAGACTAAGTGGAAAAGGGCATCGGAACCAGGATTGGAAAAGTTCGCCGGACAGTGTTTCTTCACGGACTCTTCGGGTCTGCTCTACATGCGAACCGGTTCGGATCCTGCCCGACTCTGCGTCCCCCGGAAGGAAGTCTTCCCTCTTATTGCTCGTCTACACGACTCTCCATACGAATCGGCCCACGAAGGTCCCGCGAAGCTCGCTCTACGTATCAACTCTAGGTTCTTCTGGCCAACTCTACGAAAGGATGTAAGGGACTACGCTATGTCGTGTGACATCTGCCAGAAGACCAAAGTCGACCGTAGGGCAAAGGCCGGACTACTTCGCCCTAACCCGGTGCCCGACAGACCTTTCGAGTGGATTTCCTTCGACCTCATCACCGGACTACCCAATTCCGACGGTTACGACGCGGCGTTCGTGGTTGTGGACCGCTGCTCGAAGTTCGGTCTATTCATCCCTTGCAACGGGACTCTTAACACTGTCGACTTCGCTCATCTATTCATATTGAATGTCATCTTCCGTTTCGGCATCCCAGATCACATCATCAGTGATCGCGACGGACAATGGATATCCGAATTCTGGAGAGCTGTGGCTGAGGAACTGGACATACACCTATGCTTGTCATCATCCCACCATCCTCAACACGACGGACAGACCGAAATCGTGAATCAAAGGTTAGAAACTATGCTGAGAGCGTACGTGCAAGGGGACCGGCAAGGATGGGCCAAATGGCTTCCCGCCCTAGCTCACGCTTACAACTCCTCGATCCACTCGGCTACGGGCTATTCGCCCTACTTCCTTCTCTACGGATTCGAACCGAAGGGCACTATGGACTTCATCGGACATACCAACCGCTACGAGCAACGCCCTTTGCTCGTTAGCGAGAAAGCCACCGAATTCGTGATGAACATGGAGCTCCATCGACAAAGAGCACGAGATGCCATTGCCATGGCCCAAGAACAATCTGCCCGCCAATACAATGAGGGTCGGCGGGTGGAGACCTTCCCCGTGGGCACTCGCGTACTCGTCAACCCTCATTCCCTGGAACTAGTTGACGTGAAAGGCACTGGCAAGAAGCTGGTACAGCGCATGTTGGGCCCTTTCGCCGTCATCGAACAAGTCAACCCTTTAGTGTACCGACTCGCTATGCCCAGTACTTATCCCATGAATCCCGTCATCAACATCGAGCACCTACGAAGATACCGCGAACCGGATCTAATTTCCACCGACGTGAGGCGTCCGATCTTACCGGACCCTCGTAACTCCGAACTTCTTGCCATCGAAGAATACGAAGTTGAGTCCATTGTGTCGTGGAGAAGAAACAAGTACCGGAGCAACCGCTTAGAATTCCTGGTTCGATGGAAGGGGTTCAGTCCCATCCATGACACTTGGGAGCCAGCCGCTCACCTCCGCAACGCGCACGAAATCCTCAAGGAATACCGAGATCGTCACAACCTAACCAGGTGAACTCCCGGGAACGCCCCCTCTCCCTTGTTAGATAGTGTACCCCACGGTAGTAATAGTAAATAATGTGCCCTAGATAGTCGGGATCATAGAATCTCCCATTTTAGATTAGTATGGCCTCTTACCCCGGAAGACTAACGGAGCGCGGTTTGGAACGCGACGCGAATCGCGCCTCACTCGAACACGTGACCGTGCCACGGAGGCTTCGGCGCTTGGACCCCCGCGCTTCTTTCGAGCGCCCTCCTCCCTCGCTTTCTCTCCACCCAACCATTCGGCGAGTGTTCGAGCCACCGAACCTCAGCCTTCCTCCACGAACGTTCGAGGTACCGAACTTCGTGTCTCTCTTGTCTACCCTCGCGCGAGCGTTCGAATCCGAACCCCACGTGTACGGGATGGTCGACCTCACCCGTTCAAACTCGGTCTCCCCCCGCTTCCGCTCCACTCTCTGGTTCCCGCAACACTATGAGGCCCTTCCTCCTCGACCGGAATCTCGAGACACCGCTTGGAAGCTCTACCGAGCCCACCGAGTCGTCCGGGTCGCCGCCTCGCTAGGTAACGGCGACTACGCAGTGACTCCGAACGCGGACTTCATCCCGCCGTTCCCTCCCGGCCCTTCAGATAGGGAGGACGTGTTCTCCGACGGACGACGCGGCAAGTTTGAGCCAGGATACCACCCTCAAGCCTGGAATACTTCCAGGGGACACTGGCCCTTCATGTTCGAGGTGCCCGACGGTGACGAAGGCGCGGACCCCGCCTACGTCACACTGGAGTTCACGAAGAAAGGAACGGGCACCTTCCACGTTCACAATCAGCAGACGGGAAAGGGATCCCCGACGGCGACCTTTGCTCAGGCCTTGCAGGTCCTCTACGACGCGGAGGTGACGCGCGCCGAATCGTTCTTCGCGCGGGATAGCAACCCGCCCCAATCCTTGGTCTTGCGCCCGGCTGCCGTTCGAGAGGCGCTCTACCAGTTCCCCGTTGAACTGACGGATCTTTTCTCCGCTCGGAAGAAAGCCGCCCTCATCCAACACCACCTTAGGGAACTTCGCGCCTACTCCTACCGCGCTTACTTACAGGAGTCACTAGAAAATGGCAAGATGTCCTTCCCCAGCGCCGAGACGATGGGAGTAGGATGTTGGATCCGGGAGGGAAATGAGGAACTCCTCAAGAGCCTGTCCTGGTTCGGCATTCGAGTATGGTACGAGCGTCGATCACCGGTCCCCTTCCCTAGCTCCCTGCGGCCAGTACGAGGACTCGACCCTCGCTTATCAAGGGAAGGTTGGGACGAAGAGATTCACGACCACAAGCCATACGTGGGGAAGCGAGGAAGGAAACGTCTTGCAGAAATCGAGGCAGAGCTTCGCGCCGATGAGGACTCCGACTTCGACTGGGACGACCCCGAAGATCTACCTGTCCCTTCCAATCCTCCCTTCATCCCGGGCCCTTCCAAGCCCCTTAAGCGCGCGGCGGCGGCTCTGGTCGCCTCGTTCGTACCATCCATCCCATCCTTCCCGGACCCGGAAGAAGAAGGGTGGAATAACAGCCCGGCCGTCGAACCAGCCGCCCCGTCCTCCCCTCCTCGGCCTTCGTCGCCGGTTCGTCAAAGAGAAAGCAAAACTCCGCCCCGCCGGGTCGACTCTCCAATGGCCATTTCGCCCCCACGCTCCGGGAACACTAACGAGCCGCTCGCATCAACGTCGCACTCGGGAGCGGCCATTCCCCGATTGAGAATCGACAAGGGTAAGAGTCGAGCTCTCTCTCCTCCTCGCCGTACGCACTCTCCCCATCTTCGTCGCTCGCCCCCTTCATCTCGCCATCGTCGCCGACCCCCGTCTCCTATGACGCGCTTTCCCCGCCGCTCCTCTCGATCCTGCTCCCCGAGGGAGAGAAGACAATACGAGCGACCGCGCGGTCGTCAGCCGTCGCCTCGTCAAATCTCTTCCCCGTCACGCCGCGAGCCGCGCGTCCTATTACGCTCGCCTTCTCCGTATCGACGAGAGTACGGCGGCGCTTACCGGCAGGTCCACGACGTCAACCCGGGTCGTTCCCTGGTCAGACCCCGGCGAGCAAGCCCAACCTTCCGTCGACGTTCGCGAAGTCCCGCGTCGTCGACCGGTCGCCCCCCGGCCAACCGAGGCCGGTCACCCCTACGACCCCCTGCCTCGCCGCCCCGCGTGCTCAGAGAAACGCACGAAGAACGTCAGTCGCTCGTCGATCGGATCGCCCCTGAGGCTCCGACTCCGGCGGTTCGTTCTCTGGCCGAACGGCTAGCACCGGTCAGCCTACTCGAACGACTGGCCGCCCCTCAGGAGGCAGTGGACGAGGAAATCGGAGAGAGCAGCAGCACGTCGACCGCCCCGTCGCTATTCAATCGCCTGGCAATACCCCTCGAGAGCCGCCTGTCGGACACGCTGACAGCAGGCCCGTCCACAATCGCCCCCGCCACCCCTCCCCCGACAGCCCTCCACATCGTCACGCTGCCTTCGGGCATTCCTCTGCGCACACGGCTGCCCTTGTTCTCCGCCGCCGAAGTGGATGAATATCTTCACCATCCCTTCGAGCGAAGCGAGAACATCGCGCCCTTCAGACAGTCTTGGGAGCACGAGCTGGGGCCCGCACCCTATTTCCCAGCGGAAAGCAAGCGACCATTGCCCTCCCCCCAACTCCTTCTAGCGGACGGGGATGAGGGGTACCTGGCCACAATCTTGTGGATACATTCGCGTACCGGGTACATCGACGGGCTGCTGCGCGAACCGCACGATTGGCCTGCCCTCATCCACAAACAGTGGAAGTCGCGCCTACGCGGAAACCCGGACCTAGTTCGGGCAGCCAAAGGAACCAGTGTCCGGCCACTCCCGGATACAGTCCTGCTGCCACTGCGCAACCCTCTCCCGAACGAGAAGGAGGATGCAGTCTGGGAGCTCCGTACCTTCCAATTCCGCTACAACTTTGAGCGGTTGGCGGCCGAATTGCTACCTGGGTTGAGGGCGGCGTCCACGGAGTCAGCGAAAGGAGCCATATGGGCCAGCACACGCGACCGCGTGAGGCGTACTTGGGGACCGGGAACGACGCACTACCCGTCCGTGCACGAGCCGCGCTACTTGGACAGCGACGATGACTTGGTACGGCTGCGACACTGGTTTGCGATCGGGCGGCTGATGCTCGAATGGGACCTGAGAGCGGACGTCACTGCAGACCTACAGCTCGCGATGGGGGGCTCTGTTACGGACGCGGTGGAACGCATCAAGTCCGCGTACACCACTACGTACAAAATGGTATTCAAGAATCGCGACCCGCACGTCTTCTGTGCACGTACATAATTATCATTAGTATTTAGTGTTCTAACCCTCATGTAATTATCTAAGACGCGCGCTCGCGACCGACTCGCGCGCGCTTGCCTAATAGAGACGCACTTCTACTTGCTCCTCAACCACTTCGTCCGTGTGCGACTAACCGCGCCGTCCGAACCGGGAGCTCCTTCCAAGGTCGAAGTGCGCTCCTCGCGCGCTGACCGACTGCGTGTGCTACTCACCGCGCAACGGAGCAGCCCCTCGCCAGCTCCTTAAGTCGAGCTCCTCGCCGGCTTAGCGCGTCGCGCTCCTCGCCGACTCGCCTCCCGGGCTCCTCGCCTCGGGCACGACTCTCTCGTCGGCTCCTCGCCGACGCACGACTAACACGACTCACTAGGCTCCTCGCCTATCACGTATCACGACCACCTCTGGCGCCTCGTCAGCTCACGACTTATAAGGCTCGACCGCAGGGCGGTCACCAACGCTCGAGGCTGCCAGGTAGCCCGTTCCCCTCTTGCGAGTTGACGATACTACCGTCTCTCACAGGCGCCTCCTCTTGCCAACGCTCGAATAAGCCTCGTATTCCTCGCATGCGTCATCTCCGTCGCCGTTGACGTAGCTCCTGAATTTGAACGCTTTCACGCCGTCCGGCCCATCCTGGCCTTCTCTCCAGTGCTTGCATAGGCGGATGAGCCTGTTCCTTCTTCAAGTGAGATGGGTCTTGAAATGCCATGTCGTTCAACCACATGCTTGCATCGAGACAGGACGCAGGGGAAGCGTGGGCCTTCCAAGGTATACGCGGGACTTTGCCGTTGCTCGCCGCCACTGTGCAACAATACGCGGTACACGGGATGAGCGGTACTCGGGAACAAACGGGGAACCATCTCACAGTAATGGTGAGTAAGAAACTCTCTGACAATTGCTATCCATTTCTGAACCATGCCAGCAACAAGCGAGTCCAACTCCGCTTCACTAAGCATAATGGGCAGGCCCGTCTCTTCGTCCACTGAGAGAAGCGGCCCAAAATCCGTCTTTTTCTGCGCTTTGCTCGGCTTATCCGGCTTTCCCCTTGACTGCAGAACATCGGCCTTTCTTTGCAGTTGTTCCTT